TTTATTTCTTATAAAATCTATATTTAAATAATATTTTAATTTTTTATTATAATTATTATAAGAAAATTTAATTTCTTTAATATATTTTAAATAATAGAATATATAGTTTATTATTTTTATATATATTATTTTTAGATTTATTATATTTTTATTTAATTAATTAATAAAATAATATATATTTAATTTTATATTATTAATAATCTATAATAATAAACTAACTTTTTTTTAATATTTATTTATATTATTATTTAATAATAAGATATTAATTTATATTTTTAAATAATTATAATTATTTAATTAAAAAACTTTTTTAAAATAAATTTAATTAATCTTAGATTTTATTAATAATTTTTTAATATAAATTATCTAATTAATTATTATAATTAATTAATTATTATTAAATTTTCTTTATATATAAAATCTTAAAACTTATAAAATATAATTTAAATTTTTTATTATAAAGTTTATTATTAATTTTTTTTTTATCTTTTTAATCTTAATCTTATTTTTAATATCTATAATAATAAAAAGATTATTTATATAAAGATATAAGATTATATTATTTCTTATAAATATATTTTAATTTCTATTTAAAATTTTAAAGTTTATTTTAAATAATTATTTCTTTATTATATTATATTAATATTTATTAATTTATTTTAAATTATAAATATTTTTATTAAACTTATAAATTAAGTTTTTATATTTATATTTAAATAATTAGATTATAAATAGTTTTTTTTAAAGTTTATTATTAAGAAATATAAAAATTATATTTATTTAATATATTTCTTATTTCTTTTATATTATTATAATTAATATTAATTTAATTATTTATATCTTTATAATAAATAAAAATATCTTATTAAAATCGATTTTTATTATTTATATAAAACTTTATATTATAAATTTTATTTTATATTTATTAATCTTTAAATCTTTTTTTTATTTAATATAAAATATCTATTTTATATTTATAAGTTTTTTATCTTTTAATAGTTTATTTAAGATTTAAATATTATTTTATTTTAAATTATATAATTCTTTTTTTATTATTTTTTTTTATTATAATTAATCTAATTTTTATTAAACTTTATTAAATAATTTAAGATTATTTATAAGTTTTATTATATCTTTTATATTTTTTATATATAAAAATAATATATAATTATTTAATCTTTTAAATATTTTAATTTTATATTTTATTATATAAATTTTATTATTTATTTTATTTTTTAATATTATTTTTAATAATAAAAAAATAAGATTATTAGATATAATAGATAAATTTAATAATATAGATTTTTCTTTATTATTTAAATTTAATATTTTATAAATTTTATATTTTTTCTATTTAATTAAATCTTTATTATTTATAATTATTATATATTTAATTAATTTTTTTTTATTTATAGTTTTATTAAAATTATTAAAAATTAATTAATTAAAATATATTTAATCTTTATTAAATTATATATTTTTTAATTTATAGATTTTAAAATTATTATTTAGATTAATTAGTTTTTAACTTTTTAATTTTTCTTTAAATCTTATAAATATTAATTTAATTAATCTTATTATAAACTTTATAATATAATTATTTATTTTTATATAAATTATATATTTAAATATTTTTAATATATTAAGATCTTATATTATTTTATTATATTATTTTTTATAAAATAATTTATTATCTTTTTTAATTATTTAATTATAAATTTATATAATATATTTTATAGTTTTATTTTATAAATTTAATCTTATCTTTATTTATATAAATATAATTTTTATTATTTTTATAATTATTTTATTAAATCTTTTTATAATATTATTTTATTAAAATATATAAATTTATATTATTTATTATTAAATATTAAAATTTATTAATATACTTTTTAAGATAATATATTTTTTTCTTTTATTATTATATAATATTTTAAATTTTTTATCTATCTATTATTTAGATTAAAATAAATATTAATTTAAAAATATATTTTAAATTTTACTTTTTATTTTTATTAGATATAAATTTATTTATCTTATATAATTATTTATAAATATTATAATATATATTTATTTATTTAATAATTTTTTTATTAATCTTATAATATCTATATATATATTAAATCTAAAAGATATTTAATCTTTTTAATTTTTTTATTAAAAAAGAGTTTAATTTATTTTTCTTTTATATATATATATTATATTAATCTTTATTAGTTTTTTAAGATATTTCTTTATCTTTAATTTTTATTAATTTAATAATTATAATAATTATATTTTATAAAATATATCTTAAATATTTATATTAAAACTTATTTTTTTATTTTATAAATAGTATAATAAAAAATATTTTAAATTTTTTAATTAATAAATATTTTAATTTATATTTATAAATTTTATAATAGATTAATTTATTTAAATTATTTTATTTAATTATAATATTTTAATAATCTTATATTATATAAATATCTTTATAATTTATAATTAAATCTTTTAAAAATAATTTATAAAAAAATTTTAAAATTTAAAATATATTATTTAATTTAATTAAATATCTATTTTTAAATTTTAAATATATCTTTTTTATTTTTAAATATTTTATAAATATATTATTAATAATTTTTATTTTTATAATTTTTTCTTTAAGTTTTATAAAATCTATCTTCTATTAAATTATATATTAATTAATATTTAAATTAAATAATTAAATATCTTTATCGATTATTAATAATTTTATAATAATTATAATTATTATTATTTTTTAATTTTTATTATTTTTATCTTTTAGATTATAATTATAATATTTATTATTTTTATATTTTAACTTATTATATATATAATATTTAATATTTTTTTTTTTATAATTATTCTTCTTATTTATTTATAAATATTAAATAATTATTATAAAAGTTTTAATCTAAATATTATAATTATTAATATTCTTTATAAATACTTTTTTTAAATTTACTTTTTTTATATTAAGATTTAAATCTTATATTTTATTTATTATTTTATTTAATAAAAATCTTATTAAATCTTTAATAAAATCTAAATTTTATTATTTAAGATTAATTTTAATCTTTTATATTAAAATATAATATATTATTATTTTCTTATTAAATATATATTTTTTATTATTTAATCTATAAATAAATATAAATATTATATCTTTATTATTAAATATACTAGTTTATATCTTTATTTTATTAATCTATTTAATAATAAATATATTTTAATCTTTTAATATCTAAGTTTTATCTTATTATAATTAATTAAAATTATATCTTATTAATATTATATTATATATTATTTTCTTATTAAATATATCTTATAAACTTTTTTAAATTTTTAATATCTCTATATCTTTATTAATTTAAATAATAACTATATTAAATAATATAATAACTAATAAGTTCTTTATATAATTCTTAATATCTTTAAAATCTTATTCTACTTTCTCTTTATTAATAATAAACTCTACTATTATCGGTTTATCCTTTTTACTATATATATAAAGCTATATAATACTTCTTAGTTTCGATACCTTTAATATTTATACTATCTTACTTCTCTAAGTAATATAGTTTCGACTATCTTTATCTAATTTAGAGATCACCTCTCTATCTAACTTACTTGATTTAGTAGGGTCTATCATAGCACGGTAATACTATTTATAACTATAAATCTATTAGATATCCTATATTTAATATAAGCTAGATATACTTGGGAATGATGATAGTATTAGATAGAATATAAATATATACACTTTTACCTAACACCGAACGTCGTATAACTTGCTTTACCAGCAAACATAATTACACACTTGTGCAGCATAATTGTTCTATACACGTGGGAACATCCCGCGATTCGGGATCTACTAAGAAGCGGTAGTTCCGCTACCGCGAACCCCGCTACACACTAACACTTTCTCCAACACCTCTTTTGCGTACGAAGCGAGTTTTCTGTTTGTTGTTTGCCCCGCTCTGATGACCATTTCCTACAAAGCCCCGTACGTGTGCATGATGAGGTAAAGGCAGAGTTTTATATCTGCTGTCCTATTCCATCATATTGTCTTTTTTGTCTGCATTAAAAGATGAACTTATACAATCTCGTATATTTCTCATTGCTTCATTTTCCCGTTATTTCCATTGCTAGTGATATTCAAGTGCACAATCACAATTATAATGTTGATGACTTTTCATGGTTTACGGAAAATGATAATATCGTCTCACCCGAACACTTACAACTACCGAATGAACTAAGCTCGCTAAAAGCTCGACATCAAGCACAAATGAGCGGAAAGACTAAGCAGAAAGTGACGCAAGGTTCAAACAGAAGACGCAGCCATGAGTACTTTAATACTGTACTTCAAAAAACGGAAGGAGAATTAATAGAAGCAAATAAGATTCTAGAAGAGGCAAGAAAGACCGGTAAGGGCTCTTTAAGCAAGCCGAAAAGTGCTGTCCAAACAGATCAAGCAATCAGAGCAAAGCAAAAAAGAGACGATCTAGTAAAACAAGGCGGGACACAATACGAGGAATTCAAAAAGATGCGAAGAAATAGAGAGAAAGCGAGAAGAGAAGCACGTACGCCAGAACAGAAAGAAGTTGATAAAGCTAAGAAGAAGTTGAGGGCGAGGATCAGGAGAAATTGGCTCAAACTTCCAGGCAATGAAGCCGAACGTGAAGCTAAGAGATTGAAAAATCGTGCCAGTGTCAGTCGTTATCATGCAAAGGCGAGATTCGCGGAATAGTGTACTGCTCATAGATCAGAGGGAAGCCTAGAGCCCGTTATGCTCACGATCAATACTACAACAAATCCGCAAAAGGAACCTTATCAACAGTGTGCAAATATATCACTTAGACCTTGCTGGCTCTTTTGTGTACAGGACAGTGCTTTGTGTCTTACTTGCCCCGTTATAATCCCTGTATGATACACATAAGAAAGCTCCGCCGCGAATTTTTCACAGCAATGGTTGTAAATGTCTAAACAAACTTTCACCCTTTTTACTCAATGCTTCAAATTTTTTTCCACAATATATCACTAACACATACCGGAAATGAATTTATACAGATATACCTGCCTTTTATTACTTTATCTTCCAGCTACTTTTGCTGCTAGTGATAGCGTACATGATTTCAATCTCGATGACTTTTCATGGTTCACAGAGAATGATAATATTGTGTCTCCCGAACAAATGTACTTACCGAACGAGCCAAGTTCTCCAAAAGTACAACATCAAGACCAGGTAGGAGGAAAGATGAAATTGAAGCAGGGTGCAAAGAGAAGAGATGGTACAGAACACTACAGTGCTCTAACTGAAGGGACGGAAGGAGAAGCAAATGAAAGGTCGAAAGAAGCAAGGATGACAAAGCCAAAAATGTTTGCTGAAAATGATAAAGCAGTGAAAGAAAGACTTAAAAGAAAAGAGCTAGCAGGAAGAGGTGGTAAAGAATACGAAGAATTTTTACGAGAGCGGAGAGATAAACAAAGAGCACGAAGGCAAGCACTTACGCCAGAACAACACGAACTTGAATTGGCCAAACAGAGGGACAGAGACCAAAAGAAGAGAGACCGGCTCAAACTTCCAGGTAATGAAGCCGAACTGGAAGCCAAGAAAACTAAAAGTCGTGCATATCATAATCAGAGAAAAGAAGAGATGAAATTGAAGCAAGGCGCAGAGAAAAAGCATGGCCCAGAAAACTACAATGCTGTACTTGAACGGACAGAAGGCAAAGCAAAGGAAGCAAGCGAAAGGCTTCTGGAAGCGAGATTGACTGGAAAAGGTTCATTAATAAAGCCAAAAACGTTTCTCGAAGAGGGTAGAGCATTAAAGCGTAGACTGAAATGTAATGAGCGAGCGACGAGAGGTGGTAAAGAATACGAAGAGTATTTAGAAAGACGAAGAAATCAACAAAGAGCACGAAGGCAAGCACGTACTCCAGAACAACAAAAACTTGTGAGAGCCAAAGACAGGATAAGAGAACAAAAGAGGAGAGACTGGCTCAACCTTCCGGGTAATGAAGCCGAACTTGAAGCTCAAAGAACTGCAAGTCGTGCGAGATATATTCGCCACTCTGCAAAGACGAGAGGGGCAAAGATTTAGTGTACTGCAATAACGCCTTTTTTACGTTTCGAAAGATGAAAGCCCCGTGAAAGCTGTGAATTTCTACCGTACCCAAATTGCATAGATTGCAAAAATTTCTTCTTTGCTTCTGTTGTTAATTTTACCATTATCCAAAATGAAATCATCCCTACTATTGCACATTCTAGCATTTATCATCACCTTTCAACGACGTTGTCATTCAGTCAATGATGCACCGGGAAGCTGGAATTCCATCACACGTTCAATGTCGAAAGAAGAGATTGAAAAACTGAAAAAGATGGCGATTCCTTCATACCCGCAAATCACTGATCACCCGACAAATACAGCCAATCGACCAGTTATTCTAGAAAGTGCAATTGCAGGAACAATCACGGCTACTTCACCAATCACCGTTGGAAGTGCGAACGTTCGGCCTCAAGAAAAGGTTCGTTTTGAGGAAATAGGACTATACCTTTGTGCCAGCTCTTTCTCACTTTTTTAATTTTGCCTCCTCAGACAAAAGCCAAAACGTTGAGCCAACATCCTGCCACGGTTGCAAGACGTGAACGACTTGCAAGGCTCAAGGAACAAGTGAGTTTAACGGTCAGAAATGGCTAATGATTCTGATTCTTATCATCTTCACTTCCTTTGCTCTTTATGACAGGATCCTGATGCTTATAAGGCAATTAGAAAAGCAGCAGTTGCGAGAGAGACACGCAGAAAGAGAAATTTCGTATGTTCCCGTGTTCGAATACGTTGCGTAATGCTCTATAGCATTTCTGAAACTTTCTTCTTTTTTCTCCCAGACTCCCCTACAAAAGGCGATTAGTAGACATAAGAGCAAGTTATATATGCAAGAAAGAAGAGCTCGGTAAGTCAAGTGCGCGGCAAAATTCAATCTTTTCTTGCTCGATAATCTGATTTCTTTTCGCCCATTCTTAGACTGAATTCACCTGGCAACGAAAAGCTTGTGAGTGACAATTTGCAGAAATGTTTCATCTGACCATACTATCTGAACAATGGTTGCATCCGTAGAAAGAAGAAGCTAAGGAAAGCTCCCGAAAGGCCAGTAATAAGTATAATGCAAAGATGAGACAGAAGGATAAGGAATTGAAGGATAAGCAGCATCAGCAGCAGCAATAGCGGCTAGACAGGCTTGACACTGCACAAGAGAAGTTCCCACAACGAACAATTCCTTCCGTCGTGTAAATGGTGTTCTATAGATAGTAGACCCTGCATTCTTTTTACCTTTCCCTGCCTGCATAAGGATGCAGCGGTACTATTCATGAAATAAACCGGGTGATGGAAAAGGGTAAGCTTTAATCTACTTTCCCAAGCCACAGGAGAACACTTTTTTAAGATTGAATCTTCCATCAGTTGCATTAGCGTAAACGATGAGCAGATTATACTCATCATTGAATGTGATAACCTTTAACCCATTTATTCTTACGCTTACCGCTTTATTTTTGCTGCAGACGCGTACATGACAGCATGCTCATCCTTCTATCCGTTGGAGCTAATTTGTATCTCTCAATAGATAGATGATAATCTCGGCCCCTCTGATTAAGAGCTTGGACCCATCAGAATAAATGCGTTGATCTTTTCTTTTGATTCCCCGCAATCTTTAGCCTTGATTGCTGCTGAATATGTATGTGTAAAGTGTGGGAAATGCTTTACCCCTCGGAATAGCGTGACGGAGTGCGCCACCAGAACAAGACAAGCCGATCAATCATCATTTGATGCCGCTTAAAGGTTGAACAATCAACCACCAACACTTGCGGCCAATTTTTTAGTTCCATGCAGCGAGCGAGCTTTATTTTTAAATATAAATCAAACGCCATACGCCCATTGTAGAAGCAAGGAACAAAGGCATTTTAACAGTCTACGCGTTCGTGCTTGTGCCGCTTGCTGTGTGGTATGATGGTATGCTTGGCTTATTTTGCATTGTTGTTGTGTGTGTGTGTGTTTTGACGCGTGCAATTGAGTGAGTACCCCTGTCTGTTTTTTATACATTAATACCGAAATGGTTATGTATGCATCTTATACGCTATTCAACATCAATAAAGACAATTTAGCGTCCTCCCCCCAGATGGGTTTTACTCTCTCTCTCTCTCTCATTACCATTTCAAAGTAACAGGAGGAACGATTTGCATCATTTTTGACCCGCAAAGCATTTCGTCATCCCCCCACCATAACAAAACCGCAATCTTTTGCCGCTGGCTGTGGCTTTTCTACTTCTCGTTCTCCTTCCGTCTTGGAACGGTGTTTTGATCAAATAGGAGGCAAAAGAAACGCTTCATTTGACGGAGCCGTTGGGCGTGTTTTACTCAGCATTCACAATTTCTCCTTTTCCGAAGGAATTTCATTGCATTTAACAAGTGGAAGGCAGAAAACAAAACAAAAGAATAATGCAAACAATTTAACTCTTTTTGTTCTTCAAACAGCAGACAAAAACAAGTACGGCATCCTTGTCCGCCGTCCATTCACTCTCCACATTGATTCTAGAAAAGAGAGTCATACACTTTGCACGGATCGATCAATCAAATATAGAGTCAATATACAATAACAATCACGCCGCTTTCATACCCTCTTCAGTTCAACTCCACTCATTTCCCTTCTCTGTCATCATCTTGACGTCAGCATTTCCAGACAGATTCGACAATGTCTTCTGCCGCTACAATGACGTCAACTCATGGCTTGACAACTCCTGTCTATGGCGATGAGAATGGATCGACTAATGTTTCAAGACAATCTTCTTTTAGGAGCCAGTCAAAATTACGAGAAATTTTGCGAGATCAAAGTAGAAGAGAGGAGGTAAATCAACAAAGACAACAAGGTACAATTGACGATCCAGTATATTCCAACAATCTACCCTCTTCTTCATCTTCATCATCTGCTGCCATCCAATCACTTCAAATGGCAGGTCAAACGCATGAAAGGGTAAGAAGACCTTCATTGGTATCATCAGTAAGCGCAGTCGTACTGGGGACATCGGATCGTGGCAACAAACAACGTAGAGAGTTGAGTCCCGTCAACAAAAATACAGAGGGAACCCCAAGCGGGATCCAGAGCTTACATACAATCAAAACAAACACACCCACTCATGGATCGCCACCTTCAGCGATGCAGAGGCAAGGTTCATTGAGAAAAGAATACGGCAGAGGACAAGAATTAGACGGCATTCCAGCAAGTCCACCTGGCGCAGTAAACATTTCAGCTGAAAGTGTGGCACCTTCTCGATTGACAAGAACACAATCTAGCGTAACAAATTTGAGCGGAGGAGTAGATTTGAAAGTCGTCATCCTTGGTGCACAAGGTGTTGGGAAAACATCGCTTGTGCATCGTTATACGTCTGGTCAATTTAGTGCTTCTGCCGTACCGAGCACAATCGGAGCAAGCTTTTTGACAAAGAAGTTGATCGTGGATGGAATCAAAGTGCGCCTACAGCTATGGGATACAGCAGGACAGGAAAGATTCAGAAGTATGGCACCGATGTATTATCGTGGAGCGAATGCGGCCGTTATTGTTTACGATATTACCAACCCACACAGCTTTGAGGATGTAAAGACGTGGATTGATGAATTACGTCAGAATGTTCATTCAGATCTGGTCATCCATATCGTTGGCTCAAAAGCTGATCTGTCTTACGCACGTCAGGTTGATCTGAATGATGCAAGACAAGCAGTTGCTGAATGGACCAACCCTAATCCTATCCCAAGCGTGGATCCAACTGCATTTTCCCAATCAAATCTGAGCCCGCCATCCAACTCATTCTTTGGCAGTCGTCGAGGCCTATCACAAACACCGCCAAGTCCTACTTCCAGTCCACCTGCTTCACCCGGCACAGGCATCATCACCTCTTCAACCGGTTCGCGAATTCCGGTTCTTGGATCTTTATCAGCTCTCACTAAGTCATCTCGTATTCTAGACCGACAGGATAATGATGGAGATCGTGCTTCGAATCCTTCAACATCATCCTCAAACGGTGGCAATGGCAATGCAGTCGTTCTTTCACCACCTGCACAAGAATGGGACTTCATTGAAGTGAGCGAAGTTAGTGCAAAGGATAACGAAGGTATTGAAGATGTTTTCGTGGGAATTGCGACCCGATTGGTTGAACGTAAAGAAGAATTGGAAGCAAGGATCGCCGCACGTAAGAGACGTGAACGTGAAAGTGTCTTTCTTACAGAAGAGAATGCACCTGCAGGATATTCTAGTGATCGTCCCAATAACCAAACAAGTTCTGGATGGTGTTGTTGAGCAAATCAACATTACATGGCAACGTATTACAAATTTTAATGACATTTACGCACAAGCTACGACACAAAACAATTTTATTAGAACCCATTATGAATTATTTTACGAGCATAACAAGCATGCATTTATTTCTACGGCGACGATGAACACAAATCGCATTCGCCGATTTATTCGATTTCTTCTTTTTCTATTTGCACATATCTTTTCTTACAATTTTGCCTTATGCACACACATATAATCTTTCCGCACGATAAACAGCCGCCGTACACTTTTTGAATCTTTGTCTTGTCCAATCTGACTCTGGAAGTCATCACCATCAGCATCATCATTACCATGTTGTAAATTCATTTATTTGTACAAATACACAAAAAATTTGATTGGCAGATTATCATTTCCATTTGTGATAAAAGTACAATGACTTGTTGGAATGTAGGTCATGCTTTGCGTAAACCATATTGTGCTAACACCTCATCTTTCCTTTTCTGGACAATATCAACCGATGGCGATTCTGCACCTTCGTTGGGCACATCAATCACGTCTGGACTGCCAAACAACAAATCTCGACCCATGTTTGATTTCGGGAAAGCCAAAACATCTCGAATGGAAGCAGAACGACAAAGGATGCTCATCAATCTGTCCAAGCCAAGAGCAATGCCGGCATGTGGTGGAGCACCATGAGAAAGAGCACGTAAAAGATGATCAAAACGCTGAACTTCTTCTGGCGAAAGTTGTAACATGTTTTGCAAAATTCGTCGTTGTAATTCTGCATCATGTATACGAACACTTCCACCTCCGATTTCCACTCCGTTTAAGACGAGATCATAATGTTGACCTTTGATTGACGCAAGCGCACGTTCGTCCGATTCTCCTCGTGAGTGTCCATCACCCTGCAAGAGTGACATGACTTTTTCCGTATCTTCCGCTTTTGGACTTGTGAACGGGTGATGAGAGCTACTCCATCTACCTTTTGCTAAGAAAGCTTTGTCTGGATCAGCTCTGGTGAATAGAGGGAATTCAATCACCCAAAGGAATCTCGGTTTGCATTCATCTAGTGACTTTTCCAGAAGTCCATTAGCTTCAATTTCAGCCATCAAGAATCGACGAACATCACCTAAACTTGTGGAACCACCCTCAATCTGAGCAGAACGAGGAGCGACAAAAATGCACATCCGTTTACCTGGCTTCGCTGAAGCTGAAGCCCATTTTGCATCATGCTTCTTTGTGAACAGCTCTCCATTCTTCTTGGCTTCTTCAATCAGATCTGTCATTGACTCGACGGATACGTCTAAGGCTTCCACCTCATTTTGATCCAATAGATTGCGAATATGCTTTGACTTGCGCAATAGCAGCTTGACAGAAGCGTTGGGCGAGTCAGCTTCAACCCAGAATGCTTCAACTCCATTATTCCCAGATAGATTGTTTGCTTCCAACATACGATCGACATCTTTACGTGTGACTGTCTGTTCACCTTCCGGAGGGTTGAAGCAAAGGATTTCTACTTCCCCTTTTCGGTCTTCCTTCGACAGGTCCGAATTTGCTAGAAGAGCATCACTCAATTGCGTCACCTCTAAGCCATACCGCAAATCTGGCTTATCCGATCCAAATCTTCTCATTGCCTCATCATAAGTCATTACCTGGAAGCCATCTCCAATGATGGCACCCAACTCCGCCTCTCGTCCAGCCGCTTTCCAGATCGCTCGAATCATATTCTCGATCACATCACGAATCTCTTCGCCGCCCAAAGTCCAGCCTTTTGCTTTCTTACTTGATACTGGCTGACCTTGTACGAAACTCACCTCGAGATCGATCTGTGTGAATTCCGGTTGACGATCTTTACGTCCGCCTTCGTCACGAAAACATCTTGCTATTTGATAATAGCGATCCGTCACCCCACTTGCCATCAAGAGTTGCTTAGGTTGTTGTGGTGATTGTTGAAGTGCATAGAATTGCGGTTCCAGCTTAGATGATGGGTTGCTTGCTTGTGTAGGTAATCGAGTAGGTACGAGGTATTCTCTTGCACCTTCTGGTGTGGACCGTAGTAAGATTGGTGTTTCAATTTCATCAAAGCCTGCTTCATGTAGGTATTGTCTGACAGCCCAAGTCACTTTACTCCTTAGCCGTATATTATCACCTAGTCGAGTACTGCGTAGATCCAAATGTCGATTCCTCATTCTACTTTCCTCATTTGTTTCTCGATTGACATCTGTTGGATTGAATGGTAGGCTATCGGCTTGAACGCTATTCAGTACTATACATGAATCAACATTGAGCTCAAAACGTGCAAAAGCGTCTCTTTGTCCTGCATCCCCAGCAATACCAGCGTGGTTTTTCGAAGCCTTTTGATCTTTTTGTGGACGTTCTGCGAATGTACCTTCCACTTGTACTACTCCATGAACATTTGCACATTCCCACAGAGCGGGTATATCAAGCGACGAACTGCTGTCATCATTACGTACGATAAGCTGTATCCGACCTCGTCCACGTGGAAGGAGCAAAACTGCAAATGCGAGATGTTTTGAGATGATTCTTATTTGCGTTAGCCAGCCAGCCAATGTTACTCTTTGACCTGGTTGAATGTCGCGTAAGTCCTCTATGGAAGTCAGCCTTTTGCTGAGAATTCCCGATGTTGGCAATGCCGAAGTCGAGCTCGATGCATGCGATTCGTTAGAAGATGAGAAACAACACCTTGAAGTGACGAATGAGCGCGATATCTGATACCTTTGCCCAAATATACATATGTCTTGTTGAAAGCTTGTGCTACATCTTCTGGTACCATGCAACAAGGCAGCCTGTCTTGATAGCTGCCGCAACATGGTGTTATGTTGTTGATGGACGGGAAGAAAGAGGATTCATATGCTTAAATGCATTGACCATACACGACTATAGAATGGGAAGAAAAATAAAAAAAAAGATTAAAAATATACTATAAGCGTGGGGGAGATTAAGTCCGAGTAAGATTAGGGACAATGAAACTTTCTTCTTAACACCATATTGTAGAGCATCTGCAATGATTCCATCAATAGCTACATCGTTTGATCCTGCTCAAGCTGTAGGACAGTCGTTGCAAGATGGACCAATCGACTTGGAGGTTATCCACGACTTTGCTGTAAATGTAATACTGAGAGCAGGTGCATTGTTACGAAAGCATACACTCTTACGAGCATCACAGTCACGACAAGAAAGTCAAAGTATAGCAAGTACATCTGCATTGCACGATACAGAAGTGAAAGCATCACAAGTAGATCTGGTGACAAAAGTGGATATTGCATTGGAGGACTTTATTCGTCAAGAAATCCAAAACGCTTTCCCGAATCATGAAATCGTAGCAGAAGAATCATTCGGAAAGAATGCAGATGTAAAGCAAAGTTGGAAAAGAGGTCGTGGTCCAACATGGTTTGTGGATCCATTAGATGGTACATTGAATGCAACCCATCTTTTTCCATTGCATTGCATTTCAATCGGATTTGCATGTTCGCACAAGCATTCAGACTATCAAGAGCCCATTTATGATGATGCTCTTGTGGGCGTAATCTATGCACCTTCTATGGGCGCAACAGGTACACTTTGGAGTGGAGCGAGAGGTCATGGGGCGTATCTCAGCTACCCTGCAAAGCTACCAAAGACCGCAGAAGAGAAAGCGAGCATCGCACATGGCTGCTCATTATCAGAATTGAAGCAGCCCTCAAATGATCTTGAATCTTCATTCGTACCAGCCCAACGTCTGCCACTGATTGCACATCCATTGCCTTCAAATGCACCAAGCGGCATTCTATTTGCGAGCGAATGGGGTAAAGATCGCAGGAGAGGGCAGAATGGACAAGGCAATCTATCAGGCAAGATGACAACGATGACAAATATGGCAGCTAATGATTGGCCAAAAGAGTCCGAGGGAGAAGATGCTCGTTATGTACACGGGATACGCAGCTTGGGGAGCTCTACTTTGGATCTTGCATTTGTTGCACAAGGTTCGATTGACGTTTTATGGGAAGGTGGTTGTTGGGAGTGGGATGTTTGTGCTGGTGTGGCTTTGTTGTTGGAATCAGGTGGTCTTTTGACTGATTCTAATCCGCCGCGGAAATCACATTCACCTTTTTGGCACGATGGCAATAGATTACCAAGAGCCGATCTGGGAGCTCGACGATTCTTGGCCGTCAGAGGATGTACGGACACAGAAACAGAAAAGGCTGTCGAAGCACAAGAGCGAGTCGCACGGCAAATATGGAGCAGGACGAGTGGATTGAATTATCATCGAGATGGTGTCCTGTACGAAGTTGATGAAGATCAGCTCAAGCATGGTTCTAAGGGAGAAGAACCCGCAAAAGCGACTTCCTCTGTGCGTGATTGGAAACACGATCCACTTAAAGAACGTAAACGTCTAACGAAAGAAGAGGCAAAAGCGAGAGAAGGAGATCAAGAGCAAGGCGAAGGCACTTTCGGAGGACGTTTGCTGGATGATGAAAAAGATCCATGGCAGTTCAATGCATGGGATCATGTAGAGCCACCGAAGGAATATCTGGATATGGTAGAGAACAAGCTGGCCACACAAGCACAAACGAAGCTTTCCATTGATGAGGCTGCAAAGTATCACGCAAAACCTGCCAATTATTGGAATGATTTTTATTCGATCCATGAGAATCGATTCTTCAAAGATCGAAGATGGTTGCATCTTGAGTTTCCAGAACTGATTGCAGCAAGCAAAGCGGAAGCTGGATCTATGCGAATTCTAGAAGTTGGTTGTGGTGCAGGTAATACCGTCTTTCCACTCTTGGAGTGCAATCAGAATCCTGATTTGGAGATTTTCGCATGCGATTATGCACCAGAAGCTGTGAATGTGGTGAAAAGCAATCCACTTTACAGTCAGCCGCCGCGCGGAAAATGCTTTGCAAGTGTTTGGGATCTGTCATCTACCTTGCCGAATGGGGAACCAAACTTACCTGAAGGCGTTGAACCTCACTCGTTGGATATTATTGTGCTCATTTTTGTCCTTTCGGCACTTCATCCCGATGAATGGCAAAAAGCAATCACCAATGTACGAACGATGCTCAAGCCAGGTGGACTGGCCTTGGTTCGAGATTATGGAAGGTATGACCTTCCGCAAATTAGATTTGGCAAAGGAAGGATGTTAGATGATAACTTTTATATACGGGGAGATGGAACACGGGTATACTTTTTCTTGCCAGAAGAGTTTCTACAAATTTTCAATGCATCTTCACCTTCATCTCTCACCACATCTACAGAGGAGGGAGATAAAGAGGTTGGCTTTTCAACATCCTCCTCTTCATCTTCAAAGGCTGATTTTACGACTTTACAACTTGCAATCGATCGTAGAATGTTACTCAATCGCAAAGAGAAGAAGCAAATGTTTCGTAATTGGCTTCAAGCTAAATTTCAATATACATCATAGACATTATCACAAAAATGATCGTTTGTACTTTTATTCAAATTGCATTCTATCCTTATCGCGATAAGCATTTCATTTCCCGAACCCACTTATCGGATCATCTTCACTGTTTTGTTTGTTAACCCTGGGGCAAATTCGCTTTCTTCTCTTTTGCCCCACCAGGAAAACTCCACTACAGAAGACGCGTTTTTCAGCTCTAGAGGAGTGTTGTTTGAATTATAGTCTAAAACGGTTAAATTAAGAAGATTTGTGATTTATTGTGTGTGTGAATTATGCGCAGCGCACCACCGCACGCACGCACTGCACTGCACGCACACCCGCACAGACGAGACACGGATGATTTGGATTTTATTGCTTTAATTCGCTAAATCCTTCTCCGGTTGATGGAATTGGGCAAGAGAGAGAGTGAATGCATCCGCATACTCAATACCATCATCTTATCATCATATACCAAAAAACAAACACAAAGTATGTCACTCACGCCAACAAAGTTCACTTGGGCTTCCGGACCAGGATCGGTAAAAGTAAAGGGAGATTGGGATTCATGGAAAGAGGAAATCGAATTACACAAAAAGGAGGATGGTTCGTTCGAAAGAGAAGTTCCACTACCGGAAAACAAGCGTATCCATTTCAAGTATATCGTTGATGGAAATTGGGTAACAAAGGAATCCGATCCAACTGTCAACGATGATGGAAATATTAATAATACAATCGACGTCGGTCCTGCACCAAAAGCTGAAAAATTGACCGAAGGCGTCACTGCTGCTACCGCTGGCGTTGGCGCTGCTGCTGCCGGCGCTGGAGCGGCTGCCGTTGCTGCTGTCAAGGGTAAGGAGAATGGTCAATCAGCCACAGCCTCCCAAGCACATCCATCCACAAACGAAAAGACAGCGCCTGCAGAACCCATCAAAGATGTAGCGGATGCAGATATTAGAAGTGAGTACCGGAGAATGATCTTGGCGTCGTGACGGGTTGGTAGCATCGTGCAGGCATGAGTGGAGAGATTAGTTGAAGATGAAGGAAGAGACTGGGACGTACGAAGAATAAGGGAATGAGATGAGCTACACCGCAAATTCTTACCTTTTAAAGTTCAAACCTCTAACTCACTTCTATTCATTTGCAGATTATCTCCCACATTCTCTCACAACTGCCACACATGCTGCCAAACCCGTCTTGGCAAGTACAATTGCAACAGTGACAGGTGCTGACATACTACGAGGCAATCCAGAAGAATTGCCAGTTTCCGATGCAGAAAAACAAGCAGTGCAAGCACAAGCAACCAAAGAACCTGCTTCGGTTGGTAATGCGATCACAGATGCATCCAAAGCAGAAACATCAAACGCAAAAGCTGGTGCAAACGCTGCTACAGCAGGGGCTTTGAACAACAAATTAGATGCACCTGCCGTTCCTGTCACAGATGCAGGTCATGCTGCCAATGTTGATGCTGCAAGACTTTCTGCCGGTAAAGAAGGAGGTGTGGCAGCCGGTGCAATTGCTTCAGCAGGGATCTCAACGACTCAAGCGACCTCTTCAGCTGTCAACGGATCTGCTCCAAAAGCCGCCAATGCTCCAGCTCCTGGCTCTTCCACAAAAGCTGACGCTACTGCCGCTGCTCCACCTTCAGCTGCCAATGCTCCTGCTCCTGCTTCTACAACCAAAGCAAATGCTCTTGCTGGTGCTCCTCCCGCAGCTGCAAATGCTCCCGCTCCTGCTTCTACAACCAAAGCAAATGCTCTTGCTGGTGCTCCTCCCGCAGCTGCAAATGCTCCCGCTCCTGCTTCTTCCACGAAGGCTGATGCTGTTGCCGGTGCTCCACCAGCGGCTGCCAACGCTCCTGCTCCTGCTTCTTCCACAAAGGCCGCAGCTGTTTCGGCTGCTCCAGCATCTTCCAAGGCTTCGAATGGTGCTGCTCCAGCCTTGAAACCTGAGACATCGGGTGTGCCAGCAGGTGCGATTCCCGTTGGATCCCAAGCTACAAACGGATCTTCCGCTGCCAAAGCTGAAAAGACTTTACCAACAGCTCCTGCTCAAGCTAGCAATGGATCGACGATCAAAAACGGAAGCAGTACGACCGATAACATCCCCACGAAAGCCGCCGCCGCTGCTCCTACCACACCCAAGAAGGCAGACACCGTAAAGGACAAAAAGGGTACTTTCCGTGGTCACTTCAAAGGTGATTCTGAAGCCGCTACTGGTGATACAAGCACAGGAAGTGCAGATGGATCACGTAGAAAGTCAAGCTTCTTTGGTAAGATCAAGCATGCACTCAGCCCACACAGTTCTCCAAGCAAATAATAAGTCTGATGACCCTATTGGTCGTTGAACTTCATTCTTCTTCTTCATTTTTTTGCTACTTTTGTATACCTCTTGCTTTTTTTTTGTGTTATTTAAGACGCCCTTTATTTTGCTTTTTTCTTCTCCTTCTTTTCATAATTGCCATCTGTTCCCTTGCTGTTTATGCATTCTACACTCAGAGATCAAGGTCTGTACATAACAAATGTCATAAATGCAGTGCTTTTCCTGGCTTATATTCTTCACTTAAGAGACCGGTTTCGATTTCAGTATACCTTGGTTAATTTTAGGAAGATAATTTCCGTGAGTAAGCTCTTCGTTGTCCTCTCTTTTGACTTGCAGAATAACGTCACCATGTCCCTTGGCTCCGAAAGTATTGCAAACGTGATTTCTTCTATGCTCTTACAGCAATGGTGAAGAAAGTCTATAACATAAGACACCTTTAGCTTATAGATAAAATATCCTGACACGAATATGAATGACTTCAGAGACGACGACAATGCCATACAAGCATCGTCATCCAGCCAGCCCCGTAAGCTTATATCGTTTAACTTCAGCGTCTCTAGTCCTGCTTTATCGAGTAAGTTTTCAACGCTCTCTCCTGACTTTGGTAATCCCTATTTCCACGGGTGTAGAGGACTAAAACTAGCTCTTGAAGACGCTTGCAACTGTGTATGATCGGGAAAGGGTCGAAATTATCCTTTCTACCAGTTTTCATTTAAGTAAATCCATAACACAGAGGGTTGAAGACTAGGGATGCTTTGAAGAAATTGACCAAATTGTACCGAAGGAGGAAAGTTTTGTATACAGATGTATACTTCGTCTAATTTACCGGCAGATAGTTTGGATAAAGCTTTGCATCCATGGATAAAGTTGATAGCACTTGCTTGTTTGTCACGTGTATAGAACGGCTCGAAGAATTGTCCAGATTTTCGCCATAATGATGGAGTATTTTGCGCTGCAGAATACCACGCCTTACAAGTTCTTTAGACTTGAACCAACCCGAGAATTGTCAAGTAGGATAAGATTTGAGTGAAGATCTCTTGTGGTAGTTTATGTGCTGGGTTTTGCAGTTGCCTGCTGCGAGAGCGTGTCAGCATTTTCAGAGAAAGCAATTCTGATTCTAATAGATGATGATAGAAGCTGGATAGAAAAAATCGCTTTTCTGAAAACATATATACGGCTCTAGCTTCTTCTATAAAAGCTATAGCTGTTTCGGCTGCTCTAGTATCTTCTAAGGCTTCGAAAGGTGCTGCTCTAGCCTTGAAACCTGAGACGTCAGGTGTGCCAGTAGGTACGATTCCCGTTAGATCCTAAGCTATAAACAGATCTTTCGCTGCTAAAGCTGAAAAGACTTTACCAGTAGTACCTGCTCAAGTAACTAATGGATCGACGATTAAAAAGGGAAGCAGCACCACCGATAACATCCCTACAAAAGCCGCCGCTGCTACTCCTACCACACCTAAAAAGGCAGACACCGTTAAAGATAAAAAGGGTACTTTCCGTGGCCACTTTAAAGGTGATTCTGAAGCCGCTACTGGTGATATAAGTATAGGAAGTGTAGATGGATCATGTAAAAAGTTAAGCTTCTTTGGTAAGATCAAGTATGCACTCAGTCCACACAGTTCTCCAAGTAAATAATAAGTCTGGTGACTCTGTTGGTCGTTGAACTTCAGTCTTCTTCATTTTTTTGCTACTTTTGTATACCTCTTGCTTTTTCTGTGTTATTTAAGACGCCCTTTATTTTGCTTTTTTCTTCTCCTTCTTTCCATAATTGCCATCTGTTCCTTGCTGTTTATGCATTCATCACTCAGAGATCAAGGTCTGTACATAACAAATGTCATAAATGCAATGCTTTTCCTGGCCTAAACTCTTTACTAATGAAAAGAGACCCCCCGACCGCTGACTGGTTCCGGTTATATCCAAATCTTAATGTATGCAGGACAAGCTTAAATTGTTTTAGCCGGCCGGCCAAAATATCCGCTCCTTCGCACATTTATCGGCTAAAGATCACAATTCACAGCCATGTTAAAGCAAGGATAGATGATTAAAGACTTGACACATAAAATTTAACCCCAAGTGTGACTGGCATTAATTTGATGAATGCACAAATACCCGATTACATTTGCATATTGTTGCAGTAGCGTGTACATTTCTTACGCCCACCCACATCTCTCCGCGCAAACAAAAAAAAATGTTGCTGTCTTCCTTTCATTCACCGCAACCTGAATGAATGAATGATTGATTGATTGATAGGACTAGACCCTACTTCCAAGGCTGTGTGCATACAATGAAAGAGGTCACACACCCACGCTAGCATTTGCAGTGATTGCATTTCCGATCTTGATCTTTTCAAAGTCAGCAGTCAATCTTCTAGCGTTGGACAGGTTGAGAAGTGTCTGTGGGTTTGTTCATGTCATGTTACTCATCGGCAGCATCAGAATAATCCGCTTGTGGATTTCAATCAAGACAGGAACACTGTCGAGTACAATACAACTGATTCGTAAGGATGAATTTTGTACCGTTCTTGCATTGTGGCTTGTTGTTGCACACAACGAAAAGGTTATTTTCTTTTGGTCCACGGCACGCACGCCGAAGCAGCTGCGCAGCGCGATGCACCGCTCCGTAAATTGTATGTGTGCATGCAGCGACTTGGGCGGAAGATATGCAGCGACTTGGGCGGAAGATATGCAATGGTAAGAATTCATTCTTGGTGGACGGCGGCGTGTCTACACCACCATCGTGGCAACTCGACATACTCTTAATGCACGATCGTTAGGACAAACTGCAATTGGACCAGGAACAAGATCGGGGACTTTATTGCAGCGTGCGCTCACTATGTCAAATGCTGTGTTCAAAAAGGGGAAAAGGGTCCTCCATGGACGCGAGCAACATGTAGAATACATACACACACGCACCCACAACATGCATAAAGTCGAGGCCTGTAAAAGCAGACCCAAAGAAAGAAGTGCACAGGATGAAGAGCGGGTAAAAAAAGATCTGGATTTCAATCTTGCTCGGGGAAAAAAAGTAAAAAAGACGCGTCAAGTTGTACTTCTGTGATGCTAACCAAGAAATTGGTGTGCTTTTAATGCAAAAAAGTACTTCCTGTACGTATGCATGCCGGAATTTCAATTTATAATATCTGCAAGGTATCAAAGCAATTAAGCCTTGTGTTGTTCCTAGATCTTTAACACAAGAAATAAAGTTAGGGACCGAAGAAGAAGAAGCAGCAACAGCAGCAGCATGTTGATTGGTAAAAGGCTGTTGTGATGCAAAATAGACGCATACTCCGATCTTGATTACATTTTCTACTCTCTTTCGCATCAGAAAAAGTCCCTCACTCGGATCAAAGATTGAATGAACGTGGCTGATTGATACCACACCGTACCTGCATTCATTGTTCACTTACACCATCATCATCATCATCAATACTTTTCGTGTATGATTGACTAGATGATGCTCAAAAGGTAATCTGTCAAGATGTCAACGTCATTTCATTATCCTCAAGTGGATCTCAATAACGTCACAGCGATTGCAGAATGGTATACGACTCATCATATCCCACAAAGATATAATGGTGCAATCGTCTTTGCTTCCGTTTTTGTGGCCATTCTGGGAGCTCATTCCACTTTGGTCATCTTGGGTAAACGAACTGGTAATACAGGTACTCGAAATGCATTACTCTTGCTCTGGGCTGCAATGACAATGTCTTGCGTCGGAATTTGGGGAATGCATTTTATCGGAATGAATTTCAGATTGGAACCTGTTCCAGGTATTAGTTGGTACGTTGCCTTTTCGCCGGGTTTTACTGTTTTCAGTCTCATCGTTCCTTTTATCGCTCTCATTTTGGCCTTCGTTTTCGTCGATTATTTCACTTTACGAATTTGGAGAATCGCTGTGAGCGGAATCATGACTGGTTGCATTGTTGGATTGATGCACTATTCTGCTTCGATGAAGTGTAACTTCAACGTCTCTTATGCTCCAGCTCAAACTGTCATTTCAATCGTTTTAGCATGCGTATGTGCAATCATTGCTCTCACTCTGTTCTTCCGCTTACGTGCTCAATGGCAAGACTCATGGCAAAGACGATTGCTGTGCTCCATCATCTTGGCTGTGGGTGTGAGTGGAATGCATTATACAGGATCGTCAGGAACAAGCTACAGAGTTAAACCGGACCAACTTAACAACCTCTCCAAATTGGATTCAAGTCGTCATGGTAATGTGACCGTGGTGATCATTGTGGCAGTGATGTGCTTTGTGATCTTTGTTGCTAGCACATTCATTTCCGTCCTTGATGCCCTACGTGCCAGAGAAACACGTAAAAGGGCTAGAAAGATTGTTTTGGCTAGTGCATCTTTCGACCATTTAGGAAGACTCCTTGTTCAAGCTGATGGAAGCTTACCTTTGGTTACATTGGAAGAAAAGACTTTACGTCACAGCGAAGTCCTCGATGCTCTTGATTCCAGAAGTGAGACCTTCCAATGGCTTTTCTCAATCAGTTGGGCTTGGAATATTGTTGTCCCCTTCTTGGACGCTATTGCAAAACGAGTTGGTGACCACAAATCAGGCTCTTCAGCAGCTCACGATCATGCTACGTGCAAAGAGGGTGAGCCTTGCAATCATGCGTGGCACATTCGCTTAGCTCGTACTTTACATATCGACGTAGCAACAAGACGTGCAAGACAAGAAGAGAAACGTGCTAGGATGGCAGCCCTTGCTGCTAATGCAACTTCATTCAACGCGGGTGTGGCACACAATACAAGATCTATCGCTTTGCTAGACTTCCGTGATCGAGTGGTAGACGCAGCAAGACGATTATCAGAACAACTAGAAGTATCACTAGAAGAAGTTGGTGTATTCTATGATCGAGTTCTACCAACAGGAACACAAAAGAATCAAGGACCAAGGTCAAGTCTTGTACGCCGACAACAACAATTGCACGCATTGCGAGAGAAGCGTAACAGTAACATTTTCTCATCTTCAGCTGCAAACGTAGAGGAAGATGAAGAAGCTAGCATTTCCACCAGCAGAGTACCAAGTATCTTTGCAGATGGTGACGATGACGATGAAGGTGTCTCTATGTTCTTGGTAAGAGAGATGCCACCTGCACAGCAATTGGCATTTGCCAAGAAAGGATACAGATTCACCGAAACTCGATTCTTGGGAACCGTTCTTGCCGATCGTCACGGTGTAGGAAAGACAAAGATGGAAGAATTGTTGGATGGCTTACGGTTGTATGCCAAAAGAGGTACACGGCCAGTAGTTCAACCTGGTGGAGTGTACGCTGGTCTTTTTGGTGTTCGACCATCCATGACAGCACGTCAAGGCGGTTTAGATGTATTGGTGTATGGATTTGCGCATCATCAGATACCCGCTTTCCGTTTACCAGACGTTCACAAGATGACGAGTGAGATGCGAACATTTTTGCGTCTTTTAGATCAAATGCCTGTCGATCAAGCATTACGTGTTTGTGAACGTGAGTCAATTCGAACGGCAGAAAGGAACAAAGCGATTGCTAGACTCCTTCTTGACCAGGCTCAACAATCTCAATTGCAAGGACAAGCTCAGCCAAACGATAAATCTCTCGATCGTTCAAATTCAGTGGCTGGCACAACTGTTTTAGGTGACATTAGCGGGAACTCTACAAGTGACGATCATTTGAAACATGTGATGGATCTCCAATCCCAAGAAGCATCTTTGCAAGCTTTCCAAATTGCACTTTATACCGCTTTGGAAGCTCTGATGCAATCTGTACGGGTATTTCCAAAGCTCATGTCTACCGCTCGTATCAGTGCAAATGTTTTGGAAGTTCCTTCAAGCCTGGATGACGCAAAGCCACCTGCACATGTAATCTTGGTACAAGCAGTTTTGCCAATCGACAAAACCTCAGGCATTGCTCGCTCTTCAGCTTCTGTTTTGAGCGGACTTGTGGGACAAACTACTTCTTATGGAACGGAATCTCAGGAACGAAGTGTTAGTTCGGCACACATCAAAACAGGATCATCTTTAGTCATGCCAACAGAAACCGCTCAACATGGCACTCCGTTCGTCTTTACGCCTTATACTTTATTCAACAAGATGCAAATGATGCTTTTACGCGGACGTACTGCACAAGCATTCAGTTTGGAAGTTCAACAAGCGCTAAGCGATCGATATGATGTCAGCTTAGCAGAATTGGAGATCTTTAAAGCCGCCGAGAAAGGAAAGGAATTCAGTGAGATCTCGCCAGCGGGCATGGCAGACGATCAGATGAGCGAACGTACCTCTTTCGATAAGAGCAGAGAAGACGAAGCGGACGAAAAGCTGGCAGAAGGCGATGTTACTGCCTCAGATGGAGATCAAGGCAGACAATGGATGCCACAATTGAGTATGTTTGGCAAGAATATCAGAAGACAATCCAAAATTTTCTCCCACCGCAAGCAATCAGTCGATGATAATGATCAATCCGAGATGGATGTAGTGACAAAACAAGAAGAGAACCAAACTCAAGTCACTTCACCACCTCCATCTTCTGACCTAGTCATCGCTTCCTCTGTTTCAGCTTTGGCTTCAGCTCCACAGTATCAAGGAGAATCACTAGGTATCCGTCGATTTACGGGAGACAATCAGATTGCCAAGAGTCCCGAAATGGATCAAAGTAAATTTGCTCGTCCTGCTGAGGAGACTGTGCCAGCCGTGACATTCTCGCAACCTAGCTATCCTCCTTCGGCAAGCCGTAGTCACAGAATTCAAGGTAATGCGAGCGTAAGACGATCAAGTAGATCAGACTCAGCTCCTATGGCACCGCCAAGAAGGTTATCTAGCATGGAGATGACTGATCAAGCTGCAATGCAAGATGTACCATTAGTAGGACATGGCTCACCCATCACACGTGCAAGGAGCAAGACAATCGGATCCACCAGACCACCAAGTTCAGCATCAAAGGCTTTACGTAGATTGTCATCTTCGCAGATTATAATTGTAGATGAAGGTATTTCTTCTTCACCTGATGATCCACAATCGTCTAAGCAGTCTCTCGATGGAGGTGAAAGCAATCATCAAGAGAGTGGAGGAGCGTTCTCTTCTAGAATTCCGTTCGTCAATGCTCTCGGCTTGCCAAGACGTCCACAAACGGCTCAATCTACCACACGACCAGGAAGTGCGAATGAAATGGCACGTACTGGCAGTATTCATGGATCCGTAAAAAGTTCAACGGGTTCAGCTGATCCAACGAATGCAAACAGCGCTCCAGCTTCAACGACGAATGCCGGAAACGATCTTGAAAGTATTCAAGCCAGACAAGCAAGACAAAAGTTGGACAATTGGCAATTACGTCAATTACGCGATTTGGAACGTTTTCAACCAAACCTTTTGTTGGGCGTTTTACCAACAGAGTATTAATTCGATTTCCTCTTTCGTAACTCTTTCCGTACATACTTTATACTCGAACATAAACACCACATGTCGAGTCACTTTTCCTTTTATACCTTATTTTCCGCCGTCATCGTCGTGCATCTGTATCATTTATCATTTCAGCATTCGTTTCGTGTGTACCTATCAATGAATCTCACTTTTACGTTCTTCGTCACACAAAGAGAGTATAATAAGTAGTGTATATGTATTGAAGTTGTACAGACGAGATGTTACAAAATTGATCGCCTCTAGATCAGAGGCTTACAAAAAGGCGGGGGATAATCTCGTATAAAAGATAGTTGTGACTTTACCTGAGATGGCGGTGAAAAGCATGAATCGGAACAAATACAAAAGGGTTTGGGGTACCTTGAAAGGGAAAGTGAGAAAAGTACAAAAGATTATCTTCAAAAAAGAAAAAAAGGACGGAAATGAAATAATGAAAGCAGCCCTCGTCCTGACTCTTGACTTTATTCAAGACAAAGCAGAGATCGAGCGTATTGCTAATCCTTTCCTGATCGGGAATGGTAAAGGCATCTCCGCATTGGCATGAGCATCATGCTCATGAACAGAAGATTGCGTAGGCGTAGCGTTCAAAGAATGAACAGAAGGGCTATCTGAACGAAGAACAGATCCGATCATACTATTCGTAACGGCAGTGGCCAACATCGAATTCTCACGCTTATGAGCGCCAGCAATCGCAGACAATCTTGTAGGCGTGCTTGACAATGACATGCGTTTATCTTGCACAGGTGTGGATGAGCCAGAAGAAACGCAAGAGGAAGCTTGAACTTCCATATCGTTTGCTCGTTCCACATTGAGACTACTCGTTCTCTCGAGTGACTTTCGAATCGGAATTTGTGCTTTTGGCAAATTTGCCGAAGCCATGACAGAATTTTCTTTCATGGTAGCGAGCACGTTTGCAACAGATTTGACAAGATCCATGGAGGCAGGAGTTGATTTGCATGCGCATGATGAAACGCTCGCTTTTCTCCATTCGCCTTTAAGGAATTGAGTCCAGAGTTGCCATTCAGATTCGCCTACTGAAAGATCAAATTCAATTGCAGAGAGCATACGTCTCTCGACGATGCCAAGCTCCTTGACATTCAAGCCAGAAATCTTGCTCCAGGCACGATTGCTGAAAGTGCGGTCTTGCAAGAATTTGGATGAGATCATAATGCTTGCCAAGAATGTACGACGTGAACATAAGATTGGATCAGCAGAGACACCTGCGGGTAAAGTTGCCTCTGTCGCGGCATCCATACTCTTGGAAAGAGATTCATAATCGCGCTCGTTGCCTTTCAAGAATTGTTGCTGTTCAGCAGAAAGACGAACACCTTCTGTCTCTGCACGTTTGCGAACAACTTCAAAGCCAACACGTTTGCAGTACAACAAAGCGGCCTGCAAAGTCGAACAGCTGGTACGGCTGCGACGAAGAGTTTCACGGATGAAAAGATCAAGTGGGATGCCTCCAGGTACAGGACTGCCAACAGGGCATCTGCAATCGCTTGGAGATTCATAATCCTGCTTGGATGGAGAAACGCTATTCACGTTTTCCAAAAAGGCGATGGATTTGTGCACGGGTGCGTTCCAGATCATAGTCAAAACATGTACAGTAGCATCTGAAGAGAGGGTGATGATGTAAAGGGTGAGCTTTTGTCAGGTGGTTACTCAGGTACGGTGAAAAGAGCTGTGGGATACTTACCAACAAGGCAATCAACAAAGAGGGTTTTCCCGGAATTTGTGCCACTCACCGGTGGCGAAGGGGATACATCCTTGCTGTCTGATTGTTCTACACTGCTTGAAGCACTTAGTGTGCATTTTTGTTCCAAATTTGTCAGAGTGGCAACAACATCCTCTTCTGCAGAGCCAGATGAAACAGGACCGGCTGATGAAGAAGTGGTGCGTAAAGACTTGCACGGACGTTCATCGTCGGTAACGCTTCCGGATGAAGTTGGAGAAGTGTGCTCACTGCTGGGTGATGAATAGGAACTGAGATTATCTGCAAAAGAGCCTGAATGAGAATTGGAAAAAATACTACTTGCGCCAGCTGAGCTGGTGACTGAAGAAGCGGATGATGAAGTTGAATTCGAACGCGTCCGTTTTCCTGTGCAAGAAGGCACATCCAGCCGTTGTGGCGTTAATTGTGAGATAGTAGCGGCCATTGTGACAGGAAGTGGGTGTTGAAGAGGGTTATTTTTGGTGACGGATAATTCAAAATCGAACGCTGGCAAAATATGTTGTAGATGGTATTGCCAGAGCGCGTAGTGATTGAATGCAGAAAATTGAGTGAAAGATAGCTTACCACGTCAAGATTTGCAAACGTAGTTGGGACGGAGACCGATAAAGCTGTAAACCAAAGTTAATTGCGACCGAAGATAGAATAAAACCAAAAAATGATGGCGAAAAATTGTTGAGACAAAGTGACGAGGACAATTTGTTAGACCTACGTCAAACTATGTTGAAAACAATAAAAACGAATCAGACTTTCTTGGCGTATTACTCTCTCTATGGGAGCTGTTAAACACGTATTGTGATGTAACAGCTCAGTGCTTCCAACCAAAGATTGCGGCGACCATGTTGAGAAAGTAAAAGTATGTGTTTAGATCAAGAACAAAAATCGACGATTGATGTGGCAAGCGTTTGTATAGTTTTATAACGTCTTGAGAGAGTGAGACGGTATAGTGGCGTATATGTGTATAAATGCACTTGTAAGTGACTAATACACAATTAAATTGAGTCGCGAATGCTAAGCCCCGTGGAGTCACAAGTGAGCTAGATTATCGAATCGGTACGGAAGTTGATGGAAGTGGCGAAAAGAACTGAATGATTCGCCGGAGTTGAAGTATGATGTCGAAAGTGGCAAAGGTTGTCAAAAGTGTATGCGCAGTAAAGTTGATGACTGTTATTGTTTTTCCTTTTACTTCTCCGAATCGAGATGGTAGATAGATGGACTGAATGACGACGCCTTTCCAAAGTTAAAAGCCAAGATTGAAATTGGGATGACTCAACGACTTGTACGATATTCGTCCGAGAAGTTTTTGTCACGGCAAAGGACGGAAGACAAGCTGTGGATGGTTTATCAGTGAGTCACCAAACAAGGGCCTGGACGACGAACGGGTGGGCCTGTAAAGGTTGTACAATACAATATAAAATGGGAAAATGCTCAGTCAAACAACGGCCGAGGATGCGCGCGCGATTAGAAGAGGAAAATGAATCATCGCCTCCCAAAAGTCCCTGCATCCTAGCCGTGTTTTGTGACATTGAACTTTGCGTATTATTAGAAGCTCCGCCATCCTATTATGCAGATTAGCAGTGTAATTTCAACTAAAACGCGTTGCCACAACCTCAGCTTAAAGGCTGAGCACAGCAGCACCCTGGAGGGTACGCACAGCCAGGCATTGGAATGACTCCTATTAATTAAGGTCATGCTCATTCGGCCCAAAATGGCACTTGAGCTGTGTTCATGCAGTGTGAACATTTAATACATATGCACGATTATGCACGCGTGCATATGTATTCATTTTAAATTTTGTATTACCATCTCATTGCCATCAATTTTCATAGTCACTCATGTAAAAATATAAGATAATAAATGAAATTTTAAACTATAAAAAATTATCTAGGGGGAGGGGTTCGTGGTGGTAGTATACGATTGAGCCTTCTAATGTAGTCATTAAGCGGAGCATCACCTCTTTGAATAGGGTTAGTCGTAACCTATGCTTCTATTGATTCAACGACCTTACGAACGATATATAAAGCTACCGTTTCTTCTTATACTAGGCGAGGAGTAGTAGCTCGCCTAGCGGCAGTAGGAGGCCTTAGATATTCTCTTTAACTAATAGTAATATCGAAGATTAGATAATCTTAGAGCCTTCTTAAATTTTAAATATTTAACCTATAAACTAATATTAAAATCTTCTAATTTATATATAAAATATACTGAATCTTATTATACTTACCTAAATCCTTATATCAGTACTCGAAAATATATAGCGAAATACTAGTATTCTTATATTATCTATATCTTATATCATTATATAAGACTACTTCTATATAACTAGTTTAATTTTACTATATATAGTTATTTATATTTTATAGTAAAGCCTATCTTATATTATTAAGAATCACTATAATTCCTACTATATTATCTTACTATAAGCTTTATCAAAGTCTTATAGGTCTTATATCGGTAAGATTTATACTACCTTTTAATAGTATAGATAGATATATATTATCGACTCTACTTATATTATCTTAATTCGGTTTAAGAGAGAGAGAGTTAAAGAAGATAAGATAAGAGAGGGTAAGGTTAGAGAGGAAAGAGTTAAACTAAAGAGAGAGATAAGATCTTATTTATTTTTCTTAATTTAGATCTATAAGATCTAATCTTTAATTCTATAGTAAGCGATAAAAAGCTATTATAAAAAATTTTATAAGGTTATAATAGAATTAAAAGAAAAAAAAGTAGTTTATATATCTTTTATCTAACTAAAAAAGTTATTTTTATTTTTTAAATATCTTTTTTTTATTTAATATAAAGGTCTATTCTTAATATATTAAAAGAATAATATATATCTTTTATAATATATATAAATATAATATTCTTAAAATAGTTTATTAATTAATTCTACTTTCTATTTAGAAATATAATTTAATAAAAGAAATTATCTATTTTTCTTTTTAAATTAATATCGGTAACCGTTTTCAGTAGTTATTTCTTTAAATTTTATAAGCTATTTTAGTTATTTATATATTAATTATTTTTAGAAATAACTTATTATAAATTAAAATTTTAAAAACAGCTTATCGAAATTAATTAATTTACTATATTAAAAATAGATAATAACTATTATATTAGATTAAATTATATTGATTAATATAATTCGTTATAATTTAATATAATTAATAAATAAATTATAGCGATTTCTATATATTTATTAAGGCTATCCTAATATATATATATAGATTTATTAATAGATAAAATAAAAAAATAATAATAGCGATAAGATATTAAACTATATATATACTATATAATAGTATATATCTATATTATACTAATATATCTAATATATCGAAATATATAATATATATATAAAATATACTAATATAGGTTTAATCTTTATAATTTAATATATATCGACTATTATTTTTTATAGCTAACTTATATATATAAATATTAAATAAATATATAAGTAAATAATTTATATACTTTATATTTTATAATAAATATATAGTTTTTAAGATAATAGTCTTATTAGTTACTACTATCTATATTACCTTACCTTTATTATAACTATATCGTTTATATCTTTCTTTATACTATTATAATATAACTAAAATATAAATACTTAATAGTAGAAACAATTAGATAACCCTATCTTATAAAGTATTTAAATAAATACCGAAATTAATATAATATACTAAGATACTATATCGAATTATAATAATATAAGTAATAAATAAGATAATTTAAAGGGTATAATAATATATTATAATAAATCGTTATTTTTAGATTAAAATCTAAGAAGAAGAGATAAAAGATAATATATACTTAATCTTTCTAGAGAATATCGATATTCTTTTTACTATCTTTATAAATATAATATATATAAAATTATTATTAGTAATTATTTAATTAAATACTCGGTATATACTTTATATAAGATAGATATTAATAATTATAATTTAAATCTAGATTATCTTAAAATACTATTACTATTAAATCTTTATATATTATAAGAAAAAGAATATCGAATCAGACTAAGATTAAATAGAACTATAGAGATACTAGATAAAAGGTTAATAGAGTTAGTAGTAATCGTTAGATAACTAAATAATATTATATATTCTTATAAAAGTAAATTAAATCTAGATATAGATATAACTTATAGACTCAAACGAATTATAGAGTCTCTAAAATAATATTTATTATAGTATTATAGTAATTTATAATATATTATATAATATTATATTATTTTATAATATATTATATATATTATCTTTATCTCTCTATAATACTCTTTAATTATATTATTTTATATCATATCTTATTATTATTATTTCTTTATAACTCTTATTAATTATATTATTTCTTATTATATTATAATATATTATTTCGATCTCTATATAACTCTATATAACTTATTATAACTCTATTTAATTTATATATAAATATTCTATTTATTTAAATATATAATTATAATCTATTAATATTTTAGTTATTTATTATAAATACTTTTAAGTTTAATAAGCTAATTTTAAAGTAGTAATCTTAAGATAGTATCTAAACTTTACTATTTTATAATTTTCTATTAAATATAATCTATTAAGTCTTAAAGATTTAAATATATCTATTATCACTCTTTTTTATAATCGTTATCTAAGATTTATAAAATATTAGATAATAAACTAGATAAATCACCTTTAAAAGTAATAGAATTAATTTTAGATATTAGTATATTAGATTAATTTATATTATTTCTAAATAATTTAAAATTATAAAGATTAATAATCTCTATATTTCAGGATAAATTATTTAATATAATAAAGTCTTAATTATTTTATAGAATAACTAATTAAACTATAATTATTTTTAATTCTACTTAATACCTTAAACCTCTTTTTAAAAAGAATAGATATTTATAAAAGGTTTTATACTATCTAAATATCTTATATTTATAGTTTTAATAGTATAGAATATATCGATAAAGATCTAATTATACTATTATAGAGTACTATACCTCTTTATCTTTAAATAATTAAATTTAGTAACTACTATTAGACGATTATATAAGTATAGTTTTAATATCTTTAAAATCGATTTTTTTAGCTATCTCTTTTATCTTTATTTCTTTTAATCGATATATATAATAAATTATATTTAATTCTATTTATAGTTTATTCTAATAATAGTTATAAATTACTCTTTTAATTAATATAAAATATAGATAATCGATATATTTTAGATTCGAATCTATCTTATATATTTTCTTAAAGATAAGATACTATCTTTCTATAAGATTATTTATATCGATTTATTTTAAAATAAATTTATTATATCTATATTATCTCTAATATTTAAATAGAGAACTCTATATTTTTATAAGATAGCTTATCTAATCTTTTTAATTATATTTATTTATAAGATAAAGATAATTAATCTATTCTTATTATAATTTATTATAACTCGATTTACTATAAAGAAGATTCTTAAATAAATTAAAGTAAAATATAAAATATAATTTCTATCTTTCCTTTATTATTTTATTTAAATACTATATTTTCTTTATAAGTTATTTCCTTACTACCTCTAAAATATAAAAATAGTATTATAAGATTTTAATATTATTACTTTAAATAGTTTTAATTACTAAAACTTTAACCGATAAATAATCGATTATAAATACTTCTAACTTAAATTATATATCGTTATAAAGCCTTTTTAATTATTAAATAATAGACTAACTAGCCTCGATATTTATAATCAGGAATCCTACCGGTAAACCTTTTTAAGTTATTATATTATATATAATAATACTATAAAGATAAATCTTTTCGTTATAACTTATTTTAAAAATAGTATAATATATTAAATCTAAATAAATAATCTTTATATCTTAAAGTTTTTCTATCTACTATTTTATAAAGAAATATATTATCTATATATAATTAGAGTTAAAGTTAGTTATACTATTATTAGATAGCTAAAAGTCAATAAAACCTTATCTATTAAAATTATCTATTATCTCTTTTATCTATAATTCTATACTTTTTTATAGGTTTCGGTCTTTTTAAGATTATTTATCGATAGTACTATTAAAAATATAATAAATCGTTCTATCAGAGATAAATAAAGCTTATAGTAGAATATAATTTATAAGGAGATCTTTATAAACCTATTTAATATTAAAGAGTTATAATAAGTCTTTAAGATACTCTAGTTTCTTTCTATTTATCGCTTATTCTTAAATCTAAATTTTTATCTTATTAGATAATAAACTTCTTTAATTAAACTATATTATACTATCTAAATAATTATTATAATCTTTCTTAAGAAAATATTTAATATATTTATAACTTATATTATATCGAATCTTAATAATTAATCTATAAAGATAGTTATTTTAATCGATTCCTATTTTTAAATATTATTTATCTAGTAAAGTATTCTAATATCTTATTTATTCTTTTATCGATTTAGTATAAAGACTATAACGATATTATATATATAATATCGATTTATACTTATAACTTAAATTATATTATTTTATATTATATTTTATAAAATCCTTTTATTACTCTTAAAAATTTATATATTCTTCTTTATCTAAGATAAATAACTTTTCTTTATAGAATAGAGATTTTACTTTAATCAGATTAATTAATAAATAATATTTTATTAATATATCTACTATTATTTAGATAGTTATATAATAATAGTAATAGAGATAATAGTAATAGAAAAGATAAGAAATATCTTTAAATATATATATTTCTTAAGATTAATATAATCTAATTCGAGAATATATATATTTTAAATCGGTATATATATTTAAGATCTTCGATAAGCTCTACTAGAGTCTATACGATTTAGATAGAATCCTCTTATATCGTCTATCTTAAAACCTTAAGTAATATTATATATCTTTAGTCGTTATTTTTATATACTTAAACAATATTATATAAAACCCTAACCCTTTAAAGTACTTAATATAATAATATTTCACTGATATAATTATATTTTTACTAACCCTAACCTAAAACCTTATATAACCATGATTAACTCTATCAGAATCAGATCGGGTCTTATACTTTCACTGACACGCGCTGAATCCGGTCGCTTTATCTCGATTCATGTCCTCTTCTTTCAACGAACGCCTTGCGCACCGCGTAGCGCGCGCAGGCGCGCGCAAAATTTAATATAAAATCTAAATTATATTTAAATTTAATACCGAAAAATCGTGCATGCGCGTAAAAAAATGGATTTTAAGGATAAAGTGCCTAAAAAATTTTTTGGGCCGAATGTCCTCGACCATTAATTAATAGCATCATCCGCGTTTAGCCGAATTGTGAGAGTCTGGCCCTGGCTGTATGGGCGAGAAATCAATTGCCGATTTTCAAATTAAGTAAGCAAGCCGGACCGACATTAATTTGCACGTGCGGTTCCGTCATCATCATCTCCTCCTGGTCTTCCTTCCAATTTTATGAACATAAAGACAAATAAATGAGCTTTCATCGTAATATGCTCTGACATGCAACAAAAGAAATGTTGAAAGGTAGGATCGCCATCGAATTTGCAAATTATGGGTGTAGGTAATATATACGTATCAAATCCATCATTTATCTATTTGGATTACGACAATATATCTGGCAGTACATACGCTCGAGAAAGTCACGCTTTTAATGTCAGAGATGCTCTTTACTCTGGGAGGTCTTATTGATGTCATTTCATCTTCCATCTTTACTCCCTGATTGAAATTGCAATGTTATCTTTCATTATTTTTATGCATTTCTACCTCCATTTACACGAATCTGAGTTGTCAGCATGAGGTGTGCCCATCTAACCAGCCATAAGCTACTATAGTATCGTCAAGAGTCTGTGAAAATCTCTTGACACATGACAATCATCCACATATATTACCATCGATGAATGAATCGGTCACCGTGAATGAAGTGAATTGTCGTTACGCGGGTTGAATACGCGAATCGAAGTTACACTCCACAAATGCACGCAGAAAAGGGAAGCACACGCGTACAGTACAGTGAGAACCTTAATTCTTCCTTTCTCATAACAATCATCATCATCAGGGAGGGGCAGGATGTTCGTTCATACATTATCAACCACAAAACCTATCTCATTCTCGGATCAATTGCATGCATCTTCACTTACACTAGAATTAACACAAACGACAGAGAAGCGATCCAAACTACAACAACTATTAAAATCGATCAAAGATGAAAAAGTGAAACAAACAAGCACAGGCAAGAGTAAGGATGAGGATGCTCCACCGTTGCTAACACAGAAAGATTGGCTAAAAGTAGTTCAAGCGGCGGAAGATTACATGCCAATGGTGTATGCGATCGATCGATGTTTGAGAACGGACGATATTTTGATGAATGGAGAATTGGTATTCAATTGGAAAGAAACATTGACAGCATCGACCAATAAAACACCTTTGCCAGGTATTCAAGGAGAGCTGGTTCATGTTCTGCTGTTAAACGGAAAGGCTACCTGCAATCTAGCAGCTACACTTGTTGCATCCGTTGGCAATTACGAGATCACAGAAGCAGCCATCCTTAGTGAAGATGAGCGAAAGAAGAAGGAAGAGAGGCTGAAATTCGGAGCAGATCTATTATGCAGAGCGGCTGGAATGTTTGAATTCGCGGGAAACGATCTGATGAAAGAGTGGGAAAACGAAGTCGGTCTGGCAAGGTTGAGTCAATTAGGCAGAAGCGCAGAATCAACACGAGAAATGTGTACCGCTTTGGCAAGATTATCACAAGCAGAAGCTGAACTGTTGGCCATCAGAAAGCTTCTCTCTCCCACGAATTGCTATCAAACAGCAACAAGAACATTCGCTCCTCCGCTTCCCTCCTCACATCCTTCGCCAAGTCTACTATCGAAGCTATACCTCAATGCAGCATCTCAGTTCGAATCTGCCCTCTCGCTAGCACAAACCGCCTGCAATGCTATCGGGGTCCGGTCCGATGACAGCACAGCACCGGGAGGAAGTGCATCAGAAGATCTTAAATTAGCTGCATCATCAGGTTTCAAGGCTAGGTTGGTATCCAAATTGGGTTCATCAAGAGGCAAATTGATGGAAGAATCTACGCGAAGTGGAAAGTTGAGTGTTGGATTTGTGAAATATCTTACAAAGAGTATCTTTGCTAGTCAAGCACGCGCTTATGTATGGTTAGGTGTCGATAAAGGTGAAAGAGGACAATATGGAGAAGCAATCAGTTTCTTACGATTGGCAAAAGAAGAAATCGAAGGTATTTCATCTGGCAACAAGATTAGCTTACACCCGAAAGATGACAGAAAAAAAGACGAAAAGCGAAAGTTTACGCAAGAACGAGAAAGTGTGCTGAAATTGATTGCAGATTGGACAAAAGCATACACTCAACTGAACGACACTGTAGGCTTTCAACCTATACCGCCCACATCTTCACTTTCCTCACAAATCCCTGCTGGTAGAGGAGCAACGGCTAGCAAACCGTACAAGCTTCCTGTACCCGCTTTTGGCCCTGGCTCTGTTGGCTTTGTATCAGAGGGCATGCAGAGATGGAAAGGAATGAGTGATGGCGATTCGAATGGTGAATTGGGTGGACAGGGATCCGACGGGAATGCCGTTGAAGAGGAATATGCCGGGCAAGGGGCGTATTATTAGACGTCAAAACGAATTGCTCGCTATCACACACTGTACTTTTAGATGCAATGCTGAAAGCAAATGCTCAAACATTAGATTAATAATACATTTGTACAAGTACACAATTGACTGAGAATCTGATTCATGTCGATTTGACTGTTTTTTGTGTGAATTGCTCAAGCCATTGACGCATGACCATTCGCTGATAATCCAGAACGATCGGCACCAATTCTCGCAAGCCAAACAAAGGCCAATATCGTTTTGTGAATTGAAGTTGAGCATGCGTGCATTGCCACAACATGAAATCGCTCAATCGATGTACATCACTGGTTCGAACGAGAATATCACAAGGTGGTGAATGATGAAGCATCATCTGAGCATCAAGGTCTTGAACAGTAATTTCCTTTCCCAGGGGGGAAGTTGATGATTGAATGCACTTCTCTACAGCGTTTGCCATTTCATCCGAAGAAGCATAAGCGATGCAAATGTTCAATGTTGCACTTCGATTACCTTCTGTCATTCGTTCAACTTTTTCCAATGCAGCCAATACATCGTCCGAAAGCAATTCTTTCCTTCCGATCATCCTTAGTCGAACTGAATGTCGTGCCAAGAGTTCTCCATGTGCTGCCAATTGAACGAGATTTCGTTTTGCTAAATCCATAATAGCTGCCACCTCATCTCTATCACGACCGAAATTGTTTATCGCAAATGCATATACTGTCACAGTTGTCATTCCACGTAATTTCAGACATGCTTCCAAGACGGATTTCAATGCATTGAAACCGGATAGATGTCCTTGTGAAACGGGGATCGGACCTCCTGGGAAGTTTCTTGCATATCGCCTATTCCCATCCATAATAATGCCGATATGTTGAGGTATAGGACCGATAGAAAGTAGAGCTAACAGGATACGCTCTACTATCGGTTGAAAAGGCGTCAACATCAATAAGAAAGCCGACAAAACGGCTCTCAAGATGTTACCGGTCATATGCGGCTGTTCTGCATTGCGTGAAGCATGTTCGGGCGAGGAATGTGTTAGAATATCCGATCTGGACATTTCTGTGATGGCGGTCAGGAAAGATTATTGAAAGTTCTAAAGCTTCTTATTTTTTTCATAGCGTGAAATCCAAATTCTTAAATTTTTGGTGCCTTGGCCCGTGCAACCTTTTTTCATTTCTTCCCCCTCAATTTTTTTTTTACACATCCTCCACCATCTTCAGACACAATGACGAGGGAGCAAGACCAGCAATCAACGAGCAAAGATGTCTGTCTACCGTATGTCACCCTTCAGCCTGATTTCGCTCAAGTGTATACCGATGTTAGTCAAGGATTGCACACGGCCGAACGAGCATGGCTTTCGGTCTATTGTATGAATGCTCCAAAAGCAAGCATACATGCAAAGTTGATGCTGACACATAACAGGGATGCAGCAAATGGTGGCGTAGATGTGGATCTAGAATCTTCATCCAAGAGCCAATTGAGCATAAGAAGAGCCGAAGAGAGTAGGGTAAGTGATTGGAAAGAAGCATACAAAGTTGATTGGATCACGTTCAAAGACTGACACTGCTACTTGTTCTCGTATATCAGCTTGACTTTTCAGTCGCCAGCACCTCAAAGAATGGCTCCCTGATGGCAAACACGACAAAGGCATCCATTACGCTACCTGAAACCAGGATAAGAATACCTAAACGTACACTGGGACCGATCGTGAAAGGATCAATTGGCGTGAGCGCTTTTGACATTTCGGATGCAGGCAATGATCTTTATGTTGCTGGAGGTGCTGATGGACAAGCTCATATTGGAAGGCTCGGAACTGGGTCGGAAGCTCGGCCTGCAGGAACGTCAGCAGTAGGAAGTGATGATATCGAGACGATTGCTCAGCGCAGAATGCAGGAAAGAGCAGAGCAAAGATCTATAACCAGCAAGACATACCTGAAAGGACATGTAGGAGATATTCGATCAGCCAAATTCTTTCCCAGTGGAGAAGTTGTGTTGACGACTTCTTCCGATTGCACTGCTAGAGTATTTGGCATCGACGGTCAAAATCCTCGTACACTGAAAGGACACAGACGTGCGATTCTGGATTCTGATTTCATCGATCGTGGCAAGCAAGTCTTGACTGCTTCAATGGATGGCACAACTCGGTTATGGGATGTGAGTGAGGGTAAACAGCTGTCTTCGTTTGGCAGTCAAAACTATAGTGGTGTGAACAGGGTTAAGCTGGACACCTCCAATTCGTCCTCAAAATTCTTCTTTACCGGATTATCGAATGGTACAGTTGAGGCATTTGACACTTCTTCAAAGACTGCTCAGCTCAAGATAGGCAAGGTACAATTCCCGTCTGGTCCTGCACCACAAGCAAGTGATTCTTGGAAACAGATATGGAGTGGAAGTATAGAATCGATGGATATAAGTGCAGATAGACATGCACTACTGCTCGGATGCGGGAATGGAATCACACTTCTGCACGATATGCGAATGCTGTCAAATAACGTTTCAGAAAGCGAAGATGTAGGAAGCAAGAGTTTGCTTGGTAGCTGGCAACGCAATGGAGCTGCGATCAATGATGTGCAATTCGTGAATGGTGGAAAAGAAGCTCTATTTGCTACATCTGATGGTACTCCTTACCGATGTGACCTTGGTCAAACAGATTCACACGACCTCTCACCTAGGGTCTTGGAGGAATACAATGGCTGGGATGTGGATAATGTGGAAATTTGTCGATTTGATCAAACTAGATCACGAGTTTGGCTAGCAGGGGCTGACGGAATGGTCCGAATGTATTAACAGAAAAGCCATTGCTCATTGTAATGATAACAAGAAGCAAGCTTTACCGGCTGATGACTGATCGAACAACCTCATTTCTCTACAATTCACCAGTTCCTTTTATTTCATCCGCGGAGAAAATGAATGTCATTGTAAGATAAGCCATTCCTATTGCCAGTATGTATATAGACCTAGTTCATTGATCGGATAGGAAGTGTATAGTTCAAGCCACGCTATTGCAGCATGCACGGAACGTGGCTTAATAATCATTGTCAAGAAGCAGAGAAGTTGATGCGGTTGAAACAATGAATGTGCATCAATGAGGGATCTTAAAGTGCACATAAGCCACTATTGTTGCCATTCCTTTCGCCGTTAGCAACAAAGACAACGGACACACAATTGCTCAATGCCTAATAAGAAAAAAAAGTTATCCTTTGAAACTTCTTGTCCCTTTTAAAGGTCGTGTGAAATTGATTAATTGAAGAGCAAGAATATGAAGGTATGAGACATTCTCTGGCTTGACAAGTGGTTGACGTCTTTCATTGATTAGTCAGAATCTGCAATTCAAGTAACTCATTCGAGAAAAAGTAATAGCAAGGTGTACCCTTAAAAAAGAACAATGACAAATTACGTAAAGCCATCTGTTTGCTTGTGAATAGCGTGTGAAACAAATTGAAAATGTACTATTGTATTTTAGGAAAAGACGGATAATCTTTTCTTTTTATTATAATAATTAGTGGAACCGGAATCAAATTGATAGAAACCCGGAATAGGCTGATCTTGTTCATACATACATAAATTAAAATCGAATAATTCAATGGAAATCTCTTGCATTGTTGTTCATTGACAAAACTTTTCTGATCGGCGTTCAAAAATTGTACCTGATTCATATACATATGTGTGATTCTCTGGTACCGAATAAGAAAGAATCTTTAGCCTGTACAAATTTAGAAAAAGTGCTAGTGAAAGAAAGGGTCTGACCGGTTATCAGGAAGAGAATACGTTGCCGTACAGATGTAACGCCATTAAAATTGATCAAATTGCCGGTCGTTTGATTTTGTAAGTGTGTTTATCTGCCGTTGGCGTAAATGCATGATCGAATTCTATTTATCTTTTAGTCCCGCGCTTCTTTCTTTCAGTTTCCCGGTCATTCAGTATTTTCGCTTATGTGGTGCCACTGTTGGCGTCATCTTTTGATTAAAATTGCTTCACCGCATTTCATCAATACAATTTAGCGTATCGATGTATTGTTGAACACACGCTAAATTAGGCAAAAGGTTGTTTCGCTCTAGCGTATGATCCCGTGTTAAATCCATTCAGGTACACGGCGTTCATACGTCGAAAAACTTAGACGGATTCTTTGATTTAATTTGTTGTACTTCTGTTAGATTGATCGTCCTCCCCACATGCATAGGGGGAGGGTGTTAAGTTTTTCAATGACATATCGGCGTTCAATTCAATAGGGTTAGCGTCTTCGGTTCAAGGATTAATTTAGCGTGATACTATATGTTCTCCTTCCGTTTCATTTCAATGGAATGTGCATATGATTTCAAATAGAATTCAACCTAAAAAAAGCATCAGGGTTGAAGTATGATGTAGGAGGTATGATGGATGATGATGTGTCTCAAAATGTACATGACGCGTGGATATCAATTTAGCACCGGAACCGAGGAAACACACAACTGACCATACGCCCAAAAGAACCTTAGTGCATGTTTCTAGTCTTCTTACGCACACTAGTAAGGGTATAGTCCCGAGAAACCGATCCTAACGCAAACTTTTTTTAATTTATCTTGTCAGTCGGGACGATTGAGAGAGTGTTCTTTTTCCCCTTGATCGAGTTTGTTCCACACACCTCATGCAAGGCTAAAAGACACTGATCAAAGCTACTCTAGTTTATACAGAGAGAGCGTGAGTAAATATGATGTGATGCATGCTTGTCTGAGTTTGAATTGAATTTTGGTCTAGATCTAAATTGAGAATTGTGGATTGAATCGGGTCAGTGTGTGCGTGGGCAAGGGTTCAATGATGGTCAGGTCCCTATACATTTACCACCGGCCAATTCGGAGTGGGTAAGACGACTTTGTTCGATTGTGTTTTTTTTTTTCAACGCACGCAAAGAAAAAGAGGCGTACATTTACTCCTTAACGATCTGGCCCAAGGTAAGAATGCCGGGACGCAGGCAGTTGTTTTCCATGGCCGGTGGCTGTGACGCCGCCTTTTAAGAAAGGGTGAAGGGTACCCCGAGGCAAAGGCGTGCATGACAAGTTTGACAAATTTCCATTGACAGTTACAAACACACACACGAGCCCTTCTGTCTGGAACGGTATCTGATTACATTGAGAGTACGATCGCATTGCAGTGTGCAGTGCGTGTGCATTAGTGTTATGATAGTGATGGAAGACGGCGCCTTGGACCCGGGTTGAACGGATAAATGGTAGCCATGTGAAGCAGTACACCTGTCTTCTTGCCTTTTGCCCGGTTCCATTATCTCGCTTGACTTTTTCTCGGTAATCGTCTAGTGAGGTGAGACCAAATTGATCATGTTCTTCACTAGTTCGATTGGGCGTCTAAAAAAGTGTAAAAAAAAACCATCTTTCGATTGAAGTGCTTTCCGATATTCCAAGACTTCTCTTTTCGCTTTTTGTGCACTTGATCCCTTCATTCTGTTTTCTTCTTTTGTTTTCCGTACGTATGTATGTATGTATATGCGATGTGGCAGTCGCATATCTTTGTTTTAAAGCTCAGGCGATTTTTGCATCCTTTGCGATTGTGCCTCTTTCACTTCCACAAAGAGAACTCTGTGTTGTTTCTATTTTTTGTCCAAAAATGAAATAATGAAAAGCGGTGCGTTCCTGCCGTTTATTTTTTGCCTTTATTTTTAGCCGGGTTTATACCCAAAAAAAGAACAATCTATTTCTTTATCGGTTTTATGCCTCCTTTTTGACAGCTAAAATGAATTGTTCAGGCACCCGGTCTACGCTTAAATTCAAATCACGGGCATCTAGAAATATCAGGCGTAAGGTCTGCATATCTCTGTTTTAACACTGCATCCTCCCATTAAATCTGTCTAAAATTGAATTGGAACTAGTAAAAGTGGGGGAAAGATTCATTGATTAGACCTTGTCATTAAAAATAGGGACAATCCTCTCCCTTGTCTTTGTAGATCCTCTGCTTGATTTCGAATTGATCATCTTCTTTCTACGGTTCTGCCCCCTTTTTTTTCTTTCTCTTTGAAGGGAAAAACGTCTTATCTGGCGGAAAACATTGGACGTATGCATAGAATTGCGGTAATTTGTTACAATCTATCAATCAAAAATCAATCCTGCAATCCGACTTTCCATTCGTGCTTTTTGCCACTTACCTCTTTGCAAATTTGATTCGATCGATTTCCACTACCATCATCTATCTTCATTCAATCATCACATTATCGTCATCATCATCATATTCAAGACTCAATTGAGAAGCCGAGAAAAAGCGCACGCCCTTTCTCTTGGCAAACTGTTCTACGCACAGCCGATTCTATCAACGGTTCGTTAACAACCCGTTTCCGTCTCTAATCAAAGATCATTCTGGCGGCCTGAACCGTTTTTTCATTCGACGGAGAAAGAAATCAAACACAACCGCATTTCGGCGCAATAGGGATCAGCCGAGAGGAAAAAAACAAAGAAGCCCAACAGCCTTCATCAATCACAAAAGAGGGAAGCATTCACTCAACTCTCCTCCGTTTTGATACGCCGTTCGGAGTTTGATCTTTTTGGTTTTATGAACAGAGAAAAGGAGTGTCAATCATTCCTTTACGAAAAACACAAAAAGGTAAAAGTAGTTGCGTGACCATATTGCGTATACTCCTTTAGCCCCTTCTATTCAACCGGATCCGCAAAAAGCTCCTTCAAAGGCGTTCTGCTCTGGAAAATTGTTCGGACTGGTAATACCGAAACCGGAACCGTATTGTGTTCTCTCTTTTTTTCTAATCTCACATCCACCTTCTCACGTACAAAAGGAGCAAAACAGTGGTCAATTTTCAATAGTATTTCTTTGTCGATCTAGACGGAATTTCGGTCTCTTATTCCCAAATTCTATTCATTTCTTCAAAACTCGTCATTTGATCCAACTCAACATTATACGCCGAACATTCTCGAGAGCATCAAGTTGATCGTTCTTGCCTCGTTTGCACTCCGCAATATAAAAAACACACAAATTGTCGCCGTGTGCCACGATCCGTTCAATCAATTCTGCCAAGCATTTTTGATCGAAGCTGTGTCAAGTAAACGGTTTCCCTTTTCTGATTATCGATTGCCAAATCGAACGCCCAAAACAAAGGGAGGAGCAAAAACGTCACTCACGCATTTAGCATTCTCTCTTTAATCCGAAAAATCTCCTATTGACCGAATAAGCTGGTCGCAACGCCACAAACAAGTGTACGCAAGACTGTCAAGGAGCATAGCAACCCGGATAGATAGGAGTATTGTTGCATTCGATCGTATAGAAGGCCGCAATCTTCTTCTCTTGAGAAAAGTAACGATCTCCAACGCAGATTACCCAGAAACTGCCGCCGCATTTATCGATGTGCAGAAGCCTTAAAACCACACAAACAATTTTGGATCCAATCATCATCCACAACCCATTCTAAGACTTGCCATCAACTTAGCAACCCTTTTTCCTCACCTCCTGCACTGCAAATACTTTCGGTTAAAAGGAGTATCGATTTTCTTCTCTCTCGATTCCCGCCTCACGATAATCGCATCTTCTCAAAGGGGTCTATGACCGAGGTTCTCTCATTTGATCGTCCCAACGGTCTCGCAAAACCTTTACCGGCGAAATATACGCTTCTCATGCAAGGATCATCGTATGAGAAAGAGCGCGCCAGTGCAAAAGCGGATTTAGAACCTCATACACCATCTAGAAGCAATCGGACAACATCATATCAAAGACCATTTGAAGAATACGAAGAAAGAAGAACAGGCTCTCCGAGAGCACAAGAACAATATCGTGATAATCAACAACAAGAACGAATGAGCGCAACGATGCGTGATAGGTATCGATTTCATGATGAAGATGTTACCGGCGGTGGCGTAGCAACAACAAGTAATCCAGACAATCGACAGGCCATGTCACCTTCTTCCTCTTCTTTGAAGCGCGATGATTGGCATTATACGAATCAACAAGGTAGCGGAAGTGGAATGAAACGTCGTCATTCGCAACGATCACCATCGAGACCAAGATCACAGCAAGGCTCTCAGGCTGCACAGATTGCGAGTATCAAAGAAGCTGAACGGGACAATGACACACAACGCACAAATGAAGCAGGAGGCGAAGGCTCAGCAAATGATGATGATCGATTATTCCGCCATAACATCATTCATGATTCACCACGAAAAACGCCTCGTCTGGATAGACATTCTTCTGCTTCTCACGGGCATCTATCTGAACCAGCTCAGCCTGAATGGCAGAACAGAAGAGGTCTATCGCATCACAGTGAAACAGATTCGACTTCAGCTTCCTCTCGTCTACAAATGTCTCATTCTCGCACATCATCCACAGATGAGGATCCACGTCGATTGGTTCACTCTTCATCCACTGGACGGAGGCCTGGTGCTTTGGAAGGGAATGCAGATGAATCGGAGCAAGGTCCGAATTATACTTGGCAACAACAAGAACGTGCAGCACTTGCATCACAGAACGCAAGACCGATGGGAGGAGAGAGAAACGATCAAGATCGGTATTCAAATTTGCCACCTTTGTTTACCGGATACGCACAAGGTAATGCCCCGTCTTCTGGTCCAACTTCGGCTGCGAATGCGGAAGCGAATGAACAACAATCTCTGCGGTACAATGAAAGAAGCTCCTCGCCTGCACCACGTCTGCCTGCTTTTGCAGCTTTGAGTCCATACCAACATGGTAGTCGTGGACGTGGATCCCCACCACCATTATCTCAACATCCCAATCATCCGACCGGCTTGCCATCCATAAGTCAGCATATGCAATCGCGCGGTCAGAGTGAATATGGATCGTCTCAAATGGTCACCAGTCCAAGAGCCATAGGGCCTTCAAGTATGTCTGCAAATAGTCCATCTCTTTCGCAAACTTCTCATCAAACACCTGGTCAAGCGTTCATTCATCCTTCTTTGGCAGGTTTGCCAGTCGCAGGAGGAGGTCCGGGTAGTAAACAACAACCTTCGTTTGTAAGTAAGTTGTACTCTATGTTAGAGGATGACACAATCGAAGAGATGATTGCTTGGGGTCCAAGTGGAACAACATTCAGTGTTGCAAATCCGGCCGAGTTCGCAAAGGTGGTGCTTCCCAATTGGTTCAAACATTCTAATTGGCAATCATTTGTTCGCCAATTGAACATGTATGGCTTCCACAAAGTGAATCACACTTATCAAGGTACGCCTGAAGAGGAGATTCAAGTTTGGGAATTCAAGCACCCCAACTTCAGAAGGGGAGAGGTTCACCTTTTGAGCGAGATTAAACGCAAATCTTCACGACACAAGCGTCAAGATAGTCTAACCCATTCGATGACCAATGCAGCCGAGTACGAAATGGGAGGAACACCTTCGCCAGAGATGGGTTTGACGCCTCATGGTCACATGCATCCTTCAGCCGCATATGGAGGCTCACATCCTGTTCGATCTCATCATCCAGGTCAAGGTTCTATACATCATGCTTATGGACGTCCGGCTCCTGGCGCATATCAAGGTTATGCTACAGATGCTCCCCTTGGACCTAGCGGTGGAACAGGTCCACCTGCGATTGCTTATCCTCCTCACGATGCCCATCCTACTTCTGTTCAGCATTCTGGTTTACCGCATAGTGAACCCGCAGGATCAGGTATGATGCGAGGTGAACAAGGGTTGGGTGCAAGTGAAGGTGTTTTAGCTCGCGTGGATGATTTGAGCGATCGTATTGATGCTATTATCCGTCATGCATCGTATTTGGAAAACCAATTACGCACAGTGACAGATCAAATGTTCCACTCTCAACAAAATGAAGCAAGCCTTCGTGCTCACGTCCATCATTTGGAATCGCAAATGAGATCTTTAAGCGATCAATTATACCAATCCAGATCAGGAGGACCCAACCCGCCACAACCGGGTGGTTCAGGTAGTAGGGAGTTCTCACCTCAACCAACAGCGGCAAGTATGCAAGGTGGACCTTTACCACCAGCATCACCTTCGGCTTCGACTGTAAGAGGAGAGCAAAACATGCGTGAAGGCGGCCAAAGTGGAAATGTTGGTCAGATGCCTTCATTCGTTTCACGTTCACCCAATCTAGGTCATCCTGCTTATGCAAATCGAAGTGCACATGGGCATGGAAGCGGATCTTTAGCCCCGTCACCTTCAGCAAATCCAAATAGACCTATGCCAGCCTCTTCTGCAGATGCTTATACGAAATTGGGTCCTCCACCAGTACCTGGTAGTGTACAAAGGACCAAGAGGAGTACACCACCTTGAATTTTATCACATTTATCCTTAACTTAAGTGCTCTAATGGTTCAATACTTCTACTCTTCTCTCTTTCTTTCTTTTTTCAGTCTTGTAACCTATTTGCCAAAGGTATGCGTACATTATTGTACAATATACACGTCTATCCTTATTGTCTTGTGATTGAAACCAAAAAGAAATGCCATAAGTAACAAAAGTTTTGAGATGAAAATGATGGTATTTGTGAGTATGCATAATCTGTTTTACAATGGTGTACAAAATATTTCTACAATTCCTCCTCCTCTTCTTCTTGTTGTGCTGGTCCTTGGTCGCGGCTTTCTAGCAATTCAAATAATCCTTTGTTCTTAGGGCTAGCATTGTCGTTGTCTTCATCAATGTCAACGTCTTCGTCTATCACATCGCCTCCTTGACTTCCCAAAGCCATGCTAGAATTCCAAACGTCCACCAAACCTGCACCACTTTTCTTCAGGCGCTTCTGCGATTTCTTGGCTGCTTTTCGAACATCTCCTCGTTTACGTGCCATTCCCGCAACTTCATGTTCACCTAATGCTCTTTGTAATTCACGTTGTTGACGACTTAAGACTGGTTCACGTTTTGCTCCCGTTCCATCGGTCATCACATCGCGTGAAATCGGCGATCTTCCTCTTCTTTCGTCTTCGTCCGTGTTGGGTATACCAGATTGATCGAACATGACGGACAGAGATGGTCTTCGTCTACTTGGCCTAGACTGTCTGTCTGTGCCTGCGATCATGTCATCGTCCGATAGATTGCTTTGCTCATCTTCCTCTTCTTCATCGGACGAATCCATTTCATCCATACCTCTCCTTCTCTTACCCAAGCTTGATCGTGATGTGTCAGCTTGAAGGGCTGTAGCAGCCTCTATCTGCTCTTCATCTTCTATAATCGCTTCAGGCTCAACAGCTGCCTTGTCAGACGCATACACCCGATCTCTAGCAACGATCAAATCTTTACCACGCCCTGCTGTCTTGAAGTCATCATCTTTTCTGACACCCATCGCTTCTGCATCAGCTTCTCCGAGCAACGCTGCAAGGTCGAAAGCATCGCTGAATCCTGTTACAAGAGAGCTACCTGCAACAAGGCCATCACCTGCGCCGTTTGCATTTCCAGCATCAGTGTTGGTCGCCTCTGCAGCTTGCCCTGCTTCTTGACCTGGCTTTTGTAATGAATGATGGACTGCTGGAGGTGTCGAGTAGAAGGAAATCTTGCCGATGTTCCAATCGTGCAACACAATCCGTGCAGCTCCTTCTAGATCCGGAATACCACCTTTACCCAACTTTCCACGCATCAGAGCGACTCGAAGCAAAAAGTCATGTGCATCGCCTTCGTTGAAACCGCCTTCGATGTTGTACAAGGTTGATAATTGTTCAGCATCAACGCGACCCAGCATAGCTTGGATGGGTGCAATAGGATCATCAATCAATTCAACCTTGACTGTATTCCGTAAAACGCTCCAAGCAACTTCATCTTTTGTTGCTGTTCCATCTCCATTTGCTACATCAGCCATTTGTTCGAATCCAGCTCCACCAAGAACGACTCCAGGACAATCTAGCAATCTGATCCCCTTTTCCAACATCACACCTTGAACAACTTTTGTCCATCCAGGTGTACTGGCAACAGCACAAGCACGCGTACGCAATAAACTGTTGATCAAACTACTCTTACCAACATTTGGAGGTCCAACAACGCCAACATTGATTTGTTGTTTGAGATTGGATCCTTTTGCGGTTGTACGAGCATAGTTCTTGAGCAATTGCAATAATGCATTTGCCCCGATTGCTTCTGATCCATGTGATAATTTCTCATTGCTTGACTCGCCTGCATTCTTTGCGTTCTTGCTGCCGACATCCACCGATCCACGACCTTGTTTGAGATTGCCCCTCTGTTGTTGAGTACTTGCTTTGAATGCTAGTGTTGGAAAATCATTACGCAAATATCGTAACCAAGATTGCATATTCGCCAATGGGATCAAATCTACTTTATTCAATACCAAAACCACCCTTTTGCCATGTGCCAATGCCATTTGTTCTGTTTGCTTCGATCGACTTCCTAGAGGATCTCTTGCATCCAGCACCTGTAAAATCACATCGCTATTCTCGATCACTTGTTTCACATCTCGCATAAATGCTTTTGCGCTATTGTCCCTCTTTCCACTCAATGCTAGATCCCTTGAAGCTCGCTCGAACCCGTCTTTGGGTGCGATCAAGTCCCTAATATCGTTCTCTGCTGTTTCCATAGCATCCGATGTTGCAGAAAAATTTTCCAAAGGTGAAGAACCATTTTGAGCAAAAAGTTGCTTTCTCTGTTTGAAAAAGGCCGGTAATCCAGTATCTTTCTTCAAGCCTGCTTTATTATTATTGTTGCCTACTTTGCCGCCGCCTGCTTGTAAACCTGCTCGGCTGCGAGCAACGGATCTGTTATTCTTGTTCTTGTTACGACCCATAACTGATTCCAATCATCACCCGACGCATGTAAGAGAAGGGAAATGTTGGTCTGAAATTCAAATTTAGAATTTTAACCTTGCAGCAACTTTACCAAAAATTTAAATTCACGTGCGGCAAAAGAACGCGCCTGCTTAAAATGGCCACTCATGGTGATCTTTAGATTGATGGTGGTATTGCTATTTATGGTACAATGATATATGTTCTAATATACAGTGAGCAGGGTAAGCATGTACAAGTGTTTGCATTCAAGCATTGCGATGAAAAAATGCGTCAATTGTGGAAGTGTTGGTCTTTTTGGCCTTCTTGTGTTTATTGACGGGTATATTGGTTTTCTTTGTATTTGCAGGTTGATTTGATGGTACAGCTTGGGGTTCCGGTTTATTTCCTCCAACTTCAAATTTATTCAGACAGATATCAATGTGCTGATTGAGGAAAGCATTCAAACGGACTTCTGAGACTTCTTGATCCCTTGGATATGGTATCATCTCTTGACAGACCGGACATTCCATTTCAACTAAATCTTTCTTTTCTTCTTTCTTATCTTCAAATGTGTCATTTGCTATTGCACTTTGCTCTTTATACTCTTGACTTGATTCTACCAAAGCTTTCTTCATCGCTTGTTCAAACACGTCTTCATCTTTTGCCTCTTCTTCATCATGACGAGGTTTCTTATTTGAATGCTCTGAACTAGACTTACTCTTCTCGAAAAGCCTCTTGATACCTCCGCCTTCTGGTTCACGCAAATCCTTCAAGCCTGTGATACGAACGCCAATCAAACGCATCGAAACTGGTCCATTTCTTTGTTCAATCTCTATATCGAGCAATTTAGAGACAACGGCAAATAAATCTTCTGCTTTGTAAAGGTAAGAGGTAACAGTTTTTGCTCTTGTAAAACGTTGAAATGTGTCAAGTTTGCATGTCAGCGTGATCGTCTTTCCACGATAATCTAATCGTTCAAGATCTTTGGCAACTTGTTCAGCACTTTGTCGTAAGAATTCTTTTAGCTCTGCGACATCTTTTGTTGGACGAAAAGTATGCTCTCTACCAACACTTTTACGTTCTCCTCTCTTGGAAGGTTCGACGACATTGCTATGAATGCCAAGATAGGCTTTCAGCAGAAATTCTATATCGGGCAAAGTTAAGGATAGCATCACCCTTGACTTTGCCACATCACCGCAAGTGAGAACACCAAGAGAGGCCAATATACGTTCTGTCACACGACCAATTCCTGGTATTTTTCGGCAAGGCAAATCGTGCATGAGATCCACGATAAAGTTGTGCGAAGGTTCAACACGGAATTGTCCATTTGGCTTATTTCTGTCAGAGCTAATCTTTGCTAACATCTTGTTTGGTGCAATACCGACAGAGACAGTCAATCCTGTTTCCTTTTGAACACGCTCCCTTAGCTCCGTCACAACAGCATCAGCGGTGGTATCGTTCATTTCACAGTAGGGAGTGATATCCAAATATGCTTCGTCCAAGCTCATTTGGGCGTAATGCGGATCGTAAGTCTCAAAGATTGCCATCACTACTTGCGACGCCTCAACGTAGGAGCTCATGTTGTTCTTGACCACGATCAAGTGAGGACATAATGCCTGAGCCACATGAGTTGCCATGCCCGATCGACATCCAAACTGACGAGCTTCGTACGATGCTGTGACCAACACACCTGATCCAACTCCGAATGCTTTGCCTTTCAAAGAAGGATCACGTTTCAGTTCTACGGCTGCATAGAACATATCCATATCTGCATGTAAGATGATACGGGATAGATCACGCTGAGTCTCTAATTCCATTATTTGTTCATCAACTCGCTTCTCTGCTGCTATCCATGCGTCTCCACCTTCAGGGTAATTCTTCATGATCGCATCTCTTTTTGCCAAAAGATCATTTACTTGTCTTGTAGTTCTTTCATCACTTCTCTTTTCGTTTTCGAAATATTTAGAACCTTTTGAAGCTTCATAAATCTTTCTATTGATTTCATCTTGATCTGTTGCTAAGCCTGCTTTGGCACTTGAAGGTCCAGCCATTCGACGTCTGAGACTTGCCAATGCTTCTTCATCTTGTGCGTCATTTTTGGCAACAGTTTGTTCCGATTGTTTTTTATTTGGCGATTTTTGAAATTTAGCAGCTGTGATATCCTTTGTTGCATCAAATGCATCAATATCTCGATCACGATGAAAACGTGACATCGATAGACTGTTGCCAGGGTTAGGAATTGACCCTTTTGATCATTGATGGCAATCTTTTGGTAGGTGATGGTCATTGCGTATATGCATTCAAAAGTTAATTTACACGACCAAATTCTACTCACGCGAATAATTTTTGGTCCTCCCGGAGGTCCTCGCTTGAGTGCACTTTGCGCTGAGCTGCTTTGGAATGCCTCTTTTATCGTATCGGCCCTTTAAGGTAGATGATTCTTTTGTTTAGTGCGGTGCGTAAGAGGCCAAGACGCATGGCACAAGCTTAAAATGCAGCACTTTGGCAGAGGTGTTGCTTGACATGTTCACGCACGCGCCACGATGTGTGGCCCATTAACCAAAGGAAAACCTTCAATACACCTTCCGACCATCACAACGAAATCATCAAGAAAGCAACATCACAGATTGCAGTGGTCAATCAAATCATCTTCAGACCCAAGAATACGACATCAATCCTTTCCTTACGACACTCGCAGGAGGAATCCACGATACTCACTCAGACAAAGTTTCTGTCGCGTTTTTCACCTTTTTTTCATTTCAGTAATGACCGCTTAATTTCACTTTCAAGCGCCTTTTTAACGATGGCAATCAAATCTTCTCATCTCGGCGAAGTGCTTTGAAGAAAAAACTTGAAGCTTTTGCATTATCAACATGACAGAAATCGCTCAAAAAGCAGGTCTTGACGCCGGAGGTCCAAGCTCGTCCTCTTCTCCTTACCCCTCCCAAACCCCCTCTACATCAAAAGGGGAAAGGACTACTCCTATCGAAACACCTACTTCTTCGCAGGATCAGCCTTTACAGAAGCCTAGAGTACGAAAGCGCTCCTTTTTTGGAAAGGCATCGAAACCTTCTACTCCATCAGAGCCAGTGCCTTCGTTTCCGCAAAATGTCAATAATTCTGAGAGCACAAGACGAAACGAAGATGTACCCCTCGTATCTCCTATGGGAAGACAGGATGATTATCTTTCTGTACCAACTCAAACTCCTTCGGAACGCTCTCCTGTTCGCAGCTTTATCTTGCGTAGACAAGGCCATGGAAGATCTCCCTCAACATCCGCTTTACCCTCACCCCCTCCGACAGGGTTTACTTCTTACGACGATCAAACATCATCCCCATCGCCTAAAGAATCCTTGAAATCTCACGATCTACCAAAGCAGGAGTTCAGGGAAGGTGTTTCGCAAAGTCTAGGGCGTAAAGCGGGAACGATGTCTGTCGCCAATCAAAATTCTAATTGGTACAATCGTGGTCCTATGGCGAAAGCACATGTTTTGAGCAATGCAATCACACGAGGCAGAGATCGGTCTGCTTCGGTAAATGCATCACCTCGACCTGCAAAAAAGCATGACAAGCTGATGATTAATGCAGAGAAGGACAGTAATCTTTATCGTGTCCCTGAATCGCCTGGATTCAGCACTCCCAGTAGTCCGCTCAACCTGAGAAGATCTTTCAGTAGGAGGAGCATTTATTCTTTACGCGGTGATCAATCCTCATCTGAGATAAGTGAAGCAAGTCAGGGACAGCGTGATGCGCCATTAGGGGCTGCAAGTAGTACTCCAAATGCTAAGCCGAGAAGAAAGTTATTTGGACGCCCAAGTAGCCGAGCGATTGATGTAAGCTCTTCATCCAATTCTAATTCGATACCCACCGGAAGTCACCATGATGACAGATCTTCATCTGATCACTCTTCTGGTCACCCGTTCAAGAAACTACATCATGTAAGCAGCAATTCTATGCTCCAACCCAAGAACGGATCAGCAGGTCTGGATCCAATGGCATCGACTGATAGTTTAGCTAGCAATAGTACCAGTAGTGTTTCACGCGGTATCACACGGAGAGCTGGTGAGATGATCCAAAAGTCTGCATCGCTTGCCAATTGGGGTAGGAAAAGCCGGTCTACCCTCAATGTTGCTGAGGAGATTGAAGAGCAGCCAACTTCGACTCCAGCTGTTAGCGAAAGCGAAGCAAGATCTCCAAGTATTTCTGAGTTTGGCGCTACGAATACGAATTCATTATCTTCACCATCAGCTGCTCTTCATAGTAGCGCAACCGAAGCAGGAATTCCCAAGCGATTAAGCGGCTGGATCTACAATATGCTTGGCAATGACGCAGAACAGACCAATGCGACCAATGAAGTCGGAATTCAAGTTTCAGATAGTACGGCAACGCTAAGACAGGTACCTGAAGCTCATCAAAGGAACCACGAATCGACTTTACGCGGTTCACAAGATGGAAGTGCAAAGAATTCGGGTGAACTTTCGAAATCTGTCAACAAGGACAATGATCCGCCTACGATTACATCTAGGTCACGTACTGCAGGTCTTTTGTCAGCTTTGGCTGTTTCTGGACGAAATCGAACAGAAGGAAACACTCCTAATGCCGCCTCTAATCCTTCAAGCAGCAATGCAATCGGAAGTGGGGTGGGCGTTGCAAGGAGTGGATTGGATCGAGCATTGCGCTACTTTATCGATAACTCCGAACAAGATTCTGATGCCGAAGTTGGTGCTTGGCTTTTGGGTGTTTGGCATGGTCCTTCAGGAGACAATTCACCGGTCATCTCTGCAGATATGACGTCCAAACTACGGCCTGCCATTGAGGTTTCAGATGCTACCCCTGAGCGTGAGCAAACTGGCAGAGCATCAACGAACGCAGAAGCCACGACGAGCAGTAGTAAAATTGATAGCGAACAAGGTCATGAGGATGACAGTTCGATAGCCAGCAGTGCCCACCGTACGCGTGAAACGTCTCCATCAATAGCTTCTGCAAGCTCAAGAGGAAGTGTCAGCAAGAGAAAGAGCTCCAACAAAGTGGAAAGTGACGAAGTGATCGTAGGAGATGAAGCTCAAATTGTGGCCCGCAATCCACCCACACCTCAAACGTCGCCCATCATTCCACAAAGTCAGATTACATCGTCACCCTCTTCTTCACGGAGGAATCGTCGTCCAATGCAGGCGGCAGAAAGTGCTTCGAGCTTAACCACTGCCCTTCGGTCTAATGCAGACAATCAAGTCAGCTTCCAATCCGATTTCAGTTCACGGATATGGTGCACATATCGATCTCATTTCACACCAATTGCTCGTGATGGGACAATTTCCAGTCAAGCTGAGAATGCAGCAGCACTAGCAGCCGCACAACACACCTCTTCAACAGGACAAATGCAAGAAGGAGCAAGAGCAACACCGCAAAAATACTTAGGTGAAGGCCCACACTCCTCTTCAACTTCGATATCCACACCATCCAGAAATGCACAACATTCATCTACGCCTCAACATTCTCTTGGCAATGCTTTCGGTATCAGTCCACCGCCATCCTCTTCACCATCCAACCCTAGCCAAGGTGGAGGAAGTGGGATCGGATTAGGGGAACGGATGGGAATACCAAATCTATGGAATCGAGCAACTGCAGCTGCGCAGGCGTATGGATTGGCTGGAAGATCTGGACTCACAACTGATGCAGGATGGGGTTGTATGTTGCGAACGGGACAGAGCGTCTTGGCGAATGCTCTACTTAATGTTCATCTTGGCCGATCTTGGAGACGGAACGGGAAGCCAATACCAGCTTCGCAAATTGATGATGGCCGAAACACCAACGAAAGCAAAGAGTGGCAAATGCAAAGACAACAATATGCCAAGTATGTACAGTTACTTTCCTGGTTCATGGATGAGCCCAGTTCTGCATGTCCCTTCGGTGTTCATCGAATGGCAAGGGAAGGGAAGAGACTTGGCAAAGAAGTTGGTGAATGGTTTGGACCCAGTACAGCCGCTGGTGCCATCAAGAAGCTTGTTGATGAATTTCCCGCATGTGGTTTAGGTGTGAGTGTGGCAAGTGATGGAGTCATCTACCTAGATCAAGTAAAGGTACAAGCTTGCAAGTCGAATGTCAACGGACAGAAACGTGCCAGTGCACTCCAAAAATGGGAACGCCCAATTTTGGTTTTGATTGGTGTTCGATTGGGATTAGAGGGTGTTCATCCTATGTACCATGATTCCATCAAAGCAGCCTTTTCGTTCCCGCAATCGGTCGGTATCGCAGGAGGTAGACCAAGTTCGTCTTATTACTTTGTTGGTTATCAAGGTAATAGCCTATTCTATCTAGATCCGCATCACGTTCGCTCCAGCGTTGCGTTCAAGCATCCACCACCTTCGATGGAAAACGATGATGAATGGTGGGCTCACGCTTATTCCGAGCAAGAATTGGCCACCTTCCATAACGATCGTCCAAGACGAATGCCGATGAAGAGTTTGGATCCATCAATGCTTTTGGGATTCTTGATTCAAGATGAAGAGGATTTGCATGACTTTGTCGTTCGCGTCAAAGCATTGCCACGTCCCATCTTTAGCGTTCTGGACAGTATGCCAAAGTGGATGATGGACGATTTGGATGACGATCTTGATGCCGAAGAGAAAGCTATCGAGAGTATCTCCGAAAGTTCTGCAGATGACTTTGAGCTTGAATCGGAGAAATCCAACGCGACACCAGAAAAGAGCAACGTTGAAAGAAGTGCGCAATCGATCGTTACTGTTGGAAATTCGAGCTCACCTGAAAGAAGCTCAGAGGAGAGGCGGAAAGAGAATTTGAAAGCCCCGGAAGACCCGAAAGGTAAAGCAAGGAGTGGTCGATCTAGACAGCAGCGAAAGGTGACACCAAGTACTTCCAACACGGAGGAGCCCTTGTCACTGAGCACCAATAGTACTCAAACGCCAAGATCGGAAGCAACATTTGAATTCATCAGTCCACACAACGAAGCACCAAATGGATCGGAACCGCCTCCAGTCCCATCCAAGGGGTCTACTCCCGTACCGATTGCATTTCCCACATTCGCCAGCAGAGATGAAGACGATGATGCAAGTCCAAACGAGACCTTTGATGTTGGCTCATACGACGATTCCAAGGCAGTTCATTCAGTCTCATCTGAAGAGCCTGAGCATATTTCATCTGAACACACAGCCAAAACCATTTCAGGTAACGAGGTGCAGGTGATCGAAGATGCAGACGATGAGGACAGCAGAGAAGATCTTGCGGATGTGGGCGAGAATGATATCGACGCAGCTTGGGAGGATTTGCAAGATGATATAAGATGTTCACCAAGGGTGGACATTGGTCGTTGGAGTCATGCAGATGCAATCATACGACGAGCAGAGGCAGAAGAACACACACAATCACACAATCTTGATTCTGGTGATGAAGAAAACCTACACTCATAACAACAACGAGAGAGAGAGAGACGGACATATACCCCTTTTTTTCAGCACAATTTCCTCACACATATTTCTCAATCGGCTATGCTTTTCAAAGTTTATATTTACAGGTTTCAAATCTTATGTATGCTTTTATTCCATGTATCTTATGCCCTTCTTAAACCTTTACCTTGAACTTATTTGGCTCTCTAAAAGCCAGCTTCCGTTCCCTCACATCTTATTTAAACTACATACCCTGCCTTTTGGCTTTAAATTGATTGCTTTCTCCCGTGTCCTAGTGAATTATAATAGCATTTTTAAAATGTAGCAATGTGCGTGATATACAATAAAAGATAGACAACAAACAGCAAGCCATCAGCTTATGCTGCTTTTGCCTCCACTCTACCGATGAGTTCCCGTTCTCCTTGTTGATAACCACACTTTGAGCAGGTACGACCAGGAATGTCGGATTTCCATTCATCGATGATGGGTTTAAGTTGTGTTCCTAAATCTGTACATAGGAATCTCTTTTCTTTCACTACGAACGGTTTGTTCTCATGTGCTTCCAAGTTTGGACAATACCAACGCATCGCATCTTCTTGTTCGGTTGGACGTGTGCGTTCTACTACCAATCCAATCGTATCGGCAAATCTGCAAGGTGAATGAGGTGTGTTTGCTATGTCGTGCGACAACAGGTAGGGTATGAGTCAGTGTTCACGCATCTTCAGTATTTGACCCGCATATACTCACCTGGCAACATGAACATCTCTCCTTCACCGATTTGAATATCTCTAAAATTTCCATCATCGATCACTTTGAGTACCATTGCACCTTTGACTTGATAGAAAAATTCTTCTGTTGGTTGAAAATGATAATCGCTACGTGCATTTGGACCTCCAACAACCATTACAGTATAATCTTCTGATTTGAATAAACAGAAATTTCCCACTGGAGGTTGAAGCAAGTGCTTGTTCTCGCTTAACCATTTATCGAAATTAAGTGGAATCGGAAGCATCTTTTTTTGGGGAGGAGCAAGCGGTTGTCGTTGTTGGTGCTGACTTTTAATCGATCGATCGATCTGTCTGTCTGTCGATTGACTCAAATGACGTTAATAGATAACGATATGATGTGATGGCTGAGGACAAAATCCAATCTTTTTCTCTCTGGATGTACACGAGTGAGAGAACGTTGACGGTATTTGGTGAATGTGGACGGAAGATAAGATTCCGTAATGAGCTTGTTGGCCAACTGCAAATCGTTGATTTTCTTTCGGTGCCGTTTTCCGGACTTAAGAAAGCAAAAGTCCGTTGCATGCTGCACACACGCACAGTCATAGCTGCATTGATAAGCGCAAATCTCGCCAACTTTTCTCCACAAGCCCGTATGACAATATTCTGCGCTAAAAGAGGGTTGCATTACATGAACCGTTAATCATCATCATCATCCTTATATAATCACCACCACCATCATCAGATGTGGCAGGCCTATTTTTATAGACACAACACACCATTTCCCTTTTGTTGAGACATGTTTGAAATACCGCCAGAAATTATCGTATCACAAAACATTCTTTAAAGAAACTTTACAGCTATGACTCGAATAATTTTCTGATCGGTACCGAATAATTAAAGGTCCGAGAATTTGGAACGCCGTCCCTGGAATTTATTGACGAAAAATGGCGAATAAAATAAGATGATCATAAGGCTTTCAAGCTGAGAAACACATATTGTCAGAGCACAAAGGAGATCTGAGCGTTATCCATGAAAAGTCCGCTTGACAGATGCACGCAAATTGCATCGCTTAGCCGTAATATGATCGGCACTGGCCTTGTGTTAAATTGAACAATGGTGCGTACAAATCGGGGATATTTTGGACAGACGTCGGAAAATGAAAACATTACTGAAATTAATCGTTCCAACGATGCGTATCTCAGTAAACAACATTGACGATCACAGTAGTTGTGCTCTTGAGAGATGTACAAAGGGACAGAGAACGGAGTACCGCTTCCTTCATTCCTTCTTTTTTTATTTGGCGTAAAATTGCTTATCTCTCTATTCAAAAACATCAATAAATTCTTTTAGAAGAAAATGTTTTTGTTTTGTAAAGTAATTCAGAAATATAAAAGCCAATGAGTAAGCAGCATTCGCTTTCCCTCAAACCACGTAAATTCCCTTTTCCCCCGAACACAGTTACAGAACAAAAAATGTCAAAAATCACCAGAAAGGCCTACTTTGTAACTTTGTTTGAACGCAATGATTCCAACAAGCCTCAATTCGCTATCGAACATCTAAAATGGCTGTTACAAGAAACGGTAGAAAAGTACGATTCAGGTATCACTGACGCGGCAAGATTCGTACCGATTGGTATTCAAGTTTATTTGTTACCTTTTTCTGATGAACCGCAAACGATCATACTTTCACATGGTAAGCGAAACTTGTTTATCACTGTGCTAGAAGACGAACGTGAAACATATCTCGATGAGCAAGAAAGCAAGTCTTTACCAAGCTGGAAGGTTCTGTGTTCATTGTTGTCATGCACAGCAGGCAATGCATCATGGTCATTGCAGCACCTTAAGATCCGTTTGACAAGTCTATCTGCAAGCGAGTTCACATACTTGCTTGCTAGCAAATTTGATACCCCTGTCAGCATGCTAGACCTAGATCTCATTGCAGACATGACTATTATCAAGTATAAATCATACCTTTATCCATTTATTTTAGGTGAGGAGCTTTTAGGAGATCAAAAGATGGCAAAAATCTCATCAACAAGTGCTGCCGAAGTCACTATCGAGAATGTAGAAGTAACGGAAACAATTGTAAATTACTTAGGTCATTTGAAACTAGCAATAGCTGCATACGAAGCTTCCCGCCACGTTTATCTTGTCTATTCTAATTTATCTATGGAAAAAGCATTTCTCAACACCGAAATTATTCAACCAAGACTTTTGGCTTACTTGGCAGAGTTCAATAGTGTGGAAATACTTTTATGCCTGGCAAAAGATACGCTAGAAGATGTCACTTTACAGCTTGATGCAACTCGAGCGCATTCGGATGATTTCAGAAGCGATGGTGTATCTTATACGCTTTCCAATAGCGGACATACGATCACCGTTCAAAATATGCGTTATCGTGATCAATTGATGTTCAGTCAACGTCAAAGTTTACAAATAAAATTTACCCATCGAGGCAAAGCATACAAATGTCGTGCATATGTGTTGTATGCTAAAGGTAAAACAACAACGATCAAATTGGTAGGAGAGGATGCTCATAAGTTTACTCTTGGTCAACCTCCGATCATCACTGAAGTCTTATGTCTAGGACGAGAGGATTATTCAATCTCGGAGGTTCAAGGTATCATCTGGCGTAGAGATTTATTGAACTCTGTCAAAGCTTTTAGCAAGTTAGGTGATGCAATTCTGTTAAATCCTCTCCTGTTCGGCGACACTCTCACGGTAAAAGAAAGCTGTCCGGACGAAAGTACGGTGAAAGTATTCGAATATATGGCAATGGATGACTATAATGTGATCAAAGATCGTCAAGATGAACAAAGCTTGAACGCTTCTCAAGTCAAAGCTGCTATGGCGATTCTTTCACCATTAAAGAAGTGTACTTTTACGCCGGGCAACATTTTTGAAAGCAAGACATACGAAGCTGGTGACCGTCTTGTTGAGATCCATGGGCCACCAGGCACAGGAAAAACGAGTTTGATTAGTGCATGCTGTCAACAATTCATTGCAAGCCTTGTTGGGGGCTTTTCTCTTGGAAAGAGTAACACAATTTATGCTGTTTGTCAATCAAATGTGGCAGTCAAGAATATCGCTTTGTCCTTGAGCAAAAAGAATGTCAAGTACAAAATCATCGTTTGTGATCGTTTCCAGGTATGGCATCAAGATTTGTACAAGGATATCTCTGAAAATCTGATCATTTCTGATCGTTTGGGAAAGAATGGATCATTTGCCAACCTTTTTCGAGATTGCAACGTAATTCTTTCAACGATGGCCTTCCTGTCCAGCCCACGTATTGCGGAAATCAATAAGATTCGTCCAATGAGTTTATTGATGGTCGATGAAGCTTCACAAATTCATCTTCGCCATTATCCTCATCTGTTGAGCTATTTCGGCAAAACACTTGGCAGGGTTGTATTCTTGGGAGATGATAAGCAATTGGCTCCTTTCAATGCAGAAGAGGTAGCGCAGGCCGGAACAAGTGTGTTTGAATTACCACATCTCCGTGAGAAGGCATTGTTGCTCGACACAACTTACCGTCTTCCGGTACCTCAAACTGAATTCATTTCGCAAATGATATATGATGGCGAATTGAAATCTGGACCGGAAAATTTCGATCCAAAAGCAGGCATCGTTGGTTGCGTTTCTTTCATCGATGTTCACAGCGGAAAAGAAAAGATGCGTGAAAGCAAATCAAAATACAACAAGTCAGAAGTTGAAGTAATTGTTCAATTGGTCCAAGCGTATGTGCGTCGTGGTTTGAAGCTTTCAAATTTGAAAATCTTGACTCCCTATGATGCACAAAGAATGCTTTTGGAGAAGGAATTGATGAGAAAAGGGTTATGTGCAAATGCTGATATGGTTTTCACCGTTGATTCATTTCAAGGCCATGAGTCCGAGTATATCATCCTTAGCTTGGTTCGCGATGGTCACAAAACAGAAGAAAAGATGAACAACGGCGGCAAAAAAAGATTCAAACGTAAGAATGGCCGAGAAGAAGATGATAAATCAAACCCTCTTCATCGTTTCCATTTGGGTTTCCTTAACAACGATCGTCGTACGAACGTTGCCATCACCCGTAATTCACGTGGTTTGATTGTCGTTAGCAGCAAACGATTTATCGAAGGGAAAGGATCGTCCACCTTGATTGGCAAGTTAGACGAATACATCAAAGACTCAAAAGAAGACGGTGAGACCGCTCATTGGGTTGACGAACGAGATGCTTTGACTGGCAAGTTACCCACGCATATCTTCTGCAAAGAGTGAAGAAAGAAAGTAGATCCTGGTTATCGTCCCCGTGTATATCAATGTAGTCATAGAAACTTAGAGAGATAGAATCATACAATAACGAATAATATAATAATCAAGTCGAGTCTTTGTGTGTGCGAATAGATGATGGTGATAGTAAAGGCAGGAACAGCATTGAAGCCTTTGAATTTTTATCCGTCGGCGTATCGCCGCGCAGCGCTAAACGGAAAAAAAGCTGAGAATTTTGAAAAATTTAGTGCATAGACAAATTTAAGATTCTTCTGCAACGAAAACTTCCGCTTTAACCATCATTCAGGAGTCCATCAGCAGCATGACGCAGGTTGCTCGATTGGGAAAAGAGGTGGTCAGTTATGTTCTAGGACCATCGGAAGAAGTGTCGAGAACAGGCAAGAGCAGTACTGCAAACAACAATCTAAGCTCTTATGCTGCCCTTCTTGCGTTGAATAATCCTAATGCATCAGCACCTGTTGGAACCCTTAGAGGATTGGTCCAATCGCCAAGTGGGTCTTCCTGGACAACTGCAACTTCACAAGATGGATCATCGACTTTAATGATTCATGCAGATCGTCAAAGGCCCGTCATTCACGTACATGTACATCAAAGCGCTTCCGGATCTGCTTCAAGTTCAACAACATGTCCGTTAACCGCTCGTTTACATCCACCAGAGTCTACATGTGCTCTTGCTATCTCGCCCGATGGTGCACTACTGGCTGCAGGATCTATCTCTGGTCGATTGTACGTATGGCATCTGGCATCCGGTCACCTATTAGCATCTTTGGACGCTCACTTTAGAGCTGTGTCTTGTCTCCAATGGACTGCTGATGGTCGAGCTCTAGTCTCTGCAAGTGAAGATGCCCGAATCATAGTATGGAGCAAAGAAGGTTTACTGGACAGTACTTCTGGATCTCTTGATGGTGCAGCAGCACTAGAATCAAACGCTCGTCCATCGCCGTTCGCAATTCTAGCCGATCATGTTGAAGGAATAACGTCTATCGCTTTATCCTCTTCATCTCGTTCGGCAATCGCATCTTTTCCTTCGCTCAGAATATTCTCAGCATCAAAGGATGGAAGTGTGAAGTTGTGGGACGTTCGAACGCGATCTTTGGTTGCAACATGGACGTTCAACGGACCTGTGATGAAACTTGTTTCGGATGTTGGATTCCGTTCATTCTTTGTTATCGTCAGAGGTAGAGCAGTTGTACACAACAGTAAGAAAAAGACTGGAAAAGCAAAAGAAGCAGATTTGGACGAGGATATGGATGATGAAGATGGACAGGAGTATGATTGGGTACGTCGTATTGATTTGTTTGGCGGTAATGCCCCAGATCCAACTTCAAAGGGTAGCGGCTCGACTGCGTCTTTGTTCCGCATTGAAGATGCACCTCAATCACTGGTCTACAGAGCCAATGCAGATGTCAAACTTACCGCTCTGGCGATCTCCCTGAGCGGTAGCCATCTATTGGTCGGGACGTCAGATACACAGCTCCTATCGATCGATATTGCGTCATCTGTCGTCATTAGAACAACTCCTTTGGTTGTTGCCGGTCAAACGGGCATAGCAAAAGCAAGCGGAGGTAGTGCAGGTACAGCTGTTTTGGGACTTTCTACTTTCTTGATCGAAGATACGAATTCACTTTTACAGGGCGTATCAATGCGAACAAAAGGAGGTGCTTATGGGCGTTCAGGAGATGCACCTTATTGGAAAGTTGCTGAGAAGCTGGATAGAACGATTTTACCTACTGCAAAGAGTAATGAAGCGGCATCCGATGTGACATTCTTGATGCGATTAGAGCGTAATGATGTCTGTCAAATCGTCAAAGATCTTGCTCCGCCTTCTTTGCGCGAGGCTGAACTTGAAATGGCTGACGGTCTTGCTTATGGACAAACGAATCAGACAAATGGCGCCTCTGTGACAAATGCAGAAGAGATGCAAAAAGCCCAAGATCGAATTGCTGAGTTGGAAAATTACAATGTCAAATTGAACGAATTGCTTAAACGTGCACAAAAGACCAATGCAGGTTTATGGGAGCGTGTCGTGCAAGATTCTGTGTAACAGAAAACCTCTGATAGAGTTTTGTGGGAAAACGATCATGTATTTATAGAAAGCATACGGCATTAATGAAAACAATTGGTGTACGTGTACGAAAGAGAGAGAGAGAGGGCAATAAAGCAGGAAATTTATGAGCGATCGAGCGAGAGACAAAAAAGCGAAAAGGAATAAGAAAAGTGCTGGTTGAGAAGAGAGCGAGAAAACGAAGCAATTTTATTGCATTTCAAAAATCTTTGGAGTATCCCATGCTTCAGGTCCTTCTTTGCTGGGTTCTTTACCGGATTCCTTCTTTGCTTTTTCCGAATCACCAAAAACTTTTGCACGGGTTTTGAAGTACGTAAGTCCATCTTCGCCGCCATATTGCCATTCAGGCTTTTCACCTTTAACTTCATGGAACCAACGTGGTTTATTGTTCTTGCTTGATTTTCTACGTTCACGTTGTTGACCTTCAAGCTTTTGTTTAAGTTCTTCTGCTTTGTCAACGTCACCTTCTTCGAACGCACGTTGATCGGGTCGTAAACGTGTGTCGGTTGGAGGTAATTTACCTTCGATATCCTTTGTGATCTCATTGAGAGACATGGCGAAATAGGTGAAACCGTAATACTTTTCAGCATTGTCGGGCATATCGTTTGCTTCCCATAATTGTTGGTAATTTTCAGAATCCTTTTGAATGGCAAGATTGTCACTCCATTTACCCTTCAAAGCGGTCACCTTCTTTCCATCTTCGTCATAGACTGAACCAATGACTTGGTTTCTGGAAGCAGAGCTGCCCCACATATTACCTTCCTTGAATTCAATCACAGCCTTCTGTCCAGTCTCCTCGTTGGTGACTGTAAGTTCACCGACATGCTCGAGGTATTTATTACCAGCCAAAAGGTTTCTCATGAAGGACGATGGCTTCTCAATGGTGAATGCATCTCCGTCATCAAATTCAACACGAAGAGTACCTTCCGGAATCAATTCGAGAGATTTACCCCAGAATTTATTCTTGACCGAACTCCAACCGTCAGCTTTCCATCCTTTACCTTCGGCGTGGTATGCCATAACAGGAGGATGATGCAGTACCTTTTCGGCAATGAAGCGTAATTGACGATCTTCACGAACGCATTCAAACGTTTCACCTAGCAAAGGATTGAAAGGCTTACGACTTGCACGTAATTTTGTGGATGCATAACTGCTCACAGCGAATGCTGCTACCAAGCATATCCTTCCAACCCAATCACCTTTTGCTCTTGAAGCTCTTTCGAGTAAATCAGGAGCATATTCGTATTCTTCAGCAATTGCTTGCAAGAGTGAAAGTGGACAATTGAACGAAACAGGGAAAGAGACTGTAGAAAGATCTTTTCCGACATTCTTTTTCAGCATTGAAAAGAGTGAAACTTCATCACCTGAAACAGGTGCAGGCAATTGATGACGATATCCGATCTTTGGACCACCAGCACCTTCTGAAGGAGATTCACCTGAGATCGGCTTGCCGTCATCTTCACCACTTTCATCATCGTCATCGTCTTCATCTTCGGCTCCGCTGCTTTCTTCGCGACTGCTTTCGCCGCCGTCCACTAAGCCATCGCCGCCCATTGAGGCATCCGCATCGAAGAACGTAGCTTCATCGTTTGAAGTATGGAAGCTGCTGATGCTCATTCTGTGACCGGTTGTACGGGATTGAATACTGCTCATCGTTCCATGTGGGATGTCGCTTGCAGGAATTTTGCTTTCGAGTGCGTGTTGCAGATTACCATGTTCAGCCGAAAGAGAATCGAGCAAGGTTGACAATTGCGCCAAAGGCGAATCTTCTGCACTTTTACCTGGAATGAGACTCATTAGGTAATTTTGATCAACTTTATCACGTTGCATCTGCTTGACTTTATCAGAGATTGCTGTGATCAAACTACCAACAGTTCTTGAAGATGCAAATAAATGGGAAAGATCAACCGGTTCTAAATCATTACCGTTTTGAGAGGATATATAAATACGTCTTTTTGCCCCTTCTGCGCTTTCAGGGATGAAAGATTTTAATTGATCACGCCAAGTATCAAAATCGGTGGCCCCTAGCATTTTGATATGAAAGACGGATGAACCGCTGTCAACGTGTAAAGTGCCATGACGTTTACTTGTTGTTACACTGGCATGCGGAATTGCGATTGAATCACGAGTTAGTTTATCAGGACCTGTTGCGTATGTTAAGATTCCATCCCTTGTTAAAACGAGAAAGCGTTTTGCATAACCCTGCATCTTTTTACGCTTCTTCTTGAGTACCCATCCTGAATGCAGAACGTCCAAGTCCTTCACTTTCATATGACGAGCATATTCTTGTTCTTCTCGTTTACGTGCTGGCATTGCGTGGTAATGATGACCAGTCTCTATATGGAGATGGGGATGAGAGAAGAAGTAAGAGTGACTTCGAGTGTCCTTTTGTTGGTGTACCAGTAGAAAGGATCGTATGTAGTCTGTTTTGAGTTGAATGAATGCAGAAGAGTCTTGCCAGTGATTACAGTTCAAATGCTCCGCGTTTCACTTTTAGTCAATCGGCTGAATCACTTTCCGGGCACAAGAACAGTTAAACAGTTAAGCATATCATTAGCGTGTGTGTGTGGGCATTTCTTCCCTTTAGCCTCTGCTGCTTAATCTTCCTCGCCTTTTGAACTCTCAGGAGTGGGGTAGAAGGGAATTCTCCACTTTTTCAACCAATACAGTCAGTCAGAGACATGCTTACTCTCTCTTCGATGGTAAGCTCGTGTGAATAAATTATAGTAGCATCATTTCTTCCCATCCTAAAAGGGTTTTAAAGATCTACTAAGATCATCCCGTTTTAGTCATAATGTGGGGACTTAAGGGCCTTATTCTCTCTCCACTCTTTCACACATACGCTATACTTCTTATGGCTTTTTTGTCTTTAGGTTCGGCCTCGGGCATACGCGTTGTTACTTCTTAACTTTAAAGCCAGAGCATCCCTTAACCAATCATCATATCGGCGATCAAAAGCAGGTACAAATGTAAAATCTACACAGCTTCAATAAACAGTAAGGATAAAGAGGTACATGTAAGAAATATAGCTGGACTACTGTATTTCAACCATTAAAGCTGCTTTCTCCTGTCTTTGCATGACGAACAAGTGTACGACGAATTTGATCGTTAGTAAATTGATCCATTTTCTTTTCTGCTTTAATTTCAGCATTCTTGAATCTTCTTTCTTGGTTTTTGCTCGCTGAAGTATGATCAGTTTGGCGGTTTTGCATAACATGAGAAATTTTATCCTTTTGCTTTTTGATATTATCTTCCAATTGATCAGCTAATTTGACATTAAGATTACCATCTTTACGATGCATGAGGTCATCCCACTTTACATCATTTCGATTCCACTTTTTCACAGAATTACGAAGGACCTTTGTTGCTTCTTTCTTTGTATAGTTTGGTTGTGAAGATGATGCTTCATCAGGAGAAGAAAGAGCAGAGGGTGATGGCGGCGGCGAGGAAGCGATGCTCAAAGCCGATAAGGAAAGCAGAAGAATGGATAATTTGATGATACTCATGATCGCTGCAGCAAATGATGGGATGAGAATGAGATCATCTGGTGTCTTAAATAGACTTCGACCTCTTTCGGAGTCATGAAGTAACACTGCTTGTTTTATACTTTTGGAGGCAGTGCGAGCGGTGTATCTTACATAATGTGTACACATTAATTCAACAAGGCATTGCTGATCAAACAAAGGCAGTGCCGAACAAACAAAGGCAATGCTGATCACATCAATGCCATGAGTCATCTGAAGAGTATCCTTCCAGTCCATTATCGATGATGTGTTGTTGAACATCATGGCGTTCATTACCTTTTATCCTTCTTTGTTCCTGCTCAGGGAATTTTTTGATTTTCTTATTGGCTTGGTTGATTTCATGATTCAAAGTTTTCGTCGTTTTCGGACTGCTCGGTCCTACTTCTGTGTTTCTGTTCAAAACACCCTCCAAAGTCTGCTTGTGTTTCCCAATTGCCACATGATGTTGATGTGCTTTTTGTCGATTTTTTGCCCGTGATCCAGAACAACAGAAAGCTTGAGCGAAATTTGCTTTATCGGTACGGTGTAACCAACCCTTTTCATGTCGTTCCATTGACTTTCTTGTGCTTCGGAGCGCTTCGGCATGATCTTTTGCTGTATAAGAATTGGTATCGAGATGCTGACCCAATGTCCTTGATGAGCGTGGAGAATCAAGATTTTGTTGAGGTTGAGGTGATGAAGCAGAGACGCTTGAAAGACAAGCAATTAGTAAGATGGATAGCTGCACCAATTGCATGTTGTCGTTGTAGAAAGTGCGGTAGAGTTTGATACCTTCACAACGTGTACTTACAAACATGCGTTTGTGATTGGGGCATTCCGAAGCATCGCCTTTGTGTAACAACACTTGTGAGTAGCTCAAAATACGGATTGTGTATATACAACTTGAAAAGTCAAGTGTAACACAAACTCTTCTTGTCTCCCTTGCGCAATCTACCCTACTTTCAACAGTGATGATGGCGAACTTTCCAAGCATCATTGTGTGGATCAGTTTTATTATTTATTTCTTTTCTACTGTTATAGCACGTAGCTTGTGGCAAATTGCGTCGACAGGTCATTCTGATGATACTATCCTGAGTAAAAGAGCCCATGGACAAGATGAAAGGCCATCAGAGAGAGCCAATATTCAAACGACTGAAGTTTCACCTAAGAAGAAAAGCGGACCGAAAAGGAAGATGGATAATGCAAACGAAAAGACGCAGCGAGTGCGTGAGAAAGCAAGGAATTGGTACCACAGAATTTCGCAAAAAGGACTTAAAGAGTAAGTCGAAAATTTGAAAACTCCCAACACAAGCTGACAACTTTTTTTAAAAAAAAAAGAGCTAAAGGAAAAGTATCACCAGAAACCGTGAGTTGATGACATCAAGCTTTCCCTTACGTTATCTGACCCGATTCACTCTTTCTAGTATGAAAGATTAAGAGATGCTGGAGAATATCGAAATGCAAGGGTACGAGTATATCAAAAAGCACAACGCAAAGCACGTAAGGAACGATTGGCGACAGGCAAGGCAAATGCAGCGGATTTACGTGCGGTAGCAAAAGCGAGAGAATACGCAGATTTACGAGCGTTGAAAAGGCGTAAAAAGAATATAGAACAACCTGAGCCTCTTTTGACAGATTCACAACAATCGGCCTTACAGATGGACCTCGGACGTGCGAATAGAATTGCACTTGAACAAATTCCAACGACATTCCAACCACACAAGCAAGCTAATAAAGATATGCAAAAGTCTAGTCCAGATAGAGAACAATGAAGCAAACGGTTACATTCACTGATCAGACATTGAATATGGTAGTAGCAATTCATAGCATCGACATGAGAAAGAAAAAAGAAAATGTATGCGAGTCATTGTAGTCAACAAAAACAACATTTATGAGTCCTTCTGATGACACATTTGTGAACGGGGCATTGAGAAACATCGCCTTTGTGTGACAGCCCTTGTGAGTAGCTCAAAATGCGGATTGTGTATATACAAGTTGAAAAGTCAAATGCAACACAAACTCTTCTTTTCTCCCTTGCACACTCTACCCTATTTTCATTAGTGATGATGGCGAACTTTCTAAGCATCATTATCTTTTCCACTGTTATAGCATTTAGCTTGTGGCAAACTACGTCGACAAATCATTCTGATGACACTATCCTGAGTAAAAGAGCCTATGGACAAGATGAAAGGCCATTAGAGAGAGCCAATATTCCAACGACTGAAGTTTTACCTAAAAAGAAAACCGGACTAAAAAGGAAGATGGATTATGTAAACGAAGAGACGCAACGAGTGCGTGAGAGAGCAAAACGGCTTGACAGAATTTCGTAAAAAGGATTTGAAGAGTAAGTCGAAGATTTGAAAACTCCAAACGTAAGCTGATAACTTTAAAAAAAAGAGCTAAAGGAACAATATCACTAGAAACCGTGAGTAAATGACATCAAGCTTTCCTCTACGTTATCTGACCCGATTCGCTCTTTCTAGTACGAAAGATTAAGAGAAGCTGGAGAATCTCGAAGAGTAAAGGATCGGGTTTACCAAAAAGCATAATACAAAGCACGTAAGGAACGATTGGCGATAGGTAAGGTAAATATAGCGGATTTACATGCGGTAGTAAAAGCGAGGGAATACGAAAATTTATGAGCGTTGAAAAAGCATGAAAAGATGACAGAATAACAACAGCCTCCTTTGATAGAATCACAATAATTGGAATTACAGATGGACCTCGGACGTGCGAATAGAATTGCACTTGAATAAATCCTAATGACATTTCAACCACACAAGCAAGCTAATAAAGATATGCAAAAGTCTAGTCCAGATAGAGAACAATGAAGCAAACGGTTACATTCATTGAACAGACATTGAATATGGTAGTAGCAATGCATATACAAAAATGAATAAGAGGTCGACATTAGAAAAAAAAGGAAAATGTATGCGAGTCATTGTAGTCAACAAAAACAACATTTGTGTGTCCTTCTAATGACACATTTGTGAACGGGGCATTGAGAAACATAACCTTTGTGTATTAGCTCTTAATAAAGATTGAAGCTTAGGTCGCAAATTGCATAGAACCGGGCTGAAAGCATCAATACTAGCACAGATTTCCCATGTCTACCACATTCTACCTTTTCGTAAGAATGGTACGCTTCCCATACATCATCTTTTGGATGACTTCCCTCTTTTGCTTGTTTACTGTCGCTTTGTCACGTAGCTTGTGGCAAATTGGGTTGACAGATCGTTCTAGTGACATAATCTTGAGTAGAAGGGCCCATGAGCAAGCTGAAGGACCATCACAACAGAATATTATACAATCCACTGAAGCCGCAGCTAGACAGAGACCTGGAGCAAGAAAAAGAACGCAGAAAGAGCGTGAAACAGCACGAAAATGGCTTCATAGTATAACACAGAAAGCACTGAAAGAGTGAGTAGATAGTGAGACTAGATGCGAGTAGGTACTTACAATTTTCCACAAACAGAAACAAAGGTAGTTTATCACCTGAAACTATGAGTATGTGTTATCAGCCTTCCTTTGCTTTTGCTGACTCTATCCAATCTTTCCAGTATGCCAGATTAAAAGATGCTGGAGATTATCGAAGAGCAAGGCATCGAATCTATCAAAAAGAAGCACGCATGGCACGTAAGGAAAGATTGGCAGCAGGAAAGCCTACTGCGTAAGATTTACGTGTGGTAGCCAGAGAAAAGAGGTTCAACGAATCACGACGGAAAAAGAAAGAAATTGAAAAGGAACAAGAAGAATCTTTGACCCCATCACAACGTCTAGGCTTGAAGTTTGACCTTGGTCGTGCGAATAGAGCTGCACTTGAACAGATACCAATGACGTTTCAACCACACAAACAGGCTGATAAGGATGTGCAAAAGTCTGACACAGATAAGAAACATTGAAACTTGCCGTAGTATTGATAGATCAGACATTGAGTGTAGTAGTAGATATTCATATTCTAAAAGTATTGATAAGAACCAAAAGCAAAAATCATCGGCCGAAAAGCACATCGTCACTGTCGTAGTCATAGTGTGATTGTGGATGTGCACCACGATTGATCCTCTCTTGTTTGAGATGATCCTTTATAACTGCATTACGATGTTGTTCTTGTCTAGGAAATTGATCAAGTCTTTTTTTAGCCCATTTGACTTCATGATCTAAACTTTTTTGAACTTTTTTATCTTTTGCAGGTCCAAAATCATCTCTGGCCAACGTTGTCTCTAATTCAGTCTTGTGCTCTCGGAGATTTTTACGATGAACATCTGCTCTTCCAGTATGATGACGAAAATGGCCACCATTTCCAAATAAGCAAAAAGCTTGTGAACAGCCAGCAAGTGCCGTTCTGTCACTATGTTTTCTGCCTTTCCATTCCTTTTCTGGCACTTCTAAGAGCTTGTGCGTGGTCATGAGCAGTATAAGTTTGACTGGAACTTGAGCCAACGACTTGCTTAGGAGAAGAGCGAGGAGACTCTGGCTTGTTAGTAGCGCAATATACACTACCAATCAGGAGTGCATTCAAGAAGATCAAAATGTATGAGAAGCGCATCTTCGGTACTACTATAGAGCAATGCTTTTTCTGGTGGGAGACAAGATTCTACAACCATATCTGAATTATATACCTTTCAAATCATCAGACTTTGTCCATCAACAACGGGGCGATCCGTGTATTTCTTGACCGCCCCATCGCCAAGTGAGCATGCAACTGTACACGGGTCTGAATGGTAGTGAGTGTCGAATATATGCATTGTCATGTTTAGTAATCGCGTGCGTACAAGGGGGCGAATTTTTGGTGGAGGTTTTTTACGCTAATCAAAAGAGAAACAAGAAGATCTCTTCATTACGATCACTTCATCAAATAAGTAACTAAAACAAGTCATGGGAGGATCATCATCAAAGCCAGCAAGAAAGTTGGTAAAAGAAGCTGCATCATCGACACCTTTACGTCAGACTGGAGGTGCTTCAGCTTCTAGACCAGCACAAACGGCAGGGCCAGCATCAGCTCCCAATACACAGCGAAAGGCGACATATGGGGATCGACAGGAAGGCACTCATCAAATGCGATCTGATGAGCCACTAAATACAACAGGTCTACGTGGAGCTGAAGCTAGTGAGACAAAATCACAAGGTGAGTAAAGGTAAAGGTTGAAGTGAGTGGAGAATGTGTTGGCTGACATTGCTCCCTTTGTATTTAGCTGTTATGGATGATGCAAGAGATCCTCATCTGATGGCAAATCTGCAAAAGCTAGGCCAAGTACAAGTACCACGTGGAAAAGTGCACTTCCAGCCTCAAAATCCCATGTTGAACATTCTATCTGCCAGACAAAAGGATAGCGATCTAGAGAGAGAAGCGAACGAAGCAGCCACAACAATCTCCTCTTCTGATGGACGAAAGGTGGAGGGACAAAATACTCTCAAAAATCGAATGCCAATTTCTACAATCGTTGCTTTGTTAGACGCACGAAAGGAGTGTAAAACACAGGCAGACTTGAAAGAAGTGGCAAGAGGATTTGATATTGATGTTGAATTGATGGAACAGTTGGCTCGGTATGTCAATGCGCCTAGTGTTGATGCCGCCGATCGATTAAAGCAACAGAACCAAGGAATGCGAGTTGAAGATGGAGATGATGCATTGGAAAGAATAGAAGCAATTTGGACTGAACCAACTCTTGAATCTGCTAAAAGGATTAAGGCATAGGACTTTTAACTGCGAAGATGTACTAGTACTGTTTCCCCAGAGCAATGAATATCTGTATAACCTTCCCGAGATTAGACTTCTATTCGACCTTACTCCAAAGATGGTCTTTTGTTCATCAGCCTTTCTTTAAACCGGCTGCATAAATGTTCCGGTTTGGCATATTTGGCGGCGTGCAGGCTGATTGCGTTTAAACATTATGTATTGTAGGCGTGTTGCACACACTGCACTGCGTTTTTGCCTTTTCTGCATTCAACCCGGGGGCCCGGTTTATCCAAGGCCGGGCAAGTGCTATACTTAAAAGTGACAGTTTGATTTGATTGACTCCTCTCTTCATCCTCCTCTCTTCATTGGCTTACCATTCTACAGAATCGGCATTTTGCTCCCCGCATTCCATTCTCGAATAGCCGGAACAGAATCCATAAAAGAAGACACACATCTTTCGACTCGCTAGAAGCATCCCTCCTCCTTTCAACCACATCCATACAAACAACATTCAAAATGGTTCTCGTCACTGAATTGACTACAAAATTAGGCTTGACTGTACCCGTCGTACAAGGTGGTATGCAGGTGAGTAAGAGACGTGTCAATGGAATGTTTCGATTGCCATCATGCTAACATCTTCTCTTCATACAAACAGTGGGTCGGTACTCCACCTCTTGCAAGTGCTGTCAGCAACGCAGGCGGTCTTGGTATCCTAACAGCATTAACGCAACCTTCACCTGATGCATTACGCAAAGCAATTCAAAAGACCCGAACGATGCTCAAACCTGAAGTTGCAAACAGATGTTCAAAATATGGTGCAATTGGCGTGAATATCACTTTGTTGCCTTCTATCAATCCACCAGATTATCCAGGTTACGCAAAAGCAGCCTTGGATGAGGGTATTCGTATTTTTGAAACTGCTGGAAATAATCGTGAGTGCGAAGGGTTTTTCTGAGAGTATGGGCAGGTGCTGATCATTTGTTCCTTGTTCCATCATCAGCCGGCCCTGTGATTAAGATCTTAAAGGAACATGGCGCATACGTTATCCATAAATGCACTACAATCCGTCACGCCAGAAGCGCACAAAAGATGGGCGTAGACATGCTTTCGATTGATGGTTTCGAATGCGCAGGTCACCCCGGTGAAGATGATATTGGAGGTTTGGTTTTGATGGCTCGTGCTGCTGAAGAACTCAAGATTCCCTTTATTGCTTCTGGTGGTATTGCCAATGGACAACAATTGGCTGCTTCATTAGCACTAGGTGCAGATGGTGCAAACAGTGAGTAAAAGCATGTGCTATGGCCTAGATCTAGTTCACTGACCATTCTACCCCCTCTCTCTTCAGTGGGCACTCGATTCATGTGCGTCAAAGAAGCTGAAATTCATGACAATGTGAAAGAAGTGATGGTAAAGAGCGACGAAAGGGATACGATTCACATCTTCCGTACGCTGCGCAACACTGCACGAGTATACAAGAACAAGGTAGCTGTTGAAGTTGTTGAAAAGGAAAAAGCAGGATGCAAATTTGAAGATATTCGTCATTTAGTATCAGGAGAACGTGGTCGTCAAGTCTATGTTAATGGAGATATTGATGCGGGCATTTGGACTTGCGGTATTTCTGTTGGTTTGATTCATGACGTTCCTACTTGTGATGAACTTGTTCAACGTGTTGGAAAAGAAGCAGAAGATTATATTCATAAATTGGCAAGCTTGAGCGCAAACAAATCAAGCAATCAATCCGGCCGTGAAGCCAGACTATAGACGGTGCAAAAAAAGCAGAAAATTGATAGATTATTTTCCTTACTATTTATTTTGATCATCGTCTTGTGTATTTCTTAATTCGATCGCCATCCCAAATGAGGGGATTACTCCTAATAATTGGAAGATCAAATCAAAAAGAGAGGAGGAATGGCTTGGAAAGATGGCTTGTGCGTTTTTGTTAAAATTCCTAGGCCTACTTAAAGAAAAAAAGTTTCTCGCGTGAATTTATTGTTTATAAGCTTAAGCGCATAAGCTCAGTCGAAAGAAAACAAAGGCTCTTGTTTGCAATCATCTTTCTCATCATACACCCTCTGAGCTCTTGAATGGATCATAAAACCATGTCAAGGCAAGGAAAAGAAGGGCAAAATGATGGGGGACTGAAAGATAAACAGCAAAAGAGACCAATAATACGACAGTTAAGGGTACCAATACGATCAAATGTGACGGAAGAGTATAGAGGTAAGTGTTGCACACATGATAACGAAATGTGTGGAAATACTAACACATATGACCTCATTGGTATTACAGGCTTTATCCCTCTCCCGCATTCTGATATCATGGAAGAGGAAATCAGAACGTTGGATGCAGAAATCTTTTGGAACGACTATGTTAAGCGAAGGTGTCCAACTGTGATTAATGGACTGATAGACGATAATGGCTTCGATGGCGAAAGATGGAAGGATTTAAACTATCTAAGATCAATTGCTGGATCAACACAAGTCAAGATTGAACCTGTCGATCCCATCAATGATCGATTTGGAACGGGCGCTCAAAGAAGGATAGTTACGCTAAGTCAATTCTTAGATATGCTTCAAGATGAGAAGCAAGCTGGAAAGTGGTATATGACAACACAATACATAGACGATGAATCAGAAGAAGAAGAGATCAGCAATTCAACTTCCAGTGATTCAAGTCGTCAAGATGAAGCAAATAATCTCTTTCCCCGCTTGTCAAAAGATGGCACGATTGCTTCCTCCACTACAACCTCTCCGCCTACCAGCACAAGTCAAAAGCAGTCAGATTCGGATTCTCCTAGGATTCTTGAGGATGAAGAACTTCTTCCGGCACCCGACCTGGATTTCTCTTTACCTCCACCAACAGACGCCTTGGCACATTTGTTCCCACTTCCTACACCAAAATTACTTGGAGGATTGGTGTTGCAACAATGCAATCTTTGGCTCGGCAATGGAACTTCGGGTAAAAGTAGTGGTTTGCATCATGATTTCCATGATAACCTCTATATGGTATTGTCAGGCTGCAAGAGGTTCTTAATTTGGCCGCCAACCTGCCATCGTTGGTTAGAACCTACCGGAGATATTTTTCGCGTTCATTCAAATGGTTTGATCGAATATGATATCGCTGATGAGCCTCCTCTACGTGCTGATGGCTTGACGTCCCATGAAGCTGCTCTATGGCGAGTTCGTGCGAGAAAGAGAGTGTTGCTAGAAGCAGATGAAGCAGCAGCATCGCTAGCAGGCGAGGAGAAAGTCAAAAAGGCACTCCGGAAAGGCAAAGGAAAGCAAACGAAAGAACAAGAAGTTGCTCTGATACTACTACGGGAAGCTGAAATGCAAGAATTGATTATCAGAATGGACAACGAACGAAATTTAGAAGCGAACGGTAATGTAACTTCGTCTGACCTTTCTGATGATGAAATCGAAAGTGATTTCATGACAGATCGAAGTGATAGCTACGGTAATGGAAGCAAAGGTTTAAGTGATGACGAAAGCGATACTAGCCAAACGTTTGGAGCTCAACGTCAAAGTTTCGGCGATAAACAATTTGGCGGTGAAGGTTTTGATGTTTTCAAAGCTTTGCTTTCTTATACGCCAATGGAAGAAGGAGAAGATGATGATTCATTCGAAGAATCTGAAGGATCAATTGATGAAATTCAAGATGGTCAGCATCGAAGAAAGAGGAGAAGAGCAGGAAGCTTTTTGCATATTCCACCGGGCGGTTTACCTGGCGGCCTTCGTGGATCGTTACGCGATCCTGATGGAAGGTATGATAGTGACATCAGCGGCGATATTAGCGATTCGGATGAATTTATCATGGCTGCAATGGAAGATGACGGGCAGATGGGTCAAGAAGAGATCTTCAATTTGCCAATGGTACCCGTGATTGAAGGAGAATGGAGTGGGGAGGACGATGGGGAAGCGCTAGGAGGAAATGGTGCTGCTTTGCGCAGAGTCTTTCCTGGAAACGCATTTGAAGTGGTAAACAGCGAAGACGATGACGAGGAAGACAGCGATGAAGATGAGGATGAGGAGGAGAGCAGTGAGGAAGACAGCAACGAAGAGAAAGCCGTGGAGGTTGTTACCGATAACGATGATGTCCACAAGCTCCCATTTGCTCAGCTAGATGAGGTTAGCAGCGAGTCTTCAAAAGCCGGTGAGCCTGTAGAAGAAGATGAGGGATCTTCAGAAGGTGCTCTTATGGGAGAGGGAGAGGACGACTCGGAAGAAGATGAGGGAGCGCTGTTCGCAAAGCTTGCCAACGCAGAGGATGATGAGGACGAAGACGAAGATGAAGAGGAGGAGGACGATGACGACGAGGATGTCTGGCCAGAAGATGCAGAAGATGGAGAGTCTTTGCTTAATCAGCTTGCTGCTATGGAACAAAATAGTGCCCCACAAAATGGAGCAAAAGCCTTCTCTCCACCTACTGCAGCTGAAAAAGATGAAGACCCATCAAGTTTCAGTCGTATTGCCCCACAAGCATTGCATTGGTTCTTTGATGTGCCTAACGATCCGTCAAACAAAGATGAGATTGTATCAGATGATCCACCGCGCATTCCCGGTGGACCGACGCTTGTGCCACGGGAAAATTGTCCGGATCCATGGGAAATTCATCTCAAACCTGGTCAAATGCTTTATTTACCTGCAAGCTGGTATCATGAAGTGACTTCGTACTGTGATCCAAACGAAAAGGATGGAAATAACGTTCATATGGCTCTCAATTATTGGTTCCATCCGCCAACTGCTGTAGAAAGTAGGGAGGGGCTGTCAAAGCGAAAGCTTACTGCATTGAATCTTGACGGGACACCAAAAGTAGGCAAAGAAGCAAGAATGCAAGCAAAAGCACGTTCTTCAGGTAGCACGGATATTGATGAAAATGTTCCGTCTGCACGTCATCCTTACCTTGATAGGGAAGTATGGGATGAAATTCGAAGAGAGGTGAACAGAAGAGTTGACGAAATACGGAAAAGATCGGCAAAGAAAGCTGAAAGGGATGAAATCATCAGTGGGAAACGTAAAGCTGAATCTCCATCAATTGAGACAGGCGAAGAAGATACGACCGCACTTCCTCCCACGAAAAGATCACGCGGTGATGAATAAATTCCAATAGAAATCGAGATCTGTGACTTAATATGTATACAAGTGTAATATAGTACAAGAGCTGGCTAATCAGCTCGATTCAAGCTGTATAATTATATCTTTCAACCACATTTGGATGACTTCGAACGATACCTTTCCAAGCTTGGAAACCAAACACATCATCCTCCCGTCCCCATAGATCGCCTTTTGGAATATCTGTTACGACCGTATCCAAGCCTGCTTTCTTTCTTTCCTCTTGAGCTTTTTGCCAGATGGAAAGAACTTCTGGCGAAAGAGAATCAGAAGGGAGTGATTTGACGACCACATTCAAAGCAGGCGTACTAAAGTAGGCGACTGAATAACGATCGCCACTTGGCAGATTTGCCGAGTGTTCCGAATCTTCTGTATGAGACAGTACCCTATGTGCAGCAGCTGTGATTGCACCTCTGCTTACACGTTCGATCTGTTGACCAAAATTTACAATCATTGCGTTTGGATGATGATCGACGTCAATCCAATCGCCATTGTATGATTGAACTTGCAGTCCGCGATGTGGACTTGTGGCCAAGATTGTGATCCAGCCGCCATCTTTGTGTGCTCCAACACCTTGAGTGCTACCCTGTAAACGTTGAACGCCATCAATGTTTGCCGCACGCGGATAACGAATAGTTTTCATTCGTGCATATTTATGAGCGGTAGAAGATGTTTGATCTTCGGATTGTCCGGTAAGAAATTGTACCAAAGATCCTTTAGGTGCTCCCAATGCAGCCTCTAGTGCCTCTGTGAGAGAAAGTGAGATATTTTGACAAATATCAAGCCAACGCAAAACCAATTCACGGTGTCCTGGCAAGACTTCATCGGGCAAGAATTGATTAGGGCCGAGGAGATGTAAGAAAGGATATTGCTGTAAGAGTGAGTCATCCTGAACGCCTTGAGCATATTCTAGACCATAATCGATCTGATCACGATGATCTACCATACTTTGTGTACGTTCATCACCGAATTTTGAAAATCCTCTAAAATGAGGACTGTTTACGATTGAAATTCGTTGTCGAACATGTAAAGGCAAAGCAAAAAACTTTTCATTCAAATCAAAAATTCTTTTACGTAGGTTTCCTTGATCTAATGGAGTATTGAGAAGATAAAAGAATCCTAAGCCTGCACTTGCTTCACGTAATTGATGAACAAATGTACTTTTTGATGATTCTGTGGCGCTAGGTCCGATCCATTGACTGAAATCGAGTGTGAATGCGGAAGGAGCGGGAACACTTTCTCCCTTGGTGGATTTGGCGTGATGAGTACTGTTTGTACTTGTTTGATTGTCAATAGCAACAGGTGCCATGATTGATAGAATGGATGAGGTGATGATGGTGAGCAAGAAGAGAAGCTGGAATGATTGTGTTATATCCGATGCAAGTGCACTTTATCAGCCACTTTTCTCCACATTTTTTTGGTAGCCCAGCGCCGGCGCTAATTCTGTCAATCAAGCACGCAATCCTAAACTCAATTGCCGTACGGAGGGGCCGAGATTAAAATGAAGAATGTTGGATTTAGTGGTACTCTTTCTTCTACATTTATCTACAGATGACAATATTACCAGCACCCTCTTTTTTGCTCAAGATTCTTAATTCTGTCTGATCTGCTTCGATCACAGTTCCATCTATGCATGTTCGACGAGCATTTGCGTCTTTCTGCATTTATTGAAAATAAAGGGAATAAGTCAATATCATATTCATGGAGCGGGTACCTCCAATTGCAACTCACAGGTGTCCACGTATATCCTCCGCATCTATAATATTCAATCACAGCTGGTCCTGCTCCCTTTTCTTCGATTCCGTCTTGATCATTGTCATCCTCTTTGTATGTCAGCTCAACGTGTTTACCTTCCTGATACATCAATCCTGAAATTTTCACTAGATTTGTTTTGCCAACCTCTTCTCGTTTATCTTGACTTTGTGATCCTAGCCAAAAATCTTGTCCTGCATCTTGAGATTTGGCTAACCGAGGAGATTGCAATGGTCTGTATATCACAATATCCACAGCATCACTCGGTCTGCTTAGCTGGGCATTGTCTGATACTGGACCAGAAAAAGGCGCAGGAACAAAAGCTGGCTCTAATCGATCCGTCGTGACAGCAGCAAAATATAGTATCAAGTCTTCTATTTGTCCTTCTTTGCTGTCGATGTCAATAAATTTGCCAATTTGGGGATCATACCGTTGAAGCTTACCATTCGCCAATGGCTTGAGTTCGATAGAAGCGGGAACCCAAACGGACATGTTCTTGCCAAAAGCGACTTTGAATCTTTCGATGCCAGGGTATTGATCACGTAATGATTCAGAGTCGGCAAGAATTGAGGCGTGTAGCGCATGTGAGGTGATCAAATGAGCAACGAAGTTTTTGTCTTGCTCTTTCGACTTGGTTTGAACGAGAGATAGAGCTAGGGGGTAGGTCTCTGATTTGTTACCTTGTAGCAATGATCTCACGCTGCGTAATTTGTCATCTTGAAATGATTCTCCATACCTCTTAGCATACAGAGAAGCATATAGTGCATTGGCTGTTCCTGTAGGTACGATTGCAAGGCGTGCTGGATGTGCTCGTATTTCTCCTTCTTGATGAATGAGTCCATTTACAACTTCATGTGTAGTACCATCACCTCCCAACAAGATCAGATCGAGAGATTTATTATTATTGTTGCTGTTCAGGAGATCACGTATTATTTCTGTTGCATGTCCTTCCCGTTCAGTTTTGTATTCTTGGATTTGAGCTTCAGGTGAGTTTTGTTTGATGAACGGCAATACTTCTTCTTTGTAAATCTCTTCTGTCTTTTTTGCTCCACTAGCAGGATTGATGAGAATGTGAAGTATTTTGCCGTTTGCACTCATCTTAATGGAATGACTGATGGTTGTTACGATTGAGTGTGGTGAAGGTGCTGAGCAATTCATTCCTTCATGCAAGTCTTTCTTATCTCCGAAAGAAGAAAAGCTTAAAATCTGTAAAAGTGTAAGAGCAACACACGCATTACGCGTTTTAAATTGGCGTGTTTTAGAACAACACTTTCTGCATAATTGTAACATTTGCTTCTTACACCTTTCTCTCTTACTCACATCATCACTCTTATATTTATTATTTATCGTGCAAGTGAACGTAAAAGTATGCTCCTTGCATCATTGTCATGAACATGATGGAAGAAGCAGGTGGAGGCGCTGCCCATCCATCTTCACCACGATCATCCATCCAGGCGATCAAGAGAGGGGATGTTCATAGGATCACAAGTGGACAAGTTGTATTGGACATCCAATCTGCCGTTAAGGAATTGATTGAAAATGCACTGGACGCAGGTGCAACAGCGATTGAAGTTCGATTCAAGGAGTACGGAGCAGATTTGATCGAAGTGGCAGATAATGGGTCGGGCATTGAGTCATCAAATTATAATTCGCTGGCATTGAAACATCATACTTCCAAACTGCAAGATTTCGCTGATTTGATACGTGTCACAACATTTGGATTTCGCGGAGAAGCATTGAGCTCATTGTGTGAGCTGGCAAAAGTGCAATTCGTAACAGCTACTCAATCAGAAGATCCTGTCGGCACAATACTGGAAATGAACAGAGATGGAACGATTCAATCGCGCGATAGAAAGGTAGCACGTAAACGTGGTACCACAGTGAGCGTCTCCGACCTCTTTTATACCCTACCAGTCAGAAGGAAGGAGCTGGTCAAAAATGTCAAGCGTGAATTTGCTAAAGCTCAAGGCTTATTACAGGCATATGCTATCATTTCCTCTGGCGTTCGCTGGATTGTTAGCAATACGGTGAAGGGCAAGAAGAATACAATCATGACTATACCGGCATCTTCACCTACTACTCACCTTTCAGCAAATGTTACTGCTGTGTTCGGGCCAAAAGCCGCTCCGGATTTGGTGCCGTTGGATCTTCAATTGTCGCTCTCTTCCATACAGAGACGATCCGCAATTTCATCTAGGAGGCAATTGGTATACGACGAGGACGAAGATGAAATAGAAGGGTATGGATCAGAGCAACCTCTGCTGCGCGTATGTGGTCTGGTATCTCGACCAAGTATAGGTTGTGGAAGAACATCATCGGATCGTTGCTTTTTGTATGTGAACGGCCGTCCATGGGATTCGCCAAAGATTGTTCGTGCATTCAATGAAGTATATCGGCAATTTAATATTCAGCAATATCCTATGGTCATCGCAAATTTCATAGTACAAGGTGATCAATATGATGTCAATGTCAGCCCTGATAAACGAACATTATTCTTGCATAGAGAAGCCGAAATTCTCGAATGTCTAAAAGTTGAGCTCGAGGAGGCTTTCAATCCGTATCAATCAGTAATGCGTGTGAACGATCATACAAGCCAAAGTCCAAATACCGAAGTGCCGCCTAGAACAAGAGAGAAAGACCGTCACGATTCCGATGAGCCAAGCGAGAGCGCTACATGGTCAACGGTTAATGTTGCTGCATTTGCAAACGGGAGGCGAAGACGTAGCTCTTCTTCAAGTAATCCTGTGGAAGGGATTGTGGATGATTCAATGATCATACCAAAGCGAGCGCGAAGGAATGGTGATGCAGTGGATGAGCTTCCACCTTCCTCTAGCATACAGTCCACTGATGTTGAAATGTCTACAAGGAGCGCTAATGTGAATAGTAACTCCTCACGTTCTTCAGGCAGAAATGTGCATTCTACCTCATCGCCGACCAAACGTTCATCTGCTGGCTTACCAAAATCAATACTCACGCCAATCCAGAGGTCGACACAATCCAGAACCCAGCCGCCTAGACAGACTTTGCTCAATTTCAAATCTGATATTCGTTCATTCGCAGCACCACAAAGTGGTCCTGCAGATCAATTAGAGGATGAGGATCTGTCTCCGGAAGAAGAAGAGGAAACTCCAATGGAATGTGATGATATTTCTGATCAGGGTGCTGAAGTTCAGCCTTCGATTGAAGGCGATGTGCAAGATAGCGAAAACGGAGAAAAGGAAGAGATAATCATTCCTCCCTCGAAGAAGCATCGCGAGCATCCTCCAAATGACATTGATACATCGGAAGAAGAAGAGCAAGTGGAAAGCGAGGAAGACGGGAAAGATGTAAGTCTTTCTATCCCATCGAGTGCCGAGGCTCGGCTCGTTGAAACGCAATACGTTGATAATATCCAATCCGATGGCCCAGCAGCGCAGTCAGTCGATCACAGAGACATGAATGGTGACCTTGATGACCAGGTCGAAGGGAATGAGATATCTGAACACGATAGCGATCCTACAGATCTTGAGGAAAGTCAAAATTCTTCCACTGGAAAACAAGCAAGCGGTCGAATGGATGATAAAGGAGTCATACACATTTCTTTCGATTTGGATAAAATTGCCGATTCGCTTGCAACTTTAAAACCGCTTTCATCATCATCACATCACCAAGTAGATGCCCACTTCGAATCTACTGCACTGAAGGATGCGGCCATCGAACAAAGCGATCCTGCAACGGTTGATTCGATCTTGTCTCGTTTCATTGAGAAAACTGATTTTGTGAAGATGGAAGTTTTGGGTCAATTCAACTTAGGCTTCATTATTGCCCGAAGAAAGAAACGTGACGGCCAAGAAGATGATTTGATGATTATTGATCAACATGCAGCGGATGAGAAGTATAATTTTGAGAGATTAACAAACACGACAAAATTACAAACCCAAAGATTAATCGTCCCAAGAACGCTTCAACTTTCACCTTCGGACGAATTGACGGCAGTTGACCATAAAGAAGCATTATATGCACACGGCTTCCAGATTGAGATTGATGAAGAAGCGCTGCCTGGATCAAGGATTCGTTTGGTTGCTTTACCTATATCTCAACGTATCACTTTTGGCGTTGAAGATTTGGAAGAAGTTTTGCATAAGTTGGCAGATGAACAACCTAATTCTCAACGTGCTTTGTCTACCCGATGCAGTAAATGGAGAAATGTGCTCGCTTCAAGGGCCTGCAGATCATCAATCATGATCGGATCGGCCCTCAAAACCAGCAAGATGGAGACTGTGATCAGACATTTGAGCACGTTGGATCAACCGTGGAATTGTCCCCACGGTCGACCAACGATGCGTCATTTGTATGACCTCAACTCAAAGGGAGTATCGAAAGTAGCCAACGGTGGTTCAGGGTCTGCCATCGATTGGGCAAGCTTCGCATAAAATTATTTTGTACAATCATGTACCATTATTTGTACTATTTATACAACAAAGTCTAATCTATTTTACGTATGAACAACTTGCGCGATATTTCTCTGTGATAGGAACATTATTGGGCAGACCCTTTGTGCTTCCAAATCAAATCCAACTCTTCCTTCAATGTCTCTTGACGGAATCGTAGACGAATATCGGGCACGTTTGATTTAGCAACAACGTTACCATCCGGTCCACGTAGATAATACTTTGGACCTAACCAATGACGACATAGTTCTGTTTCGAAACCAGACTGCAAAACACTGTTCCTTGCCAATTCACACATATCGCTTGGACGAAGTTTGTAAATTTGTGTTGCGACACTGTATTCTTCCAACAAAGGTTCTTTGGACAAGTGGAATTGGAGAGGATCATCCGTACTGATGCTCACGTTCATTCCCACGCGCAAAAAGGCCGGGAAAGGATTGCGATCGTATGATAAGAATAATGCGTTATTACTCAAAGGTGACATTGCCATGCCCACTTGTTTGAGATAGTAGAGGTATTGCAATACCGGCACTTTGCGCAGCAGGATACCGTGAGAGATTGATTGTGCTGCCAAGAAACAAGATGCCATATGATCCGTATCACCTGCTTCTCCGGCGTGAGGGCGAAAGACAAAAGTGTTGAAACCACGCATTTGTCTCCAACGATTGACACTTGAAATATTGGCATACATGTAGTAGATCCAATAATTGTACGGAGGACTTTCGTTTACCGTCCAAAGGCGAGGAACGGGGAATTTACGATGAATTCTTCTTTCCGGTTTGCTCTCATCATCTACCATGTCAAAACCAATGACACGTTGAAGGAAGATGTGCAGTTTTGGGTGACTTTGAGGATTTTGCGTTACTTCAAAGAGAGGAACAAATACATTTTCGAGCAATTGTTGGAAACTTTCCAATGTGCCGTTCGCCTTGTACACATCGTATAGGCGCGGAACTTGAATCAACCAACGGACATTGTTACTGAACAGGTTGTTGTCAACCACCCAAGCAGCCAATTTGTCCCATTCTTCTTTGTTACGGCCGTAGATACTGATACGATATTCGGCAAATTGATATTTGCTTTGTTCCAAGTCGTTCATCAATTCACGTGTGATCTCAGCCAAGTAGCGACCTTTGATATGGTTGTCTGTCTTCAGGAAGATTTCACGCAATCTTGATTCTCCGATTGGATTGTATTTCAAATTGAATTTGTCAAACCGATGGAAAGAATCTTGATGGGCGTGCATGTCTAATGTGTCAATCGAGAGATCATAAGCAGTCAAATTGAGTGATTCAAATACTTGTTGAAGCGTCAAATGTTTGCCGTCACGATAAATCACAACATCGTCAGGGTATCGTTTGATCTTTGCTTTGATGAAACGCAAAAGATGCTTTTGGTTCATTGAGGCGCTGTGGTGAATGTGCGTATCGACCTTACGAACATTGTAGAAGTCACGATGTGGAACTCGTTTCATATCGGCCAATTCTTGATATTCATTCAGGAGAATGTACAGATTCCACTTTCCATCTAGATATTTCAATCGTCGCCACGCATATGACTTCGTTGGTCCATCGGAAATCACGGAGAGCAAATAGTCCAAGTCTTTGAAATATTCTGCAATGGTTGGAATCTTGAACATCGGCTTTTGAGCCTCTTCTTCGGACGCAAACACCTGAATCACACCGGAATCATCCATCTTCCAGAATGCCTTGTTGCCGTTGACCGTATGTTGGTCAGGAATACGAACATGTTGCATGTTAAAGACACCTGGCTGACTACCCGTGGCCTCTAGTAAAGCTTGTGCTTCATTTGCATTTGCAGGGCTGGCAGATGGAATAGCAGGAGGCAAAGGGTTCACGCTTGTAGGTCGAATGACAAAGCTGCTAGCGGGAGCAGGTTCAAATTTCTCCCAATGTGGTCTAGGAGGAGCAGGATAGACACGCCAAGGCTTTGGAGTCTTTTGATCGTCCTCTAAAGCACTTCCGTCTACTTTAATTTTGGATTTATCGGTGATGTCAGGTTTGCGTTTGCCGTTCTCTCTTGCCCATGTGTGACAATATTCAGCATCCCAATTTTTGGGGTTGTCCTGCCATTTGCCTTGTAAACTGATGTCCATGTATTTCTCACGTAACTCCAGACATTTTTGCAAATCCGAATAAAGCTTCTTCATTTCAGCAGTCAATTCTTCCCCAACGTTTTGTGAAGTAGGAAGAAGAGAGGCCATAATTGAATCATTTGCAGGCGTCATGGAAGCTGCTCCCATCTTTGCAACAGCAGCCGCCGCATCAGCAGGGGAGGAAGCAAATGATAAGCCTTTGGCATTGTGATGACTTTGAACGGCTGTGTCGTAGGATGTCTCTTCGCTGCTACTTGCTTCGACAAAATGTGATTGTTTTCGTTGGATGTTTCTTCTCATCTCGGCTTCTATGTCAGGATGGGTAGGTTGAGAGTCTAGTGAAGAAAGGGGTGATGATTGAGAGATACCATTGGGTTTTGTAGGTGAAGAAAGGCTGGCAACCTCTCCTCTTTGTTGAGCCCAGATTAATGAATCAGCCTACAAATGAGAAAAGATTATTGGTTAGCACAAACGTTCCGAATTATGCCTCACTGAATTCGGACTTGAACTTACCTCGTGCATTCTTTTCTCATCAAGTTCACTATAGTATGATTGTGCACTTCTTGAAATTGGCGGAGTTTGTAAGAAGGGCGTTATCCGCCCACTATCACTTAGAGGAGGAGAAGTGATTTGTGGTGAAGGCGATTCATCACGTTCAGCTGCTCGTAATTGATGAGCAGCCGCTGCCGAAGCTTTTGGTCTTCCTTTTCGTTCCCAGTCCATCTTGTTTGAATGATGGTATAAAGAGAAGAGATGCAAGAAGATAAGCATCTAAACTTTCATTTTGGAAGTAACACTTTTTTTTTGGGATTAAAAACAGTAAAAAGGCGCCGGCGCGTAAAAGCAGAGAATAAAGCTAATGCACACTGTAGGAACAAATACGGAGAATCGGTCGAATATCCGTTCGGGAAATTGTAGTGTGAAGGCGTTGACGGTAAGGATTGCTGCCACTACTAACGCCAATGAATGCCGATTAAAGTGGAACAGAATATTAATGTGAGTCACTTTTGATGATATATACTCTACAGATTCCGTTATATCTGGCTGAAAGCGGCTTTGTTCGCAGCAGCAAGTTGTTCTTTCTTCTCTTTTGCAGCTTTCTCAGCTTCTATACTTTTTGCTAGCTTTGCATCTGTTTTTCTCATTTGAGCTTTCTTCTTGCTTTTTATAGACTCTGCGCTCTTTCTTTTACGAAAATGCTCCGCCCTTGCAAGAAAATCACTCAATTCTTTTCCTTGCAACTCTTTTGATTTTCTGTGATTAGAAAAAAGGTTTAGCCAGAGAGAACACTGCAAGACTTATTTCTTAAAGACATACTTTTCGATTGATTCTTTACTGAATTGCTCCCGATAACGCTGATAACTTTTACTACGACTTGCTTTTCCAAATGTTCTGCCTTTCGGCTGAGTAGTGGCGGTGGATGATTGTTCAACATTTGACAAAGCTTTTGAAGATGCTTTAGATTCCTTTGACGGTGTTTTTGCAGGCAAACAGTGTGCCTGTGAAAATAACAAAATGAATAGAAACAATATCGTCTGCATGTTAGCTAAGACACATATGGGATGAGAAAGAATGTCTGAGGAGTATTCAGGGCTCTATAAAAACAATTTTGTGTACATGTGTTTGTGTTAGTTTTGTATAAATTCGTCATAGCCGCCGATGAGTGTCAAAGGCAGTGCAAACAATTTATGGTTTTACATCTTTGCTGTGCTTTTGCGTTTCCTTATTCGATTGTTTATGTGGCTCGAAAGCAGTCGTAATCTGCAAAAGTGCCGCTTGGTTTGTTTGTTCAACATCTTTTTCTTGTTTGCGTAGGTAAATTGCTTTTTCAGCAGCTTGCTTTTCCTCCTTCTTTTTCGAACGAATTTCCGTTCGTATAGCTTTTGCTTTCCTTCTATGCTTCTGCAAAATATCCATTGTGCGTACATCTTGATCTGTTCCTCTTCCTGTGGCTAAACGCCATTTACGTTCTGCTCGTATTAATCGTGCTTGTATTTTTTGTCTTTCTCTGCGTTTTTCGGCCATCAATTCCAGCTTTGCATACTTTCCGAAGAGACAATTTGTGTGAGTATAAAGTGAGTTTAGCTTCTAAAACATTTCTACTCACCGATTTGGGTGATAATCTGCCTTTGGCTCTTTCAAGGATCAAATCTAAATCAGCCTACCTTCTAGAATCCCAAATTTCAACCAAAATACTTACTCTTCCAAGGTTTTTCTGGAAAAGCTCGGAAATTTCGTCTTTTTCGTCGAATGATCGCCCTGTTTTGGTTCATCATCTTGCTTTCTTTTTGTTCCAATCGGTGTGCGGCTATATGCACCTTGTCCAGAGCTGCTCGACGAGCGAGTTTGGTCTTTGCTGGCTTGTCCTGTTAGCTTGTCATCATGCTCGAATGCCCTCTTGACCAATACCATCCTGTCATCTCGAGTCTTCAGCTTGGTTTGCCAGTGAGGCTGTGCCGATACTAAAGATAATAGAATTGAAAGTACGATCACAGAAACTAACATGGTACTTGGTCCCCGCATATCTTTTTTCAGAGTTAATGTAAAAGCACTAAGGAAGATACAAATCGATAGTCTCTGCAAGGAAGACAAAGCGACAGGCTGTGAAATTCAAATGTATGGCAAATTAACAAATTATAAACAAAGTCAAAGCTGTGCAATCGCCGTTTGATGGAAGTCAAGACAACATTTACGGAACCGGTTTGCTGTGTTTCTCTGAACTTGAGTCTTGAATTTTCGGGTTGTTAGATTTATTTGCATCAGCACTGTGAATTCTTGACCTGAAAGAAGACGACCCTAGCTGAGAAAAGGCTGCTTTATTTGCACGTTCGATAGCTAATCGTTGCAAAGCTTTCCTCTCCGGAGTGACAGTGGTCGGGGAAACGGTTAATTGTTTAGTGGCTGGGGAAACACTTTTTTCCTTCCCGTACCACCTTTCTTCTTGTCGTTCGAGAAATTTCGCCTTGTAGCCTTTTTGAAGAAGCCTCCTTCTGTTGGCGGATTCCTCTAATTTTGCGTACTGTGCAGGCAATTTGGATTTTTCAGCCCAAGCATCTTCTACTCATTATTCTTCTTCATACTTACAGCCTCAGGAGTCATCTGTTTTCTAGCACTGTAGGCATATACAACTTTAGCCTCTCTCTCTTGAAAGCGACAATAAGCAATCACTCACTCTTTTAGACCTTTAAATGACAATTTACGCTTATATTCTCTGACCTTTTGCTTGTTAATTCGCTTCTGCTCTTCGGTTAATGGTGTGATTACACCCCATTTTCGTTTCTTCCGTTGAGCTGTTCCGGTTACTTTAGTTGGTTGTGATGCTTTTTGCGCTTCTGATGCATTTTGGGTGTTATCATCTTGATCAAAGGCCCTCTTACTTAGTCTTGCATCATCGCCTCGAACTATCAGCGTGCTTTGCCATTCAGAATTTGTCAATGCTAGGCGAAATAGGGACAAAAGTACAACCGTCGAAGCCAGTATCATGTGTCAGGTTTTCTTGCAGATATCTGTGAAAGTAGGAGTAGGACATTAAAGCGCGAGGTATGTAAGACGAACAAGATGGCAGGATTGTAATGGAACAGTTACAGGACGTAATTACAAAGAGCGTACTGGAAGCTATGCAGTCATCCAGCCTATCCAACTGAGTCCTCTTTGAGGTTAAGTCATGCTATGTTCTTCTGGATAGGAATGCTGTGCTTGCGAGTCGTTTGATTAATATGCAACATCATTGTAGATTCTTGATTTCAGGGAAGGTGAGCCTAGCTGAGCGAAAGCTGCTTGATTGGCTTTTTCGATTGCGTATCGTTGCGGTTCACTTAAAGTATCAGTTGCAGTAGCCCTATAAAGAGGCTTTCGTTTTGCGTCGACCCCCAGTGCTTTTTGTTTTTCAAGATACTTCTTCCTGTATCCTCTATGAAGAAACCTCTTTCTTTCGGCGGACTTTTCCAATTTTGCATACTGTGCAAGCGGATTGCATTTTTCAATACACTCATTAAATATCCTTTGCCCTTTCTCTCTTTCGTACTCACGGCTTCAGGGGTCATATGCTTCTTGGCCCTATCGTTCATAAAAATCAATATCCTCCCTTCCGGAGATACGATACAGTAAGCAATCACTCACTCTTTTAGACCTTTAAACGATTGCGACCGCTTATATTCTTTAGACTTTTGCCTGTATTTCTCTTTCTGCTCTTCGGTTCTCGGTTTTCGCTTCTTGCGTTGCGTACTTGCAGCTGAAGTAAGTGACGTCGATATTTGTTGTGCATCTGGTACACCTTGTATAATATGAACCTGATCAAAGGCTCGCTTATAAAATAATGAACTATCAATGCAGTCCAAACACTTGACTGAATAAGGGAGTGGAATGTTAAGGACATGAAACAACAAAATAAACCATAATGATGGTCTCTTCATCATCGTATTGCAAGATGTGAGTAGTGTAAAGAGGAGAGAAGCATAATTGGACGAAGCAGTGGACTAGCAATGTTGATGAAGTTAATAGCATTTCTGACATGACACTGCCACATTGGAAGATGTAGCCCCTGATATCTTTCATATTTACAAAGATGGTCTGCTATTCTCTTTAAATTTTTGTTCCTTACCGGTAGCAGCTACAGAAGTAGGCTTTTTGAAAAGCCAAGAAGGTCCAGACAATTGTCCAAGCGCGGCTTTATTAGCATTCTCAATCTCGATTTCCCGTGCAGATCGTTTCGGTGGCCTGAGAGGAAGTTTCTTGATTTGTCTAGCTCTTTGTCTTTCTTTGCTGCTAGCCTTGAATTTTCCAGATGATTGTGCGTCTTGTAGAGTGTCTGTTTCCTTTGCAAATCTTTGTTTACGTCTTTTTCGATAGGATTTACTGTATCCCTTTTGGAGCCGTGATCGTCTTTCTGCAGCATTTTTGACCTTTGCGTACTATGAATGGAACCATTACCGTTAGCATTACCATTCTGAGAAGCTAGCTACTTGTATACCTACAGCTTCAGGTTCTAATGTCTTTCTAGCCCTATGGTCGTTAAGAAAAGTCAATTAACTTGTTTTTATACATAAACAAAATCCACTTACTCTTCCAATCCTTTCTTAGTCTGACTGGCTCTATAAATTCGAACAAATTCTCTTCTTCTTTCTTTTTTTTCCTCGATCTCACGTATCTTGTTTGATCTGTGGTCATCTTGCAAATACCCAAAGTAATTAGCTTGAGTTGCATTTTCTCTTTCTCCATGATCATCATCGGCTACTGCTTTGTTCAGATCAATAAGATATGAGCCTTTTATATCTCGGGCCGGTCTTGTTGGCAAACCAAAAGCCACGGAAAAAATTGACACAAGAATGAAATATTTTACCCCACTCATTTTTCTTGGATACTGAGCGAAGATAAAAATCAATTCAGATGTAGGGTCTCATCTTTTAAGGTTTTTTAGAGTGCTATATCGATCGAACTTTTGTTAATGCAAGCGAATTTTCACAGCACCGTCTGCATCGCGAATTCCTGAACTTTACGGGCTATACCAAAATCACCCTGTATGTTCACCCATGGCATCTTTAGTGCTAGTCTTGCTGTGTTTTGCTGTGTCAGAAAGCTGTGTTTCCGGCTCCATCAATTGATTTGCAACTTTGTCGCTTGAGGTACTCGATCTTGTATCATCTGTTTAGAAGTCTCCTTCTTTCGGCGGATTTTTCTAATTTTTGCATACTGTGCAAGGAAGTTAGATTTGTCAGATTACATCTTTTGAAAGCTCTTCGCACCAACTCTCTGCTTTCGTACTCTCCGCCTCAGGAGTACATGTTTCTTGGCTCTATAAGCATAAAACATCAGTATACTTTCTATACAGCAAGATAACAAGCAGTAACTCACTCTTTGAGACCTTTCAACGACAAATTACGCTTATACTCCTTGACTCTTTGCTTGTGAAACTCCTTCTGCTCGTCGGTCATTGGTCTTTTTACATCCCAATTTCGTTTCTTGCTTTGCTTGAATGCGCCCGCACTACCTGAACCTGGAGCTTGTTTTGATCCTGATGCATCTTGTATCATGTCGTCTTGATCAAAGGCTCTCTAATATATTAAGGTAGTATCATTGCGGTCCAAAGACTTTGAAGAGTACGAGTATGGAATACAAGCTACAAATACAATCAATGTAATATTTAATAATGCGCAATTAATTATCATATTCGCAGGCAGTGAATTTACACAAGGAAGAAGATCACGTATAAGCAAAGATCGTTGACTTGAGACCTGAATTGCCAGACAGTACATTCCGTATGGCACTGCCACGCATTTGAAGAGGAACCCCGACTGTAATTCAAGATGTTTTTAAAGACGATTTGCTGTGTTGCTGGGTGTCAACAGAAGGCTTTTTCGACAGCCAAGAAGGCCCGGACAATTGTGCAAGTGCGGCTCTGTTAGCATTTTCAATTTCGATTTCTCGTACAAATGGTTTTGGTGGTGCAAGTGAAAGTTTCGTGATTAGTTTTCCTGCTCTTTGTCTATTTCTGTCTCTTTCTCTGGCTTTTTCAACTTGTATTTCATCTTGTAAAGTTTGTGTTCCCGTTGCAAAACGTTGCTTACGCCTTTCTCGGTAGGTTCTATAGTATCCGTTCTGGAGTTGTGATCGTCTTTCTGCAGCTTTTTTCAACTTTGCAAACTATCGCAGTGGAACGAACGTTTTCATTTACCTCATCTTTTTTCTTAGCTGCTTACGTACTCACATCTTCGGGAGATAATGTCTTGCTTGCCCTTGACCATCACAAAGGTTTAGCGATGAAACTCTTTTCGGTCTATAGGTCTGCAATCCACTCACTCTTCTAATCCTTTCTTAGTCAGTCTGGCTCTGTTATTTCTTCGTTTCTCTTTTCGCTCCTTGATCTTCTCTGCCTTGCTAAGTTCTTGGTCGGCATGAAGTGCGCTTTGCTGTTGTTCATCACCACTAGATGCTCTTTTGATTAGATCAATGGTCTGAGTACCTTCTAAATCTCTTCCAGATATGATTGGCAAATCAAAGTGGAACGATAGAATTAGAACAAGGATCAAGGTTCTTGATGTAAGCATTGTATCTGAAAAATGAATGAATATGGAAGGCTTGAAAAGTGGATGGACGTGGAAGACTGCTTTAGATGTAGGGCTCGGTCTTTTAAGCTATCTAGAAATGCTGTATCACGGTTTTGCTGCTTCCGAGAAAATTTCACAGCAGCAGGGGCGTAAAATTCCCTTGAGGTCTAGGCCTACACAGGTTGAACTGCATATGAACCGAAGCAGCCGAAAGAAGACCAGAATGAGATCAAACAGAAAGAAAAAGCCCCGGCATATAGGTGGGTGTTCCGTATAGAATCCTCTAGCACAGCAATGAAACTTTCATCGCAAGGCTTTAGGGCTCTCTTTACGTGTGTTCTGTAATTTTGTAGTAGTTTTGGAAGGAGGAAATAGTTGAGCAAGAACGGCTCGGTTTGTTACCTGAATCTCTTCTTCCTTCTGAAGCTTTATTCTTTTAGCTACTCTCTTTAATTCTTCTTTTTCAACTTCCGAACGTCTTTCAGCTGTTTTCTGCCTTGCCCTGGTGTTTCTCTGATCATTGTAAACTTTCTGTCTCTGCAAAATTTCTACGTCTTTAGCCGTTGCCTTTCCAGTATCCAAGCGTACTCTCATTCGATGATAATATCTTGAACTTGCATGTGATTGTTTCTCCCTTCGAATTTTTGAAGTCTTTTCTAGCTTTTCGTACTAGATAAGAATCTGTTAAGGCATGCTTAAATTACATGATTGTTTTACCCGGGTATACTTACTTCTTCGGCAGATAAAGTTTTCCTGGCCCTGTGAGAATTGATTTAACAGTTAGTATTAATGAATTCACCAACTCAATATTACCTACTCTTCAAGTCCTTTATTTGTCAACATTTTTGGATACGCTTTTGCATTTGCTGCCCTTTTTGCCTTTTTCTCTTCACTTGAGAGCTTTACTTGTCCGCCTCTCCCAGTTTGCCACGCTTTTGGAGCAATGTTAGCTAAATCTGATTGATCCATTCTCTGACCTTCTGCATTAGCTCTGCCTTGCTCATAGGCTCTTCTCTCTAAAATTGTGCTGATGTCATCTTTCGTGTGCTCATGAGACCCAGTGCGATAGATACTAGCAATCACTACCACCGGAAGGTAGGAAAAGATCACAATCAATCTTCTCCCATCACACAACTTCATTATTAGCTGTGGCCAATGTGAATGGATGCCGCAATTAGAGACAGGTATTAATTTTGCCAGCTGAAATTGATTTGCTTCTACAACTTTTAGCAGTGTTGCGCTGACAAATGCAGCTAATCCCCGTGAAACGCAGGAGTTTCGTGTAAGTGGGTATACAGTCAATACGGACGGGAGTGTAAACTACGTTTGCGGATCTTTAGCCGCTTTAAAGCCTTAATCCTTGAACGATCTGGGTGGGGACAATTGAGCGAATACGGCTTTATTTGTGTTTCGAATTTCTAAATCCGTTCGAAGTCTTTGAATCCGTATGGCTTCTGTTGACTTTTGTTGTACGGCTTCTAAACGTCTTTTGCTGGATTTCTGTTTTGCATCAGTATGTCTTTGGGTTTCTTTTCTTACTCTTTCAAGATCTGAAGTTGTTGCTTCTCCGGAAGCTAAGCGCAATTTCATCTTTTGATAGCTTCTTTTACAAGCCTCCGAATGCTTTCGGCTGCGATTTTTTGCAGAGTTTTCCAATTTCATGTACTACGAAGGTAAAGTTAGTCAGAATCATACTCGGACTTCTATGATCCATTCTATAACTTACTGCCTCTTCGGATAAAGTCCTTTTAGCCCTATGTGTATCAATTTACAAATAAGCGTCATCATAAATTAAGAAAAATCTTTACTCACTCTTGGAGACCTTTACGAGTCAACGATTTGTGATAAGCCCTTGATCTCTCACTCGCTCTCTTTTTCTGCTCTTCTTTTGACATTTTCACTCGAGCTTTCTTGCCAGTATTTGGTATTGGCGTCTTGTTTGCTGAATCTACCTGGTCTGCGTGATGCTCTTCCTCATCTGTTCTCTTCAAGAAGGGCGTTTCCTTGTCATCATTAATGATTTCAAGAAGTCCAGTTTGACGCGTGCTACCAGATACCATCAATAGAGAAAAGAAGAAGAGCATGTATAGCTTTCTTCTAGCACACATTTTCATTGTGCAGTATAGACAGCTTGAACATTGATGTTATTGCAAGAGAGAAGAGGTGTCAAAATAATTGCTCAATATGAATCGATTTGTCTATCACAATGCAGTGCTGTACGTAGGGCGCACACCTAATCCCCGTGAAACACGGCAAAATTTGTTTAAAGGCTTATAGTAAACGCGGACGAAACGAGGAGAACAAATCAAGGATGTTTAGACTGTTTTGAAAGTCGATCAGTGATCGATTTGGATGGGAGTAATTGCGCTAAAACGGCTGAATTGGCATCTTTAATTCCTTTTTCTGTCTCTTCCATTTGTCTCTTGATCTTTTTCTTCGCACGAACTCGCTGGGCACCTTCCGATCGCAACATTCTCCAACGTTCGTCTTGTTCTGATTGCATTCCTATTGCGAATCGATCTCTTCGTTTTTCCCTTCGATTTTTTTGATATTGCTTGTTTTTTGCATGAAATAATTCTGCTTTTGCTTTTAACTTCGCATATGCATTTGGATCAAGACTACTCTCTGCAATCTTCAAACCTTCTTGCGTGTATTTGAAACGTTTATCACGAGTTCGTAAAAGTTGATCGTATTTCCTTTTCTCGTCTGTTGCCGTATCAGGTTGAAAACTTAAAGATTTTGAGGAGATCGGACTTGATAATCCTTCTGATTTTGCTTGTTCAAGTTCTTTGTCTTTTTCTTGTCCAGATGTTCGCTTATAAAAGCCACTGTTTGTGTTAAGATTTGAGACAGGACTAGCAGTCGAAAGGTCGAACAAAAGCTCGTACAGAATTAAAAATGCAAAAAGTACAGCGAAACGGCTCGAATTCGCCATTTGACCACCACCTTTGATATATGTATGAGTGAATAACGAGGAAAACAAAGATGATGTAGACAGCCTTCTTGTATGAAAAAATGAGAGATGCAGTGTGATAAGCAAAGTGCTCGTCAAGCCCCGTTGGAAGGCTATCAGATTGCACAAATAGATCGGCTTGCATATCACGCAGAAACAATTAAGTACCTATTTTTCGCCTTGACCTTTTGTATCTGTAAAAGTGTGTGTATTCTGTCTGGACATCCAATGCGGTTGAAAAGAAGCACCAATCTGAGCCAGAGCGGCTGAATTTGCATTTTCCACTTTCTTTTCTGCTTGTATGATTGTTTGTTTTGTTTTCTTTCTGATATAACGATTTTTAAATTTTTCTCGTATTCTTTTCATTTGTTGTTCATCTTTTTGCGTTTGTGTTCCCGCTGCTATACGATCTTTTCGTGCTTTTTCAACCTTTCTATTTTGCCGATTCATCCTTGCTCTACGTTTAATTAGCTTTTCGACCAATTTCTCATGCTGTAAAAAAAGAGATAAGCTCTTCTTGCACTGCAGGGCTCTAACTGCATTTTCACTTACATCCTTTTTATTCATCGTAGCTTTGGCTCTAAAAACGATACAACTAGTCAGCTTTAATTCTTTAAAGGACGTATATCTAAACCCACTTTTCCATTGCTTTGACTGTCCATTTAGCTGCATATTTACGATCTGATGCTCGTTTTCTTTCTTGCTTCTGTTGTATCAAGATGAGCAACTAGATAAGACCCCTGCACAGTCCTGTAAAGGAATCGACTTACATTCAGGACTAAAGATAATTTCGTCGAAATTGGTGGACTATGTCGATTCTCAGGTTGAGGAGATGGAGTCTGTGATGGTGATATTGGTGGCGATTCGTTCAAATTGAATCCTCGATCGATTGCACGTTTGTCCAACCGGACAGCAGATACATAGCTTGCCAAGAGAACAACTATCACAAATAATGTCATGAGCACATGCAAATCACTAAGGCAAAGAGTTCACTATTTGCGACCATCATGACTGCTTTGGGCATACTTGATAAAGTTTGTCACATGCACAGGTACTTCTTCGAACATGTATGCTGTACAGCTCAAGTGTATACACGAAGAAGAATGTCACGAATTCTCTGCATAGCCTCATAAACTTCTCGAAGGATCACATGACAGAGCTCCCACTTCGATGATGAGAGTACACAATTGGAAGAGTGCCGAATCGGAAAGCTAGGAACCGTTGTACAGCAAATTCATTTAGGCATAGAAGGACACTAAACAAGGCTGTTTTGTGGCGTTAATGCTTTTGCCGCGTTGGATTGCCTTTGTAATTAAAAGACGCGGCCGCACAGACCTAAAGTAAGAAAATGAACAGGACTTCCCCACAAAAGCCAGCAAAGCTCATTCTTTACCTTCACCTCTCATTTATTCGACATCATGGCTTCTGCTTGGGAACCACCTGTTGCTCCATGGTCTGCTACTTCAAAAGATTCATTCGCTTTCAAAAGTGTTTCACAACGTTGGCCAACGATCATCACTTCTGCTATTGATGCATTGTATCAAGCTTCTTATGCTCTTTCTTATTCATCAGAACGCTCTATTGCAGAGGAAAAGATTCAAGAATCAAAAGAGCTTGTGGAAAGGTTGAGTAAGCTTAAACATGATATGGGAAGAGATAAAGCTTTGGAAAAGATTATTCAAGATGAAGGTGATCCAGTCGACGAATACAATACCGTTCTGGACAAAAACCCTTCTTGGACTTGGTTCACCGCTCCTTGGCTGTATGCTGAATGCTATCTTTATCGTTTGATTCGTTCAATCTTTGCGCACTCCAAACATTGGCAACAATACGATCCATTCTCAACACAAAAAGTGGGTGCCTTCCGTTCATCAGCAGCAGCGGTTGCACAACTTTCTGACGCAGTTGAACCACTTATCAAAAAAGCCGAAGCTGCTGCTCATGAATCAGATCAAAGCAATACAGACGAAGCACTTTACGTCATCTTTAAAGAATTGGTTCAAACCAGCCTTTGGGGTAATAGCACAGATTTGAGCTTATTAACCCATCTCAGTCATGCAGATTTGCAAACTTTACAAGCTGGTGGGCTAGGTGAAAAGGCACAAGCTCAACGATTGAATTTCATCTTGAGCGGCTTGGGCGGCCTTGATCAAGCATGGAAATCTTTGTTGGCCCAAAAGAAGGCAGGTGCATCCGGTCAAGCAAGGGTGGACATCATCTTGGACAACTCTGGCTTTGAGTTGTTCACCGATTTGATTCTCGGAGATGTGATCCTCTCCAGCGGCCTGGCTGATCAGGTAGTCTTCCATCCAAAAGATATGCCTTGGTTCGTAAGTGATGTCACACCTGCGGACTTCTTGTTCACCTTGGAAGCTTTGCAGAGCGGTGATTTCTTCACCAAGGAATCCTCTCATCAAATATCCGATGGAGTTGTTCCACGCACATCAAGAAGCTCTTCCCGTCAACGTCAGATGGTCGCTGATATGGTTCATTTTGAGGGTGAGCGTAGAGATATGTCACCAGCTGGCAGTAAAATTCTCAAAATGGAGGCTGTTCCTGAGGAAGGCAAGGATACGGAAGCCTATAAATCACGCCATCTTCAACGTAATGAGGCTTCAGAAAGGCAAATCGGACGCGCAGAAGAGGCTCAAGATTCGACTTTGACAAGTCGTGGACGTCCAGTCTTATCAAACCATGCCATCGGCGGAAGCCGTAGCTTGCAATTGGATCCTTCATTCTTCCAAAACGCACGCAGCAAGACTGTTTCACCTTCCCGTAGCTTTGTGATGGATAGCAGCAATATGCAATCCTTCTCCGCAATTCATAGCAGGGACAGAAGCAGAGATGGCAGGAATGCAAACAGCGATGACTCTAGACGAGGTAGAAGCGCAGTGAGCGAGCACACAAGCTCAACTCAACGTTTAGCAGCACGTTGGCAGACTTACATGACCAGTGGTAAATTTGCTTTGAGTATGCCACCAAACACACCATTGGGAGGTACGCCACAATTGCACTCTTCCGGTCAAGGTGACTTCTGGACAACGTTCCACAATTACCCGTCAATGGCAATCGTTGCGCCACAATTGCATGCTTCTCTATCCGCAAGCAGGTTGGTGATCAGTAAGGGAGATTTGAATTATCGTAAATGGTGCTCGGATGCTCAATGGGACTTTTCTACACCATTCGAAGATGTTCTTGGACCGGTAAAAGGTACGTTGAACTTATTGGTCTTACGTACAAATAAGGCTGATGTGATCGTGGGCGTGCCCAAAAATCGTTTGGCAACGCTTGACAAAGAAGATCCCGAATGGAGAGTGAATGGAAAATATGCGGTTGTGGAATTTGTTGGAAAGAAATAAGGGATATGTACATACAAAACCAAAAAATGAATCAAATAGGATCTATTTATCTGTATGGTGTGCTGATAAAGACTCCATGTCATTGCTCTTCCTTTTACGATACTCTTTTGCTCTTTCTATAGCCAAGAGTCTACCTTTGTCGTCTTGAGATGTTTGCGTACCTTTCAAATACCGTTGAGCCAATTTTTCCCTGCTCTTTGTATCTCTAATTCTCTTTTGAATTCGAAAAGATTGTGCTCTTTGTAAGTAATCTCTCAGTTGTTCTCCTTTCATTGTCTTTTTGGCATGATTTACCGATGCACGGGTATACATCTTATTCTTCTTTTGTAATCTTTCCTTATTTACTCGAATTCGTTCTTCGGGTGTATATTTTGGCTTCCTACCTTTTCGTTTTGGCTGCTTTTGAGTGTTCGGTTGTACTTGTACATCCGTTGGACTGGTTGGTGGACTGTGATTCAAATCAATATTCAAGCCTCGTGAGCTGGGAAACGTCATAGCATAATCGGGATTTTGCGTCTCAGAGGGAACTTGTGAGAAGGTATCGGTCGTATCTGCACGTTTGAATAAATACCTTGCCAGTACCCAAAATGAGTCAGATGACATAGCGAGCATGAATAGAAAGATGATTAGCCTGATCATGAGTGCAATTTGTAGAGATAATGACAAGTCTGGGTCGGGGTAAGAGTTGCAGACAAATGTGGAATGCGCATCTTTGCCACTCATCATTTCCCTTTGCCACGGCTTATCGCAGTAAAGTGTATATATCTATATGTTTTGCGAAATAAACAAAGTCGTATATACAACACAGTGACGGGGCAATCATGTTGGATCTATCCACTTGTCTACTGTGCAGATGATGGCTTTTCTTTTTTCTTCCTTTCACGATATCTTTTTGATCTCTCGATAGATAACATTCTGGTTCTTTCATCTTGAAATGTTTGTGTACCTGTTAAGAATCGTTTGGCGATCTCCTTTGTTTTTTCAGCAGACCTGAGCTTCTTTTTAAGTCGAAAAACTTGCTCTTTCTGTAGATATTCCGCCAACTCCTTTCCTTCCATCGTCATTTTAGCCTTCATGATCGATTCATTGTTAAACCTTCGATTGTTTCTATAAAACGTTTCTTTCCTTAATCGAATTCGTTCTTCTGGTGTATATATTGGCTTTCTGGCTCTTCGTTTAGACTTTGGGGAAATTTGATCTTGGGCTATCGAAGGACTGGGTGGTGGACTTCTATTGAGGTCGAGAGAAATGGGAAGCGTCCCGACTGAGCGAGGCTGCTGGGAGCCAGAGGATGCCTGATCCTGTGCTGATGTGTCAGTCGCATCAGTACGTTTTAGAAGAATAATTTTAGAAGCCCAAGGGTGCCTTGCCTGTATCAGAAAATATTCAGAAATGCCAGCAAGCAGGAAAAGAAATGCGATTTTGTTCATATCTGCCATGTGTGACGAGAACAAGAAAACGTGATCTAGATAGAAGTTGATGGGCGTATGCAAATGAAAATGTGGGTACATACGAGTATGTTTCTCAACGATCACTTGCCCCGAAAGATTGCAGTAAAGAATATATCATTTATTTGCTTTGTTAAAATGTGCAGAGATATGAACGTATAGGTATGCAAAGACGATGAGAGAATAGAACTGAGGGTCTTGAAAAAACTATTGATCTGATGCCATCCTCGCTCTATTTTTACGTGCCTCTTGAGTTCTCTGTCTTGCCATATGCCTTTTGTGTTCATCGTTCAAAGTCTGTGTACCTGCCTTAAACCGATTTGAACGTTCTTTTCGATATTTTGACTCTATTCGGTTCTTAGTAGATCGATATCGTTTAGCTCTTGCTAAGAAGATGTTCAATTCTGAGCCTTTTAGAGTTGCTTTCGCTTTCTCGATACCTTCTTTCGTGAATGACTTGGCTCTATTTCTGTAGTAATCGGAATCATATTTTCGCCTTTCTTCTCCGGATAGAAATCTTTTTCTTCCATTTCTCCCTTTCTTAGCTGGAGAGGTTACTGCAGCTGCTTCGTTTAAATTCATCGTGGGCTCTGCTATATTTTCGACAGGTGAAATAGGAGGAGAAGAGTTCAAGTCAAACAGAACTTTACTAGGCGCAGCAGTCTGGGCTTGGGAGTTGTCTGTCTCTTCTCCACGCTTACATAGCCTGGAATGAGCATAGTGATCAGCTTTAGTCAGTGACAAAAGCAGCGCACAAGCAATGACTTCAAGAGCCGAAAAAGCTAGGAACCAATACATGATAAGTATGTTATAGCAGTGCTAGTAGAAATGAAGAGAGAATACAAGTTGCTTGCGCAATCACACCAGTAGCATGCATCTGCTGTGCTTGAAAGTTAACCCCGACTGAGAGAATGAGGTATTCCTGTGGCCATGATTTCACGCAAAGACAAATGACAGATTGACCCTAAGAGTCCTTTCGCCCGTCTGGGTTCATTTTTGCATCATATCTAAAAGCTCTTAAAGCAGCTCGTTGACCATCGTTCGGCATTTGATCAAAAGTCTTTCTGACTCTGAAACGATCTTGTCGAGCTCTAGCACTTGCCTGATAATTATTTGCTGCAGTCAGAAACTTTTGTAGTTTTTCTCCCTTCAAAGTTTGTTTTGCTTTTTCGATTCCTACTTTTGTGAACTTTTTGCGATATGTGCTCCTATATTTCCTACCCGCTGCTTGTTGCTCAGCTTCTGTAGTATGAATTCGTGGTCTTCCTACCTTTTTCTTTGGAGGTACATTGTTTGAACTTTGTTTCACCTCCCGTATTGGTGAGAGTTGGCTTGAATGTTCATCAGGTTCTTTTGCAGGCAGCTTATTGAGATCGAAATCATACCCGGCAGGTCGTGAAGCTTGATACTTGTTTTGCTCAAGTCGACCTTCAGATTGATCACCGCGCTTAAGAAATATTTGATTAGGAGAACTCACTTTAGTGAGCGCGAATAGAAAGATAAACACAAAACATATTCTCAGCATGCTGGGATTCAATTGTGGCAATCCTGTGGATGAAGGAAAAATATACAGAAGTGCCATTCTACACTCGTATTTGACAAGTCTGACAACTCTAAGCAAAAGCGAATGCCAAAAACTATAGCCCCGCTTCATTTTTAGGATACGCATTGTTCGTAATGAGAACACTTTGTTATTGTAATGAAAGACATATCTCAAATCTGTGAATGCTCGTTTCTGGGTGTTGCCTCTTAGTCACTTGTATGGCCTTCCTTGACTGGGCGCCTCTTATTGCCCTGTTCGCAAACGGTCCCGCAGCCGCATGCGTCTCATGTAATCCCTTCTCTTTTTGTGAAGATCTTCTGCTTTGAGTAGATGACTTTGCAATTCATCGCCTTGCATGGTCGCTTTTGCGATCTCTACTCCTTCTAACGTATATTTCATATTGTAGATCTTCTTTCTCTTAGCTTCCGCCTTCCTTCTCTCTTCATCATTAGCATACTTTTGTGGCCTACCCCTCTTTCGATTGTAGTACGCTTTAGGATAAGAATTCAAATCGATGTCTTTTTTTTGAATCTTTTCATACTTTTGATATTTTTCTCGATAAAGTTGGTTTCTCTTTTTCATCTTTGCTTGATGATCTTCTGCTCTTTGTAAAAATTTGTGTAATTCATCACCTTCCAAGGTTTTGTTTGCTTTTTCGATTCCTTTTACCGAATATTTTCGTGACCATCGATTTTTTCTGTCTGTGCTAGCTCGACGTTTTTCCGCTTCGGTAAAGTACTTCTTTGGTCTTCCTCGGTTAGGAGTAGATTTTTGTGAAATGCTTGGAATATCGAGATTCGTTTGATGATCGGTTGGGTGTGATTCTACATTTCTCGGTGGGGAACTGTTTAAATCAAGGCCACATACTTGTCCAGTTCGCACATTTGCAATAGTTTGGTGATTGTCTCCTGCATTCTGGGACGGCTCGGTGCGCTTGATAAACACACTTTCAACAGCATTGCTCAAGTTGACGAAGAAAAGCAAGAGTACGATAGGACTAGCCAGCAACATTGCAGTACTCAGCTGGTCAGATGATGGACTAAAAGGATGAGATGCTCAACCTATCTCTGAATTCACAGCCTCCAACCCCTTATACGCAACCGCGAACGCATCAGTAAATCCTCCATTTATTCTATCTGGAGCATAATAGCATGTGTGTATAAAGTGTATCAATAATATGGCAAAAAAGTGAAAAGATGAAGCATAAATGAACCTCAATAATGGGCACAATGTGCAAGATGCTTGTACAATAAAGAAATATATTCATTATTCGTCTTTCGTTGCTCCAAACGATCCTGAAACGACTGAATCAGCAGACTTTTCTTGTGTTGGCGTTTGATCTTCGTGTAAAGAAGCGGGTATCGGTGGTGGTGGAGTATTTTGCTCGCCAACAGGATGTTCTTCGATCGTGGGTGGCATATCATTCGGATCAAATCGTGCTGCCGGTGGTTGTGTAGATATTCCGGTTGCCGAATCTATGGCAGAATTGGATAGTGAATCGCCAGTTGAAGGTAAAGCTGCGTCTAAAGCACTCAAGCCACCTTCTCCCAAACCTTGTCCAGGACGAGCAAGACCAGCTAATTCGGTTTGATCAACGCTACTGCCAGTCGTGCTTGCCGTTGCATTTGTTGCTGCTCCTCCAGTACGAGAAGTACGCATACTAGGTGCATGAGAAACAGGCTGCGAAGATTGACCGTTTGCTCCAATGATATATCGCATGATATCACTCAGACAAAGAATGCCTACCAGCTTACCACGATTTCTGCGTGGCATATCGTTGAAGATGGCATTGTTTTCTTCATTCTTTTTATCGTCTTTCGGGGTTGTTGTCGATTGGCGTGCGTCTGGATCTTGTTGGATATCGCCAACTGCTCCAACATCACTTGCGATTGCAGCATGAATTGATTTCTCGTTCTCGATCGCAATCGCACCAGAAGGGCCTGATTGAATAGCAGTCGTATCCACTTCAGGTTCGAGAATTAATACTCTGTGAACCCTTCTCGTTCTCAATAAAGCAAAGATTGTTGCCAACGAATCATCAGGAGAGCATGTAATGACACCTGGAAATTCTTTCGATCTTCGACTGAGTGCCTGACGAATGGTCAAATCGAGTGATTGATATGCATTTGTTCGTACCAAATCAATCACATCCACCGTTTCGTACAAGTCCACCACATACCCGTCTTCGTCTAGAATGGGTATTCCACTGATCCCCTTCTCGCTAAAGACATGTACGACATCAAACACGGTCGTGTCTAAAGTGGCCGTTGCCAATGGTTCAAGCGCCTCTGAATGACTGCTTCTTCTCGATGCAGAATCGACTGGAGCTGGACTTGGTTCTTGAGATTTTTGAAAATCCGACATACCCGCTTCTGATGTGGGTCCGGGCGATAATATACTAGTGGCTGCATTGCTACTCCTACGAGATGACAAAACGGCCGAAGACATTGTCATTGAGCGAGTCATCCCTGTCCGCAAAGATGCAATGTACGTTCCTATTCCTAGAGACTTGATACTTCTCTTCAATCCTGCCGTTTCGCGACAATTCATTGCAATAAATTTGAGCACACGATATTGTGTCAACACGCTTACCACTACATCCATTTCCGTTTGTTCATCGTGATCGAGTAACGGCAGGCGCCTTGCATGTGTTTTCATCAATAGTTGACATGCATCAAAGATGGATCGCATAGGGTCAATTGATAATAGCGGAGGTGGTGGAACATCCAATGATTGTTCAATCTCTCGTAACATTTCCAATCGAAACCGCTCAACGTCTTGGGAGGCATTGTCGTAGCTTGAATTTTGATAATAGTACTGAATAAGATGGATAATATCATTGACGGTAAACATTCCAGCAAAGCCTGTTTTGTGCATAGATGGATTTGAGGAAGATTCCTTTTTGAATGAAAAAGGAGAAGGCGAGGCAGCGGATCTAGAAGATGTCATACTTTCACTAGGGATCTGTGAACCTGGAGAGATTGCACTTCCGGGCTCTATCGATTCGCTCTGTGAAGGCGCAACAGATTCAGCTTTTTCCGATGCACTAGGCTCTGTTGACGATTGCCAAAGAGGTGCCGAGACAATACCAGCTTGCCACATGATGTCCAAAGCAGGTTTGACGACCAACTTTGTATCCAGAACCACGAGTCGGAAACTGACAGGTAGGCAATCATAGCAACTTCTACCTCTCAAGAATTCACGTATACTTCGTAATGCTAGAGAATGTTTGTCCTTCTTTCTTCTACCTGATGGTCCTGCCAAACCCGAACGTCCTGCCGTACCTGCTTTTCCTTTCCTTCTAGAAGCATTTCTAGCAATGGAAGATGATGGTCCACCACGACTATCGCCTGTTCCCACACTTGATACAGACCAAGCGCCAACACTATGCTCCCGCTCACGCATTGCGCTCCCAATTCCCATCGCAGCTGGAGACATGTGTGAAGAAGACATTAATCCTTGACGAGACACAGATAATCCTGGCTTTTGTTCGTTATTGTTGTTGCCGCTTCCGGGAACACCTTTTGGGTTAAGGGTATAAGTCGAAGTTGACAAGTTGGCCGGATCGCGAGCGTTACTTGCTGAACTGTCTCCCGAATTTGTTCCGTGCTCAACTTGATTTGGCGCAATTGGATCCATGTTTCGAAACAAGAAAAAGATGTGCTGGATTTGAATTAAGCGTTAGTTACAATGACGTAATTTTTGAGCATATACGCGGACGAATCGGACGAAGGAGTGGTGCAAGCCGCTCAGAAGGTTAAGTTTGAGATGAACCTAATACTTCATTCCGTAGAGCTCTGGATGTTTTGGTAAAGTATGTCGGAAGCCGAGAAGGCCCTTGGATCGTTGAAATGAGATCGGGCTCTGTATTGTGTTCACTATTTGAGAAATCGGATATGCCCAACGAGACTTCTATAGTACAGCCTTTATAAAGTTATGATGGAGCAATGGTCGTTAAGAGGCGGCGGGGAAGTCTATAGGCAAGAATGTGCAATCGTTAAGATGTGTGAATGTGCTCGTGAATCGTCTTTGCCAATTGATGAATGGCGAATGAAGGTCAGATTCCCTAAGATGTTGCACTTGTTAATGACTTTATATAAAAGCACAAAGGGATGTACTTCAGCCAAGGAAAGATGATGGTGTTGACTGTAACTGGGGTACAGTAAGTAACTTATCTTAACTTCGGTTGAACTGTTGAATGTCTTAGCGCATCGATTAATGTGCTGTAGGCTGATAGTTAATCAAACTGATATTCTGCCTGGAGAGATATCACGTCCTTTGTGCCTTTGAAACTCATACACAGACGTCGTGCCTTTCGATCTTTTCTCGGACTTTCGGTATAGATTGTGCGTGAGAACGAAAAGGGTTGATGGAGAGAAAGTCATAGTCAGTTCAAATACTGAAAGAGCAGATTTGAAATCAATCTATTAGATTTATATTACAATATAACGAGGTACAATGATCTTGTGTACAATAGCGAGGGAATCCCGAATCAATGACAGCCGCCTAATTAGAAGGTTGGACAGGCTCAGAGATCTCAGTAGTCTCTCTGACTGCTTGAAAGATTTCATTGGTTATCTCGTTGACGTTGGCATCCCTTCGTAGGTTGATCTCACGTGTTGGTAAACCATCAAAGAGTAATCTCGCTCTTACTGGCATCTTGGGCTGTTGGGATGAAGTAGTTGTTTCCGAAGATCCTTCAGATGTCTGTGCTGCTTCACTTGTTTCGGATGATTGCCTTGATGACTTTTTATTCTTTTCTGCAACACCTTCAATCCATCGCACATCGATCTCCAAAGCTTGGTTGTTAAACTTTATTCTTGGCAACACTTTCTTGACAAATGCTCTATGTGAAGCATGTGCTCCTGAAGAGGGTATCTTTTCGATTTCAATTCTTCGCAAGGCAGGCGATAAAGGTTGTGCTCCATGTTGAGTGGTGAGATCGGCTAGCACTTTTGAGAGGCTGTTGACCTTTCTCATGATGAATGATTGGGTGTATGCAGAGATGACCGAGAAAAAAGAAGGTTTGTCTTTCATTGGATCGGATACCAATGTATTAGCCTGAAAAAATTAATTATTTGCCGTGCAGACTTAAAGGCGTCGTCGTACAGAGGGAGTACATACTGTGCCGTTCAAGCACGCACACGCACACAAACACACACACACACTGAAAGCCCAACGCGGAATTTAAAATCGATCTCCGTCTTTAAGCATTTCATCCATCCTTAACTTGAGAATGACAAATGGTCAATAGGAGGGGAACATAATGTCAGGTCGCGAAAAGGCAAAAGAAGCGACAACATTCAATGGACCTTTTAAATTTCCTATGACAAATGTCAATAATGCATCAAATAAATCAATAAATGGCGTAAATGGTACGCATGACACAGGAAATACAAACGATCATTCAACAAATACAATCAAATACGATATCCTATTCCAACCAAAATATACACGAGCATGGGAAAAATCCAGAAAGATTGAATCAAACAATGACACCATACCAACAAGGGAAGAATTAGACGCTCAACTTCGACCAGAAGATGAAGGTTTAGTGCCATTGAATGCAATCGCAGGAAGAATTGTACATTATGCATGGCAACTGTTTGCAAATCAAGTAGAAATCAATCCTTCCATATCACCTCTAGAAAGACGGAAGCGGATATACGATGATGCACATGAAGCAAGAAAGCAATTGATAAAGTTACTTGTTCTGACGCAGTGGTCAAAAGCCTCTCCTGAATTACAAGTAGCACGCAACTTGATTGCATTCATCAATGATCACATCGCACAATCTGAGGCTGCTCTAGACGCACTTCAAGCTACAAGAGGTGTACTGAACAATGCAAGACTGCGGAATTACGACTTGAAAACGGCAATCGAAGTACTCAGCACCGGTAGTCCTCAATCTGTACCACCATCAGTAAAGCCGTTCTTAAACGCAGACAAGCCATTCAGCAACGAAGAAGCTATTGCTCTAGTGAAAGAGCTGGACGACGTACTACGACTACGACTAGCATGCGAAGAGTTCCTAGCTACTCCACTTCTGTCTTATACGATCAGCGATGGCCGTGCCTGCTTTGTTGCTTATGGACTTTTCGAGACAGACTTGACATTATCAGGATCATCACAAGACGACCGATGGTTCTGCCTGCGAGTCAAGTTTGATTTTCACATCTCCGGTGCAGGCTCCGACAAATTCCCACGACAGCTTAAAGGACAACAACGGTTGGATCTCTTGGACCTTGCTAATAATGAACTTGCGCCTCGTAGCATCGCAGCTGTGACTGAAGCACAAGAGCAAATCACAGAAGGTGACGAAACGGTGCAGAATGCAGAGGGACATGCGGCGCTCTCCAGCTCGAAAGATACGCGGATAGAAGAGCGAAAGGATACACCTCTCATTCGATTGTACAACCTTCTTCAATCTCAATCCCTTCATTATCGACTCGACATTCTGCATTGGCAAGCAACACAGCTAATCAAGCTAAGCTGGGGTCAGCGGCTAACGGTGTTCATCGACAGCATGCGAACGCTACATATCCAATACTGGAAGAATGCTCGATCGTCCACCGATAACGCAAAGGAAGATTGGGACCCGATCGCTCGCGCTGAAATTTGCGTATCAGTGATCGAGACAGATCCTAGACAAGGTGCATCGGCGGTTATCAAATCTCTATTTGAAAGAAGTGATGATCGAATGCAGAAGCCCATCAGTCTGCAGCTCTCAGTGGAATGGAATGTAAAAGGTGTCATTATTGACTATCTAGGCTCACGTGAGATAACGGTAGATCATCGTAACCTGGATGCTGAGGCCATCTTGATCGATGTGACGCAGATGCATGCAAAGGCTGCAGTAGAAGCATTCAAGACTCGCATCGAGGCCAGTGCGCTGAGAAGGACAATGCGGACTGAGAAAAGGTTAAAATCTGTGGGACCTATAGAGGAATATGGTCTTTTGATCCATGTGAACGAAAGATTGACAGTAGAATTGACGATAGACAGGATGTCAGGACAGGTGCAATTGGCCGAGGTGTCAGGAATGTCGGAAGGATTACGAGATGAAACGTTGTCGTGCTCCGATCTTGCTCGAATGGCACGTACAGATTACGTTCGGGAAGCATGCAAAGCGATCAACGAGCGTCCGAGGTCGATTATTGGTATCTTACAACGTTTACGCTGCCAGATCCTGATCGAAGATTTGGAGGAAAAATGCAATTTGAACGGTTTAGAGTGTTCGACACGTATGCCACTTCGACAAATAGATTATGCACAATTGCAAGCGACACCGAATACATTACTGTTTATTGCGATGCAACAATGTCCAACATACTATCTGGTTGTCCAAGTGGCAGAGGACTGTTTCCGTGTTGCGTTAATGTGTGTGGGAACCTTTTTGGAGGAAATGATCACCAGTATGCGTATTGTGTCTTTGGAGCGTTTGGACTGGATGTACGTCTTGAAGACGTGCCAACAATCAAGGGAACGATTAGGCAAGCGAAAAAGAGATGACGACGTCAGCAACACTATTGATATGCTCTCCATGTCAGAAGACGATTTGGCAATCTTGCATAGCTATAGCGTTGCACTCGTTTCTTATCATAAGATCGAAGAGCAATTACGGTTACGGGGCGTGCCTTATGTGCACGTTGGCGGTATGACAAAGCAAAAAGAGAAATCTTTCTGGTCTCAAGATGACCAAGCAGAGTCTCCAGATTCAGAGGACAGCGTATCAACTATTGTACCGTCACTTTGCATAGATGCACGTATGCTTTTGGGCAATCTGCAAGGATCTTATGTCAAGCGGAATATTCTCTTACGTCTTCGAAATTGGAATGACCCTGTTCGAAGTCGGGTTGAGCTGGCACTAAAAGTTACACTCAGAAGCGGTATTGTTTCAAGAACAGATATTGTTGAAGGCCGAAACAAGATTCATTACGACACAAAAGCAGGAATTCTAGTCTTCTCCATCTCAGAGATCGAAACATACTTTGAGCAATTCCTGACGACATGGAGAAGAATCGAAAAGGTACTCAACTTATTGAAAACGTTGTGGATTTTGGGACAATACGAAAAGAGTGGGCGTGAGCATCAATTTGATTTTCGTTTGCACTCATTCGATCTTGTGCATGCCACTTTCACATATGATCAAGGTTTGATGGCAAAGATTGGATGGATACATGACCCTGCAAAAAGACGCAATGGATCATTTGCATTAGCGTTTGATACGATAAAGTCGGATGATGCGAGTGCAGAAGAGACTAGGCGGACGAATCCCCATGCCATCCTACGATTTGCGCTCGAGCAGGCTCTCAATCGTGGTAATGAAGCCAAGCCGAATTTCTGGCTGTCATTCTTGATGCTATTGAGAAGAACTTTGCCGCTCGCAAGACTGGTTTGTGGTTATCCCAACGAATGTTTGGAATCGATTGAGACACCAGAGTTGGGTGTGAGATCGGCATCGTGGATTCAACTTACATTCTTGGACCGATTTAAGCTGGATGTAAGACTGCTGACAGCAAATCGAGTCTTGTTTGTTGATGCAGGTCGTGCAACATCGCATAGACGTGGCAAAGAGGAAAAGAAATCGAATGTTGAAGATGAATTCACACTTCATTCTTCATCCCGGGATGTAGATATGGACGATTTAGATGAAGCCATTCTAGAATGGAGCGCCATACCCAGCTTTGATAAGATCATCCAAGAACTTGCTGGTGAAATCTTACAAAAGGGTGCAAAGAAGGATGCAATGCAAATCCAAGAATCTACCCAAGGTAGATCAAATTCCGTCTTGACGTTCGCGGATGCATTGCTCTATCGCGGTAATTCAGACGAGGTAGAATGGATTTTGAAGGAATTGATTAGCAAGGTACAAAAAGTGATTTTCACGGACACAAATTCCATAGACGGTTGAGGAAAAGTGCTTTGATCTTTCACTCAATGTACAACTCTTTCACAGTAAAAAACGGCTTGCCTTTTTGTGCATACCAAAGCCATGTATTTTTAGACATTCACACATCATACTCTTTCGAGTGCATCAAAATGGTATGATTCTAAAAGGATTTTACACGAGCATAAGAATTATCTACGGAAATAGTAGGTGTAACATTGAATGGTGATGGGTTCGTTTCGGAGATGGAATGTACATGTTAAGATGAAAGCTTTGGTTTTTTAGCAGATCCACCGAGCTCTTGAGACTCCTTCCGTTTGGCTGAAGTTGAATTGTCATCATCAGCTGCCGTACCGTTGGTGGAAGCAGAAGGTCCAACGAGTTTATGGAAAATTCCGCGCAATTTAGAAGGCTTGACAGGTTTTGGCCAGAAATAGCTGGAGAAACACCAAAGATGTCGTACCCATTTGCGTTTCATAGCAGTGCTTAATTTTGCAAGTTCTTCATCCGTTTGTACAACACTATCGATATGTCCACCAATCGCGCTCAAGCAATCTTTCAAAACTGCCACTTTTTCTTCTCGACCTAGATGATCAGTACCTTCTTTCAATCTCTTGAGCTGCTTTTTGCAAGGTCGCATCAATTCTTTGCATTCTGCTTCATCCATTGACGAGTAACTGGATTGATCAGACTCATCATCAGAATAATCGTAATTGGACTTTCTTGCTTTCTTTGATCCTCCTCCTACGCCTGTGCTTTGAGGCATTGGACTTGCAGAAACGGCATTTGGACTGCGCTTTCTTCCTGATTTACCCTTTGCAGTCATTGTCATAGATTCATCTCCACCTCCGACTTGTTTACCCAATTCATGATCACGCATGGCACGCAAGAGTGCGTCTCCTCTTCGGACGAGGTGGATTGCACTTGGAATAGGCTTCTGTTTGAATACCTTTTCACCTTGTTCGTTCACAGTGTATTGGGGAGCTTGTTTTCCTTCTTCCAAGAAAACTTTGTCTGACAGACCCAAACTTGGATCTTCTGCTAGGAAGTCCCATTGACCGAATCCGTGCTCGTAAACGGCGACTAACAATCTTGCATCTTCTTCGTGAGTCCAATTGGACGTCCATCCTGACGGCGGCTTAAGTGCTTTCATCCATTCTGGCAATTGCCATGTTGATTTGTCTTCGACATGATCCAGCATTTGGGCCAAGAATCGCAAGCCATGATGACGCAACAAAGTCGTTTCAGCATTGATTTGATTAACTTTTCGAATTTCCACCAAAACTGCTTTTTGACGTAATGCTGAACTGATTTCCTCTCCACGTGCAGTCATTTCTCGGAACATCTTATCATGTGCGTCAACACCATCTTGACATTTTTTCATCAATTCATCCGAAACTTCGTGCAAAACACTTTTATTTTTGTTGTGCAACTTGCCTTCTTTAAGAATAGGCTCAGGTCTGTATCGAACATCTCCCCAACGATGAATTCCGCGCACTAAAACTCGAACATCACGTTCGCTAAGGTCCAATGTTCTTTGTGCAGTTGTCTTTTTGGGCTTTTCCGCTGCCGCTTTACCTTTTGCCGTTGTCGTTTTGGCTTGTTGTTGGCCATCGCTTTGTTCGCCTTCACCGGCTTCGTATGCACCTGGTTTGACTTGTGCTGCAGCTGCACGTTTACGAGGAGCGCTTGCTGCTTTGGCTTCTTCAACGGCTTTCTGTCTTTCTTCCTCTTCAATCTTTAATCGTTCTTCGAGCGGAATGATTTCATCCCAACTGACATCATCCGCTTTAAAGTCTTGAACTTGTGCAAATTGTTGCAAGAATTCAGCACCACCACTACTAGCACCGGTAGGATCCAATTCCGTTTCATGAGCTTCAGCATTGCTCAAAATTGCATCCAAGTCCATTTCGTCCAACTTCTTTTGTTGACCTTCTTCTTCGTTCTTGAACATGCTTTGAGCGCCAAATTTGAGAATTGCACTCAATTCGTCCTTGCTGAATTGTTCCCGTTTCGTTTCTTTGGTCTTTGGTGCAAAGTTGGTACCAGAAGTGTCCATCTGGTGAATAACCGCATATTCCAAGACCATCTTACGCTTTGCTCTTTCTAAGACATCTTCCTCTACGGTATCCTTGGTCAAGAAACGATAGACACTGACGTGATTTTTAGAATTGAGACGATGTGCACGCGCCATTGCTTGTAAGTCATTTTGAGGATTCCAATCCGAATCAAAGATCACAACCGTATCAGCAGTTTCCAAATTGATACCTAATCCACCTGCACGTGTACTGAGTAAGAAAGCGAAATCGGTACTTCCTTCTGCATTGAAATGTTCGATACTCTTCTTTCTGGTTTCACTGCCGATCGTACCATCTAATCGTTGGAATTGATAACCGCGAATAGACATGTAGTCGGACAAGATATCAAGAATGCGCACCATCTGACTGAAGATTAACACTCGGTGACCATCAGCCTTGAGACGGGTGAGTAATTTGTCTAAAAGAACCATCTTGCCGCTGTGCATGATTAGTCCCTTCAAAATTTCATCTCTTCGATCGCTTTGCACTTCAGTGCCGTCGAATAAGTATGGATGATTGGCGGCTTTCTTGAGTTCAATGGCAACATTCAACAAGCTGATCTGCGCACTAGACTGTGCACTCAACACCGAGTAGTTTCTTGTCAAGATGGCTTTGTACATCCTCTGTTGCATTGCAGACATTTCCACACGTAGAATCTTTTCGGATTTGGTTGGCAACTCTTTGACGACATCCTTTTTCAATCTTCGCAACATGACGTTGTCTAGCTTTTTGTGCAATTCGTCAATCATTGCTTGATCCACGTTGTTGTCGTGGTCAACCTCCAACTCGAATTCGTCCGGTCGAAGGAAGTGCAAAAGAGCAATCAATTCTTTGATGTTGTTCTGTAGAGGTGTACCGGTGATCAGCAACTTGCCAGCGGTAGAAAAGGTCTTGAGAGCGTCATACAAGTGAGATTCAGAGTTTTTCAATCTGTGCGCTTCATCAACGGCCAAGTATTGCCATTTGATTTGTTGTAATTCAGCACGATCTTTGAGAATGAATTCGTACGTGGTGACCAAGACGTTGAACTGAAGCTTTTTGTATGAGCCGAACTCATATTCGCGAATCATTTCACGACTAGCAGTGTTGCCTGTATAAGCAATCACGTTCAGATCGGGTGCCCAATTCTCGAATTGTTGCATCCAAGCGGGAAGGGTGGATAGCGGAACAACCACGAGGAAAGGACCGTATTGGTGAACAGAGTGGTACAGGTAGGACAAGAAGGACACCGTTTGCACAGTTTTACCCAGACCCATCTCATCTGCCAAGATACCATTCTCGTTCTTGCTCCACAAATAAGCCAACCAGTTCAATCCAGTCATTTGGAACTCCTTCAATTGCCCACCAACGGTAATGTAAGCAGGTTGTTCGGTCATTCTGGTATACTTGGGTCTCTCTTTGTAGTATGCACTACGTGATGGTGTGCAGGCTGACGTGGAACGTTTGAGATATGCATCGATTGCATCTTTGGCGATCGGTTTAATATCGTCTTCCGCTTCCCACGTACAGTCTGCATATGGCAACCCTTTCCACTTGCAAAGGAAAGTGACGTGCTTGTATGGGAATTCGTTCGAAGGCGGACTGTCCCTTTGAGAGATGATACGTTCGACAGTCTTGTAACTTTCGAGAGTATCACGAACGCGCTCCTTTTCTATCTCGACAGCTTCCACTTCTTCCTTGCTTACGGTAGGATCGGTCAAGAGAGCATTTTGAGCTGTCCAAATCTGCTTGACGTAGTTCTCCACCTTTTTGAAGCCTTTGATAGGTTTGAGAAAGTCGTACAATTCTTGGGTGTTGTGTAAATGGGAATAGCCTTTCCATTTGATGATGAATCGTAAGTTCTTGTACGGGTCATCCGGCTCGTCATTTACCTGTTGATCGTCTCGCTCATGCCCGAATACACCGTCGATTGTCTCCTCTTCTTCCATCGTTGCTGCTTCTTGTTGCTTTTGACGTGTTAATTTGTCCTCAAAGGGATCATCTTCCTCTGATGCATCTACGCCATAGTTGTCTTCATTATAGTTGGGCAAGCGTTTACCGTTACGTGAGGAGATACGAGATGCATCAATTTCAGCTTGTGTGGGTGTATATTTGCCAGAAGAGCTGCCACGGGATTTGATTTTGAACTTCTTCTTTGAGAAACCGCCGCCCTTTCTGCCGCCAAAGTCATCATCATCTTCATCGCCGGCTGAAGAGGGTGGTGTTCCTTCGTGATAAGTTTCGGAAAGTCGAGAAGGAATAGCTGAGATTTTTCTACGAAGACTGTTCTTCTTTGATCTGCTTGAAGAGCCGGCATCTTCATCCGAATCTTCTCCCGCACTACTATCCGCGTAAACCTTTTTCGAAGCACGACCAGAACGACGAAGGCCCCATAAAGCCGGATCTGCTTCGAAATCGGATTGTCTAGGTGAAATACGATCTGCATTGCTATGTTTACTTGGATCATCGTCATCTTCATCATCGCCATGTGATCCAATTTCATCAATATCTTCGTCCATTTCATCTTGTTCTTCTTCTTCCGCCTTTATTGCACTTCGCGCTCCGTTTAAGCTGGCGAGTGATTTGCCGCCAACGTGTGGTCTTGGTGGTGTATCGGGTTCAGAGAGGGAATCTGTTCCATTCTCTTCTTTGAATTTGGGGGTGTTGTTTGTGATTGATGTGGTGAAGGATTTGCCTCCTGTTGCGGGATGACCATTGTTGGAGGAGATACCGTTGGAACCATTGGCAACCTCTGGCTTTGGTGAAGTAGGAGCTGACATGGCTGATGGGTATGGTAGAATGACTGTGCAAATGAATGCAGCAATCAAATCTGACCACGATCAGAACAAAGGAGTAGTTATATTCAACACCACCTGATACCTTATCCCTTTGTCTAGAAGAGGGACTTTGCTTGTCGAAGAAAGTTCAACAAAGATTTAGGTAAAAAAAGGGTGATGGTGATGGATATAAGCAGAATAAATGCGCTGCGATGCGCAAAATTGAGGCTGGGCCTTTTGCTCGATGCCATTGGCCAAAGGGGGGGATTCTGTATAGCAGCAGCTATAGCTCACGACGCGTAACACGAGAGCCATCAAAATGGAAAAACTAGATCCTTCCAATCATTACAACCAAATCACGCCCAGTTCACCACTCTTTACACTGTGTGTGCGTGCATGCACCTTAATTTGTGTGTATTTTATTTGATGCTTTTTTGGCTTGTAAACTGCATCATGGGCTTGGCGAGCCTCAATGACCACCACAGGAGGATGACAAGACAATAAAAAAGGGCAACGGCGCGTTTCTAATCGGCACTAGGCGCGTAAATTGTTTTAAGCACAGGGCACGGGATTGGATTTTGATCATGGTCACTGGTGTCGTTTCATTTGGTCATATCGGCATCTACGTGTATGCGTGCATCAAAGTCACAATATGCTGCTTATTGAATAGTGTTAGAGCCATGTTAGTACAAATGCGTTAGTGATACAATTAGTGACTGGCTAAAGCTCATCATGGGTTCGCTCTACATCAATACCCACTCTGTCCTCAAGTGAGACTGGAGCTGTTGAGTCAGGAGCTGATATGACAGTATGCTGCTTCACCTGTTGCGCTGATTGCGATGCAGCAATAGCCGCAGCAGAAGCAGCAGCGGAAGCACTCAGCGCACTCGCTGTCAATTGAGCTGCGATGGATTTACTCGAGGCAGAAGCGGCTTCTTTGGCGAGCTTGAGCTTTTCTTGTACGTCCGCAGGTGATCTACTTGATGTCAAACTGAAGATCCTAAACATGAAAGACAACAATCCAACACCACGATCCCAAATTCGTACTTTGAGAATGTAGATAATGCAGCCGATAAAGAAGAGAAATGAAAAGATTAGAAATGCTGCGTCCACCATATCAGCACGTTCCATACTTCTGATCAACTTTTGCGAAGAGGCAACTAGATCGGTGAATGAGGTATACTGTATCGTTGCTTGTTGAATCGAGATCGTTGATTCATCCAGCAATTGAGCAGAATAGGATGACTTTTCCAGTTCGGTTGACATGGACTTGACCGCACGTTGCAATGCTGCAGTCACATCTCCTGATGCAGTCATGAGTTGTTCGTCTGCTGTTTGGTTCTGTATTCTTCCGTCCCTTCTTCGCTTTCGTTCCTCTTCACTACCAGCCATGTCCCCAAATAAAGCATTGCGAGCTTGTTGTGCACTGATTGGCTGAGCACTTCGCTGTTGTTTTCTCGCCTCTATGAGACTCTTCTTTGTCAGTCGTTGTACGTTCGATAACCTTACATTCGCTTCTTGCAGCACTCTTTGCCATGATTGACGCTCATATGCATTCCTACCTGCATCTCGAACGTCAATTTCCCACATTCCCAATTCATTCTCTATCCTTCGAAGTGTTTGGTGTAATTCTCGTTCGGCATCGTCGAGTGAGTTTGATTTATCGACAGAGACTAGGTTAGGGATCTGATGAGTTTCAACATCGATGAAAAGTCGTTGAATATGATTCGGTAGAGAGAATTCGTCCTGCTGTGATGCCTGTCCGATTTGTGACATCTTGTGTGTTGCAGATGGTGGAGCAAAGCGACACATTTGAATAGGTCTTCTTCTTCTAACGCGTGTGAAGACAAGCCAGCGCTGAATGCTTTAACGCAGGCAGACGTTGAATGCTATTTCGGAATGCCGATTGTACATTCGGATGTGCGACTAGAAAGACTGCAACTATTGTGCTACGACCGAATGTGGGGGATCTTGTCGTCAAACAATCTTAAATCCGGAAGTGCTGCTGATCTATAAAAGCTGTTCTTCTTTTGGCAATATCCTACCATTCCCATTTTATCAGTCGACTAAAATGGCAATCCTACCTTTCACCGACTCACAATGGAAAGCAGTACAAGTCCCATCAAAAGAAGATGCCAAAGTAACACAAACTGAATTGCAACTACGAGCAGGACCTAAAACGGATTGGTGGAGAAGTGCAAAAGGAAGTATACCGGAAAGTGATGTTGATAGACATGATGGTCCGTTATTCGTTTTTGATGTAAAAGATGATCAACAATCTTGGACGGCTAGCGTTTGGTTAGCCGTAGATCATAAAGAACGGTTTCAGCAGGCTACTCTATTTGTCGGACAGGGAGACTATCAGACAGGAAAAGAGCCTTGGTTGAAAGCGGGCATCGAGATCGAAGATAGAAAGCAGAATATCGGGTAGGTATGACTAGCAGTCAGAATTGTATGACGGTATCAAGCTGACCATATATGCATGATTATCGCTTCACAGATCCGTTGTAGCTCAACCTATAAGTGATTGGGCTTTATTCCCGGTTCCCAGCAAGGTCTCTCAAAAAGAAGGTGAATGGCTTTATATCGAAGCAAAGAGAACGGGAGCAGATATTATCCTGTCTTATTCGATTGGTTCACCAGATCAGACAACTCATCAAAAGCACCTGATGCGAGAAGTTAAAGGGTTCGCAAAATCCAACGGAAAGCCATGGCAAATAGGTGTGATGACATGTGGACCTATGAGTGAAGAAACTGTTTCCACTTTCCGTTCATTCTCATTTTCTAAGGAGTGATGGATTGTATTGATGAATGGCTATTTGTACTTGATTGACTCTGAGCATATATCTTAGGTTGATAGCTTGGGTGGCTCTATATATCCTCGTGGTTAACTGCCACAAAAGGAGTGTGTTATACATTATTGCCTGCCAATGCGCCTACGCCGTGTCTGATTAATGGACGCGTTTGTACACCGCCCACGTGGCTTTGAGTGGATTTTGCACAGTGTACTGTATGCATTCAGCATTTTATGGGCGCGCACAAGTTTTCCATCCAATCCACCCTCAAGATCATCCTTTCCAATCGCGTTTTGGCACGCATAAGCAAGAAGAGGCAAAGCCAAGACTCAAAGAAAGACTTCTTCCTGGGATCTGATTCAGACGTCAATTTGGAAAAGAACTTGAAGTTGTCGCGTTTACTCTGGTTACGATTGAACATTGTGATCGATTGATTGTCAGTTTCAACGCGTTCAGAGCAAAGTGGTACGTACGTACATTCATTCCTTCACGTCTCTGACGCGTTCGGTACCGTTTTGTACTTCAACTCAATCTTCGCATCTTTACCATCGATCAAGTGATTGATAGCATCGGTGGCGTGTGTGTCTTTGGATCGTTGTGAGAAAGGGTAATCATGTCGACCACTTCAGCCGCGCCAAATGGTGCTCCAATGCAAAATGGTGCATCCACAAGCGATTCTGCTGCTGATGGATCGAATGGCAACAAGAACGGATCAGACGCTCCTAAATCCAACAATGTCCCTAGTCTTTCATCTATACCTCCTCAAATGCAACAAATCCTAATGTCAATGAACAAGGAAAGACTTCAACAAATGGTAGCAAGAATGAAAGCATTACAAGCAGCAGGCGAAACAGAACAATCCAGTCAAGAATATGCAAACTTGGTCAGCGCTTTCAGATATTTCCAACAATTACAATCCATACGGCAGCAGCAAGCAAAAGCAAACCAACAACAAGGATCACAATCGAATGGCGTTCCTGCGACAGACAGCACAGCATCAAATGCAACCGCTTCTGCTTCCACACCTGGTGCAAAAGATAGTACTACAACACCCAATGCACCATCAAACACTGAAAGCACCACAACAGCAGAAGGCAATGGAGCAGCCATCGCTGATGCAAGACTCAAAGCAAATGGCGATGTGACTGCCGATCCAGCTCCCTCTCTAGCGCCTTCGTCCAACTTTACACCTGCACAAATGGCCGCATTGAAAACACAAATCATTGCTTTCCGTATGCTGGCTCGCAACGTTCCTCTACCTCCTCAACTTCGATCAGCACTTCTGGATCCCAACAGTGCAATTGATGACATCAAAGCCAAACTCGGTGAAAGTGTGGAGAATCTAGGCGTGACCGGAAAGATTGTTGAAGCAGGAGTGAATGCCCATATGGCAGCAGAAGAGGCAAAGAAGGAGACTGCAGCACAGATAGAAGAAATCCCAAGACCACCATCTCCTCAAGATGATCCTTCAAGTGACGTATACCCTTACAACGCATACCGCCATCCGTTCACATATCTCTCCAAACCTTCGCTTGGCGCAGATGATTTGACAGGAACGAAACAACAGAGGCTTCTCGTACCAAGTGTTATGCCTGCAGGAATAGATGCGTATTTGCTGTTGCAAGAACGAGATCGGTTCATCGACGTGCGTATACAGCAGAGAATACGCGAATTGCAAGATCTTCCATCTACCATTTCGCAGAAGCCTATGCAGAACGATGCCTTAAAGGACAAAGAAAACGAAGAAGACTTTTCTCTCACCAAATCGGCATCATCCGGTAACGCAAAGATTCGAGCTTTGATTGAGTTGAAGTCGCTTCAACTTTTGAACAAACAGCGTGCTTTGCGTGAATCAGTGACAAAACAAATGGCACAAGCCACTACTTTGGCACTCGATCGTACCGGCTTCAGACGATACAAGAAGCAAACATTACGTGATGCTCGTATAACCGAACAATTGGAACGCAAACAACGTGTTGATCGCGAGAGAAGAGCAAGACAAAATCATGTCGATTATCTCACTTCAATCTGTAATCATGGAAGAGAAATGTTGGCTGCGCACAAAAATCATCAAGTCAATGCAACACAAAGGATGGGCAAATTGGTGATGCGATTACACTCTGAAGTAGAAAGAGAAGAGCAAAAGCGTATCGAACGTATTGCAAAAGAACGTTTGAACGCATTAAAGGCTGACGATGAAGAGGCATATCTCAAATTGATCGATACAGCAAAGGACACACGTATTACCCATCTTATTCGTCAAACTGATGCTTACTTGGAAGGCTTGGCACAAGCCGTTCAAGCACAGCAAAACGATGATGTGCACGCAGAAGCGATTGCCGCTGAACGTGCTGGAATTGCGCCTCCTTCTATTGAAGAGCTTGCCCAACAATCGGCCAATCAAGAAGTCGGCGTGGCAGTTGATGAGACAATGTTTGGTGCTCAACGTCAAGATGACCCCAACGAAGATAAAGGAAAGGTGGATTATTACTCTGTTGCACATCGCATTACAGAACGTATTTCTGCACAACCTTCAATCTTGATCGGTGGTACATTGAAAGATTACCAAATCAAAGGTTTACAATGGATGGTGTCTTTGTACAATAATAGATTGAACGGTATCTTGGCCGATGAGATGGGATTGGGTAAGACCATTCAAACCTTGGCTTTGATCACATTCTTGATCGAACAGAAGAAGCAAAGAGGACCTTATCTCGTCATCGTTCCGCTCTCCACTTTGACAAATTGGGTCAACGAATTCGAGAGATGGGCACCGGCAGTACGAACGATTATCTACAAAGGTACACCTGGTGTGCGTAAAACACTCACGCCACTTGTGCGAGGTGGTCAATATGACTGTCTCTTGACAACGTACGAATATATCATCAAAGACAAGCCTTTGTTGGGTAAGATTAAATGGACATACATGATCATCGATGAAGGTCACAGAATGAAGAATACGCAAAGTAGATTGACTCAAACTTTGACGCAATTCTATACCAGTCGTTATCGTCTATTGTTGACCGGTACACCTTTGCAAAACAATTTGCCAGAATTGTGGGCATTGTTGAATTTTGTCCTTCCGAAAATTTTCAATTCGGTCAAATCTTTCGATGAATGGTTCAATACTCCTTTTGCCAATACAGGTGCTGGTGATAGCAGTATGCAGCTAAACGAAGAAGAAGCTCTTTTGATCATCAAACGTTTGCACAAAGTCTTGCGACCTTTCTTGTTGCGTCGTTTGAAGAAGGATGTCGAAGCAGAATTGCCAGACAAAGTTGAACGAGTGATCAAGTGTAAGATGAGTGCTTTGCAAAAGAAGTTGTATTCACAAATGAAGAATCACAAAATGCTCATTGCATCAGACGATTTCGGCAAAAAAGGAAAACCTCAAGGTATTCGTGGTTTGCAAAACGCTATTATGCAATTGCGTAAGATTTGTAACCATCCTTATGTGTTTGAGGAAGTGGAGATGGCCATCAATCCAACAAAGGAGACCGGAATGGATTTGTTCCGTGTTGCGGGTAAATTTGAATTGCTCGACAGATTATTACCCAAATTGAAAGCAACAAAGCATCGTGTTTTGATGTTCTTCCAAATGACCGCAATCATGGACATCATGGAAGATTTTTTGCGTTTCCGTGGATTCAAATATCTTCGTTTGGATGGTGGTACGAAACCTGAAGATCGTACCCATCTACTGACAGCTTTCAATGCTCCAGGATCAGATATTGACATCTTCATCCTTTCAACACGTGCTGGTGGTTTGGGTTTGAATTTGCAAACTGCCGATACCGTTATCATTTATGACTCCGATTGGAATCCACATCAAGATTTGCAAGCACAAGATCGTGCACATCGTATCGGTCAAAAGATGGAAGTTCGTATTCTTCGTTTGGTGACTGCTAAGTCCGTTGAAGAGACCATCTTGGAACGTGCTCGTGATAAATTGGAAATTGATGGAAAAGTTATTCAAGCCGGTAAATTCGACAATCAAGCCACTGCAGCTGAACGTGAAGATTTGCTGAGAGCCATGTTGGAAGCGGACAACGAAGAAGAAGACGATGATGAAGAGGAGGCTGATTTGAACGATGACGAATTGAACGAAATCCTTGCGCGTGGAGATCATGAAAAGGATATCTTTAAAGAAATGGACCGAGAGCGCAACCTCAAGGATATCGAAGAATGGAAAATGATTGGTTTCACTGGATCCAAGGTTCCTGAGCGATTGATGCAAGATGATGAATTGCCAGCTCTGTACCAAAGAGACTTTGATGCAGCAAACACGTTTGACGAAGAGCCTGAAGAGGAGCCAGCGTCAAGAAGACGTAACGTCGTTCATTATGATGATGGTTTGACTGAAGAACAATTCTTGAAAGCTTTGGAAGACGATGATGTTGATTTATCAGAAGTTGTTGAAAAGAAACGTGAACGTGCAGAAAAGCGTAGAATGAAGCTTTTGCAACAATCGCAAAACAGTCATGAAACTTCAGAAGCAGGAACGCCTGAACCAAGTGGAAAACGTGGAAAAGGAGGAAAGGGCAAAGGAGGATCTTCGCGAGTCACACAAACGCCAGAGCCTGCTCCAGGATTGGGTAAGAAACGTAAGAGAGGTTCAAATGTGATCGGAAGTGCCAGTCCAGAGCCTGAAGATACACCCGTCCGTAATGTAGGAGCCAAGAAGAGAAAAGGTCAAGATGATACTCGTGAACAGATCTACGAAGTACTGTCTCAATGCTACAAAGCAGCCGATAGCACATACCAAACATTCGAAACGGGCGAGACACGCAAGAGAAATTATTTGTTCCAAGATTTACCCAAGCGTGCACATTTCCCAGATTACTACGTTATCATTCAACAGCCCATCTCATTGCGTCAAATCAAACGAAAGCTTGACAAGCGAGCATATGATACTGTCACAGCGTGCAAAGAGGACTTTGAGCTGATGTTAAAGAATGCCAGAACGTACAACAAGGAAGACAGCTTGGTCGTTGAAGATGCATTGGAGATCTTTAAAGCATTTGAAGAGCGTTTCAATGCTGTAGCTCGCAACAGTGGTTTACCCGGAGCCGATAACGAAGGCGAGGTTAGCATGTCTCTGGACGATGGTGCAGAAGATGATGATGACGATGAAGACAGACAGCCTTCTCGATCTGGCCGTGGAGCACCATCTGCTCCCTCTTCTGCCCAACCCGGTCGTCCTCGAATCAAAATTAGTATGCGCGGACGTGCAAGTAGAGGTGCTTCAGCCAGCAGACGTCGCGAAGATGGCGAGGAAGGATCAGATGATGAATAAATAGGTATTCATCATATGTACAATTTTTTAGAAGTAGAATCCAACGTTTCTTTTTTGAGGCGAAGGATTCTTGTATAGCACAAATGATTCGTTCTGTTTGATCATAAAATTCATGTATACAAATTGATACATTAAGTAACATTTCTGTGGGAGATTGAGACACGGTAAATTAATGTACATGATTATAAGGACTACTTTTAGAGTTACAGAAATATTACAAGTTACTAAACGGCGATCCGATATTCCTTTGCAGACAAGAGATCCTCTTTGCGAAGACAGTTGCTGATGCAATCGCTAATCCAACGAGAATCAACGACTTCGATATTCTGTAGATTGAATGATTTTCCCGCTTCTTTTTTCCATGTCGAGATTGCCTCTCGAACGATCTTCGGATCGGGCGTGTACATCCCGTGCGGGCAATATACGATATGTGTTATTCCATCAGGATTTGCATCGGGTAGATGACCATGATCGAATTGAGGTAGTAATGGTGCAGACTGAGCACCTGTGGTGGATTGTGATGCCTTGACGAGCGTACCCGCATGCTTTTCGATAAGCTTTTCGTACATTCTCACCTTGGTCCAAAAGCCAATTACGACGAATACTAAGCCTTCAAAAAGTGGTCTACCTTTCAATTGATTTTTTTTGCTCTTCTTCTTTTGGCTTTTTTCGGGAACAGCTGCTTCCTTTTCGGTAGTATTGCCCGCTTCTTTCTCCGGTTGGCGTGTAGCCTTCTTCGGTTCCTTTCGAGCTTGCTTCACAACCCGCTTGCGTTTGACTGGCGCATCCCTTACACCCAAGGCACCACCTCTTTCAGCAGCATTTCTATTTACCGAAAGCATCTCATGTTCATCTTCCGTGTTGCTTCCCGAAGAGACTGCCGGAGGGATTATTGGTCGAATTGAATTTCCTTCACCATCACTTTCCGTATCGCTGGATTGCTCGTGAATCCTGCTTTGAGATTCGTTCATGGCAGGTGCTGTAGCATGGTGCAATGCATGTTCCTCTTCATCGTGCTGCTGTGGTGAAGGTGGCTCCGTAAGCGTCATGTCCAATTGAGGAATGAGAGAACGTGAAATGGACTTTGCTGCTTTTCTTCCTGCAACCCCTCGTTTTAGAGCATCTTGAATTGTCTTGTCGCCATTACTCGGATCTGTGATATCTACCGAGGGCTCAGTATTCGGCATAAAAGGTGTTGAAGTCTGATCTTGGTCTTGTGAACGTTGTACAGCATCTTCTGTTTGCTCACTCGGACTATTGTTCCCGCTCACAACGAGTGCAGCTCTCCTTCTCGTCAAAGGAGGAGACGGCCGTCTACGTGCGTTCCTGCGATCTCGTTTTGCAGCCCATGCAAGCGTCCTCTTCTTCTTTGGAGAATTCTCAACTGATCCACTCGGTAAAGCAAGGTCAGCGGTAGTTGCTCCTCTTCCCACTTCCTCAGTCGCTTTGGGATCATTCTCAATCGTTCGGGTTGGTGTTGTGCGTTCTTCGGGTACTTCGCCTGCATTTTGAGTGGATATCACCCCTTGCCAAGGCTGAGGCGAGCTAAGGATAATGTGTGATGGACGAATATTGGCTGAATTATCTGGCAGACTACGTTCATTTTGAGGGGCTGATTTTTGTCTTTGGCTAAATGCTTTATTTGCAGCTTGCGTACGCATAAGCATCTCAGCTTTCGTTGGGCCCCCACAAAGTGGTCTGAATGCATCGTCATCGTTCGTTACAATTTCGTTCGTGAAAGCTTGTTTCGGCTGTGCCCGCAAAAACGTTGGACGTTCATGTCTGCTTTCGGGAGAATTGACATTATTCGATTGTGAAGGTTGTGTTGGATACGACAAAGCATCTAAAGAAGCAAAAGCTGCTTGTATTGAATCAATCGTCTCATTTGATGATGATGTCCTGTTCGTATTTGATTCGTTTACATCCCTCCGCATCCTTCTTTGTGTGATGGTAGAATGGAAGCATCTTCGCCTTCCCGGACCCATCAGATTGTGCGTGGGTCGTATGCACTTCAAGTAGGATTCTCGGTGCCTTAATTTTTATTGCGTACGCGACGGGGTTACACAAATAAAAAGCAGTGCAAATTGAATTTAACGCCAAAAACTAAATCGGGCCTAAGGAAGATCTTTCAAACAGATGATGACTTATGTATGTCCCGATTCGACACTGAGTAAGGCGTTACGAGCTGCTACATCAGATGACATGAGTATATAAACAGGTCAAAGAAGATGTTTGGAAATATGTAGACTAACAATTCGGATAACGATTTACAAGAAAGCTGATTTCCAAGATGTTTCCTACTCTGAGCACCTTTGCCGTTGCGCTGACATGGTGGTTAAATTGCGGCTTGCATGTGTAAGTTTACAGGCTGATTCCACTGAATTAATAGTTTACATATATCATTCTTACAGACAAGCAGTGAACAAGGACTTTCGATATCAGCCGACAGCACATCAAGGCAATTACCAAGTCTATAACGCATACGGGCCACATTCAGTAATCGTTCCTCAGCAAAGCCATGAATTTTATCAAAATTTGGCAGTGATGCGTACCAAAGCTATTCAAGACAAGCAAGTTCAAGTAAGACAAATGTCAAAACGGTTCAGGGAAGTGTCTGCAAAGAAAGCTAGCACTACAAGAGCACCTACTCCTGATGAAATGAATCAATCGGTGAAGAATAAATTATATCAAAATGGTGAAGGACTTGTGCCAAAGGTATATGCGGAGAAAGATAAGCCGAAACAAGTCGGGGTGATCGGACAGCGAGCTAAGGGGCAGTGATGTGGGGCTAAAGTATCCTATGCAAGCCAAGCAGCTGAATGCCGGCCAATGAATAACGTGAGGATCGCCGCGAGTAATGCAAACTCTGAACTTTGAATTTCACGGTCTTTCATGTTACTATTCCACGCCCCAAAGAATTGTATATTCTGACATTTTTTCCTTCCTCAAACGGCTTTTAATAAACAAGATAAGGTATAAAAACGCATGTATGAGCTGCTTCATAGGTCTTTCTTGAACATATCCAAATAGACAGTTTTCCTACTTACTTCATTTCCAGTAGAATGAAAAGCGTTGCAACAGCTTCTTTTGCCATTTGCTTGATAGCATATGTTTTAACAAGTCTTGGCATGTGAGTTAAAATCGTAACTCATTACATTGGGTACCACTGACAGCTTAATTTGCTCTGATTTATACCACCAAAGGGCTCTCGCGGATGAACATTCGAATGTTAAAGCAGGAAGAGTCAATGGGGGAAATAATGGAGGCCATACCTCAATGCATAATGTAGATACCTCAAGAGTGTATTGGGCTAGTCCTGCCATGATTAAAGCCAAACATTTCATTCCAATCACAGAATATCATAACAATCTGAACAAGCAAGGATTTCATGTTTCAGGTTCATCGTCACATACGAATAGCCTGCATGCTCAACGTGTTCCACCTGCCCACACCTCTCAGGTCTCAAGAACGATCGAGCGCCGTCCTTCCCATACTCAAGCTGCAACGCAACAGCAACCGGTAAATGTTCACCATGCTAGATCGAATTTTCAGCAATATCAACTTTTTCCCGCCGCCGGGAAAAAGACTCAATATGAATTATTCCCGTCCGCAGCAGGCAATGTTCATCAGCATCAACAGTAGGTTATTGGGCGACGCCAAAGAGACAAGAAAGTAGATCAATCTTAACAGTCAAGGGCTGAAGAGAGCTGTCAAGGATCTATTCTTACGGCCTTAACAAATGGCGTAGGCGTCCGCGAAGCGGTGCAAATTGAAAGCGTTACGAAACTTTAAATCCCACAAAAGAGAGTTTTGTACTTTTTTATCGAATTATCTCTTTTCTACTCTCGTCTACATCATTTTGTATCAGGTATACGACAATGACTATCCAACACATCCTATCATGCATAAATCGTGTTCTCCTACTTTGCATCACAATAAGCTCAATTGTGTGAGTTGTTTGTTTATTGTTGCCATGTGCATACTGACTAAACCTTCAATCAGTCCACCAATACGAACGGTCGAGATTAATGTCTACAGAATACTCGAAGACGGCGCCAAAAACCATAGAGAACACTTTCCAGAATTATCCGATGAACATACATTCAAAGAACTCTTTAATCATCTCGCACACGAAAGTGAACATGCGGCTGGCCACAATCACACACATTCTGATACAAAACAGAGTCACAGTAAGTCACACGTTAATGTTCAACATCATATTCAGCATCATGCCGCCGTAGGAACAAGGAGAGGAAAAAAGAAACATTCCTGACCCTTCGATCCGTACAGGTATTTCGATCATCGTACGCAAATATGAACACTTCAATTGACTCCTCGCTCGGTGTATTGCTATCTACAAAAATGAATAGTCCATTATTGACAATCAGTATACATAGGATTTCCGGTAATTGCTATCCGTTCATTTTTTACCCGCTTTTGCCTTCCCTTTTCCTTTGGAAGTCTTTTGTTTGAAAAATTTATCCTTGCTGATATCCACCTCATCATCACTTCCCTTCTTACCGCCTTCGTTATCCGATTCTTCATCTCCTGGCTCTTCTTGTGCTTCATAGGCTTCTTCCACATCAGGCGCTGGCTCTCCAACAAGTTTCTTTGCTTTCTGTTTGGCTTCTGCTGATTTGTAGAATGCGATAGGATGTGAAGCTGCGTTATACTTTCGCGTAAATGCTGCTTTGGTCGCAGAAGGAATCTTCTTCCCTAAAGCCTCCCAATCATTCTCGCCCATACCTAATTCCAAAACGATTTCTCGATCTTCTGGTGTGAGATAATAGTCATCCATGAAATCGATAATCTCAGCAGCCGCTTGATCCGTTTCTTTCTTTTCAAGCATTGGTCGAACCAATCGAGGGAAAAAGTATGGCAAATACTGCTCACGAACTTCAAAGCGAGAAGCAGTTGTGACAAGGCGTAATCTTGCTTGCAACTCGATCGCAGCACGTATGAGTCTTTGCTGCTTGGAATTACTACCCAACCAAGCGGGGAAAGATGGGAATCCACCAGAATTTCCATTTGCAAAACTCATCGGCTTTACGGTTGAGATTATCCCGTGCAAAGGCATCAAACTCCAATGTTGCTCAGAGCTATGGATCATTGAATCGACAATATCTCCGTCACTGATTGAAGATGCAGCTTTGGTGATGCTTTGCATTAAACGAACGTCACGTTCCTTGCCGCTCAATCTGGTCACCTCGGCGGGAATATGATGGACATAGTTTTGCTGTACCATCAATGGCATAATCGAGTGATCTTGGAAGTAGTAATCTGCTTTGTCATTCAAGGTCTTCTTATTCGTTGGCGCCCACATTCCAGCAGAACTCAAAGCACCATACAATGTGAAAGGGGTGTGCAAGCCTGGTTTAGCATTTGCCGCTCCAAATTCTTTTCCTTCATCAAAGTCCATCGTTTTCTTGTTCAAGGACCAGGTGGAAAGCATGTTGATAATCAAGCGAATGTCACTTTGAGCCGATTGCACCAACTGTTCAATGACCTCTGGTGGAATCTTGAGCTTCTCCCGGAAAGCGATCGTCATGATTCTTTGCTTGACTTGGCGGACGTCCGGTTTGATGAATTTGAGATGGAATGCTGTTTTGTCGAATGGCCTCATCTTTTGATTCTTTTGGTCGTTACAAATGCAGATGACGGGCACTTTGGTTTTCTTGATCAGTGCATTGATTGCACCGACACCTCCTCGATCACCACCAGACATTCCATCAACCTCGTCCATGATTAACACAGTGCGATCAGTGATGTTCAATCCATCTACTGACATCGTTCTGTCGATCTTGCCACCTTTTTGCCAAGCATCCAAACTGGAATTGCTGATTGTATCTTTCAAGCTTGCTTCGATGAGCTTCTTGCTACGCACATCACTTGCGTTCAATTCGATCGGGGTATACCCTTCCAACTTAGCGACAATGTGTGCAGCAGAGGTCTTTCCAATGCCGGGTGGTCCAGACAACAAAACAGCTCGGCAACCATTCATACCATCTTTGCCTGGCTTTTTGAAATTTGCCTTGAGAGAATTTTGCCAGTCATGCAACCACGTTTGCAGCTTTGTCACCAAACTACCGTTCCCGGCCAAATCTTTCAGCGATTGTGGGGCATACTTTACGGTCCAAAGTGGATTATCGTATACTACTGCTCCTTTTGCGGGTTGCATCTCTTTGGCTGCCTTTTCGATCTTCTTTTGTTCTTCTATGAGCTTCTTCTGTGAAGCCTCATCTACTTTGACATCCCCTTGGCTTTTCTCCCGGATTAAGTCGAAGAAACCGTCTTCATCCAAAGTTTTCAGCTTTTGATCAGTAATCTTTTTCAGCTTTGAGGGGCCTGCATTTTCTCCGACGATGACATAAGATGTCTTTGAGGATGGTGAACCGGTGACCTTTGCACCATACCGTTTGGCCAGATCAGTAGCTTCCTCCCGCGAGATACTAGTCAGCTCTCCAGTAAACACAAGCGTCAGACCTCCTAGACAATTTGGCTTGCCCACGGGAATCTCCTTTGATCCAGGCATGGCAGGACCTGCAGCTTTGCGCTTTTGTGCCAAGATCCAAGCGGGTACTTCTTTCTTTTTACTCGCTTCGTCTTCGAAACCCATTTCCGTATCTTCTTCCTTCTTTGCTGCTTTCGTTGGCTTGGCACTCGATTTGCCCTTTGACGGTTTTACGTCTTCGAGAAGATCATCATCGTCGTCCTCATCGAGATATTCATCCTTTGCAGCTTTTGACTTGCGTGGAGTTGCTCTTGCACTTTTGGTGGGTGTTGCTTTACTTCCAGAGCTTTTTGCTTTCTTGACAGGTTTCACATCCTCCTCATAGTCATCTTCAAAATCATCGTCATCGTCATCTAGATATGACTTGCGTTTCGAATGGGCTGGAGATTTGGCTGCAGGTGCTGATTTTGAAGTTGATGTACTTCCGTTCCCGCGTTTGGAGGTATGTTTGGGCTGCTCGTCTTCAGAATCGCTCAAGTCGATTGCGTCAGCTTTGCTACCTGAGCCTTTTGCTGATGCAAAGTACTTTGAAGAGGCCATTTTTTCCTTTTCAGGGCTGCTTATGTCGCTCTCTCTGACGGATAAAGAAATAGTGTCAGATAGAAAGTAAGGGAAAGTAACGGTGTATATCAGCTACGTACCCTGTATGAATGCGTCTATTCGTTGGAGGTTTGGAAGGACTGGGTTTGCTACCAGATATGAAGATCTAAGTCAAGGAATACAATTCGTGTCAGTTTCCTCCTTGAATAAATGCATAAACAATCTTGCAATAGCATACCTTTTCCTTAACTGCTTCCACCGGCGGACCTGTATACTGCTCTTTTTTGGCTTTTGATGAGGTTGCTTTGCCCTCAGATTTGTCTTTGCTATTTTTTGTCTTTTCCTTTGAGCCAGACTTTTCGCCCTTTTGGGGTGAAGGTGTAGTAGTCTTGTTGGATGACTCAGCAAGGGATAAACGACCGTTTGAGAAAAAGCCAGAGAGGGATGATTGACCTTTGATTAATGGAGCGTTTTTCTTTACAGGTGATGGCATGTGAAACAAGAAGCTTTTCTAGCCATAAATTCTGAATGATGGTTGTTTGTGTTTTGAAGGGTTGATTTGTCACGATTCATACTTTGAGAAGGTTTGTTACATACGCGTCTAAACCAACACTTTCATTTGCACGCTCTTGCATAAACACGCACAGGACATTACAACAATGCGCGGCCCCCGCACCACCCATGATGGCACAGGCACAAAATATGATCTCTAGCCTCAATTGGACGATGCATCACACTTCCAACTACCATATACCCGAGAAAGATTGCGAGGCAGTCAGCCAAAATGTCGCTTAATGATGGAGATGATCCCTTACAATCACGACAAGCATTCTCATCTATAAGCTCAAATCAGGGTGCAGGAGAAGCAGGTAATTCCTCATCATCTGGAAATCACTTGACCGGACAAATGAACGATCTACAACAAAGACAAACACGAAGGCAGACTGATGGCCCACGAAGTGCATACTATTATGGACCACCATCCAAGAATAGTGCTTTTGGTACACCGCCCGTCGGAGTGATTGGAAGGGATAAACCTCGTGAAATCGTTCGAATCGAAAGAGATTATACTGTTGGAGAATTGTGTCAATTTCATCCGACTTTTCCACTGGAGTTAGAGGGCAGAATCTCTCCAACGCTTTATTCGGAAACAATTAACGATCTCAACGTCATCATCATCAAAGCGAACGATCCTTTATGGGCATGCATAGACAATACGTTGGCTGTACTGACTTTGTACATTTCACCATACATATTCGGATCAAAGTATAAAAGGGAAACAAACAATCTAAGAAAAAGAATTAATGAAGCTAATCAGAAGAACTTCAATCCTGTCGGTCTCAATCTACGATATCCTTCCGATACTGCTTTTTTGTTTTTGGAGCTAGAATACTACTAGCATTCACGTTGTACACAATTCAACCTTTCGATACCCTGTAGGCTATTTACGACTAATATTACGAATCAACAATAATGTGCACATCTTTGATCGACTATAGATTGGAGCATGGTTTCTATGAATGCTTGTGAGCATGTGCTTATTGAGAGCCAAATACCTTGAATCTATCGGCATCATCCATGTAAGTCTTCTCGCCAGCTTCATTTTCAGGACTTCCGAAAACGAGTTCAGAGTATAATTGCCAATTGGCTGGAATGCCAAAAGCTTCAGCAAGTGGTTTTTGGGTCAAATTTCCGTAATGTTGTAAATTTGCACCATAACCTGCCAAAGAGAGTGCAGACCAAGTATTGATTTGTGCCATTCCAGAAGATTGAATTGACCATTCAGGAAAACGGTCTGCATAAATTGCAACTTTCTTTTGCATTTCTTTTATGGCATCTTGATCTTCATAAAAGAGAGCAGTACCGTATGCATCGCGGAATTGAGTCATCCTTTGACTTCCTTTTTCGAAAGCTGCATCATCGTCACCTACAGCTTTGCGTAATGCCGGTACAGCGATTTCATTCCAATAACGTTCATGTTGATCGCCCAATAAGATTACAACTCTTGATGTTTGGGAATTGAAACTGGTTGGTGATTCACGTACGGATTTTTTGATTAAATCGGTTAAATCTTTATCGTTTAAGATTGATCGACGTCCTAAAGCATAAATGCTTCTACGTGATGAGATTTGAGCGATGAATTCTTGTGCTTTAGCAAGTGATCTTGACATTTTGTTTAAAGAAGAGATGATTGTATGATGCACAGAATCCACTCAAAGGTCGAGCACGCCATTCTTCCTACTTTATCTTGTTTCGGTTCGGATTTAGGAGCCGGATTTGTACTTCTCGTGCGTGTGAACGAATGAATGAATTCTCTCCACATAAACCCTAAGTATGTAGTAGGCATTTCTGACTCTCTGTCAATAGTTAGCTTTTAATCAATACGCGTTTTAGTCTTTTTTTGCATACAACCATCCTCAAGATGGAATACGAAAATGATGCAGACGTACATGATCATGCTGCAGATGATGGACAAGATATTGATAGAGACGCAGCAGCACAAATAACAAATTCATTACTACCTCTGCCTCCTTCTGTATACAGTCGCTTCACACGAGATAATGTAGCAAGATACAATGTGATGAAAGAGGCAAAAGAGAATGACTTGAAGAATGGAGAATTTGATTGGGAAAATGCAGAGCCTGCAGCAAGGTTAGCTCGTCAAAAGATCATCTTGGAAAGAGCTGCTGCCGCCAAAGAAGGAATCACTGAAGAAGAGAAAAATGTGGCATCTGGATCGAATACAAAGTCGACATCCCTTTTACCTGTGCCTCCTTGGGACATCTTGCTTGCAATGGAACCACCAAATGTGGATTGGATCAAAGAGGATGGTCATTATTCTTGCTTTGGAGATCGATGGCCAGTAGAGGAGAGCTTACCATCTTTACAGGAGATGGGCATGGCACAGATCTATCCAACATCGGAAGACGAAGAGATGGATCGACCTGCAATCTTGACGAGCTTATTGCGTACTCTACTGAAGTCTTATTTACGTCTGATCGATACTGTACTATCACCACCTCAAGCATATCTATCCACTCAAAATGATCCAAATACGGGCGCAATAACGAATCAAGAATGGCTCTTCACCACACAAGATAAAGCAAGACAGATTAATGACATCAGTATCAACTTTATGCATCTGTTAAACGAGACAAGACCTTTACAGGCAAGGGAACAGCTAAGGGACCTCATGCGTGATCAATTGAATAACAGAAAACAAGAGGCAAAGCTGATGCGACTCCAATGTCAAGCCATCCGAACGGAAATTCAATCAATAAAGGATGGGATGCGGAATGAAGTGGGATGATTGATGATCATCATTTGTATTATACTTGTACCTAATAGATCTTCTTAAACATACCTTCCGTTGATTGAGCTTAAATTTGGAATTGTTTCAACCTTACGCACAAGAAGACTGACAAAACACGCACTGGCCCTGCGCCCAAATGTTAAGGCAACCCTTGCAGTATGCACGCAAGCATTCTGGCTATGTAACCCTTCCTCCAAGAATACCACATCATCATCATCATAGAAACGGAAGAGGCATGGCTATAGTTCGACAAAGAACACAGTAGTAGTAATCATCATCATCCCACAAACACACACAGATCACAATGGTGGGGCCATCTCAATCCCCTCGGATACCACTCCTATCACCGCCCCTAGAAGAACAAACGATAAAAGCAACAAGGAGAAGCGGAAGTTTAACGGGCAATGAAGGTAGCACAGTCAAAGCAAGCGCAAAAGAAGAAGGAAAATATACAGATGATGAAAATCATACAACAACAAAGCTTAGATCTACTTCTACTACGTCAAAAACAGCAGGATCGATTGAAGAGAATGATGATTTAGAAGCAGCGGAAGAAGATATGATTGCTATTGCAGGACACGAAACAGTTTTGCAAGACGGCGGATATAGACAAGTAGGAGGTAATGCTTTGCGCAATAGTAGCAGCAGTGTAAAAAGTACAATGACAAGAAGAATCTTAATCAATCTGGCTCTCATTGCAAGCTGGTTCTTCTTTTCAACTTTGATGAACCTGTACAACTCTTGGCTCTTTTCCAGGAAAAGGACAAATTTCTCTTATCCTTTATTCACCACGTCTATACATATGGTCGTTCAATTCGCTCTTTCGAGCATGGTCATGTTCTTCTGTCGTAGAAACCGCAAGATCGTACCACGTAGAAGAAATGGAAAGCGGGCAAGACCAAGCATGCAAGATTATATGGGCAAAGTGATGCCTTGTGCATTGGCAACCGCATTGGATATTGGCTTGTCAAATTTAAGTTTGCAAACGATCACTTTGACGTTTTATACAATGTGCAAATCTTCCAACCTGGCTTTTGTACTCTTATTCGCAGTCATTTTCGGATTGGAAAAACTTCGTCTTTCGCTTATCGGGATCATCACTTTGATCACTGTGGGTGTTATCATGATGGTAGCAGCAGAAACGGAATTCGTATTGGAAGGGGCGATTGAAGTCTTGACTGCTTCTGCTATGGGAGGCTTACGTTGGGCATTGATGCAAATGTTACTCAAACGCAAAAAGATGGGAATGAGCAATCCGATCGCAACAACATTTTGGCTCAGTCCATTGATGGGAGCCTTTATGATCAGCGGAAGTTTATTGATTGAGAATTGGAAGAAGCTCTTCACTTCACCTTTCTTCTCCGATGCGCCTTCTTCTTTCCATACGATCGGATTGTTGGTCATGCCAGGCTTCATTGTGTTTTGCATGAACTTGTGCGAGTTCTCACTCATTCAGCGTACATCTGTGATCACCTTGAGCGTTGCCGGTATTTTCAAGGAAATTCTGACAATCATGATCAGCAGTACCGTATTTGGTGATGAATTGACTCCGATCAATGTGACAGGATTGTGCGTTGCTATTCTCGGTATCATATTGTACAACTACTACAAATATCGCTTACTCCTTCAAAAGATTGCTGAAGGCGGTTCCTTCAGCGGACACGGGGAGGAAGAGGACGATGACGATGATGAAGATCGAATTGAAACTGTCGAAGGAAGGCACGGTAGTAGCTATACAGAACTTGAGGGAGGAGAAGTCCCCAATGGTAAAGCTAGGCACGTCGAAGGCGGCATTTCTTCGATAGCCTTATCTACAGGTCAAGGAAGCAAAAAGGATGAAGAGGATGAATCCCTTTTAACGGAAGCTGAAAGAAAGCGAAGACGTGAACGTGAAGAAGAAGCAGAATTAGGCGGCTGGCATTCTAGTGGATTTGAAAGGACAGGAAACGGTTGGGACGATGGTCGCGGGTACGACTCTGATGAGACTGCATAAGGGGGGATGGACGATTATGCTTGCTTAACCCATGATCTACTTGCAACGTCTACAGTGTCTGTCACAATCTTATTGTACTTTAATGAATAAATGTATATCCAATTCCATCATTCCACAGTAGCAGTGAACATTCATAGTCGTACTAATACAAAATAAGTTAACAAGATAAAGAGGCATCCCGGTTGCAATTAGCGCACAGAAGCCTGACCGAACGATCTGCGTAGATCGATCACCGTATACCTTGCAATCAGCTCAGAAGTGGAGATATACAAATGATCACCATCAGGATCCCAAGTCAAGCCAGAGATTTCCACATTTGAATCATCTCTCCTTCTCAATCGACCTCCAACATTTGGTCCGATTGACCAAACACCTGATCCACGATCTGTTACATCTCCAACACCCGTCAAAATTGAATCTACCGATCTAACAGCCGACATCACCGGATTATGTGCTTCGTTTTGCCATGTGATTTCATTGGTGGAAGGCGATGATACCGCTTCTGCATACGTCCTTCTGATATCCATCTCTTCTGCATCTCTTTGCGATTGACGAATCGTGCGTCTCTGTTGAGCAACACTTGCACCTCCCGATCCCAGACGAAGGGTAGAGGAAGAAGTGCTTGGTCCACTCAATGGACTACGACGAGCACTGATCCAATCCCCAAGAAGGGCTCGGTCTAAGCCTGAACGTGTTGAATGAAGATTGCCTAAATCCCTATATCGTCTTCCACTGGGCCATTGACGAGATAGGTTTGAGCCTTCGTTTGACGCGGTCGCTCGATTGGCACTGGTGAATCGAGCTGGAGAAGTAGTTTCCAGCCATTCTTCGTTTGTAGGAATGGCTTCCTCTGTACTTGTTGAACTCGGTTCATTCTCTAATCCAGTTATTCCTCCTGCTCCTGCTGTCAATAAGAAAGGTGCCATATTATCTGATCCTGGTGAGGTATGATTCACTCTACCGAGATTTGTCTCTCCCCATGTTCCATTTACCATTGCCAAAGTTGGCAACCGAATTCGCTGTACGATCTCAAAAGTGATTGTATCGACGATATGTATATAATTTTGTTGTTCACTAAAAGCCAAGACATCACCTCTTGGACTCCATTTGACAACTCGTGCTGCTCCTGCACCGTACAAATCGGAAAATTGTGTCGTTTGCAGGGCTGCAATCTTTTTGGAAGAACGTACGTCCCAAACGGATACAATGCCATCTTGCGATGCAACAGCGAACTGCATACCGTCTGGCGACCATGTTGTACTAAAGGATGCATCTGAAGAGGCGGTATATGTTGCAATCTTGCTTAATTCGCTCGTGATAGGATGAACGCTGAACAGAAATACTTCTGGTGTGTCTCCAACTGAAACGACGTGCCTTCCATCGGGCGAGAAGGAGGAGTGATTTATGCAAGTAGGAAATGCGATGATTTGCGTTCTGCTCAAGCCTGGCAAGCCACTCTCGATGCGTTCCGATTGCACACATTCATTTTGCGGTGTCCGATTTCGTGTAGGCGGTCTTAGCCGGAATGCTTTCAGGCTTCGGTCATTGTTGCTTATCATCAGACGGATCGTGTTGGATCGAGATGCTTTATTGATAGTAGGTTCACCTTCTTTTCCAGGTATCCCAATTGCTTGTTCTGAGCCTTCTCCCTCCTGATCTGGCGTAGCTTCCTCTCCTGGCCTTCCCCATGGCTCATCTCGTTTCCAAGCAGAGCTATTAGACTTGTTTCCCAGATTTTCCTTTCTCCGCTTCTCTCGATGCCCCAATTTCTGTTCCAAGGGAGCCGCTTCTTTTGAGCCTTTCTCTTCATCGAATACTACACCACGTATCGTACTTGGCTTTGGTTTTGGCTCGGGTTGAATGCATATACTGTTATTTATACTGCCCCCTGTAGGTGTTCGTAGATGCCATCGTGGTGTATATCGCTGATTGCGGAAATGGGACGATGATGATGATGCCTCCTGTTGTTGCATCAGCTGCTCTACAGCTCGTGCTTCCAAGCTCAGCCCTTCCCTTTCCGACCTGTTATTCACACCTTGAGGAGGCGGTAATAAAGGCCTGATGTCCAATTCTGAGTGCTCTCCTCCTGCAGCAAGTAAGCCGGATCCTGTCGTTAAGCAAACGGCATCAAAGTCTAAGGAACAGAATTGCGTCGGCCCTTTCATTGAATCGAAATCGACACATTCGATAGCCGACCCATGAACGAACATCACCTTTCCTTTCTCATATCCAGGCTGTAAAAGGTCACGTAATTGAGGATGAAAGATTGATACACCGGCTGTGATGACGTCAGGACGAGAATAAACATATTCACTATAGAAAGAGAAAGAATGTGTCAGAAGAGAAAGTACATACCCCTACCATCAAACGTACCGCATTGTGACCATCTTGTGCCTGATAATTACTCGCTCTGACGGATAAATTGAAGTTTAAGCCATAGTCATATTTGCGAAGAGGATAGCATATTTTTGATTGTGTGAAAGTGAGAGAGTGAAGTGTTTGTTTGTGGCGAGCAAGTTAAATGCGTATGAAATGCTAGTGGCCCATGCGCCACAAGGGACACTGCATTTTTGCCGCCTTTTGTTGACAGGCACATGGTAATAGTGGTGATGGATTAAATTATGCTTTGATAAAAATACATGATGAAGTGAATTAAGTAAGATGATTAATTGTCTATCGTATATTCCAATGACTTCTAAAACAATAAGCCATACATTTTCAAGAGAAGAAATATTGCGACTCTCTAATTTCTCGAACGTCAAAGTTGCCCTTTTGAGGAATGGGTGGAAGAATGGCGGATAGTTTTACAAAATTTTGTGAATGAACAGCGTCTTCGTCATCATTTGATACTTCATCCTTTTGAGCTTCCCTGGCAGCTTCGACCAATTCTCTCATCTCCTTATCGCCCATCAAAATTCGCTTGATCGATGAAACAGGAACGTAATGATTCTTGTACCGAGAAATGAATTCATCTCGAAGATGGGTTAAAATGTCAGTCGAATGAAGTTGAATAAATGTATCACGAATGATTTCGCTCATCGTATCGATATCGCAAGCATGCGTCCAGTAACTATCATGAACCGAAGCAAACGTTAACTTGTTTTGTTGACATTCCAAAGCCGTAAGGAACATGTGTGTAGCGTCCAAAGAATGGATGAAATTGGGCGGGAAAGCGCTTGACTGTTTTGTTGCTGAAACTTGAGTGGACAATTGAGGATCATGCAAAAATACAGACTGCATAGCCGTTGCCACTTGTTTTCTGACCACTTTTCGGTAAGGCTGAACGATTGGTAGACCAAGAGGAGATGACCAGATAACGGATGTCATTTGTTCATTTGAAATCATTTTAGACTTTGTCATCTTTTTCGATGCTGGTAGATCATTCTCTTCTTCTTTGTTCTCCGCCGATTTCGAAAAGCGAGTGTATTGGACACGATGAGCTGGAATACTCTTTGCAATCAGGGTTGCACTCTTTGTTAGCCAGTTTTGAATAGCCTCAGCACCGGCGAAAAGATCACCAATACAAGTCAAAATCGTTCTGGCCAAATAAGAAGCGCACGACCACAATTCTTCAGCAGCAATATCTCCACGATCAGATAATTGACGCATAACTTGATCTTTAGCACCAATGAACGTTACTCCATACACGGTAGTCATGACCGTTTGTTTGACAACTTTTCGTGTAACCTTTCCTTTCAGTTTTCCTGCAACGTCGTGACCCTGTTCGATATCTTTGTCAATAGCTTTGATCACCAAATCCGCAATACCTGTGTACACATCTGCTGGTCTATCACTGCTGCTAAGGTTGACTTGTTTTGCTCCATCCAAGTCACCACCCAAGGCAGCGTAATGTTGCAAACCATTGCAAGTACCATCTTGATGTACAGGCATGCGGCAGGGATACTTTTCTGGACCTCCAGGATGATCCATTGCTTTTGTCAGCTCAAAGCATGTAGCCAGGCATTGCCAAGGATCATCAGCTTTTAACCACCAATTACCATTTGGACCCAAAGGATCGCGAACACTTGCGCGTATATTGTCCATATTGTCAATAGCAAATTGCACACGCTCGGTGAAATTGGCTTTATCATAACCGTAGACGTTTGCTAAATGAATTCGAAGCCACTTCAAACCCACCTCTCCTAGCGGTTTGGCATCAGCGAACAACAATAGACCACGGCAAAGGTCATTTCCAATGTGATTCAAAGCAGGTGGGATTGGGTATGCACGACCACGGAAATCCATATTGTGAGGGAAGTAAAAGCTTTCGCCCAGATAAGCACGGGCAATTTCCAATTTGTAGTTGATATCGCATCTTTCTGAATGAGCATTATATTTGCGCAATTGATAATGCTTGTATCGCTTCACAAAGATGTTGCGGGCTGAGAGATCGGTATCATAGTTTGCTGGTCGTTGCGGTTCTTCCTCGTCTATATTTAGCGGTGGAATATCGGCTATAGATTTGCCTGAGTTCCAAACTTCACCAACCACATCGTATACATCCCTATTGATCGTCCAAGCTGTACTTCCCAAAACGTCAAGTCCGGCTAAAACTGAGTCCAAGTTCTTCTCTTTAGAAGCTTGACGAAGATAGGAGCCTTGTTCAGCCACTTCCTTGTATCGGAGTGCGCGTGATTTTACACTGTAATAACCACCAGATTCATAATCTGTCCAAGGTTTAGGAGGCACAAGCATAGGCAAGTGTCTGGGTGACAGGAAATCTCCCGACATTCTTTCCTTGCTCAGCACTTCCCCAACCGCTTCATTCAATCTAATGACACCGAGTCTTTTACCTTGAATGTACTGATATGTTGAATAAAATGCAGGTTGAGGTTCATTCCATTCGAATTTATCACGATCGCTGGCAGTCCGCTTGACCTTTGCAACTTCCATCAATTTTTCAACAAGGTACGCTGCTGCTCGGATTCTTATCGGTGAGGTCCAATCCGGCAGAGCGACCGTCTCGGAAGATTGCTTTTCCTTTTGTATCATTTCCCTCAACTTGTCTCTAGTTCTCTGATCAGTTATACCGTTTCTTTTAAAGAGTGCATGGATATCTTTGGCCTTGCTGAAATCACTAGATTTTTGCAATTGAGCAGCATATGTTTCTGCCTCAATCTGTTTGCCAATATTGACTAGTGCCATCGCAGTTTTGATACCGTTTACAGCCATTCCTTGCGTTCGAATGAGCTCTAGGATGGTAACGATCGCTAGCCTTTTCACTGGGACTAGAGCCAAGAATGGATAGATTTCCGCCTCCATACGTGGTCTAGATCCATCTGTAAACCTTTCTGCAGTTTGAACAATTTTGCGGATGCGTTCCATATCGGTGGTAAGGGCTTTCACTAGCTTATTGTACCATTCCCACATCCATTGCTGTAGTCTCTTTCCTTGCATGGAAGAAGCAGCTTGCAATCCTAGTCGTTCCAAATTTTCGTTAGCATGATCAAAACGTTTTTCCGCAGCTTCCATTGCACTGAATTCCAACCACTTTTGTCTTTCGTATGGATCCCTTGATCTCTGTTTGGCTTGCTCGACAACTGTAAGATTATCTTTCAATACACGCAGATTGAAAGAAAGTTCTTCTTTGTCTTGTTCACCATTCTCGACAGGCTTTTGATCGTCTGCCTTTTTGTCATTTTTAAGCATGGGCTTTACCGGAAGCAGATCGACCGGCGCTTTTTTATCTTCATTTTGCTGAGCCGAAATGACATCCTTTTGTGCACGCTTCTCGAGTGAGGTGAGCAGTATATTGGCATTTTCCGTTTCCATGATAAAAGCTTCATTGAATAGTTCCGCTGCAACTGAAGACAATTGTTGGAGTACCATTCTTGCTGTCGGCTCTCCTTCCCGGCTGAAGTTCCTAGAAGTAATATTGTGTAGCTCAGCTTTCTCTTCTGAAAAAGCGGGAGATAAGATCATGTCTTTCACTGAAACTCCTTCAGATCCTAGACGCTTCAAAAGTTCACCAAGTCCAGGCAGAGCAACGGTATACTTCCGGCTTCGCAACAAATGCACAATACCTTTTGCCATTACAGCAAAAGAATTTGCGTTTGGAGATGGGTCGATGGTGCTACGACGCGATGATGATGATTCTCCTTGCATGTCATTCAACAAATTCCAAGCTCTCCGAACCCAATTTTCTACATTTGTCGAGTTTGATTCCACAAAAGCTCTCCGCAAATAAGCTCCTAGCATTGCATTGTAGATCGTTATGTCTAATGGATTGTGTGTCTTTGTTCTCCTCACGTCACCTTCATTCTCGCTCAGTCGACTACGTGCGGCATATTGAAGATCATCATCTTCCGCTTGCGTTTTCGAACGGACGTCATCGAAAATCTTTGTTGCACGAACGATCAGTCCCGTGCTCAAGCAGGCTCGCAACATTGCTGTATTTTCAATCATCTGGGTTGGTGTAAAGACTTCATTATTTGTCTGCATGGCCTGCAAAGTTGAAGTGGAGAAATCGCCGTATTGGTAAGAAGGATCTTCTGGAAGATTATCTCCTGCATTCATGGTACCATCTTTCTTCTTTGCGGCTTCACTGATACGCTTACGTAAAGCAACAGCATGTTGATCGAATAGTTTGGGTGGCAAAGGAGTGGGTAAACGTGTCCCCTTTCTCCTGCCCAGACCGAATGCTCTGGTAATCAAGTCTCCTTCATCTAATGATAGGCTTGAATGAGAATGACCTGTAAGTTCTGCTCTATTTGTACGTGTTGGATGTAGTCCTGCATCGGAAGACTGTGATCTTTCTTGTCCTATTGAGGGAGATGATCCTGAGGTTTGTAAAGTAGGCCGAGTTGTGCTAGAAGACCCTATCCCCGAATTTCTCAGCGTTCTAGATGTCGATATCGAGCGTAGAGAGGATGCTTTATTTGATGATGTAGGGACCTTTCTTGATGCATTTATCGATGTCGAACATTCTCCGACCTTTTTCCCAACCTGTCGTCCAGCCAAAAGGCTTACGCGGCTACTGGAGAGCATACTACCGAAACCTTCTTTGCTCCTTGTATCGTGCCAGCGGGAAGAAAGAAAGATAGAATCTCCACTTTTCTTATGTCAGGGTGATTTAAAATGTGATGGAGGATATGATGGGTATGTGAAAGAATTCCGAGAGTTTTTACTTAGCGGAATATCGCGTTACCAAATTAAGAATGGAGGAAAAATTCCAAAAAAACCGGTCACGTGACCTATTAGTACAGCTCAACGAACCTCCTTTTTGCTAATCCCCCACACACACAGAATATATCAGTGCGCTCTAGAGTGAGTATGCTGAATTGACATAACTGATATGATTGTGAAAAGGATAGCTAATGTACAAAGGAAAATCTAGGTAAAAGGTCTCTTTTTTGGATCAAAAGTGAGGAAAGATTATGTAAAATAAGTGGCTATGTGATGCTTGTTGTAAGGGTGATATCGACTTGAAAGTCAGAGAGATAATGTGTTGTGAGTGATCCCGTTCAGGGAATGTCGACATCGAAAGATGCGTTTCAGTTCTTCTTCCTGGGTCGCAGGGGACAGAAAGAATGGTAAAAACATATTTTGGATTTGGCTGGTGATGCGGGTTGTCTGCGTGGCTTGGGATGGTACTTTGTGTAGTAAAGTTGCTCTGTATTCCTGTGTTTAAGGCTTCTTGAATTCAGCCAACACGGGGAGAATCAAATTGAACGCTTGATAAATCTCTTCACGTACTTTTGCACCCGTTAGCACAATCTTTCCTGAAACGAAAATTAGCAATACAACCTTGGGTTTGACCATACGATAGATCAAGCCAGGGAACAGTTCAGGTTCATACGATGAATAGACACCGTGGCTGTATGCAAGACCTTCGAGACGAATTGGGAAGCGAACGTCACAAGATCCGACGATATTTTGAATCTTAAATTCACTAAATCGTGCATCGAAACCTAACTTTTGGATAATACGAGCGTATTTACGACTTGCCAAACGTGAATCATCTTCACTCTTTGCTCCTGTAACGACCATTTTTCCGCTTGCAAAGATGAGCGCAGTTGTTTTCGGTTCACGAATACGCATAATCACTGCAGCAAAACGTTTTGGGTTATATTCGGCATTTCGTGCATGCAGTGCAATCGTTTTCAGATCCAGCCTTACTTCCAAATTGACCGTTGCAACAATATTTTGAAGTGTTGGAACGATGCCGTGCACCTGACTTAGGCTTTGTTCTAAGCTTACTGCCGAATCTTTGCCTGTATTCCTGGCATCTTCCCCAACTTTACCCTCACCTGTGCCTGTTGAAAGTGAGGCACCCTTGCCCTGACCGGGCAACATCATTCCGTTAGCTGACATGCTGATTGTTTGTGTTTCCTTTAGTCGGCCGCTCAAAAATCCCGTATCGCAAATTGCTAGCTTTTCCTTGGTTTACTGGATGTAAATCGAGGTGCGCAAGCTAGAGTGAATCCTTCTACCGCAATGAAGTGGTCGATAGGATAAAAGACGTTCAGATCTTGAGATTGAAGTCAAATTTTTTGGCAATCGCAAACTCCTCCGTATCGTTACGACGCTTTCCTTTCCCTGTCAAAAATAATCGTATAAATCGAAATGCTGACCGTTTATTCCCCAACCTTTTTTTTGCGTGCTACAAGATCACTCACGAGCCCGTATGATGAAAATCAAAAAAGAGTTCTCAACAGACCTCGTGTATCGAAAAAAGTGTTCCTTCAATGATACCCAATATTCAGATCGAGTGGCGCGCAGGTTGAAGGGAAGATGGCGATGACGTGGATGGTTGTTTTGTGTAGAAATTGAAAAAGGGCAGACATTTAAATAGGACAAAAACGCGTCAAAGTGTGTGCATGCGTGCGTGTCTATATAAAAAGGCGCCCATTCAAAGCTCAGCGCGGCGCAAAAGGTTACGACTGCCATCATATATGCAAGAAAACGCAAATATGATATGGCGGAAAGTTTAACACCTTGGATGGCAAGGTCAGTATGTCATGGCTTATTGGACATAACAAAAGAACAAAAAAAGCAATATAGTTTAGGAGATGACGATGAGATAGCAGAGGAAAATGATGATGTTACGTCCTTTCAAAGAGGAAGCAAGGTACAAATAGTTCGATTTTTAGGCTTTGGAGCTGCAAATGTAATCCATAGGCAACAGGATGATACTGCATTATGGGCAATCGTAGCAGACAGAACACACTGGACATGCGTCAAATTCAGTAAAGAATGTGTCGACTCATTCGATCGAATGCATACCCGAAAGCTTATCTCCATGCGTGGATCCGTCATTGCTTTACGATGGTATAGACCGGGAGCATCAATTCAAGCCGACAAACTGTACTCTATTGAAGCCAATTCTCGGGGCGGTGGTCCATTTGCTGCTGCTGTACAGTCGAATGAGAGTATATCAGCGGGGATTGTGCCAAGACTGGTTCTACACGTTGAATCCATTCAATTGTGGGGAAGCATTAATGAATCTATCTTTTGGGATACTGATGATCTGCAAAAATTCTTGCTGGAAGATGAAAGCCATGGCGGAGGTGTGGGCAACGGCACAACTTCAAGTTTGATGATGGACAGAGAACATAAAAGTGCTTTCAAAAAATGGATCGGATCGATCAGGCGGCGGTATGCGAGAGCATATGCAAAGAAGCATCAAAAGACAAACGCAACCATACAAAGCGCTTCTACTTTGTCTTCGAAGCAATTCACTACAGGAAGTGAATTTTCTGGTCCAAAGCCGTACCAACAACCAGTGGAGAAAAAAAGAACTGGTAGGCAGGCAGAAGCAGAAAGTGTTGACGCTCGTGAGAAGAAGAAAGCAAAGGTGGAAAAGGCCGATTGGGGAGATTCTTCGCTTAGTTGGTCTGACGATCATTTCGGCCTACAAGCAGCAGCTGACACACTACTTGAACGAAAAGATGGACATTCTGTCATTCCGAACGAGACGGAAACTGATTTCAGTGATCCTTTTGCATTGGCAACATCTGCCAAATCGGACGAACCATCGAGTTTAGAGGTGGCAGCACCCATACAATCAGCAGAGCGGGAAGTGCCCCAAGCCGATCCCAAAGCGTATGCTAAAGAAGAATCAAAGTCTTCGTCAAATCAAGACGAAAGCGGGAATCGATCATCTGCTACCGAAAAGGACGACAGCACCTCTCCCGAAAAGGAGCGCGATCCAGCACGCTCAGGCGACGTCAATTGGACGGATCTTCTGAATCTTGCAGACGAATGATGAAGGACATCATAAGCTAATCAATGGTATCATTATTGTACAGTAGTGTATTATACAGGCAGACTATGTGAGAGGAATTTTAGGTTTTCTTTATTTTGGCTGTCGCTCTTGCCTTCCTATTCACCTTGCGTTCAGTTCGCTTTGCCTTTTTGAGTTCCTTTTTCTTATTGATATCCAGTGGTGTTGAGCTGGCCAAGTGTTTGATGTGAGGAGCAATCAGATCCATCTTTGGTACTTTTTGTCTTAAGTGGTCTTTGTTGCTTCGTGCTGTTGCCGCCGCTTCTTCCAGCCATGTCATCCGTATTGGTTGTACTTCGGCCTTTCCGAACTTTAGCTCCAAGTCAGATACTTTGCTCTGGATTTCATCGTCTTTTAGTGCCTTCAAGGCCTCGTTGTCAATCGAAATCATTCCGCAACGTCGAAGATTGACAGCATCAGAAAGAGCAAGTTGTGATCCTAAAGGTAGTGGCATTAACAACACCGACCTTTGACATACGGCATTATAAGTCGCAACCAGGAGTGGAAGATGAGAGGTAAGAGAAGTGGGCGATACATCTGCATTGCAAACGAAGATCATCGATGGCTGATGTTTTTCTGTGTCTGTGCTGATTTCCGAATGTGTGCGATCGGCAATCTCTTCTTCGAGCATTCGAGTGATACTGTTCAGGCCGCATATAATCGCATTCCGTTCTGGTCGCTCCTCTACCGGCGTGATTGCCTCAGTGTCACCGTTCTCTGCCTTGCATGCCTCTGTGGATGGAGGGGCAATTCCATTTTGCATCAAATCAGCTAGTAACAATCTTGCTTTACGCTTCTCATTCTTCAATTTTGTCTTTCGTGCAGATTGTCGTGGGAGTGAGGCATTCTTTCTGACGACCAATTTTTGTATTCTATCAGATCGTAGCAGGGCCAAGAAGGTATGAAAAAGCATATTTGCATCTGCATTTGATATCGAAGGCCATTTTGCAGTGAATGGGCTGGTCAAAATAGGTCGAAAGACTGCTTTTCGATTGATACTTTTTGGCTCGAAAATCTTTTGAGGGTTTGAATTGTTTTTAAGTTCTGCCACAAGTTTTGCATCTTTGCCGTGTTCCATGACATTGAATCCCGCAGATCTTGGTGATGGGAATGAAACGAGAAAAAGCAAAAGTTCAATAAATTAAAATTGATATGCAGGCCAATCAACTAGAGTGTGCATAAAGAGACAACTTTAGTCTGTGCACAGCACACGCCTCCCGATTGCAGTACAACATTAAGGTACACGATAAGCTCGTATCCTTCCCCCTAAAACCCTATAGCCATCAGTCTTCTTATCGTAGTATGTCATGCGAAAAGGTGAGGGAGAATGGCAATGGATAATGCAAACATGAGTACCCAAGATCTACAAACAGGGCATCAAGCCCGATTCTCGATGGACTCTACAGCATCATCAACAACCCGTACTAGAACAAACTCGATTCGCGTGCCCAACTTACCCCCAAATCAACATGGTACTTCACCTTTAGCAAAAGCTGGTGTGAAGGGAGATGGACTGATGATATTTATCACATGTTTCGTATCGCTTGGTGTCTTTTTGTTTGGATATGATCAAGGTGTTATGTCGGGGATCATTACTGGTCCGTATTTCAAAGCATACTTTCATAATCCAACAGCATACGAAATTGGAACAATGGTTGCAATTTTAGAGATTGGTGCTTTAATCACAAGTTTGGCATGTGGAACATTGGCAGATATGTGGGGACGCAAAAGAGTACTGCTGATCGGTGCTTTGACATTTTCTCTTGGAGGCCTTATTCAAGCTTTCACAACCGGTTTCAAAAGTATGGTCTTTGGTAGAATCATTGCAGGTTTTGGCGTGGGTGCTTTGAGTATGATCGTACCAATATATCAAAGTGAAATTTCACCAGCAGAAAATCGTGGAAAGCTGGCATGCATCGAATTTACGCTGAATGTTTTCGGATACACTTCATCGCTTTGGATTGATTATGCTTGTTCATTCATCTCAGGAGATGGGTCTTGGCGCTTCCCGCTTGCAGTTCAAGTGATCATCGGTCTGATACTTGCTTTCGGCTCCATCGTTATACCCGAATCGCCAAGGTGGCTTCTTGATCATGACCGTGATGATGAGGGTATGCGTGTCTTGGCAGACTTGCATGGAGGAGGTGATCCTCGAGAGCCAAGAGCCAGGCTGGAATATCGTGAAATCAAGGAAAATGTTCATTTTACCCGATCTCAAGGTGATCGTAGCTACTCAACCATGATGAGAGTCTACTGGTACAGAACTATGATTGCATGTTCTTCACAAATGTTCGCTCAACTGAACGGAATCAACGTTATTAGCTATTATGCTCCAATGGTTTTTGAAAGTGCAGGCTGGATAGGTAGAGATGCAATCTTGATGGCCGGTATCAATGGAATCATTTACATTTTAGCAACCATTCCTACGTGGTTTTTGATTGACGTACTGGGACGCAGAAAGATTCTGATGTTTGGATCAATTGTAACAGGAACCGCGTTGGCAGCATGTGGGTACTTTTTATACATCGATACAGCCATCACGCCAAAAGCTGTTGTCGCTTGTGTGATCATCTTCAACGCTGCTTTTGGAAGTGGTTGGGGTCCGGTGAGTTCCATAAAAGCAGTTTATGTCAAGATGGTAGCTGACAAATTCCCCTTCGAATGACAGATTCCATGGCTTTACCCGCCAGAGATTATGCCTCTAGCATTCCGGGCCAAAGGTACAAGTTTGAGTACGGCAACCAATTGGATCTTTAATTATATCGTTGGAGAAATGACGCCAATCTTGCAAGAAAAGATCAAATGGCGTCTTTATCCTATGCACGCTTTCTTTTGTCTTTGCTCTTTGATATTTGTCTACTTTGCTTATCCGGAAACGATGGGTGTTCCGTTGGAAGAGATGGAGGCATTGTTTGGTGATGAACCTGGACCGATCCCTCAAAAAGACGATGAGATGGATGAAGAAAATCAACCACTTAACGAAGGTAGAAGGAGCAATGATGACGAAGATCATTCACCTGCTAGACCTTCACGGAGAAGTATCTCATCACATCCTCGATTTATGAGTGAAGAAGAATTGGCAGCACGTCAGGCAGCTATCAAGGTTGCTCGACTAGAAAGAAAAAATCAAACTTGGGGCTTCTTGGGAAGAGGATCATCATCGTCGTCCAATTCACGAAGAACAATTGCCAGCTGGTTCGGAGGAAATTCTCAAAGACAAGAAAGTGCACACGAAAGTACACCTTATCAACCGCTCAATCGAGAAGAACAGTAGGAAGTTGGCCCTGCTTCTATCGCCCTTGAAACTGTTAGTCATGAGCAGTCTGTCAAGAGAAATGCTAGCCAGTTGGGTGAACAAAACGGGAAGCAGGGCCAAGGAGAGATGGAAACGAAGGCTGAAACGACGTCAAGCAAAGAATTGGCGCATGATCGACAAGGAATCGTTATTGATGACACGCAAGGATTGCATCGAGTAGAAGAAGAAGAAGAGAATCAGTTTGTTCTACATAGCAGTGGTGAAGAAGACGCAGATGAGATCGAATGGGAGCATTGAAGGTGCTTAACGACTGTTTGCAATATGATGATTAATGGATACATTCCGGTTGAAAGTATGATACAGTAAGAGGAAAAGGAGATGTGCATTGCTTTCCTATAATTCTATCTTTTTATGATTGCTATCCTCTCGTCCGCCATTTGCTAATTGCAGTATCCATGCAAGACAGCGCGACCACTTCTCTTCGCATTGTCTCTTGCCTGCATCGAGAAGTGTGAGGATACGATGCCAAGGTCCGTCATTGTGCAAATCGGCAGCTTCTTGCTTTTCCCCTTCATTTCTTGTGTTTCTATTGTGAGAGCCATTTGTACGCAAATTGTGCGAAGATTCAATGTGGGCACTATGGTGATTCTTCTTTTCCCCAATCGTCTCCTCTTTTTGTACCTTTTGTGCCGCTGATTGATATAGTGTTCGGAATGTCTCAACGGCTCTAATTGATTCAGAAACCCTATGGACCGTATTGATCAAAGCTACTAATTCACTCCTTTGTAGTAATCGTTGCGGAGAAAGTTCATTGGCATCAAATAGAACCTTTAGTGCCGTTCCGACACCATTGATCTGTAACTTACCCCATAGACGACATTTATCGCAGCCGACACAATCCATAATTCGACTCACATTTCTGAATCGATCACGAAATTCTCTTCGTAAGAATTCGCTTTCAGGATCTCCTTCGTCAAACATGCTTTCTTCGTCAAATGTTGGCGGTGCATTGATTGCCTGTAACAAAAGAGATGCCAAACTGACAGTGGTAGGAGAAGAAGAAGCAGGAAGATTCGGTGCTAACTTCGCCAGCTGTTTCGCTTGAGATGCTAAACTTGCTGCTCCAATATTCCGCAACCCTTTTGTTGGCTTCATGCCGACACGTTCAGCTAATTTGGCCAACGATCGAACAAGAACGGTCTGCGTAAAGTATAGGTTCTGCAAACGATCGGGATGTTGAGCGATCCGTTCAACGAAACAAGAGAGGTTTGGTTTCCATTCTCCGGATTGCTGATCTAGATAATCATGACAGATATGAATCGAAATGCTTGCATGCAATCCAGAAATAATCTTGTAGAAAACCCGCTTTTCAAGACATTGTTCGGATTCCGATGTACTAGAGTCAAGAGGAGAAGACTGTCCGGTAAGGAGTGACGAAAGCGCTTCCGCTGCTGCTGATGCACTGCCGGGATCTCCTAATCGTGCAGATTTGATGCGAACGTCATAAGGCGAGCCGGCGGAAGAGGTCATCGATGCTCCAACTGCTCTTGCAACGCCAAAGCAATTTTCCTCATAGATTGCTGTCCAAACTTTTCGTGCACTTGAGCCTGCATAGCCTGTGAACCTTTCAGGATTGTCCAGCAAATCCACCCAAGAACTTTCCGGTGACCATTCCTCATCTTCCCAATGGCAGAAATCCGATTCTGCACATTGACATGTATTTGCTTGATTTTCATGATCATGCGGTACACTTTGCGGCAATGAAGTTTCTAGACGGTCACCTTCATCATCACTTTCATTGGTTGTCTTGACGGAAGAGAGTGCCGAAGATCTGTATTCTGTTGGTATTTCTTCTTCCTCCATTTTGGAAACGGTACAATCTTTGCTCATACAGAGGCTGTTATCGTTCCAGAACGGGCAGTCTTTATACAAATCAACCTTGTATAGTCGAAAATACTTTTCCCGTCTTAATTTGTCTAAAATTGGAAAGAAGTTGGCGGAATTGATGTCCATTTCAACGGTTTCGTAATCGCATCTTGCATCGGATATTTGACCTGTAGGCTTGCAGCTTGAAAGAGTATCACCATGGTTCAACACTGATGCCAAAATGCCTTGCTGTTTTGCTTGATCATTATTTAATGGCATCAATGGATTCTGTAGTGGATTTTGAAAGGAGGAGGAGGCACATGAAGCAATGCTAGCAAAGATTAACACAAACACGATCCATATTCTTGCACGAGCAAAATGTCTTGGTGGGAGTCCATCTTGCTTGGTCATCTTCTGGATCTTTCTTGATGATATTGTCGAGCCATTCGTAAAAAGAGGGAAAGTTGATTATGGTTATGTTTGGGAAACAACTTTAAGTAGCGTCGCTCGGTCAGTTACAACGTGGAATGCAGCGCGTAATAAAGGCGGATTTACATTTAGAAGCACGTAGGCAGCAGTTCAGTAAACCCCCTTGCCACTTTAGCCCGCCTATTTTTAGGATCTCCTTCCGGCCGTAAGCATGGAAAATCTTTCCCTGATACCATCATCTCATCATGTTCAAAAAGAAGGCGGGAATCAAGCGGGACGTTCGTTCGAGAAATAATGATGATGACACTGAGAAAGAATCAGGCCCTTCACAGTTATCCGCCACATCCACGACAAACGATGAAACAGGAAGTGGATCTGCGGTTGTATTGAAGAAGAGAAAGGTTCAATCTTCAAATCCTTTGGGTCAAGGTTCGAGCACTGCATCTTCTCGTAAGCAAGAAGCAGGCTCGTACGATGATGAGGATGACTTTGATGAATTTTATGAAAAGAAGGATGCATCAAAAGCATCTGCATCTCGTAATGATGATGCTACTCGAACAAATACGTGGTACGATGAAATATCTGAGAACGGGATTGGGGCTGCACCCAAAACGGGCGCAACAAATAATGACGATGGCATGTACAGAGGGAAAGCAGCATACAATAAATTCACCAATCCAAGCAATTCCGACAGCTCCAACCAACCGAAAGGCATGGCAAAAGGACCTGTACGTGCTAATAATAATGTCAGAACAGTCACAATGATCGATTACCAACCTTCTGTATGCAAACCGTACAAAGAGACCGGAATGTGTGGTTATGGTGATTCTTGCATTTATCTTCATGATCGATCGGATTATTTGGCCGGATGGCAATTGGACAAATTACCCAATAGTAACCCGTTCGGCAAAAGGGGTGATTTGCTTGAAAAGGCCAAAGAGGAAGAAGAAGAAGATTTACCGTTTGCCTGCCTGATATGTCGTAAACAATTCACAGATCCGGTCGTGACCAAATGTGGACATTATTTCTGCATGAGTTGTGCCATAAAGAGATATGAAAAGACGAGCAAATGCTTTGCTTGCAATAGGCAAACTCAAGGCATCTTTAATTCAGCAACAAAGATCTTAGATCGAATGGCCAGCATTCGTTCTGCCCTGCAAGAAGAGCGAGAAGCAAAAGAGTGGAAGGAAGAGAACAATGACGTACAACAAACCAGTGGAGAACTTTTGGAAGGCGTTGAAATCGGGACGGCTTAAAGTGTGATTTCTATGTATTTGTAGTGTACAGTAAATGATGTAGAAATATGATGTACATCACGTTTTAATCTTCTCTTCTCTGGAACCTTTTCCCTTTCGCTTGAGACTTCTCTCTAATTGTAGGAATGCTTTCATTGTCGGATCCAAACGTCCAATGATTGCGTCTACTTCATCCTGCGCTTTATCCTCTACTGATCGTGTATCGTGATGCTCTCCATCACTATCCTGTGATTTAGGCTTTGGACCAAAAAGATCTTCATCCCAATCTTGATTAGCGATCGGCGGTGCGAGTGCCATCAACTTGGTACGTGCTGCCGATAGATCTTGTTGATAATCTTGCAAATCTTCAGCATATAAATCATACACACAACGTGCGCATCCTGGTGAGGACAAAGTCAGTAATTTTGCATTATTGTGACGTTGTGATGTGTTGCAACTCACCTGACATGCAGCAGTCTACCCGGTATGGAAATTAAATCGTTAGTGATCAACCTCGTTCTGACATCTTCTTTCTTGACTCACCTTCTGGCCCTGGTGGGCTTGGCTTACGAGGAACAGAAATACCACGAAAATTAATTGGCCTTTCTGCAAGAGGTGTATTTTCATCCAATGCATTTACAGGGCTCAAAGCTGGATCTTCCGATCGAACATTTTGACCCCCAACTGGCTCTGCAGCCAAGTTAATCTTTGACGGATCTGTTTCAAGTCCGGTTGAATTGGTCGCTGAAGGGGAGACGGGGTCATTCGCTAATGTAACAAATTTGCCATTTTCGTCCTGATTGCTAGCATATGTATTCTCCATTGCTTTTATGATATGTTTTGGCCATCGGTCTGCCAAATTTCCCAAGCCTGAAAGAAAAAACAAAAATATCATCTATGTAAGCTCATTTGTAGGTTCTCTATATTGGAGGCAAATGCTCACGTTGACGTCGTGCTGGAAAATATGAAAGTGCAGACGTCGAGAATGGCCGTGTTTGTGAAGCTTGAAGCGGTACTGCAGTATTGGGAGAAGGTGCTTTGGTTTGTGACGTTGAATTGGGACCCAAAATGTAGTCCTTTGTCACGTTTTCAAACATTTCGTTACAGTCAACTTTTGCTTTCAATCGAGCGCATAACAGAAAGGCTCCACTCAATTTCCGATTAAGCGAATACGTCGGCTCTGGTGGTGGGGTGAGACGCTCACGGAGCATGAGTGGTATCTGTGCTCTTACTCGTTCGGTAATCGTTTGGCCTGCAAATGGGTATGGATTTGGCGCATCTTGCCTAAACGGTTCACCCAAAGCGATCATTGAGTCTACATGAGCGTTTTGCATTCCTTCACTCTCATCTCCGGTCAAATAGCCCACTTTTTCACTCCATCGAATACACTCCTTTCGATTACCGCTAATTGCTGCCCTTAGCATGCACAACCAATCATCCATAAACACTTTGTCGTACTCTCTTGTGGCTCCGAAATCGATCAATTCGATCTTTCCCGTTCGCTCATTGTATAAGAAATTTGTCCAGTTTGGGTCCGTTTGCATCAATCGGAACGAAAAGAGTTCCTTCAATGAAAGCTCTAAGATTGACCGAGCAATGGCATCTCGTTTTTCTTGCGTGAAACGTGCTGCTTGTGTGAGAGGTCTGCCTTTCATCATCTCTGTGGTCAGAACACGGCCTGAACATAAGTCATCCACAACCCTGGGAACGGAAAATAGACTTTCGGGCTTATTGAGCAAATCTCCGAATCGTTTACACATTTCTCTTTCCCTTTCATAGTTGCACTCATCGTCCAATTCACGTTTCATTACTCGAATCGTGTTGTCCAAAAAGAGTCCTTTGGGCAAAAGTGCCGATGCAGTTACCAGCCACCGTAGATTCGACAAGTCGCTGCCGATGGATTCTCTCACACCTGGGAACTGCACCTTTACTGCAACTTTTTGGCCGGCTAAAGGTGAAGAAGATTTGCGCGATAAGATTGCAGAATGGACTTGGCCAATGGAAGCAGAGGCAAACGGTACATCCTCAAATTCCTCAAATCCATCTCGCCAGTTTTCTCCCAAATCTTGCCTCATCACTTTTTCCATTTGCCATTGAGGCATATAATGTGCACTATTTTGCACTCGTAACATAACCTGTTCGATCTGCTCCGGTAACAAATTGCTATCTTGTATGCTCATAAATTGACCTAGCTTCAATGCTGCACCACGCATCGTACTCAACTTATCGACCAATCTGCGAACGTTGTCATCGCTCATGAATTGCTTTCCTTCTCCTCCAACAGATTCGCCCCGGATATAGGAACCAGCAGCGCCCCAAGCCAAACCTGCACCCAAGGAACCATAATGCATCAAACGTGCGATGCGTGAAGATGGCACTTTGGAGGAACGCAAAGGTGTGAGCTTGTTCTCTTTTGTTGCGTCGTATTCCTCCGTTAGGAGTTCCGAAGTTGTCTCGGCTGTCGCTGATGAAGTATGTGGCAAAGGATCTGGCTCAGTAGGCCGGGAAGCAGGCTGTGGATCTGTATTCGATCGGCCCAGGCTTGCAATGTCCTGCTGCTGAGAAGATGCTTGAGTTTCTATTGAGATATGTGGCTCATGCTTCTCTAGTTTAATGTCAGGAAGACTTGCCTTGGCACTTTTGAACGAGCTTACATCATGTAAGATGTTGTCGTTCGCTGTCCCTCTCTCTCCCTCGCGGATAGGTGGATTGTGTGTTCCCGCGGACGAACTGCTCAGAACCACGGATGGCCATGGACTTGGCTTGGAGATTTGTGACTGAATATTTGCGCTCTTGCTCTCTCGTTTGTCTATCTGATCATGTGAAGAGGATGAATGCGTCGAATTGGTGGATTTGCCAAGAGGACCTTCTGGCGCTACATCGATCGTCAATGCAGCTCTTCGGGCTATATTTGCCGCCGAGGAGAGAATACATGCTGCATCAAGCAAGATTCTCTGTAATTGAGACTGTGATCTCATTGCCCTGCCTGCAGAAGATGATGGTATCCAGTGAAAGGAATCGTTTGGCTCCACTCACGCTTTCTATTATCGGAGATTTTTACTTTCTTCGGAAAAAGGGTTGGAGTGGCGCGTGTGGACTGTAGTCATTCATTTTAATATTAATCTTGGACTAAAATCTTTTTCTTCTCGATCTTCTTTCTCACCACTCAATCATCGTCATCATTTCAACGCATGTGTGCTACTTAATGCGTACGCCCTTGCAAGGCTTTGGCCAGCTGCAACGGGTCTATGGAGGTGGGAAGGGATCTCACCTACTTCCATCATTTCGAGGATACTGGAGAGGACTAAGGAGCATCAATCATCAACCTAACACTTTCCCGCAGGCAAAGGGAAGGTGGGAAAGTGGGACCTGCAATCCCTCTCATCACTTCTACCGGTCTTACTCTTCAATCACTGGCCAAATCGATGAGAATTTGCTCTATCAAAATGAAGCATCTACTTCGGACATCCCAATTTTCCTCCCCGATTCTATCGATGCACTACGTCAGATGCAATTGGAAGACTTGACAAAATATATCGCAAATCTTCACTTAAAAGGAAAGGTGAAGCAAAGAGTAGACTCCTTCGAAGATGTGTTTGCTTTGTTCAACAAAGAACAGTCAAGTGCCTTGCAAGAGCTTGTCAAATCAAAAATTGATTCAAGCGAAATTCAACTAAATGCGTTTGCTTGGTCATGTTACATCAACATACTTGCACACTGTAAAAGCTGGGAAGACGTGATGATTGAGCTGCATGCAATGATTGGTGCTCAACTACAGAATCCTGAATCATCGCTTAGACCAGACATCCCTGTCTTTGTGATGGAACACGCTTTCGGTTTGATACGGAATTCGCATCACGCTTCAGAAGCATGCTCTCTGCTTAACGAAAATCTAGATTCCTTCAATTCGGAGAGTGCAATTATACTTCATTTGAGTCTGAATGATCTCATCATGAATGACTTGCAGGCGACCTATCTGAGTGGTTCGCTCACTTCCATCACAATACGAATCGCTGACAGCTTAGTCCGCACAAACTCCGTATCAATCGATGGTCAAATTGAGGCTTTGAAGATCATACGGCATCTGGTACAATCATTTTTACCTTGGCCGTTTGGACACATTCGACGTCATGTTCAGAGGCTTCTAAAATGGGCAGATTCGAATCTTTCGCTTGATCATAGTGATATCCTTCGCATGCAAATTTTGGGATGTGAAGCAGCTGATGGCGATATCAAACTTCCATGGCAACAGATAAGATGGACACCTAGCGCACAACGCTCATTCCCAACTTCAGACGCTGCACTCGATTTGATAGATAGGCTGTATGACAACAAAAGACATGGAGCAGGATTGCAATTTGCTTTGTCTTCAGCGCTGTACATCATGACCCGTTCCCGCTCGGAGCGCCAGGCTATCGAGCTTGTGGGAAAAGCAGAACGCTTGTACAAGTCTAATCGGATCGCAATAGATTTCTTCAAGAGTATAGCTTTTTTGCAAGAGCTTGTGATGTTCGGTCAAAAAGAGAAAGCATTGCAGCTGTTTGGCATCATCCTTACGACCAACGAAGAAGTAGGACACTTCACCAAGATCAAAGTATGGGCTTCCATTGTGGGAATGTTGGCAAACATGGAAGACTCGCCCGATATTGCGATGCGGATACTTGATCAGGCTAGTCCTAAGACTATTCCAATTCCAAGGCCACCGGAAGAAGTCCTTTCAAAGCCTTTCATATACGCAAAAGTTATGCAACAAATTGCTTTACGAGAAGATTCGGATTGTAGTGATCTCATAGGAGATGTTTGGGATCTGATGCTATCAAGAGGTATTCGGCCTGATCTGCATTGCCTGGAAGAATATTGTGTCGCTCTTGTTTCTCAAGGCCGTACAACGGAAGCATTGAACGCCCTGAATCAGTGGCCCGTCAAATTGGAAGAGAGTCGAGATAGTGACTGCAAGCCAAGGCCAGGATTCGTTTATCGTATGATGAAACGTATGATAGAGCAAGGAGAAACACAACAAGTCTATCACCTTTACCAAGAATATACGTCCAAATGGCAACAAGACTCGGATATTATCCTTTTACCTACACTCTTACGGGCTGCCGAGGAAGTATCCGCCAAGCGAAAGGAGATGGGCTATTCTGAAGATCATCCGTTCATTGCCAGGATGTTATTCCAACGTAAAGATCCTCTGAAAAGCAAGGAAATTCTCTGGGATGGAATACCTGCTCCTTTGAGAGCACGGCAAATCTTTCGTCAAACTTTATTCGATAATCACCCCGATCTTTTCGACTTACCCAATCCTCTGGACGATCCCAGAATCGGTAAGAGAGGCGCTCTTTGGAGGAACGAGATCCGCATGCAAAAATTTGAAGACTGGCTTTCGCAAAAATTGAGTTTCGAAGGCGGAAGTGGTCAAAAAGAGCGATTCGCTTCCTTGATGCACGCCAAGGAAGATCAGGACATAAAAGATCAATTAAAAACAAATCATGAGAATGATAGTGTACAAAGGATAATGCTGCAATGCACGCATGATCTTTTCGAAAATTACTTGCGCCTTTTACCGTACGTGGAAGATTGTGCCCGTGAAATCGGAATAGGATCACGAGAAAGGGAGCACCTACATATAGGCTGGGATGAACGTTTGATGGTAATTTCTTGGATGCGATATTTGGACATCTTTCCGAATAAGAGTTGCTTGTGCTTGATTTGCGCTTACATTCAAGAAAAGATGCCACCTGTTTTTGAAGGATCCAATCTGTTCGCAAGTCGAAACGTGGATCCTTATTCCGACTCCAAACATTCAGCCGCTGGTCCCTTGCACGGATTTCTGGCAGACTGGATTGGGGAAGAAAATATCCCAACCAACCAAGATGTTGCAAATTCTATCCGTACTTAGCCTTCAAGCAGTCTTGGGGTGTGCCACGGCCAGGATCAAATGACGTCAGCTTGCCACTGAAGCGGCTTTCTTATAGTAGACTCTATGCTTGTACAGTCAAAATGATTGTCTTGTGAATTTCGACATACTTTACCATTTTAAGACTATGCCATGCCGCTGAAATCAGTGACAATTTTTAGAGTGCCGGGAATCGTGGCTCTTACACTAATTATCCCTGCGCTTCCCCGTGATATCAAGATACGCAATGCTGGTGAGTCTTCATTTTGATGAAGTTTAATGATATGACCATTGATATCAATTATCTTATCTAGGTATTTTAATCGTGAGTCTGAAAGAAAGTTGATGCCTAGACGTAATTTGCTGACTTTCTCTTAGAGATGGCATTCTGGGCTATTCTTGGAAACTCAACACAAGCGATAACTGCCTTTATATTTGCCGATTACAAAACAGACTTAGGAGAAAATATTTTAAGATGGTGTGATTTTGGTGAGTAAGCCAATTTCATCCGGAGGAAAAATAAATGCTGATCGATAATGGTGAAATTATACAGCTGGAGTAGTTCAATACATCTATCCGTTTGGATTTTCAGCGGGTATGTTTGCTTTATTGCGTAAGTTGGAAAATATTGCATCTACTCGTCAAGTCTCACAAACTGTGAAAGACAAAAGGAGATCGCTTTTCATCGACATCTTTTTGGGCATAATCTGCCCTCTCCTCCTAGTTCCGTTACGATATATCGTTCAAGGTCATCGATCTGATGTGGTAATTGGTATGATGTGCATTACTCCTCTTTACGCATCGGTTCCAGCACTCTTCTTATCTCAACTACCGCCTTTACTACTTGCTACAACAAATGCTATTTTAGCAGGTACGTATGAAATGATTCTTCTGACAAAGACCATGCTTGAACTGATCGATCCGCTCTTTTTTACAGCAATCGTTTTGCATTGGTTTATTCTCAGAACAAGACACTTTAGTGCCTTGTTTCACTCAAACGGCATAGGACTCACCAAGAGGCGTTATCTCCGTTTGATGCTGTTATCATTCATGGAAATCTTGATCACATGGCCTCTGAATATTTACGTTTTCGCTTACAATATCAAGTACGTCGCCTTTCAACCATACAAGAGCTGGAATTACGTTCACGCAGGGTTCAACAAGGTGTATGAGGTGCCTTATGAAGGAAATATACCCGCAACGAAAGCTGCTCTCGAAATTGGACGATGGGCTGGCATTGCTGCCGGAGTTGTTTTCTTCGGCTTTTTTGGTCTGTCAAAACAGGTAAGCAATAAAGTACTTTTGAGTGGAGAAATAGAATTAACCTGTTCCCTTTTCACCTTTCACAGCCTTGGTTGGAAAGTTTCTCAATGATTGGACAATTTTTACAAAAGATGGCAGCCGGCTGCAATCCGCTTCTGATCAAAAAGATCCGTGGCTTCTCTGGAAAGAGACAGTGAGTTATAAAAGTACACGCACATTCTACTCATTACACGAATGCTCAACTCATGATCTTCCTCTTTTTGATAGCAGTGTGTCACCCGATCTAGATAACCATACAAATACGAGCCAAGAGATTATTCAATTTTCATCTATAAATGCAACGGACAGTTCATACACTTATCCTAGCTCTCCCTTCACGAAAGATGTGGATGATATGGAGCTTCAAAGTGATCATTTCAAGCCTACCAATGTTTATATTTCATCCGAACGTTGTACATACTCTTCAGCTCCACCCTTTTGATACGAGATACCCTTTATTCTATTTGATTTGTGTTGGATAGCGATGTCTACGGGTGCGAGGAACAATCTCTTCAATAGTGTACAAAGTTGCGTGCCAACAAGACAATCATGCGAAATGCAGTACATAATTCATAAAACAGTGAAAAGATAGTATCTTCAATACCATCATCGTCTAACCCTATTTGAGTGCCTAGGTGATTACGGGGAGTTCGGGAGGTTATAGACGCGTATCGGTACGCGTCTTGACGCGCTAACATTATACCACACTTAATTGATTGACATAAGTGTTTCTTTCTTTTAACTTTCTATCATCAAGATGGCCACTCACAAACAAGTCATCAACAGTCTAACGGAAAGTGACTATTCTTCTCCGTCACACACAGCTGTCTTTAGCAGCCCTCCGTCTAAATATTTACACACCACAATGTCACTTACCCGCGATAACGATGACCTTGGTGATGCAGATGCAATCTCTAGGCCAACCTCAATCAGTTCGGACAATGAAGGGGTAAAGAGCAATTCGAAGACTGCAAACATCTCTTTGAAAGGTCGAAAGGGTATTTTGCTCAGTGACGGAATTAGCGAAAGCGAAGAGAAGGCATCATCTGAGAGTGAAGAAGAAGATGGAATGGTATTCTTGAATAAATTTCGTCAAAGACGAGCCATTTCAGATCGCATCGATGAAGGTTTTGACTCTCAGCCTCTGCATCCTTCGTTGAATCAATCGAGCTCCCGCTCAAGTACAATCATGAACACTCACAACTTGATTCCTCCCGCCAACGATTCTTCCATCTTTTCAGGATCGCTTACTGAACTGAGCTCTTCAAATGATCAAGACTCAAATCGCGCTTCATCTTCCACAACGAAGCTTCATCATCTTCGGCAACCCGATTCCCCTTTGATGTCAAGTAAAGATCCAGTATTCGATCGAGAAGGGCGATCTGCATCGCAAGAAGAAGGATTGTACATGACTGAAGCAGAAAAGCGAGCTGAACAAGAGCATAAGCGAGCGGAGCGCAGATTGGCAATGGAGCGATTAGCTGCAAAATCACGCAAAAGTGATGAAAATGCTACTGAACCGGAAAGCAGTGCACCAACAGAAGATCACATCACCTCAACTTCTGATAAAGATAAGCGAAATGTTCCGATAAAGACGAAACAACGTAAGAAAAGCAAGAAAGTAGGAGATAAAGTGGCAGCAAGGACACTCAATCTTGCTCCGGATTTGGACATGGCGGCAGATATTTCAAGTGAAAATGATGAGGATGTGAGAACATCAACTTCTTCTGTTGGGAAACATGTTCGGCCTTTATCCAAGAAAGATCTAGATGAGATGAATCGTGTTCAAGCTCGAATCGAACGAGAGAAGCGCATTTCAAGCGCTCGAGTCCGACAAGCTATCCGTGAGAGAAAACGTTTTGGTATTCACGATCTCTTGAACACGATCGGAAGTAGTGAAGCAAATCGGAAACATGCCTTACCGCTCACAAAGCTGGAGAGAACATTATCGCCACCTCAAAGCCGCCAATCGCCAAGCTCTGATCCGATCGAGGCCTTCTCCGACAATGATGAAGTTAATGTGAATCCCAAGCTTATGTTGGCGAAGCCGTCTTCCCGCCCAATTTATGCGCAGATCAAAGATCGTTTATCCCCTAAAGAATCCGCACTCGATGATGATGAGGACATTGACTTATTTGATAGTGAAAATATGATCGAGAAGGCATTACGTCAGAGTGAAGAGCGAGATCGATGGCGCAAATGGCAAGAACGGAAGAAAGCGATATTGAGAGAAGCAATCACTGATGGAAAAGGTGCTGAAAAGGGCGAGGATGATGATATTGAGCTTTACCGAGATGCTGAACCAACATCAACATCTACCAAAACATCGTACTCACCACATTCTCGCCATACCGGACGTCACAATTTGGGACATTCTGAAGTACCTCGACGAATGTTGAGCGGGCGGGTCGATGTTCAGCAGCTAGAAGAAGATGAGCCTGAGATGTCTTTCTCAACACAGCAGATCCAACGCTTTGGTCGCCTTATCGGGAAGAAAGGAGAACAAGAAAGCTCAAAGGATACAAATGTGACAGCAAGGAAGACAGATCTAGCGTCGAACCTGCCTAAAACAGCAGGGAAGAAGCAAGAACAGTTCAGAGGGACAAAAGCGGTTGAACTTCAAGCATACATCATGCACAAAATGGAACGGCAGAATATCGAATTACGAAAGGGGAGGGTCTCAAAGCCAAAAGTTGCAGATGATCAAAATAACAGTGGTGAATCTGAAAAACAAAACATTGCAACTCTCATTGAGTCTCTGCAGAAGAATGTTCAAAATACACATACGAATCATTTGAACGGCGATATGAGCGGTGATGAAGACGATTCCGAATACTCTCCTGAAAATAATGATCAAGAGCAAAATGCGGAGCATGATAATGGCAGCGGAAATGAAAGCGTGGAAGTGGCTTCAGATGTCGAAGATGCAAATTCCATCATAGCACGAGTCAACATCGATGAAGAGGCATTGGGTGGTTCGGGTAGCGAAGAAGAAGACCAAGAAGGCGTCTTTATCAAGCCAAGGACTTCGCAAAAGTCCAAAAAGCATCAGCACATTCGCGTCATTACAGACGATGATGACAATGGCGACTTTCTTGATATATCTGCACCAGAAGATGAACCTTCGACGTCGACCAAAAAGTCGCACAGCAATGGAGAGAGAAACGCAGTTGCTAAGCAAGCAATCGAAGAAGGCATGCTTCACTCGATCCCATCGACAGTCGTTAACGCCGGCCACGAGAAAAAAGATTCCGATCCGGATCCTTCAGCTGTTTTTGGACAATTTTTTGAGGATACACAATCAGATGCGCCGTTGCAAAACGATAGCTTTAATGTGCTTTCTGTGAAAGAACAAGATGGTACTGGTTTCACACAATTCTTTGAGCAGGGTACGCCGTTGACTAGTTCATTGAGAAATGAAATGATGCCGCCACCATCAACTAGCGCAAAAGGTTTTCTTCTCCACCAAGCTTCGGATCACGATGAATTTGCAGCTCTTCGAAAAGCTCAAGCTTCGCAGGCGAAATTGATCGACGATGACCCGTTTGATTTGCCTGAACTGGATGATATCCTGCTACCTGAACAGCAAGACGCAAATATTGCTCTAGAATTGGAAGCAATGCGTGCAGAAGAGGAAGAACGCCTTCTTCGCCTCAAAAGCACAAATCGATCAGAGAATGGAATCACGTACATCAACAAAGAAGGTTTCTTTACGCAAACGAGACCCCAATCCTATAGCTTTCAGCTCAGTCAGATGCAAACACAGCAGGCAGTCTTGGGCGGCAAGATGAAAAGACGCTATCGTCGAGCTGCTCCTGCACATGAAGAAGATGATCAAGCGCAAAGCAAGAGCGATAATGTTCAGATTGATGAAAGTATGCAGGTCGAACAAGAGCCTGCGCGTGAAAGACATTCAGCATTTGATCTTCTGAGAGAAGGAGCCCGTACGATCGTAAGAAAGGATGAGGTTAAAGCGAGGATGAAATTCATTTACGGTGAGGCAGAAGAATCGGATGGAGATTCTGGAGACGAAGAGGGAATGGGCCCAAAGAAAGGGAAAAACAAACGAAGACATGGTGGGTTAGAGGGCGTTTTCAGTGATCACGACGATCAAGACTCAAGCGAAGGAGATGATGAGGATGAGGATGAGGATGATGGGCGAGATCTTGAAGATCTGATCGATGAACAACGTGACGAAGAAGAAGCTGAAAAGGACGTTTTGGCGCGTGAAAGATATCTTAAAGATGTTGATGAAGATGAAAAGGCTGCTCTTGCATTGCACGAAAGGGCAATTCGAGGTGCTTTTCGGAATAAAAGACGTGCTAGAAACCATGAAAGTGGAAATCTGGAAGGATTTCTGGAAGATGACTACGAAGATGATTGGTTACAGAAGCTTGCCAAGAACCCGTATGGAAGTATAGCCAAGAAGCGTCGATTAGAAGGCAAAGATGGCATGGATCTTCTGGCGGAAAGAGAAGATTCACAGGCATTTGTTCGAGAGTATCATGACAGTCATCGAGATTCGCAACCTGTGGATGCCTACTCGTTCCTGATGCACGTAGACGAAGATGAAAGTGATGAGGGTGAGATTGACCGCAAAGCACCCATTTCGCGCAAAGACGTGCAAAATGCCATAGCCGCAAAGCGAAAAGCAAAACGCTTGAATGCTTTGGCTGATGAAGTCGAAATCGAGGAGCGCAGAAAGAAAGAGGAAGAAGAAGAGATTCGGGAAAGACAACTTCGACGAAACATTGAACGTGCTCTTTACAACGCAAGTGATGATGAAGATGAGGAGAATTTACCAGATCAAGGAAACAGTCATTTTGCAGATTCATCAGCTCACTCGAATGTGCGATCCAACCCCGTCGAAGTGGCAGAACATGACCAAGACAAAGAAGAAGCTATGCAATCATCCCTTGCTTCTGTTCTGCCTGTAGTAGCAACTCGTTCCATCATCTCGGACCGTGAAAGAGCACGATTGGCGAGACTTGCAAAAGATTTTGAGAACGAACCCGATTGGCAGTCAGCAAAAGAGGCAATCCAAAGAGTTCGTGGAAGGCCAGCCAACAAGAATGAAAGCTCAGGAGGTCGTTCTGTGGCGAATGGGCTTGGAAGCACGAAGCAAACAAACTCTACATCATCTTCTTCGAACGTTCGAACCCGTCTTCAAGGTGTCATGAGCAGAGAAAACCTGTTCTCGTAGGATTACGAATTGAATTTTCACTGTGACTGTACTCTCATGATGTCGAAATGTTCTCTTTGCTATGCCTATTTTTCGTTCTTTAGATCTTTCAGGTGATGATCAAATATGCCGAATCTCACCGCATTGAAGAATGGCACACTTTGCAGCAGATTCTGTCTGATTCGTCATGTGCTAAATCGATTTCCCATGCTTTTGTTTGTGCTAAATCTATCATTTCCCATGCTTTCGTTTGTTCTAAATCTACTTACCACGCTTTCGTTTTGGATTTAATGATAATATCATTGAAATTATGATCCAATAAGAAAATGAGTGATGAACGAAGAAAGAAGAAGGGGTATATACGATACAATCGTACTTGAGCTATCTGAACATCTTAAATCAAGTGTACTTAGGCGCCATAAGTTGTTTTAACGCTGAAAACATGAACGCCATTTTTCTTGCCGTATTCCATATCGAAAGGATCTTGCGGGGTAATTGAGTCGTTGTAAGTTTCAACATTATCGCCTTTGTATTCATACGTACTGCTGACATCAGTTCGTGGAGTTAAAGGTGGAAGTTCCAAAGGATGTTCTGTTGGAGCAACGTCTTGTGCTGCAGACCCTTTTGTCAATATTGCATTGTTTTGTCGAAATAGCCTTCTCCTAAAAAACGAAGTGAAAGCGTTCCACATGTAAACATATTCTTTCACTGCATCGTCGTTGAATCCGAAAAAGCTATCCAAAACAATGAGAAGATTATCAGCTCAACATTCTGTCTAATATCGTCAATCACACTTACAGAATTACCATCCAACCGCTAACGGGAGCAGTCCAACGTGACATTTCAGAACTAATCCAAGCCTTGTGAGCGTCAGGTAAGTCAAAAATGGTACTTGGAATACTGAGAACTGTTCCGAATCCATAGTGAACATAACTCCAGGATTGATAAGGCTCGTACGTACGTGCATATTGTTCTGAGGCAAGTCCTTGTTGAATAATCCAAAGAGGTAAGTCTATTAACATTTCCGCAGAGCAAAGTGCCATCATTCTCAAGTATCGTGACTTGTTGAGATCGCTTCCTGCCGAACATAACACTGCTGTGAACTGCTTTCGACGAACGACGAAGTGTTTGAGACACATACAAGAATATACCAAGCTAATTGCTGAAATGATTGGTGGAGGAATGATTCCCAGCAGGATATACGGCCAACTAACGTAAGTGGCAGGGTTGCAACCTATGCCTTCAATGATGTCGAATCGGTGCCCTTGATAAACGATAGATAAGGTTGAGTAAACGATTGGAATGAAGATCGAAATGAATAAGTCGATAATCAATGTCCTTCTCTTCTCTTTTGCTGATACAGAAACAATGCGGGTACTTGCAATCGCCTCCAACTTCTTTGCAACGCACAAGCTAGCGCATGGAACTCCCATCAACCACATGCTTGTAAGCTTCACCGAGATATCGCAAAAAACAGGAGCTTTGTTGTCGGCATCGCCCCACCATATCATGGCATTGATGAAGAGAACTAGATTCCAAAGCGCTAGCCAAAAGCCTAAGATCACAATAGTCCAGTTGTGAGCTCGAACGTGCCAGATGCAAGACATGATTATGCCTATACCGGTGATCAGGGAAAAGAATGGAACAACATGGTCAACAGCCATCTTTGTTTAATCAAACCTTGAGGTATGGAGATGTTGTCTGATGAGAGATGGAGATTAAGGGTGGGTGATTAAGATAATTCGATTACAGACATACTCTATTTAAGGCGGAAGGATGAAATCATATATGATGAGAAGACTGATAGCCTTAGAAGCCATCAGAGATAGCTAGCCAATGAATAAATCAAGCCAATTAAAAACAAAGGGATAAAGGGAATAACCAACTGCACGAGTAAGAGCGGGGATGACTGAATGTTTATAAAAAAGGAAGTGGGTCAATAAATTAAAAATTTAGCGTCTTATATTTCAGCGCATAAGAACGGCGTTTAGCGTGATTTGTTTCAGGTGGCAAATCTCCCGTCCGCACTGCATACACTAGATTCCCTTTGTGCTCTCACCTATTCCCTTTGTTCTCCCTCCCCTTTGTTCATCTCATTCCCTTTCTATGTTAATCCCTTTATTCATTTTAATCCCTTTGTTCATCTTGTTCCCTTCACTTCCCTTGTTCCTTCCCTTCCCTTTGTTCCTTTCCTTCCCTTTGTTCCTTTCCTTCCCTTTGTTCCTTCCCTGTCCCTATGTTCCTTCCCTGTCCCTTTGTTCCTTCCATGTCCCTTTGTTCCTTCCCTTTGTTCACTTAATTAACTATTTCCTTCATCCTATTCCCTTATTTTTGTATTGTCTTTGTTACGGATTCCGTTTGTTCTTACGATTTTACATTCTCTGCCGTTCCTTTGTTCCTTCACACCTTATTCCCTCAACACCTGTCTTGTTCTCGATAGTCCCTTTGTTTCTGAAGCACCTTCGTCACACCTCATGTGCTTTCAATTCCGTTTATTCTTTCATCTTCCCTTTGTTCTCAGGTTTTTTTATCTATCCTAAAATGCGATGCAATTTATCATGGGGATACTCAGTCAAATTTCTTGAAATGATTTCTTTATCTTGAGAAAGAATGTTAATTTTTGATTTTTTGAACGGATATAAAAGGCAGTAAATTGTGTAAGATCCTGAATCTCCTCTCCCCCATCAAATATCAAACTCTCTCTCTCTCTTCAAAATGTCCCCACAAAGCATCGAAAAAATCATTGCCGTCCCAGAAAACGTGAGTCATCTGGAAATAAATCATTCCATGGGCGTTTCTAACATTCCTTTATTGATATCCTCTCTTTCAGACTGGCGCAAAGAAGACCGCAGAGGTCGTTCAAATTGAACCTCTAGTGAACACAGAGGTAAGTTTATTTTCTCGTAAAGATTACTTCCCCTCTCAGTTACGGTTGTTAACCCAGTGTTTTCTTTCCCTCCAGGAAAACCCAAGTGGTCCCCCAGCAAACTGCGTTATTGCCTAGATGCATTCCTTACCTTCTGCGCCGCTTTAAGCGTGCCGCGAGCCTCCTGGATTCCCCTTTATACTCAATTTATTGATCGTATTGGAAACGTATGCCATTTGCTTTATTTATCATGACGGGAGAGAATGTGTGATGAACATTTTTCTTTAGCGATCGAGCATATCATAAGAGAATGTGTGATGACCATTTGATTTAGCGATCGAGCATGTCATAATTTACGTGCTCAAATTAGGATAAAAGATTGAATTTCATTGCTCATCAGATAATCACTTACCACTATCCGCTTCCCTCGCCAGCCGGCCGATCACCTTGACCCTTTAGGCTCATTTCAATCGCACGTGCGATTGCTTCTTCCTCGTCCATCTCTTCATCCTCATCTTCTTGTTGATTCTTTGTGTCCATCTCCACATCTTCCTTTGCCGCTATGTCACCAGCCTGATTACCGCGGGACAAGGCTATTGCCTGTTGTAGCATTGCATCTTCACCTTCATCTGAAGCAGCATTCCCGGCACCAGTGATTGCATCTGCGCCGGGAAGGACCAGTGATCCTGCACTTGGCATTTTTGCATTTGACTCTGGAGCGGCTGTTGAGCTCTCATTTGCACTTTCTAATACTGTTGGTAGCTCAGTCGGAGCACTTCCCCCTTCAGCTGCTCGTTGACGTGCTTGTTCTTCTTCCAAAGACATGCGTAAAGCCATAGCCAATTCCGGGTCCATGCTCGGATCCACACCGAATTCGAATTGATTGGATGTTCCCGATCCTCCTGCAGCACCTGATCCTGAAGGTCCCGCACCATCTGATTCCATCAGGATGGGCGAAGAAATGATCTGATCCGAGAGAAGTTTGTGACTTGCCGGTACTGTGAGTAGATGAGAATTTTCTCCGCTATTGACGTTTTCGACAAATGCGTTCAATTTTGCCTCATTTTCTTCAATTTCACCAAAGTTGATGATATCGACTGCAACGTTGTTCTTCTTCAACTTTTTTCCCAATTTGATCAAATCAGCTTCTGAATCGGGAATTGGTGAACCAACAAAGACGAGAATCCGTTGACGCAAAGATTTGTTTTCTCGATGTTTCAAAGCCAATTGAGCGATATTGATTCCGCTTGCAATATCGGATTGACCACCAAGTTGACTAGAATGAAGAGCGCCGATCATCTTACCGATATCTTGAGTGAGAGAAGCGAGAAGTTCTGCACGTTTACCTGCCATTGTGATCAAGCCAACACGACTTTCAGGATTTGAGTTTGTCTTTACATCAAAAACGATATTGACAGCATCAGATTGAGCATCCCATCTTGTTGGCATATAATCTCCATTTCTCATCCATTCTGAGTTGTCAATGACAACCATCGTTGCTTCGAGCACCATTTTTGCTCACAAAAGTTGTATTGATTACGATGATGGAAAGGTGAGAAAAGATGGAGGGGAAGCAACTCACCACGCGGCCTTCGAAGCCCGTGCATATATAGAAGTAGAATATTGTGTTTGCAGTGCTACAAGCGGGCAGCTTATTTACAACGCGCCCTGGTGAATATCAAAAATCTCTTCTATTACCATAAGCCTCCTCAAGAGAAAGGATCCATATGTTCAACTAAATAGCTCGATGAACATCATGATGCAAAGATTGGCACCGGCTACATCGCTCTCATCGATGAATGGCGGTGCCCAAATACGAGAAGTTTGGTCGGATAATGTGGAAGAAGAGATGGGTAATCTGCGGAAAGCGATCGAACGATATCCATACGTTGCAATGGATACAGAATTCCCTGGAATCGTTGCACGTCCGATTGGCACATTTAAAGGATCATCAGATTATCATTATCAAACGCTTCGGTGTAACGTCGATCTTCTGAAACTCATTCAACTCGGCTTGACCGTTTGTGATGAAGAAGGAGAACATCCGGATGACATTTGCACTTGGCAATTCAACTTTCGCTTCAGCCTTACCGATGATATGTGCGCACCCGAATCGTTGGATCTGTTGAACAAAGCCGGCTTGGATTTCGATAAACACGAAAACCATGGGATCGATATCGAACATTTCGGTGAATTGATGATCACATCCGGTCTTGTTCTCTTTGAGGATGTAAGATGGGTCACATTTCATAGCGGGTACGACTTTGGCTATCTATTAAAAGTCGTCACTGCTTTACCGCTACCTGCTCAAGAGACGGAATTCTTTGAAAATCTACGACAATGGTTCCCATGCATTTATGACATCAAGTATCTCATGCGATCCTGTAAAACGCTAAAAGGAGGATTGCAAGATGTTGCGGATGATTTGCAAGTGAGCCGAATCGGACAACAACATCAAGCAGGCAGTGATTCATTGCTGACAGCAAGTACATTTTTCAAAATGAGAAAGCGTTATTTTGAAGGTCAAATAGATGATGCAAAGTATCTAGGATGCTTGTATGGCTTTTCTGCTCAAGCGAATCGGCCAAATATCGCAGTGATTCCAGGATCAAACGGAAGGGAATTGTTGGATGGCGCAATTCACTCCAAATCATCTTCTGCGGCGAGTATACACATGTCGCACAGCAACACATTCAGCAAGACATCTATTGGTAGCGCTGGGGAGAGATGAATGCGCAAGATGACGTTAAAGACTCCTCTCCTCATCTGACGGTCTGTTTGTAATACTATCCCTATTTTTGTAATCTACATATATATGCCTTGGTCTTCTGTTGCAGCTGTGCTTGATCCTTGTACTTCTTGTATTGTTGAATGAATTTCTAGAGCAAGCTCTTGGGATACCTGACTTTCTTTTATCTTTCTTAACAACATTTCACAGAATATCTGACTTGCTTCCTTCTTTCGTTGACTTAAGGGGTGGTACAACAAATCATCAGTATGAGTCGCATTACCGAACAGTCCGGCATAGAACTCACATTGCTTCTTTATTTTCCTCGAATGCTTCTTTTAAGACTACTTTATCATCTTCATCCAAGTCTTTTGATTCATCCCCATCAGTCTTGCCCGATAGTAGCATTTGTTCCATTTCCACATTGCTCTTTTCCAACAGATTTGTTTGGTGAATCTTTTCTCGCAAATTCGTTAGTAATTCTGCCGGAGATGCACCTTTTAGGCCTGATGTGGCATCTTCATTGATGGATTTGGGATCAGCCATGCTTCTTTCACATGAACGATCTACATCAAAGTACAAGATCAAATTCTTGCTTTTTGGAATACGTTGTTGGTATGGCCACACGCGTTTAGCTGCACCAACACCAGGCGGCGGATCTGATTCCACACTTCCAACTTACTCTACTCCAACAACGGCTGAAATGGAGCATAGGACGATTGGTGAGCCATCAAAAGCTCCGCTGACAAACTTTGGACATAGCCTTTTGCCAGGGCTGATAGGGGACGACATGAAAGGGGACACCAAAGGCACAGACGAGATCGTTGAAGATGATCTGACTAACCTCATTCAGCATATCAAAGCTGGTACTCCACCAACACATGAACGGGCATCTCAACTCTCAATATCTTACATCGGATTTGCAGATCAACTGCTAGGACAAACAAAAGATAGGCAAAGTAGTCAGGATAGATCAAACAGTAGTCAATTTGAGTATTTACACAAGCACGTTGCTTCATTACAGCTAAAGAATGACTCTTATCGGCAACGACTAAAGGAATGCTGGGAATTGGTGGGTGAATAAGATCTCCATTATGTGCTCTGTAAGGAATTCATGTCAGAAAGGTCGTCTGAAAATACCATGCCAAGATGGCCAAAGCTAAAGCAACGATAAAGATGACAGCATTACCTAGGATGGTGAGAATGTGTAAAAGGTCAGCGCTTAATCATTCACCCGCTCGTAAGAAACGGACTCACTCTCAATGAAGGATGTTGTGATCATCGATCCCGAATCTTTTCCTACCGAAGCAATGCGTAACGTCATATCCGCACTCCCACTTGCCAGAAGTTTACCATTTCGGCTGAAAGCCAAACAGGTTCCTGGGAATGCATGCGTATCACGTATTTGCCAAATCGATTTCAACGTATGACTGGACAAGAGATGCAAAGAAAGATCCGAAGTACTGATTGCAATAAAAGCACCATCATCGCTTATCTCTGCAACCGTTGCCGGTCTATCGCTTATCTGACGACTTTGTACGACTGTCCATGTATCTGTATCCCACGAAGAAATGAAGCATTTTCGTATTTTTGCCTTTTCACGATCTTTCTTTGAGCTTCCCAAGCCAGCGGCAGGATTTGAATTGACCACAGTAAATAGCCGGCTGCTTTTTGTCGTTGAAGTTCCTTTTGCATTGCGACCAAAACGTGCTGCTCTGAAAACACAACCGTTTGTTCCTTTCAAGGTAGGATTGCGTATGCTTTGATAAAGTTCTGGTCCAGAAGAACTTTTGGCGGCGGATAAGGTTGGATAAATTTGAATGGAATCAGACGTAACGATTGCAATCAAAGCCGAATCAGCTGAAAAAGTCACATCTGCAATGCCATTTTTGTCCTCAATGGTTTTAGACCAAAGACGTTCAAGTGTGGGCAGCGAATGCAATGAGAATTGACCATCTGTACTTCCTACTGCTACGAATGAGCCATTGGGTGATGTTGAGATGCATCGAATATACACTTCAGCATCCTTGATTGATACGGATTCAACTTCATCTACACTTTTGATCGATTGTAGCTTTTTCTCGTCTTGTTCTTTTGGCGAATTTGTCCATTCAAACTTCCTCAAGTTCTTGTTCGCACCGGAAGGGGAGACTGCCGAATTTATGGCAGCAATGATCGTTCTCTGAGAAAGGCGGGAGCTGTTCAACGAAGCCTTACCATTCGTCGAAAGCTTTTCTGAAGAGCTTGATTGAGGATCTGACATCTGATCTTCCGGTTCTTCTACGTCATCGTCATTTTCGTCAGGTGTAAGGGTTATGCACATTGGAGCATCCTCTGCACTGCTCAACTTGATCTCTGCTTGATCAACCGTGCTTCTTTTCTTTTCGTCTACAGTAACGCTTTTCTGAGAGGAGGAAAAAGATTTGTTAGATATGAGCACGCAAAGATACCTTCCCAAATACCTGATCATCACTCACGATTGCGTTGGCTATACCACTCTTGGATTGTCCACCACCTCCAGCATATATGAAGTCATTTGAATTTGGTGAAGTGATCGCATAGATTGGTATCGAGCATTTTACACTGAATGAATCAGGTTGGCGCATTTTTTGAGAATGATGGCGAGTGGGTAGATATTGTTTCGGCCACCATCATCACATTCTTCTGTCTTTGAATGCACGGTCCATTGTGCCTGTCCTCCCGCGACCCTCTTCCCGATTAAGCTTGGCGTCTCTTTTGTGTGTAAACGCCACTCTCTCTCTCTACACGTGTCGGAATCCGGAGATAAGAAAATAGCGTGTGCGCACATGCAACGGTAAACAGTAATACAAAAAGGTCGTGCGTTCCAGATGATTCTTTCGTCAATTCTATAACATGCTCAGCACCACTTCAACTATACGTTTAAGCTCTCGTTTACCACGATTAACAACTTCCTTTAAACCATCACCTATTCGCATCGCCAAATTCTCATCTACACAAATCAAAATGTCAGTTCAAGCTATTGAAAGTTACGAAGATTTCCAAAAGATTATCAATGGAGACAAGATTGCCGCTATTGATTTCTGGGCAACTTGGTGTGGTCCTTGCAAGATGATCTCTCCTCTTTTCGAAAAATTTGCAGGTGAAGCTCCATCTGATCAAATCGCATTCTACAAAGTTGATGTTGACGAACAAGAAAAGATCTCTCAAGAAGTTGGTATCACCGCAATGCCTACCTTTGTTTTCTTCAAGAACGGTCAAAAGATCACCCAAACTGTTGGTGCCAACCCTCAACAATTGCAAGTGAGTACAATTTCCCTCTTCATGTGAATATCAGAATCGCATTGAATACTGACCACCTTTGCTTCTTTCCCCTCTGCAGGCCGCAATCAAACAAGTCGTTTCCGCTTAAACAGTTGATACTCTTTTTTTAACTAGACAACCTCTTCAAATTTTGCTCAGAACCTTGCGAATCACCTCTTGAGTCAATCGTGTTGGCTAAATCGGCACAATATATGAAGAGGGATGATGTATTCATTCATACGGAACTATCTTAATACTATTTAATGCATTCAATACGTAGCTGTATCGTTGCATGAGAGGTTCAGATGGTAGAGGGTGCTATTGATTGCTAAAGGCTATGATGTGTTTCGCACGATCTGGTGGAAGAAGGTGAGGGGAGAGGAAGCTTGACAGGGGCATCAGTTGAGGCCTTGTGAGACATTTACATATTGTTAGTCGTGACTTCTCTAAAGAAAATGAAAGAAATATGGCATACAGCCATCTTTGTTTTGCGTAATGAATCTTGAGTTAGATGAAAGAGATAGAAAGACATGAGGTAAGATGACTACTGAATAACATCAAAGCTACAAGTTGTCCCTAAGGAAGTCGAAGTCGAGAAAAACGCGAAAGGAGATCAACCTCACCAACTGTTTTCATGGAGCAACAGATGAAATCTGAGAGTGAATGATAAAGACGTTTGATTAAAATGAAGAATGTAGATACATATATATATGCTTACTTTAATGTCAAACTAAAATACAGGGGAAAGAGAGATCCAAGCGTATTTCATCGAATTGATTAGCCTTGTGATAGATATGAAGAATCATGCACAATAAAGTGACATGAGTAACAACCATGTCTAGTGAACGTGCTAGAAAGATAATGATAAGCTTGTATCACCCGGTGAGTTTCGGTCTCAGGCGTGTTCTTAAAATAGACCTAACTTAATAATTAGCTAGCTATTTCTGATGGTCTCTAAGGTTATCAGTATTCTCATCATATGTGATTTTACACTTCCGCCTTAAATAGAGTATGTCTGTAGTCGAATTAATCTCCGTATCTCATCAGACAACATCTCCATGCCTCAAGGTTTGATTAAACAAAGATGGCTGTTGACCATGTTGTGCTATTCTTTTCCCTGATCACCGGTATAGGCATTATCATGTCTTACATCTGGCACGTTCGAGCTCACAACTGGACTATTGTGATCTTAGGCTTTTGGCTAGCGGTGCAATGAGATGGATTGATTGCAGCTATCGTATAGATGAGAGATCTGATCATTATAGGGTTTAGATCTCTCGATCGGCAGGACCGGGAGGGACACAGTGAATGACCTAAATGCTCTCACAAAATTTTTCAGGTAGCAATAATGAATGTAAGTTGAAAGTAAAGTTTTCTAGAAAGTGTTTTTCTTTCTTTACTTTATCTTGTTTTTGGTCTATCTAATCACTCACCCCCCAAGGGCTTGGATTGTAATACTTTAAACAAGAGAAAGTAATTTAGAGTATTATAGGGGTTTTAGTATTCTCCTTCTATAGCAACAGATTATATCTCAGCTTATTACTTTCAACTTTACTTCTTTATCTTATTTCTCTATGAGTTTGATGGATTCAGAGGTGAATTAGAATTCATTGTGATAAATAATTAACCTTTTCTAGGTTACAGTTGTTGCAGTTTTACTCTTTTGAGTGATAATCATTGAGGTGAAAGAAGTAGACATACAAAACTTTATCATAACAAAGGTAGGTTTAGAAGAGGTCATCATAAAAACATATCTTATTAAGAAGTATTCTACTCCCGAGAAGGAGTCATAATAACCACATATCAAAATCATGTTGGTCCCTGGGTCGCAGCAATTCGAATAATGGCAGCATAGCTGCTAATCCCGTATGCTATGAAATCAGAGACCATTAACCTATAGTTGACGAGACAATGCCTACGACGAAAGCGCTCACATCCAAAGACGGTACAATCATCATAAACACGTTCCCGTCAAGGTTATTATGAGCACCGTCGTCCGGGTTCACAAGGGTAATGAAAAAACCTTGTTAGCGCACATATAAGCTCAGTCAACCAGAACGAATCCGACAACCAAACGATTTCGCACTCCCAAACAGACGAAATGATGAACGCATAACAAGCATGACTGCAAAGCAGAGTGCAAGTTTACATCCATCCGATGCTCGTGGTGAAAAAGGAAGAGAAAGCGTTCCTTCCGAATAATTAGAATAACAACAATGTCTTCCAAAAAATAAAATAATGAATGACACTTCACGTGTCTCTCGTGCATAATTCTCGGCTAGCGGGTTAGGGGGGTCGTGCTTACTAAGCCAATTTTGCAATATTTGACTTTCTTCTTCCCCTTTCTCTTCTTCCGATCCTTCTTCTCACGACCAAATCGTACAAGTAGTTGATGAAAGTCAAAGCTGATGACAGCATTGACCCGCCTTCCTCCTCTTTCAACCTTGCATGAACGGTCACACTCGATCGTTCGGTTGGTAGGATGGTGTTCCAATCTGTTATTGCAAAGATGGTGTAAGAGCGTTCGGGTTGAAGGTTTGGAACGTTTGGTGAATGTTATCAAAGATGAAAAGAGAGTAGCGCAAAAGAGAGGTGTCCTTACGTACGCCAATCACATTAGTGTTCTGGACGATCCAACTCTTTTTGGAAGCTTACCTACTGAATTGTATCAACGGTCAAACACGACAAGATGGACAATGGGCGCAAGTGATATCATGTTCACAAATTCATTCAATGCTTACATCTTTCGTTCCGGTCAAGTCTTACCGACAGATCGTGGTCGTGGAGTCTTTCAACCAGCTTTAGATCATAGCATCGATTTATTGCAAAATGGAGGTTGGGTTCACATCTTTCCCGAAGGATATGTGAATATGTCACGTCAAGCAAGGGTAAGAAGATTCAAGTGGGGAATAGGAAGAATGTTGTTAGAGACTGGTTTAGGACTTTCGAAACAGCTACCGGTCATTCTTCCCATTTGGATCACAGGCTTGGATGGAATGATGCCAGAACCGCGTGGAAATCCGAGGTGGATGCCACGTCCTGGTGCAGAAGTCACGATCACATTTGGACATCCGATCAATGATTCGATTGAACCAATCACTGAACGGGCCAGAGAATTCGCATTATCCAACGAAGGAAGCGTTGGAGAAAAGGCTCGTTCCAGTAATACACTCCTTCGCTCATTGGAGGAAAAGATGGAAGGCGTCGAAACATTAGCGCAAGCCTATCCGATCCCTGGAAAGACGCTCTTCTCCCCTACCACACCATTGGCTCCACCACCTGGTGGTGTATCATGGCCTCTGCCTTTGGAAGACTCTAGATCGTACAATGCAATACAAGCAGGCTTTGATTCGGATCAAGCACGTATTGCACGAAGTTTCATCTGTGCCGAACTACGTGCGCATCTCGTCAGACTAGGCGAACAAACTGGAATGTCAAAGGACTTGGTTCATCGTTTGATGGCGGAAGAGGAATAATAGAATGCTTATAGAATTGCCAATTTATAGAGGAGATTAATGTGTAAAGTATAATTTGCTATGTAATACAATGTATAAGTACAAATGACATCTTGAGACAGTCAGGTCGTCTTGCCTGGCTTCACAACACGTTCGATTACGAGATCGTCATCGGATGAGCTGTCATCGTCTGTGCTCATCTTTATAGGTCTACTGTCAACCGCATTTGGACGCTTTGGAGCGAGTTTGAGATTTCTGCCTAAAGACGGATTGGACGGTGCTCGGACTGCTGATTTGCCTACTCCGACTTTCAGGTTCATAAGAGGCATGGGAATCTGTGCAGAAGCGCTATGTCTTGCCAGAAGCTGTTCAATTGATGGTAAAGATTTGTCAGCATAATACTCAAACACAAAGAAGCTTTTCTTACTCACTTTATCCAGCTTTACACTCGAAAGCTCTTTCTTCTCGCTAGAACCAGGCAATCGAATTGAACCAGATCTACCCTGACTTGAGTTCATTTTGTCCCTATCGACAATACCATTGGGCAGACCAGCTGTCGATTTCTTCAGCTCTTTGAGTGCATCTTGCACTAATCTAGATCCATAGCTATTCCGTTGTCCCTCCGGCTTTTGCGAGTCGGATGTCGTCTGCGGAACGTTCTGAGAAGGCCTCTGTTCCTGCACATCGGCGCCTTTGGTTTGCGGAACCTTATCTTTAGGACGACTGCGACGATTCTTGATCAATTGAGAAGAAATCTTATTTTCGGCTTCTTTCTCTCTTGCATCTCTAATGAATTTGGCTTCTGCTTCACGTCCTTTTCCTGCATCCATGTCAAAGCGTGAATCCGCTGAAGCTCCCGAATAACCTTTTGAGACGTATGCTTTGGATTGGGAGAAAGCCATGCCTTCTGAAAAAGAATAAGGAGTTGCACGTTGTCCACTAGAACGCATGAATATCGAAGTGCTATAGTCAAATGAAGAAGTGGTCAGCGTGAGCTCATGATACAAAACCTAGAAATACTCACTTATTGGCAAACTCTTGTCTACCCCTGCGTGATTTTGAAGTGGACAGATGAGAGTGATAAGAACAAGCTCGCATCGAAGTACGCAAATCGATAAAATTACCGCATGCTTGACCGTCCCTACGAGCCGATTCGCATTTTCCAACGTGCTTAGCGATACCTATCGTTAGGACATTCTCCCATCTTCTAGGTTTCAGTCCAATCATACTCTTATCTGAACCACTCTGAGACTTCTTCTTGTCCGTATTCGACTGCTCATATGTGCTTGTGGAAGTTGATCGTGTTGGTCCATGTGTGATGATTGGATTGAGTAGGCATACAACTGTTCCGGCACCCAACGTAGCCATCAGTTCATACGCTCCGCCACTACCTCCTATATATTTGCGATTTGCACCTCCGTCGACTCGTACTTCTTCAGCTTTGTATACAGTCACCATTAGCATTGAATCTCCCGCAGTTTCTTGCTTTTCCAATCTTTGACCGATATCCACCAATGTATAGGTTTGAGAAACTGATTTAGGTACTTCTTTCTGCACGTCTCGCCATGGATTGTCTAAATCATTCATATCGGGCGGCCCACCACCTTTGCGTTCCATGTAAGCGAGATACTCGGCTTTGAACTTCTCTTCATCAATCTTTCTGCCTTTTGTGTCAAGCTTGTAACCCTTTATTTCGTACGATGCCTTTCTCTCGGCAATAGCGCCTATTATAAGCCAATCGCCGTCGATTGGAATAGTGCATTTTCCATCATTCGACTCACCCGGTAGACATATCGAATAGAGAGTTGAGATCGGAACAAGTGTTCGTCCTTCCAAATAACCGGAAACATTCAAATTAGGCACAAAGCGCTTCTTCAATTCTATGCCCGTATTTGGTTCAAATTTTGTGAAATGAAGATCATCTTCCGGTGCTTGTATATCCTTTGGACCTAGTGTAAGCGAGTCAGAAATCAGTTGAGCTTTCTCTTTCTGATCGTTCTCTAGTGAGAAAGTAGTAGAATTGCTTGCCGCCTCTTTTTCCGTCGTGCTCGTGCTGCTTTGGTTCGATTGAAAGGAAGCATTTACGTTTCGTTGATATCTGATGACTTCAACTTTCTTCTTTGTGTTTCTCAATCTTTGAGCATTGGCCGAACCGGCGAGAAAGCTGATAGGATGACTTTCATCATACTTTCTCTTTATGCCATTCATTGCTGTTTCATGATGTTGGTTGGTATTAAAGTTAAAAAGTGTTGGTTGAATTTTATTTTACGCGTAGCGCGTTTTTCATTTATCGTATGATTATATCATCTTTTTAGCCGCCGGCAACCCTCCACCCTTTCTTACTTCATACCCCTAACGCTCAGACAATCATCTTCACTCCTTCCCGCCTCCATCATCCCAAACTGACATCATGACTGCACCAAAGCCCGAAGCTGAATGTCCATTGACACCCGTTGCAATCCCTTTGTCGGACTTGCTCAATGAAGATCATAAATTAAAAGGCGAAAAGTTCAATTCGTTAGTACGACAAGCCTTGAATTTATACAGATCAAACTTCACTGCCGGTCGTACATACAAGCACGAACATGACACCGAAGTGGGAACATTGAAGCTCATGCCAGGTGAACAATCTCAAAGGACATCAAAATGCGCTTGGCATGCCCGTAAAAGCATTCATGATCCGGCAACCCAATCCCACAAATTGTCCTACAAGGAATTCCATTCAGGTCTTTTTGTCGATCATCCAGTCAAGGAAAGACAATATATTCATGAAATCTTGCGTTATGATAGGATCCAAGAAGTTCATTCGCCTACTATTCCAGAATCTGCTGCTGAATATATCGCTGATGTTCGTGCAGATGTTTGGGTTACCGAGTGTGAGTTTTAATTAGGGTTGGGACATTCTTAGGCCTCCTGCTGACACATCTTTCTCGTAGACAAACTACCCATGATCACCAGCAATAGAGACTTCTTGGAGATGTTCTTGACAATCGACCTCAAACCGCATGCTAACCCATTGTCAAGTCAACACATCGATGCCATCATCGCATCCTTGAACGGTGATGCTCAGGCCGAGAAGACTGACGAAGAAAGTGACTCCACCCAGAAACGAAGCAGTGCAATCAACATTCAATTGCCCGTTTCGACTTCCGCCTTTGAACCACAAGCAAACTTTGTTCGAGCTTTCTATAGCAGTGTGGAAATCATTCGGGAATTGGAAGGTGATAAAACCGAGTGGTGGTAAGTGTGCCAAAGAAAGTAAGTTAATTATGATCGTGACTGACATGCCTTTTCTCGTAGGATGGCCGTTCAATCAGACAGTGCTGGACGTGTTCCGCTGATGTTCCAAGAGGTAAGTCGCAATGATTCGTCTATTGTGTGATTCGATGCTTATGTGAGCGCTGTTTCCCTCTCCTCATAGATGGCCATGCCCAGCAAAATCTCACCCGTAAGTAGTCTTTAAAAGAAAAGTTGTAGAAGCTCGGTGACTAACTCTCCTTTCTATCACAGGACGTACCCTCATTTATCGGTTGGGCTGTCGAACAAAAGAAGAAAGGCGAGAGCGTTTAAGTGCTCGATATTATATCCAGTCAGATCTTTTTTCTATCATACATTTTTCAATACCCCTTGCTATCAACTCCATGCTTTATACTGCATCTTGCTCATGACTGGCATAAGACCCATGTTTCGTGCACGACGGATTGCTTTTGCTACTTCACGCTGACTTCTTCGTGTGAGTCCCGAAGATCTTCTCGGTTTAATCTTTCCCATCACACTAACGTAATTTGAAAGCAAGACTGGATTCTTGTACGAATCATCATGTAGTGACACATGACCAGGCTTTAGACCTAACTTGAAAATATCATCATTCCTCTCGGCCATCGCTCTTGAAGGTCCTAGAAGAGGTGGTGTTCTTCTTGTTCTTTCGGCATTAAGGTGTTCCATGTTCAAATTCTTAGGTGCGTAATTGCGACCTTGCAAGAATCTTCTTTCAGTCTTATTATTTTGCCGTGCACCTCCCAAGGCGGGCCCTCCTTGCTTTGCTGCTCTTGGTGTGTAAAGGTTATTGTTGCGAGGAGATGGTAGTCGGTTGCCGGTGCTGTTGGTTGGAGCAAGTCGTGAAATTGAAGTAGAAAATGTTCGCAAATTTGAAATTTTGCATGCTTGCATAGCTGAACTTATCTGTGAAGACATCATTGTTGCTTTGCTATTTCCTGCTATTCCCAGCTTTGTCGAGATGGAAAACATGATGTATGATGATGGTAAGACGATTGATGGGAGTGGTAGAATGAGAAAATAATTAATCACTGTGCGTGAGTGCATTAGTCACGTGAAATTATTTTCCAATTTTTTGGTCAACATTAAACTTCTTTGCTGCATATACTGTTCACGCTCAAAGTCACCATCATCCTAGCATAATGCCTAAAGCCGTTTCTGACCGATTGACAAGGGTTCATGCCCAACCCGTCTCTGCAAATCAGAGAATCGGATCTTCACATGCAGCAAATGGCAAAAATGGAGATTCTTCTGCGGCCAAGAATCCCATTTTCAATACAGAAAGATTCGGTCAACATATCCTCAAAAACCCACTTGTTGCTCAGAGTATCGTTGATAAGGCAAACTTGAAGGCAACTGATATTGTACTCGAAGTTGGTCCGGGAACAGGTAATCTGACAATGAGAATTTTGGAGCAATGCAAACGATTACAAGTGATCGAAATGGATCCAAGAATGGCAGCAGAATTACGCAAACGTGTACAAGGAAAGAATGAACAGAGAAAGCTGGAGATTACGATTGGAGATTTTTGTAAAGCAAAGCTGGACTATTTTGATGTGGTCATCTCTAATACGCCTTATCAAATTTCTTCACCACTCGTTTTCAAATTACTCTCGCATCGACCACAATTTCGATGTGCAATTTTGATGTTTCAAAGAGAGTTCGCTTTGCGGTTATTGGCAAGGCCAGGATCAGAATTGTGGTGCAGATTGAGCGCAAACGTACAACTTTACGCCAAAGTCGATCTGCAAATGCATGTCAGTAAAGGTTCTTTCCGTCCTCCTCCCAAAGTGGATTCTAGTGTTGTAAGGATTGTACCTATTCAACCTCCTCCTTCCATCCCTTTCGAGGAATATGATGGTCTCACCCGCATCCTTTTCAGTCGTCGTCACAAAACGGTGAGAAGCTCGTTTGATGCAAAAGGGGTCAAATTGATGTTGGAGGCAAACCATAAAACATTCTGCAGTCAACATGAATTGCCGGTAAAGGTGAAAAACACTGCAGCCTTTAACGAATTGCTAGATTCAATCTTACTCTCAAGTACATATTCCGATAAACGTGCAGCACAAATGGATGTGGATGACATCCTACAGCTCTTGCACGCATTCCACAAGGAGAACATCCATTTTGGTTAAAACTAGTATACCTGTCCGATTATAATCAATTCACTGTATTTTTACACATTTCTATTTTATTTGCTTTGCATATCCACCCATTTTCGTGCGCTTTCAAACATTCTTTGCCATGGTCCATGACCGTTCCATGCTTGTGTACTTGCTTCTGGACGCCAGCTCATGGATTCTCGCGTGATTCCACGTTCAGGATGTGGCATCATGGCTAACACTCTTCCATCCAAGGACACCAAACCTGTCAAACCGTTGGGACTGCCGTTCGGATTGATTGGGTAACGAGTAGTTCCTTTGGTGATATCAGATTGACCATCTTCAACAAATCGAATGGCAACTGAACCAGCAGATTCCAAAGCTTGTAGTTCCGTCTCTTGATTTTCGAATGCTGCCCTTCCCTCACCATGTGCAATGATGGATGGCAATCGGCTTCCAATCATATCACGTAAAAAGACATTCTGTCTAACGGCTGGAGTGTCATTGATTGCAACCATGCTTACTCGTCCTTCGAACCTTTCGCTCATATTGTTTGTGAAACGTGGCCAGACCAATTGATTTGATCCGGTAGCGCTGCCGGTCTTCAACAAACCCGATCTAGCCAAATGACTGAAGAATTGACATCCATTGCAAACACCAAGAGCAAACGTATCTGAGCGCTTGTTCAAGAATGCATCCAGTTCAGCATAAACTTGAGAAATTAGCAAGCACGATTGAGCCCAACCATTTCCAGCTCCCAAAACGTCACCATAACTGAAACCACCGCAGGCTGCCAAACCAACAAAGTCACGTAAAGTAACCCTTCCGGCGATCAGGTCGCTCATGTGCACATCAACAGCGGTGAAACCGGCTTGATCGAAAGCGAACGCCATTTCGATATGTCCATTCACACCTTGTTCACGGAGAATGGCAACCTTTGGTCGAACATCAAGGGGAACCAAAGATGGTTTCAAAGCACCAAGGTAATCTGTACCAGGAACATACGTAAGATCATACGAAAGCGTATGAGCGCCTCTTGCCTCATTTGTGATCAATGCAAATTCGGATTGTGCTGAAAGGGCATTATCACGTCTGGCTTGCATGCGGAAAGATGTTTCTGACCAAGACTTTTGCAGAGAGGCTCTATCACTTTGCAATAGAATCTTGCCACTGGCACGAACTGTGATCGATTGATCAGTTGACGGTAACACTTTTCCAATAATGTGCATGCAATTGGTTGGGACGCCTGCTTCGGCCAACACGGCTGTGACCGCTTTCACATCGCGGGATCTGATTTGCATGACTGCACCCAATTCTTCGTTGAAGAGTGCGGATGTTGGATCCGATAGTTGTTGCAAAAGACTGTCTAGATTGATATCCAGACCTGCATGACCAGCAAAGGCCATCTCTACAACAGTGGTGAGCAAGCCTCCATCACTTCGATCGTGATAAGCGAGAACCAAGCCATCCTCTTGTCTATTCTGAACCCGAAGCTGTTTCAAAGTGTGGCATGCTTGGAAGAAACCGCGCAAGATGGAAGCATCTTCTACATTTGGACATTCACTGCCTCCTAATTGACTGAACACTTGAGCTAGACATGATCCACCTAATCTTTGCTTTCCATTTGCAAGGTCGATAAAGAACAAACATGTTTCATCCTCAACATCTGTTCGAAGTTGTGGTGTCCATGTCCGGTCAATGCTGTCAACTGGAGCAAATGCTGTGATAATAACACTCATCGGAGCTGTCACAGATTTTGATTCCTTATTGTCCGACTGCCAGGCCATCTTCATTGACATGGAATCTTTTCCGACTGGAATTGCTAATCCTAGTGCGGGACACAAATCCATACCGATAGCCTCTACCGCTTCATACAATCTGGCACCCTCATCACGATGAGAAGCCGCGCACATCCAGTTAGCACTCAACTTGATTCGTTCCATAGCAGGCACGCTTGCTGCAGCTAAATTAGTCAAAGCTTCACCTACTGCCATTCTTGCAGAAGCAGCTGGATTGATTAAGGCAAGTGGCGTTCTTTCTCCAGATGTCATTGCTTCTCCAGTCAAGGCGTCCAAGAATCCATAAGATGTTCTCGTCACAGCAACATCCGCCACTGGCACTTGCCATGGTCCCACCATTTGATCTCTTGCAACCAATGCGGTAATGGAACGATCACCGATTGTGATCAAGAATGATTTTGATGCTACGGTGGGAAGGTGGAGCACACGATCGCATGCCTCTGCAATTGCCTCTGAAAGAGAGCCAGAGTTTGGCAAATATTTCTGCAGGCTGGTATCGAAAGCTGGATAGTCAATCGTCTCCGTTTGTGCCTTTCTTGCAATCTTTGGCGGTTTGCCGAAGAGTGTAGACATTGGCAGATCAATGGCATTGTTTCCAAGCAGTCTATCCGTCACGACAAGACGCAATTCACTTGTAGCCTTGCCCACCACCGAGAAAGGACACCTTTCACGCTCGCAGATCTCCTTGAATCTGTTCAAGTCTTCTTGCTTGACAGCTAAGACATATCGTTCTTGACTTTCGTTGCACCAAATCTCCATCGGACTCATACCTGGATCGGCAACCAGAACGTCACGAATCTCAAAGACGGCACCCAAATCACTATCGTGAACCAACTCCGGCAAAGCATTACTCAATCCTCCAGCTCCGACATCATGAATGCTTTGAATAGGATTGCCTTTCAATATTTCACCTTCCAACGTACCATGGGCTGTGTCACCCAATGAGCAACATGCATCAATTACACTTTGACACCTGCGTTCCATTTCTGGATTTTCTCTTTGCACACTTGCGAAATCCAAATCAGCCCGATTTGCGCTTGAAGCCATGGACGATGCCGCACCACCTCCAAGACCGATCAACATACCCGGACCTCCCAAAACGATAATTGCACTGCCATCAGTAATTTTTGATTTGAGTGCATACTGTGGGCGAACATTGCCCACACCACCAGCAAGCATGATAGGTTTGTGGTAACCACGAACGTCTTTAGAGGGGCCATCCTGGTCCTTGAATTGAACCTCTTGTGTGAATGTTCGCCAGAATCCACCCAATCCTGGTCTTCCGAATTCATTGTTAAAATTTGCACTTCCCAAAGGTGCCTCTGTCATGATATCCAACGCACTTGCAACGTGACCAGGCTTTCCTACGTGCAATTCCCATGGCATATGAGGTCCACGCAACCCAGTCAAACCCTCTCCAATATTGTTCTCATGTTCGGGTAGTAAAAGATCCGAAGTCATAAAACCAACAATTCCAGCTTTGGGCTTACTACCTCTTCCGACTGCACCTTCATCACGGATTTCACCACCTGATCCTGTAGCAGCTCCAGGGAATGGAGAAATTGCAGTAGGATGATTGTGTGTCTCTACCTTGACAATCATTGGCATATCTTCTTTTTGACCGGCATAAACTGCATGAGTGCTCTTGCCCAAAGATGTAGGAGCTGACGCAAATCGATAGGCTTCACTTCCTTCCAAGACGGCGGCGTTATCGCTATAAGCACTGATTGTGTATTGCGGTGTTATCTTGTGGGTATTTCTGATCATGCCGAACAAAGTATTTTGCATTGATTTATTGTCGATCGTCCAATCCGCATTAAAGATTTTGTGTCTGCAATGCTCAGAGTTCACTTGAGCAAACATGAACAGTTCAACATCCGTTGGATCACGACGAAGGGCATCAGAGGCATTTTCGTCGTTTGCTACAAAAGCGTCTGCAAGATAATCGATCTCATCATTGGCCAAAGCGAGACCGAGTTCTTGATTCGCTTGTGCAAGTCTTTCACGGGCAGTGTTACGGTCTGGCTTTTGATTGGAATCGGATAGTTGCACGCTTCTCAAAGGTGCGGGAGGTGCTTGACCAAAGAGACTAGCAGAACTTGGAGGATCGCGATCCAAAAGCTGAGTCATTCGGTCATGAAGAAGGCTTAGAATGCTTGGATCAAGTTCCAATGGAGTTGTGCTTTCGATCAAATAGGCTGTTCCTCTTTCAATTCGATCTACACAAGAGTCTAAATTGCACATACGCGCGATATCTGTCGCCTTTGATGACCATGGTGAAATGCTGCCCGGTCTAGGTGTGACGAAGAACGTGCTTGTCTTGCCATCTTCTTGTTTGGAAGATAGTGCTTTTGAGATTGTTTCTTTTGTTGCAGGAAAAGCGATATCGTCACCATAAACTAGTAGACTATCCAAAATCTTCCTTTGCTCTTCAGTGATTTGAGCATCTTGGCGGATAGAGACAAAGTGAAGATGCAGAGCATCGATAGACTGAATAGACGGTTGGATAGCCTGTAAAGCCGCAAGTAATTGCGACCTTTTCGGCTTGCCAAATGGCGAAGGGCCCAAAAGAGTAAGCATGACCTTCTCCTTTGGAATGATGATGATCACCGAATCAAAAACCAAAAAAAAAGAAGAAATGCTAAATTTACTGGGAAAAAATTCGCGTTAGCCTGTTTATTAATTTTGGGGCATCCTACGAGCGTTATGACTCGCTCGGACTGGATGTGCATGTGCGCAGGCGTGCGCTACTTAAAATTCACCTGCGCCGGCGCTTGAGCTTCACCAAATGGAAAAAGTGTAGATGCATGTATGAGCCTTCCTTCTTGATCACGATATAATCCCGTAATCAGCACTCTTTTCGGTGTATATTCAATCATACAGGATGGCCTCAACATTTGTACATTGGCTACGGTCGCCAGCCGCTCGCGAATACTTTTTCGTACGTTTAACAAGGACGATTAAATTCGAGATGAAATGGTGTGCTGACGATGTTCTTCTTTCTTCATTTCGATCCGTTGACTTGATATAGAGCACTGTGAGTATGCTTGGGTGGTTTGGTCTCTCACGATGATGTATACTGACCTCTTTTCTTTCTTCTATCTAGCACTTCTGGGGACCTGGTACGCATTCTCAAAGGTAACACGATCTTTGGATAGTCAGTTGACACATTTCTCTCCTGTTTTACTTGCTTCTCATCATGAAGTTGCCAACTGGGGTTTGCCATTAGTACGTCACACGAATGTGCGGGATCTTTCCGAGAAATCACATCGCTAACGTCTTCATTCTATTCACCCTCTTAGGCTGCTATCGCTGATCTCAAGAAAGATGAAGATGTCATTTCTGGACCAATGACTGCAGCACTTGCTTCCTACTCGTACGTTGACCAAAGATATGAGATCATCTTGGATCAGTCAAGATGGCTGACATTCGCTTCCTTTCTCGTTCTTTTTTTTACAGTATCGTATTCTCCCGCTTTGCTTGGAGAGTGATTCCCAGGAATTACCTCTTGCTCGCATGTCATGCTACCAATGCCACAGCTCAATTGACCCAAGGAGCACGTTTTGTGGTGCGTATGACTGACAAATCATGATGACCTCGAATGCATATATGCTGACGATTAACATTACTCCCCCACAGCGGTATCATTATATGGGCGGCAAAGAAGCAAAGAGTTCTATTAAAGAATCCGCCGAAGCCGTAAAAGATTCCGTCAAAGCAGCAGTACCAGGATCAAATTAGGTATGCAGTAGTTGTAAACTCTGTCCCCAAATGTCCATGATCATTCTGTATTTTTCTTCGTCAATTTATGTTGTGCTCACGCTGAGATTTAGTGCAACCACAAAAGTGCGGATATCTGTTGGATCACTGCCGAGGGTGACTCGAATGATACAACCTGGATCATGCACTCAGACAAGGTTTAAGATGCCTCTTTTGTAAGTCGTGGGAGCATTTTTAGTCGCAGCTTTGTTACTTCTAAAATTCATAATCGTGAAGGATTTGGCTTCGGCAAAAAAGCAACGGTACCGATCAGGCGTGTGAGATACAGATTATTTTTATTTCATTTATATGTATTAGCTAGATCGGCAGTAGGGCAAATCATCCTGTTTTGCAAAATATCGGGATGATGTGCTACTCTTCCATTCCCCTCTTCATTCTTATATATCATACCAGCTATCTACTTCTTCGATGATTTGTTGAGGTCGTTGATTGCAGTTTCAACGTCATCAAGTTCTTTGCGGTGCTTGTCAAGCTTTTCTCTCACTAAGATTAACATTTTCGGAAACGAATCGAAATACAGTCAGCAAAAAATCAAACTTGATCGAACTCATAATGACACTTACAAGCTTTGAGCTTTTCTTGTTCTTGTTGACGAACGAATTGATCTTCGTTTGCCTGGAAAGGAGGAGAAGTGGAGGTCAAATGATGGTTGTCAATATTGACTGTTCTTTGCGAGCGAGATGTTGTGATATCGGGCTACGATTGAGATAATTTGACCTCTTTGTTCCTAATGTATCCCACCCACACCAAATACATACCTGTTCACGTTTGCTGAATCCACTTGAAGTTCCACGACGGAATGGTTCGGAGAATTCAGGATCAGGCTTATCGGCGTATCCTCGAACGGCCATGGCTGAGCGCATGCTTGGCAAGACGGATTGGCGTAAAGATTTTGTTGAAGTACGTAAAAGGCTCATTTTGAATAGAATCGGTGAAAAGTATCAATAAGATATGATGTTAGAAGAGAAGACAATGGGAACATCTTGCGCACCGATATCATCATCCAACCGAGCGAAGGTGCAGTGCGCTGCGCAACGCACGGGCGACACGTATGAAGAATGTTACAGGCTTACGTAACCAAGACCGGAACTTAAAAGTGAAAGTAACACAGCCTAGCGCGTTATTCTATTATTGCTGCAGGATTAAACTCAAAAAGGCAATCCAATGGAAAATATAGATTGTCCACAAACAACTCACAAACAAATCAATACAACTTTTACCTTTTGCAATTATGTGATTCATTACCATCATTTAAGAGATTCATCTCTTTACACTCGTTTATTACAATCGCAGCGGGACTTTCTGGGGATTATAGCTTCTTTGAAAACGAGCAAGGATAGTTCGGGACAATTCCATTGGAACCAGCTAATCCTTATCATCACATCCGGGAAAGGTCCGAGAAGGGATTCACATTTTAAATTTCACTCATATGCATTTGTGATGCGTAGAATACGTAAAATCAACACTATATCACACCGAACGGATCAAAATATGAGGAACACAGTGGTGGAAATATCAGAATGTCACCACACCGTGAACACAAAGGAAGGAGACAGTCGTGATATTGGACGTTCAAATTCCACCTCAGATCATTTTCACTCATCGCGACGACCCAAATCAGCTTCTTGGCAAACAAAACCATTTGTCATTGCATTCACGAAGCAGATCATCTTACTTCTTGTCGTCATACCGCTCCTTTCATCGACTGTGTTAGACGTGACAGAAGCAATCGGGATACAACAACGGAGCAGCATACTGTCCGGGGTATATGCATCAGACAACTTTCTACAAAGAAGGCTCTTCGGATTGGAAAAGGCAGCAAGTTTTGCAGCACAAGAATCATTCCAAGAAGATCAGCAGCGGCCAAGTGGATATCTACAACAGCCGTTCCTTATCGCTGGCTCGAATGACAACATTTCAGGCTCTTCTTTAAAGACGGATGGAAATGGAAATTTGGTAGGAAGTGAAATCAATGTGATCAATGCTACAACGGGAGGTCCAATGAGCCTACAGGAAGTCAATGAAGAGCGATGGGGACAAACATCTGCATATATGCCGTCTTCAAATCGAGTCTTATTCACCGGTGGGCAGGTCAAAAGTTCTGAAGATGGTGTGATCAGGGTCACAAATGATGTCTTCACGCTTGACATGTCCAATGGAACAATTGCAAATGGATATCTCAAACAGACAACCGAAGCTGGACAGAATAGATGGCACAGAAGTTCTTCTGATGCTCTCCCACCCCATGCCTTTGCTGCTCGGGCAGTCACGCATACTGGCGATCATCAAGGTGAACAAATATTTGTCATAGGTGGGGCCACTGCAGATTGTAGTATTAGCAATTCTCCGGTTTACGTTTGGAATGCTGCCAAGCATGGTCAAGTGAGTGGCAGCTGGTCAGCGCCAAATATTTCCATGGGTCAAACAATTCCGCCTCGTCGACGTGGAATGTCTGCTATGCAGGTTCCGGTGAGCATTGGCTTGAATTCGAGCGAGGCAGAGGCTGCCAGACAGAAGGGTGGATCATCCTTTATGGTCGTGGGAGGGTATACGGATTACACAACGTGTAATAGCAGCACATCAAACTCTTCCCAAGCACCAAATGCTTATCCATATGTTGATATTTGGACAACGGATAAAAGTGGAGAGTCTATGTCTGTTCGCACATTGCCGATCGATTCAAGAATGCCAAATATGTCAATCTATGACTATTCCGCCGTCGTTCTTCCCGCCAATGAGACTGCAAAGCAAAACACAAGAATCTTGTTTGTTGGCGGTCGAGATGTATTTGGTGCATTTACACCGATGAATCAGTTGTGGACGCTGGACATCGAAACCAATGTTTGGCAGCGAATGGAAACGACAAATGGAACTAACACAGGTTTGGATATTCCACTTGGCAGGACTGGTCATTCATCCACCTTGATGGACGATGGTACGATATTGGTTCATGGAGGCTATGTTACCCTAGATAATAGTCAACCTCCTTCAAATGATACCTATTATCTCGATCCGAGGGTTGACCCTGCCGTTTGGAATAAACTTTATCCAAACACTACCGGTGGAAGCACACCTGGTAAAGCATACCACACCGCGATCATGGCGAATGGTATCTATATGGTCGCCTTTGGTCAACAGGGTACAGTCAGCGGTGCACCTTCTACCACTTTGCAGCAAAGGGCCGATGCTCAGTCTTCACCCGTCCTTTACCTTGACACTCGATCACCAGGGCAATGGAGCTGGACGACAGATCTTGGCACTATCCTAGCTGCTCGTGAAGAAGGCTCATCCTCTTCGTCAATCAATCCTCCATTGAGCCCTCCATCTCCTTCATCCTCGCCGAGTCCAGTACAAGCCTCAGCTGCGAGTAGCGAAATGTCTTCTCAATCAACTCAACAATCCACAGAGCAACAGACAGCATCTTCGAGTCCTACACCAGCACAGTCAATTGAAGCACCCGCACCGCAACAGAGCAAAGATGACGATGGCAGTTCCGATGGAGGCCCATCTTCAAAGACCACGCACACCGCCGTGATTGCTTCCGTTGTCGGTGCTTTAGCTATTGCAGCAAGTTTGGGTGGTTTGTATGCAGCTCGCAAGAGAAGAGAAGCAAGGAATAGTGATGCTGATAGCGTAGGTGATGACAAGTACGAAAGATATACTGGTGATCGTGATGCGCCTCCCGTTTCTTCTCTATGGATCAATCAACCAATGGCATGGGCAGGAAATGCAGGAAAAGGTCTGAGAAGGCAAGCTAGTATGGCAACTGAGAAATTCTTGGCAAGGACGTTGAGTAGAAGAAATGTTGCTGCAGGTACCATGCAAGCCGGAAATATGCGAGCAATGCAAGATGCTTCTGCATCTGGTGCCTATGATGGAGATCGAGCGCAACATATTTCCAGAGATGCTGATAATCTCTCAATCGCATCCAATGATACTTTCACTGCTTTCCGTACCATCCCATTGGGTAGCAGATTCAGTATCAGACGTTCGAGAAAGCAGCCAATGGAAGATATGGTCAATGATATGCAGACAGATCCATTCAGTGATGAAGCAGGACGCGAGTATGAAATCAATCCAAGTTTACGTAAGCATATGAAGCCATTACCAGAAGATTTCATCAAATCTCTTTTAGATGATGGTGATTTCTTGGCCCATAGCAATATCAAAAGAACTGTAGGAGGCGGAAAGTACCTACAATCTCCCGAACAGAGTTCGCCTCGGCCCGAAAATCGTTCAAGAGAGAGTCTTTTCTCTGAAGACGGTGTATCACATTACTCGTATCCTTACCTCGCAACTATCAATCGATCAAGTATGGGTGCTCCTTACTCCGCTAGATCGTCCACGTTCACACCGACAAGCAGCCAAGCAGCAGGTATGGATGAAGATTTCCCCACGCCAAGGCATGATGGTCAATTAACTCCTGGTATGGTTCGAATCAATCAAGATTTGGCCGATGAATACGACACCGAGATGATGCTACAATCAGAGCGATTTGAAACGCCAACAATTGATACTGAAAACCATGCAAGTGATTTACACGATTATGCAGCCGAAGATGCTATCGATTTTTCGGGAGCGATGACAAAACCTTCTCCGCTTGTTCAAAAGAAGAATTTGATTTTGCAAACTCCAAATCGACAAGACAGTCCTAGAGATTGGTTCAAGAGTCGTTTACCATTCCTAGAACAGCCTAGTAGCAATCTGTTCATGAACCCACATCCTGCCTTGCTTTCCATTGCTACACAAAAGATGTTGGCTGGCGAACATGATGAAGAAGGAAATCAAACACCTTCAAGGTCCTTGCGTATCACAAACGAAGAGTGATTTCGCCTATTTCTTTATTTCATTAATATCCTGCACTCTCTCTTTCTCCTACACACATTCTTTTTTCCACAGATGAATATACTGTTCAGCTTGTATTTGTAGACCATGGGCGCTTTATTAATTATATCTTCATCTCAATTGACTTGACTAGAGCTGTATTGATGTGATTCTCTGATAAGTTTTATGTCAATGACTACATTACATCGCTAATTATTATACAGACGAAGGGGATAGCTAATTATGGGAACTTGTCAATTCGCTCAAATCCATAGGTCCTCGAATGGCAGAGATGGATGAGGACATTGACGAAGTTGAATATCGACTACCCGCAATAGATGAACGTGGTCCGCCTCCGAAAGCTGATGAACTTTTCATCACTTTGTTGTTTATGGATCCTGTCCTACTGCTGCTCGACAATCTACTTGATTCAAATACGTTTGAAGTGCTTGATCGGCTTTGAGACCGGCTCTTTCGTGCCATTGGTGGAGGAGGCATTGCTTTCGTTGCCGGTGAGGTTGAGACGGATCGTTCACCCTTGCCGCTTGGTTGTCTGTCCTGATCTTCTGTTAATTTGTCCTCTAGCAGAGGTCTACCATCAATTGTCTTCCTTCTCGTAGCCCTCAAATGGGATGGACCTTTTTGAAGCGGAGGTAAGGTATTATCTTGAGTATCATCACTCTTCAGCGTCTGATTCGTTGTCAAGTTCTGCAAAGGTAGTGCTCTTGCTGTATTTTCTCCTTCTGCACTCTCTTTTCTTGAGGTGATCGGCGTGCGTGACTGCATGACCAAGTCACGTACAGCTAAGCGATTTCTAATCGTCGATCCAGGCGTTTGTCGCGGAGTCTGTGAACTCAAGGGTTTCGTTCCGAGTCGCTTCAAGAGGCTCAACTCTTGTTGCTTGGACGACAAGGCTATACCCAAATTCAAATTGTCTTCTTCTAATCGCTCATGAAGCTTCTCCAAGTTTGCAATTGTGATGCCACGATTGCTCAACTCTTTCTCCAAAGAGGTGACACGTTTTCGTTCATCCGTTCTCTCTTTTTGAATCATGTCAATCCGTGCTTGCATTTGCTCTGCTAAATCAAGCAATTCATCATGGTCTTTTTTGGCGACGTATCCTTTATCGAGATCCTGTTCTTCAGCGCTCCTTTCCCCTGCAAGATCTGATTCCGCGAGAGAGGCCACAAGGTTCTCATTCTCTTGTTGGAGATCTGCAAAAGATTGGCGCATCTCCGAAATCTCCTCCTTTTGCTTTTCCAATGCAGACTCTAATCTATCAGCATACTCTTGCAAGCGAGCAGTCTCTAATCTGCTCTCTTGTTCGGCTTCTATGGTTTCTTGTAGACGAGCCCGTACTGCGGAAAGCTCTTCAGAGGTATCTTTGGCAGTGTTATCGTCATGCACTTGAGAACTTTCCCCAGTTTTGGGTGCCTCGTTTTGAGGTTCTTGCACTTCTTTCGATACGGAACTATGCTTTTGTTCTTCGTCTCTTTTTGCCGCCTCTTCCAGTAAGATCTCTTTCTCCTGAATGATAGCTGTCAATTGCTGGTTCAAAGAGTCGAGCTGTTCGCGCATTGAATCTCTGTCCTTTTCTGCTTCTTCCAATTGTAGCTTCACAGAATAGTGCATTTCATCAAGATCTTGTATGCGTGCTTCATATTGAGCCTTTTCCTCTTCTGACTTCTCAATGACCTGTTTCATCTCATCAAGTTGCGACTGCAAAGCATCTCTCCGGTCATCTTCCTCTTTCTTCGCGACTGCAGCATCAATTGCTGACTGCTCTGCGTGAGCTGAAGATGCAGACGCATCAGTTTTGACCTCATTCGTCTGCAGATGTTCTTGCTCACCATCCCCTTCTCTGACTTGATGCATCAATTCTCTCTTTTCGCCTTTGAGCTCCATAGAATTATTGACATCACAGATGCCAGGGAGACCAATCTTCGCTACTGAGTCCTCTTTCTTGCGACGTAGACTTTGCTCGTTCAAGTGTGCTACGAGAGTTCGTACGTGTTCCATTTCCTGAGAATGCTCTTCAGTCTTCTCCTTTGCTTTTTTCCTTTCGTTGGCAAGCTCATCTCGAGCATTTCGGGAAATTTCCCGCTCGCTTTCAAATTCCTTCTGCAATTGGGCATACATCTCTTGTGCTCTATTCAATCGAGATAGAAGCATTGTGGTTCTTTCTGTATGCACACGATCCATGTTGCTCGAAACATCCAAAATTTCCCCAAAAGGTGATGTGTCTTCAATTGGTGAGATGGACTTTGTCGTCTCGGGCGAGATCAGCAAAGGAATCACCATAGATGAACTCTTGCTATCTGTCTTTTGAGGTGACTTCTCCGATAAAAGGCTTCTGCCTAACGAGCCGGGAAAGTATACACTGGACATATCGTGCATTTGAGAGACATCTACTTGAAGGGTTTGCTTAGCTGGTGAAGGAAGTGCAGCAGTTTGAGGCCAAGGTATTGATAGATCCGAGAATGATGCTTCAGGATCTGATTTGACTGCAAATGTTTCTGGGCCGTTTTCATCATCTTCGAGCGATGATAACCTTGACTTCGGAGTGGCCCAATCACTGTGCGATGAAGCGTCATTCCGAGTACTACTCGGACTTGCGGCGGTTTTGTAGTCACTGTGATAGTCTGAATCGACGGAGGGTCCAGGAGTTGCGTAATCTACCGAATGAATCTGATGTGATTTGATGTCATCTTCATCTTGCAAAAGGGAAGTGTCGTGTAGGTCAGAGTAACCTTCCATTGTCGGAAGGTGTAACAATGACAAAGATGCATCGCTTGCTATTGATGTGTCATTTTGCTCAGAATGCTTGGCAGTATGATCTTTCGATTCGCTTTCACCATCCCTTGCCTTGATTTGAGCCAAAGAGCCGATGCTGTCCACATCGCTCATCCTGCTCTCATCGCCATCATCGTATAATCTCCTGCCAAAACGTACACTTTGTCCTGTTCCAGGTGTATCTGGATGTCTAAGAATTCCAAACATACGTTTAGGAGACGCGGTACTTGTGTTTGGTATCTTTTGCATGTTTGAGTATTCTCCGCTTTGTTCTTCGATCCCCACCTCTTGTCCAGCTGTGATTAAGATGTTGGTAAGAGTAATGTCAGTTTGTTGGATTGTGCTCTTCGTCTTTGTGATCATGACTTACATAAGCTGGTATTCATTTCGATCACCATAGCTTCCTGCTCATTTCATCTTTCCCGATTGTGGATGTGGTAGTCAAGTGATACTCTTAAAGTAAGACAACCTCAATATTCATAGAATAAAAGCCCCGGAGTCCGTGTTAATTTAGTGGAGACGCGAAAAGACGCGCTTTAACACGTGACACAATCCATTTTCACTCAAAAGCAACTTTGACTTTTGCGCCGAGCTTGTAAGTTAATCTTCCACTGTGTGTACATCCTTCTTTACAACCTTGTCAACGAATCACAACATGCTCTCACGATGAATTAAGAGGAGTACGATACCAACAGGGAAGAAAAGAATGCTAGAGTGCTTTTTACTGTGAGTATCAAATCCGGACTTTGAGAAGTTTGCACGGCAAATAGCAACCTATAACCCCTTTGCAAAGATTACACATTTTATTCACACTGTCAGATCAGTCAACATGCATTCATTGCATCGTTTGACAAATGAAGGTTTACTACAACGGTAGATGAGCATTTAAAGGAAAATTGTCATGCATTTGATTTCATGAAACAACTACTAACATGTTTCTTGCGAATCACTTTACAGGATATAAAAAGCAACTTTCAAAATGTCAAATCAACCAGATCGTTTCGCCCTATTCATCTTGGGTCCCAAGGAAAAGAGAGTTGAAATTGTGGAAGATACACACATTGCAAATGCGGCAACAGTCATTTTGAACAAGGAAGACCATACTATGGGTAACATGCTACGGCATTCCGTTTTAGCTGTTCCAGGAGTAATCTTTTCCGGTTATCGAGTTCCACATCCGCTAGAGCCGCGAACCGTCTTGAAGATTCAGACTGACGGATCTTTGACGCCAATTCAAGCTTTGAAACAAGGATGTGAAAAGATCATCTCACAAATCGGTCAAGTACGTTCAGATTTCAGAAATCAATGTTCCTTGTTCGAAGATCAAGGAAGGACTTCTGTTCCAGGCTCAACGGATCCTATGGGAAGAGCAAATTTGGGAGCACCTTCCGATTATGGGGAAGTTTATGGTGGCTCATACGGTGATCTTGGACAGAGAGAAGAAGAAGCTTCGGGTTACGTGGATATATAGTCTGGCTTTTTCAGATGAACAATTCTTTGTCTTGCGGTGACGCTGAATCTATCATACCATGTCTTCACATTCTGTATTTGTATTTCTCAGGTTTAACAACGATTCAGTCAAAGTTTATGGCAGACAGTATTGCACCTTGAGATGTTCTGTTGTTCGCAGATGTTCTGTTGTTCGCAGATGTTCGGTTGTTCGCAGATGCTCTGGTGTATCATTCATTAGACAGAGTTGTTGACCTTAATTTTCATCCGCACATTGGTAAACGCGCGCGCAGACCTGCCGCGCTCCATGCGAACGCATCGTAGTGGGGGAGTGCGAATCCCCCGCAAAGTATGACAACGAATCTAAAGAATGGAAGATGCGATTGTGTTAGCTGAAGAATACGCTCACAACCTTGACCTCAAAAGGCTCTCTCGTAACCATGTCGACAGCTCAAGTGGACGCTCTCATCGTAGGAGCTGGCTTTAGCGGCTTGACGTGCGCTTTAAATCTAGCAAGAGCAGGTAAGCGGGTCATTTGTATTGAAGCCCGACCTAGACTTGGTGGAAGAGCATTTACGCATACGTTCAATGAATCGACGGGCTTGACAAACACCGAAAGAACGGTGAAAGAAGGAGAATCAGGAAGGACATACTCGGTCGATTTTGGTTGCAGTTACATTCATGGCTACAATGAAGGCAATCCGGTAAAAGATCTTGTGAAAAAGTACAACATTCGTGCTCATATTCCCAAACCTACTCCTGTGCAAATCATCGGTCCGGACGGTAATGTGCTCAGCTCGGATCTAAGTGAAAAGATTCAAGCCAACCTCGCAGCAGCCCAGAAACATGCAAAAGAGAAAGGCAAGGCTTTACGTGATGCAACAAACCAATCTTCCAACTTGGCAGATCATAATCAACTCGGACAAAAGACTTTGAGCAGCGTTTTGTTGGAAGATTCAAAGTCTCCTCTCTATGGAGATCTCAAAGATGAACATGAACGTGCACTGGCAACGGGGCTGGCACGTTCTATGCATATTCCTCTTGGTACGGAAATTGAGAATATCTCCTTGGAATACTTTGATAGTCAACAAGCTTTTGCCGGTACAGATGCGATGCCAGAAGGTGGTTTCTCGAAATTGATTCAATGCTTAGCAGACGATTTCACAAACTTAGGTGGGAAGATTCACACGAATGAAGAAGTCAAAAAGATCACTCGATCCGGATCAGCTTCTCCCTCTGTTCAAATTGTCACCCGCCTTGCCGCTCAAGATGGTCGGGAAGAGACCTACAATGCCAGAACTGCGATTGTCACACTCCCTTTAGCCGTTCTCAAGTCAAAGCAAAAGGCCTTGTTTGAGCCAGCTCTTGAGCAAGAACGTCAAGAAGTCATCAATCGGGTCAATGTGGGAAATCTTAACAAAGTTTTACTACATTACACGCAACCATGGTGGCCAAAAGATGTAGGAACATTCTTTATCTTACCGTCTAAAGAGGCAGATAATTCCAGTACAAATCTAGCTGACATTGTTCGATCGACAACATTGATCGTATCCTCTTTATGCGCCCCAAACGGATATCCAGCTGACATGACTTCCTCTTCATTGCTAATCATGATCGGTGGTGCTCAAGGCAAAAAGTTGGAACAATTTGATCGTTTGGACGTTGCAAATGCGCTACATGACCTTTTATACGAAAGAATGATCGCAAAAGAACATCAATCCAACAAAGAAAAAGATTCTTTACGACATGCGTTTTATTCACGTTGGCATCGTCAACCGTTCACCGGAGGCGCAACTACCACTCCAATCGTTTGTGGTAGCTCACCAAACGATCTTTTCACAATCGCTCGACCTGCTTGGGATGGATCTCTGTACTTCTCCGGAGAGCATTGTGAGGTGAACAATAGAGGTAGCATCGCTGGAGCTGTGGTCTCCGCTCAAAAGACTTCTGAGAACGTCTTGCAATTCTTGAACTCACCTAAACTATAAATGATATGTACATAGCGAATGTCACTCATCCTTATCAGCTTTGCAAATGTGAAAAAAAATATATCATAATGAGGGAAAGAATCAACACGGTACATGAATATGGCAAGAATGAGTATGCAACTTGCAAAAGAGTGAGCAATGAATTAAGATCGGGCTGCGGTCGCATTGGTACCGCTTAAATCGCAACGGTCCAATAATGCATGATAGATAAACTTGTAAGCCCACAAATTACCCTTCATCCTTCGAATATCGACACTGTAAAGGCCAGGCAAATTCTTCAATCGGGTCACTTCCACGCTAAAGCGTACCTCTTGTCCGCCATCAACCGAAGGCTCACCGTAAAGTGGCGGAGGCAATTGATCTTCATTTTCGTTGGCGGTGGAAGATTGTGTCAACAGGTGACCGCTATGCTGACTACTTCCACGACGTAAGAAGTTGCGCATTGAGCTCTGACTAGGACTCAAAGTAGAATTTGCCGCTGCTGCATTACTGCTACGTTCATAATCAGCTTGAGAAGGTGGAAAGACGGATGTGCGAATGCTCAAGCCTAGATTTTGAGTTGCAGCTCCAAGCAAGGTCTTATTACGCCTACGTCGAACGCATTCCATTTTATACTCTTCTTCATTATCCTTCTTTGCTTCAATGCCCATAAGCCATAGTGCACGTTGAACTTGCTTAATCACTTCATCTGGTGATCTTGACGTCAAAGCGGATTGATCGACTGCTCCTTGATGAACGCGAATTGCCGATTCCAGATTGGCAGCCTTTTTGACTTCATTCCTTTGAACATTTTGATTGGCGTCAAACTGATTAACAATCGAAGAGGATGCCCTTGGTGTAGCTTGTTGTTGCATCGTAGAATCACTTGATTTTGAGCCGGGCATTTGTGGTATATTGGCTTCTTTACGCACTCGTGATCCTTCAGTGGCAGATGTTGCACCGGTTGATTGAGTTGTTTGACTAATATGACTTTGCGTGCCAGAAGTAGATCGTGAAGACGGTACTGAATCCATTTCAGGTCTTTTCTCGTGAGCGCTATCATCAGTCACAACAACTTGAGGATTAGGTGAACTCTTCTCATCAATGGCTGAGCGACTTGGAGGTTTTGCTTCATTCGCAAGCAAGCCGGTACTTTGCTTGCGTGTCCTTTGCGCGGGAGAAGCTGCAGAAGGCGATTCAAAAGAAGTGAATGGGGGTATATCTTCCAATTGGCTCTTGGACATGCTCTTCTTGCGGAACCAATCCATCACCTTCTTTGCCGCATTGCTACTTGCACCAACGGTGGATGTACTTTCATTCAAAGACTGTTCAAATGGAGCGTTTGAAGCATTGTTGCTACGTTTAAAGATCGAAGAGGGAGCACGTTGTGAGTTGCCCGTATGACTGGTGATAACAGATGCTGCCGATGGTGATGGCTTGCTAGAAGCAATACTTTGGTCTCCGCTTGCTGTTGATTGAATACGCTTTGGAGTATGAGGACGACGTTGAGAGCTATTTCCTGAAGGAGATGACTCTTTACGTAATCGCGCTGTGAGTCTACGTGAACTCTTTTCGGACCTTTCACCTTCTTTGTCTTGACTCTCAAGTGGTCGACCAACAACAAGACTCATCGCCTTTCGTCGATGAGAGCTCGTCTTGCGTCCTGTGTTCTCTTCGCGTTCGACTGGCATGGCAGGTAGTGACTCTTTGCCGGTCTCTAGAGTGGGTGAAATGCTATTCTTGGATGGCGAGGCATCTGGACGTGACTGTTGCTCATTCAGAGTCGGAGGTACACCTTGTGAGCCTAGCAGTTTGGTCAAGAAGAATTTATCGGTAGACATTCCCTTACGATGACGTGTCTGTGACTTCTCTTCTCTCTCTTTCTGTGGTGAAGTAGAGCTCTTACCATTCGAGGAAGCTACAGAGGTTGCATTTCCGTCCGAGAATACCCTTCGTTCTTGATGAACATCAGGCTTTACAGGAGACTGTCCAGTAACTTCGATATGCGGCAAAGGGTTTGACGGTGCCCTTTGTGGCGCTTTTTCTGCGTTGGACTTTGGAGTTCCTTCTTCTGAAGGGATATTTTGGCGTGTTGAGGTTGAGAGAATCTGATCGTCCTTCTTGCGCACGTTTGCGCTATCAGATGTATCTTGACCATGCCCGTAGCGTGTACCATTACGTTCGTCAGCTCTAACGGCAATTGGTGCATTCTCTGCTGTATCCTTTCCAGAATCAACTGAACTATCCTTTTGAATTGGAGGTTGTACAATGGAAGCCTTCTGAGCACGAGCATGTGCATTACTACTGTCATACTCCAATTGAACTGTATGACGTTGTGTCTTTGAAGCAGCTGACCTTTTGCTGACAGCTGATGAATTATCTTGGGAAGCTTCTCGGTGATGTGCAACATGATTTGAGTCGTGGGAACGAACGGGTTGGCTGTGTTGAGAATCTGGCACTTGCGTTGGCTTTCCTGTGTGGGCTGCAACCTTATCTTCTGAACGTGGAGTAGGCATGCCTGACACAGGACGAGAGCGAGATGGAGCTGCTTCTTGTTGTAAACGATCCGGCAAGAAGGATGTTGCTGGTGCAGCACTTTGATGTCTTTGCTGTCTGGTATATGCCTGTCTGTCTGCACTCGATTGGCCGTGTATTCCACGAGCAGCATCGTTGGCATTCATTGTTCCGCCTCTTCTTTGCTGTTCTTGCATCTGTTGCTGCATAATCATTTGTTGACGATAAACTTGACGCTTTTTATTCTGTTGTTCGATCGCAGCCCTCTCAAGCTCTTCAACACTGAACTTGAACAAGTCTCTGTATGGAGAAAGCCACGGATGTGCCATCACGCCAGCAAGAGTTGTTCGCTTTAGAGGATCAGGAACCAACATCCTGCAAAGCAAATCGCGCGGTTGAGGGCCGATATAATCTGGGAAAGACAAAGGTGTTGCCATGATGTACTTGTATAGCAAGTTGATATTATCGCCGTCAGGATTAGCCGGATCATCGTCAAAGGGTAAATAGCCTGCCAACATTGCATACAGAATCACACCGCAAGACCAAACATCAACAGCTGAACCAGCATAAAGACCGTCTTGAACAACCAATTCCGGAGCTGCATAGCACGGGCTACCGCAACTTGTTGCCATTAAATCATCATTCTTGTTCTCAAAGTTGTTTGCAAATCCAAAATCCGTAATGATCACATTTCGATTGCGGTCCAATAGCAGATTCTCCAGCTTCAAATCACGATGAACGATCTTCTTTTGATGCAGATACGATACTCCAGAGATGAGTTGCGCGAATAGACGACAAGCGTCGCGATCTTTGAGATATTTGTGAGCAAGAATGTGATCAAACAATTCTCCGCCACTTGCATATTCCAAAACGATCCCAATATACCTGTCCGATTCGATCACTTCGTACAAGCGAACAATATTCGGATGCCGAACATCTTTCAAGACCCGAATCTCTTTTTCTACCTTGCTCATTTTTGCAGGATCTTTGGATGGTCCGGTTATCTGTAATTGACCATCAGATGTCCCAACTTTGTCACGCTTGATCAGCTTAACAGCGACTTCCTCTCCCCATTCTTTGTGAACACCCAATTTGACCTTTCCAAATTCACCTTCACCTAATGTTTGCAAAAGAAGATAATTGCCAAAATGCACTTGTTGCCTTCTTGGATGTGCAGCAAAGTATTGCATAGCGGCTGGAGAAGTAGTGGGAATACCTTGTCCGATCGCATTACTCGTAAGTGTATCCATTGGTGAAATTGGCGAACCTAGAATTCCCATGTTTGAATGTGCATTACTTACAGGTACAGCAGGATGCGCGCTTGCCCGTCTATCTGCATGGCCATTCTTCATCGCGGCATTGTAATTCTGTTCGTCAGTGCCATCGTGATCCATGGTATGTGAAGAATGAACATTCGTTCGCGTAGATGGCGTTGGCATTGCTGAAATTGGTCGATGAACATGGGATTGGCCACCAGTTGGAGCGCGTCCGGGAGGGTGATCAGCCATTTGTTGATGTCTTCCAGATGTTGCACTGGATGTATTTTGAGTTGCCCCACTAATTCCAGAACTCGACATGCTGCTTGAAATTGAATAGGAGTTGTGGAATAATCAATGACCAAGATAGGAGTAGAAAACAATCCCGATCTTGTCGCCCTTTGAGATCGTGTGGGACGCGAATAGATGAAATTTGTACGTGTCACGAGCTTTGCAAATCAATTGGCGTACGATAGAAACGAATTTTGCGATCCGTGGTTCAATTAAAGCCGATTGAGTCAAGGCAATGATTCTTTTGTTCTATGAAAAGTGCTTGTTGGGATAGCGATCAAGAGGACTGAGCTGGCAAATTGGCTGACGCGTTGGAGGGAGAGAGGCCCAAACGTTGAGGGCTGAATCTTTCCGCGTTGAAGAGTGAGATGATTGAAGGCACTCCGTCAAAGTGAGTATTGCCTTTCTTTGTAGAACGACAAGGACAGGCTCGATCTCGTTTGTGAGATAAACAAACAAGATTGGGTATAAATCAAACAAAATGAAATGTTTCTCTAAAGTCGCAATGGATTTTTCCCTGTTAAAAGAAGAGTTGTTGGAACTGTGAGAGAGCTTGTCTAAAACGGAATGCACTTTTACTGAGCGTCTAAGTTATTGCTTTCCGTGTTGTTGTTTGAGTGTATGCGAGTGATTGATCGCGTCCTTGGGCCTTTTCAAATGCAATGACGTATGACGATCACGACGATCAATAAGCCCTACCTGTTCCGACACCTTTATGAATACCTTTTTGAGAACGACAAACTTGTGATCAATCAATCAATCAACAAGCACGAGCCGATCTTGATGAGGTTGAGGGAAAGGATGGATGAATGGTAAGATACATACAGTACGTGTTTGTTGTGTCTTTTTTAACAACAAGGGGGAATGTAAGACACGAGATCAGTCTAAATGCATTAAACATACAATTGTTAAACATACTGTTAATGTGCCGTATCAAACAAAGAATGCGCTAGGTTATGAGCACCACACTTTCATTTCTAGCACACGCCCTGGACAAGGGTGCGCCCAAAGAATAATAATAAAAATCGAGACTGAGTATAAACCCGGGTAAAGAACTTCAGTTCATCTTGTGTGCCTTGTTAGAATTTGGCCTTCTCCATCACACAATCAGCAAAAAGGGCGACGATCAAAACGTCAAGGTAACGATTACCATTAACAACTCTATTTCTTTGGATCATACAATAAGCTTCTCCGCTAAATTGGACGCCATCTTGACTTTTATTCGGTCACATGATCAAATGTCGTTGAAGGAATAAATTCCATCCTTACTCCCGATGGCTGTCAAAATCAAATTTTAATCTTTTTTACGAAACAGATACCCAATGCGCCATGAATTACCAAGCATCAGATGCAGTGGCAGGACCATCACGACAAAGTGATCAATCTGTGCAAGGTTGGCGATCAACAAATTCCTCTTTTGCCTCTAATTCAACACATCTTGATCCTATGCAAGGCGTAAAACATCATCTCAACACCATCACACAGACGGCACCCATCAATTCGCCTCTCTTTGATTGTGTAAACATTCAATCTTCTGGAAATGTTACCCCGCAATCCACACTTTCCTCTTCAGCCGGCTACTTTCAACCTGGTCCAAGCAATCCATCAATTTTAAGAACAAAGGTTGAAAAAGATCTACCTGATCTACCTCCATCTGAAGAGGATTCAATAAGTGATTTTAGTGGTAGTCATGATACTCGAGAAGATGCATATGCTGATCTTTCCGGATCGTTCAGACTAAATCAAGACAGAAATCGCTCCACACAATCGCCGGTGCTATCAAATGTACATGACGTTCAATCTGTTTCCTCCAATGGACTATTCAATCGATTGAGCCCATCTTGGTCGTCTGCGGTCAAGACTCGAGGGAAAAAGGAATCCTCAACCGGTTTCAGAAAACCAGGCTCTCGGAACGGCGCCTCTCCGGGGCGTGGAGAAGAAGCGTCACTTGTCGGTTTAGGGGTAGATAGTGGTCGTTTAGCCAGGGGCAGTAATAGCAGCATGGCAGATACGTCTCAAGGTGATCAAGGGCACAATGCATGGTCAAATCGAGCGGCTGCAGTTAAGGCTGCTAGTCAAACAGCTGGAGTTGGATTAAAGAAGTGGGGTAAAGCATCTGCAGCAAAGATCAGACAACAAGCACAACAGAGACAAAATACTGGAAGAGAAGGTGGAAGCCCAACGATAGGGAATTGGGGTCGAGCTGGAACGGCAAATTTGAGTAACTTTCGTGGAAGGGCGGCCAAATCATCAGCTGATCTGCCAATGACATCTTCCGACGGCGATCATATGAGCTCGTACCCTCCAAATGCCTCGCCCTCACCATCTATTCAACCTGATCCACGAATTGGTCTTCCTACCGACGTTCGCCATAATGTTCACGTTGATGTTGGACCGCAAGGCTATACAGGACTCCCAGCATCTTGGGCTCAAGTTTTGGCACAATACGGAATGGATGCCAATGAAGTACGTAAAGATCCCGCTGGTGTGATTGCTCTTATTCGTCAAAGAACGCAATACTATGTCGATAAAGAAGCAGAGCTTGGTCAAGATCCAGAAAATACAAAGAGATTACTTGAATCACGTCTAGGTCAATTGGAAGACTTGCAAGATGCTCGTGATGCTGTACGTTCCGTCACACCTGGTCCTCGTGCTAGCCATCATTATCGAAGAAGTTCAGACAACGCAACAAAGTCGGACGCAACCCTGAGAAGGACTTCAAATGCAAGTACGACATATAGCAGCGTACTAAACCAGGGATGGCCACCATCCCCTTCATGGTCCGACGCTCCCTCTCTACCGCAAATACCTCCGCAGCATATCAGCCCTAGCTTGCCACTCGTTCAAGCAGACGATTCTGATGAAGATTGGGGTGCAAACTTGTTGAAATCATTGCCAAAATCCAACTCTGAAGATGATCAATTACATACCAAGGACGAATCGACGGACACTAGAACTTTACCGGTAGAAGAAGCTGATAGCAACATTGAAGCTTTGGCAGAGAACTTGAACGACGAGCAAGGAAGTGTTGCAAATGATTCTGGAGCTTTCTCTGAGATGGATCAAGTTGAGAACATGCACGAGAATGGTTTCAACAATGCTGAAGATGAGACTGGATCTATCCTGACCGCTTCCAGGGTCCCAATGACGAAAGTGCTTCGAACTCCACAGTTGTTCTCTCAACCGGATCAAGATGTAAGCAATAGAGGTGATAGTGCACCCAGCGAACCATCTTCCCGCGGAACAATCGATACCCCAAGCAAAGCAAGATTTGCGAGCCCTGAAGCTCGCGATTCCTCTTGCACATCTCATTCGATTCAATCTTCGGTAGATGACTCATACAGCTTAGCGAACGACGGACGATCATCTACCAAACCACCTGCAATCAATTACGGACAATCACCCTCATTTTCTCCTTCAGCTGCTGATACTCAGCCAGCAGGTTCTGGTAATAGGACTTCTTCCAGTGAAAGGCAGACTTCTACGCAAAACGAAATCAGCAAACATGTTTCAGAAGGTTTACGTGAACGGCGAAAGAATGCTCCACGGATATATCCACCTTCCTCAAATAAATTTGTTGGGCAAACAGACATACCGTCGCCCAGATCGGTTGGCTTCAAACCTGTTCTCTCTGTCAGAACGAGCAATACAAGTCAAAATGGAGTAAAAGCTTCATCCTTGACAACGATCAGCAACGGTAGTGATGCTAGCCTAAGTCAGGCACATAGTCTGGGAAATCACTTTATCTCGCCTTCACCTTCACAGTCTCCTGCTATGTCGTCAAAAGAATCTAATTCAATCTTCCATGGTGACAATACAGCACAACCGAATCTGGAAAACGATCTTAAATCAACTTCTGGAGCTGTGCGAAACAGTGGGGCAAGTGTTCGACTTGCTTCGCAGCCACTACAGATGCACTTTGACCATTCCAATAGAAGGCAAGAATCTCATGAAGGTGATCTAGACCCACCTCCAACTTTGCCTTACAAACAAGCACGAGTTTCACCAGGTCAGAGTACTCCCGACTTCATTCATCCGGATGCCGATGGCTTTTTCCGACCAACAAGTAGTTCAGCCCTCAGTGCAGGTCACGGCAGTGGATTCTCTCATAGCAACACTGCGGAACGCAAGATCACACCAAAAGAACTTCAGATACCCTCACCAATCGTAGGTGATGATCGATCGTCTCCAGAGCTGAAACCTCAAGATGCTACGGGTCAGTCAGAGAAGGAAGATTTGTCGGCAAATACAAACAAAGATCTTTCTACACATATTCCAAATGCAGAACGAAAAACTGATTCAGTAGCGACAACACCCAGTGGCTCGAACTTTGGAATTTTGGACGATTACCAACCCGCATCTGATTTCCTTGATGACTGGCTCAACGATGAAGATGATCGTGATCCGTCTCCGGGATATGGACACTCTCAATCAACCGGTAGCGATAGAGCGCAATCTCCACCCTACGAACAACACTCTACCCCTCAACCACCATTACCAATATCTTTGCAAACTAGAAAAGAACCTGATGCTCATCAATCGCCTTCTCCTGCTTTACTCAAAGGATTGCCAACACCAATGCGGGCTCAATTTAATACTGCGCTACAAATACCACCACAAAAGGACACTAATGAATCCAATCTTTCCCCTGTTTCACCTGGCCAACGAATCGATGACGAAAAAGTTGGACGGGACTGGCGAGTCCGATCTCTGCCACCTCCACCACCTGATGAAGAGGATGTTGAAGATATAATGAACGAAGAAAAAGCCAGCAATTTGGATAAAGCTTCAAACTTGATGGAGAAAAGTGGAGATCGATCATCTGAGGATCGATTATCGGTCGTCAGCTTGCCACTTCACGATTTTGACTCGCTTGATAATGACGCTAATGGACCTCCAAAAGCTGATTCAGAAGCGCAAGAATTGGCTGCTTTGACACGACCTGGCAGTCGACAATCCAGACCAAATAGCCGGGCATCACGATCTTCTTCACGTGCTGGATCTCGTCATCTTCGTCGTAGAAGCTCTGATGCTCGTCGCTTTCCGATCTCTATGCACTACGCAAGTGGTTTCGATGCAGATGCATTTGGTGCAGATTCAGAAGCAATTTCATCGTTTGCCGATCTAATGCGAGCTAGACAAAGTATGGATTTGGATGACGTCATGCCAATGAGATTGGACTCAATGATGGATGTCCCTCCTGTGCCTGCTTTGCCTGCTGCTTTGGGAAAGGAACAAGTACACGTTGTCGAGCAAGAATCAGCCAAATTGCCAAAGATCGACCCAACTTGCCCACCGCATCTTCGATCACTTGTTCATCCGGGTAAGCCTCAAGAAATCTTTGAGGGATTAATGCTCATAGGTGAAGGCGAGTCGGGTGATGTATATTCGGCGACTGCAAAGGCTAATTGTGGTATTAAGTCTATAGAAGGATCCGGTACGATTGCCATAAAGATTGTTCGTATCGCAGCACCAAAATCCAATGATGCCATAAACGGAGCATCAACGGATGACAAAGAAAGTCAATCCTATCCTCGCCTTCAAAATCTCGACAAAGAGCTCTCTCTATGGCGCAAAGCATCTGATCATGAGAACGTTTTGACGTTGTTTGACGTCTTCCTATGTCGACGAGGCGATGCCGCAAAGAAAGAAGCGAGCGAATCTCAACTTCCGGCAACAGTTAGGGACGGGATTTGGATCGTGCAAGAGTGTATGTCGATGTCTTTGGCAGATGTAATCGCTCTCAAGATGGAAGGCTTAGAGATGAATGAACATCATATGGCCCGTATCTTTGGCGATATTTGCTTGGCAATGCATCACATTCATTCAAAAGGAATTGTTCATCGAGACGTGAGGAGTGATAACATCCTTTTGACTTCCGATGGAAAAGCAAAGTTGACGGATTTCACACATGCAACCAGCTTATCATTAAATGAAAAGCGTAGTAGCGTTGTTGGAACGGCTTATTGGATGGCGCCAGAAGTGATCAAAGCTGAACCGTACGATCAAAAGGCTGATATTTGGAGTCTTGGAGCGGTATTGTATGAATTGGCAGAAGGTATTCCACCTCGTGTTGAATTTCCTGCTTTACGTGCTATCACGCTTACCGTTCAACTTGGTTTGCCGGCTCTTCAAGATCCGCAGAAGTACTCTAGAGCTCTCAAAGAATGTTTGGCCTGGTGTTCAGAATTGCAACCGGAAAATAGGCCATCTGCTGATATGATCCTAGAGGGCGAATTCGTTGCTTGTGCTTCATCATACGAAGAAATGCATACCCTAATGATCGAAGCGCAAGCAGTGGAAGCAGAAGGAGAAGTCGATGGAGAAGAGGAAATGTTGGAAGAAGGCATCAACAGAACAGATTCTTCTGCTCAACATCATGCAAGGGATAGCTGGACAAGCCAAAGCACAGTTCAAGGGTAATATGGAATATTGGATCATGCACGTCACTCTTTTATCACAAAGCGATACTTTTCGCAATTTTTTATTTTTGTACTTTACAGATTTTTTTTAATGTACACACGATGCGGTTAATCATTGTCACAAAACAGAGCGTGACATTACACAATCTCGCCTAGATCTTCTTCTGTTCCGTCCGCTTGGGTCATCATCCCAGAGTTCTGAGTGGTTTCGTTGGGTCTCTGCTTCTTTCCTACTTGCGAAACGGAGGATTGCTTTCTCTTCTGGTGACCTTTTCGCTCTAGCCCTACATTCAGTGTGAATCCTTTGTCTTCCGAAGTGGGCACGGAGCTACTGGACATGATGTTGTACAGATACTTGATTGAACTTCTTCCGCTCTTTTGACTGTCTGAGGGAGGGTCATCTTGCGGACCATGCAAGCATTGATTCGCTTCTGAATGTAGACCAGACATGATTGCAAGACATGCAGTCGTAATTGGGGCAAACGTTGGAGCAGGCGGTGTACGTAAATGAGAAATGAGTGAATTAGCCGCGATTCTCGTCCGATTTGACAGCTCTTCCATGATAGCAATCAACTCCCGAATATCCCGAACAGCAGAGCAAAGAGCATCGCTATTCGGTAGCTCTTTTGGTATTCCGTCAAATTTGGGTAAACTCTTGTTGTTCTCTGTTGTTTCCTTGCCCCAATAAGAGCACCAGACTTGCACGAGAGACGAGCAAGCGCGATCCAAGGCTCCGCAGAATATCTCTCCTTCGGCCTGTCCGCTTTGAACTTCATTGCTTTTCATTATCCTAGGCTGAACATCTTGTTGTTGTTGGTGATCGGCGCCCTTGATAGGATCTAACAATCTGCGTAAACATTTGCGTACGCCATCGATTGCTCTAAACCATTCTGCACTTTTATGTTGTGCTTTGCTTTTATACCAAATTCTTTCAATGATGGCCGATTCTTTTGTGAGATTTGATCGTGTTTTTTGGATTAGAATAAATGCATACTTGACAGTCTTGAATGTGAGTTTCTCCTCCTCCGCCATCTCTTTAATTCTCTTTCATCTTCATATCATGGCTGAGTAGATAGGGGAGATAATGTATGATGAGTGAAAAAGGGAAACAAAAACAAAACATTAGCCATGTTGTTTAGATTTAGCGTTTTGTAATGATAATTGGACCCGATTTAAAATAAACGCCCTGGCGCGCCACAGCGGAGTTGAAGCGGTAGAGCACTCACTCTAAAGCGGGCGTACTGTTTGTGTGTTTTTTTGCTAGAAAGAGTCTTAAAATATAACACATCCTCCTCCTTTCATTCAATCATCAGCCTTGCTTGTATTTATCCATTTCGATCCTTTCATCGCGATCGTATTTGGTTCTTTTCTTATCTAGAAAGGCAAAGGTGAGGTTAAACTCGCTTGAACTTATTCGCAAATCATCGTATCAAAGGCAAAGTACAGCTCAGCGGCAGCCCATCAAAGAAGGAGATACATACAAAAGGCGCGCCACACGTAAGAGGGGCAAGTTCATTTTCGACCAGGATGTCGATCAGTAAAGATGGTCAGAGATCAGACAGTATATCGCATACCACCACTTCTCTCTCAGCCAACACTTCAACACTTCCTTTTCGTGCAAATAGCTTAGGTGCTTATGCTGCTTCTTCTTCGTCTTCCTCGGCAGCCTCTTCATCGCCTATTCCTTCTTATAGTAACAATCCTGCTTATACAAACGGAATGGCAAGCACAAGTACGGCAACAAATGGAATACCTATCATGAATGGTACATTACCCTTTCAATTTCGACAACCCTTTCAATCTTCTGCACCACAGCATACCAGCCAACAACAACAGATGCAGCATTTTCTGACAATGGAGCGGTATACAGCAGATTTGACGAATTGCATCATTGCTTTCCTTACTCCAATCTTACCAACAGAAGAGGAATATCGGATAAAAGAGGCAACAAGACGGCAGCTGGAACGTTTGACAGGCAAAGTTAGCCCGGGCGCAAAACTGTTGGCGTTTGGAAGTATGGCAAACGGATTTGCATTGAAGAATTCGGATATGGACCTTTGTTGTCTCTTGGCAAGTGATGCATCGAAGGAGAAGAAAGAGTATGCCATTCATCCAGATGCGTCACGTTTGGTGGAAGAATTGGGTATACTGCTCAGACAAGAAACGGATTACAACGTAATGCCTCTACCGAAAGCTAGGATTCCAATCATCAAAATAAGTAGACCGCCAACAGCAGAACTATCTTACGAGATCTCTTGCGATATAGGGTTCGAGAATCGATTGGCATTAGAAAATACAAGACTTTTATTGAGCTATGCAATGGTAGACCCGCCCAGACTAAGGACGCTTGTTCTCTTTTTGAAAGTCTGGACAAAGAGACGGAAGCTCAACTCGCCTTACACAGGAACGCTTTCCTCTTATGGCTATACGCTAATGATGCTGTTCTTCTTGACTCATGTCAAGAGGCCTGCTGTTCTTCCAAATCTACAAAGGGTTCCACCGCCAGCAGGATCGCAGAGGAAGCCAGAAGATGTCACATTAAATGGACATAACGTGTACTTTTATGACGACGTGGCAAAATTACGCAAGGAGTGGACTTCGTTCAATACCGAGAACGTCGGAGAGCTATTGCTGGACTTCTTCAAGTACTTCTCAAAGGAGTTTGGCTATTCGCGGGATGTGATCAGTATCAGAAATGAGAACGGCGTCATTTCAAAGGATGCAAATGTATGGAATGCAGAGCTTTGCATAGAAGATCCTTTCCAATCTGGCTACAATGTAGCACGTACAGTTACAAAGGATGGGCTTTACACGATTAGAGGCGAATTCATGAGAGCATATCGCATTTTGACCACACGTGTGGATCGTGTTTCGGTTGCTCTCGCCGAATTATGCGAAAAACGTGAAGACGGTCTGACAAGAGCGCCCGATCCTTCGCAGTACTATCGTCAAAGGCCGACATTCTTACCTCCTGTGATGAATCCAGCTTTGTATTTGCCATCGGGTGGATTTGATCCACGCTATCTTCGCGATGTGACTAGAAGATTTGAGGCTGGGTCTCTATTGAACGGATATGGCGGTAGCTTTGCCTTTGAGGAGATGGCACGCGGATTGGCGCAAGTACAGCATGGAGGAAGTGCCGTTGCTTATCCTCCAACGGCAGCAATGCTGGCGCCTTTGTCACAAAATGTTGGATTAAGTCCAAGGCAACATGTGATGCGTGCCGGGTTAAGGTATGATACGCCAAAGAAGGGACAATCGTCTGCCAACCCTCCTACTACGCAGAATAAAGAAAATGTTGCCGGAAGTTCAAATCAAGCTTCCCTCAATTCGCAGCAATCGAGAAGAGGATCCGAAAGCAGCACAACTGAATCGGATTCGCAACGGCAAACGTCAAGGGTGAAAAAGACCCCCAACAATCCGACTCCGAATGAACGCATCTCGGTAAGGAAAACTTCCCACTCCTCAAATGTAGAAGCGGACAAAGTAGCTTCATCGTCTCTTCAAGATGATGGTGTGCGTGATAATCGATTGGCGACTATCAAATCATCTTCGGTTCCCCGGGTTCCTTCATCGGCCCGAAGTGATGATGGAGGAGCATCATCGTATGAACGGAGAAAGATCAAGCAAAGATGGAATCTTCCTTTTGATCCCCGAACAGGATCTTCGAATGAGGCTTTGGGTATTTCGACCTCGACGGGAAACAGTAGTGGGAATGTATCAGCACGTACGAGTCCGAGATCGACCAGTGCGACAGCAAGGCCGTTGTTGCACCCAAGTTCAGCCATTTCTGGGCACAATGGATCGTATGGCATAGGTGAAGCATTTGCTTACGGAACTGAGATCAGCTTTGGAAGTCAAAAGTTTCAACTGCATCCGCAATCGCCGAAACAAAGGTCGACGCAAGAAACTGACGTCGATGGAGATCGTACAAGTGTATCGGCTAATACGTTGGATGACGATACCACTCCGAATTCCATTTTGGAAGAATCTTCAAGGGGCGGAGATGATCAGCAATCGGATGGTGAACCTGCAGATAGCGATGTTGCACCTTTTGATGATGATAGCGATGATAGGATTGTAGCGTCTGCTGCTGCTACAACGACGGCCACCACAACGACAGAAGTGGATGATTGCGTAGAGCTAAGGTTGCAACATATGAACGGAGTTCAACCTACGATACGATCAGAAGAAATGCGAGATTTGCACGTTGGAAAAGAACATGATGTTCGTTCTTGGGCAGCTTCTCAGAGAGAGCAACTCGATCAGCAAAGGGGTGAGGATTAGGTGTACAGGATGTGCGTATAACACAGGGGACAAATATATATATTCAGGAGGGGGAGAATAATTAACATAAATACAATCTTGTACTATGACATGTGTCTTTTGTAAAAGTCACACTTTGCTTTCTGCACAGCTTTATGCTCAAACTGTGCTCAAATTACATCATTTCACACAATCCATATCCAATTGACCTTCTTCCTGTTTCTCATCATGACTGAGAAGAGTTGTCGAACTCTGTTTCTCGTCTGGTTTGAGTGTCATCTCAATAATGTGACAAGGAATAGGAATGTTCCATTGAAATGGATCTGCATCTTTCAGAAATTCGTCAATAAGATCATCTTTCGTTACTAATGGAGGTGGAGGAGGAAAACGGGGACGAGCTCGTTGAGGAGACTCTGCGGATTGATAAAAGCTTCTGCTCATATTTCTTGGCCTTGATTGAAAATTGTTGAAATTATAATAGCCACGTGAAGGTGTCGAGAATGGCATAACAAATGGCAAGAACGTTTTCCCATCCATTGGAAAACGTTGATGATATACATTGTGTGATTCTAATTGAGGATATCTTTCCGCAAGATCGGAAGCGCTGCCTACGTGAAATCCATCCATGCTTTGACTGATAGATCTGACTTTTGGCGGGTTGAGTTGTTTCACTCTGACGAATGAGATTGTTTTGCTATGTGTTTCTTTGACCTTTTGTCGAGACTGTTGATTGAAAGTCATCAAGCGACGTTTGTCTTTCTCATCCATTGCCACCCGTGCGTGTTTTCGTGATACCGTCGTTGTATCCTCACCGTCATCGTTAGGTCTTTTGTGTGGATTTGCAATGCTCACACGTGAATTCTCGTTGGAAATGTCGGAATGTGAATGCACAACTTCTTTCTCATGGGTTTCATCCTGATCACTTTGCGTGAAAAGGGTAAAGAAAGATTGTATGGTGCTTGAAAGATGTCCGAGCTGCATAATAACTTACCTGAAAATAAATGCTTGTGTTAGTTGATCATGGAGGGAGGAAAGAAGACAGATGATAACGGAAAGATGCAAACAAACAACGCCATCATGACATTCAAGAGCCTTTCAAGTCAGGGATGATCTATTGATTGCAATCATGCATACTTTTCATGTTTCCACATTTGAGAGAGGATATTTCACCGTGATGGGACTTGTCTGTTGTTGAATTGTCTATTTTCACGTGATTCTCCAGTTTTGATTGGATTTCAACCCTGTCAGCACCGCGACGCGCTTTTATGTGAGTGTTACTTTACGCGATAACTCAGCAACGCGTTTCTTTTGATCCTGAATTTGATGGAAAGTGTTGTTGTTCAAAGTTGAAGTTATGAATAGAGTCTTTCTTCGTGCATTAAAGTTGAACAGATCAACAAGTCTTCTTTCTGTGCAACATCAACGATCATCCATCTTGCCGAATTACTCAAGACACATTCATCATACCTCGCCATTAAAGATGCCAGAAGCTAACGTAAACGGATCATCATCATCATCATCAACCGGGCAACCAAGATTCTTGGTAAGCTTGGATGCTGATCATCCTCATGCCAAAGCACCAACAAGAGGTAGTGCCTTAGCTGCAGGTTATGATTTGTATGCTTCACAAAACGTAATCATTCCAAAAGGCGGAAGACTCGTCGTTCCTACTGGCATTCGCGTTGCCATTCCTGAAGGTTCTTATGGACGTGTTGCACCACGTTCAGGTTTGGGTGAGTACAAGTATTAAAGCGAAACAGTGCAGTCAACTAACTTCAACCACTTTTCTCTCAGCCTCTAAACATGGAATCGATTGTGGTGCAGGCGTGATCGATGCAGATTATCGTGGTCTTTTGGGTGTTTTGTTGTTCAACTTTGGCGATTCAGATTTTTCCATCAAAATTGGTGATCGAATCGCACAATTGATTTTAGAACAAATCTTTACACCTCAAGTTGAAACTGTTGAAAGTCTTACCGAAACTGTACGCGGTGATGGCGGTTTCGGTTCTACTGGCGGCTTTTCCGATCCAGTCATCAAATCGAAATCATGCTCGATTGTATAAATACAGAGTCACGCATCAATGTACATTTATCTCTTCATATCAGCCCATAGCGAACGAGCGAGCGATAGAATAGTATCAAGACAGCCAAAGTAGAGAGATATGGATGAGTATCGAATTCATTTATAGGTGGTGGACATCAGTAAGTAACAAGCATCTCATCAAGCGATCCATCTGAATCGTGCTTCAAACGAGATCAACTCTGCCTCAATGCCGCTCAATGGATGTTCCTCATCCTTGAACGACAGCATTCGAGCATCCAATTTGCCTTTAGCTGGATTAGACTTTGCTCTTTCTTGCCTAATACGTGATTGCAAGGCATGATAAACAACCTTTGATTGTGAAGGTGCCACTCTTTGATCCGATAGACCAACAAGCAATAAGACGGGTACTTGAATCTTATCAATATAAGCAAACGGTGAGGCATCCCACAATTTCTTGAATTGTTCAGGTGTGATACATTGCGGAGGATTGGAAAAGTTGAACGAATGTCCAAATTCGGCATAGAACCAATCGGGAATGTCATTCGTACCTTCCATCAGCTGTACTGCTGTGACTGGATTTCTTGCTACTGTTGCTTGATAAAAGGTTGGGTATTGTCCTACAAGGTGTAACGAAAGGAAGCCTCCATGTGAACCACCATCCACGTAAACCCGATCAGAATCAAGCTTGAGACCTTCCTGAATCTGGCTTGCATTGTTCAACAGATACTCTACAGCAGAATGACAGTCTTTCACATCCAAATCACCGCAATTACCGATCAAAGATTCGACAAAACGTTGTCCCCGTCCAAGGGATCCGTGATAGTTGGGTTGCAAGATTGAGTCTGATAAAGTGAGAAGAGAGGTCAGCATTCTGTACGGGAAAATTGTATTCTAATAAAGTGCACTCACAACCGGATAGACAAATAGCAGCCAAAGCCGGGCTAAAAGCTGTGAGTGATGTGCCATGAGGACCACCATGAAGCTCCAAAAGCACCGGCAATGGTTTGTCAGAGACGGGAGGCGAAAGTAGGATAGCCTCAATCGATTGATCGTTCACGTCATCTTTCACGCCAGTTGTGGGAATCGGGATAATCTTTGCCAGAACGCTCTGTTTCAGATCACGGATGGGCTTCTCATCTTGCCATGCTTCATCCATCGACTTGATTAAGCCCCATTCCGCATGAAGTCGTCCTCCTTTTTCGTAAAGATGGCCAAGCAATATCTGTTGTGGACAGGTCGGACTCGATCTAACGGCAATCAGAAGATCGTTCCCATTTGTGCAAAGAAGGTTGTAATTCCATGGTTGGTCCGCTTGCGAGGCTTCATTGGTGATAGATACCCCCAAAGGCGTGACTTCAATTGGTGCGCCATCTTGACCCACCCTATGAACAACAATAGTCTGACGTGATCCCCAAATTGTCGTAATGGCGATTGCATCGAGCTTAGACAGCGAACAGCTTCTGGTCAAGGTCGTATCAGTAAAAATACCGGGGAAAGCTGTCTGCGATTTTGGCACGTCAACCTCATCGATCTCACAAGCAATTTGACTCTTTCCATCAGACGGATTTACGGAATAGATCATATCACTTCCATTGTGAGGTCCACCGGAGCGACATTCGATCCATACGCATTTGTCTTTCGAAGCAACAGCTGGAGCTCTACCGCTGTATCCTTCACGAGACAGTCGACGCCAATCCTGCGGTTTCCATACTGAAGCATCTTTGATGGTAGAGCTATTGCTGGTTTCATCATTCTCTTCGGCAGAGTCTTTCTTTTGCGCTCCACTAGCATTTCCATCGATGCAGTATACGATTGAAGGTCTATTCGGACAGGCACCTAGGCCGAGTCTTCGTCCGTCGATGAGGGCAGGATAGGCTGTCAAAAGAATCTGCTGACCATCTGAACTGAAAATAGCCTGTGAGAGGATCGGATCTCGAATCGAGTCCCTTTGTTCGACAGAGCTAGGATCAATGCAGTACAGTTGTGCTGGGTGTCCATTATCCGTTGCAAGATTGAACTTCAGCTGAAATACCTTTGGGTAATACTTTCCGATGTAGGCAGAACCAAGCTGCGGCCGATACTCATAGCTTTCTAAGCCATCAGAATCACCTCCTTTGGGTCTTTTGCCTAGGTCAGTCTCTTTTGGACGTTCCTTCTCTTCTGCAGTGTAGAGCACACGGTCTTCATAAAGCGAGAAAGAGCCATAAATGTCTGTTGTAGGGTGAAAGATTATCGTCAGCTTTGTGGTTTCTTCAACATATGCACGCCATAACAAGCTTACCATCAGTATAAAAGGGTCCATGTGCTTCTGTGACGTTGACGCTCTTTAGCATCCTTTCTTGCTGCCACAGCTCCACAGATCTCTGATCCTGACCTTTATCGTTCTTTGTCTGACGTAAGATGACAGTGCGAGCTTTTGTACTATCTTGTGATCCTTTGCCGTACAAAGGATGCGAAGAGAAGATAGCTTTGATCGGATCTGCATTTGAGTCAATGTTTGAGCCAGCACTGATCCAATGTGTTTCGGAGAGCTTTTCCGGATCTGAGCTCTGTTTCACTGTTACATGTGGTCTACTTGTCGTACGTGAATTGGTTGCATATGAACGGGCTGAAGTATTTGTTCTGACAAGGTATCGATCATCACTTTCCTGGATAAATTCAGCAGATTTGATCGTTGGGATTTCTGCCAAAAGCTTGAAAGCAGACACAACGTCTTGCAATTTGGGATACTTGTCAGAAGATTGTGTCATTTTGTCTTTTGTCTGTTGTGATTGAATAGAAGAAGAGGAGCAGCTTGCAACTCAGCTTGGTTCTTCTTTCCTTAGCGTTTAATGCAGCTAACTTTAATTCGCTCAAGCAGTGTGCGTGTGCCGGCGAGAACAACACTTATCAAAGCACACGCGTAATTGATAGAATGTTAAGCGCGGGGTAAAGTCCGATCTAAACGGCTGAAGAATCTGGCTTACGTGAAGGCAATCATTTCCAAGCCTACGCGTTCAGCACAGACGAATTAAGCACACACGCTTAAAGGTCAAATGTTCTAAAGTGGAGAAACAAGCAAGTATGCACAATGGTAATCAAGTGTTTGCATGGTGATAGCATCCCATCATCATCTAATACGCCCGAACAAGCAATGTCGGGATTTAATAACAATAATCAAGGAAGTCAGTATGGCGGCTTTGGCGGGAATGATGGTTCAAATTCAGGTACATCAATGAATGGTGGTGGTGGTGCTCCTACCTCTCCTTCCAGAGACAGTCAAGGCTTACCAAAAGGCGCACTTGCCAATATGACTGAACGTGAACGTCAAGCCTTAATTGCAGTTCGTGACAAAGTTACAATCATGCGAAGAGTAGGAGCGGTTGGAGGCGCTGCTGCTACGTATGCCTTACTAAGAAGACGCAAACCCGCTCCAGGTTTTGGAGCAACAATTGGATTCACAATCTTGGGAAGTATTGCTGGTGGTGGTCTACTGATGCCTGCAGGTGTGATGTGGGGAAAGGCGGACATGCAAAATGTAGAAGATCCTTCGCATTTTGCTCGTGTTCTTCAGGGTGCTGCTGATGAACGTCAAGGAAGAATTGCACCGGGTACAGCACAAAATGGAATGGGAAATGCTGGACCAGTTCAAGCAAACCGTCCTCAACAATTCGGACAGCAAGGCGGATCGAATGGATCATCTTATCCCAACTTCCCGCCCCCATCTCAATCAACAAGAAGGACACCTCAACCGTCGTCCTCCAACAATCAATCCAATCAATGGGGTGATGATTCATTCGATGAATCCGCTTTGTATGGATCGCAATCTCAGTCAACATCCTTCCCCTCCAGCTCCGGACAATCTTTCGATAATGCAACCTCACAACCTTCCTCATCTCCTGCCGAACCTCAGCAGCCACAAACTTCCAGATGGGCACAAATACGCGGAGATCGAAGTGAACAACCTAGCAGTTGGGAGCGATTGCGACAACAAAATGCTCGTGAAGCATATGAGAAGCGTAATGGAGGAGCCGGACAAGAGAAAGAGATGAATGATGTAGGCTCACGATATGGCGCACGTTCAAATATGGGATCTTCTACCGGTTCACTTGCAGATCCAACTTTTGGCAAAGGTTCAAGCTCAAACAGAGCACAGGCACAACGTGAATTCGAAGCAAGTTTTGATCGTGAACGTCGTGGAATCGATGGATAGGCTGTAGGTTATATCATGTATAAGGTTGCTGCAAATGTCAAAATACGAATTAAGGAACAGAATGGCACCGTTTGAATTGCGTGAAGTCATGCGATTCGCGATTCGTAAGATATAATTGAGAGTGAACGCTTTTGTTTGCATCCGATGTAGTAGAAAGATGTGTGCTCTCCTCATAAGACAAAAATGAGCTCTCTTCCTCTGAAATATTGGAAGAAGCTTCTGTGACTTTATTGAGTTTGATCGCTGGATGGTAGAATGGTAACAGCCAACTTGGCTTGGCTAGGATCTTAGCCCTTTTGTAGTTCAATTCTTTCTTGCTGATATCTTTGAAATCATCGAGACTGGAGGAAGTCCTGTAGCGACTGGCTTGATTATCTGTTGTCGAGGAAGTATTCAAACTTTGTCTCTCCTTTGAGTGTTTTTGATGAGGATGTAGTGTTTGCCATTTATGTAGCAAGTTTCGCTGTGCTCGCATATGATGAGTCAAAGGGATGGGTATGAGAGCATCCCTTTTGGCTCGCAATGGCAAGTGTCTTAAGATTTGTGTCAGTATCATCCCTCTCTTGTCTATGAAACTGTACCTACTTCTTACCGCCAGTCCAATTGATCGGCATGCTGTAATCTGCTTCATGTTGGAGTTTTTATAACAAGAGATGATCCATAGCTATTAGGGAATGCATTATAGATTGATCACCATTATGCCCGTATGATGACCAATGGATGGGTTGGGTATCCCACATATGACCGTGAGGTCGAAAGGACTTTAAATGCACAATGCATGAATGCGCACGTGATGTGTTCTCTCAATGCTTGCCTGTGTTTGCCAGTTCAATTTTTCTCTCTGCGTAGACACGTGTTTTTGCTGCGGGCTCAGAGTATTGCTCGATACACTGCTCTAATGCGGTCCCCTTAGTCGCGCTGCGCAGCCTATTGAGCAAATCAATGGTTTGCCTGGCATCTGCCCTGTGTTCAGCTGTTATGCCGCTTAATCTTCCTTCTTAAAAGGCTTATCGCGTGCGTGCACACATTCAAGCCCGCCAAACAGTACTGTAGGAAATTCTTATAGTCTTGCGGGTAACAGTTGTGTCTACAGCCTTGCTAATCATTCAAAAATCTCCAATTCATTCCTATACGACCACCGTCATCATCAACCGTCAATATGGGTATTACTCGTGATTCGCGCCACAAGCGCTCCCTATCCGGTGCTCGTCCAAAGGATTACAAGAAAAAGCGTGCTCATGAGAAAGGTCGTCAAGCCGCAAACACACGTATCGGTCCTAAACGTATTCATACCGTTCGTGTTCGTGGTGGTAACCTAAAGTTCCGTGCTCTTCGTTTGGAAAGGTGAGCATCGTTTGATATGAGGGAAGAGAGAGAATGGATGAGAGATACACAGATGGTTGGAGGTGGGGATTGTGAGATGAGAGAATCGATTGAAGGGAAGAGTAAAAGCACGATCCAACATTCGACAATTGATGGAAGGATACAATCGTGAGACAGATCGACTTGCGACATTGTTCGTCTCTACGCAGACAGCCTCCAACAGCGAACACCTTTGCATCGACACACCATCGCTCTCATCCATCTCGATCATCTTCAAAACTTTTCACCCTTTCACTGAATACTGACCCTACTTCCCTCCCCTCCATCACTACAGCGGTAACTTTGCATGGGGTTCAGAACACATCACCGCCAAGACCCGTATCTTGGGTGTCGTTTTCAACGCCTCCAATAACGAATTGGTGCGAACAAACACATTGGTCAAAGCTGCAGTGATCCAAGTGGATGCCACACCTTTCCGTATCGCCTACGAAAAGCACTACGGTAAGCCAGTCACCAGCAAACGTCGTGCTGCCGGTCAAGGTGCTGCTGAAGAAGTTGCAGACGCCAAGAAGAGCAAGCACGTTGAAAAGAAGTTGGAAGGACGTCAAAAGGATGCCGCCTTGGACCCATTGGTTGAACAACAATTCGGTTCAGGTCGTTTGTACGCCGTCATTAGCTCAAGACCAGGACAATCCGGTCGTGCTGACGGTTACATCCTTGAAGGTGCTGAATTGGAACACTACGTTCGTCGTCTTCGTCAACGTGGTGCTGCTAAGCACGGTTAAAATGTTTCTCGAACGTTTTATCTGTACCTTTTTTGCACCATGTCCATTCCGCATTCACACACACACATACATCACGCATTCACATAAACCACACAATTTGTATTCAGTTTGAGCATGACTCTTCATGTTTCACTCAAAACGGTCACATAGACCAAACTCGACAATCTATGTCTGATTATGATCAATTGGGAGGAAGCTTTGTGAAGCGTGAGAAATGATATTGTACATGAGGTGATGATTCTGTTTGAGATTGGTTTAGCGTTACAAAGGTGATCGTACAAGTGCGCAATCGTTGTCGTGGTGATTTGTTGTGTTGTCGTCATTTACGAATAGACATCTCATTCTTCTGTACAACGCCATTCAGTGAAACATACCGTTGTAGTTGTTGCTAACCGGAGGGACAAAAGACGTATTACGGACGTTTGGAGCAGGATGGTAGAAAGTTTGACCTTGTCTTCTTTCAAGTAGTTCCACGATTTGCTGCAACCTTCGCTCCTCTGCATGGGCTGCTTCTGGCGTCAAATCCGGTTTGATGCCTTGCAAAATATCATTACTGACGTTAATTAGCTGGAATGCTGGCTCAACTTTACCTTGCTTTGCCAAATCGTACGCCACTTCGCGAGCCTTTTGCTGAAAGTAGATCAATTCTACTGTAGGCCAAGGTGGATTTGCGACAAGGCCATCATCTCCCAATAGAGGAAGCATCATATCTCCCAGTAATTCGATAATCTCATGGTACACCATAGTTTGCATACGTTTGTAATGCTTTAATTGCTTTTCCAAAAGGTGTCTCAACCACTCGGCTACCTCATTGGCCGGATAGCTACCATGCGTTCGTGCCTGATCTTTGTAGAAATTGATCAATTTCTTGACAGCCGCTTTCAACAGGAATGGTTCTGTTCTGGGGTGCTGCACAAGTACTCTGGCCACTTCATCCGTTGCTCGATGATCAAGAGAGACCTCTTCACTTTCCAAAATACTCTTGACGTCTTGATCTTTTTGCAATTCCAGCAAAATCTCTACTTTGATCGACAAGACAGCAAGCTTGTCATTCTCTCTAGCCTCATTGTACTGTCCCGCTGCAATTGAGTGGAATAGATCTCTTTCGCACTTTGTCACTCGCTTCCAGGCCTCCTGCAAGCTTTGTACCGTTTCAGCTGTTTCTCTTGCTGTGCTGATTAATTTCTTGAATTCCAACAAAGATCGGAAGCCAGCATAGAAGCGCAAAAGATGAATTTGCGGTTGGCAAGGCTCTTCAAAAGCCTCACGATAGTCAGCAATTTGTACGATAGTGCGATCCAAGCTATCAATCATGTGTGGATGAAGCTTGTTTTCGGAATCGATTGCAAGCTTGTACAGTGTACCAATGATCCAATCCGCTTCTTGTGCTTTCTCCTTTGACTGTTTGTCTGCATGAGACGCGGCAAGCAAGATGGTTTCGTAGCGACCAATCAATTTTGACAGTTTATCAAATGTCAATTCCTGCTCCTCTGGGTCACTAGTCCTTTGCAAAAGGTCGATGTACATTGCAACCACGGTTCGAAGTAGCCTAATATTATTCAAATCGTGATCAGTATCTGGACAAATTTCCAAGAACATCACCATTGCTCTGGATTGAAGGCTTGTCATGCCTTGTGCAAAAGCCTCTGACACGATCCAAAGCAACACATTTGCGCTCCATTCTCTAGGCTCGAAGCTATCGAGAAGTTTACCTGCATGCAATTCCTTCCTCTGACGGATGAAAGAGATGCATAAGATCAACGAAGCAGGCGGATCGCCCGATGGAAGCTGTTGCAAAATCAATTTGTCGCACTCCGCGTACCTTCCAGCTTGTAAAAGAAGGTATGCTGCCTTTTTGACCGCAACGTAGGCTGTATCCTCCGGCTTTGCGAGAATAGGATGGCTGGCTAAAGCGAGAAGATCGATTGCCTTTTTATGATCATTTGTATTATCATCTTTTGCAGCTTTGAGCAGGGCGTCAAGCCAAGCGTACCCCATTTCTTCGCTCAATTGGACAGGTGGATTGGATTGATCGATTACATCAAAGAACTCTTTCAATTGTGCCGTGCAATCCAATCCTGCTGCCTTCACGGCTACAAAACCTAATTTGCCAATGTGAGTCGCACAACTGACTTTGTCCAATCTTGAATCGAGCATGCATTGGCAAATGTCGCTCACCACGCGAAGGATGTATCCAGAACAATTGTTCGGTTTGCGAAGAAGAGTGCGAAAGAGAATCTTGATGATTGTATCAATATGAGCTCCTTCGAAGTCAAGATCGGACACAAGGTCACGCCATCCTTGCAACATAAGCTCAAGAGGCGCTTTTCGTTCCTCCATCATTGACATGATCAACAGACTTGCCTTTGTTGCTTCGCCCGTCTGGAATGCCTCTTTTGCTTCGTTGACAGCAAGGCGTAGGGTGTCTTCAGCCGCCAATTTGTTTTCATCCTTGCTATTGAGCTTACCCGTGATATACTGAACACGGGAAAGGAGAAATGCGACATCCAGCCTTGATCGGATGTATGCTGGACAATCAGCATATGGCTTCTTTCTAAAGATCATATGCACTCGCTCGAGGAAGATCTTAATTTCTTGTAACTTTGATGCATCTTTAAGCACGTCATTCGCTTTATCTTCTTCGTTTTCCAACACCTTGACGGCAAGTTCGATTGCATATTTAAGAGTAGCTCTTGATACCCATGAATCACTTCTCAGCTTTTGACAGCTGTTCAATGCTTTGTGCATGAAATGGGACATTACAGCCTCATTGCTACCTGCGCTAAGCTGGAAGCGAGCCAGACGATATGCGCATACAGCCTCGAAAACGGAGTCCTTGTAGTCATCGTCAAATACTCCGGCATCCGTATCGATCTTTTCCAGAGGTTCAGCGCATTCAGCTGCCATTTGAATCATCTCTTCTGCCATGACTCTTTCGTCAGAATTAATGAGATCCATTGCCGTTCGAGCGCATACAGTGACGATTTTTTGAGAAGACTCAACGTCTTCCTTCTCCAGACGGCACATGTTGAGCAGCAAACAAGCTGTGCGACGAAGCATGGCAATTGCTGAGAGAATTTCTTGCTGTGGGCAATCTCCAGCGGCTGCTCTGATGATCAAAGCGCTATTCCACAATCTAGTTCCCAAAGCATCAAGTTGTGCCTTGGTTCCTTCGTCGCGATGACGGTTGTTTTTAGCCATTTCCTCAACGTGCTCCATGATTTCTTCAATGAATTTGCGATTTACCTCATCTGCACAATTTGTGTGCGACATGGCTGACATGGCTTTGTGGACTGAATTGGCCAATTCTGACAAAGTTTGCGTTTGTCTCTCGTTTCGATCGGGTAAATGCGTCTCCCTCTCTTCTTGACCAGATGAATGCACTTGACTGTATGGTTGACCAGATGAATGCATTTGACTGTCTGGCTGACCAGATGATGGCATTGGTGTGGATGATGGACCAATGCTATCGATATCCATGTTGAAAAGAGACGCTTCTTCTTGCGATGGCACTAGATTGGTAGGTGTTGGAGAAGACATCATTCTAGAGCTCAAGGATGATGAATTAGAGACTGTAGAAGATACTTGATGCTTTTTGTATTGTGCCTTTGGTCGCTGCTTTGGGTCTCGATGATTGCCAGAGATTTCTTGATGCTTTTTGTGCTGTGCCTCAGGGCGTTGCTTTGGATCGCGATGATTGCCAGAGATATCTTGATGCTTTTTGTGTTGTGCCTCAGGGCGATGTTTTGGATCGCGATGATCGCTGGAATTACTTGAACTGGTGAAATTAGGAATTTTGAATGGGGCTAATACAGCAGGTGATGAATAGTGATTACTACTCATGGTGTAAACACCGTGAGAGTAACAGTGTGGAAGGTAGTATGGTGGTAGAGAGAAGGCGAATGAATGCAGTCTTGACACAGAACTTTGACTCAGCAGAGACTGAACAGGCTGTCTTCTCTAGGCTGAGCTTTTTCACTGTGAATAACTACGGAAGAACGTTTTGCCTGCGTACAGAGGTTGAAGTTGAGGAGGATATGATTGCACTTCTGTATGTATGCGGTCAAGAATAAACGCTTGGGCCACACGCGCCACCTTTTAGCGGAGAAATCTTAGACGCATTTCTTCTTCCATTTCTAGCCATCTTCTCATCTTGAGGTTGTGTTATGTGTGGTATTTTGCTCCATGCAACGACGACACAAAATGCAGAAAAGGTGAAGAATGGCTTGTCACTCGATGAGCAATCCGATCATGAAAGTCCGAAGCCAATTTGGTGGGACGAAACAGCACAAGTGATCAAAAATCGCGGTCCTGATGCTTGTCAAGAGAGCATTCATCTTGCATCGGAAGGCATTCAGATTCGACTTTGTGCAAGTGTACTGGCTTTGCGTGGCGATCAAGTAGTCAGTCAGCCTCTTTGGACCGATGATGGTCGATATATGTTTCTTTGGAACGGAGAGGTGTTTCATTCTACTTTGCCCGATTTTGATCTAGACAAGCATGACGGAGTGCAAATACTAGAGTGCATACAGGATTTGGTACGAAAGGGAAAGGTACTTGCGACCGCCTTTGCTTCCGTTCTTGGCTCAATAGAAGGTCCATATGCAGCGGTGTTAATTGACACAACCACAGGCTCAATGTGCTTTGCAAGAGATCCAATTGGTAGACGCTCTCTGCTGATGATCCGATCAGACAACGAGATCGTACTGGCTTCTGCTGCCTCCCGGTCGCTCTTGACCATGTATCCTGGATTAACAGAATTGGACTGCAGCTCAATATGGCAGGTACGTCCGGACACGAAGTTCGTTCCTCAACCTGTCCCTAGAATGTTGACCGGTGGTGAAGGTACCATCCTACGTGAATTGCGGATAAAGGCTCCTGACGGCGCCTTGGAGGAAGTCTCTCTAGATGATGTCGTGGACAGGTTCGGGAAAGTGCTTTCGGAAAGTGTACGACAACGTGTCCAGCATTTACGATATCATGGTTCGAGCTCCGTAGCACAAATTGCTGTGTTGTTCTCTGGTGGTTTGGATTGCTGTACGATTGCTCTTTTAGCACATCAACATCTTCCCGAACATCAACCTATTGATCTTCTCAATGTTGCTTTCCAGAATCCAAGAGTGTTGGCAGCCGGTGGAGTTAGAACTCCATACGATGTCCCCGATCGTGTGACCGGCAAGCAGAGCTTTCAAGAGCTACAACGTGTTGCTCCAACCCGTCATTGGAGATTCGTGGAAGTGGATGTCCCCTTTGAGGAGTATGTTCTGAGCAGAAACACGATCGAAACGCTTATGACTCCATGCACAAGTGTGATGGACTTGAGTATCGCATCAGCTCTGTATTTTGCCTCTAGAGCAAAGTCGGAAACCTATCATAGTACTGCAAAAGTCTTGCTTTCTGGTCTAGGTGCCGATGAGCTATTAGGTGGATATTCACGTCATCGACAGGCATGGGAACGAGGTGGTGTGGACAAATTAGTGCAGGAGCTACAAATGGATTTGAGTCGTTTGCCCACACGCAATCTAGGCCGAGATGATCGGATCATCTCACAAAATGGCAAAGAATCGCGATATCCATTTTTGGATTGTGAAGTGATTCGATTTTTGGCAGATTTACCTGTTCAAGATAAGATGGACTTTTCACATGAACCAGGTAAAGGCGATAAAATGATTTTACGTCAATTAGCCAACCGATTAGGACTCCATCAAACAAGTTTATTGACCAAGAGAGCGATTCAATTTGGCGCACGAAGCGCAAAAATGGAAGTCGGTGATGGTCGAATCAAAGGACATGAGAAGTTAACGAGATAGCAATGCCAAATTATAGACCTTTCATACACATTGTACCAATATACCGCTAATTGTATTCTATTCATGCCTGAAAAACCAAATCTTGCTCACGAAGTTTTCTTTTTCAAAATGAATTTGACATTGAGGTAATCAGGTAAGCTTCGTACATCTGTCAAAATGATCACTTTCCACTTTGTGTGCGCCACCACCAAGGATCATTTACTGAAGTTTGCTGAATACTCTGGGTGCCGAACATTCGGATGCACAATGTGCTAAATGGAAGAATTCTTCGACGCAGTTTTCGTCCTTGAAACCGTTACCGGATTCTACACGTTCTTGGCATTCCATAAAGTGATGTTTGGCGGGTGCACATCCTTTTGAGTTTTCGCATTCTGTGTGAGGGTAGAGGGGTTGTTAGTTCAGCCGGAAACGTCCTCGTGTTGTGTGAGGTTTACTCACCTTCATAGATTGCAGGCATTTCATCTTCTGGTTCATCATCCTCGTCTTCTTCTTCGTCGTCTCCTCCCTCCTCTTTCTCTTCATCATCACCACCTTCTTCTTTGCTATCATCTCCCTCTTCCTTTCCTTCTCCTTCTTCTTCTCCTCCTTCATCTTCCCCCTCATCAGCATGTGCGGTTGCGAACATAGATGAGAAAGCCGAAGAAAAGCTGTCGAATATCGAAGCACTGGCAACAGCACTTCCGCTGCTTTGAGCCTCTGTGCAAGACGACATTGTTGCTGTATGTGAGTTGTGTGAGACTTGTGTGTATGACGAGTATGTGTAAGAGAGAGAGAAGAAGGATTGCTCGATTGTATTTCCAATGATGAGAAGATTTCCCTACGCCTGCCCGGTTTAGTGTGTGTCTCTCTCCGTTACTTCAAGCTTATTGGCGCTGTAACCTGCCTACGCCTCGGAATTTTGGGTAAGCTGAACAACCACACAGGCAGCAGCCATTAAACGACGAATCATGCCAGAGTACAAGCAACTTCAGCCCTGCTCTTGCCTTCTTATACGCGCACGCAACCAAATTTTCCCGATTCAATTTGAACAAGCACGTGTGCATTGTCCTTCTGGTCTGCTTATGTGATACAGCAGTTACTTTCCGGCTTTTGCCTTCGTTATCTTTTAACTATGAATAGACTATTGCCGTGTTTAGCGCCTAAAGATGATGATCCTCCGCATTCATTCACGCTTGCATACATTAACGTACTCCACTACAACACCAAGATAAGAATCGAAAGGATGTTGATTCGCAACCATCACAACAACTACTACTCAAAATGGCACCAAAAGCATTGATCTTGATCGCACAGGGAACAGAGGAGATGGAGGTAAGTGCTGCGAGGCAGGTCTGCAAGGCAGTGACCGTCATTCTAATCTTAATTAGCATTCATACTTACACCATTACTCATTCATCCACCCCTGCAGTTCACCATCACTTACGATGTCCTTGTTCGTGGTGGAATCGAAGTTCAATCTGCGTTTGTTGGCTCTTCAGCAAGTGCACAAAACAGTCAAGATCCACATGGAAGTGAATATGTGACATGCTCCCGTGGAGTGAAAATCGTTCCCGATTTACGGTTACCCGACCTTGCCGGCGGCAAAGCGTTGGAAGAATATGATGCAATAATCGTTCCAGGCGGTGTAAAGGGAGCAGAGACAATCAGCCAGAATGATGATGTTGCCAAACTTTTGAGCGCATTTGCAGCAAAAGGTAAAGTTGTTGCCGCAATTTGTGCTGGTTCTTTAGCTATCAAATCGGCTGGGATTGGAAAGGATAACGCAATCACAAGTCATCCATCAGTCAAAGCAGAATTGGAAAAAGATTATCACTACAAAGATGATCGTGTGGTTATTGCAGATAAGCTCATCACTTCTCGTGGTCCAGGAACTGCTTTCGAATTCGCACTAGCGATCGTAGAAGCATTGGCAGGAAAGGAAAAGCGAGTAGAGATTACCGATCCAATCATCTTGCACCCTGCGCAGATTCAACACGATCAAGAATAGTCACAACTCATAGACAAAACCTCATGGTTGAATTTAATGAAAAATTGTATAGATGTACATGAAAAAGGTCGTACTTCATTATTGACATGATCTTTTTGTTTGGCCCTTTTTTAGCCTTCTTTGGCATATTTGCTCGCCTTTCGTAGGGCGGGACCGAGTTTGAAAAGGAGGAATGGTGCTGGGATGCCCACAGCTGCTGAGATGAAAGCTAGGACTGTATTTCCCCATCCATATCCAAGTTTCGCATACATCGTCGGTCCAGCCAACGGTAGTGCGAAACCTGCTAAACTTCGTAAGAAGACAAGAGCGGCCAGGGCACTTGCAGAAATTAAACCAAAGCTGTCAACAGCATAATTTTGAATACATTGAAAGTTTGTTAGCATTCCGATTGCTAGTAAAACAGCACCAATGTTTGGAACGATCCAATGAACGGCATATTGTGCACTCCAACCGTAAATGATCAAACCGGCTGGTAAACACCAACAAGTTGCCATCATTACGGGTAATTTGAATTCCGGAATTCCTTTTCCTCCGTTTTTCTCTCGTAATTTTTTGTAAAATCGATCGATCATTCGACCACCAATTTGACCTCCGCAAGTGAAACCTAAAGCAAGACTGATATAATTCAAACTTGCGATACCCGTCGATTCGTGATAAACCGTTCTAAAAACGCTTTCGAAAGTTGTCAAGACCAAATACATGGTACCGTACATGATCATCATATACAACGATAAAATGATAATGATTGGTTGTGTGGTAATCATGATAAAAGGTCTGATCATATTATGTTCTAATCTTGTGATAAACGTTGTTCCTTTTCTATCAAAGATTGTGTGTAATTTTGGATTTCCTGTTTCTTTTCTTAGTTTACGTGCTTTGATGGCTAATATTCTTGGTGCATACGTTTCGGGAAGGATCATCACTCCAATTGCCGCCGTCACTCCTGCGGCAATGCAAGCGATTCCAAAGATCCATCTCCAATTTCCTGTTCTTTCAACAACCCAGCCTCCAATGATGGGGCCGATGGCAGGTCCAAGCAAAGGTCCCAAACTGTAAACCTGAAAAAAGGGAGAAGAAGCGGGATAAGGTCAGTACAACGGTTTCAGCATTAACGCCACCGTTCCTTCTCAGATTACTTACAGACATAGCCGTTCCACGTTCATCGGGAGCCATCAAATCTGAAACTGTTCCTCCTCCAATGGATAGTGGCGCACTTCCACCCAAACCGGCAAAGAAACGAAAGATGGATAATTGAATACGATTTTGAGCAACAGCACAAGCGACTGTAAAAGCGATAAAGAAAAGATTTGAAATTTGTAAAACTAATCGTCTTCCAAACATTTCCGAAAGTGGACCTAAAAGCATTGGTCCTATTGCATAAGCCAAAACGAAGACTGATAACATTAAAGATTCTTCAACGGTTGAAGTAATGTTAAATTGTTGACTTATAAGTGGCAATGCAGGTGCGATCATTGAAGATGACAATGGACTTAAGAATGTATAGGAAGATACGATTGCGATAACAGCCCACCGTCTATGCAGCGTCCAATTTCTTGGATTTTCCATTGACTCCGGCGAATCCCAAGTGACCAAGTCGTCATCGTGATGTTCTTCTTCCCCGTCATCTTTTTCGTCCACTTTTCCTTTCTCTAAATGACTGGAATCGTTTGTGCTTTGTTCTCCATCAGAGTGGGGTGATTGTTGACCGACTCTATCGCCTTCATATGTTTCTAGAACTGATTCACCGCTATGTCCACTTTGCACATCAGCCAAAATTTCTTGATCTTCTGCTCTTTGTAATCTATCACGCTTTTCATACTCTCCCAATCCTTCTTTTGATTGTTGTTTGGTGGATATTCTTGAGTCACTATGATGTAAATGCGGATAATCTTCATGTCTTGAACGTGAATGACCTCCAAATTCGCCATCTACAGAACGTGTTTCTGCATCATACACCTCTAAATGACTTGCTGTTCTCGAGAGGGATAACGATCCACGACTGTTTGGTCTTCTATGTGATGATTTTCGTGTCGTTGGGTTAGTGGATGTTGATGCTGGATGATAAGTGGGCGATTTGAATGGCGTATTTGCCACTTCTTTTTTCCCTTGATCTGCCATGGTTATGTGATGATGGCAATAAAGTGTGAGTGTGTCTGGCCACAGCCTCATGACCTGATTGTCCTTTTATACATACGTCCTCATGACCTGTGTAGCACACCCCTCCAGGGATCATGTACATGCAATTTTCCCGCCTTGTGACCCGCTTACCTTACTTCCATTCGGATTAAACAATTTTATTTCCTTTACCTTATTTCGGAAATGTGAAATTCTTTATGCAAATAATGCCGAATTCGAATAAATACAGTAACCGTTGAACTGATCTGCAGTAGGGAAGGGGTGCCTGCCCGCCCTTCTATTATCCCTACCCCGCCCCCTCTGCCGTTGAATTGTATCTATTCTGATTGATTGTGTTTTCTTCGGTGGAGAAGACTGGTTTATTGCCTTAGTGTGCGGATCTCGTACGTTATAGAATTCGCCGATCTTAGATTGTACGCGCGGTAACGCGTTTCGAATAAAAGAATTAATTTTTCGGATTTGTGAACCCGATTCATCCGAAATGAGAGTTCCTTTAAGGCACAGGATGATTAACACCGTAAACACCATGGAGATAAATAGTAGTGAATAAGTTATATTTTTGTGTGTGTGTGTAAGATACATGAGTAAATGCATGAATGAACGATAGGATACAGCGATGAAAGGAGATTCTGAAGGCAATTCAAATGGATTCCAAAAACATTTTCGGCAACCATTGACGTTCGAAGCGAATTCGTTGGGCGTTTGTGAATTCCAAATGTTCCATAGAAGTATGTGACTGTCTCTTTTCAAGGAAGGTTGTCTTGACAGGTTCATCATCTTCATCATCAGAGAAAGCAGAAAGTAGTCTTTCAAACTGTTCATCTTGTGTATATTGGTACTTGGGTTCATCGCTGCTGTATTCCTCTTCGTTGTCTTCTCCATCGATCGGTAATCCTTCATCTTGTTCAACATCATCGATCCATTGTTCGATTGGTTTGGTGAGAATTAGTTGACGTCTTTTTTCTAGTTTGCGTGCTCGGATCGTGCGACGCAAGGAACGGTTCTCGCTCACTGTTTGATCCCATTCGATGTGTCTGTCAACGGTATGTGTGCTGATGTGTTCATCAAATGTGACTCTTGCTGTCTTCTTGTTGTTGGTTGTGCGCAAGATGCTCTTGAGTGGTTGTTCAGTCTTGCTTGCGATCTTGAGGCAAGATGTCAATTCGTGATTGACTTTGTGGTTTGGTGATCGCGGTGTTGTGTTTTTAATCACTTCACCTTCTTTGCCTTCCAAGACGAATCGAACGTGATGGCATCTGTTTGTATGTCTGTGTTGACGCTTGGCATGAATAGGATGAGCGAAGTTCAATAAGCAATCTTCGTTGGGATCAAGTCTTGCTCCGATTTCAAATCGTACTTTGCGTGTTTTGCTGGGTTCTTCACGGTTGGATGTTGGGATAGCGTGAGAAGAGATTGAGTTTTGAACCGGAACTGTAAGGAAGGCGTAGTCTTGGGTTGGAATTTGATCTTGTGCGAGTGATTGCTCGTCATCATCATACATTGAGACCATGATTGAGATTTCATCATCGTTGACCAAAGTTTCATCGGGTGAGACCTTTTCCATTTCTTCCTCAACCCAAATGGGAGGCAAGTAAGATACGAGCGAAAGTGGTCTTGAACGTGGACTTGTGTTGCCTTCTTTCATTTCTGCGCCTGGCATGCGAGGATCCCACCATGTTTGAATGAAGTAAGGACTTCTGTCCGAGTCGACGTCTTTGTTCAAACTCTTGCTGCTACCCCAACTTGAGAAAAAGCTTGAATGAGTACTTTCATTACTCTTGCGTTGATCGCTGGAGGAGGTTGTAGAACCTTCGGTAGTTTCTTGTTTGCCTTTCCATGAAGGCAAGAGACTGATACCTGAGTCCTTGCGATCTTCTTTGATGTTGTTGTTGTTGGTTGATTGCTCTTTGGAGTTGGACAACTTTTTCAAGTTGGCAAAGAAGTTGGTTGTGCTGCTCATACTGAAAAGTTGAAAAGTTGAGATTGATGAAAAAGCAAAATGCTGAAATTGTTTGAGAAAGAGATAAAAGTTGCTAAGCTCGAATGAGATAGAAGAAGATGTGTTTGTATGAAGTGGGGATGATGAAGAAACATAAAAGTTGATCTCTTTATACTTTCAATCTGGCATTTCGTATGAAAAGTGCGGATAGAATGGATTCAGATAAATTTGCTTTCATTACTGTACATGGACAGTATATTGCAATCGATAAAGCGGAAGTAAACTCAACAACTATTTCACTATTTCCGTTTAAGTGCTTATCTCCCCCAAGTCTTTCGATTTTCAAACTCCTAAGCGAGTAGACAGCTGTCAAATTATCGTGCATGACAATCGTGCATATGACAATTTCATCTCAATACACCGGTCTACTGCATATAATTGATGATGACCAGAATATATTTCTTTTGAAATGTTTCACGGATGTAAACTTTTTTGTGTCACTTTTAATTCATTTACGCGTGAACATTAAGTGTACGCGTAGTGTGCTTGTATGCCTTGGTTTGAATTATATAATACACCTACTGACCTACAACACACACACGGCTAGCGCGTTAGTCCTGCCCTCGTGCCTGCTCCGTGGTGAAGTGGGCGGCGATAAGCACACTGTGCGTGTGTGATGTGATGTTAATGAATACGATTTAACTTCCGTACTCACTTTATGAAACCATCACGACATCTTTGTACTCACATTTACAGCCGCAGTTACCTAATCAGGTAAAGCCTACATTAAAATCCTATCCGCAAGCCTGAAAATTGTGCATCAAGCTGCATCAATTCATCATCTCAAAGGTACAATCTCCGCTGCTGTCTATACACCACACACACACACAAACGCATACACTCTCTCACAATGTTTGGTCGATTTTTTCATTTAATGATCGATGCTGTTATCATCAGTGTCGCTTTGAGCGGTATCAAACGTAGTACTGGCCTAACGCCTGCTATACGTAGATTACCCAACAAAGATTTACGAAATCTTGTTCGAGTGTATTTGGAAACGGGAGAATGGGTGAGTGCAAGAAATGGGGTGATTATGCAAACTGAAGCTGACAGTCCTCTCCCTACCTGTTCAGCTCATGGATCTATCAGTCGTGGTTATGGGAAGATCGAACTACTTTGAACGTATCCGCTAGTGTCCAAAGAACGCCGTCGCAACAACAGCATCTCTCCCTCCCTCTTGATGACCTAGCACGCTCGACTTGTACACTATCACTCTCACGTTCGTCTCGCTTCTCAATGCGGATACTGTATATTTAGCATGGGTATATGAAGTACACTTTCCTACTCAACACTCAAAGGCCAAGTGAGAATGGCCAAAGGAGGTTGTGAGATCGGTTCTGATCCCTCAATCGGACGCAATTCTGCTTCTTTCCAAATTTCACTCCTTCCAACTTCTTTGAAATTTAATCCTTCGAATAAGGTACGCGAAGGAGCATTACTCAAGCCAACTTTGGCAACGAATGCATCTTTGGGTAACGGGAGCGGATACTTTGCTGTGGATTGAGTGGGTGTTTGTGTATTGCATGCGTAATGCATCAACAGCTTCAATGCTTCCTTTCCTAGTCCTTTCCGTCTATGTTCAGGTTCTGTGATGGGATGAGATGGTGTCAGATGTGGAATGTACGCTTTATTCCCTCTTCCTTCACACTCACCTGCTATCATAACCTCCAATTCGGCATCAAGTGGAGCCTCGCCTTCTGTTTCTATATGGCGTTCAGAGACAAATAGATTTACATCACCCGCCATAGAAGAGGTTGTCAATACATTATTTATGTCGTTATCCGATATCCCTATCCGATCCTTCTGCCTTGCTAGTACGATGAATGTGAGCTCTATTGCGCAAAGTTGAATCAGCATACTGTTGCGTACAGTCATCCTCGAAACACTTACTATCATCGTCTGTATGCCATGTCCTCTGCATATCATACTCCTCTTCCAAACTTAATGGCTCTGATGCGGTCTGCTGTTGTATTTGTTCATCTTTCATCCATTCATGATAGGTAAGAACATGCTCTTTTCTGAGAATAGAGGGAAGGTTTCATTAGTGAATATCACAGAAAGAGCCGTCATCTCACTCACCTGTAAGGGATCAAGACCACCTTCTCACCCACTAAGACTGTCGATTCATTGATCCGCATCTCTTTGCCGTGTTTGGCAATCACTTACGCCGAGAACAAGAAGAAAAGACGTCCCTTTTTGTTTTCTTTTCGGATTACCGTCAACAAAAATAATAAAAATAATCCATGCCCGCTAAATTGTTTGGGCGTCGCGTATGTACATACGCATAAAATGGTGTTGTTCTTTTTTTGTTTGTTCGAGCACAGATACGAATGCGTCTTTGCCTTCATGTGCATGGCATTTAAACCGCATGTCCTTGCGAAACGCGTTCCTTCACATATCCTGCCCCGCTTTTCCAATTCCGCACACACACAGACACACGTTTTAAGCAGAGTCAATGCACAGCCGGAGATATGATTATTATTTCTTCTGGCTTTTTGTTTACTTACGGTACCTGTGTGCCGTCAAGTTTTGAAAGAATGATTGAAGTGAATGAATGTGATCCGTGTTACACATCCCGATTACAACTGCATGAGTTGCAGTAGCATACAGCACATACAGCATTTAGCCTCATCTTTAAACATTCTGCTGGAGAAAGTATTCAAGCTCCGTTTTCAAGATGCGGTGATTATTTTCATCATCCTTACCGTCACACGACCATCCAAACAAACTTTTTCGCGCCCCGACTTCCCACCTAAACATAGCCACCTTTTGTCAAGATAGCATTCAAATATGCCTTCTATACCCTGGCATAGGCGTTCACCGGGTTTGGAGGAGGTAACGGCTGATGGTACACCAAAAGGGGCTTCTCTTGCCTCAACGTCAGGGGATAAGAACGGCATTTCCACAAGCCCTTCTCCTCCTCCTCCTCCTGCTCTTCCGTCACAATCACAAGACGAGACTTATGCTACTACAATGGGAAAACAAACAGGATCACATTCAGACAACCTCTCTAGCAAAAATGTTCTGGGAAAACTACGAGTTCAAATATTCGGTGCACATGGTCTAACTGGAAAAGATCGAAATGGATTTTCGGATCCTTTCTTCATCGTAAACTTACCTGGAGCACCTCCAAATGCACGCGATAGACATCATTATCGTCGAACGACGCCCGTTCGTTCTAAAACTTTGGACCCCGAATGGAAAGATGGAGAAGCAACATTTGATTGGGATATCACGCAAGAATGGCTTGCTCCGCTTAATGCTGAAACATCGGATTTCGAGGAAAATGTTGTCGCAATCGATCATGCTTCAAAATCTGGTACACAAACACCAGCTGAACAACCTGTTGCCTCCTCTTCAAATCTGCTGACCATTCCAACAACGGAAACAATCACCCCGGCCAATGCGACTACCTCAGCCGCACCCACAAATCAAAGGCCATCTAATGTACGCAAGATTTCTGCTGCTACTGGCCGTTTATTGATAGCACCCGTACGTATGTCTGCTCGAGGTGCAATGGCAACAGGCCGTGTGGTAAAGCGTGGAGGTAATTCTGTACGCAAGAATGGCAGACCTCGTCCGTTACGATTAGGAAAGAATCAACAAATGCAACATGGACATGCACCTGCCGGTAGTGCAACTCTTGGAAGAGGTGGAAAACTTGAACAACATGCAGTAAGCGCGATCGAGTTTGTTTGTTGGGATAAAGATAAATGGAGCGGGAATGATTATATGGGCGAATGTAGTCTTTTGATCAACGATTGGATTCCTGATGGAAAGACGGCTGATTGGACGCAAAGTGAACCAATCGCTCTTCCACTCGTTTCTACAAGAAGAAACGCAAAAGTTAGCGGTGAGGTCATTGTCAAGATCGGATTTATACCCGCAAGCACTCAGTCTGATTCAGCTGATGAACTGTATGTTCGTTTACTCGAGGCTCATTCTCGAACCGCTGGCTTGGGTATTCGCTCCGTTCCTGCTGATCAATCGGTCGGAACGGCCGGACCTACTGAAGCATTCGTAGATGATGGTCTGAGCAGCGATAGTGAAGAGGAAGAATTGCAGGAAGAGTTACTGTCCGATGACGAAGACAGTCGCAGTGTGTCATCTGATGAAGGCGATACAGCAACAACTGAAACGGATGATCCATATGAGACCGATCAAAGTGCAGCACAAGTTCCGACTCATCCAAAAGTTTTACATCATCATCACCACCACCACCACCATCGCCATCATCACCAACATGGCAAGGAAAGATCCGGCCATACTTCCGATCAGGCGGTACACACCGATTCGGAGGCAGTCAGCTCAACTTCTGCCACGGGAGAAACGCAAAAGAATCGAAGAAGATTCTTGCCCACCTCTTTGCGTAAATCTCGCTCTTATCTTCATCAAGATCCTATGGCTGCCGCCGGTACTGCAACGCCGGGCAGCGGTGCAACAAGCGACGTAGCTGATGAAGGCTCTTTGGGAGATGCATCCCCATCCCCACGACGCAGACGTAGAATGCCAGGCGTTCGTCGTCGCAAGAGAGATGCTTCACAAGCAGATGGGACCACCACCACCACGAAGGTTGGCCGAAAAGAACGCAGAATGAAACGAAGAGAAGAACGTCAAAGGAGACAAGATTTCGCGTTCAAGGCAGAACAAGGTCGTGACATTATTGGAATTGTTCAGCTCGAAGTAAAAGGAGCAAAAGATTTACCTAAATGGAAGAACAGTCTTGGAACTTCGTTTGATATGGATGCTTTTGTCATTGTGAGCTTTGGTCAAAGAATCTTTCGAACGCGTGTTGTGCGACATTCACTTAATCCGACTTGGGATGAAAAGTTGCTGTTCCATGTCAGAAGGCATGAAGCCAATTATGTGACCAAATTGGCCATCTATGACTGGGATAAGCTATCCTCCAACGACTATGTTGGCGAAACAGAAATACACATCAGCGACTTGGTGGAGAATGCTCCCAAGCCGAATCCCGATACTGGTCTTTACGGAAGCGATGAAGTGACTCAACCGGAAATGACAAAGTTCGAACTACCGCTCATTCGTCGTGAAGATGGATCGACAAAAAGTCTTGGAAATCATGCTCCAATCTTAACCGTTCAAGCTCGCTTTACACCCTACGCTGCACTAAGACAGCGTTTCTGGCGTCAATTGATCCATCAATATGATTCAAATGATAGTGGAACCCTGAGTATCTTGGAAATCATGTCAATGTTGGACAGTCTGGGAAGTACACTTACACCTCAAACGATCGAAGCATGGTTCAGCAGATTTGGTAAGAATGGAGAAGAGGGTGACGAATTGACCATCGATGAAGCCATTAGCGCTCTGGAAGCGGAAATCGTTAAGCCCAACAGCCAGAAGCGGGTTGTAGATCAAGCAACTGCATTCGGTGGCTTGGATTCGATCAATGCTTCCTCTCTTGATCCCAACAGTGGTGCACATACGCCAAGTATTGAGAGCGGTTTGCAGGGTGATATGCTCACTTTGACTTCTTCGAACGATTTTGCTGGACCTCAGGCTCCCTCGGCCACGGAGAAAGAGCTAGCTGCTCAAGGTCATACAACGACGTCTGCAACGATGGATGCTGCACAACCTTCTCGCGGTACATTTGCAAGGCACGTCATACACGATGAATCCAAATTGTCGGTCTTTAGTACTGCCACTTCATCAAGTGCCTCTTCAACACGAGGTGCAGGCCATTCCACCGATGCTTTAGAGAGTAGCAAAGATACATCGCAATCCGATGAAGGACAAGTGGAAAGAGTGATCATGTTGAAGAGTTGTCCGATGTGCAGAATGCCAAGACTTAGTAAGAAAGCAGAAGTTGATATTGTCACGCATCTAGCCGTCTGTGCCAGTCAAGATTGGAGAAGGGTTGATTCAATGATGGTCGGAAATTACGTCACAGCCATGCAAGCCCATCGTAAATGGGTAACAAAAGTGATCAGTAAGATCAGTCAAGGTCAATATCAATTAGGAGCTAATAGCGCAAACATCATCGTTCAAGATCGTCAAACGGGTGAAATGTTGGAAGAGAAGATGCAAGTGTATGTCCGACTAGGTATTCGTTTGCTTTACAAAGGTGCACGATCACGTATGGAAGGTGCAAGGATCCGAAGAATGTTGAAGAATATGAGTGTTAAACAAGGTGCAAAGTTCAATTCTCCTGCCTCAGCGCGAGAAATTCTACACTTTATCGAATTTCACTCGCTGAACACAAGTGAAGTCCGTGAACCGTTGGACAGCTTCAAAACATTCAACGAATTCTTCTATCGCAAACTCAAAGAGGACGCTAGACCTGTCGATGATGTTGACGATCCCAATACTTTGGTTAGTGCTGCTGATTGTCGTTTCATGGCTTTCAGTACGGTTGAAGCGGCTATGCAAATTTGGATCAAAGGTCGAGAATTCACCATCGAACGATTACTGGGTAATGGATTCTTGGGATCCAAACAAGACTTGGATGCATACCGCCACGGAGGAGGCCTTTCAATCTTCCGCTTGGCACCACAAGATTATCATCGATTCCATTGTCCAGCAGATGCAGTCGTCGGAAAGATTACTACGATTGAAGGACAGTACTATACTGTCAATCCCATGGCGATCCGAAGTGCGATTGACGTTTACGGTGAAAATGTTCGTGTTGTGGTTCCTTTCCACAGTCAAGAATTTGGATTGTTCTATTGCGTTTGCATAGGCGCAATGATGGTAGGATCAACGATTATGAGCGTAAAAGAAGGTGATCATGTCAAACGTGGTCAAGAGATGGGATATTTTGCCTTTGGTGGAAGTACTCTTGTGCTCGTATTTGAACAAGGTCGAGTTCAATTTGATGAAGATCTTTTGCAAAATTCCGAAAAGGCGATCGAAACACTTGTTCGGGTTGGAATGCGAATCGGAAGAAGTACCACTAGTGCCGAACAAGGCGTTCAAGTTAGAATAGAGGCGGATGAATCGCAATAAATATTTGGTAGAGAGAGATGTACAGGAGGATGTTTATACACAAACACTTTCAATAGGAAGTAGGTTAGGATGCAATACAATTGTTAATAGATGGAAAACGGCAGCGAAGCATATCACAGTAAAGCGCCCCCTCTCATATTGTTGGAAAGGATGATATCGTTAACGGAAGACATTACCACTTTCAATAGATCGGTATCGGTAGCATTTGTGTAATTTGCATAAATTTCCTTGGTTTTAGATCGATTGAGACGTAAGAACTTGTTTTTGAAAAACATTTTTGCATTTTCCAAATCACCTTCTGGACCTTGAAAATCGGGAAAGTGTGGTTTGATAGGACTCTTTTCGATTCGTTCCCGGAAAATGTCCATCTTGTTCAAGAATAAAATCATTGACGTTCTTGTAAACCAAGGTGAGTTGCAAATTGAGCCGAATAGATTCAGACTTTCTTGCATTTGATTCGATTCACGATCTTCGGATAAGCAACAATCGTAACCTGAGATGGCGACAATGAAGAACACCGCTGTCACATTCTCGAAACAATGGATCCACTTCTTCCGTTCTGACCTTTGTCCACCGACGTCAAAGATACGATAGATTCGATCTCGTACTGGAAACTGTGTTTCAATTATGCCAGTCGTTTTATTTCGACAATGCAAAATATCTTGATTTGTCGGAACGTAATCTTCAGCAAACAATCTGTCCAAGTGACTAAAGTAGTAAGATAAATTTTCCGGAATGGCAGCTTGATGACCGATTTCGATTGCTTTTTTCACATTTCCATCTTGCCAAAGGAATTGTAAGATTTGATGATATTCCGTCGGATAAGGTTCTTCTCCTGAAAGTTCAATTCTTGCAACGATAAAAGGTATACTTTTAATATTTTCTTCATTTGCAAAACGTAAATTTGAATCTTCCATAAAATCCAAAACTGAACGTATTCCATCGATCAAATTGGTAAAGATTAACCTTCGAAAATGTTCAATTTCCAATGGAGCAAAATGAACAGAATGAATTATTCTCATCGATTTGAGCATCGTTGACTTTCCACTATCACCCGCTCCTAATAGCAACAGCTTTGCCTCTTTTGATAATTGCTTTTCATCTGCTCGGATGCATTTATCCAATTCTTTCGAATGAAGCGCTTCAGGCGTTTCTGTCACGCTTACCACCGAATTGCAATTCCCCATCTTTGTGTATGGCAGAGCGGATTTACGGGAATGATTTGAGGATGATCATGAGTAGGATGATGATGATGATGATGATCGTTTGAAAGGGTAGCGGAGACGATAATAGGTATGAGGTGCATGTGACGGTGTCATACGGATTATTATATCAAATATGTCTTTTATTTATGAAGCCCTTTTCCTCATGACGGATCCGAAGATTGACTTACTTATTTTGCCTTTGCATAATGGCGGCGCCTTACTCTTTACAAAAGAAAACTCCGGATTTAGGAGCAAAGCTTTCCGTCGATCAAGAAATGAACTTTTGGCACTTGAACGGAATAGTAGCAATGTTCCTCTTTTAGAAGGACGGTGGCGTAATAGCCGACTAAGGAATGAAATCAAACTCAAGTCGTACCCCGTTTTGTTTTATTCAGCGGATAGCCGTTTCGCTTCTCGTCTTAGCCTTCATCAGCATGGCAAATACGCTCAACATGGCGCATACGTGACTTATACGATTCCGTTTCATGTCAAGGCTTTCTCGTAATACAAAATGAATTTCTCAATTTGCTTCAGTCATTTCCGTTAGAGAACGGTCATCCGGGCTAATTGATTGTATAAAACGACGATCAGGAACACTGACGCCGAATAGAGGTAATCGCTTGTAGTCATTAACATAATACGAACATAACTCGATTCAACGAATGCGGAAGACATTCACTGCTTCTAGAATTTTTTAATAGGGTACCAAAGGCTGACAGACTTCCACTTGACGTGAAGATTGGAAAAGGTTGAACAAATCAAGAGTCCCTCCACCAAGCTACAATATCAACATCACAGTCAGTAAAATGACCGTCAGATGGGCAAAGATTGTGAGGAGGTGACCCAAAGAGTCAGTACTTTGCGTGAATGCGGGAACCACACCATTGCTGCTTGTCGGGAGAATCGTACTCGGAGTAACACTTGCCATGGATAGGGTACCGCCAGCGAATGAACCTCCAGCGCTGAAAGTGAAGGAATCGATCTGTTGGAAGTGCGTCGTAGCAGAGGCTGGGACTGTGGACAATGCTTTTTGAGTATAATTAGCTGATGTAGGTCGAATAGTTCGCGAAGTTGTAAAGAAATCAAACGTTTGATAAGCGTTCGATTGATTTCCTTTGTTGTGCACGACGTCTGATTGCTCAGCTATGCCAATTCGTGGAGGATCAAAAGAGAAAACGGCAAAAAGAGAAAAGAAGATGTACTGTCCCAGGATCAAGGATACATTTGTATTGTTCATCGAATCGAATCTCGGCGCGCAAAACTCTTTCCCATTAATGTGATACAGTGGGCTTCTGACAATTAGGTCTCTTGAATCGATCGGAACTGAAACACCTCCCATCGAGATAGTAAGGTTGAATGTTGGTACCAGGTCTTCACCACACGGAATGTAGACGTAGTAATCCTGTGGATTGTTGGGGTCACCTTCATCGTCCAACTCCAAGAAAGAGTCTTGCACCTGTGCGAAGATCGTGTTGAAAAGGGCATTTGAAACAAGTGTATCAGGAATACCTGTATTGAAGATCGCAACAAGGCCTTCAAATTCAGGAAGTGTGATACCATTGACAGTGATATTGTCGAGCTTAAAAGCCCATTCGGACGGAGCGTCGGATCCTGGAATAGTACTGATCAGTGGTGACCATCCTATATTGCCTTTGTATTGCTCTTGATCAATTTCACCAATGGTGAAAATACCACCTTCTTCAGATGTTGACTCATCGGTTGAAGTTGCAGAAAGGAAACTTGGGCGAGTGAGTGCAAATGTGAAAAGTGGTTCTGTGAAAGCTTTTGAGAATACCAATTGTTGCATTACTGGTGTGACGTTCACATTTGAAGTATACTCGAAACCTAAGCCCATGAGACCTATCGCAAATGGTCCAGGATACCAATCTCCGCTCATCATCAAGCCGAGAGGTTGATTTTTTAAAGTCAATCCTTCAAAGGTGATTGTTTCGGCTGAGACATTCGCAGTAACATTGGCAAAGTCATCAACAAAGAAGGCTTCATAGGTAATACCATTTGATGTATACGTTGAGGACATGCTCGAGTTAAATGGCGGGGCGAAGTCTTCATCACCGTATAGCTGCTTTCTATAGTCTTCACCATACAGGAGAAGATCAGCTGAGCCTGTATCGAGTGAAACGAGAACCTTTTGCGGCGGAGTGCCGATCTCTAAAGGTGCCATTACGTAGTATTCGGTGTATAAGAGGTTGTTATCTACGCTTCTGGTTTGAATTTTCTTGTTTGATTGCCAGCGCTTCTTTGAAGTTGGATAGGTAAATGTATTTCCTCGAAGAGCTACCTTTAAAGCTGAAACGTAAGTTGAAATAGTACCCAAGATGACCATGAAGATGGCCAATTGAAGTGTGCTAAAGATCTTCATCTTGTTAAGAGCTCCTTTTACGAATGATCGATTGAAATCGATTTCTTATGAAGCTCAATTAAGAGTGATGGTAGAAAGATGAGAAGAGCGATAAGCGCATTTGGAAGTATAGCGGACAGCTTTGAGAACTTCGTTCATGCTGCATGAATAAACTTCTGTCATTTGTGTAATGCATTATATCACGCGCGGACAGCTCCGTGAAGCTTGTCCTGATCATTCCTGTTCCACATTTTCAGGTATAAATAAGACTGTTCTGATGTGCAGAAAAAAGACGTAATTTTGATAAAATGGATCACGTCATTCGCTTTTTCACAAATGTATGCTATGCTGTTTATCCAGTAGGATTGATTGAATGAAGACGAAAGAGTTCAAATGGATAAAAGTACAAAGAATGCTAATGATGATTTAAAGGTGAAGTCCGAAATGAGAATGCGCTGATGCTTAAAAAGATTGATGATGCTAAAGTGACTTTCTAAAGAATGAACAAAGCCGGCAACACTACCATACAAATGATGATTGGCGTGAAAGTCCATGATGATGCAGCAGAGGTAGACATCCTTGCAGAAGCAGAAGATGCAAATGATGTTGATTTTGGGGAATTATCGATCGCTTGAATACCCTTTACTGTTGATGGATTTCGTTCTATTCCATCTGTTGCCGCATTGGTTGCTGCTGCTGAAACAACAGGTCCAATTTGTGTCGGAATCATACTTGGTCGAACAGTTTCCATCGATAGTCCTACATTAGACGTAGGCATATACGTTCCTCCGACGGCAATCGAAGTTGATCCTACCATGCTTACATGATCAGTTGCTGTCGCAGGGACAGGTGTACACTGTACTTTACTGAAACCCGTTGCTTGTGGTTGTGAAAGTGAAGACATGTCTAATGTCCGTGTTTTTGTGAAATCGTATGAGGGTACGGCACCTTGATTGTGAACGTTGGTAGACTGGGCAGCAATTCCAATCTTTGGCGGATTGAAGGAAAAGGCAACGTATAATGATCGCATTACATCATCTCCAATTTGGATATCATACTCGTCCGAACTTGTTGGTGTCAAAGTAGAGAAACAGTATGTACCTCCGTTTATGTTGAATTGTGCTGTCTTGAATAGCATGTCCATCGGTTCAATCGGGATCGAAACACCTCCCATCGAAATAGTCATATTAAATGCTGGCGGCATGTTCTCTCCGCATGGAACGTAATAATTGCCTGAGTCGTCCTTGTACACGTTTTGTATTTGTGCAAGGATTGCATCGATCAATTGAACAGATCCTCTGGAAACACTGCTCCCGGTATCAAAATTGGCCACGATACCCTGTGAATCAGGCACAACATTTCCATTGACAGACACAGAGTCCAACATTGCCAACCATTTGTGCGGAATGTCTGATCCTTGCGTCGTGCTTACAACTGATGACCAACCGATCGGTCCTTGATATTGATCGCTATCGATTTGACCCAAGGTGAAAATGCCTCCGGGTTGAGTGATTCCAGAAGTTGAAGTTTGTTCAGCGGCAACACTTGGTCTCATAAGAGCAAACGAGAACACAGGCGCCTTAAGGGCTTTGGAGAAGAGTAATTGTTGTACGGGAGGCGTTGCACGTAAGCCTAAACTGGCAGCTTCGAATGCCAATCCCATGATTCCCGAAGCAGCCGGTCCATAAGTGACATTTCCGCTATGAATCACTCCCACAGGCTGATTGACCAAAGTCATATCCCGAAAGGAGATCGTATCGGTAGAATAAAGAGCGGTAAAAGAAGTTGCCGAACTTCCTGATCCATAATTATTTTTAAATTTGGTACCTTTGGATTGGTAGGATGTAGAAGCGCCAGAATCAAATGAAGGTCCTATCTTGCTTTCGTCGTTTGTCGTACTCGCTGATCCATCCGAGTATTGATCTGCATAATCTGCTCCAAATACTGCAAGATCGGCAGAAGCGGTGTCCAAAAGTACGAAAAGGTTTTGCGGAGGAGTTCCGACCTCTAAGGGAGCTAAAATTGAAGAAGAGGAGAATAAAAGATCATTTTCGATCGTTCTCCTTATCATTCTAGGTTCTTCTGCTGATGCTCTTTTCACCAAGTTTTCATGACCGGGACGTGTAGTTGAGAGGAAAGAATGTCTTCTTAGGAGAATCTTGTGTGCTGAAGTTGTGGAAAAGGAGAGTATCGAAAGAAGGACGAGAAGAATGGAAAATGAGCGAAACATCTTGAATGCTTCTATAAATCGGACCGAGTAAAGTGATTGTTTTTACGTATTGTTCATCAATCGCTCCTTCAATGTAGGACCAGCCTACGTTTTTTTTTTGTTTGTTTGAAAAAGGAAAACTTGTTCGGAATCAAGACGCCAGGACTTGATCTTATGAGTGAATGAAAGTGAGTTGAACTGAATAAAAAGCTCAGCCTTGATTGAAAAAGGTGTGTGAGATTTGAATTCAAATTCAGATGATGATTTTTAAGATCGAGGTTTGATGTGTTGCAACAGCATTTATACTTCAGCCTTCATTTCGGATATTCAACTGAAAAGAACTCGATAAAGTGTTCCGCCTTTGTGTTGTTGTGTGCCTATTTTTGGCGGAAGGAATGCTTCCTCTAGACTGTTTATACGCCGTAAAATGCGCTTTCATACACAAGAATAACACACACATTTTCATTCAATTCATTACGCTACGGTACACACCCTAAAGTACTTGGGAGAGACACACATATGCAAGGCGCTTTGCCTCTTTCATTCATTCTGGCTGTGCTGAATTGTTTGCCGTCATGGCCGTAACATAAGCAGCGCCCTTTTGTGTTTTTCTTTTTCTAGCGCGATTTGCAAAAGTAGCCGCTTCGCCTTTATATGCATTTCATCGCATTTGACGGCAATCAAATGATCAAATGCATGCATGTACACATTTATGACAGGACATGTTCTAATTATAGGAATAAGATCATAAGCAAAGCAAGGAGGGCGTATTGTTGATTCATGCAAATAGTACCTGATGTCAATCTTCGATAGATAGCGTGCTTGGCATCAGAGACGTCACTTCAAGATGGCTCGGGGATGTCTTTCCTGCATTGCTACCATCACGTGAGAAGCTGGTGATGATGGAGAGAAACCGTGATCCTCTTCCTACTTCATGCAGGTAGCCAATAAACAGCATCCGGGAGAAATTGGAAGAAAGTCCATGAAAGAGCATTTAGTTGTGACATATATATCTCCGCAAGCCCGCGATCCGACGGGCATCCGTTGTATAAACTTTGACTTAAAACATGCATACATTCAGGCTGAGGACATACAAAGCACGATGGTTAAGATCATCACAAAAAAGAATGCCAAGAAAGATTATTGCGGTGCCGTCAAAGGATTTATATTCCGCAACATATCGCCCAGAAATGAATGACCAAGATTTGGGCGTACCGAAAGGAAGAAGGGGAAAAACTTACCAAATAACCCAATCAAACAAGCTTCAATCGTACTGATCCATTGAAGTCTTAAATACCAAGCCGGATCACTTTTCCTTGGCAATCATTTTTTTCCTCTTAATCATTCATTACACTTCATCCTTGACAATTCTCAAGAAAAGTTGAAGCAATGACTCGCTCTGTGTTGGCTTTGTTCTTTGCTTTGTTGGTCACAGTATTGTCCCTCACGAGCTCCTCCTATGCTGCTCCTCCAACCTGTTCCGATGCAACTGCTGCTCGATTACAAGCATGCTTAGATCAAGTAGAACGAGATGAAAGTGCTTTACCCGGCGGCCCTTGTTCTTCTTCTGATTGGCGTTGTGAGTTGATAATGACAGAGTCATTGTGTATCCAATTGCTAACGGTCTCTCTTTTGCAGGCATTTGCACTAAACAACAAGGTATGGCAGATTGTTTCGCTGTCTGTCCTTCTCAAGTCCCTGCAGATACGGCCAATTTCGATAAAAACAATTGTGCCGGTCAACATGATGGAATCACAATGAATGATTTAGGCGGTGATTTGATGTACACTTGGTCTGATTTGAATGCTGCTTTGGGAGGTACACCGGACGGCAATATTGGATTCCCTCCAAATTCAACATCTTCTCCAACCCATCCTGTAGTTTCAGGCGGTCCTCCTGGTAACAAAGGTCCAGCAAGCAACGCTGCCAAGAACGCTATCCCGCCAAGCGCAAGTTCAGGAAATGTCATCACAAATAATGCAAACCCTGCAACCGTAAATCCAGCAGCCGTGTCAACGAGCAATACAAATCCTGCAAATACCAGTCCAGCAAGTACCTTTATAACTAATGCGAACCCGGCAAGCAATGCAACCTTACCCACTGTTCCGAGCGGAAATTCGTCCGTCAAGCAAGCAACAGTATTCTCTGCACTTCCAGCTTTGAGTGCTTTGGCAATCGTAGCCATCACTCTTCCAATGCTTTTAATTTGACCTGTTCACACCTTCTATCCATTTTCTTCTATTCCCTCACACTTCTGCCTCTCTCAAAGATGAAATTGTTCGAGTTGTAGATGTAGTATACATATGAAATAATCATTAAAAAGCTTCTCCTGCTACTTCGTGTAATTCGATCAAATATTCATCAATCTTTTGTCGTGAAACTTCTCCTTTTTGTTCAACGGTACCCGGTCTTAAATTTGCATTAGGCGGTAATGGTCCTTGACCTTCTTGAGCAGCAAAGTTACTCAAAGTAGACGTTGGCGTTTGTGCTTGATTCGTTTGTCCGTTTTCCAATCCTAAAATCAATTTCAAAACCGCATGATATTCTTCAAACGAATGTTGTGCACCCGTTTGTCGAATCGTACCCAAAACTTCATCAGGCGTTTTGCCAACCAATTCCCATAATTTACGACAACGTTCAAATCCATCATTGACTGCAACAACCGTGAATGGTTTTCCTTCAGTAGGTTCTGATGCTCCTCCTGCTCCATCTTCCGGACCTGCAGGCTTTGAACCTGCTCCGCTGATCGTTTCATTTACAACGACGATGTTACGTAAATTCTGTTGTAGAGCCATGATATTACGAATCATCTTTGTCAATCCGTGACGATTAATGAAACGAACTTTTCGAATGGCTTTGCATAATTGCAAATCCATCAAAGATGCCAAACCGCTAAACAAGAATCGATGATGTTGCGGCAAGATTGTTTCTGCGAAAATGTCATCCAATGAAGCCAACTCCGCATTGAGATCAACGATATGCGGATCAGGCTCAAGGACTGCATCTTCCACTAGATAGTTACCTTCATTGATGGCCAAGTCCAAGTGATGAATCGTACGTGCACGAACTTCCAGCCGTAACGTGAACAAAACCAGATGAGACAAATGTTGGAACGTTTTCGGCAATGCCTCATACCTTCTTATCATAGCTTGACTGAGAGGCAGCTTGAGCTCGTCTTCCACCTTCTCATCGTCCTCTTTGGGTAACATGGGATGCAGAGAGCCAGCAACGACTGATAAACGTGCAACAGCAGCATGCGCAACAGACGATTCCGCATCCTTCAATCCTACAGCTTTCAGCTTGGTAATGTGATCATAAAACCAAAGCAGAGTGTGATGAAGGTTTCCCAAAGCCATCAATTTCTTCCTGCTGGTCGTTAGATCAAGTAAAGAGATGGTGCCTGATTTCGATGCGCTTTCCTCACTTGCTGTACTGGTCTTGCGCAATGTTTTGGTCAGTTGCAACTCCAACGAATTCTCCAGATTCATCAATTGCTTTCTTCTTTTCGGCGTTGCAGTATCATCAAGCATTTCCACCAAACAATTGCTTATCTCCGGTCTTTGTGCCCACATTGCTGACAGACGAATGGCGTTTGAGCTTGTACTTGGAGCTGGAGTTGAGTCGGAGGCAGGTGTATCCTGCAAGATTAGATCTCGATATCTATCATAGCATTTTTGATAGTATTGCACGATCGTTTGAATGATCAAGAGCGAATAACTTTCTCGATGGAAAGGTGTAGTACGCAACATAGCATACAAACTATCAATCAATACGATCACATTAGCCACAGATCGAGCGATTGGACGACCGAGCGTACGGGTCTTGTGCATCGTATCCTCTTGAAATGCGTCTGCGCCACCAACTGCTGTTGTGAAAAGAGATTGCACTTTGTCCTCCAACTGGCTTAGGAACACATCTCGAACGAATTCGTCCAAGAAACGGCTGAAGCCTGTGCTGGGCATACCATTCTCACCGTTTGTACCACTCGATTCCCCTTCGCGACCAGCCGCTTCTGGAGGCAATAGCATCTTGACACGCTCAATGAATGCCAAAGCAGGTTGGAACAAGACAGAGATATTGAAGGCATCCGGCTTGACGAGCAGCTTGTGTCCCGCTCCATCGACAAAGCCACTTCTTGATTGATTTAAGGTCATCAATTGTTGTTGCTGCTGCTGTTGCTGATGTTGTTGTTGGAACACGGCAGCAGAATTGCCCGTCGCATCTGCACCTCCCACCAAACCAGGCACGGAAGCACGCAAGGCATTCGTCAAAGCTTCTTCATGTCTACGTAAAGGTGCGAAATCTTTACGGCTCAGATGTACACCAGGTTTTGGCGCAGAATCGGCTGCCAGACGGAACAAAGATTTTGATCGATCACGTTGGAAGCTACCTTGACGTAAGACTTCATTAACAGAAACGACTGCGTTTCGCCTTGCAGAAGATCCTTCCGATTCGTCAACCAAATGCTCATGCAACAATGTTCGTACTTCTGTTTGCAAAGGTCTCCAGATTTCGATCAAACTTGCTGGTCTTCCCACCTTGACCGCTTTGTATGCCGAAGAGGCACCACGACTACTGATCTTTGTGATCACCTCAAAGACAACTCTATGTCCTTGTAAGACTGCGTCCAATTTACTGAACAATGTCCAAAATAGATCTCTCATCGTTTCACAATCCCTTTCAACTTGATTAGACTCCATTGTGGGTAATCGCATGGCCGTATTGCCTAAACCAGTAAAGGAGCTGCGGAAGCTATTTCTCGCACTTTCTGCGAAACTACGTGCCAAAGCAGAAGAACTTGCCAGTAACAAACTCTCCGCTCGAACGATGGCAACACTAGACCTACGCATCATCTCACTGCGAGAATCTACTTCATCAATTGTTGCGTCAACCAATTGATGGAGTTCGGTAGGCAATCTTTGCAAGATCACTTCTTGTGTAAGTTTGATCTTGCCTAACTTTGCCAATGATTCGAGTAACATTTCAATATACAAGAATGAATCCGTTTCAGGATTCGATTGTTGATAGTTGCCCGAATCTCCATTACCTGCACCATTTGTAGCTCCACCTGCTGCCATATTGTCTGTGCTTTGTGAGGTCGCCATCGCTGCTCCCATTTCCTTATTATAAGCTGGCGTCATGCCAATCTCCAGATCGCCTGCCATGTTGGAATCGGGCGCAGGTCTAACACTGAGAGATTTGAGGTATCGAAAGATTTTAAGCGGACGATCTTCATTTTGTGGCTTGGGCGTGAATGAGCCCATATCAATCTCTACTCTTTCAGTCTCGTCTCCGGCCTCATTTTTGCCTTGCTCTTCGTACTCTTGACCGAAGTCTACGTTTGGCAAAGATGTCTGACCAGGCGTATACGACTTCCATCTTGCATCACAGAAGTAGCTTTTGAGGTACAAATGATTGTGCAATTCTTCAATGAGAATGTCAAACATAGCTTGTTCTTGTCCTTTAAGGTAAGCTCGCAAATCGCTCGTTGCGCCAACTTCGAGGATATCGGCTTTCTCACAATTCTTTGAGGCTCTCGTCAGCAGATTGACGGCTTCCAGAAACTGTTTCTCGGCCATCAAAGATTCAAGTCGGTCAGGAACGCTTTTCAAGTTCTCAATCATGTCCAAAAGACGCAAGCTTTCCTTCACGCCTTGTGACCGGTGCCACAATTGCACTAAATCGGCTCGTTTTGCTCCCAATGCTTCTCGTGCATCACGCAACCTTCTTCGGGCACTTGACACTCCATTCTGCGCCGAGCCAAACGAGTTGATCACATTGTTATGCAAAGAGATAGCAGTTGCAAATGATTCATAGTGATCGTCCACAGTTCCTTGCAGTGCTCTTTCGATCAGTTCTTTCATGTCCTCGAAATCATCTCGATTTGCGCCAAGTGAGCTTTCATCGAGTAAAGAGAAAGCCAAAGAAACTGAATTGAAGTCATCATCCACGAGGAAGTCCCATTCAGCTTTCGATTTGCGCAAAACGGCAGAAATTTGTCGGAACGCCTTTTCATCATCACGATCGACATAAGACTCCAACGGTTTAGATTCACGAGTTCGAGCTGCTTCAACCTTTCTCTCGATCCTTCTTCGTCTGCTCTCTTCTTCAGCTGTCGTTCCACGCAAGATTCTCGCTTGTCCCTGCTTCCTTCCAGCCGAACTCAAAGCAGACAAAACGCTTCCTAGAGCTGAAGGGCTTTGTTCTTGCGTCAGACTACCTAGCGGCGGTGAAGTTGGCGATGGTCCACCGGAAGGAACGTTTGAGGCACTCAAAAGACCATTATTGTTTCCACCATATCCATCACCGTCCTCCTGATCAGATAGATCACTCATTGGTGTCTCTCGTCCGTCATTGCCTTCCATTCGATTCACCTGTGCCATCAGCCTTGCACTTTTCGCATGACGATCTGCTGCAGGTGCAACGTGTGTCGTATCACTGCTTCGCATTGAGTCATAACCCCCACTGTCTGCCCTTTCAGGTCTCAAGACCAAGTTGCGTCCGACTGGCGTATCTGCTGTACTCTCAGAAGAATGCATACCGTGTGCGTTTCGCAAAGGTGACATTGTATTTGAATCATTCGATGCACCTTGACTTAAAACGCTCATCCGTTGCGGTCTTCTCATACTTCTTGCCGGTCTCAAAGGAGCATTTGCAGCTGCATTTGGATCTCCTAATCCTAATGCAAAGCTTGCCGTACTTCCTGCACTTGGCTCAAAAAGTTGTCCAGTGACACTTTGTGCGCCTGCATGTCCACCAGCAGAGTTCATACCAGGATATTGTCCTGGCCTTCCTTCAAAGTTGGAAATACTATCAGACGGGCTCAAAGAAACGAATGAAGGTCCAGCTCCGAGATTATGAGTATGTTGCATATACTGATGTGCAGGTCCAGCAGACGCAGATCCAGTCACGCCAGCCGAGTACGGTCCACTGCCACTGGCGCTCATCTCTCCGCTCGATCCATGCAACATTTCCACACCAACTTCATTACCGCCTCCTCCATACGAATAACTTGGTCCGGCTGAAGCAGGATGATTGTCATTTTGATATTGCGCCTGTTGGGCTTGAAAATGCGCTGATCCACCTGTTGCGGTTGAAGGTAAATTTCTGGTATGTTGAGGTTGAAAAGCGTTATTGTTCAAACCACGATTGTTTGGCATACCTCCCATCTCCGTTCCTGCTCCTAATCTTGCATTTTCATGCTTGATCTTTGCACGAATATTATCTTTTTGTGTCTTTCCACGATTTAACATCTTTGCAGGTTATCATTTATAGGGAGAAAGGGAAGCATTAGCGAGTACTGTCGTCGATTTGCTGTACAGGAGTAATTTTACACGTCTTTCGCAATCGGTATCCGACGATCTTCTCAATAGTTGTTGAGACTTCTTCACCACGACTACCTTGGGAGTGATTTGATGTGACGATGGTTGAAAGCAGGAGTGATTGTGTATGCGGATAGGCTAAACGTGTGTGTGTGTAAGTGTGCGGCTCAACCTTCTCTGATGCACGGACACACAAGCCCGGCACAAGATTCAATCAAATTATACGCGCCCCAGCCCCAGCCCCTCTCTCTCACTCACAACCACACACACACTCATTGTTTTTATTTTGAACATTTCAATTGATGATGCTAATGATATATGCGTAGTCGTTATATGTTGGAGAGAGAGAGAAAAAAAAAGAAAAAGACATTATTGTCAAAGAAAAGCAAGGAATTGGATGGAGAAGAATGGAGGATATGCGTATGCGATAGGTGATTATGAATGAACAGAGTAGAGATATCGTGATGATGAAAAAAGACATCATCGAGTATTGTTGGTTTGCTTGGTTGATCGTACAAATGCAGAGATATTTGCGAATATGCGGTGACGAGCCAAAAAGAAAAGAGGAATAAATAATGCAAAATCGTTGATGAAGAAAAAAAAGGGGGAGTTTGTTTTGTTTTGTTCAATGTCTCGTCTTTCTTGCTGCTAATACAACATCGACATTTGTCACATCCGTCAAAAGTCGTGCATCTTGACTTGTCTCCCTTCGATCAAGTTCATCTTCATCTAGTTCTTCATCTTCTTCTTCTATCGGCAATTCATCATCCATGCCCGCGCCAGAATGTTGATCTTCATCCGAGAAAATATCTTCTCCTTGTTCTTCACTTGGGCTGTTTGACCTTGACGCCGTGCTTGCTTCATCGCTCCTCTCACGTCTAGAGGTTGGTCTCTCTAACTGACAAAGGTTGAACAAATCCACGCGAAGATCATCACTGCTGCTGGGCAAACTGCTCGCATCCTCTTCGTCATCCATCACGCTGAAATCGCCAAACGTTCTCTTTGTCCAATCAAACACGTACGTTGCAGCTTTCATAAACTTCTTTGCGCTATACTTCTTGACAAATTGTGGATGATGAACTGGTCTGCAGCAGTAATCCACCATCAATTCGGCAGTTGGTAGCAACTCTTCAACCGAATAACTGGAATAGTGCACAAGTGTGGGTGACCATTCACCACGTTCCAATACCAATCTTGCTGTCCAAATTGCAGCTGCTGCAATCACCGAAGGAGGGTGTTCCAACAGTCTATGATCAACAAGTGAAATCTCCATGAAGAATTTGGCAACCGTTCTGGTTTGGATATCGTAATTGTCTGCTTTGCTGATTCTTCGTAAAAAGTTCATTGGGCTTGCATAGCTCAAGTTGAATTTGATGATTCGTAACATGTATCGTTCTGCTTTGAGAATCTCTTCATCCGTGTATGCACCTTCTGCGAGGTAGAGGAAGTTGTGCACGCTTGGGCAAAGGACTTCTTCGTATTTTGCTGCAATGAACATGGCAGTGAGACCGACCAATTGCAATTTGGTCAAACTGATTGTCCGTAGGGAAAGGAAACGATCGACAATATTTTGCGCAAGGAAGAGGGTCTCAGGGACCAAACGGAATTTGCTATGGATATCGATCAACCAGTCCACCAGAATGCCCCGCGACTGCCACGTTAGTTCGGGATGCTTGTCGATATAATCACCACTGGGGATGTAATCCAGTTCAATGGTCTTCATGTAATCAAAGATTTCATTGACGTATTCTGTCACCATGAGAATATCATCGGCTTCATCTGCCTCTAGATCTTCCCATCCTTCGTCCTTGGCACGAACGGGTGCAACTACTTCTGCCTCTTCGATTGCAGCTGCATTGGAAGCAGTCTTTTTGTGTTTCAAAATGGCAGTATCCGCATCTTTGCTCGTGGTAGCCACTTTACGTCCACCTGCGTCCGTTCTTGCGCGTTTTGTTACAACATTCTCCTCCTTTGCACTTGATGCTGTTCTTCTGGAAGCATCACTCTGGACCGAATTGGACCGTGAAAATGAAGAGGCAGTGGAAGCAGTCTTGCTGCGTTGGGGTATAGCGGAAGCAACACGACGGGTTACGCGTGTTTGACGTTCTTGTTGTTGTGGTTGTTTGCTATCATCTGTTCGTTGTGAAGAAGGCTTGGCGATACGGGATGATGCAACAGCTACCTTTCCGCCATTATTCGTTGCTGCTTTTCCACGTGCATAAGCCGCTGTTCCGTTTGAATCGCGCAAAGCAATCTTTCCTTTTGTTGCGCCATTTCCAGCATTTCCATCGATATCTTTACTGCTCATCACACCTCCTTCACTTGTTGGTTTTCGGGTTGCTGCGTTTGTCATATCTCCCAATGCCGATCGTTTACGTAATGCTGCAACACCACCGCCTGCGGCTGATGAACTTGTATGGCCAGTGCTGTTTGGTCGACTGCTATCGTCGCGTGAGCTGACGGCGTTGCGTGATCGGATGGTGATACGACGCGAAGCCTAGAAGAGGAGGAAAGAGAAGAAAGGATTGGTAGAGTCAGTATTTGAACGATCGTGATGACCTTCCGGGGATAGGATACTCACCAAGTTTGCCGATGATGACATTGCAGGGCGTCAATGGTACTATAACCAGTCTTTTTGACTGACTTTGACGGGCTAGAAAGAGGAAGAGAGGAGGAGAAAAGGTGTCAGCTAGGTATGCTCCAGATCTGTGACTTGAACTGCACAAATGACGATGGAATCGCGCCGGAACGCGATGCTTTCGCGATGACGAGAGCATCTGCTTATCAACGCATACATCCAGAACATCGGACGCGCTTTGGCCGCCATCAGAAGATTGCTTTGACGTGAAACATTGTTCCTCTCTGATTCAGGCACTTGAGCAGAGCCATGTGCATATATGATGATGATACTCACAATACAACGCAAAAGAAGCGTGGTGAACAAGCAATTCGAACAAGATGCAGTGAAGTATTCGAAAGTATGTTCAAAGTCGCGTTTGGATCGTGATTGAGATCGTTTTCGTGATCGGTTGATAGACTCCTGCGAGTGGGTGAGTAGCTGAGCTTGAATGGTGAAATGGAGGTTATCGCTAGCAGTTGATCGCAAAGAAGCAACAAACTAGATCCACTGGATGCTAGTACAGCCTTTTGGTATGTTTGAAATATGATTTGAAGCTCAGAAATCGGTACCACTCAGCCCACGATTGGTATGCTTGCTATTTAGATGACCTCGTTGAAAAGAGCTTTGAGTTGCAAAAGAAATGAAACGATCAGCACTTCTTGTTCCACAATGATTGAGTGTATGTGTTTGCCCTTTTAGCGAAAGAATGATGATGATGAAAAAGAAGGAAAAAATGTGTGAATGGAAAAGCAACCAAAAGAAACAAACAGGATGAAGGAAGGAGAGGTAAGAATAGGTGGTAAGCGGAAGTTATTGCGTGGAGTTGAAGTATGGCTTTAAAACAGTCTCCGTTTGGGCATAATTCCCTAGCGCTTTAAGCACGAGAGAGAGAGGCACACGCTCAACACGTAAAATTTATTAATGTTAAAGTAGAAAATTCAACTTCCAATACCTTTTCGCGTTTTCTTATTTGATTGGCGTTCAATTCTCAACCCAGATTGTATTGATATAAGATAGATGCACACTTTTGGTACATGTATGTATGCAATACAACACGACACGACAAATACATGCACTGTTATCAAACACTTGCCCAAAAGAGTGATTAAAAGTGACTTTAAAGCAGTTAAGCGATATGTATGTATGTACGTACAACACAAAATGGATCAGTCTCAGTACGCGTATAGAGAGAGCCGATCTGCATGCATACACTCACTCACTCACTCACCCATCACAAAGTCACATTTGAGTTGATGTATTTCCCTCCTTTACGCGGCGGGATAAACAGATCGTGTGCCTTTTTCTTGTATTGTACGCGGCGCGAATAATTAGAACGCGACTTTGGCGTTTGCTCACGTGAATTTGTAAGGGGGAGAAGCATGTGGCTACACCTCCTGCATTTGTGTGACTTTTGTCGCGGGGATCGCTTGCATTTTCGCTATTTAGCGCGGCTTTGCACTTGCGGTTGTCATTTCTTCGGAGATGGATTTTAATGGTCCGTGCCTCGGTGAATACAAATTAGAGTTTTCCTCCTTGTTCACCATCATCATCTTGAGGTAGTCAAGATGGCTTCACTCTATCCGGCACAATATCTTATCCTACCGCTTCATGCTCAAGATCGCTTACCGCCCGCAGTCCAAAGTATTGACTTAGAATTACTTATGGTCGCCCATTCAGCAATCGCATTTCTGGCATCAAATTTTTGGGTTCATCAACCTTGGGCATTACCACTTTCTTTATTTGGTTTGATTGCTTGTGTTCCATCTTTACTTTCGAATTTATTACCCCACTTTTTGGCTTTTTGGATCGCTTCAATTCCGTTGGATGTTGTTTGGCTAATTCATCGTTCCGATCAAGCCCGTTCGATCACGATCACAATGATGGGTATTAATATGTGTTTGAAACTCGTTTCTGCCGCTCAAGCCGCTCGTGCGTTACAAGCACAAGGTGCTCTGCCTGATCTACCTTCGGGAGGTGGTTTTGGTGGTGGTTTTGGAAACAATCGTTCTTCCGGTCAACCTTGGCTCAATGGAGGTTCAACTGCACCTTTTGGCCTTCCTGGCTCTTGGTCTGGACAACAGGGGCCATATACAGACGCACAATCGCAACAGCAACGACCATCTTCAACTCCTTATCGATCCATATACGATGAAGAAGCGCAAGAGGCTGACGCTCCTCAAGTGCGGGTTGAAAATGTGGCAAGTAGCGTGGCAGCAGCAGCAGCGGCAGGAAGGTCTAAAGATGAGCCAAATCGAGCACAATACAATGCTATCGGGTAATCGTTTTACTATAGATGCGAATCGTATAATATATCTTCATTGATTTATGTGTGATGTGTACATGTGTTAAAAATCTACAGGATGACTGTGTGTGTATGTGTGTGCTCAGAATTCAAACTCTCCGCGGAATTGATTAAGATTGGCACCGATATGTGCTTGTTGAGCCAGATCAGTACGATCCATGCTCAAAAAGATACGTCGTAAGGTACTCCATAAATTAGAACTTTCTTGTGCATCCGACAAAGGAGGTGGGAATTTTCCAGGTCCACCTTCGCCTCCTCCTAGCTCAGCGGGAATCTCTGGCATTTCATGAGATTGTTGTAATGACAAAGCGGCCAAAAGATGTTCGGCAGCTTCGTGATGTGCGCCCAAATTTAAGCATGAAACGCTCAAATTGTAAATTGCACGGGTAAACGTAGGACGAATTTCCAAGGCTTTATGATATGCTTGAATAGCATCTTCCGGTTTGCCTCCATTTGCCAGTGTAGCGCCCAACCGATTCCACAAGAGTGTATCATTTGGTCGAACTGACAGGGCTGCTTCGAAGCAGTCTTTAGCTTGGTCATAGCTGGAGTTGCTGTAGAACAATACTCCCAAACCTACTTGCACTTCTGGATCGATACGACCAGAAGCATTACCTTCTCGAGCAGCTTGTAAGAATAACGAAGTGACTCGGTTCAACGTAGCCCAAGGATTTGAATCTCCATCAAATTGGGTGCCTTCGATGGGATCTTTATTGCCTGAGATTGATGCAGGTAGAGGTTCAGGCTTGAGATGTGGATAAGCACGCTCCATGTACCTCTCCAAAGTAGTATGAGCAGCTGCATCATAGCCTTCATTGGTGTAAGCAATAGCCAATGCCATGTATGCTTCCAAATTACCATCATCAATCTTGATAGCCTCTTCGAGCGCACGAATGGCCTGTGTTTCTCTTTCATTCATCGCTTGTGCCTCTCCTAAACGTCTCCATGCTTCACTTTGGAAGCGACGTTTTGCATCCACTTCATTTTCTTCACCACCTGTTCCCATAGATGGTTCTCTTTGCGTAGCAGCTTCGAACAGAAGTGCAGCATCTGCCAAACTTCCACCGTTGCCCAAAAGACGTAGACCTTCAGAGAGAGGGTCAGGATGTGATGTGAAGCGGTTACGTGCATCAAATCGGTACTTGCCAAGTCTTGGGTATCCTTCTGGGCTGATCGTACCAAATCCATCCAACAAACCATCCTCTGTGCCATCCAATCCACCACGTTCCATTCGTGCTGCTTCTCCCAAGCCAATGCCTCCACCTGGGTGAGTATACATTTCATCTTGAATGCGATTTCTAGTATCGCTCAACTCTTTCTCCCATTCTGCCAGATCCACATCGGCAGCATTACCAGAATTCATCGAATTCCATAATTCTTCAAATCGAGTTTGTGCTGCTGCGCCATCACCAGATACTTCACTTTCCAAATCGTCCAAAGCTCTGCGCACTGCAGCATTTTGTTCGTCTTCGCTTGGCAATGCATCAACGGCTTTGTCTTTTCCTTTGTCGGTCTTGCCTTCATCAGCAGCAGTTTCATCTAGTTTGGCAAATTGTTCTTCCCACTTTGCGTCATCCAGTTCAGTCAAGCGACCAGTTTGTTGGGTTTCTGCCTTGCTGGTAGTAGATGACAAGGGTGCACGATTATACATCGAAGACATTCCTCCGTAACCACCGCCCATCATGCCCATTCCCATTCCGCCATTCATGCCGTGCATGCGTGGCATATAGGATGATGCAGAGCCACTACCGTTAGCAACACTTGGGGCTGCGCTAGAAGGACCAGAGTAGCCAGGGAATTGTTGTCTCCATGCTTGTGCTTGTGCGCTATCGCCCGGCATACTTTGACCACGAGAGAAAGCAGCTTCCATTTCGGCCATACCCGGTCCACTTCCGCCCATTTGACGTAAAACTTCCGGTGGAATCATTTGTGGACCTTGACCTGCACCAGCTTGTCTTGCCATTTCGTCTGCCCAATTCGGTTGAGGACCACCGGCTTGCATTCTATTCATTTCTCCTTTCATCTTTTCAAAATCAAACGCTCCACCATTTTGAGCGGCGAATTGATGTTGAGCTTGTTGTTGACGAAAGAAAGCTTCTGCTTCGCTTGATCCTGCCCCGCCTGGACCTTGTTGTTGACGCATAGAAGAAGGACCTTGAAACGATGATGGACCTGCGGTTGTACGATCTCCTTGTTGTAATGATCGATCGCCACCTGTATGCTTCATAAGTTGCGATAAAGCATTATTGCCTGTTGAGCATTCTGCTCCTGAAAGCATTGCTTGGAATGCCATCTTGTTTGTGATGTATAATTATGATACCATCAAGGTGAAGGTTAGAAAGGAAGATTGAGTGGCACAATCATTCGTCATGTACGCTTAAGCTTGAAAGCCGTCTGATTGCATGCGCGCTTTAATTGTACAGGCACACGATCAGTCTTGTAGGTGTCTCGGTGGAATTGCTTAATGCATAGGGTGGTGGGGAAAGACAATTAAAGTCTCGGATATTAGGGTTTGTAATGGCCGTAAGTGTATTGAAGCAATACAATTCATACTTTCACAATTATTGTATTGCAACACAGCAACAACACGCGTACATGACTAGCTCGCTTATTTATTACAAGCCCGGTAAAGGCAGATAGCCGGCTCCACTGTTTAGCCAGAGCCGTTTAAGAATATTTGGGCACTTGGAATCCGGGGAAAAGTGAGCGAGGAAGGTAGGAGATAGAGCGTTGGCCGTCATTATGGCACACGCTCATACCTTCCTTCTTTTCTCCATCACCAACAACAAAGATGGGATTGCCATTAGAAGGTATAAAAGTAGTGGAGTTCAGCGGTTTAGCCCCAGGCCCAACGGTGGGGTTGGTATTGGCCGATTTCGGAGCAGATGTGATCCGAATTGACAAAGTTGGCGCAACATTGAATCCAGATACGATGACACGCGGAAAGAAGTCAATTGCAATCTCACCTAAACATCCAAAAGGACTGCGAATGCTACGTACTCTGATCAGTGAGGCAGATGTGATTATCGATCCATTCAGACCGGGTGTATTGGAAAGGCTAGGACTTGGACCAAAAGATGTAGAAGAAGGCAGAGATGGAATCAAGGGTAACAAAAAGCTAGTCTTTGCTCGATTGACAGGCTATCAGAGAGTAGGACCGTATGCGTCTATGGCAGGACATGATATTAACTATATTGCCATTTCTGGACTCTTGTCTATGCTTGGAGCCAAAGATGGACCACCACAACCACCCATCAATATCTTGGGTGATTTTGCTGGTGGCTCGTTTATATGTATCATGGGTATCCTAATGGCTCTGCTAGAGAGAGTCAGATCTGGAAAGGGGCAAGTAGTGGAAGCAGATATGGTCACTGGTGCACGATATTTGAGCACATTCTTGCTTTTGAGCTCCAAATTAGAGCATCCAACAATGGGAGCACCAGTAAATGATGGAACAGAAAAGAGTAGAGGAACCAAAGCATTGGATGGCGGAGCACCATACTACGGTGTATACAAAACAAAAGACAATCTCTGGATGAGTGTTGGTGCTATCGAACCGCAATTCTACACTGAGATGGTGCAAATCCTAGGCAAACACGTTTCAGAAGACCTGAGAAGCAGAATACCCAAACCAGAATCACAAAACGACCAATCGCAATATGCAGAACACAAAGCCATCTTTTCCCAAGCGTTTTCACAAAAGACACGAGATGAATGGACAAAGATTTTCATCTCAACAGATGCATGTGTTGCACCAATTCTGAATCCTGAAGAAGCAGCGGTACAAGCTGTTGAGCCAAGGCTAAAAGCTGAAGATATCAATGAAGGTGAACCAGTCGTTCCACAACCTGCGCCTCATCTTTCTCGTACGCCTGCTCGTATACCCGGTGGAAGTTCGGCATACACACCTCGTGATCAAGATCCAGGGCCTGAATTGCTGCTGACTCCAGGTGAACATACAAACGAGATTTTGACATCATGGGCAAATGTGAAAGATACTGAAATTCTAGAATTGTACAAAGCCAAAGCGATTGGTGGACCAGATGCTCCAGAGGTTGAGAGCAAGTTGTAGAAGTACTTATGGTGTTACTGTAATGAAAGACGTTTGTGTTGCTTGTGTTATTTAAACGCGTGTGTGATTTAATTCGCCGCCCACTTAACGCGTGTGTGTGAGGCTTAGTGCGTGCTCATCTGACAGCAGCAGCATCAGCCACACAGTGTGTGACGCTCGTCTTCTAAGTGAAAAAGTGTTAATCTTTCTCGAAGCTTGTTCCTATCACGCATCATATCAACCCAGAGATCGTTCCAAAGATGCCTTCCGAATTTGAGGATGTGCTAACAAATCAACCCGTAGTGATCGATAATGGATCAGGTACGATAAAAGCAGGTTTTGCAGGAAGTAATATTCCAAAATCTTATTTTCCAAATTTCGTTGGAAGGGCAAAACATCAACGTGTGATGGCAGGTGGAACGGATATAGATATTTTGATGGGTAAACAAGCACAAGAATTAAGAGGTTTGCTAAAGATACGATACCCCATGGAACATGGAATCGTGACTGATTGGGAAGATATGGAAAGAATTTGGCAATATGTTTATGCGGAGGAATTGAAAACGTTACCTGAAGAAGTGAGTGAGAGATTGTGGCAGGGCGGTACATTGAATAGCATTCTGACAATCTTTGCCCCTTTCAGCATCCCGTCCTACTAACAGAAGCACCTCTAAATCCACGACAAAATAGAGAGACGGCAGCACAGATCTTCTTCGAAACGTTCAATGTTCCAGCATTCTTTACGAGTATACAAGCAGTTCTCAGTCTATACTCTTCCGGACGGACAACAGGAATGGTTCTTGATTCAGGTGATGGTGTAACACATGCTGTTCCGGTGTACGAAGGATTCAGTATGCCAATGGCCATTCGCAGAATAGACGTGGCAGGAAGAGATGTGACAGATGCGCTACAGACACATTTACGTAAAGCGGGATATAACTTACATACAAGTGCAGAAAAGGAAGTCGTTCGAACAATCAAAGAGAAATGCTGCTTCTTATCAATGAATCCAGCAAAAGAAGAACAGATGATCAAGGAAATGGAAGAATTCAGATTACCCGATGGAAATTCGATCAAGCTAGGTGCAGAACGATTTAGAGCGCCAGAAATTTTGTTCAATCCTGAATTACACGGATTGGAATATCCGGGAATACCGCAAATCATCGTTGATTCGATCTCGAGAGCAGATTTGGATATGCGACAGGGCTTATATCAGAGTATCGTCTTGAGCGGTGGAACGACATTGATGAAAGGATTTGGAGATCGTTTGCTTTATGAGACTAAGCGACTTGTTAGAGCAGGTGATGAATTGAAGATCAAGATTTGGGCCCCACCAGAACGGAAATACTCTACTTGGATCGGAGGAAGTATTTTGGCCGGTTTGAATACGTTCAAAAAGGTGAGATTGATGGGGAGGACTGAGACCTTCTGATAATGATGAGCACTAACTTCTCTTTCTTCCTCGTATAACAGATGTGGGTTTCTGCGGAAGAGTACAATGAAGATCCAAACATCATTCACAAGAAGGTGAGTTAGCATGATTTTCCTGCATTACAGCTTAGCTAATTGACACTTCTCTTGTCCTTCAGACTTTTTGAGCTCACGCAAACACACCAGCTGGCAACTTAAATCGTCGTTTACCTAATATTTTGTACACTGATATATCCAACTTCAGGCAATGCAATTTCATCATTGCGCTATCACTACTTGGAGAGGACACAGAGAGAGAACGACATTAGATACGATTGAGTCGTTGAGTCGAAAGGCGAATGTGCATGGTCATTTTACAGGATAGAGCGGGGCTAAGGGAAGAATGTACCAGCATTCATACTGTCTTGGAGAAGCGATTGATGCTTTCCTCTGCTTCAGCAGGCACCTGTGTCAGATTTTCAACTTGTTCTTCGGGCATATTGTCATTGCGAAGATGACGAGAGATTGACGTACCTTGCAAAGCTTGTTGGACTTGAACCCCTTCCTCATCGTCCATCGGAAAAATTGGATCAAGTGCGTCAAGAAAGCGTAATTGAAGGTATGCATTGTCGTAAAATGCAGGATCATTCTCGTCTAAATTCTCAAAAAAGGCTGATGAACTTGGAATTCGACGGGGAAAGGTTTGCTGCTCTGTTTGGCCTTCTTCGAAAGGAGTATGGTGCATACCTGGATCGCTTGCATTTCTCCAATTCAGATGGCCATGAAAGTCGAATGGAGGGGTTGACGAACGTGAAAAGAAGCTGGACGGTGCTGAGGATTGCGTTTCGGATGAAGCCTCATCGTCTTCATCGTCATGAGCCTGAGTGGATTCATCACTGTCATCATCGGATGGGCTCTGTTGGCAGGTCACATCATTTAATGTTGAAACCTTGATCGGAATGGCGATTGAGACGCTGCTTTGTTCTTCTCGATTGACTTTGGACTTTTTGTCAGGCATGGACTGTGTAGTGAGAGGCAGTATTGATTGAGCTTTGGTAATGAACGATGGAGGTGGTGTAAAGAGAGAAAGATGATGAATTATCAATAGTGAGCTTATAAATGTGTCGAATGATGAGATGCTGAGCAGTTGTTTTCTAAAGCCCGCTTTTTGATCACACCAAATGTTTGCTCAGCATCTCTGTTCTCATTGCGCAATCATGTCAAAGATGAAAGGATTGATTAGTCTTTGGGTGCGGATAACTAAACTCTGTCGGATGAAAGAAGCGTGGAAATGATGAAATTTTTGATAAGTTTTGGCAGCATTTGATTCGATTGAATTTCATGCGTTGCATCTTTTATTCCCTTTGTGCTTGCATGAATTCAAGACCCTTTCATTCATGGCTGTTGTTCTTCTTCAATTTTTGACTCCTGCTTACATATCAACATCAAATTGCATGCACGCAACAAAACCTCTTTCTCACCCAAATGGACTTCCTCGGACAGTGTCTGGATGGCTTCCTTGATACGACGGTCTCGGTTTGAGTTACTTCGTCCACGCTTGCGGCGTTTGCTGCTTCCCAAATCTTGGCATGGTTTATCGGTTGGACTCTCGTCTCGCAGGTGACTTTCGGACACTTTACTGGTGGAAGCAAAATTGTTTTCACTGATTTTCCTTTCTTTTCCTTTCAAAGAACGGCCTTTGTGTTGTGGGTCTCGCCGGCTTTTGCTGCTGCGATGTTTTTTACGCACATTTCCGTCTTTCTCGTTCGTAGTTGCCTCAGCGACATGGCGACTTTTGTTGCAATCAACACCGTCATCACTTTCACTCCCTTTGTCTGAAGATACTACAGAAATAGCATCATCCAATAACTTCTTTGTTGATTCCTTCATAGGTTTTCCCGCAGACTTTTGGAGGAATCCAAACGAAGGAATGAACATTCTTTTGCACTGTGATACGTCAAATTTGATTGGCGGTGCTTCTTCACCTTCGCTGTTCTCGCCGCTATGGTAGCTTTCACTGTCTTTGCTTTCATCCATTGAGTTCGAACCGTCCACCATCTCGTAAGGTAATTGAGAGAAGTCAAAATGGATGATGGCGAGAATGGCGAAACCAGAAAGCTTGCTCTGTTGGAAGAAGAGAGCGAAAGGGTGAACAGAATTCACACTACAACAAGACTACATGTATAGTATGATGTGCAAACATTAGCTTTCACCGTCACGAAAATGCTTACGACATTGACTCAGCACTTCTTCAAGCATCGTTTCAATTGCGAAATTAGTCGGAAGGAGGAAATGAGGGTATCGAATTATTGTCGGTGCATGTGAAAACATAGTCTATGAATTGAAAGTGTCGTTGCTCAGGCATCAAGGGGTGGTAATGAGAGGTGGATAGTCTCCTTCATAAAGCGGTGTCAGTAAGGATCACAAATGAAATCAAAGCTCTGTAATTCAGACTCACCTCAAGAGACCTTTCACGTTTGTGTGGTAAGACTGGCTTGCCCGCAACCAATTTCATAGGTGATTTTGCGGCGAATGGATCGTCATCGACATCGAATGTCACGTTTCGCGTACGGTAGTGTTTTTGACTCATAGTGGAACTAATTCCTGTATATTGTGGTACATCGGAAGAATGCACAAAGAATGATTCATTTGTGAAGATGTCTTGAGGGTCATAAGCTACGTCAACAGTAGCATATCGTTTGTGGCATACGCTTTTGGTTTTGTTTGCTTTTTTGCATACCATCCCATTCCAATCAGCCTTTAATCGAGAGAGGATGATACTCAACTTCTTACCCACCTTTGTCTTGCTGAGCTTTTCGTTGAGCGATGCGCTTGATGAGGACAATGGACTCGTCAGATCGAAGAACTCTTTTTGACACAGGAGTTGATCGTCTGAATGGTTTTCCTTTAAACTAAAAGAATCGTACATGTTCATTTTGGATCGACAGGTCGTGAATGACCGGTGAGATTGAGCGGAAAGTGGCCTTGCTGATGGATCGCAGCTAAAGAAAGAGCGCAAAGAAGCTTCCGAAGAAAGCTTTCGAAAAGCTCTTTGTTTGAACGAAGAAGGAGGATGATCCATCCCAACCATTTTGACAACATGTACTTGTGGGGGAATGTGGGAATCTGATTTTGCAGGAAAGGTAGCTTTTTATGAATTTTCAGCCCTCTTTGTTCCTCTTTTAAGTGTCCGCAATACATTCATCAAGGTTGAGAGGGAAGAAGTGCATTTATTGGCTGAGCATGCAGAATTACACTTTCCAGGCTGGCCAAGGTTTTCCCCACCCTCAATCAGCGCCCAAAAATGATGTATGTTCGTTCATTGATTGCTGCATTGAAGGGCGCTGGCCAAAAATCCAAAAGGAAGGAAGATTCGCGAATCATTACTCTGAAAAACGCCCAAATTGATTCAATGTTTTTTGATTGATTCAGCCCAACATTTTTTGATTGTCCTTCAAGGCTGCACTATGCCAATTGGAGCCGACGATTTGTTATCCGGACCGTGATGGACGTTTAAACTCCGACGATATTAGCCAGGGCTCCTTTGTTCCGGCACCATTTGCGGCAAGTAGTTTGAACAAAGATTGGATGATTTTGGTAGGAATAATGTTGTCCCTATTTTACTGCATTGCTGATCTTTTAGAAGTTATCAAACAAATATTCGGCTCCCCTTTTATCTCAAAGCCAGCGAATCCACACCCTTGCAAACAAATTGAGCGGAGTGGCTTTTGGAAGCCACAAGAATGATTTATTGATACAATACCTGACTGTACAGCTTCCCAATGCCTCGGCACAAATGTTTGTTAAGAAGATACGCCTCCCTTTACCACAAAGCACGCCGTCAAGATGACATTGGTTCAATTTTCAATCGGAGCAACGTACGAAAAGCGTACAGGGTCTACCTGGAACACGTTTAAATCACAAAGGGGTCACATATAGCTGAGTAACACTTTCCAGCTGGCTTTGGAAAGAAAAAGCATCCCCTTTCCTTTATGATGAACATCAGACAAACCCTGAAAAAAGGTCCGAATTGGATATGAAAGTGGTTGGAAGAGGCGCGTGCACGTGCGAAAAGAAATAAAATTCAGCATTCATTCAAAGAGTGCAGTGCAGTGCATACACGCTCAAACCGCTTTAGAAGTATGTATTGAAGTGGTTGTTGTTCTTCACTTCCTCTCCTCCTTTTTACTTCAACGATCTACGGATCATCACATAATGTCAAATCCAGGCTCAAGGCTTGGAACATTGGCACAAAAGTATGGAGGACCAACGGGATATCGTTATTTGATAGCAAGAATATTAGGAGCTGCAACTCGATTGGAAACATCTACTTCTATACAATTAACCCTAACCAGATTACGACAATGGCAGCCAACAGGAGGAGAAAAGGTCAAATATACATTCATGCTCGTGATGGCATTGATCTCGCTTTATGTGATGAAAGTACCAGGTTTCCCACTTAAACTTGGACTTCCTGCAATATTCTCCCTTTTGGTCTTGTTGCCGATCACATCGCAATTCTTCTTACCTGCATCACCAATCTTGCTTTGGCTTTTGATATTCTATTCATCTCAGTTCGTTCCCGCAAGCAGCAGGCCGCATATCTGGGTCAGTGTTTTGCCAACGCTAGAAACGGTCTGGTATGGTGCTTCGATTGCTGATATTTTAACTCGAATCGGTCATCCCGCTTTGGATATTTTGGCTTGGATACCGTATGGTGTGGTGCATTTTGCCAGCCCTTTCTTCGTTGCTGCTTTCTTGTTCGTCTTTGCACCACCTGGCACGACAAAATTCTATGGAGCTGCATTTGGATTCATGAACGTGACTGGGGTTTTGATACAATTTTGGCTACCATGTGCACCGCCTTGGTACGAGTTACGTGAAGGATTGACACCGGCAAATTATGATATGAAAGGATCACCCGCAGGATTGGCAAGAATTGATCAAATTTTCCATGGACATGGCTATACGGTTGGTTTTACCAATGCACCAGTTCCTTTTGGCGCTTTTCCAAGTTTGCATTCAGGCAATGCGACAATGTCTGCTTTGTTCTGCAGCTACTTCTTCCCACTGGCTCTAGAGTTGCCCTTGTTGTTCTCCAGCAAACGGATACGATTTGATGCACGGATCCTGTATTGGATCTATGCATTTTGGCTTTATTGGTGCACGATGTACCTGATGCATCACTTTTTGGTCGATTTGGTAGGAGGTGCATGTTTGGCAACAGGATTCTTCTATTACTACTTACCCGATGAAATCAGAACGATCATGGAACAGGGCTATGCATACAGACCTTCTCAACCTGCGCCAACATCTGCTGCTCCGCCATCTGATTATCCGAGGGAAGCATTCGGAACGAGGAGTAGCGTTGATCTAGGTGAACGTCCAGGTCTCAATGGTGATGCGATGGGAAGACATCATGAAGGTGTGCAGCTGGACGATCTTACCGCATCACAGACCACAACCAAGAAAGACGGCAGTGTATTGTTTGCACTCGGACAAGATGAAGAAGATGACGATCTAGAAGAAAGCCAGCAAACAAGCTTACAGGCGAGCAACGGTGAGGAAATGAAACGATCAAATTCAGCCAATTCAAAGCGATGAAGGAAAGATGTAGTCATTTGTACATTTAATTTTAAATTTTGCAGATTCTTGCTTACCACTTGTTGATCGGATTGTGAGAAGGTCTGTGTTGTGTGGTGTACAGGAATCGTACGAGCCCGTGATCTTATTTGACGCTAGAGAATTTTTAGCCGATCGATTAAATTTTCGGGTCATTAATGCAATCAATCAATCAATTGCAAGAATAGGTAAGAGGGTCTATTACGTTCACTTCATTTCCATCATACCACAATTGTGTCACCGCTTTACACGAAAATGGGTCTGTTTAGTAATCCACCACCGATCAATGATGATCTTCCAAGTGATGAATCCGTTCAAAAGACATTAGAGTTGCGCGTTCAAGATGGTGCAGGTGTACCACATGCACTTGGCTCCCTTCTAAAAGGAAACGAACGAACAATCTTGGTGTTTATTCGTCATCATCATTGTGGTGCATGTATGAGTTATGTAACAACTTTATCCGAAAACGAAACATTCAAACAAACAACCGAACAATCCAAAACAAAAGTTATCGTCATCGGACATGGATCTTTCGAGGGGATCGAATGGTACAAAAAGAATGCAGAAAGTTCCTTCGAAATGTACGTTGATGAATCCAAAAAGGTTCATGAAGCACTCGGATTCAATAATCGTTATTTGGGTAAACCACAAGATGCGGTACGTATTCCAGGAAGTGGGGTGTAGAATATGTTTGACTGACATACCTTACTGTTATTCCACCCACACAGAAACCTGATTACTTCAAAGGCAAGTCTATGGGACAGGTCACAATGGTCTCAGTCAAGCGTGCGTTGTTTTCTGGCGGCTTGGCTTTGAAAGGAGGTGACATTGCACTCTTGGGAGGAGAAATGGTTCTCGACAAAGGTGAGTTTGATGGTAGTCAAGTGCGGTATTTAAAAGCGAGACTGACATAAGTCATCCCCTCATAGATTTACACTGTCTCTTCGTGCATCGTATGCGTGATACTCAGGATCATACACCTGCTGATAAGCTGGCCGAGTACGTGATCGTCTAGTCGTCATCGCCCATTTACAAATTCGACATGGGTCTTCCATTACCTTCGCTTCAATTATATACCAGTATTCATGCTCTCATACCCGCCAGCAATCTGCTGTGCTATCTCATCGCTTTGGCAGAATCAGTTTTATATGTGTCAAATATTCCTGTAGATAAGAAGCAAGAAACGATGTCAGCTATATGTGTCAATTAACAAAACATTTGCTTCTTGTTCCTTCTTGCAATTCATCCCAGATCTCGTTGAGCACATGAGTACTTAACAAATTTCTCTCTCTTTTTTAAAATCAGATAGGAGCGAAAGACATTTTGAAAGATATGCTTGCGTCCGCATTGTGTTTTTACACTCAGCGTGAACTATGCTATTAGTGACGATTTGTCATCCTTTTAAAAAAGAGAAAGAGAGATTTGCGATTGATGACTTGCAAGAGGCTTTTTTGCTGTAATACTCACCTTTTCATTTCATCATCAGAAAGAAGAATGGTATGAGAAGGAGGGCCAGAATGTTTGACCTTCGCGCTTTTCCTAAAGGGAGAAGAAAAAATGCTAAAATCTCTGGGCCTCATCTAACCACGTGCGCGAGTCAAGTTGCTGCATTCAACGACGTGAATGCATGGATCAACGAATGTTGCAATGATGATGATCATCTGATACTCTGTACTGTCATCCTTCTTAAAACCGACAAAAATGGCAGACGCAGAAGTCAATGCAGCAGCACCTGCTCAGAATGCCACATCAGCCGCCAAAGGATCTCCTAATGATTTCTTGAAAAAGGTCATCGGGAAACATGTTGTCGTTCGACTAAATTCGGGCGTTGATTATCATGGTAAGTTTGTAAATAGAGGAAGACCTCAATTACAGAAAGCTGAACATCACCCATTTGTATAATTGCAGGCGTGCTGAGCTGTTTGGACGGATTCATGAACATCGCTTTGGAGGAAACACAAGAAGTAGTTGAAGGTGTTCCACGCGGAAAATATGGAGACGCATTCATCAGAGGGAATAATGGTGCGTAAAATTACAACAACAATCTTCCTCACAAATCTTGCTGACACGCCTCTTCCCTTTCCTGCTTGCAGTACTTTACATCACAGCAAAAGAATGAGCGCTATCTCATTGTTCGTCTTCAAACGGGCATTAATCTATCTGTATTATACAAAGGAGGGTGACGTGTGTTACAAGAAATCAATGCAGAGGTCTGGTTGGCATTCTAGGCGTAACCTGATCATCTTCATCATCACTGCCCTCTTGTACGATGAATTGTGTAGAATCATTCAAGTCGCCCGAGGTTGATTGTCGCATTTGCATCGCATAACCAGCGCTATTCGATCTTCCACCATTGCTCGTGGCATACCTGCTCGGCCAAACACGAGAAGCCAATTGATCCGTTCTCGTCTTCGTCCATAACCATGCATCGCGCAAGAGTATCTCCAATTCTCCGCCAAAGTCTCCCAGCGTTTCCATTGAGACACCAGAGGTGGCTCCCGCCCGAGCTCCAGAAGATGAAGAGCTACGCGACATGCTCAATCCTCCAGGCAAAGGCATGAATGATGACGCAGACACAGTTCGCAAACCGACAGATTCTCTTGCTGCTTCATGTGCCAAATATTCAGCGCGTTCTTGTGTTGCGATAACTTTGAGTAAGTCCTTTACCGTTACCAATCCCGTCAACTTTCCTAAATGCGTAACCAAAATCACACGAGGACCCATCTTCTTGAACAAATCCATCACAACTTCCAACGGCATTGTTGGTTGTACTTGTAATGGGTTCTGTTCCACCCATTTGCCCAGCTCGAGTTCGTCATTATCACCTTCACCGTTGATACCACCGCCTGCTGTTCCCAATAATGCATCATCGCCTCCCTCTAGCCCGTCTTCATCCTCATTGTCTTCATCTTCATCATCTGATAGGAGAGTGTCATTCTCTCTGGGCGCTCTTCGCAGTGCTTTGGCTGCCGCTAACTCTTCTTGATCATCGAACGTATTGAGCGCCGGCGTTGGTGGTGCATTGGGAATGGTTTCGTTTTGGTTCAAGGTGAAATAACACATCGTCTTTGGGCTCAAGCTATTCCGTGCATGACGTGCTTTCCCAATCGCATATCTCAATTCCGTCTTTCCGATATAGCCAAGAAGAATACGATTTTGTGCATTTTGTACGATTGGAAATCCTTTGTAAACTCCAGAAGCCAATCTCTTCTCTACTTCATGCAATTCCATCCCTTCAGCGTTCAAAACAACTGCATCTTTTGTCATCACATCGCCCACTTTGAGATTGAAAACGTGATCGTCCTTGTCCAAGAATGGATAGCCTTGAAATTTAATCGTTTGTTCGGCGATTCCACCTTTTGCGTACCAATCTGCTATTCCTTTTGTAATCATGACCACCAACATTGTCGGTAAGATGTACGTCAGTGCACCTGTCAATTCAAACATGATCACCACCACTGCCACAGTAATCCTAGTCACACCTGCCAAAGCTGCTGCTGCGCCCAAGAAAGCATAGGTTCCAGGCGTGATACATGGGACATCAGGCTGACAAGCCGAAAAGAAAGAAGCTTGCGGATAAGATGTTTGTAAAGATTTGACCAGAATTCCAATCATTCTTCCAAACGTTGCTCCAATTGCCATAGATGGAACGAAAATACCTGCAGGTACTTTACAACCATACGATAGAATCACCAATGCAACCCGCAAAACCGTTGCTAATAGCAAAGAATTCACCATTCGCCATTGTGCAGATGACTGACACAGATTATCGTAATCACCACCTCCTTCACATTCGCGGAATAAAATTTCGAGTGATTCAGACATATCGATACGCAAGAACATGTTCCAATACCCTATCAAGGCAGTAATTGCCGCCAAGATCACTGCTTCTGATACACCATGGCTTGCCAAATTCTCCCTTCGAAACTTTTGAACTTGTAGGTTGTATTTGATAACAAAAGCGCCATACAATCCGCCAAAGATACCAATGATCACATAAAAGAATATTTCGAAATAATGCCAATCACGATCGTAAGAGACTTGGAATAAAACCAATTTCCCCGTCCTAAAAGGATTCATGAACGAAAGCGCTACGGTTGCTGCCAAAGCGCACAAGAAACTGCGCCACATAGTCGAAGAAGGGAAATTGTATGCCATCTCCTCGAGGGAGAATAACACACCTCCGATTGGAGAACCAAAAGCAACGGCCACACCAGCAGCACTGGCAGCGGTGAGCAATTCACGCATCCTGGCTTGACTTCGAGCAAAACTTCTGAACCACGTTCCAACGATATTGCCTATGCAACATGCGATATGCACAGCAGGTCCTTCTTTACCAACGCTCAACCCAGATGAAATTGCTAGCGGCAAGCTTAAGCTTTTGATTGCAAAAGTTCCCGTTCCTAAGAATCCATTGATGATAAATCCAGCAAGAATGCACTTGATTTCACTAATTCCACTTCCTGCAGCATATGGTGCAAAGACACGAACAAGATATGCACATGCAGCAGAAAGAGCAACTGCGAACATGATGTAGATGACGAATGAAGGCAATGTCCATGTGCTCCAGGGTATCCAATCTTCGCAAATATCTGCAGCTGAACTTGTGGGAGTAGTCGAAGAAGTATTGTTGGCTGCTCTTCCATAAAGCTGGTCGGCTGCTGATTGAACATAGGGTATGGCTCGAGAAGATAGTTGAGTTGCTGCTGTGAAAGCCGGAAAGGCCTGGATGTGATCGCGTGCATGGGCTAGACTTGATGCTGTTACTGTAACTTTATTCACTGCTGCTGCTGCCGCTGCTGTTGATACTTTGATAGCTACTGGCGGTAGTGCACCTCCAGGTCCAGTTGTATCCGTCATTTCTCCGCAACAAAATTTCTTATTCAACCACCAACCAGCAGCACAACGCCCTTGTTTGATGTCTGAAAACCATTCGGTTGCGATACTGATCACTGCCATATTCACACCGATCAACAATCCCACCATTACCACCACACCACTATCGGTCACTGCTCCTGCCGCTCTGCATATGAAACGCCAAAACCACCATAGCCTTCTGCCCCAGGGATTTTCTGTTGGCCACCATCGAGGTGGTCTGTCTCCCGGTTCAAAACGCCCTTTTCCCCAAGCGTCCATCTGTCCAAAGCCTCCATTAGAATTACCATTTGCAAGGTGTGCATTTGAAGAAGTGTTCTTGTGTGTACCTTTTCGTGACGCTCTTGCCCTTTCACGCATGCTGTCTGTGATCCAGTCCACAGTTGAGAAGCTCTCATACCTTCTGATTTCATCTAGAGCTTCTTCGTCCATATCATTGGCTATCGAGACGGACCTTTGTGCGGTTCCATCATTTGTGTTGCTGTTGTTGTTGGAGTTGCTGCCTTCGGCTATTCCTAGTCCTAAATTACTCATCCTTCTTGATCCTCTCCTGCCGGATGTTTGCCCCGACGGTCCTCCTTCATCGGGCAAGGCTGTCGAAATGACCATCGTCTGGGCAATCGAATGTAGGTAGTCGGCTGTTAAGATTGAAGATTACCCAGATCTTTGCCTATTCTCAAAACTTAATTCCTGCACGGTATAAATTAGACTTGTGATTGGATTGAGAGTTGTAGGGTGCTGCTCTTCCCCCCATTCGCGCTCCTCTACGTGTTTAAAGCTGTCAAATGATTTCGAGTAAATTTATATAAGCATTGCAATAATTTAATATTTTTATTATTCTTTAGCGTCCTACTTTGCGAAGAAGGATTCTTCTTAGAGCAACTTCACCCTCATACCCTCATATCAATGACAAGATAATACGCTTTGGCAACTTCAATATCATCCTCCCAAGACGACGTTCTCTCTTTTCGTCAACCGGCGTGTCTCTTTATCGTTTCTTCCATTTGGGAGAACGAAAGTAGGCACGCCGAAGAATAATTTCACTTTCCTCCACCTTGTCACCATAAACCAGGCAACAAACAGAATGCTGTCTACATTGAGGATCATTCATCCTCCTTCTTCCGATAATCCAACATGTCTGCCAATACTGCTTTTGACAGTAGACAATAAGAAATTCCTCTTCAATGTGCCCGAAGGAACGACTAGAATTTTGCTTCAACGTGGTACAGGAGGTGCTTTGAGAAATTTCAAGGGAATCTTTGTACCTCGTTCTGGAATCGATGAATGCGGTGGTCTTGCAGGAATGCTGATGTCATTGGCAGATCGATCATTGTCAGAGGTTGAATTGTATGGACCACCTGTTCTTTCTCAATTGGTATGCACAGCACGTTCATATGCAAGACGTGATACTTTCAAAGTGAGCATACACGAAAGCAACCTTTCAGATAATGGCTCTTCTTCTTCAACGAATGGTGGATTCTTGTACAAAGATGCAGATATTGGTGTTCAAGCTATTCCAGTATACCCTAAAGGCTTCTCCTTACCTTATTCGAATGGCGTGTCGGAAGCTACGTCTGATCGACCTTCCAAGAAGCAAAAGAGTGAGGACAGCATAGATCAAAACAGATATGCACCTACCGCAGAAGTTCAACATTTCTTGAATTTGATGTTCTCATCCAAGACTCATAGCAATGGCAACGACCAAGAAATAGAGAATGGATCGGATGAAGAAGCTGCACAGAGGGCCAAAGTCACTCAAAGTAGGTTTCAAAGGCTTTCCCCGCCCCCTCTTCCTTCAATAGAGCTGTCCGAAGCAAACGCTGGACAAGCACCTGCTTTGACGTTCATCGTAAGAGGAAGCCCAGTCAGAGGACGTTTTGACGCTCAAAAAGCACGAGAGATTGGTGTACCAGACCCTGCCCTTTTTAGAGCCTTGGCGAGCGGGCAGGATATTGAAATCTCTAGACCGATACAATGGTTCGAATGGGATGAAAAACGAAAAAATGCTTGGTACAATCAGCTTAAAGCATTAAAGGCAGCCAAAAGTGGGAAAAATACAAAAGCAAAGAAAGCTGCAACAGTAGGCGATGATGAATTGGCTAATGTGGAAACGGAGACTGTTACGATCTACAGCAAAGACTTATTGGCACCATCAATACCTTCCACAGATTTCGCGCAGGTCTATCTACCTTCTATTGATTACTTGGACTCTTTCCTTTCAGCAAATACGCAAGCGCAATTTGAAGCAGCAAAAGAACAAATGCACACTATGATTCATGCTGTGCATCCTGATGTGCTAGAGACTGACAAGTATCAAGCTTTCATCAAGAGCTTCCCTACAACGCATCATTACATTTCTTGCCGTCAGTATGTTCCTGACAAGCTTGGCTACACTTCCTTCTCAACAAGTATGCTACGTCTAAGCCGAATCGATCAAACTTTGTTCAAGGTTCCAAATTACTCATTGACGCCAGAGCGATCACTCACAAAAGTAGGACTTGGTCTATCCAACATTCTTCCCATTGATACGGAAACGTTGATCGGACTCCAACCACGTAAACCGCCGACGTTGAAAGATGCAAATATTAAAGACTTCAACTTTGCGATTGATTCACCAGAAGCAGAGGCATTGGCCAGTTTCTCTTATGAGCCAGAGCTTGAATCTCAAGCTGCTCCTCTTGAACGTGGGCGACAGAGATGGACGAGATACTTGCAATTAATTGCAAACTTACACGAAGAAGAGATGCAAGATGTGTCTCATGATGCAACTTCAAGTCAACTCGACAAGATTGCACTTACCACCCTGGGCACTGGGAGCGCTTTGCCTAGCAAGCATAGGAACGTTAGTAGTACCCTCTTGCATCTTCCTGACGATCAGGGTTACATTCTTTTGGATGTAGGCGAAGGCACATACGGACAATTATGTCGAAGATTCGGCGCAGAGGTTGACGAGGTCATTCGTAATATCAGGTTGATCTTCCTCAGTCATACGCATGGTGATCATCACATGGGAACAGCGAAATTGTTGGCAGAACGAAAGAAGCTTTCGATTGATCGTCCATTATTTGTGCTTAGCAACACTTTCACTCGGGCATATCTATCTGAAGTCAATGACATTCAATCTCTCGATATTTGTACACCGAAAGAATCAGGAAGCGCAAAACGAGGTGTAATCTTTCTCGAAAGCGAAAACTTTGATTCTTGGCATGGAATACAACCCGATTCACTCGTCAAAAGTCCAACGCCGAAAGGCCAAGAAGACAAAGCGTATCGTGCTTTCACTGAAAATGATATCCGTAACTACGTGGACAGAACTCATCGAGACTCAAAAGCTGATCACAACATTGAATCTCGGGTAAACTTTGTCATGAATCAGACCATGAAAACAAAGAATCCACTTCGAGATGCTGTAAAGCAACAATTGAATGCTCTAGAGGACAGTCTCAGTGGAACCAAGGTGTTTACTACCGAAGTCGACCATCGAGGAGCAAAATGTTTCGGAATCGTGTTGCGAGGAGAGGGTTGGAGTATGGCATACAGTGGTGATACACAACCTTGTGAACGTTTCGTCCAAGCGGGTAAAGATGTTGACATTCTTTTGCATGAGGCCACATTCGAAAACGGAGAAGAAGAGAATGCGGCAAAGAAGAAGCATAGTACCGTTGGACAGGCCCTTGATGTTGCGCGAAAGATGGGAGCAAAGAAATTATTATTGACCCATTTCAGTCAACGATATCCCAATATACCAAAGATCAGACCAGAACAAGCAGGTGGTGACAATTCTGGTATGAACCCATTGGTTGGTATTAGCTTCGATTTAATGACTGTCAGACCAAACGATATCGGCAAAACGGAACGCTACCGAGAAGCATTGCAGGTCTTATTTGATGCTGAAGAAGAGGATGGTGGAGACGAAGATAGTGGAGAAGGAGAGAATAGAGAGAAGAGTAAAGTGAAGAGCGAGAAAGAAAATGCGAACGGAAAAGCCAAACGCAAAGATGCGAAGGAAACAGAATCTGTCGCGGAAGGTAAGTGAGGTTGACAAAGTTTAATACAGCTAAAAGTAGAGACATCGTCATTGACAGACCATCTTGCCGAATATTATCCAGACAAAAAGCCTGAGCAGCCAAGAAATGGGAATGCAAAAGATGTACAACCAAATGAATCATCTGCTCCCAAGAGCACTTCCTTCAAAAATCCAAAAGGCTACATCATACAAAGCAAGTACGTCAAAGATCATGAATACGTTTACGTGGTGATCAATGCGGTACCCTTGCAACGTTCACGCAATACACCTGCTCCAACCGAAGATGCTCCTTTCAGCAGATTGACATTTGCTGATTCGGTGCAAAAATCGTTGGACGAGATGCATGGCTTGGTGGGAAGCAGTTTTGAACGAGATTTAATCTTATTTCAACCTTCATCAGAGTCCGTTTTGGCAATCTTTAAAGTTGCTTCTGATCATGCGCAAACGTTGTCATCTGTCATTTCTGCAGGTGTTCAGATCAAATCCAATGCCGGCACAATGTTTGTCACCCGATTCGCCGGTCTTCTAAGCAGCTTTGACCTGAGCGCCGTTCGAGCAATGGTTGCAAAAGATCATTCGTCAAGTCAACAAAGGCGGACCTTGCAACCACCTGGCCGAGCTTGGTTACAGGCTCAATTCTCAGACGAGACTTAATGTTTTACTATATAATGTCAAACTACACCAGTTCATTGATCCAACAATCAAAATGTATTAATTTTTGCAGTGTATATTTTTTTTACATAAGATGATACTTTCTATTTTGAACTTTGCCTTCGCATCCCTAGCCTGACTCGTCTTGCACCCAGATATGTCCGCTTTGTTTGGCCGGATGCTGTTCTGGCAAGGCATCCCATTCTTGACTCTCTTCCGTATCGATACCTTGAACCCATCGTTTCCATGCCTCTTCATATCCTCTTTCCAAGTGTCGCACCCATCTTTGCGTATCAAAAAGTTTGTTTGAATCACGCGATAAGAACAATTCTTTTCGCAAGTCCGACAATTCTCCATGTGATCTTCGTGAATCGGTCGCAGGGGGTGCTTGTGGTCCAGTCTTTGCCAATTCGATACGTGATCGTGGTGGAAGAGGGTCAAGGTTTTCTTGCTTTTGTTCTTCTTTCTTGGATTCAGCTTCGGCCTTCTTCACGTTTGCAGGCGCAGGCGCTTCATTGGCTTTCTGTAGCTGTTGCTGGATATGCTGGCCGGTCGAATTGACGGCGGTATGCTGGGCAGCTGATGAACTTTCTGCATTAAAACTCAACGCATCTGCTTGAACAACATCTTCTCCTTTCTTCGGTTGTTCGGCTTTGAGACTCTTTCCATTTTCGTCCACATATGTGTATGACAGACTTTGCGCCAAGTGTACCGCTCGATCCTCATATGCTTGTTCTGAATCAACAATCATTCTATCACCTTGTCCTGCTGCGGCAACAATACTTGCTGCCACTCTACTAGCCATCTTATGCTTGTGCTTTGGCCAGGTCAAAACAGGTGTTGCGGACCAGAGAATGTCTGCACTCGTTGTATGGGCACCACATTCCAACGTATCCAAAAACAAATCGGCAATTCGACCACGATGAATGTGAACACTTTTTGGTGCGACATCAGTAAAGATCACTCTTGCCGCCACCTCATCACCAAAGTGCTTTTGAGCATATCGCAACAAATGTGCTTCTCCAGCGGAAGGAAAGCGCAGAAGCCAGATGATACTATTTGGAACACTTTGAAGGATTCGTAGCCATAATTTGAATAAAGTAGGTTCAAGCTTGTACAACTGATTGAAATCTGCAAAGATCACATAATCGTCCGGCAAAGAAGGCCAAAGTTCTTTGCGTGCTTGCCATCTACGCTTTTCTTCTTCTCTCCATGCCTCCTCATCGTTCATCTGATGAGGTTTGACGATCTCCCCGGATGCGCCCCGTCTTTGTTCAGGTTCACGGAAGCCTTGACGATGGTCGTTAACAAAGTAGCTATCTGGCAAATAAATGAAATGCTCAGTGTATACCCAATCATTGTCCGTCGATTCAGGATCACGATCACCATCGAAGTCCGTCAATCTACGCTGTCTTTGCGATCCTTGCTTTCTTTCTTTACGCCAAATATCCGTACAAGTCATCTCTGGTGGACACACAATCGGATCAACAACAATCCAATCTGTCCAGCTACTTGCCATTCCGCCTGCAAAACCCATGAATTCCAATTGAACGGGACAAGGTCTTGCAGCAAAAATTTCATTTCTTGCACCTTTCGTGTATCCGTTGAGATTCATCAACAAATGTACACCGTCCTCTAGGATACGTGAGATAATCATTTGATTTGTCCACGCGCTTACGTCCGTGAAGTGCTCTGCTTCTTTCTCAATTTTCTTTCGGTAGGGAGATTGATCAGAAATAGAGGTTGCATAAAGGAAGATTTCAAATTTGGATCGATCGTGGAAGCCAAAAGTGGATTGCATCAAATGTGCCAGTGGGTGATTATTGAAATCACTCGAAACGTATCCCACTTTGATTCTTGGAGCTGGAGGTGCGGGCGGCGGGTAGACATTTGAAGGTAGCCAAAGTTGAGACATTGTAGTTTGAGAAATACGCAAAGCAGTTCGATGAGAAATCAAACGAATATGTCGCGGTGGAATTTTGAGAGTGAAGGTGTGGAACGGAAGAACGGTTGGTACTGCAGGTGTTCCAAGACAAGCAGGCAACGGTACCCGTCGATACTTTTGTGCATCTGCTTGTTGTGGTGCAATTCGCTGTAAAGCATGCTCGGACTGGATTTGATTGCCGTACACATCAAGATACCACTCCCTTTGTGTTCTTCTCATTATACGCTCTACCAACCTGATCACAAAGGAGCCTTCGTTGATCTTTTGTTTTTCTCGATCGCCATCCATACTCATGGCAGAGATCATTTGAATGCGATCAATGTAAGCTTGTTTCTGTTCCGCGCCTTTCCGGCCAGTCATTCGTACGATCAAATCAGCCCATTCCTCAGGACTGCGATCAGAGCACAAAGAGCCGACACCATACAAGCTTCCTTCGTCTAATTGTCGCTCCAGAAGCGCCACAACACGAGCCATGAAACCTTCTTTACCTTCATCACTTTGACTGTATACTTCATCCCAATCACAAATGGCAAGTAAAGCATTGACAAGTCCACACAAAGCTTCGGGAAAGTTTGGATTGACCTCTACAGCACGTCGGTAGTATTGCACGGAGTCTTGTGTACGACCTTGATCTTTAATCGCGTTACCCAGATTTGCCAACGCAACGTCGAATGTCGGATTGCAATCGATCGCTTTCTCATACATCTGAACCGCTTCAGTCAGATGATTCAAATCTTTGAGTAATGAACCAAAATTTGTATATAGATGGGGATGCTTAGGATCCAAAGTGAGACCGTAGGTGTAGTATTGAAGGGCAAGAGATTGTCCATTGATACTTTGACGTTCGCCTGTACCAGAAGCAACAGTAGTGCTAACTGGAATCGAAGATAAAAGAATGCCCAAATTGTTTGCAGTTGAAGCAGCAGGACTGACAGTGATCGACAGATAATACAAAGGCAAAAGTAGCGAAGTTGAAGGTGGAATGCCGTCCAATGTCAACGCACCGTGAGGTCCGCTAGTGGCACGGGTGGTAGCATCTTGAATCAATTTGGCAAGTGTGAGCAAAACCGTACTTGTCATCGTTTGTGATTGTTGCAGGGTAGATTGAATCGTATCAACACTTTGCACAGCTCGACGACATGCTTCAACAAGAGCAGGCAAGCTGCGTTCTGTTTCAGCAAACAAGATGCTGGCCAATTGAACCGCACCTTGTGGCAGCATCATCAATAAAGGCAATTGTGATCCTCCGCCAAGACGAAGTAGTGTACGAAGCAATCTATCGCCTGACTTGCGCACTAGGCGAAGGATGCCACCACCTGGACATAAAAGATGATATTGACCAGCAGCAGCTTGTTGAATCTGTTGAGAATCTTGCAGGTTCAATCCAATGGCTTGAGCAATATCCGATAATGCATGCGTTGCATGAGCACCAGGTAATGCAATGCCCATTGTCAGAACACCAATCACATAGGAAGAAAGGACGAGATCGCGTACGCTGTATGCGCTATTCTCAGAGGTGGACAAGACCACTTCGATGGCTCTCTCATACTCTCTTGCTGCGGGTACAGCACCCAAATCTGGCAAAACGTACTTGAGATTTCCCTTTGCATAGAACAAATTTTGCAATCTAGGTCCTTGAGCGACTGGTAAGTGCATTGGCATATACACAGGAGCGTTTTCAAAAGATGCGATTGCACCACTACCAGGTACTTTTCGTAATCTGCCTTCATCTGTTGCCTGTTGACGTTTGGACAAAACATTCGATTCAACAAATTCGCACAATTTCAAAGCTTCATTAAATCTTGGCAAACCCGTTTCAGGTTTACGATCTGCAGGTGCAATACTTTGATCGTTGTCCGAAGGTAATTGACCGATTTCCGCAACACGATTGGCAGCAGCATGTTCTTCTTCGTTGGGTGGAATTTGTTGCGGTGAGCACAAGACACCCAAAAGATTCTCATAAGCATCCCAATAGCCCGGTCGAAGCTTCACGGCCCTCCACCACCAAGATTCTGCTTCATGCCAACGACCTAAAGCGCGCAGCGTGGTTCCAATATTGCTCATGCTTTCCACGTAATTTGCGTCGATTGACAGAATCTCTTTATTGTACCACAAACTTGCTGCCAGATCACCACAACTGTAATATGCACAACTCAAAAGCAACAATGTCGGCAGATGGCGGGAATGCAACTTGTGCAGTGTATGCAACAAAGGCAGCAGGGAAGGATGTAGCTCGGTACGCATCTGCGGCTGCTCTCCTTCTTTCTTTGTTTTATCCATTGCTTCCTGATCTATCGGAACTTGTTTTCCACCAGTTGCGTAGAGGTGATGGGCATATTGTAATAATTGATCACGAATTTGAGGTGAGTTGACGCTCAATCCGGTTGAGGAAGATGCTTGGGCCACGAGGAGCATAGGATCATTCTGTTGTATAGTATATGAGCCAGGAGAAGAGGTTCCCACTTGACCATCACCAGCAGAATTATTTGCCAATTGCTGCAAGGCAGCTTGCTGCAATTGCTGTTGTTGCTGAATGTTGGACACACTATCGGCTGAAGATGGCGCAAAGTACGGTTGTGCAAAGCCGTCGGTATGCAATTTTTGATAATATCCAGCGGCCAAAGCGGTAAGCTGGGATTGAAAATGACGTGCAAAATCAGGCGGAATGAATTGTGTTGTTGATTGTCCATTTCCGCTGTTAGGACTTTTGCCGGCTACCGTTGTGCGGTGTAATTGTTGTCGTGCTTGTTCTTGACGGTCTACACCTTCCAATCCGGCCTTTTGGGAAATTAAAAATAAGAAAATTAGCCAAACTTACAAGATCACACCTAATCAATCACACTCACCCATGCACGCAACAAGACTGTGATCTCTTCTTGTTCTTGTTCCGTTAGTGCACGGCTGCTTGAGCCGGTAATTTCCCCATTGGCGCTTGTATTTCTTCCTTCGACGTTTTCTTTACTTTGCATTTCTGTATCATGATCCTGAAAAGTACTGGCAGTTGTCAAAGCTGCGGTTGCAATAGCAGCAGCTGAAGCAAGAATCTGAGAGAGGGGAAGAGAGCGTGTAAGAAATTGACTTTAACTACTTTGTGACTTTTTTTCAAGACATACCGTATATTCATCTGGTGCCAACCGATAGCTGATAGTTGGAGGCGAATCAGTTGTAGGACCCATGACGGATTTGAAGAGCAAAAGGAGGCGAGAAAGGGAATTGTTTGAGAGTGTCATGTAGATGACCAAAGAGAAGATGTTATTGTCAGTACTTCGTCCAAGGTAAGATTGAACGTGGGGAACGGTGAGGTGGATGATCTGGATAACACAGCCTGATGGCATATGACATCAATGAGCAGAGATCATGTGGACAGCCTCTTTTGAAAAGTAGATCGTAATCGTGGTGGTGGTGGATGAAGGTAGAAGGAGAAGGTTGTGCAGCATGCAAACAACCGCCGTCGTTCTTCTTCTTCGCGTCGGCATAAACGGGAGTGCATTCATGCGAAATACAGTGAAAGCCTCTTCTTGAACAATTTGCAAATCAAATCTCTTCGTTCCATCTCTCTCTTCCTCCATTCCGTGTAATCCGTGTAAATGAATCATTCGGCAAAGAAGGAATACTTAGATAAGCATACCTTCGGTTCCAGACTCTCCTCCCCACGATGTATCACCTTCTCTATCGGATCACAACTCCCTCCTCCCTGCAAAAATCTTCACCGCTATAGCCGCCTTTACCGCCATAGAGTAAACCCGACTTTGAACGGCCAATCAAGAAAGCGCGAGTTTCCGATTGCACCACCATTACGAAAGCAAATCATTGCAATCTTTCTTTTGTGCCGTCATCAGATATGAACGCCAACTGCTTTGATAATCCAGTGATCCACAACAATACAATAACCATCCCTTTTGCCTCTTTTCCTACCAAAAAAGGCTCCACCCAATCATAGCTTTGTCAGACTTTTCCTAGCGGAGCGCAATTCAAACACTTTTATTTCGCACCGATTCAGCCCGTCCATGATCGGAAGGAGAGGGTAAAAAGGCACAAGAAAGGGGAAGAACAAAAAAACACTGCTACTCACGAAGGTACAAAATTCGTTTGATTTGTTGCGTTGACATTGTTTGATCCTGAAAATGGCGTTCGCATTCCCATCACAATATCCGGAGGAGGTAGCATAGCAGGCGAAGGACTTGGCATCATTGGCGTACTGGGAACGCCTTGAAAAGGTTGACTTGGATCATACCACCGGTTAGAATCTTCTGGCGTAAGATTTGCGGACACGGTTTGGGCGATATACTCATGAACGGCAACGTTTGATGCAATATTGCCAATTTGCACTTGTGCTTGTGTTCGAGGAGACAAGGGTGCATACCAACCTGCACCTTGCTTGGATGAATGCGATTGGTTGAAGTTGTGTGGTAATCCCCTTGACGCCAAAAGCATCGCCTGAGAAGGATGTATCTGCTGCTGGGAAAGAGAGGAGGGAGATTGACCTTGCTTGGCGGCATCCTACAAAGGATTATAAAGGGATTGGAGATGTCAGTACTATACTTACGCTTGCATATTGTCAACCTCACTACTCACCGTCTCAAGACCTCCGTTTTGACCATTCTGACCGCCTTTAGGAGCTAGATTGATGCCATCGAATCCGCCCTGGACGCCTGAAATGCCGGCATCATTTGCTTGAAATGACGTTCTGGCTTGCTGTTGAGCAGCAGAAGGTTCATAAACGTTACTGGCCACCAATTGAGAGGCTGAAAAAGCCGAAGCGGAAGAAGCTTGAACAGCTCCAATTTTAGCAGCAGTATGCAACGAATTCGCAATCGATCCTTGTATTCCAACCGAGGCAGGATGAACGGAAAAAGGAGGAGGTAGATTATTGTTTGAGCCGCCGCCTTGGCCGGAAGGAAAGTTGGAGAAATGCGATTGTGATGGTAAACTTGGCCGCCGGGTACCTGAAGATGTTCCGTTTTCTGCACTTTCGATCGTTACATCGGATATCAATCCTGCACTTTCACGTCTATGTTGAAGTATTTGACCTTCTGCTGCAATTTGCACTTGTCCAAGTAATGCTTCACTTACATTCTGTGCAGGTGTTTGGGCTAAAGCACTGGCTGCCATCAGCATTGATGCTGCTCCACTTCCAGCCGGCAGATTATGCGGAGAAGGACGACCGAGAGAATGAGGTGAACTGCCAGCATTATATACACCTTCACCATCGCCGGAATTTCCTAGAGAAGATGAAGATGCCATATTCTGATATCTGCCTTGGTTGCTATTCCTTCTAGCGGAAGATGATGAAGAATTGTCTTGATAGGACTGCATATTGACATTCCCATTCATTCTATCAATGATTTCTTCAGCATTCCTTTGCTCCACTTTTGATAAATATCTGCTGAATCATTCCTCCTTCCAAGCGAATAGGATGATGATCTTTTCTATTGTACGAGTATAAACAGAAGGGGTATACGTTAACGTCTATGGTGGTTATCGATTGAGTCGTTTGTGTGATATAAATGATTTGATATACTTCTTAAAAGCCAAGCCTTAACTCGGCGCTAGATCCGACCGAGTCTCAACGCCAAAACTTAAACATACTCGGAGTGTGTGTGTGTTCACAATCAAGAATTCTTTTGAAAACTAAAAATTACTCGTTTAACATTCATTCTCCCGCTCGCTCTCTAACTCTGTATGCGTGTGTGCGCTGTATAGATTGCATTGAATGTGCCCAGTGCGTCGTTTGAGTTATGTACATTAGAAGGGACTTTATTTTTATTGATTTCATGCACGGCTACGTACCATAACTATAAATTTGCATGCGCGCTAAGAGTTCAACCGGTGCCGCATAAGCAATTGCATTCAACATGATAAACGCGCGCAGCCGCTCTTACGCCATTTTTGGGGTGGAGGTTTCGGCGTGGCTTTTTGTTTACTCAACGTATCATGTCGATCAACACTTTCACAAGGGGCGACAAGTAAAGATGATGGTGATCATAGCAATCAAAACATTATTATACACTATTTCTCCTTGCAGCTGTTCCGCGTTGTCGTCTCTTTTGTATTTCTTCTTGTTTACTTTCCGATTCTTCAAATGCAGATGGAAGTTTACCTTCTTTTTCCCATTCAATCAATGCAGATCTTGCTGCTGAATAGCCAATCTGTTCGGTATCATCAAAGAAGTTAAAGGCCATCGTTCCGATATGCTCTACCGGCATTCGCAAGTACAAACAATCTTTTGTACGAATTGCTTCTTGTAGATCTGCAACAGATGCGGCATAAGTTAAACGACCTTGAATGTCCGTTACCGAAGGAATACTGCGAGCATAAGACCATGGATTGTATCGATTGATTGCAACCCACCAACCTGATAATGTATCTCCATAAGGTGCCATCGGACTTGTATCATCAATCGAGCCAACATCAACAGCAAAAACATGTCTTGCTCCCATTGCAAACATGACTGAAACAGGCAAATTGGACAGATATCCACCATCAACGAGCATATGTCCATCATCAACCAAAGGGGGCAACAATCCTGCCAATGTCATACTGGCACGAATGTAACGCCATGCATATCCACTCGTATGGACTTCCATACGACTCCAAGTAATATTTGTTGTATTACAAAAGAAAGGTAACCACATATCCTCAATATGTGTCTCACCAATTGCTTTGAAAACACCTCGATTAAATTCAAAACCTGTCGTGTAGCTCACCGTTGGCCAGGTAAGATCGAGAACAAATCGCCAAAGACTTGCCATTCGCCCAGCAAACTTCTTCACACGTCCGAATGAGCTGACCGTTTCAGCATGTTTGGCATACAGTCCACCAACCAAACTTCCGATACTCGTTCCTCCTACCATATCAACTGGTATACCGCTCTCTTCCAATGCACGCAAAAAGCCAACGTGACTGATCCCTCTTGCTCCTCCTCCACCAAGCACTACCCCAATACTCTTTCCACACAATCTTCTCGCCAATCGTGCAAAATCGCTACTTTGATGTGATCGTCCTACGATCGGCTGACCGGAATTACCACGATAACGTAAGAGTGACATTTCCAATTTTGCTTTGAGATTACGCAAAGCTTTCACCGGTGTCGGATCACCAAACGGAGTAGGCGCATTGAATGAAGCACGGGATCCATGAGCCAAGCCAGGCAGCTCAACATGATGATGAGATGCGATCCAAGGTCTTGTTCGAAGCCATTCACGTGTAGATCCAGGCGGAACACTTCTTTCCGGATGCAATAAAACCAACTCTTTCCGTGCTGTTGTCTTGATCCCCAACAATAATCGTTCATACTCTCCCATCGTTGGATCATCGCCAAATCCGACCAACAAGATACAATCGGCTTGACGAATACTGGTTTGCGTCCATGGACTACTGACAGAAGTATCAACGACGTACAGAACCAATCTGTGCTTTTGCTCTTGTTCGGCTAACCATCCGGCTAATTTCAGCTTTCCCATCCTGTTGAATGCATGTCTGCCTAAAACACTCATCACGATGCTATGATTCAAAAATGCAGTTGAACCACCGATCGTATCGTCAAATGCTTGCTGTAATCGATTGGTGAAATCAACGACGGGAACTTGCCTTGTCACAGGAACGATGGCGACTGTTTTCAAGTTGTGATTGTTCCGACCCAGATCTGGCAGACCAGGTACGGGAGCTCTAATTAGAGGAGCATTTTGACCTTTACTACGATCCATCTCATCGCGAACACGTTTTGCAATGATACGTGAAATTTGAATAGTAATAGCCGGATGACGAACAGAGATTGCATTAAACAAAGTCATTGGCATTTTGACCAGTTCTGAATCACGAATTGCGTGTAAGGTCTTCCTCCTTTGCGAGCGTGTAATCACATCCAATTCACCAACGCTATCTCCTTGACCATGTTCGCTTAAAACGTCAACTCCGCTTTCGCCTCTTTCGGTGATGGATCGTAAACGACCATTGATGACGATGTAAAAGCTATCTGCTGCATCGCCTTCCCTGAAAATTACTTGACCTGCATTCACTTGTTGCCAATCCAAAGCAGAATCAATATGAAGAATTAAAGGAGAAAGCAGACTCAACAATCTCTTACACAACGTCAACATCACGATCGGCTTACGCTCCATCATTCGTTCCAAAGCACGAGCAGGAAGGAAACCAACGTACACGTCCGTCTTTGCACGAACGTCAACATAGCTGACAGACCCTAAAAGACTGGACAGATAGCCTGCTAGACCACCTCGACCTACTGTATACAACGGCCTTTGTCCTCGCTTATTTTGAAGCAAAGCTGCAGCTTCGGCAATATCTTGTGCAATCTTACCACCTTTTGTTCGTAAATTGGCTGTCCTTCGACCATCTGAAGTGCCATCAAGCGCATTCCCTACCGAAGGTGACACCGAAGGGCCTTTATGGGCATTTGTTCGTGATTGCGCAGAAGCTTGTTTTGTAGACTTGTTTGACGATTTAGAGGCACTTGGTGCTTTGTTGGTATTGGATGGGGCATTTTTGGAATTGGCATCCCCTGTACCTGTACTCAAATTGCGAGCTTCCTCTTCTTCATCGTCGGTAGGTGGAACGATCACATCCAAGAATCCATCAATAACGTAGAATAAGCCTGCATGTCTATCTCCTGCCCTGGCAAGCACACTGCCTGCCTCGAAGAAGCGAATGTCCACTTCGTTTTCTAGCTCAAGATGCTGTAGATTGGCCAAATTGCTGCTATGACCCGTTATACTACTTTCATCATCGAACATAGCTGCATCGAGCATGCTCAAAGTTCCAAAAGCAGATTTGAAAACACTTCTCTGTAAATGATCTTGAGCATTCAGATATGGAGAAGCCTGCATACTCATCACCGGCGAAGAAGGTACTTGTGCCAAACCAATACTCTTTGCAATACAATTCATCACTTCATCACGTAAATCAGTCGCGCCAAGCTGATCTGAACCTCCAAACAATGGTTCATCTTCGGGTATACGTTGACTATGCTTTGGAGCAGCCTTTGAAGGTGACGACTCGGATCCTTCTCCGTTTCTATGCAAGTTCAGCGGTCTTGTAGTGAATGAACCCAAAGAATCACGATGTCTGCTTGTCTTTGGTCTATCTTTAGTTGACGAGTTTACAAAGTCGCTATAAGGTGATCCCGGTCTGGCTCCAGGATCTTGATTTCCAGCCATACTCAACAGATCGCCCGGCCCTACAGAAGTACGTGAGATCGGCGTCCGTACAGGAAGATCAGGATGTCCCCAGGGTGTTTGTGGCACTTTTCCGGTGCCCTTTTCTTTTGTTACCACCACACTCGACTTCCTTTCTTGGCGTGGTTGAGGTCGTATAGTCTGATCCGATGCGTTCATTGATCTATCCTTCCCTCTTAGGCTTTCAGTTCCCGTATGGGAAAAGTAGTCCTCCTGTCGACCTTCATGTTGCTTCCTTGGTTCAGGCAAAAAGCGCTGACGTAATCTCTCAATTCCACCTTGTTCGTAAAAGGAAGAAGGCAATGGATAGCAAGCCAGTTCGTTGATATGCTTTTCCGTTCTCATTACTTCTTTCGTTAAACCCAAATATTTGTGAGCGGTATGAAACGTAACGCGAGAAAGACGGGTAAGAATGACTTGAACGATATGTGCTGCTGCGTTGGGGTATCTTTTGGTAAGTCTTTTGAATGCCGCTCCTGGTAGAACAGCCAAAGTGGTATCAACTGTCGCTCTGCCAATCGTTCCCAAGCCTTCTTGACCAGAGTAATAACGCTCCTCGCTCATTTTGCGGGAATCTCCTGCTCCCGCACCTCCTCCTGCCATTCCGTTGGTATGTATGCCTGCTCCAGAATATCCAGACAGAATTGATCCTGGTGTTGTAGGCCGACCATTCTCAAATGTTGCTTGTGAAACTGTTCTGCCACGCAGCATTTGAGGTGAGTTGGCGCCCATTTCCATCTTGCTCGTCGAACTTGGCGTAGTTACTGCACCTGTTGAAGCAGCAGAAAAGTGCGGAAAAGGTGCACTTTCTTGTGCTGGCGGTAGTAATTCACTTGGACCAATATTCGCATCATCTGGTTGGTGAATAGTAGTGGCATCATCGGTAGATGAAGTTGTTTTTGTACGACGATGATTGCTGAGAAAGCTATCCTCAAAGATGGGCGATGTTCCCATAGCATTGGGAATATTCCTCAATGTTGCCGAGTTCAATTGTAACTGACTGTGTCCCGGTCTATACACACCACTTGCACTTGATGATCCTGAGTTCGAATGCATCATAGCTTGTGCCTCATCGCTGTGTGACTTGTGTGTTCGGCTACTACGTCTTCGTACGCCTGACAGACTTTCGCTGTTGAGATGTGATGGTGTCCTGTACGCTTCATCATCTGCTGACCCTACTGCCAATTTGACATCCTCTGTGAATAAACGCAAGATGGTGAACAGACTACTCAAAGTGCCTCCACTTTGTACCTCGTTCAACAATTGGACGCCGGTATACTCTTCGTCGTCAGTGTCCACATTTGCTTTGTTTGATGCATCGTGAGCAAATACTTGGACATTTCCATCAATGACGATAAAGAAGGACGAGTCGTTATCCAACGAAATACTGTCACCTGCCACCAATCTGCGCGTTTGTAGATGTCGAGCTAATTCGTGAAAGACGGGCTTTTCCAAAAATCCAAAGATTCTTATCGCTTGTAAAAAGTCGTCTAGATAGTTATGAAAATTCCCTCTATCGTTATCATCACTTCCTCGAGCAACGTCTGGATTGAGATTGAATCCTTCATCTTTCACCAAAGGTTCTTCGCGTAATCGTTCGTATCGATTGAGATATCTGTATCTCATCCAAATGAAACCTGCAACGAGCAAGCTTATGAACAGGAAGAACAAAGATGGGAAATTGAGTTGAAGAGTGAATGAATAGTGTAAGATAGCATATACCGTTGATGGAACAGTTACCGAACTGAATCGAACGATTGCAGCTACCAATTGCAAGGTGGCCACCACCACTTGACCTAATCCATCGAAAAGGGCTCCTATGGGGTGTCTTCCCCGCAGGGACAAGACATCATCCACTTCCACCATCACAGAATTGAGAGGGATGTGGTTGATGTCCAGTTGTAAGGTGTTCAAGTGTTGTTCTCTTATTATTATATATACTCCTGTGCACAGACTAATAGGGTTCTCTTGCCATGAGCCTAGGGATTACTTAACCTATGCATACATTCACGTGTAATCAACCGAATTAAAGTTTTTGTTCTTATTAGTGTAATAATATATGAGATATCTTATATGACGGCGCAAAAGTCTTGATTTTCCGACCGGAAATACAGAAGTTGCTGATTTCATCATCATTATCACAGCAAGGTATCCTTCAGTCAATCCACAAGGGCCTTGCAACCATCATACAGCGTCCTCATGCGCAACCTTCGCATTGCATCACACGTTCATCACAGGCTTGACCTGAGCGATACACCCAAAACATCATCCTCATGTCAAGTTCGTGCAATCGCATTTGATCCACGGGAAGAAGCAGATATTTATTCCGCCACAGTTTCTGGTTCATTGACTTCGTCCGATGTTATAGATATAGACCTTTGGAGATTATGGCCAAGACAAAAACATGTGGCTGCATTCTCTGCGCCACTTTATACAGCTTGGCAAGCATCACAACAGATCGTCTCCCTGGATTTCCTAAGTGATGGAGGTTCATTCGTTCAAGGAGAGCCTGCTCTTTGTGTCATTTCAGCTGGTGGAGATATTGCTGTTTGTCCTATTCAAGATGAAGATGATGAAAACAGTGAGCCAGCACTACCAGAGATCGTTGGATCAGTCGAACAGGGTATTTTGGCAGCTAGCTGGAGTCCCGATCAAGAATTGCTCGTCCTCATCACAGCTCCCACTCCAGCCGAACTATCTGAGAATGGAAAGCCAAAAGGATCAACTCTATTACTGATGACCCGAGAGTTTGAGGTGCTGTCGGAAAACGTATTGCAAACAGATGATTTTGGTGAGGAAAGACCTATCGCTTTGGGTTGGGGATCGAAAGCCACACAATTTCATGGCTCAGAAGGAAAACAAGCGGCTGCTGCGGCTGCAGTTCTGGCGGAAAAGATGTCGGATATGTCCTTCGCAGAATCACCCAGAGGGCCTCCGCTACCAGACGATGATTTGAAACCGAGAATTAGTTGGCGAGGTGATTCAGCCGTCTTTTCAGTCTCAACAGTAGAGTCATTTGAAGGTGGACCATCGCAACATAGAATCATACGTACATATGGCAAGAATGCAAACCTATTGGCCACGCTGGATCCAAATGTTCGCGGCATATCACACGCCTTGGCATTCAAGCCAAGTGGAATCTTGATGGCTACTACGCAAGTATACGAAGGACAGCATTCAGTAGCATTTATAGAACGAAATGGATTGCCAAAAGGCTCATTTGCATTACGAAGCGACGATCCAATTCGAGAGTTGGCATGGAACAGCGATGGTTCTCTCCTGGCCGTTTGGACAAAAAGATGCATACAGATATGGTCTACTGGAAATTATCATTGGTATCTTAAACAACAATTTTCATTGGACGCCCCTATTACCAATCTACGATGGCATGACGAGCAGCCATATAGTCTCTATATTGCTTCTCCAACCGGTGCTTCAGCATATCAATTCGTTCTCGATACATGTGTTTCCACTTCTCAAAGTCCACCAAATGATGCATCGTGTGCAGCAGTTGTGGATGGTCAAAACATCCTACTAACACCTTTCCGAATTCAAAATATACCACCGCCAATGTCGAGTATGACCATCAAACTTGAAGAACGTGTCGTTCCGATTGATATCTCCTGGTCTTCGGTATCTCTATCTAGCAAAGAAGCTGTCAGTTTCTTGCACGTTCTTTTACCTCGAGGTGTTGTACAGACATGGCTTCTGCAATGGGGCGATTTGCAATCATCTGCCAAAGGATTAGACGATAAATGGAAAAAGCCAGAGCTTTTGTGTACTACTGACTTTGGACTGTCGGCGAGACAATTGGCTGCTTTTGCTCATTGTAAAGATGAAAAAATCAAGATTGCAGTAGGTGTACTGGCTGTGGATGGGTTTGAATCGCTCAAATTGGCCACACGCAAGATACAATGGAAGGACCGTGTTCTTGGCAATGTTCGCTTTGAGTCGCTTTCACTTGGTCGATCTGCACGCAGGATGCTGATCGCTGCGCCGCAAGACATGCAAACAGCAAAAGATGTAGTGGTTGCACGAAACGTTTACGTACATGAAGACAAAATGCTTCGCAATATTTCTGGAGAAAGAATTGCATTGCCTGCCTTTTTCCCCCACATCAATCTGATCTGCGCTCAAAATTCACCAGAGGAAGATGTCCATTCGGTCGGTCTGACAGATGCTGGACAATTGTTTTTGAACACAAAGCTTTTGGCACGAGATGCGAATTCATTCACTTTGACTGAATCTCATATTATATGGACAAATGTCTCTCACGAAGCCAAATTCTTGCCCATTCAATCAGCCCTTGCAGCGATTGATGTTGAAGCAGTTGAAGCTGGAGCGGAAGCCATTCCTTTGAACCGCAGAGTTGAACGTGGATCACGCATTGTGACTGCAGTGCCTAGCTCGATGACCTTGATATTGCAAATGCCACGAGGAAATCTGGAAACAGTCTCGCCTCGTCCGCTGGTTCTGGAAGTGGTCAGAAAGAGCTTGCAGGCGCAAAGGTATGGGAAAGCATTCCGGATCTGTCGTACACACAGATTGGATATGAATATCATCGTTGATCATGATGAACAGAAATTCTTGCAAGATGTCTCTCTCTTTGTCAAACAGGTCAAAGATGGAGAACATCTCAATCTTTTCTTGAGTAGTTTGTCAACCGTTTCCACCAAACAGACTGCTTCAGCTTCAAAGCCATTCTCGCGTGTTGTGGGTCGTGTTTCCGATGCTCGCCTGAATGGATCTCTGGAAGGAACAGATAAGCAAGTTCGAATCAATGCCATCTGCGACGCCGTTCGAGAGGTGTTGGAAAAGGAAGACGCCAGGGCTTACGTGAACACTATCTTGACAACACATGTTCGCAAATCTCCTCCAGATTACGAAGCAGCATTGAATTTGCTCGGGGAGTTGAAACGCGATGATGCTGCTCTAGCAGATGAAGCATGCAAATACATCATTTTCTTGACCGATGCCGATAAGCTCTTCAAAGCAGCCCTAGGAACCTATGATTTCACTTTGCCATTACTCGTTGCCCACCATTCTCCACGTAAGGATCCAAGAGAGTATCTACCTTTCCTTCGCGAATTACGTGAAGTTAAGCCATTGGAGATGCAGAGATTCAAGGTGGATGAAACTTTGGAAAGATGGGAGAGAGCTTTGACCTGGTTGGTGAAAGCTGGCGATGAGTACTGGGATCAAGCGGTAGAACTTATCGAAAAGCACGACTTATACCTCCCAGCATTGCAAGAGTATGCATCACAGCCTCAAAGATTATCCTCTGTGCAAGAGATGTACGGAGACTGGCTAATGGAAAAACATCGCTACAAAGAAGCCGGAATCTTATTCGCTCAATGTCGTCAATTACGTAAAGCCATTGACGCAGATGTCAAAGCTGGTAATTGGCGTGAAGCATTGGCAGCTGCACATACTACCGTCACAGAAAAGGCCGAATTGCAGAAATTGGCACAAAGGGTTGCTTCTAGTTTAAGCTCGTATGGCAGAAATGCAGAAGCAGCTTTGGTTGCATTGGACTATCTGGACGATGTTGAAGAAGGTGTTCGATTGTTGTGCAAAGATTACGAGTTTGGAGAAGCAAAGCGTATAGCAGCTAAGTGTGGACGAGCGGACGAATTGATTGGAGGAGTGATTCGTCCCTCCGTTCTGGAGAGCGCAGAAAGCCTTTTGGAGGAAATCCGCGAGATCGAAGATCAAGGAAAGAAACAATTTGCACGTTTACAGGAACTTCGCATTCGAAAACGTGAGAGACCTGAAGATTATTACCCTGATGTAGGAGAAGATGGTCTTGGTGGGGATGGATTGGATAACCTCGATTCTGCAAGTCAAGCCTTCACAATGTTTACTCGTTTTACACGCTATTCTGCTTTCACAAATAATGCTGCTGCTGCTGCCAACCGACGAAGAAGAGGAGATGCTGAAACTGGAAGTACAATGTCGCAATTCACATTGCGAACAAAAGCAGGTGCTGCTTCTACAACACAGACAGCCAAATCCCGCAAGAAGGAAATGCGTAAACAAGGAACAGGAAAGAAGAACAGTATTTACGAAGAAGACTATTTGTATACTTCCCTGCGTAAATTGTTGGATTCACGCTTGGAAAAGATTCAAAAGGATAGCGGAAAGGTGCTTTTACAGCTGGTAAGACTGTCCGACCATGCTCCAGAAGATGGAGATGAGAGCAACAAGCAATGCGCAGAACGTGCACAAGAGTTGGCAAATGTTTTGAATCATGTTGAAACAACGATGAACACCTTGAGCGAAGATTTATGGCAAGACAATCTGGACGATGAGGAAGCACTAGAGGAAGAACGTGTGAAAGCCATTCAAGAAGGTTTAGCATTAGGTCTTTCATGGGATCAGCTACAATCAAATGGATTGTTTGCACCACCCTTGCATCGGGAACGCATTACGGTCGCATCGCAAGAATGGAGACAACCGGCAATCGTACCGGTATAATCCAGCTTGAACTAAAATGTACTGTTGATTAATTGTAATTTTATCGCACACATATCTACAATCATACCTAATTTTCGTCAGCCTGATTAATTTACACCAGTTCCTGTCCATGACCATGATTGATCGATTGTGATGGTTGCCTTGCCAAGTTCTTCGCCATAACGAGCTGAACGGGCCAAGACGAGATCGTAATCTCCTTGTTTCACTTGCCATGAACGACTCTTTTCGTCCCAATGGCTGAATGTCTCTTGGTATAGTTGAATCTCTGCTTCTTCCGATTGACCGGGAGCAGGACGTAAGATAGCAAATCCTGCTAAGCGTTGAATTGGTTCATCTTTGGCATCACTTAAAGGCACATGTGGACGGAGATAAATCTGAGCAACTTCTTTACCACTTCTTTTGCCTTTATTTGTACTTTTGACTGTTAATGAGAGTGGTAAAGATGATTTGTTGATCTTTGTTGATCCTTTCACGACGGGACCTTCAGTTGCAAATGTGGTATAACCACCTAAACCTTCGCCAAAGTGGAAAGCTGGTTGATTTGCATTCTTGTTTTTGTTATAATATTTGTAGCCTACCAGACGACCTTCAACGTATTCTGTATGTGGGCCTTCTTTATCGTTCGGAAGATGTGTACCAGGGAAGTATGCTTCATCAACACCAGAAGGATGATCTTCGATTCTGGCTGGCCAGACGTGTGCTAAACGACCACTTGCAGGTGCATCACCACGACCCAATAAGATATCCGACAATGAAACAGCACCTTCTTGACCACCATACCAGCATTGAACGATTCCAGTCGCATCATTACGCCAAGGCATTTCTACAACGCTTCCGGTCAAATTGAGAATAACAGTTTTGCCAGGGCATGCTTTTGTGACTTGATTGACTAAATCATCTTGACGTCTTGGCAAGAAAATCGTGGGACGATCAAAACCTTCACTTTCCCAATCTTTACCTACTGCTGTCATGATTACAGTTAGATCTGCTTCTTTGGCTTGTTGAACTGCTTCAGCAATCAAAGCATCTTCATCATCCACTTCTTCCATTCCGATTTGGAAGCCACCATACTTGGCATCCCCATGTTCTTTTCCAACCAAACGAGGAACGAAATGAGCTTCAATTTGAATCTTTTGACCTGCTTTGACGGTGATCACATTCTCTTGCCAATTACGCAAAGGATTGACGATTGACTCGAACAAGTCTGTCTCTCCGTCAAAGTTCCAGATAGATTGTTTGCTCTTGTCACCATCGATTGTAAGGTAAGCAGTGATCGTACCTAAACCCAAAAGACCGAAACGTAATTGACAATCTTTCTTAACAGGTTCAAGGTCAAGCGATCCACGAACCCAATAATCGTTCCATGGAACTTCTTTTGGCTTTGGCAACATTGTACTCAAAGTGGCTTTTTGTCCGGTCGTACTGGCTACCACTTCACCCTTTCCGGGTTGTCGGCCTGTGAGGAAGTCCAATTTGATAGATTGTTCTAATGGTTTGACGAAATTATGAATTCCAATACCGTTGTGATGGTTTACCGTCACATCTTGTCCGCCTTTTTCGTTCTTGAGTGCATCCTTGAATGTGCTCAAAGGTTGCATAACTTTTTGTGGTGTCAAATTTGCACTACCACCGCCAGATTGAACGGCTTCAATCCAAGGTGCACCAACGCATAAGATCTTAAGATCCTTCTTGGGGATGATTGGTAGGATATCGTTGTCATTCTTTAGTAAGACTGCTCCTTCAGCTCCAATCTTTCGAATTGCAGGTCCGACTTGTTCGATTGGGACGCTCTTTTCAACTTCATCAGCAACGGATTTTTGATAGCCAAGCTTATGAACCTTCTTGACCAATTCCAACACCTTTAAAACGCAACGATCCAAATCCTTTGCCATCTTTTTACCTTCTTCATCACCTTTTTTGATCGTATCAATTGTTTTTTCAATTGTTCTGAAGATTGTTGGACCTGGCATTTCTAAATCAGTCGCATTGAATGCATTTGCATGCATGGCAAACCAATCCGACATGACTAAACCATCAAAGCCCCATTCTTTACGTAAGATGTCGGTAATCATTGCATCATTTTCGCTAGATGAAACGCCATTGACACGATTATAAGCAGTCATTACACATGCAGGTTGAAATTTGAATGGATCATCATGGGCACTCGCTTTACGTTGCATATCTGCCATAATGATCCTAAAAGGCTCCAAATACACTTCACGTAAAGCTTCAATTGAAACATCACTAGAATTATTTCTTCGATCATATTCAGCTTCATTTGCAACGAAATGTTTCATCGTTGCACCAACACCACAACTTTGAACGCCTTGAACCCAATGACTTGCCAGAAAACCCATCAAAGTTGGATCTTCCGAATAACTTTCAAAGAATCTTCCTGCCCTTGGATCACGTTGACCATTAATCGTTGGTCCAAGAATGACATGACATTGTTTCTCAATACCATCCAATGCGATTTGCTTTCCCATCTCGTATGCCAACTTTGTATCCCATGTTGAACCTAAACAAGAAGGTGAAGGAAATAAAGTGGACGGAGTTGAATCATGAAAATCACCCCCTCCGCGTGCACCTATTGGACCATCTGTTAATTTGATATACGGGATCTTCAATCGTTCAATTGCAACCGTTCTCCATAAATCAGCTCCTGCTGTTAATTGAATCTTTTCTTCCAACGTTAATTGAGCCAGTAAGGCTTGCGGGTCGATGGGGGCGGACATGTTTGGAGGAAGATGGATGATGGGAGAGGGAGAGAGAGAGGTGGCTTCATTCAATCCATCATAAGCGTGCTCTACACAGTTCTACGTCATATGATCCAAAAAGGTGAGCAATGCACTTTCCCCGGAACTCGGTACACCGAAAAATGATGGCTCATGCATCTTATCCGTTGGAAGTTTGATCGATGCAACGGTTATCAGGCCTACGCTAACCGTTGGGGAAAAAGGGCTAATGCATCAGCGCAGCATTGAAAGTCATTCCAACGCTCGCACCGATCTTGGACCGAAGTGAAGTGGGGGTGGCTTGAAACTTACTTCTCATCCCCACATGTTTTTCGTACGAAAGTAAGGCACCGGCAACCGGTCTCGAGCACAAGAGTAGGTAAAAGGTATATTAATCAGATTATGTATTGGAATCAGTAAAGCCATTACAGGAATCAAAAAAGTGTCCATGAGGGATTAAATTGCCAAATATCTCTGGAAAAGAAAAGAAAAGAAGAAAGAAATACAAATGAAAAAGAAGACAACGCACAGTATGCGTGCTTTATTATCAAAGAATGTGAATATCACTCAAATAGAGTAAAAGAAAGGGTATGACAAATTGGGTATTAGTTTGCGGAAAAAAAAATTGTCAAAGTAAGATTGGAAAAATGAATGAAAAATAAAAAGTCCTTCCTATGCGGAAAGTAGATCAGGTGTTCGTTTTAAGCAATTGTTTGATAATCCTTGATCCAGTCGATCCTGAAACGGCAGACGATTGTCTTTGTTCAACCTGAAGAGAACGTTGGTACTGTGCCTCTTCATCCCAAACGGGCAAATCGACAATCATTTGTGCCAAAGTCGTATTCTCCCGTAAAGACATTTGATATTGTTGACAACGAACGATTGCCATCACAGCATCGTACATCAAATTGAACTTTCGCCAATGAATCATTCCATCACTTGCACGTTTTGACGGATTTCCATCTGAAGTGCTCAAGATATCCTGCAAGTGTACACCCAAATAAGGTATCGTTCTTCCTTCCGAATTTTCTAGCGCAAGTCGATAAGCAGCAAAACTACGTTCACTTCCCATCAGTCTCGTCAAGCTTTGATATTGCTTCATCACCTTCTTTCCGTTCAATAGCTCACGTGTGTTCTTCAATCGATGAATAGACGCATTTCCCAGTCCAGCCAAGATGGCATGCAAGGTATTGTAATTATTTGTCCTTCTCAAGATCGTTGCCACTTCCATAAATTTCTCCAACATTTTTGCTCTTTGCTTGGCTTTGGATTGTACCAAAACCAAAGAACAGACCCAAGCAGAAATGTAGTTAAAGTGAGCAATACTTTGAGCAACCGACGAATTTGGAGCACGCAATGACCTTGAAACCAAGATATGACGCAAAAGATCGCGTGGTCCGATCGTGCAGAATAGGTCCCACTCAATTCTTGTCAATTCATGTGCAATATCCTCATCACGAATCTCAAAGAGCATATTTGAAGTATTGCGTAAGATCGCTTTTTGCATTTGAACCGAGACTGGCCCTTTTGGTGCGCCAATCGGAGGCAATTGGCCTGAGTTGCCCAAATATTGTGAAGATCCATTACCGCTCATACCTCCAGCACCTGTTGAATTCGACATGGCAGCTGAACTGTTTGCGCTCTTGTGACCTTCACTGGAAATGGTTGTAACATCAGATGTGCTTCTTCTTCTGTTCCCTTTCAAGCTTTCGCTTTGACCATGACTTGCAACGGATGAAGCCGCGGTGGTGATATCAGAATTGGCTGTCGTATGCGTTTCACTTGCCCCTCTGCCAACCTCTTGCAATCTGGAGATGGCTACTGCTGCAGCGGAGTTTGAAGATGTCGAAGGTGCCCGTGTGCGGGTATCATAAGGTTTTACGGGAGGAACATCTGCTGCGACTGATCTGGGTTTATCATTATCTTGATCCTTGCTCCAAATTGCGTCCAAGTCTGGGGCAGATCGTACAACGTCCAACAAGGGTTGCATAGGTGCAGCAATGTGCGTTGTTGCAGGATGTACCAGCAAGCGATCATAGAAGTCCACCAAAATGGAAAACGTTTCTGGGTCAGACAAATCGCCAGGGTATTCTTGCATCCAATCACCCAACATCGTCGTCAATTTCATCAACGAATAGCGAATCATTACCCCGTCCGACTTTTCACCTCTGGCCAAAGCGTCAAATCGAACGACAATTTGATTTAAAAGATCGATAGGCCTTGCAAATCCTCGGAAGAATGTCATAAACATGTGTAAGAATCGTTCATCATTTCCTGAAACGGCAGAAAAGAACAATTTATCCCACAATTCTTCAATGCTGACATATCCCCCAACGCTCTTTGCACTTTGAAGTCCCAATTGAGCGCGGTCAATGCTTTGTTGAAATGCACCGCCATCTTCTTCACTGCCGGCTTCAATGCTGCCTATGGTGACATCGCTCATCTTTCGATCGAATCTCTTGCGTGACATTATTGATTGACGATCCCGCATATTGATAGAAGGAGCGGCAGTGGAGGAAGAAGGGCTACGGCTACCGGTATGACCGGAATCACTGCTAGGTTGAAGAACGGCATCAGGTGAGACCATACTCATTGAGCCCGAATCTTTACTTCCGCTCATAGACATAGACTGTGCTGCAAGAGGTGAAGTAGCTGTCCTTGTTGCTGGAGCAGATATCGATCCTGTTTCGCTCATTCGCATCGTTGCACGTCCTTTTGCAACTTCTTTGACCAAATAGCTAAAACAATCTCTCATCCGTTTCTTGCCTTCTTCACTCTGTACACTGCATTCTGCCAATCCAACATTGTAGACAGATGCCATATCACTTGCATAGTATGGATCAACGGCTTTTGGGCTGATTTCCGATTTGCATGCAAGCATGACCGTACTCAATTGGTTCATGGCAAAGTTTTCCAAAAGTTCCGACATGCCTCGGAAGGAGGAAATTTGGGATGCATCGTAACACAGAATAGCTGCATCAATGTAAGGCAGAGATCGTGGCCAAGCAAACCGTTTCGATGGACCGTTGAGCAAAACCGAAGCATCCATTTCCAAAACTTCAATCGTTCGTTCTTTTTGATCAACAATGCAAATCGTAGAATGCGAAGTGATTCGATCCGAAACAACAGTCGGCTTAGAAAGTCCGAATTGCCGTAAACCTTTTCTTATCACTGTTGACTTTCCCGAACCTTTATGTCCCACAACGGCAATCACAAAGTTTGCCTGTGAACGTGGTCTTGATTGGATATGTTGCAAAAGCCCCGTTCCACTGCCACTCCTACTTCGCGATTCTACTGCCGGTAATGAAGTTTTACTTCCACCTGCATCTCCGATTGCAGAGGATGATCCTATACTTGCAGCACTACTAGAAGGTGTGCTTGTCAACGTGGCAGAATGCAAACCTTCTTCGGTTGGCAAAGAAGGCAGAATTGAAGATGTGCGCATCGCACTGCTTTCACTCGAAGTTGAAGAAGAAAGGTTAAATTTTGGCGAAACGGAAGAAATCGAAATATCATTTCCAGCAAGCAGTAATTCATTGCTCAACAAAGAACGTGGTCGAACTCGAGGTCGAACATTACCATGTGCACCCGGAACAGCTCCAACCGTTGCACCACGTGGACGACCACCTCGTATTGTTCCATTGGGTCCCAACGTGACAGGTGAGATCGGATTTGATGAGGATGACGGGGTTGAGGGCAATGGTGCTGTGGGGTGTGGAGCAGCCGGAGGCAAAACGGAACTCCTTCTTCGTGAGTATGGATCATGTTTCGCTAGACTGCTGCGTCTGCTAGATTCACCAGTTGGTGCATTTACTGAATCTCCATCTTCTGCAATTCCCAGCAAAGTAGCTGTTGATGCTTGATGGTGCAATTGATTATCGCTACCATCCTGTGATCCAATCGCTCCTTCCATCGCATCTTGACGAAGCGTAGCAGATGATGCCGTAGCATTTGGTCTAGGTGACATTTGCAACCAGCTCATCTCGTTTTGTTGATGATCAGCATCGTCATCCTCAAGATTCATCTTTCGCACATGCGAGTGAATGTGCAGGCTGGGCGATGTGGATGGCCCTGCTTGTGCGTCGTAAAAGTCTTCATCCTCCTCTGTTCCTGCTTCTGCGCTTGTCGTTGTAGAAGGTGGCGCTGAAGGTGAAGTGCTTCTACTCGTCGATCCTTTCTGATCGTCTGCGTCTGGTAAAGTTGGTGAAGCGTTGCTGGCTGCCCATTCAAGAGCAGCAGCGGTTGTTAAAACTTCATCTGCTTCATTCAATTGTTCTTGTTCTTCATCGTGCATTGGTAGCGAAGAGGATGAAGAGGGCGGTAGAGATTTCCGACGGGCATATCTTTGCTTGAGCTTCAGTAGTTTCCTCCTCCTTCTTAGCGCTTTTTGGTGGGCATCATCCGTTCCTACCCTTGCCATTTCCTCATCATCCTCACCTTCCTCTTCTCCTGATGATGTTGCATGTAGTATGCCATCAACCTCTTCTTTTCCTTGACCGTCTTCCCTTTCGTCATCATCTTGAAGTAGGGATTCTAATTTGTGTACAAAACTTTCATGTTTAACCCAATCGTTTTGATTGTTTGCTGACCAGGATGGGCCTGCCTGAGCCGAAGAGGTTGACGCAGCACTGTTGTCTCCGTTTGTTCTTTGCTGAGATGCTTCCATTTGTGCTATTTCTTCGTCCAAGCCCGCTACGACTGGAGATGCCATCCTGTTTGAAAATAAGGTTTTTTTGATGGGTGATTACCACAATAGCACTAATGGAAAGAAGGAGTGATAATCGTGATAATTGTCAGTACTTAATTGTGATCATTAAAGTGAAATGGAGGTTAAGGGCATTTCTCATATTAGGCAGGCTAAGTTCAGTTACCAGGTCACTCCCCCATCTCGAGCGAGCATTTTCTTTACGCAAAAGCGCGATGCATATAGAGACACCTCGCTTGTGTTGTCAAGCTGGATCCTCGTCACTTTGTCCGATTATACCTCAAAGTGCATCAACTGATTCTTTTTGACTTTCAATACGGGACGGCGTTTCAGCCTTTTGATCCGAATTGCAAAGGCCGCCTTTTTATGAAATGACATAGCCCCACCGAAATCGCGCATAGATCGCTTCTATGCATCGAATTCAACCTTATTTTTTATGAGAAAAAAGGTCCGCTGTGATCGTGAACGGTGGGCGTGTTGACTGTGGGAATATGGAAATCGTATCTTTAGAGGATTTGAATCGTACTCACTCTATTTCTGGCCAAGATTTCAACACCCTATATTTTCCTCGGTAATTTTTACTCCGCTCGGACTTGTTCTTCGAAAATAAGCATGAGACGGGCTGAAGTTACATAGAGTTGGCCATAACTGAATGAATAAAGCGAGACTTGAATCCGTTGAGTTGAAATGCACTTATTTTCGCGCAATGTCGTCCGAACAAAGCGTGGGTGATGTTGTTCCAAATCGTCGGATAATTGTTGGTTCTGACAAGAGTATCAAAGCGGTAGCGGCGATGTAGGAAGTATCTGATCGAAAAAGAATGTTGAAAGATGCCGTATGCGATGCGAGTCGAGATGAATTCAATTTACTGCTCCACCAAGTAGCAACAGTCGTCAATCGAGCTTCTAATCCAACTTTAGTTCGGGTTGATTCTTACACCTACTCGTCGTAGCAAAGAAAGATGTTTGTTTGTTGTTGAATGTTGTTTATCCTCTAATTTCAGATCGAGATGTGAGATGAAAAGGAGAAGATATTCGCCATCCTGCGATTTCAATGGAAGAGGAGAGCACAAGCAATTCAGGTGATCGGTTCAATGATTGAAACTGACGGCTTTATTTTTTTTACTTTGTTGTTGAATGTGCATTGAAGTCAAGCAATACACTGCTCCAATGCCTCTTGTCACAGACACAAACGCAATTAAAACGGAAAAATAAAAAATACAAAAGCTGTACGTACACACTACAGTACACGCGTATTGTTCGTGTATAGACAAGACTATCTAGCGCGCACACGCACAAGCAGAGCTTAATGCCCACAATGGAGTTCACATGCAAGAATACGCGCACAACTGCACATCCGCATTTACAACCGGACGACGCGTTTAAAGAGCAACACTGTTACCGTACCATTCACAAAATGGGGAGTGTTTTTTGATCATACGCGTGGTTTCGGTCAAGCTCCTCTTTTTTCTTTCTTTTGTCCTTACCTCCTTTTCTTGAATGTTCATGTATGTGTATGTACTTTTTGAGCATTCATTGTTCGGCTTAACTCTGAAGGGGGGGCACATTGATGTGATCGAGTTCGGATATCATGGAGCCGCATGTATGATGTATTATTCTCTCAACCTCTTACACTGACATTGCGGCTCCGTCTTGAATACCGTACCGAGATAGGGCCGGAATTACACCACTCTCGGCAAAGGATCTGGGAAAATAGTCTTAAGGGGATCATACCATCTAGTCAAATATAAGTGAATAACAGACCCGATCATGATGAAGAAGCAAGTGTGATAGGTCGATAGCGTATTTTTTAAACAGTCTAAACCCTATTGGATGATGCATTGTCTCCTTTGATTGTTTTTACTGTACTGTATAGAAGAAGCTCTAGTCTGCGCGCATATTGTTATTATTTTTAATGCTTAAATTAATCTCCTGCATCAATAATTGCAAATCTTCTTTTAGGCTTAACCCGACAGGATTCTATTCATCTTCATCGATGAATTAAACTCCAATCAATGCACTATCAAACTTCTTTCCTTTTATTTGCGCGGGAATTTGATTAAATTTAGCCTCGGCCAAGAAGAAGAATGTAGACAATACGATTCAGCATGTGCTTGATCGTCAATCTTCCACTACTGTTTTCATTTTGAAAGAATGACAATGACAGTGTACAGAGCTTTATCTCTAGTCAAGCCTTCTTATCTTCTTCGAATAGAGTCCAAGCCTCAGGCTTAGCAAGATGGTGATTGCCGTCTCTTCTTGATTTGTCCCTCCCGCGCTCCGTTTGCTTCACGCTTGTACAAGAAGATTATTCCACAAGGTCGCACGGGCCAATCTGGCTTTTGAATCAATGTCAAATTGGTCATCCTTAACCTTTGTTCCTACCACGATCATTTATACTGGACAAAAGCATAACAATGAGTGCACAAGCATCTAGTAGCAAGATGGTCAATGATGCCACGATCGCACGAAAGACGTTTGAATTGAATAATGAAATGATCGAATTGGATCCACGTACAGATTCTGTTTTCAATTATGATGAACAACAACAAGCAAAAATACGAAATGATGCTCCTTGGAAAGCTGAGTGAGTGCTGTTTGGTCCTACTTTGATGATGTAAATATTCTGACATATCATTTAACCCCATCTCCACAGCCCCAATTTCTTCCAACGTGTTCGAATCTCATCTGCAGCATTGATCAAGATGATGATTCATACGCGTGCAGGAGGTATATACGAAGTGATGGGAACGATGACCGGAAAGGTTGACGTTGAGTCTCGTACGATCTACATCATGGACGCATTCGCACTTCCAGTACAAGGCACAGAAACACGAGTAAATGCAGGTGATGAAGCGTACGAATTTATGGTAGAATGGCAAGAAAGTAGTAAGAAAGTTGGTCGATTGGAAAATGCGATCGGTTGGTATCATTCACATCCGGGTTATGGATGTTGGTTAAGTGGAATTGATGTGAATACACAAATGACAAATCAACAATTCCAAGATCCATTTGTGGCCGTTGTGATCGATCCTAATCGTACAATCTCCGCTGGAAGGGTGGACATTGGCGCTTTTAGAACGTACCCTGAAGGCTATACGCCACCGAACGCTGCCGCTTCCGAATATCAGTCCATCCCACTGAATAAGATTGAAGATTTTGGAGTGCATGCAGATCGATATTATCCACTCAAAGTGGAGCATTTCAAATCTTCGTTGGATAATCAATTGTTGGATCTTTTGTGGAACAAATACTGGGTATCTACGTTGGCACAATCTCCCGTGATTGTGAATCGTGATTACGCTGTTGGACAATTAGAAGATTTAGCGGAAAAGTTGTTGCGAACAAAAGCACAAGTGGCAAGAAAAGGCGGCATGAATATCAACTCTTTAGGGTACAATGCAGGCGGAAGTGGTGGCAATGCTGAAAAGAATAATGCCAACGGAACAGGCACAGGAACAGGATCGACAGGAGAAGAAGAAAGTGCAAACAATGAATCCAGCAAACGTGATCGAATTGCAAAGATTGTTTCAGAAATGAAGAAAGCTGAAGAGAATACAGCTTTGGCCAAAGCTGCCAACGACGGTAAAAAGATTTCTTTGGAGGCGCATAATGGATTGATCATTCAAGTTTTGAAAGATTCTCTATTTAATCGATCTTCAACCGGTGCAATCATTCCTCCCCCTTCTCAGTCTTAATCATAAGTTGCTCTTCGCATTCATCTTTCAATTTTGTATACTATCAATCTTAATACATTCATTCACTTCCATTCAATGAAAATATGTGTGTCTTTGTGGAAGATGACGCGTGATTACTAAGCGCGTGCAGTGAGCCACTGCGATCAATCTGTGATCATCGCGATAATGTATCATGTTGGAAGTAAAATTACTGCGGGGCTCGATCGACAGAAGCTCTATCTCTCTACAATCAGTTTAACTGTTCAGCAAAATGGAATGAAAGTACTTCAGTAAAAGGAAGGAAGGCATAGTAAGATATCGAATAAGAAAATGATTTTGCAATATAATTGTATAAACAACTTTTTTTATTTGTTTACCTTCAAGGTTGACATTCAATGGTGGGAACAAGTAATAAATCTTTCCAGTTAACGACTGCTCGTCAATGTACCACACTTCCTTTCAGCGACATAGAGGATTTATGTATTTCAACGTTTGGACTGTAAAGTTTAAAAATATCAGATGTGCCCCCTTCCCGTGACCACATTTTTTCAGGACGTCGCACTATCTTATTCAGATTTCAATTTCAAATCAATAAAATATGACAAAGCTTCGTTATAATGTTCAATAGTCACCATAGCTTTACACCTATGTCCTAGCTTACTCTATATACTACATTCACTTAATATGATCAAATATGCTATCTAGCTTTATGTCACCCTCTCAAATTTCACGATTCAGATCTCTGATATGCAAATTGTCTATTGTATTGTTCCATGATATCTATGATTCCACATCAGCAAGTGCCGCATCATCATCTTCAGCATCATCACGTATGTGATAAGGTGGTATGGATGCTTTACGTATTTCCGCTGCTGTTACATCTCTTTCATCACCCGGCAGAACGGTAAACTCTCCTTCCATCTCATCATCCTCTTCTCCAATATCACTGACTGCCCAATCAGAATTACCATCCAAATTACTTGCTACATCACTCGTAATCTCACTAGCCAATTCACTGCCAACGTCTGTTCCAATATCAGTTGTAGGTGGAGTTTCCAAATCGCCAATGTGCCTTGTCAATGGATTGGATGCATGTGTTAACCTCTGTTGTTGTTGACGTTGAGCAGCACGACTCTTTAAGATCCAAGTTTGTCTAGAAGCTGATTCGGACGGTAAACCAGGTGCGTCTTTACTAAAACTTTGACAGCCATATACTCGAGCTAGACAATGAATCGTTAAGCGCTTGAAAGGATCGGAAGTGGACCATACCAAATTGTGAGGGGTACGTTGAATTTCCATCAATCGGTTATCCGAAGTGACTTCCTTTATATCATCTGTATAAGTAGCTGGCAAATCGATTAAAACAACGGCATCCTTACGATCTGGTCTCAAGAACACATCTTGCCCTAGCCAAGCTACTATTTCTGCTTCTGCCATCTTTGTGAATTGCTGTATCGGGTTCATATTCGATTGAACTTGTCCCGGTCGAATTCCAACACGATTACACAAGAACCAATGAGCATCAGAATAAGTCATTGTCATACCACCCATCAAATCGGATTTTTGATCATTTTCTCTTCCTTTCCCGTCCAGGCTCTGTCTTTGAGAATCGCCATAAGTTGCTTTTTGAAAGGTACTCTGCAATTCACTTGGCAGTGGGAAGCTTGGCGTTCGGTCATTGTGACCTAATGAGAAATCCTTGATTGATGGCCGTACAACGTGTGGATTAGACGACAAACGAGCATTCTCCTTCCTTTGCAACTTTCTTCTTCCGATGCCGCGAGATGAGCTATTTAATCTTTCTTCGATTCTAACCGCTGTCTTTGTTGAAGTGGAACCACTTGCTTCATCAGTGCTCGAGCCTGCCACTTCTTGTGCTGCGAATGGCTTGGGTCCAGCTCCCAATACTGCAGTTTCGCCACGTTGTTGAACGACAGTGAGTCCTCCTCTATAGTAGTTCATTATGCTCTTAAATGTTGTTTAATGATGGTTAGAAGATAGTCTCTGGTTATCGGGTATGTGTCAATCAGGTTTCCGATCCCTATTAGTTAATGCATGCATTGACTCCTTCTACGCCTTTCAGTCAGTCATGCTGCCGCGGACTTAAAAAGAGGGGAGTTGATTAGCTGCTAGCTTACTAAGGCACCCGTCAGATCTTATTCGCTTTTTAGATAAAAATTATCAGTGAACCGAAAAAAAGCGATAGCGCGAGTCACTTTTTTATCGAGTCAAAAGCGCACGCACGCAAACACTGCAGAAGAAAGTTTAGGTTGGGGTTTAAGAAGAAAGTTGCCTATCACTCTCTCTTCTTCCATCATCGTATCTTCCTACATTTCAAGATGGCAATGAACGGTAATTCATCACACGCACAGGCGTTCCATCGTACTTCGATGGGTATCTCGCCACCTCAACAAGGCAGCTTTGCAAGCATGATGGCACATCAAAGACAAGACAGTCAAAATATTCCTACTTCTGTCTCTCCAACTTCACCTTCTCAATTGCCAAGAGCAAGAGCGGTTTCTATTCCTGGTGCACCTAAATCAAGCGTACCTCGTTTGCTAACACCTTTTGATTTGGGTGAAATTAGAATCTTACTTCTTGAAAATGTTTCACAAGGTGCAGTTGATGGTTTACGTCAACAAGGCTACCAAGTCGATTTCCATAAAGGCTCTTGGAGTGAAGATGAATTATGCGAAAAGATCGGCCAATACAATGCTATTGGTATTCGTTCAAAGACAAAATTGACCGCGAAGGTGTTCAGACGTGCTCACAAGCTTTTAGTCGTAGGATGTTTCTGCATCGGTACGAATCAAGTTGACCTAGACGCAGCTGCAAAGGCAGGTGTTGCCGTCTTCAATTCTCCTTTTGCCAACTCTCGTAGTGTAGCAGAATTGGTGATTGGTGAGATGATTTGTCTCTCACGTCAATTGCTCGATCGTGGTTTGGAAATGCGAAACGGTGAATGGAACAAAGTTTCAAAAGGATGCTTTGAAGTTCGTGGTAAGACCTTGGGTATTGTGGGATACGGTCATATTGGTAGTCAATTGTCCGTACTTGCAGAATCTATGGGTATGCGAGTAATCTACCACGATGTTCTCCCATTGATGCCCTTGGGTATGGCCTCTCAAACTGACAGCTTGGAACAATTGTTGAACCAAGCCGATTTCGTTTCCCTCCACGTTCCCGAACTTCCTGAAACACGCAACATGATGGGAACGAAGCAATTTCAACAAATGAAGAAAGGCGCTTACTTGTTAAACAATGCTCGTGGTACAGTGATCGACATTCCAGCTTTGATCACAGCTCTGGAGAGTGGACACGTTGGTGGTGCAGCAGTGGATGTGTACCCAAGAGAACCAGCCGGAAACGGAAAAGATCTCTTTGTTAGTTCGATGAACGGTTGGGAAGACCAATTGCGTAAATGTCCAAACGTCATCCTTACACCTCATATTGGTGGTAGCACGGAAGAAGCTCAACGTATGATTGGTCTTGAGGTATCTAATGCACTCATTCGTTACATCAATTATGGCTCTTCTCTCGGCGCTGTAAACTTCCCAGAAGTTGACCTACGTGTGATCACAGAAGCAGATAGCCGTGTGATCCGTATTTGCTATGTGCATCAAAATCAACCTGGTTCCCTACGTGCGATTAACGAGATCTTAGCACCTTACAACGTTGATAAACAACATACCGATTCACACAAGGATATTGCTTACTTGATGGCCGATATCTCTGGTGTGGATGACAACGATATTCGTAATATTTATGAACGTATTTCCAAGACGGAAAACAATATCTTGACAAGATTATTGTCTTGATTTGTTTTGGTGCGCATCTTGCAACCTTTCAACATAGATTTCCCTTTTCTTTTTTCTCAATTTGACCTTCTCTTTTCGGTCTCATGTATCAACACATATTTTAAACTATTGTGCGGCTATTTCAACAGTACATACACATAAATTGCAATACTATCAACATTCTCTTGCTCATTTCTAGATCGCTTATGGCGTATGACTGTAGCATGTATGCGAAAGGAAGTTTAAAGTACATGCCAGCGTAAAATGTTAGAGTCGTATTGCGCCCGATTGAAGTATAAGAATATGCCGCCACTGCGTTGCCAGGGGCCAAGGGAAGAACTAGGCTTTGGGCCTGATATCTGATGGTTTTTGTTTTGTGAGTGCTAGCGTGCATTTAAAAATGAAATTCCAAGCAATGTTTAAAAATACACTGCATGCATACCCATACACCCTTCCGCACCTTTAATTGGAGCAGCATTGATAAAGCATTCTCATCTTCTTACACCCATCATCTCTCTCTTTCTTTCTTACAACATCATGCTGGGCTTCGATATCAAGGCTCGTAGTGTTGACTGGTCATACTATGGTGGCGCAGAAGAACTTCCACCTTCGATGCGTAGAAGGACGGCAACGAAAATCATACAAGAATCTCAAAATGCGGCAGGTCCGTCAAGAGGATCATCTAGAATCTCCTCTTCTTCTTCTTCCGCTTCTACTTCATCATCCCAACAGAATCACAACGAATCTGATTCACCCATCACAAGCGACGATGAAGATGAACAAACGAAGAAAGCGCAAGACGTTCAAAAGCTAGACGAAAACGCACCCGGTCATGCTTGGGCACCGAAATATAGTTCCGAGCCACAAGATGCAAATGACTTTTTGTGGCTCTTGACAGAGGAGCCACATAGATCTCGTCGAATGGCAATTCTAAAAGCACATCCTGAAGTTCGAACACTGATGGGACATGAGCCTTTAACAAAATATATCTCAGCAGCTGTTGTGGTTCTTCAATTAGGCTTGGCAATGTTCTTTGCCCATAACAACGTTCATCCTCTTCATTGGTCTTTCGTCTTGACAGCTTATGTGATCGGTGGAACAGCAAATCAGAACATCTTCCTTGCCATTCACGAAATCACGCACAATCTCGCATTCCGGGGTATCCTCGCCAACAAGCTATGGGCAATCGTAGTGAACGCACCAATCGGTATTCCTTACGCGATGATGTTCAAACGCTATCATATCGAACATCATAAACATCTTGGAGAAGAAGGTATCGATACCGATCTTCCTACTCGATTGGAATTAGCATGCTTGAAAAATGTTTTGGGAAAAGCATTCTTTGCAACTTTTCAAATCTTCTTTTATGCTTTAAGACCTGGATTTGTACGAACGCAAAAGCTGACACGGTATCATATCATGAACTTCATTTTTCAATTGGCCATCGTTGACTTTATTTTGATCAAGTATTTCGGATGGACAGCATTTTTTTATCTAATCGAAAGCAGCTTTTTTGCTGGAAGTTTGCATCCTTGTGCAGCCCACTTTATCGCTGAGCACTATATGTTTGGAGGTATTCAACAAGAGACATGGAGCTATTACGGTCCTTTGAACATTTTGGCTTATAATGTCGGCTATCATAACGAACATCACGATTTCCCAAGCGTTCCCTGGACACGCTTGCCAGCTTTGCGCAAAATGGCACCTGAATATTATGATGTGCTCCCACATCATACTTCATGGCCTTTGGTCACATTGCAATTCATCTTGGGAGAGGACAGTGGACTTTTCGCACGTGTCAAACGACTCAACAAAGAACAACAGAATGCAAAGTCTGCTTCTCATACAGTCACACCAACAATCGTTGACGGAGAGGGTAATGCACTAGAATGATGATGATGTAAACTCTTCCACGATGAATATAAAGTTTTTGTTCCCTCTTTTATCTGCAAAAGGTTGATTTCTATAGTACAAGGTATCTCAGAGTGTGAGTGTGAATAAGAAAACGAAAGAGGTCTATTCATCTGACTGAAGGCGAAGCGGGAAAGCTCCACCAATCGTTTGCAGGTGTACCCGCATTACTTCCAGCCGTGGAGGACATAGCAGATGGACCTACAAGATTTGTTGATGGACTTGCGATCGCTTCCAATGCAGATGCAGCTGGTGTGGTAAATGAGCCGTGTGCATCGCCAATGTTGCTTTGATGACTTGTGGAAGCCGGCGAACGAGCTGCTGCTCCTTGTGATTGTTGTAGTGAATTAATCTTTCTACGTTTCAGAGGATAAGAAGGTCCGACAATCGTTTGCGATGTGGACCCACTGGCATTGTTCAACATCACTGCTGCCGGATCGAATTGTGCATGGGTAGATGCCGGCTGAATATCCGTGTTTGTAGTCCCTTGCAGAACGCCATGGGCTTTAATTGAAGAAGAAGCTTGTTCATCCATTTGCTCCGATGCGAAATCCGCAATCCAATCTCCATGATTGAGTAACGCATCCATTGCTGCAGTTACGGCGGCTTGATCTGCTTGTGCATCCGAAGCTCCAGCTGCCAACAAAGCAGATTGCAAATCAACCGTTGATGGTTGTGGTAAATTTTGACAACAATTTTCTCCCCAAGCGCCCATCGGACAAACTTGATTTTCCCATAAAGCAGAAGGAATATGAATTCCATCATTCACTTGCTGTGCTTGTTGGAAGGTCATTTGATTGGAATGTGCATGGTGATTGTGGTGATGTTGCTGATGTTGGTGTCCCGAGTGACTTGGAGCAGCCGCCATTGCAGAGGCTGCGGCATGGTGTTGCATTTGGAAAGGATGCATCTGTTGTTGTAAGGGAATCTGTGAAGCAGAAGCCATAGCAACAGCAGCAGCTGCGGCGGCAGCTGCATTATCATGGAAGAAAGGATTACCTATTGAGCCAGCATTCGGCGTACTGGGTGTAGCTGGAACGGAACCCTGTTGATGATGAATTGGGGTTTGGACCATCATCATCTGATCATTGTCCATGTTGGTAAACATTCTTGACATTGGCGTTCCTTCAGGACCAATCGCAGTCGGTGTATTTGCACCACCAGTCAGCGAACCCACCCTTCTACGATCATCGTACCGTGATCTTCTTTTAATTGCATCCATTCGCATCGTTACCGGCCGATGTGAATTGTGTAGTTTGTAGTACAATCCGCATGCATTGCAGATGATTCTGCCTTCACGATCTTTACGCCATAGCGGAGTTGTGGATGTTCCGCAATTGGCACATGCCGCACCTGCATGAATACCCATCCATTCATCGTGTTTATTGGAAGAGTCCGAAGTGGGTGAGATCGATCCTGCTCCAGCAATAGTGCTGCTACCTTGATGATCAGGTGACGAATTGGGATTTGTAAGATTCTTTCGTTCGTTTCTCCTTTGTTTGAGGGATTTCGGTCTTGGTGCTTTGTGAAGTTTCTCATACAATCCACATGCATTGCATTGAAGTTCAAAATTCGCATCTCTTCTCCATAAAGGTGTCTTTGTTGCACCACAATTTACACATTGCGGTTTGGCTCTCTTTACGTCTGAGTCATTGTCTTGGCCAAGCTGCATTTCATCATGTTGCACGTTGATACCTAAATTGGAAGGCATTCTGCGCGTCTGATCGTCATAACCACTTGACGTTCCTGCTTTTCGTAATTCTTTGCCTTCTGACATGGTAGACGATCGACGTGCGTGCTTTGCATCATTCGGAAACCCTGAGAATGTCATGGGCGAAGTGGGCAGTGACATGTTGGTTTGAATGCGGGCCGAGGCTGAAGTGTCCTTTCCAAGATCTTCACTCATTTCTTCGTCTTCATGCTCTTTTTCCCCGTCTGCCCTGCCTTCACTGCCTGCCTCGTCTTCTAGACCATCCTCATCTTGCTCTACTTTTGCCAGATCACCCTTTTTCAGATCAGCTAGCATGGCCAATAGTGGTCCACTAAGCTCTACACCCTGCTCTTTCAACTCCCTTTCCGCGTCTTCAATCTCTTGCAGTGTCCATGTCGATTTAGCCTCTTGATCTTGTTTGCCGTCAGATTTTCCTTCTGGATGATCTGCCAGAGGAGGTGAGATGCTATTCGATTTTGCTTTTTGTTGACGAGCAACTTGTTCGCGTGTCAAACGCCAACAAACAGGTGGTGAAGAAGTACGTCTGGCGGCCGTTGAATGAGAAACGGTAGTATTGGCATTCGAGCTGACCAAACTCTTCTTTCGATTTCCCGATCGATTTGCAGGACCGAAAGAGATGGAAGAGGAAGAAGAAGAAGTACCTGAAGAGGTCGAAGAGGCAGGTGAAAGGGATGCACGATGAAGTTCTTCCATCGTATGATCACGATTACGCTTTCGGTTTGTTTCACCAATGATTTCACGAATCTTTTTCTTTGTCGATTTAGTTCGTTGGTTGGTATTGTTGATTGAAGATGAAGCATGTGACCCGAAGGCAGACGATTCTTGTTTATCATCCATTTCGGTCTTGATAGCATTCTTACCCCGTTTGGAAGCGGCTAACTCTCTCTTCCTTGTTCGCATGATCGCTTTATGCCGTAGTGCATCATTCATATCCGTCCACCGAAAGTCGGGTGCTTTCAATTCTTTCATCGATTTCTTACGGTCTCCTTCTAGTCTTGAAGCGACTGAAGCACTGATAGAATTGAAAGCCTTTTCGTCATCTTCACCTCGTTTTGCCAAAGAGGATGACGGGGCGACCGTTGGTGTAGAAGACCCTTCGCCATTATGCGAAACCATCACATCTCGCAAATGCCATAAACGCCAAGATAGATTCTCAATCCTTTGACCTTGATCGAGATGAGCTGCTACTTTACTGCATACTTTCCATGTTAATTGAAGTGATGAATCATCGGTCAAATTTGCCAAAGCGCCAAATGGTCTACCTCCTTTTGCTTTGAGTAAGATTGGTGGTTGTGATGTTGAAGCCTCAGCTGTAGATTGAGGTGCCATCTTTTGTCCTTGGCCAAAGGAATTAGCCTTGATATCGTCAAATAAGATGAGCAAATAAATTTATCGTATGATACCGAAACTACTCTGCTGCAACATTGGCGAATTGAATGGATGCTGTACCGATTAATAGGGAAATGAAATGACCTAAGCCCCTTTTGCATGTATCCTCTTCCAAGCAACGCACACGACTGTCGTTTACGCTCGTTCCTTACGGATGTCCTAGGTAGGTATATGCGTACTTCTGTGTCGATAATATTGTGACCACTCCTTCTTTTTCTTCTTCTAATTGCTCTGGTCCTAACTGCGGATGATCGTCAATGTCCGGAGAATGACAAGAAGCTAAAATTTTTTGCTGATCGGGATTGAAGTTGTTGAATAACTTTTAGCCGAAGTTGCCCGTTTGTATTACGCACGAAGGATGAGTAATTTGATTATGTACCTGACATGCAAAGTCGTACGAATGTCTACTATACCTTCTCTCTTTCTTTGCAAGAGAAACGGTACCGTAAAGTAAGTTGTGTGGTAAAAGTGGGGTGAATGAATGCCTGAGTCACATAAACAGAGCAAAAGAGAGGCTTCTTCCGATTCTCACGAGCAAATTGTCTTTTCGATCAAAAAGGTTAATGTGAAATGAACTTTTGTTCTTGAAGAAAGAGAAGAAGCACTTTTGCTGTGATCATGACACACACACACCACTTTGCTCTCTCCGTTGAATGATGCAATCTTTCTAGAGTGTGTGGATGTACATACATTTCATTGTCCTTTCTGCCTCGCTTCCACTTTCCGGATTAAAAGAGAAACAAAGTCCAAAATTGGCTTCAGATAAGAGACAAAATCAAATCAGATAAACAATAAAGCTTTTAGCCTGCTTTTTCCTCTTACACGATAGACTGCTCAAGTGAACCTTTTTATAGGCGGCCAACGGACACCGCACCGCGAAAGCCTTAGCCTAGCCTAGCATAGCATAGCACAAGCGCCTCTCTTGCTTCAATTTATGCGGTTGAATATTATGAACTACCCACGCGTTACGATCTCGGCTTAGGCGAAAATCACGACATTTCTTTCTCTTACGCGCAACGCAGGGCTGCCGAATATTAAAGTGGTTCTCACCATTGAGAATGGCGCCGCAATGCGCAGAAGCATCTGCACAAAGCGCAGCGCCAAGGATTATTGAGTGTTATGAATGTGAGAGAGGCATAAAGCACGTGATGTCAATCCCTTTATCTTCCTTCCTTCTGATGATGGTAAGCTCATGCTTATCAGAATGACCTTTTATTAGACACAATGAACACGACTCATTCTCCATTTGTGGACGCAACAATCCAGATCGCTGCCCCGTGACAATGATTGCACTCGATTCACTCTTCTCCCCGACGTTTTCAATAAATGAATATTTCTGCAATTCATTGCCGCGTGATCAAATGTCACAAATGGTACAAAGTATGTGTGTGTGTAAATGTGTTTATATGTAAGTGAATAAAAGGCGAAGAATGATCTCCTTCAAACCTAAATGTGTAATCGTGAAAAGTGATCAATCATTGGAAATCACATCAATGAAATAAGCGGTAACCATCTTGACGGAATCCATGAAAGTACTTGTGTGCGAGTAGAGTGAAAGAAAGTTGTAATCGGACCCGAACCTTTGAATGTGCTGTTGAACAACAAATCAAAGACGACGACCACGACGACCACCCTTGCGGCGAGTAGAGTCTGATGGGACACCGGTAACATCTTCCAAACGACCAATTCGCAATCCAGCACGGGCGAGGGCACGCAAAGCGGATTGTGCACCTGGACCGGGTGTCTTGGAACCGACACCACCAGTTGCACGAAGACGAACGTGAAGAGCAGTAATACCAACTTCCTTGCAACGAGCGGCGACAGATTGAGCGGCCATCATTGCGGCGTATGGAGAAGATTCATCACGATCAGCTTTGACCATCATACCACCGGTAACACGGCTAACGGTTTCTTTTCCTGTGATATCGGTAACGTGAACGAATGTGTCATTGAATGAAGCGAAGATGTGAGCAACGCCCTGTAGAGAAAAAAGAGAAGTGTGAAGATTCGATGTCAATTGCGGTTCAAAGAAGGGGATATTAGAAGGTCCAGTATGTGTAAAGTGGTGTCGACAAGTATCTGCCATCTTAAGCGACAAGCTTCTCGGCTGCTGACCCATCTCTTTCGTCTGCTTCTCTTCCGTACATGTCTCCATCTCTTTCTAAATTCCTCCCTTCTGGTCCCTCTTCTTATCACAGTCTTTACACATTTTCACCATCTTCCTCCGATGATACTCACGAAAACCAATTGACCTTCGCCCACCTCGGGACCGAGGGATGTGCTCTCTTGAACAGCGCGAACCTTGGGAGCCATCTGTGTTGGTGTAAAGTAGGTGTTGGTCGAAAAGTCGAAAAAGGCGAAGAGTTGAAAGTTGAAGTTGGAATCAAGAAGGAATAAATGAAAAAAGCGTTTCAAAATCGTCAGTAACTTGCTTTGAATCTATCTTTCGTTCGTTATTGGATGTCTTCGTAAGATGACACGTACCTTGTATAGACCTTGAACTGTAGAGAGGAAAGAAGGATGGCCATCCAATTCGTCGACTTAACAAACTGCGAATCCTATTTGAGAATCTAAGCACGTTGCAGGCTTAACCTACATACCCGTGCAGTAAGCCGCCCAGCGCATAAGGGAAAGTCGACGCGACACGGGCTCTGTATGACAGGGCGTTCAGCAGCCGTAATGCCCCAAGCTGCGGGTAAATTCAATCACGTGTAAGTGGAAACTGCGCGAATGTTTGCACACCGACAGAGTAGCGTGTTCACGTGCAAGCATAATTTCCAACCGTAGCAAATTTGCAGAGCGACCTAGGGCCTGAGGGAATGAATACGCTTAGAATTGCGCGAGTAGAGAGGGTTAAGGCTCGTTTACCGTATTCAAGGCACAGCGCTTGTATTGTCAATTCAAATCTCGAGAATGTGACATTCTATCTGCAAATCCATTAACAGATTCGTTCACCACCATCATCGATTATCGGGCATCAAGAAGGTAGGTGTCATCATTGAGATATAAAACAGCGAAAGGACTATCGGGCACATCATTGTGAAAGGATCAGATTTCGACTTCACTTTCTTGATACAATTCATTTCGACAAAAACATCTTTCGACGAACAATCTTGCTGACATTGTCAATCACATTCCATTTTCTCCTCAATTAGAAATGGCTGCTGCTCGTCCGACTGTTAACGTTCGCGGTGTTGACGGCGCCGCCGCTGGCTCATTGCCATTGCCTGCCGTCTTCACTGCACCCATCCGTACAGATGTGGTGGAAGCAATCCACAAGAACATGGCCAAGAACAAACGTCAACCATACGCCGTCTCCAACACTGCCGGTATGGAAAACTCTGCTCACTCTTGGGGTACCGGTCGTGCCGTTGCACGTATCCCTCGTGTTGGTGGTGGTGGTACTCACCGTAGTGGTCAAGCTGCCGGATCTAACGCCGCCCGTGGTGCATGGATGTACTCTCCTACCAAGGTTTGGCGCCGTTGGTTCGTAAAGATCAACCAAGCTCAACGTCGTTACGCTACAGCCTCTGCTTTGGCAGCTACTGCTATGCCATCTCTTTTGTTGGCTCGTGGTCACCGTGTTGAAGGTTTGGAAGAAGTCCCAGTCGTCGTCAACGATTCCGCCGAATCTTTCACCAAGACAAAGGAAGCTGTTGCCTTGTTGCAAGCTGTCAAGGCATACCCTGATGTTGTCAAGGTTTCCAACTCTCGCAAGGTCCGTGCCGGTGTCGGAAAGATCCGCAACCGTCGTCACAAGCAACGCCGTGGACCTTTGGTCGTTTACAACGAAGACAAGGGTATCGTTAAGGCTTTCCGTAACTTGCCCGGTGTTGAGATCGTTAGCGTTCACCGATTGAACCTGTTGCAATTGGCACCAGGTGGTCACGTTGGTCGTTTCTGCATCTGGACCGAGAGCGCATTCAAGGCTTTGGACACCATCTTCGGTACATACGAAAAGCCATCTGAACTCAAGAAGGGCTTCTCTTTGCCATCTGTCTCTTTGCCATCTGCCAAGATCTCTCAAACTGATGTTACAAGAATCATCAACTCTTCCGAAATCCAAAGTGCAGTCCGACCAGTCAAGAGTGCCGCTACTACCAAGCGTCCTTTCACCCAAAAGAAGAACCCTCTCCGCAACCGAGGTGTTCTTTTCCGTCTCAACCCTTACGCACAAACTGCTATCCGTGCTTCTATCCGTCAACAAAAGCAACACATCGATGGCAAGCTCAAGACCGACAAACGCGAAAAGAAGTTGCCTGCTGGTGAAGCATTCTTGGAGCAATTGCACGCCCCATAAATTGGGTTTGTGATTCGGTTACCGTTTAAAAAATGAATTGTGATACACATACTCGCAGGTCTTCTTTACAACATTGGATGATGATGTTTTGCTGAGAGGACTTGTTGAGGACATCACCTTTCATGTATTGTGTATAGCTTCTGCGCATGCGTTCATGCTTGTACTTTTCTCTTGCCTTCATCTCATACTACCCTTACTTCCGACTGTCATGAACGCACATTCGCAAGCTATCATTGTTGCATTCTCATCATCACTTCTATACATACACATCACGATCAAAAATGCTAAGGCCATATCTCAGATTGTTTGTTTGGAGTGCGGGTATCAATTGAGTTGTCCGACTGTCTTGATTATATCTTTGTGTGAATGAATGCTGTCTTTTTCTTTGTCGGAGAGGTTTGCCCATTTGTTCAGCCAGTCGTACAATGCTTCACGAAATGCTGCAACCCTTTCTGGAGTGAGAGACTCTACAGCATCTTCAAGTTGTTTGCATTTGTCATCCATAAAGTAAGAATACGGTATTAAAATGGCGTAGAGGCCACAATCGCTTGCTGTGCATGGCAAAAGGGGGAGGGTCAGGTAAATTGAATCACAGTGACTTGCTAGTCGAACATGACCACTTACCATTAGCTTGAACTGGACATTCCCCTTCGGTAAATTTGTTTGCCTGTAGATTTGGAACTTCTGACAATTTGTTAAAGACAAGTTTTGCCGATTCATTATTCGCAGGAGACAACGAGTCTAAATGGATTGCTTTCCCGTCTGTGCAACATAGACATGACCAATGCGATCCTGTTCCGTCTGGGTTGCCGTATCGATCCGATACTATAGAGGGGTTAAAAGTGTCAGAAGCGTAGAAGATATGCTGGTGTGATTATGTCACTTACTCGGTAAAACCATAAAGTCTTTCATCGGCGGAAGCATTGATTCAACACCATCCTGTCCATCAGGGAGGTTAGACAGCAGCTCTACAACGGAAGGTGGCCATAGCCCCACCTTTTTTCCTACATGTCGATTGATGACCTCATAAATGAATGTTATGATTGAATCATTTATCCATTCATCAGGCTTGAGGGTATCTAAATCACTTGGTCGAATTGCTGCATCTCCATATGAGATTATCACCTCATCTGAATCTGAAGAAGTCATTCAGGCAACCAGAAAAGACTTTCTTTGTGGGGTAGCAAGGCTGATTGCCAGCTTAGGCCTCCACCATAAGAAAAGCTTAATGGTGGCTATCTTGTACCACAACAATGGGATCAACTCACGTGTGATCATCGTTTCTTTTGAACACGCGTCCGAAATCCCTTTTCCGCGTTACCGGACACGGAGATTTATTTTAGGCGCTCTTTTTAGAAGAAATTAATTGGGCTCCCCCAACCAGAAGATCGTCAGCGGGAGGGAGACAATAATCCGGTTGTGAGAGAAAGCGGAAAGCTTATACTGTATCAAGAGAAATGATTAAATAATCAGAATCAATAGCCATCATTCTACAAAAAGACCTATGTCCGATATTTAACAAAACTCATCTGATCATAAGTAGAGTATCGAGAGTTTACTTCTATCGGAACAATCATCGGACTATTCGCTTACAAGCATTAAAGTATCTTCTTGTACTCTCTCTGTTAAACAAATGAACCCAACACTTTTTTCAACTTAGTTTATATGCATCTCTTTCTTCCGCATTGAAGTAGACTAGTTAAAGTTGTCCAGTGCCTAGCTTTATCCGTCGGGCCTTTACGCTTGTTGAATTGTTTATCACGCACAGGGCACTTTTTATACGCACTTAAGCTGTGTTATGTTTTATCCCCAAAAGCGAGGTTTTTAGGAACTTTTGTGGTTTTTTATATTTTGACCCAAAAAGACTAAGCGCGTTTTATGCACTTTACAACTGCCAAAATCAATAATAAAGTTTTTGTTGGTCTTTCCGCTACAAACGCAACTCTGGGAAGAGTCAACAGCAACAACAAACTTCTCTCCTTTCTCCTCACAGTGCTCCAAAAAAGACTTGTTTGTGTTTAAAACAGGTCAACGCTCATAATTATCACTTCTTTCCTTTTAACTTTCATACCTCCTCCTCCTACCACTTCACAAAATGTCTTCAAAGGCAATCCGTGAATTCGATGCAAAGTTGCTCGTTAACTATTGGTTGCCTCGTGCTCCTTTAGCACATGCTTCTTGCAGTGTTTCAGAAAACTTTAAAGCTCCAGCTCCTAAAGTCGCACAAATCGCTTGGGATGCTGCAACAAACACAATCACACCCGAAGAAGCTTTACCAGCTTGGGTTCACAACACAAAATTGGTCGCAAAGCCAGATCAATTGATCAAAAGACGTGGAAAGGCAGGATTACTCAAACTAAATTCAGATTGGAAAGATGCAAAAGAATGGATCTCTGAACGTGCAGGAAAACCACAAAAAGTGGAAACAGTTACAGGAACTTTGAGTAACTTTATCGTTGAACCTTTTGTTCCTCATCCTTCCAATGCAGAATTTTACGTTTGCATCAACTCTACACGTGAAGGAGATTGGATCCTATTCACACATGAAGGAGGTGTAGATGTAGGAGATGTAGACGCAAAAGCACTCAAATTATTGATTCCAGCAAACCCAGAAGACGCTTTCCCATCAAGAGCACAATGGACTGAAACCCTCCTACAAGGCGTTCCAGATGCCAGCAAAAAGGAACTCTTGACTGATTTCCTCATCCGTCTATACAGTGTTTACGTCGATTTGCACTTTGCTTACCTCGAAATCAACCCTCTCGTCTGCCTTGACGATGGCACAATCGCATACCTTGATATGGCTGCCAAATTAGATCAAACAGCCGATTTCATCTGCGGTCCCAAATGGGCCATTGCTCGTGATCCTTCAATCTATATGGGAACAAGCATCTCTGCTCCAGCCAAAGGTGAAGAACGCGGTCCACCAATGTACTGGCCAGCACCATTCGGTCGTGATTTGACAAAAGAAGAAGCATACATTGCCAAATTGGACGCAGGAACTGGGGCTTCTCTCAAATTGACAGTCTTGAACGCAAAGGGACGTATCTGGACAATGGTTGCCGGTGGTGGTGCCTCTGTCGTATACAGTGATGCTATTGCTGCTCACGGTTTTGCTGATGAATTGGCAAACTATGGTGAATACTCTGGTGCACCAACTGAAACACAAACTTACGAATACGCCAAGACATTGTTGGACCTCATGACCCGTGGTACCCCACACCCTGACGGAAAGATTTTGATCATTGGTGGTGGTATCTCTAACTTCACCTCTGTCGCTGCCACTTTCAAGGGTATCGTTCGTGCTCTCAAGCAATTTCAATCTCTTTTGGTTGCTCACAAAGTACGCATCTTTGTCCGTCGTGGTGGACCAAACTACCAAGAAGGTCTGCAAGCAATGCGTCTCTTGGGTGAAACTCTTGGTGTCGAAATGCACGTCTACGGACCTGAAGTTCACATCACCTCCATTGTTCCTCTCGCTCTTGGTTTGATTAAGCCAGATGACATCAACTTGGAAGACACAAAGATTGCCATCCCTGCTTCTGGTGCTCAAACTCCCGTTGGTGGACAACCAAACGGCAACAGTGCCGAACACAAGCCAACCGGATCAGTCAACTTTGAGACCGGAGAGCGTGTTCAACCTCAAGATCAAATTGTCACCTTCAACCCCGTCACCGGAGCAGCTCAACGTCCTGAGCACTTGCCATTCGACGAAAACACCCGCTGTCTCGTTTATGGTCTGCAATCTCGTGCAATTCAAGGTATGTTGGACTTTGACTACTCTTGCGGCCGTAAGACTCCATCAGTGGCTGCAATGATCTACCCATTCGGTAGCAATGCTTTGAATAAGTTCTACTGGGGTACAAAGGAAACATTGGTGCCTGTCTACACCTCCGTTCAAGAAGCTGTCAAGAAGCACCCCGATGCAGATGTAATTGTCAACTTTGCATCTTCCCGTTCAGTCTACTCTTCCACTTTGGAAATCTTGCAACTTCCTCAAATCCGTGCTTTGGCTCTCATTGCTGAAGGTGTTCCAGAACGTCATGCCCGTGAAATCTTGCACCGAGCAAAGAAGGCAGGTGTTTTGATCATCGGTCCAGCCACCGTTGGTGGTATTAAGCCAGGCTGCTTCAGAATCGGTAACTCTGGTGGTTCAATGGAAAACATTGTTGCCTCCCGCTTATACCAAGCCGGTTCAGTTGCATACGTTTCCAAATCCGGAGGTATGTCTAACGAATTGAACAACGTTTTGTCTCTCATGACCGATGGTACCTACGAAGGTATTGCCATTGGTGGTGACAGATACCCTGGTTCCACTTTCATTGATCACATGTTGCGTTACCAAAAGGACCCCAACTGCAAGGTCATGGTCTTGTTGGGTGAAGTTGGTGGTGTTGAAGAATACCGCGTTATCGAAGCCGTTCAACAAGGTATTATCACCAAGCCAATCGTTGCTTGGGCTATTGGTACTTGCGCCAGCATGTTCACAACCGAGGTTCAATTCGGTCACGCCGGTTCGATGGCGAACAGTGATTTGGAAACTGCCAAGGCAAAGAATGCAGCAATGAGAAAGGCAGGATTCTTGGTTCCTGACACCTTTGAACAATTGCCAGGCTTGCTCAAGTCAACCTATGAAAAATTGGTAAGCAATGGTTCCATTATTCCCAAACCACGCCGTCAACCACCAAAGATCCCAATGGACTACAAACAAGCACAAGAATTGGGATTGGTCCGTAAACCAGCTGCTTTCATCTCTACCATTTCCGATGAACGTGGATCTGAATTGATGTACTCTGGTGTCAAGATTTCCGAAGTGTTCGACTCTCAAATGGGCATCGGTGGTGTTATCTCTTTGTTGTGGTTCAAGCGTCGTTTGCCTGACGTGTACACCAAATTCATCGAGATGGCCATCATGTTGTGTGCCGATCACGGTCCAGCTGTCTCTGGTGCTTTGAACACCATCGTTACTGCTCGTGCTGGTAAGGATCTTGTCTCTTCTTTGGTTTCCGGTCTTTTGACTATTGGTGACCGTTTCGGTGGAGCTTTGGACGGTGCAGCCCGCATGTTCACATCTGGTTTGGACAGAGGATTGACTGCACGTGAATTGGTCGATGAAGCTCGTCGTAACGGTGTTCTCTTGCCAGGTATCGGTCACAAGATCAAATCAGTTTCCAACCCTGACTACCGTGTCCAAGTCGTCAAAGAATACGTTCTCAAGAACTTCAAGACTCACCCAACATTGGATTACGCTTTGGCCGTTGAACGTGTTACAACCCAAAAGAAGGATACTTTGATCTTGAACGTTGATGGATGCATTGCTGTTTGCTTTGTTGATCTTTTGCGTGAATCCAGTGCATTCACCCGTGAAGAAGCTGATGATTACATCAAGATGGGAGGTTTGAACGCAATCTTTGTTTTGGCTCGTTCGATCGGTTTCATTGGACACTTTTTGGATCAAAAGCGTCTGCGTGCACCTCTTTACCGTCACCCTGCTGACGATTTCATGTTGGAAATGACTGAACCTCCACGTATCCAAGTTGATGGTCGTCGTGCTCTTCAATGAGTTCTCCCATATCACTCTCTTTTCTATTTCACACAAAAAATGTTCAAAAATTGTACTAATTGTTCCGCTTCATACGGTTTTCCCTATAGTTTCATTACCTCTTTTCGTCTCTTGATGTGACTTCCATTCCTCACTAGGGCAATGAGAATAGACCTTTTACTAAATTGTGTTTGTGTGTGCTATGCTTTAAGGAGTGAGAAGTGGTTAAAATAGTTTTGATAATTTTTTAATCGAATTTTTTTCCAGCTTACTCTTATACGCACGCGGGCCTCTAATTGCTTAATCCGCGGCCCTGTAGCTCAGTTGGTAGAGCGACAGATTCCAATTCTTGGAATACACTAACGCGGTATCCCTTGGAATATAGATTGTTTCCTGTCGGTCTAGGGTTCAATTCCCTACGGGGTCAATTTTTGCTTGTCAGAACCAGAAATACACAAGTAGGTGATGGTGACGATGACGATCAATTGACAAGATTTTTTTTTTGAGAGGTGATATTATAGTATTGCTACATTGCAAAATATGATACAAGCATTCTATGCAAAAACTTATCGCACACTTGATCCTCCATATCCATAGGCTGTTCGTGTTTCAGAATCTCCATTTCTGGATCGACTAGGACCAGCTGCTCCGAAAGAATTACCACCTCCGCCGCCGAAGCCAGCCATTCCTCCGCTGAAGCGATCAAAGGGATCATACTCATCAGCCCCACCGCCTAGCCAAGTTCTTCTTCTTTGATTATTTGCATATCTGTCACCGGTAGTATTTGTTCCACGCATATATCTTGCCGTTTCATTTGCCAGTACTCCACCCAACATACCTGTCCAAAAGCCCGGTCGCCAGCCTGTTTGTGCCGATTGTTGATTTGAGGATGATGTGCCTGGTTCTTGTTTCGGGTAGGTTCTATAAGGTGGTGGTGGGTCATTTGATGGATAGCCGCCGCCGCCGCCGCCATAACCACCGCCTCCTCCTCCCCCTCCGCCGCCTCCACGCCATGTACCGCCTGAGCGCTGATTTCCAGGATTGTTATTCTCTTGACGACCTTTCCAGAAAAAGAACAAAAAGATGGCAGCAATAATTGCGAAGAAAATCCAACCTTCTTTATTGGAATTACCTAGAGGCGAGGAAGATTTGTAGCCATTATGATCAGGATAGTTTGGCAAGATTGTATACTTTAATAAACAGCTTCCTCGCATCACATAATCGTCATGTGGCCCTTCCCAGCCTTCACAAGATACGTCCACTGTTCCGAATCGTACGCTATGATGGAGATCTGCCTCGCACTGAGTTGGCAATCGAAAAGATTAGCATCATCTGACTGAAGTGGGGATGTTCACTAAACTCACCTTCCAAGCACCATCACCTTGGTTCTTACACAAGACGATATCAGGACCATAAGTATCACAGATGTGTTTGCTATTTCCTATACATTGTAATTGTGGCAAGGGGTTTTTTCTTCTTGATAACGTTTTATGTCCATCTTTAAAATACAACGATTTGATGTCTTCCATCGGTATTCTAGCCGGGTTTTGTGGACGTCCTTGAGCATCTGCTGTAGCAAAGAGGCAGGCTGCTATGCTCATCAGAGCAATGGTGAGCAACCCTCTCATCTTTGTCATTGTGATGGAGAATGAGATGAATGAAGGATTGGAAAAACGAGCTTAAATAGTACATTCTTCTTGACTGTTTCCCTCCACGTCAACACTTCCACGATGCCTTTTCGGCGTAAGCGCGTGCAAAAATGAACCGAAGTGAGTGAACAAGTTTAAATCTTTAGCCGCGGACAGAAGAAATGAGAACAACACTTTTGATGTTTACAACCATTCAAATATGACATCAACCGATCAAGCATCACATGTACGGCTACAAACATCACAAGGGAATATAACCTTAGAGTTATACTGGAAACATGCTCCAAAAACATGCGAAAACTTTTCACAATTAGCCGAAAGAGGATATTATGATGGCACGCCATTTCATAGAATCATTTCGGATTTTATGATTCAAGGTGGTGATCCGACAGGAACGGGCAGAGGAGGAACGAGTATTTATGGAGAAAAATTTCAAGATGAATTCACGCCTGAATTGCGATTCGTAGGTGCAGGTGTTTTAGCCATGGCTAATAGCGGACCAAACACCAATGGTAGTCAATTTGTGAGTTGCTCCAATGTCCTTATAGAGAATCATCTTCCTAATGCTTTCTTTTTTCAGTTCATCACTTTGGCTCCTACACCCTTTCTAGATCGCAAACATACCATCTTTGGTCGAGTGAGCGATGGAATGGATGTTGTGCAGAGGATGGGACTTGTTGCGACAGATAGCACAGATAGGTAAGTTGATATTTGCAAGCCGAATTTATAGCTGTTTATACTCACACGAATTCCCTCCCCCCCTCCGCAGACCACGAGATGAGGTAAAGATAATCAAAGCAACAGTGCTATAGCAAAGAGAGGGTATTGGAATTGTATTTTACACAGCAAATCATCTATATTGTACTTTTACACGCCTTTCAACTCGTTTGCACTTCTTCCACTTTTTCCTTCACTTCTTCAATCGCTTGTTGTGCCTGTTCTTTTCCCGAATTTCCCCACCATTCTCTTCCTGCTTCATAAGAGCCCAAATAAATACCCGCTCCTAATGCTGTCCAAACACTTCGCAGCGTTCCACCTTTCATCAAGCCTCGCAGGCCTTCCCGCTGCCAAATGTCCCTTCCAACACCTGCGATCGTTTGAGATGGTGCATTTTGCATTTCTCCTTTTGTAGGTCCTAACATGATTCGAGTTTTGACAAGATCTAATGGCGTTGTAACCAAAGCGGATATCGCACCAGCAGAAGCAGCACTCGCACCGCTCACCAAGCCAGCTTTGAGGTAGTTTGGTGGACCGGCTGTCGGAGGTGAAATCTCACTTCCTCTTTCGTTATTGACAGCTTTTTGTTGGATATTATATGCCCTCCTCCTTGCTGCTAGACTTGCATCGATATCTGTGCTATCCTTAGGCTCTTGTTGATGGGCAGCACGTCTTGCAGGCTTCCTTGGGGCAACGCCGAAAGCATCACTGAGATGTTGACGAAAGTATTCGTACAATGGAAATTGCATAGCAGTAAAGGGTAAATTTCTACTAACCAGAGCCCAATAACCTTGTCGTAACGATCTGAATTTGAGATCTTCAAAGACTGATGTACTCTGCTTTAATGCATCAGAGGCACTTACTTGTCTTTGTTGTTTAATTGTTTCGGCTGGCGTAAGGATCAGACAGGCTGCCATTTCAGCAACCGCACTGGCAGCTGCATGACCGACAGCTTTTGCTCTAGGATCACTTCCGACATACTGTCCAATAAACGGCGTATCAGAAGAAGTAAATGTGATCTTTGCATGTTCATAAGTCGTAAAGAATAAAGCCGCACTCGGTAAAGTGGCCACAACGACCGGTCCAAATCCTTGCCAAAGACCTTTGTATAACCCTCTGCCTCCAGGATATCGAGTTTGAAAATCTGCCGCTTGAATGCGTGATTTTACCGTATCAAGTGGAAAGATGGAACAATCTACAACGAATGCTGCTAATGCACCCGGAACGATTGTATCCATGTTTGTCGCAGCAATGGTCGTTCAGAGAAGAATCGGGTTCTTTGCATTAGAAGAAAGTGGAGTAATTGATGACCTGCATTGGGCATTACATAAGCACGTTCTTCTTTCTCCCGCTGTATCTGGCGTGAAGTGTCTTTCCTGTCAGAACAACAAGAACCACGATGATATTAGCCCATTTGACCTTCTTTCTATCCCCTATTACCTTCTTATAATCGCCTGAAGGTAGGATGGAAATGATTGTATGGTTCAACTTGCCCTCATTTTAAACTCAGCTCTTTTGGCGCTAATGATGCAGTGAGATTGCATGCTGCCATAAGCGTGCCTTAATGAGTCACTTTAACTCATTCCCAACCACATCATTCCAACAATCATGACCGGATCAAAACATTCCGTTTGTGTTTTTTGTGGCTCATCGCCAGGAGCACGACCGGAATATGTGGAAACGGCAAAAGATGTTGGTCATCAGATGGCAAGTACAACTTCATGGCGGTTAGTGTATGGTGGAGGAAATCGTGGTTGTATGGGAGCTGTTGCATCGGCTTATTTAGAAGCAAATGGAAGTGTTTTAGGTGTGATACCAGAAGCTATGGTCAAACAAGCACCAAGAGGTCATTCAACAACTTCAGCTGAAGGTAAAGGTCCTGAATTACTCAAACCAACCAATTCCGAATCTGGATCGTTTGAAACAATCTTGACAAATGATATGCATTCACGTAAGAAGAAAATGGCGGCAGAATCTGATCTTGGATTCATTGCTCTACCCGGAGGATATGGTACATTTGAAGAAGTATTTGAAATGATCACTTGGACACAATTGGGCATTCATCGCAAACCGGTCATTCTCGTAAACGTTCTCGGATTTTATGAGCACTTGAAGCTATTCGTTGAAAAGGCTTTAGACGAACAATTCATTCCAGAATCTGGAAGGAGCATCATCTCATTTGTTGATGAGAAAGATGCTCAGCAGTGTGGTGGCTGGGGTAAAGCTGTTGTTGCTCATGTTCAAAAGGCCAACGAAGCTCTTGCCGCTTCCGGTATTCAAGGCTACTTTGATTGGGACGAGCAAGGTCAGACGCAAAAGAAGGGGGACCAGACCGAATTCAGTGTCCCTGCTTTACTTCGCAATACACCTGCCGATCAGCTCAGCGTTGATGTCAAAAATCTCACATTCTCCTTTGCACCCGACAGTGGAGCTAAACCTGCATTGGAAAATTGCAATCTTCAATTGACGAGAGGATCACGTTGTCTCTTGATCGGTGCAAATGGTGCTGGTAAATCGACAATCCTACGACTTTTGGCAGGAAAACGTATGGCAAGCAAAGGAGCCCATATGCGCGTATTCGGAAAGGACGTTTTCCATCAAGCACCCGGTGGAATCACGTACCTTGGTACAGAATGGGCAATGAACCCTGTTGTTCGATCTGATATTCAAGTGGCAGCATTTTTGGACAGTGTTGGTGGGTATCGTCATAAAGAGAGACGCGATCAACTGCTCGATATCTTGGACGTCAACACAAATTGGCGCATGCATGCAATCAGTGATGGTGAACGTAGACGTGTTCAATTGACCATGGGATTGATGGAACCTTGGAATGTTTTACTTTTGGATGAAGTGACTGTGGATTTGGACGTACAAGTTCGGGCTGATTTGTTAACCTTCTTGGCCAGGGAGACGGAAACAAGAGGTGCGACAATCATTTATGCCACTCACATCTTTGATGGCTTACAAAACTTCCCCACCCATCTTGTTCATATGCAACACGGTACAACAACGACTGAAGAACCAGTCAATTGGCCACCTTTGATGCAGGATGATCAGCAAATGCAATCACTGCCTGCTATTTGGCGTGAACATAAGTCTAGCCGTGCTGATGCATCAAAAGCACCTCCTCTATTCGAAACTGCATTGGAATGGTTGCGTGAGGATAGAGTTGTTCGCGCTGAACGTGAAAAACAGCAAGGTACTACAGCCGTTCGTGGTGCACGTAGAGGCGATCAAACCGAAACGGATAGCGAACGTTTCTTTAGCAAATATGATTATTCTCAAAATGTGAATCGTTAAAGTCTCCCCCTTCTTCCCCTAAAGACGCCTTCAACAAGGACGTCATCGTGCAAGCCGACTGACAGATCTTTCAACACCGATCTGCAGCCGGCAGTTGCTCTCCTTTTTCTGCCCTCTCTCGTTTTACGTCTCATCACGTTTTAATTGCTCTAAAGTGGAAAATCAATAGACCGCTTTGCTTCGGCTTCATCTACCGCACACATTCTGTATCATCACCATCACATGTTCAAAAATAGATATATATTAATCAAGTCCGAGAGAAAGAGTGAACTATGAAGACATTCATCACTCAAAAGCGGTACCGTTCCACTTTTGTTTTTTGTAGTCAATTACTTCTCCTTGCAGAGCACCAGAAATTGGCTTTCTGTTTCCGTTGATTGGTCTTGTCAAATGATTTGCTCCTCGTTTGACGTTAAAGGTGGCCAACAATTCTTGCTTTGCGTCTGGCAAAGTATTGTTAAAGAATCCGTAAAAGTTTGCATTGGCTTCTTGTTTTGATAGGGAGACTGTAAAATAACCACGAGTACCTCCATCAGCATATTGAAGGTTACGATTAATGGTAACCAAACGTTTTGCGTTTGCGGTATATTGTTCTTTCGTTAACGATTTACCATACGAACTTGGACTGCTAACAGCCGTTCCTGCAAATTCAACACCGAGTGCACCTTGACCGCTTGAAGGATCGTATGCATTTGTGTTATTCTCCCATTGTTCATAAATGGCATCATATACCCAAGCAGCATGAGAATCACCGGCAAGGAAGATTGTATTATCGATCTTGTTTTCTTTGATCGTGTTAAACATTCTACGTCGGTTTGCTTTGTATCCATCCCAAGCATCATAATTGATCTCAAATGTTGGCTGTCCGTAATGCAAATGGTTAACAACAATTTGTTGTCCAACAAGTTTCCAGATCGCACCACGTTCTTGAGAATGAACAAGGTTCTTGTAGAACCAACGTTCTTGCTTTCCGCCCATCAAACTGCGGCTGGTATCGTTGGACATTGCCGCAATCTCATCTGTGTTATAGTAAAGGTCTGTAATGTCACGATCGTAGTTACGAGTGTCGAGCATGCTGATATCGGCCAATTTACCATATTGAAACTTACGCCAAATGCGCAAGCCATCAGTGGTATCCACTTGACGGATTGGCATCCATTCGTAGTATGCCTTGACAGCACTGCGCTTGCGGTCAGTAAAGGTGACACCGTCTTTTGTACCTGCGGCTGTGTTGTTTGAATCAGCAGTACCATGGTTGTAGCTATTATCTGCCACTTCATGATCATCCCAAACCAAAAGCCAAGCTTTCTTTTGATGTAATGTTTGCAAATCTTTGTCTAATCGATAAGATGCATATCTTTGACGGTAATCCTCCAAGGTGTAAATCTCTTTGTTTGGCAAGGGAACTCGATTCAATGCTCTGCCATCTCCGTATGATCCTTTACTGCCATCACCAGCTGATTCGTAGATGTAATCACCGATGTGCATTGCAAGGTCAACATCATTCGATTCTGCTGCACCGCGATAAGCGTTAAAGTAGCCGAATGGCAAATTGGAGCATGAAAAGACGGCAATCTTGAGTTTATCGACACTTTCATCGTTTGGTTCAGGCATAGTTTTGAAATGACCGGTTGGTGAAACGATGGAATGATCATGACAAGCAAAGAAGCGATAAGAATACTTTGTCAACGGTTCTAAGTTGGATGCTTCAACTTTGTACGAGTAATCCACATCGCTCGTTGTCCATGCGTAACCGCTGTCAACAATATTTCCGTTTGAGAAATCTTGCGATTTTGAAACTTGGTATTGCAAGCAGACTGGATCTTTTGTTGTGTTGTCTGCAGGTACAGGATGTGTCCATAGAATAGCAGAATCATCGTATGGGTCACCAGCAGCAACGCCATAAGGGAAAGTGACGTTACCTTGATAAGCATCTCTACCGTCACTGCCATACTTTCCGTCATAATCCAAGACCAGCTGATCGGCAGCATGTCCACCGCGTACAGAATCGAAATTACGACGTTTCAATTCAGCCGAACGACGAATGATTTGATGACCGATCGATTCGATATCGTGCGATAAGCCAGATCCGCCAACGCTCAAAGAAGGTGAACGGTATGCCATATTGCGTTCTAAAGGTGCAATGGCTGCTTGTGTCAGGCCAATGAATGCCAACAGTGGCACGAGGGCCAAAGAGGTAGAAGACCTCATCTTTAGAGTATTGTCTGAAGAGGGGGGTTTGGGTTGTTGGTGGTAGGATGGATGGATACCGGAAGCAACCCCTCATACTTTATATATCATCGGATGTAAAAAGGGGCATTCATTTACGTTCATATTGTATGCGCTCGGATATTGGTTCCTGAACCGGAGGGAGTAGTGTACCTGCACAAAAATGAAATTTTCTCAAGAGAGCACATGCTCTTCATCAAGTGATCGCCATGATCGGTTCTTCCTATTTCTTACATTGACATGCATTAGCGTTTTGCCAAGACAAAAAGATTGAGCATTAATTTGATCTTTGATTGGCAGGAGAAGGTTTTTGATTTGAAAGCAACACTCTAAACGACAGACGGTGGTGCATTAGCGTATTATTTCTTTTTGATTAGGCTCACACTTCAAACAAAGAACGTTTTTAGAGATTTAATTTTAGCGTTGAACGTGCCCTCAACTGCAAGAAGATGTCAGAATTATATGCTCTTATTTCAAATAAGTTGAATTTAACTGGTTAAACTTTCTCCAATTTAACCGCCATGTCTCGTTGATCATTTCGAAGGAACCGTGGTAGTGCACGTGTCTATTGAAAACTTCAAACTTGTAGTTAAGGCTGAATGTCTTTCATCCCCGGCTCGGCTTTTGTTCCTGAGCTGAAGGAGAGAAGAATGCTTTGTGAAGTTTTACTTGATGTTTGACAAACAACAATCCATTTGATTATCTTATACTCATTTCTTTCTCCTTAAAACTCACCTCATCTGATAATTGATACTGTCAGCAATTAAGAATTATGCTTTTAAGGAACCGAACAGTGAAACGGAGTGCTCCGCGAGGTATTCATAATTCGTTCTCCGCCTATCCGCATGCAGCCAAGGCAAGTGATTGTGCCTTGATTTATATGAGATGATGGGCCCGTATGACTGTCGGCTTAAAAACAAAGAGGGTGAAGCTCGTATGAAAAAGGTTCCGCGAATTCCACGAAAAGATGGCGTGACTAGGTAGCCTATGGCGTCCATACATATAAATAGAATCAGACAGCGACAATATTGACCCACTTTATTACGCCGACCATAACACAGGCACAGCAAGCATTTATCAACGTCCCACAGTTGGATGGAAAATGAACGTCGACTGAATCATAAAAAAGGCGTCATCTTTGCTTAGTAAAAAGCCGCGAATGATGAAAAAGACCCAATTGTCAACTTTGCACAGGAATGTGGAACAATCACATGGCAACAAGCCGAGATGACGATCAAAGTTGTTAGCAAGCAAACAAAAAGGGGGTTATGTGGGGTATACATTTTATGAAACAGGCAAAAAGTCAGCGCGGTCCGAATTGCAGGCTAAAGTCGTACGGGGGCCATTGAATTAGCTTACCTTTCTCTCTAATATGGACGAGCTTCAATGGATAAGCCCCTCTTCTCTCTCTCTCACTGCCACATCCCTCGTCTTTTTGATGTATGTATACGAATCTTGACAGCTTGAATTGTGCCTAGCGGAGTAGGAGACTGAGTTAAAGACTTCTTTCCTACCTACATGACAAGGAACATTATCCGCCAAATTAGCTCATTTGGGCGTCCGGCGGAAATGACAAGTCCATTGACCATGTTTCTAAAGAGAATGTCACGGACCTGAGTGATTTTTGCGCTGAAATGATGCGGTGTTTACTGTTCCACACATAAATGAAATGGCCCCGGTAGAGGGCTGTACCTGCAGCATGTATGTATGTATGTATCATTCCCCTTCTTTCCGGGGAGTTGCGGTTTGGCTCTGCTTCCTTACCCATGATTTGCGCCAAAGATGACATATAAAAAGAATGCAATGGGGCAATTCTGAACCTTCCATCCTCACAACGAGAAAAAGACTTCTGCGCAAAACGATATGATACGATTTCGACTAATTTCATTCTTTTTGGTAATAACAACATTTTGGCATGCAATCCAATGCAATCCTATCGGTGATTATCAGTCTAGAGTGGATGGATATGAAGTCTTACCGGTCGAAAGAGTGGTTCACGAAACATTGTACATTACCCAAGGTACACTTTGGACAGATGGGAATCCACGTGAAAATTCCGTTTTGATCAATGGTACTTCACCTGGTCCAGAATTGCGCTTTCGTGTAGGAGATTTGGCATTAATCAAGGTTTTCAACCATTTACCAAATCAAAATACAACTATTCATTTTCATGGAATCAGTCAATCACTCTCACCGGCTTCAGATGGAACACCAATGATTTCTCAATGGCCAATTGCACCAAACAACTTTTTCGAATATCAAATTCATTTCACAAAAGCCGATATCGGAACGACATTCTACCATTCCCATGTTGGCGCCCAGATCATGACTGCTCATGGTGCATTTATAGTAACGGGAGATGAAGAAATATCAACGATTCCAAAAGGTGCGATAGAAAAGACAATGTTAGTAGGTGATTATTTCTATGCAAATGATGAAACGATTGTCAAGGATCTCCTTTCGGATCCGTTCGTTTGGCCTGGAAGTGCTTCGAGTGTTTCCCTGAATGGCAAATCATGGCGTGTTTCAGACGGCTGTAACGATACTATTGCGGCTATGAAAGGTTTGAATTGCGATCAATCTGATTACAAAGGTCCAGAAGTGATTGATGTGGAATACGATAGATCCTATCGACTTCGTTGGATTGGCGCTCAAACTTTAATGCACTTGGCAATCGGAATCTTTGGACATTCTCAAAAGATCATCGCAGCGGATGGCAAACATATGCAACCAATCAACACAACTTTTATTGAAATTATGGGTGGACAAAGGTATGACACCATTCTCAACACAAAGACAAAAGAACAAGTTGAAAGAGAAAAAACAGGTGGTTGTTACCCAATCCGATTTGAAACACGCTGGCGAATTCCTGCAACGAATGGCTGGGCAATGTTGCGTTATCCAAACAGCACATGCGATGTGAAGATTGATGCGCCATTTCCACGTAACAATACTGCCACATATTTGCCAGCACAGCAATTTGGATGGATTTCTGATCAGTTTCACCCGTTAAAAGGCAGTAAACATATTGCGCCTCAAGATTGGGAAGTTTCAAGAAGGGTAATTTTGCAAGCACAGCAAGTTGCAATTGCACCTGGAAAGACGCCTGCTTTACGATGGGACGTGAACAATCTTGCTTATAATGAATCGGATCCAAGAGCAAATCATGATAAAGTTACCGTTCAGACACCGTACTTGATTCAATTGTTCAAGGGTGACGCAATGATGCCAAGCTATCAACGTGGCTTACATCCCACCTCACCGGATGTACAGCCCGGATTCGATGAAGTCAGCAGCACGTACGTTGGAAAAGCAGGAGAAGTGATTGACGTTGTAATAATCAACAACAGTAGCGCTTTCAATCATGTTACAGAAACTCATCCCTGGCACTTTCACGGCGCTGAACATTTTACAATAGCAATGGGAATTGGTGAATTCACGGAAGAGGCTTTTCAAAAAGCGAAGAAACGATTTTATCCCGGGATTGCAAGGGATACAACTGGTGTTTGGCCTGGTCTAGGTGCTTCGATTGAGAAACCGGCTGTCCTTTTGGCCAATAATACTTCAGGTGCTTGGTCTGTCATTCGATACAGGGTTCCGGAAGACGATTCTTCAAGTGGAGTCTGGTGAGTTGTTCCGAGTGAAAAGTTGTACGATAATGATCACTGACTTTTTTTTGCACTTAGGATGCTGCACTGTCATTGGGCTTTCCATCAAATAATGGGCATGTCTGTCAATTGGTTCTTTGGACCGATCGAGCAAGCCTTGAAGAATCATTACAGGTACGTAAGATTCTTTTCAGTTCTATGGAAATAGGAGAACTCTAACATTCTCTTCCCTTGCAGCGATCCCGATTATCTGCTCTTTGGCAGAAACGTCAGCGCTCCATACACAAAGCGACATGCCAACTCAACAATCCCAGTCTCATTCGGAATGTTTACCTAAAAGGACGGTCTACAACAAACGAAGGCAAACAGAAGGGAGGTTCACAAAAGTATCTATTTCCTGGGATTAATGCAGAGCATTTGTACATTAACGAGAATAATCATGAACTTTGTTCTGTTTTAGCAGTGAACCATGCATAAGCGCAAATGAATTCGAAAATTGCCACCAATCCGATCGCAAATGCTGATCCGATAGGTTTACTTTCATGTGCTTTTAGAGTGAGTGCACTCATTTCACCGTCAAAGATGAATGAGCTATCTTGCTGACCGAAATAACGAGATGTAAGAATCATGAGCACTTGAGAACAAGCCCCACCAAAAATCAAAGCGAAAAGACTTTTTGCACGAGTTTGTGATGCTTTGGATAAACTTAAAGGTAAGAGTGGATCACTGAACAAGCTTGCCATTGATGCTGTAAAAACGACAGTTGTCGAATAAGGAGTCGATCCTAATTTTGTTGCACAAACGGCCATTGAGCCCATATTTGTTGCCATTACAAACAAAACACCCATTCCATACCACCCTGACCAACCATAAAATGCCAAAAAGGGAACGAGAACAGCAAATACTACACCTCTTGCCAATGCTGTGATTACAAGTTTACCTCTATGTTTTCCGTGGAAATGGGAATCGATCCAAGTTGCTATCAAAGCGCCAAAGATGAAACCTAAGACGGCGGTTGACGATAACCAAATTCGAGAGATTGAAGAAGGAGGAGAAGGATTGTGTAGCAATGTTGTAACGAGAGCGATTGTTAATTGAGTAACGTTTCCAGTCATGAAGCCAACCCAGGTTCCTGTTTGACTATATGCGGCCGCATCTGCTGCTCCTGCGATCACACATTGCCAAGTCAAAGCAGCATGACAATTGTTCGGATCGACTGATTCGGTTAAAGAAGCTTTCCATCGTTGCAACACAGAACTTGTCCCTCTGGATGATGTTCCGTTCGTATGTGTGGAAAGTAATGGCTCCCTCTCGTTTGCCATCTTGAGTAGGTATGATGGTAATCGTTGTCATGAACAGGGATGAACAAAAAAGCATTTTCTATATATGCGGGTCGCTCGGCCTTAAACCCCCTTCCATGCCGAAAAAGTTCTCCACAATGGGCGGCGGACATTAGCAAGATGGGTTATTATATAATCTATGATTAATGGTGCCCTTTTGTCTTGTTCGCATGACAAAAGTATGATGAATACGAATGCGTACTAAGTAAGTCTTTTGGCGTTCTTATTTCGCGCTGCGCAGTGCACACCACACGCATGCCAGTAACGCGTAATGAGTGTTAATTGCCCGTACGTACCCCAAAGCACGAACCTAAGAAAGAGCAGCAAATGCATTTTGCTATTGTATTGTACATGGAGGTTGCGAATCAATTGATTTGATCGATTAGCATTTAGACACACGACCACACTCTCTTCCGAAGAGTTACACTTTTCACCTCCGTCACAACAAGGTGAGAAACGACAATTTCATTACTGGGAAGTTCATCCTGCCCAATAGGTTTTCATCCGTCTTCGTCTCACTGTGTGGCAAGCTCCTTATCAGTTTCAACAGATCAATAGAGAGAGCCGTTCAAGATGACCACAAATGGGTTCAGTGTGGCCAAACCCTCTGCCGGTTCATCCACCTTACCTCAAGCACATGATTTGCCAGGAACATGGAAATTCTTACAAGAGGGTATTGAAGTGATGATGGAAAGATGCACAGAAGGAATGTCTTACAAACGATACATGGAAATGTATACGGTAGCATACAATTATTGTACAAGCTCACGTTTGAACGGACAACAAATGAACGGTGACCATTCTTTCCGTTCAGGTGCAACTTTGATGGGTGCAGATCTCTACAATAACCTTTCTGCATACTTTCAACAACATCTGATCGCAATCCGAAAAGGTGCAGACAATCTCAGCGATGAGGCTTTGTTGAAATTCTACGCAGATCAATGGGATCAATATACAGCAGGTGCAAACTTTGTTCACAGGCTGTTTGTCTACCTCAATCGTCATTGGGTAAAAAGAGAAAAGGAAGAAGGAAGAAGGGTTTACACAGTCTATACACTGGCTTTGGTCCAGTGGAAGAAACACCTCTTCGAACACGTCAAAGCAAAGCAAAAATTGGTCAACGCTCTCCTCAAACTCATTGAAAAGCAAAGGAATAATGAAGTGATTGAAATCAGTCTTGTCAAGAAAGTAGTAGACAGTCTCGTATCCTTGGGCTTGGACGATAATGACGCCACAAAGCTCAATTTGGACGTTTACAAGGAGGAATTCGAAAAGCATTACATCACTGCTACCGAGATCTACTACAAAGCAGAAAGCGACGCTTATGTAGCATCTACCAGCGTTGTGGATTATATGCGAAAAGCTGAAAAGCGATTGAAGGAAGAAGAAGAAAGGGTGGAATTGTTCCTTCATCCTTCGACACGCAACAAATTGATCGCCGCATGCGAGAATGTCTTGATTCGCGGTCATTCACAATTATTGTGGGACGAATTCCAGCCGCTTCTTGACGCAGAGAAATCGGACGATCTCAATCGCATATATACCCTATTGAGCAGAATTCAGGGCGGGCTAGAACCGTTACGTGAGCAATTTGATGGGCAGGTCAAGAGGACAGGATTAGCAGCTGTGGAGAAGGTGGCAGGTGAAAGTGGGGAGGCTATGGATCCATCTGCATACGTGACTGCATTACTCGGCGTACACTCCAAGAATTTGAACACTGTCATAACATCGTTCCATCATGAAGCAGGTTTCTTGGCCTCTTTGGACAAGGCTTGCCGATCCTTCATGAATATCAACAAAGCAACAGGTTTGAACACTAGCAAAAGTCCTGAATTGCTTGCTAGATACACCGATAGTATGCTGAAGAAGAGTAACAAAACTGCAGACGAATCGAGCTTGGAAGATCAATTGACCCAAATTATGGTCATCTTCAAGTACATGGAGGACAAGGACGTTTTCCAGAAATTCTACTCAAAGATGTTGGCAGGTCGATTGATCAATTCCAATTCTGCTTCAGACGATGCAGAAGCCAGCATGATTGCCAAATTGAAAGAAGCTTGCGGTTACGAATACACAAGCAAGCTTCAACGTATGTTTACAGATATGGGATTGAGCAAAGAACTCAATGATACATTCAAAGAAACGCAGCAAAACAGTGGACAAGAGTCAGATATGGACTTTTACGTGTTGATCTTGGGAAGCAATTTCTGGCCTGTGACTGATTTCGATACACCCTATATCATCCCAACTGAATTTTCAGAAGCGTACAAGAGATTCGAATTGTTCTACGGTGCTAAGCATAGCGGACGAAAGTTGAAGTGGGTCTGGAGATTGAACAAGAACGAGATAAAGACCAATTATTTGTCCCAAAAATTGATCTTCCAGACAAGTGCATACCAAACAGCTATTCTGCTTCAATACAACACCACTGATGAATTGACACAAGATGAGTTGATGAAAGGTACCGGGCTGGAAGAATCGATCATCAAGCCGATCCTCGCCTTGCTCACAAGGGCCAAGGTTCTCTTGAACGATGGATCGACATACAAGCTCAACAAAGATTTCAAGTCAAAGAAATTGCGCGTAAATCTCAACTTGCCTGTGAAATCGGAACAGAAAGCAGAGTCGAATGATGTGATGAAAAACGTTGATGAAGATCGCAAGCTGTTGTTACAAGCAACGATTGTACGAATCATGAAAGCACGTAAGCAATTAAGACACGCTCAACTTATACAAGAAGTCGTTCAACAAGTTCAATCACGCTTTCAGCCAAAGATTCCTGATATCAAAAAAGCAATCGATCATCTATTAGACAAAGAATACATCGAACGTGTTGAAGATCAAAAAGATCTTTACAATTATTTGGCATAAAAGGAGATGATAAACGCTTGTCCCGTCCCCATTCAATGTACTTTACTACGAATTACCATGAATATCATCCATCATGAGAGAATGATTTCCGGACTTTGCGCTGCTTAATTCCGACGCCACGGATTTTAAAGGGAAATGACTCGACGCTAGTGTGGAAAGTGATGATTGTGGAGAGATATGGTGATACTCTCCTTACTGTGATCACAAAAAGATGACTGAGTATGCTGAAGGGTCATTCAATGTGTCTGAGTATCTTTCAAAAAGGCCTCAATATCCTGAAAAGATCTATGATTTAATAATCGACTACCATAAACACGGCAACACACAAACTCTTTTGGATTTAGGTTGCGGTCCAGGTCAGGGTAGCTGGCCATTTTTGGGAATATTTGATAATGTGATCGGTGTTGATCCGGGAGAAGGAATGATAAAGCATGCACGACAGGCATACGAACAGATAGCCAAGGACAGAAGTGCCAAAGGAGAAAAGGTAGCCTCGGCAAATTATCAAGTATGTGCGGTTGAATCACTAGATTCGCTTAAAGTTCCTGAACGATCCGTTGATTTAGCAATCGCTGCAACGGCGGCACATTGGTTTGACATGCAGAGGACATATGCACATTTGTCTAAACTGGTAAAAAGCGGTGGCACGGTCGCTTTTTGGACGTATGATCTGGCTTATCCAAAGTATCATAGTTCAACAGCCGAAATGGTTTCACGTTTTGCCTATGAAGACATGGCGCAGTACGTTGATCTTCAAGGCTGTAAACGAATTCAAAGTCTTTACAAAGAACTTGATCAGCCTCCAGCAAATGAATGGGAAGACGTTCGTCATTTCGCTTATCCAAACTTTGGCGTTAATAAGAACTATATCCCGGTCTTGGAGAAAGAGTTACCTGCACACCTTTCGTCAGTCGAAGGGACAGAGTGGGACTGGGATTTGCATACCGATGTAAGTTGAAGGTAGTCATACTTTTAGTCTGCACACACTAATCATCTTCCCACCCAACAATTCAGACCACCACCTCTTGGAATGATTTAGCAGCTGCAAAACGAACGAATTCGAGCTATTTCAATTGGCGTAAAGAGCATCCAAATGTTCCTGCAGAGAAAGATATTGCAGCTCGACAAGTTTCTGCTCTTCGCGATCAAGTACTATCGGACAGAAGTGAAGGGATCGGATGCGAAGCAGGCCAAAGTGACGATCAAGTACGGCTCATGAGGCCGATGGGTTTGTTATTGATGCGTAAACGCTGATGTATTGGTACAAAATGTGTAGAATATGTATGTTTTATGCTGTTGAAATGTCTGCATAAACGTCAAATCTTCGTTGACGAGATGTAGGAACAAATGTTCGTGCTTCTTCTATTTGACTTCCTTCGATCTGCAAGGAAAGCACGGACTCCTTCTCGTCTAGCGATTTGATCACTTTGCCCCATGGATCAACAACCATTGAGAATCCATAAGATGGGTATGCTTTATCCGGCCCTTCGATCTCTGCTTGTGAAGGTCGTGCGGGAGAACAAGAGACGATGTACATCTGATTATCTGTTGCCCTTCCTCTTTGCAATGGTTCCCATGATCTTGGTCCAGTAGTCGTATTGAATGCTCCTGGGTAAATCATCGCTCCCGCGCCAAGTCTGGCTGCAACGGTGGTCATTTCGGGGAATCGCAAATCATAACAAATCGCAAGGCCAAATCGACCCAAAGAACATTCAAAGACGGTAATACGATCTCCAGCAGTGAGCGTTTTACTCTCTTGGAATGTCATCTTGCCGGGAATATCGATATCGAATAAATGCAGCTTTCTATGCAGAGAAATTAGGCGTCCCTGTTCATCAAATACACTGGCGGTATTGTAAAGCTTACCCGTCTTGCCATCTCGCTCAGGAATACTTCCTCCGACCAGAACAATGCCAAGCTCTTTGGCCATCTGACTCATCATTTTGATTGTTTCGCTTGGGGAATTTGCAACATTAACACCTTTTCCGTTCAAGCCATCTACAGTCCAACGCTGAACCAGCTCTTCCTGCTGCTGACGAGCGATGTCCTTTTCATCTTCACCGTTTGAGACACGGTGTGCAGCATCTGCAATTGTAGATGTGCTCTTCTTCCCTAAAGGAGTCTTTACTTTCTCGTACAAGCCACCGAAATCCTCTGCATACGTATCGAAATAATGAACGCCATAAGGACTATTCCAACACTCGGGAAGGACGACCATTCGATTATTCTTTCCGGAAGATTGTTTTTTGACCGCATCAAAGATTGATTTGCGTGCATGTTCGAGATTTTTTGCCTTGTCTTTTGATGTCTGTCCTAATTGAATCAGTGTTAGATCGATTGGGTCTTTTGATATGTGTACCGGTAATCCGATCGAATGGAATACCGGTGCTTTTTCGTTTGAGGCTGTGGTTGACATCTTGGAGATAAGCTGAGTAGCAGTAGGAGAGCGTACAAAAGATGAAGTAGTGCAATGTATGCTCCTTGTGAATGAGAGCAACAGCATATAGTATGGTGATCGTTGGCAGGATAAAGGTTGAACGAGGAAGAGATCCTCATGATGGCCCATGCATTTTACGATCAACACTTAGCGCGTTCGGAAAAGGATGCCCTCCAAGAATTCTTTCACCTTTTCCCTTCTCTCTTCCCCTTCCATTGTGCTCAAATGGCAATGAAGGATGCCCATCTGCGTGCATTGTAGCACGCCAACGCAAGCTTTGTACGTCTCATACGGGCCTCAACATCTGATCTGCACAAAATGCAAAGCATGTGGTGCATTTGCAGATCCATATGTGGAACATGAAGCGATTATAGTGGTAATCGATTTAATTCTCGTCAAACCAAGGGCTTATCGACATCTTTTGTTCAATCGTAAAGATGTATTTGCTCAAGATGATACGAGAAAGAAAGTCAAGGAGTCACCAGCGACAACTGAAAGAAAGGCCTGGCTCTTACTTGCCCGACACTTTCTCGCTTTGCTATTGGTCGATGCCTATTTGAGATGGTTCTACCTATGCAGAGATCACAACACTTCTTTGCAGGAGAGCATGTCAGGCGATCTAAGCACCCGCTTGTTGGTTCTTTGGTCGTACTTTAATATCTTATGGTCAACTTGTACAACAATGCTTACATTGCATACGGTCGTGCTTCTGTGGGCAACAGTGTACCATCGAGCTGTACGTTGGATCGCACAGCGACAGACAGACTCATCAAGAAGCAAGATTGATCAAAATGAGTTACAACGCTTCAAGATGCATTTGATACCCAATGCATTACTTCTCTCAAGTTTGACACCTACCTTTTTGCTCTGTCTTTTGTTACTTTGGCAACCTCTCTCACATTCTTCCGAAGATCAAAAGCAACCAGGGGAATGGCAATGGAACGAAGCAAGTATCGATTGGGCAATCCGAAGTTTGGTAAGCGGTTTGAGTGCTGGCGTTGGCTTGGGGGTTGTCTTGCCATTACAAAGAACAAAAGTGGGTGCATTGATGGCCACCACAATCCTGATGATCGGATGGTACTTGCAATTCGTTGTAAGTCAAAAGCTTGGAATGCCTTTCCATAGCGGCGTTGGCGTACTGCAAAGTGATGAAGGGCAGATAGCTGCAAAGCTGTATTGTCTTGCGAACTGATCATTCGCCTATACCCGATCATATCAATCAATCATTTATGATTCTCATTGCGGCGGTCATGTGTGTATAATACAAATGTGTGTGCAGGTACTTTTAATACATGGTACAACAGAAACGATGAGCGATAAAGAAATACAAAGAAAAAGACTATCAGAACAATTGTGGTGATGATCATACCTGATTGGCAACATCAGACGATAGTCCAGGATTTTGTACAACCTCTTCAACACTCTCAGCACCTCCAATTTCCACATCATCCGCTTCTCCTTGCTTTTCATCATTCAAATCGTTTCCTGTCGTTGCTGAACCGCTCCCCTCCTCCTCTTTCTTCTTCGCTTTCATCTGTAGCTTCTCTTGTTCTCTTTTCTCGTTTATCGGCTGATACTCGGCTATCAAGCTTTCTATTATGCCTTTCCAATATTCTCGAAGAGCCAGTGCCTCCTCCGATTTCCATGCCAGATGATTCTCATCCTTTGACGGAATCACGTCATCTTTGAACGCTTTTGGATCGGAAAAGAATCGTTCAAATGCATGCAAGAGATACAATCCGCAATCTGCCCAATTTGGTTGACGTGGCATAGCAACATCAATTGAATTCAGCTCGATCTTTCTTGTATCGATCGCACTCTTCAAATTGTGCTTATCGGCATACTCGTAAGCCAAATAATGCTTCATCGAAGTCTTGACGGGAGTGTGCTTTTGTTGTAAGGAATCAAAGATGCAAACGGTTGCTTCCTCGTTCAACTGCTTTCGCCATGTCTCCGAGCGTTCTTGCGATAGGTTAATGGATGATCTCTGGCTATTTGACAAATCAAAATGCATCACTGGCGAAGTTGCGCCGCTTCTGCGAGTAGAGCGACGAAGAAACTCAGGTGATACTCGACCTGCATTCTCCGGAGAATGTTTAGGTGAGCTTTTGCCGTAGAATGACCCAGTCGCTATCTTGTCGGATCCTTGCCGTGATTGCTGAGAAGATATCGTTATCCGACTCCTTTTTGACGCTTCATCTTCGTCCTGTGAGAAAGACTGGCCTGGTGTAAATGGAGTACCGAGCGCACGCTTTTCGCCTCCTCCGATTAGATTACCGCCGCCTCTATTCGATATTGCGTCCGAATCATCGTCAATCTGGACACTTTGAGCGTTTGTACGCTGATCCATAACAGGAATCATTCTACTGTCCCCATCTCCATCGATTTCCGGCGTATGCTGATGTTGAGCGCTGATATCGCTGGCAAAAATGTCATCATCGCGGGAGATTTCATTCTCCATGACTGGCTCAGCACCAGACCTAGGAGAAGATCTGGCGGAGTTGTATTCAGATCCTGCCGCTTCCTCCTTTTCGCTTTCTCCGCCTTTTCGTATTTCTTCAGGAATAGCAAAGAGCGGATTGACAACAATGGCCAAATACCAATGCAAGTTTTCATTGATCGGAACGACGAGGTACTTTTTCTTGAAAAGCTCTGCCTTTCGTGTCCATTTCTTTACCAATTCATATCCCACTGTGCGATCACTTCTTTTCTCGTTGAGCCGATTGTAAAAGAAAGACGAAAAGACAAAAATTTCTTTGTGTAAATCAGCATCCCTTTGTCGAATTGATTCCAAAAGATATTTCAACCCGAAATCAATCATTGTATCGTTCAAAAACTCTCCAGGATCCAAACGATCAAAGTCTGACTGCAGAACGGTAACGTAACCAGAAGATGAGTTATGGAAAGGATAGTTCAGCAGCTTCTTGTTCGGATCAAGAACCTTTTTTGGGGATGGCGATTTAGTCAGAGAGTCTTTTCGTTCTGCAGTCTCTCTTCGATTGGGAGTGTACTCAGCATCGTCGTATTGCTTCACACCTCGCACATCCGATGTTCGTTGGGATTGTCTTGTTACGAATGGATCGCGGGGTGTTGTGACTGATGGTCTGGGTTTAGGCCGAGCGCGTTGAGTAGCTTCACTGGTCTTAATTGATGAAGTAGACGGACTTTGCTCTTCTACCCTTGAAGTCAGATGCTTCAGTTTCCTGAGAGAGGCCTCGATTTTCATTGCTCCGTTATTATCCAGACTTTGGAGCGTCCTATCTCTCAGTTTAGTAAGTTGTCTACGGAGATTGTTCCAATTATGCTCTTCTACGGAATCGGCATGAATCGCATCCAGAACAATGTGATTGCCGCCATGCACTGCTCCGAACCCAATCATGTCATCTAAGACACGCTTGACATTTTCGGCAGAAGTCGAATCTTCAACAAGCTTTATTTGTAGAAATCTGTGTGGTTCATGAAGCATGGAGGCGGAATCTTTGCTTGCGGTCAAGCTCTCACAATCGACAAAGTCGATCACAATCGTGTGCGCCTTAAGACCGTTGCTATCTTCCTGCCAACCAATCTCAATTGAATCTTTGAATGGCCTCCATTCGACAATTGGACTGATATGAGACCCAATGTAGCCATCTGGAATGAACGCAATCCTTCGCAGCTTCAATTTGATCGGCTTTTCAATTCTGCCAGCCGACTTCGACGAGTTCCCGAGACCCGAATTGAAAAATCTATTGTCGTGATCTTTAGTCTTTTGTACAAGTCTTGGATTTATCATGCTTTGTGTTTGTCCGTTTTTGTTCTTCATTCGAGCCGCAAATCCAGGTACTTTTTGTTCATCTGAAGACTGAGCTATATGGAAGCTTTTCTCGTTGAGTAGATTATGACTTACTGGAGATACTGGAACATCTTGTTGACGTGGCACAATTTGCTCCCCCACTGAATTTGTTCGAACGTGGTGCTGAGCGTGACCGTTGACAGGAGAATGTTCCCTGCCATTACTTTCAACATTTTCATGTCCCCGGACCGCAGATCGTATCTCATCCATTTCCATATCACCAGCTGTGGTGAGGCTTTCAGCAGGTGATCGACTTGACGATGTGTCCTGCTCTTTGCCTTTTCCAGTGACAGTAGTTTGGTCCTGAGGCAATTGTGACGAGGATGGTTGATCAATAATCTTTGTTTCATCATCGTCTGAATCGTCAAGTACGATTGGTTCTTCTTGCTTCTTCGAAACAGACCTCGTCTTCCTTTGAGTTGGCGAGGAAACAGAGGCATGTACAATCTTCCCAGTGTTGGCCGATGCATTTCGATATTGCGCTTGATGAGTCAGAGTAGTACCTCTGGTCGAGGTAGATGGTGAAGTGTTCTCTATTTCCATCTGCAAAGGCTTTTTCTTTTGCGCCGGTGGTACGCCTGAAGAAAAGTGTGACACTGAACGTATGCTTGTTGAAGTTGGAGATGGTTTTGTGCTCCTTGCTATCTCTTGACTTCGAATTTTCTGATTCAACACCAAGCTTCTCCCTCCACTCGAGGATCGCCCACCATTATTCGAAGCAGATGATGAAGATGGTTTATCGAGAGTATCCCTACCAGGCTGAAATCCTTGTGGAATAAATGGTGATCGATTGTTTCGATTTTGTCGATGAGAGGTGTACGGTTGTTCCCTTTCTGGTATGGCTATAGGATTGCCTTTTGGAGTTTGAGGTGAATAGCGTTCCTTATGCCCGGACATGATGTTTCTCACTGATTACCTTTTAGCAGCTCAACAGGTTTTGACACCAATCCAACATACATACTCAGCTTTGACGCAATTGTCCTACAATCATACTTGCATTCCTTTTCCAATTTTGTCCTTTTTATCCAGTGATCAGCTGCCTTGACAATCTAAAGATCAGATGTGAATGTATGCCACACTTTTTGCCCAATGATGGTGTTGAATAAAGGACAACCGGCGCAATTGCAATCGTCCGCATGAATGAATGATTGCAAAGTGAGTGAGCGAGTTTGGTTCATAATTTCACGCCTTTCGACGCGTTGATATCCCCCGTTCACATAAGAAAAGTGTTGTTCAATCTTTTTTTGTACGCGTCCTATTCAAAGTGAATGAGGTGGAGAAGCAATCGTGCTTGTCTGTGTGTAAGAAGTGGGTATTGAATAGGAAAACATGATCATAAAGGCTACAGGGAAAAATATACAAGAATCAAGTAAGAACAAAGAGGAGGGAAGAATGGAAAAAGTAAGAATACAGATATGGAAGGGGGACTATAAAGAGAAGCACCACATGACCACGCATCATTTTCTTTTACCATGCCATGCATGCATGGCTCGCTTTTGCGTTCTCCTAAAAGCTTTCATCGATCGTTTCATTTGATGTTCTGAACGCTTTTTGTGTCTGTGCAGTGTCGTCTTGAAGTCACGTTTACCACCTTTTGCCCCTGGTTTGGCAAGTTTGTACGTCGATGCAATAGCTTTGAGCTTGTCATATGCCTCTTTAGCCTTTGCAGAAAGTTTGGCTGGATAGTGATGGAAGTTCATAGATGCATGTTGCAGCTCAATTAGCTGTATAAAAGCTTCGTTCAATTTAGCATTTGGTTTGGCCTGACGGAGAAAGTGATTTGCATTCTGCTTTGAGCTCTCCGTGAAGCGATGAACTTCTTTGCCGAATTTTGTCAATTTACGGTATGCTTTGCGATACGATTTCCCTAGATCAATTTGCAGCTTCTCCATCTCATCATGGAAGATCATACTCATCTTCACGTATGCTTTCATCATTTCCAGCGTCCATGCTTCCCACGTCTTTTGAAGCGCATTCATCATTTGCTTGGAGCGTGGATGGAACTCTTTCCAAACATTTGCTGCTTCCGTTTGGATCATCTTTGCTTCTTTTGACACAGCAGCAGAGAAAGTAGCGAGCGTGTCACCGGTGATTCCATCAAAAAGAGTCGACCATTGCTTGTGCAAACCATTCATAAGAGTCTTTGCAGCACGCGAAGGTCTTTGAATTCGGGCAAGTGGGTCAATTTTAGTAAGATAAAATGCAGATGTATGCTTCAGATGTGAGACGTCAACCGTGGATACTTTTGCAGGCGTAGACAAGAACCATTCAGCTGCTTTGGACGAGTAAGTGGTATCCGTTTGGAAGACCATAATCTCGCTGTTCCCTTTCTTTGCCAAAGTCAAATCTTTTGAAATTTGTCTTGCCGCGGATTGTTTTGCCTTTCTTTTGACGGATGCTGCATCTCTTGTCGTGGTTACTAGAACACCAGGACTGCACTTCGCACTGCCACTAAACGGTGACGCCTTTCCAACCACAATCAATCCTTTGCTTGCTTTTGAAGAGATGACCGAAAGAGACTTGTTCAATTGAGCGAAAGGAGTAGTCGTGGGCTGCTCAGTGTTGGTAGCCAGCTTGCTTAGATTTGCTCGATTGTTGAGCAATGCAGGTGGGTTTGTGCGCCAGACTGGCATTACACCTGATGCCAACAAAACGACAAGGAGACTGACCATCGCGCGAAATGCTTTGCTTGCCAACAACGTTCGATCGATCTTGAATGGAAATCCAGCTGGAGGAGTAGGAATGGTGGGAGGAGAAGGGATGACGACCGCTTCATTCTTTTCTATTGGGAATTCCACAGATGGTTGCAACGGTGTTTCTTCTGTGCTATGAAGGCTAGATGCGTCTGCACCCACGGCATCCGTGAGAGTCGTACGATCTTCCATCTCATTCTCGTCGTCTGCGTTACCGCCACTGCTTGGAGAATAGCGTTCAGGCACCTTTTCTTGAATGAATGTGGAATCTGGATCAGTGACTTGCTGAAATGAACTGTCTAGAGGGTCGGGAAATCTGAGTAAGCTAGATGAAGTTGATGAATTGATCAAATCTGAATTCTTCAAAGTTGTCAATGAATTTCGAGAAGGTAGAATTTCGCTGTCATCCAGTCCGCCTCTGGTTAACAGTTCTTGATCAGCAGTGTTGTTCCATTCGCCAAATTGTGATGATTGTATGCTTGAAACTCCAACAGATCTATTCATCATTCCTGAAGCTGAAAAGGTGGACCCGCGATTGGCCAAATCGTCAAAGCTTTCGGTCAATTCATTTCCCAATACATCCTCGTCATCATCGGTGATTTCACCTCTTTCAGATCTTGGAGCATCCACCAATTCAAAGTCTTCATCTCCATCCAAGCTTGACAGATCGCTCATATCCGTTGGAAATGATGTAGTCGTTCTTGAAGATGCTGATAGCGTTGGTGATAGAGCTCTCCCGCCAAAGTCAGATGGCACGGGAGAGAAACGTGGACTTGTCATGATGTTGATGGTGTTGCAGTCAAAATGACAGAGGTGTTCCTTTGTTGCTTTATCGAGCGTGCTGAGTCCAATCAATGAAGAATAGCTATAGCTGATTGGTATAAGTGCCAAATGAATGTGCACTTTACCTCAGCTCAGCCCGTTTTAACAAGGGCAAGTGAAGGTTAACAAGTAACAACAATGAGGAGTGTGCTCTCTCTCTCTCCCATTAGTGTGCAATTACCCTGAATCCCTGATTATACTTTTTTTTTTGGCGTGCACGGCCTTAATTGTGTTTATTGAAGTGAGTGGAATTATGACTTGCTGTGTAACTCCAAGCATAGAATGCATTTTATTTGAGACTAACAAGCACACAGGTGCACTGCCTACAATCCACTTTCTAACAATGTCGGCGTTAAGAAGAGGGGGTGCGTGCGGTCACATGAAGCATGCAATTTAAATCTGCATGCATGTTTAGGAACCCGATGTTCGAATGCTTCCCAGCTCATCACCACCATTGGCGGAAACTTCATGGCAAATGTTGTGCCCAGACGCTTCTAATTACAGCCGGAGAAGATTATGAGCGTTCTTTTGGAGACGTCCTTGGGCGATTTAGTGGTAGATTTGGATGTGGAGCAATGTCCAAAGACTTGCGAAAATTTTCTCAAACTTTGCAAGACGTACAAATACAATTATCTTACCTTTTTCTCAATACAAAAGAACTTTTTAGCACAGACTGGTGATCCAACAAATACCGGTAAAGGAGGTCAATCGATATGGTCTCAATTGAATCCTTCTTCCGACGCATACTCTTCCGTCCCATACTTCTTCCCCGAACGGCATCCATCACGCAAGCATGAAAGGCGAGGTACGCTGAGTATGGCATGTCGCAGGCTTCGCCCTGAAGATGAGGATAGCTTGGTTGCTGGCAGTCAATTCTTTGTTACTTTGTCCGACGATATCGAGTATCTGGACGATAAACATGCACCTTTTGGACGTATTGTTGAAGGAGATGAAAAGGATGGCACGCTTGACAAGATGAATGCGGCGTTTGTGGATAAGGATATGCGGCCATTACAAGATATTCGTATTCAGCAAGTTGTTGTCTTGGATGACCCATTTGACGATCCGAAAGGCTTGCATATTCCCTCTCGAACACCTTCACCCACTCCTGAACAAATGGCTGCTATCGGACTAGACGCAACAGCTGCTCTAAACGAAGACGAAAATCGACCGGCAGAAGAAGTGGAAGAAGAAAGAAGACGAAAAGATCGAGAAGCGGCTGCACTTACACTTGAGATGGTTGGAGATTTACCCTTTGCAGAAATACGTCCGCCCGAAAACATCTTGTTCGTATGCAAGCTTAATCCAGTCACAAGAAGTGAAGATTTAGAATTGATCTTTTCACGTTTTGGTCAAATCTTAAGCTGTGAAGTGATAAAAGACAAAAAGACAGGGGATAGTTTGCAATATGCTTTTATCGAATTCGATCAACGTAAATCGGCTGAACAGGCTTATTTTAAGATGCAAAATGTTCTGGTGGACGATCGTAGAATTTGGGTGGATTTCTCGCAAAGTGTCAGCAAATTATCCAACAGTTGGAATTCAAGCAGAACCCAAGGAAAAGTGCTGAAAGTTAAGGAAGGATCAAGAGATAGCCAGCACGGTAGTCGAGGTCATCATACCGAAAGTAGAAGTTCTGACAGCAGGCGTCATCATTCAGGAAGCGATCGTTCATACGAGAAGGATTCGCATCGTTCTTACTCTGACAGGCACTCCGATGATCGACATCGACGGGAGTCTAGCAGACGGGACGAAGCAAGACATGATCAACATCGATATCGTGAAGACAATTCTTACGCAAAGCCTCGCGACGAGCATCGTCATTCATCCCATCGGGATCGAAACCGTGATCGCGAGAGAAGTCCACGAAGAAGTAGTACAAAAGAGCGGTATTAAAAATGTGTATATTATTGTACAATTAGCAATATAGAGCATGATGTAAAGTTCTATTCTGCAAACTTTGCTTTCACTTGCGTTCCATTAGGGGTATTCGAAACTTCTTCTTCCTCCTTTACCCTTGAGATGTTTTCTTCCTGCCCTTCTTCGCCGATACTAACTTGTTCGTTACTGCCACCCTGATCAGCCACAAGGGCTCTCAATTCGTCTTCAAATGCTTGCGCTTCCATCTGTTCTCCATCATTTCGTTCATCCCAACGTTCAAACTCTGTGCTATACCCACGTCGCAGAGCCAGAGCTTTCGTACAATAAAACATAGACTTCTTTCCCCATTCACCCGCTGTTGAAGGTCGAAATTGCGTATAAAGTTCATAGGCTTTCGCATGCAATAGATCTGGTCCTGGAACTTCGACCGCTTCTGCATCGGTAAGCTCATATTTCATCTTTGGCACAGATGGGTTGACGAACGAATCTGCTAAAAGACTCAAAGATCCGATCACGAGGGGCAATGTTTGATACATCGATTTACGCATATAGTTGAAGGCTTGATCAGGTCCGATCACTTCACCTTTGCTTATCCCACGCCATTCTTGTGTTTGTCCAAGCTTGATCAGTGGGATCTTTACACCCATCAATTCAAAGTGTGGCTGATTGGAACTGATCTTGCTCAGAGCTTTATCTTGTTCTGATGCAGGTATTATACCCAACGATACTCCACGAGCGGTTGAAGTTGTATTCACATAACAATGTGCCAAACTGAGTGCTTCACGTCTTTCAAATCCAAGCCTTTCCAAAACGAGTGTTGACCAAACAGTCATGATAGGTGCCCTATTCACATAGACGTACCTTCCTTTCAATGAGTCTTCTTCCAATACTTCATTGAATACGTAATCCACTTGATCTCCTCCTTCTCCAGGTTCATTCTTCGGTGCGACAACATTGCCATATTCACGTGAAAGGGCTTCATCGTCCATAGCCTTCCTTCGCTTTGATGCTTGATTTGCTTTCGATGGTGAAGATCCAGAAAGAGAAGAAGCGATTTGATCAGACGTTCTCTTTCCCTTTCCCGCTTCTTTAGCCGTTGCACTCGTGATTACAGAATCCGAATTACTCAATTGTCGTACACCAAACGCAATCAAGATTTTGTGTCTGTCCAATTCGCTCTTGATCCCTGCATCTACTAAAACTGGTCCGTTGAGATGTGATAGCCTTTCTTGTGTGTTCAACTGTGCTCGAACCAGTTTACCGGCTAATGGGATTGCTTCTTTTACTGAAAATGCAGCAGAGCCCAATGCTGAATTCACCAATGATTTCAATATGGCAGGTAGTGGAATAGGGACATTGGCTATATCGTCATTTTGATGTACCTGCCTGCTTTTCTGTATACTTTGCTTTTGGTTTGAATCTGATTTCGCCTTTATTCCATCTTCGTTGCCCAGAACCGACGAAGAGGAAGAACTGCGAGACGCATCCGCTCTGGCTCTAGCGAACAATTCAGCAGCCCGATCAGCGTGTGATTCGGGTGTCTTCTCGAATTCCTTTCTATTGTTCTCGCTCCGGAAAGAGGATGATTTACGAGGTGGCATCTTGTTATTCAAACATAGCAAGTATATGAGTTGAAAGTTAAGCACTTTACTGTTGGAAGTGAAAGTGAAAGCGAGAAGGAGGTGAAGTTGTCAAGAATTAATTTACACGCTAAATGCAAGCAAGCGTGTAGATTACTAAGCAGGCACTCGCATATAAGATACAATGTGTCCTCTCTCTACTCATGAGTCAAGGTGTCTTATCTCTTTACCTTCCCTACCTCTTCGTATATTTGAAGGTCATACCAGATAAGATGTTGCTTACATTTCCCTCTTCAATACAGTGTGCATAAGTAGCGATTGCATTGAAAGTACCTTCTTCCTGCTCACTGCTTTCTTGCAGCATTTGTATTGGACAAAATCTCTTCTGTTGCTTTTCATCAAAAGTCCTTTGGTCACACAACCGTACCAAGCAGCACACCAACGAATCAAGATAGCTGTTATGCTGGCAAGACCTTTACTCCGGGAAGATTGTTGAGCCGGACTTGTTTGGACAAAACTGATCTTTAATATGAATTGTTAGTTAGCAGAGCTGCACTATTGGCTGGGAGATAGATGAAGAGTCAGAGGGGCAAAGTAGTCCAAGAAAGCTCGTTGTACAGTACATAGTGTTCTCCACTTTGAGAAAATGAAAGGGAAGCCAAAATAAAGAGACACAAATTCTATCTAGTACCAGATTGACGAATGTGTCATGTTTGACTCGGCTAAAGAAAGTTGCATGTTTACTTCCAGCCTATACAACGGACCTTTTGCGTCACTCTGCTTTAAATGACACCTATCCAAATCCATGGAAGCTGTCATATTGAGTTTTATCTTTTGTGTTAAAGCAATTACCGTTGTTGATACAATACAAACCACTTTCACACCGTTAGTGTACATACTATGATATCCGTAAGTAGAATTTAGTTGACCCTGTACGGAGATATTTGGTTTTCTTTTGGTCGTTCATGAGTAGAGTAGGTCTTCCGTCTGTTTAATTCACGGGGAGAATTCTCTTGTTTTGAAATAGGCCTCGGACTTGCGCGTTCATTTGCAGCTAAGCCTGCATATTGCTTGTTACTTTTTTGTTCTGCTCAGCCGGCGCTTCTCCCCTTGCACGCCCGACGATGGTAAAAGATCTTCGCAGCAGCAGCAAGCCACTTTGCTCGTCCTCTCATTGCAATAAAAAGGTAAGTTTTCCGACCGCGCGGTTATGCGATCTAGCATATCCGTAGAAATATGGCATTTCAATCAAATGAGAAAAGAAATAAGGAACCAAATTAAATTAACTTTACACATTTCTCCATTCATCTTGTTTTCTTCTCATCCTTGACCATCATCATTTCCATCAAAATGCCATCTGATGGTAAAAGAATGATACGCGTTTAAATCCGAAAAAGAAGGACCACTCCGTACGACAGACACACTTCTATGCCAAAAGCACATCAATCACCCATTCGATTTTGACTTTCGGTTATCACGCTAAAACGACAGTGTGTGTGTGTGCTCAGCCCTTTGTCTCCGTGGGGATTCCTCTTAAAAAGAGCAAAAGAGTGGCTGGCTGGCTGGCTGGAAGAGAGAGGACGTTTGACCGCATTTGTGCAAATTGATTGATCCGCATAACGCAGGGCAAGAACATAAATTAGTGAAATTATATACGCGTCCAAAGCAAACCCAGCGTATCAACAGAGGATGGCCGAATTTGATCCAAATAGCAGCAGCCTACCGGGTGGTGGTAGTTTGGATGAAAATACGATTCAAGAAGGAAATACGCAACCGATCATTGTTACCACGCCTGTTGGACAAAGTCCTTTTCACGATTCAATCACTCACCAACAACATCAACATCCATCCCCTTATGCATCCTTGCAACCATCAGATGCTACGATAGGTTTAGGTGTATTAACAAGTGCAAATAATAGTCCAGCTTTATCGGCTTCTTCACCTCATCCATACACGCCTTCCAATACAGCTGGATTTGGAGATCATACAGCAAACGAAACAAGAGGCACTTCATCTTCATCATCCTCTTCTTCAACAGCAACAGGTGCATCATCACTTGAACCACAGACAAGCTTTCATCCTTCACAACACAACTCTCCATCACTGTCAGCAGCATATGCAAGCAATCAAGGAGAAGAGCCACAACATTACTCTCAATTAGTAGCATCCCAAAGTGAACATCCAATCACCTTCCAACAGGAACAACAGTCACAACAACCTCCTTTTCGCAGATCAATAGCCAGTGGTCAATTTATCGTTAATCGAGCCCAACATCAACCACAATTTCAGGCTCAATCACAACCACAAATTTCCACTTTCGTTCATCAAAATCCTACCGATCAGCTCACACCAAGATTCGGCTCTGCATTTTCGCGTGCCAGCACAGGTCAAATACACACAGGCCTTCCCTATCCGTACCCTGGTGCATCTATCCCCCCTGCCAGTTCAAATAGCTCTTGGCTGCAAAGCGATCCTACACGATTGTATCAATCAGTTCCCGCTCCTTCTTCTCAATTTGGACATTATCATCATTCACCTTTTCATCCTCCTACGCCTTCATCCTTCATGAGCGCAAACGATCAAGCTGCGCATATGTTGCAAAGAGGTGCAAGTGCAGGCACAACAAGTGGATATCAATGTCCAAATTGCGGAAAAACATTTGCTCGAGATGATCTGTTACGTAGGCATTTAGCCAGAGAAGCAAGAGCGGCTGCTCAACCTTCGCTGGATAGACAAAAGAGCTGTTATGAATGTGCACGTAGCAAAGCAAGATGTGATTTAGAGGTACCATCTTGCGGAAGATGTAGAACACGAGGAAAGACGTGCGTTTATGGTGCTAGAAGTGGAAATCCAAACGTACGCAAAACTGTTCGTTCAACTTCGCAGGAGTATGCAAGTGGAATAGCGGGAGCAGGACCATCGCAATGGGCTGGACCTTTACCGGCGGATGGTTCACAATGGCCTTCTGCTGGTATTACTGTACCTTCTAATGCACCACATTATCCTTTTCCCAAAAACGAAGGATCGGAAGACTATGAAAGTGACGATAGCCGAAATTGGTCAGACTCTTACCAACAGTTCAGAGGAGATAGAACGCTATCTTCATCATCCAGTAACACGAACGACTCGTTTGACTATGGAAACAATAACGCCGATCAGCAGGCTGGCTATGCGATGAATTATGCCGATCAGACACCATATCTGATAGGCCCTTCAACCAGCATGGGAGGTAGATTGGCAGCAGGTGGAATCGATACGTCTGTACCGCGTATAAGGGCTGAGGATGATGAACAAACACCTATCAGTCAGGCAATGAATGCGGTAATGGGACCGCCACAAATCACGCCTATGCGAGGACAAACGTCAAACAATAATTGGCCGGGAGCAATACCGAATGCACCAAATTCAAGACCAGAAGTGCCGCGCCTTTTGACAGGAGCTCGAATGCCAAGACCTGCTGAAGCTGGCCAAGCGAGTGCAAGACCTTTGTTTAGCGCCCAATTGGATTTGTCTGGATGGCTTGAAGAGCCGGTAATTCCTTCGCCTCTTTATAGAATGGGACCGAGTCTCTCTGCTTTGGGGTCGAATGCTCAATCTTTCACTTTACCAACGCCAACCCTTGCTTCTCAGGCTGGTAATCAGTTATTGTCAACAGCATTGCTACCAGCACCGTCAAATGCCAGTCAATCACAAAGTGCTGATACAGTGATGGGAGCAAACAATACGAACACATCAAGTTCAAAACCATCGTCCGCTTCTGAACATGCACAAGTTGCAGCACGAAATTGGTGGGCAGCCGGACCGAGTGAACGAACTTCGATTGATTCGCAAGAAGTTGCACAAGCATGTGCGGGGCACTTTACCTTGTATCCTGCTTTGATGGTCTTGCCTGATGCAACATCACCCGTTCCACCACTTTTTCATCGACCTTGGCTTGCCAATACACGATTACAAACGCCTGCTTCATTAGCACAAGTACGGGTTGCTTTGGCAGCTTATCATGTTCGATTACCGGCAAGTGAAGGAATGGTTTGGGAAATGATTAAAGCACAAGCAAAAGCGATTGTTGCATCGTATGACGCTCTTGTTCAATCGAGTGATATGGAGGTATTTTCCAGTACGGCAGCTTTATGGTTCTTGGTCATCCTTTTGTTGATGTCCACTGATCCGGCAACTGGACAATGCGTTGATGAAGGTTTGACGGATTCATGTTTGGTAGGTTTGTCTCATTTATCGTATTTGTTGCAGAAACGTGTTCAAGCTTTAGAGCAAGTTCATATCGAACAAAGACAGGCAAATGGAGCCGCTTCGCCCTCTTTCATCGATTGGGGATTCTTGGAAACGATGCGAAGGACGTTGTTTGCTTGTTATGCTTTGTTTGTCTTACAACGGTTCAGGGCCACATCACCCGAACTTCAATCACGTCTTGCGGGCGTGGAATTGGTGATGGATATCAAGCTTCCTGCTACTGCGTCTGAATTCGAAGCTGGAAATGAATTGGAATGGAGAGCAGCACAGCACGTAAAAATTACGGATGATCAAGGGATCGCTTTGGGCGGTGCATTGACGATGAGAGAATTATTAACAGCACGATCAGCAGCACAACAACAACAATGGCAAAGGCAAGCATCAAAGGCTGATCAAAACAAAGAAAAGAATGACAGTAGTGAAAATTCTTCTTCTTCCACCACTGTCAATTCAGATGAAGAAACAAAATCTCCGATAACGGAAGAACGCAGAAAACAAATGTTGGCATATTTTGATCGACATGATGATTTTACAAATGTTTGTTTAACTGTCACTTTTGCACTTGATGCACGTATTTTACCATAGAACACTTTACCTGTCTCATTCGTTTTTATTATTATTATTGGTTGTATTATTGATGTAAACAATTTGTACATTTTTTATCTGTTGTGCTTTTAAGATATTCTTCTCACATCATTTTCTTTTTGCGTGGAGGCGTGCTGATTTAGCTGCAGAGGCTATCTGAAGACTCTCGACTCAAATTTCATCTGGTTCGTGCCAACGTCAATACGCTATTCATTTCTCCTTCTAAACTTCTCAATGATGAGGAGCACTTGTTCTCAAGCCCAGGTCCGCATCACGTGCTGACGAGCAAAGTGGCACGGACGCGCTATTGAACCAAATGGTACTCCTATGACTGACGCTTGCCTCATCTGTAAGCTGTGTTAGTTATACCTACGTTCTCAGCCATCTTTCTGATTCACCTTCATTCGAGATCGTCATTTGGTGTGGACATATCATCAGCATTCGAGCAATCACTCTGACTTGGCAAGATACAAGCTAGAAGGCATACTATTGATTCGACTGTTAGCAGAGACGCCAGATTGCATCACTCCTCCCGTCTAACACATCTTTCACAATGGGTCCTTTGCTGTATGCAGGTGGACTGGTGTCCACTGGGATCTCAACTGTGATCCTTTATATGCTTTTGACGGGTACCATATATTCCTTTAACTTGTTCAGATTCTTAGAGGAAACAAGTCCTTATGCATGGGCTTTGCTTGGTATAGGAATGTGTATCGGATTAAGTGTGATCGGAGCGGGATGGTGAGTAAGAAGTGTTACACTGAAGAGGAGAAATAGAGATTGACTGACTGATTCTTTCTTTTGCTCATTCACAGGGGAATCTTTATCACTGGTGCATCTATATTGGGAGCAGGTGTTCGTGCACCACGTATCACAACCAAGAATTTGATCAGTATCATCTTCTGTGAAGTTGTTGCAATTTATGGGGTGATTATGGCAATCGTCTTTTCAGCGAACATCAGTGGCAATTTGGAAGGAGGCCCAGATGGACTATGGAAGCCAGACAACTACTATACAGGTGAGTATATCGAAGAGCGGACGAAGTATGGAATCGAGACTGATTGTTTTTTTTTTCTCCCTCCAGGTTTCTGTCTCTTTTGGGCAGGATTAACGGTCGGACTATGCAATCTATGTTGCGGTGTTGCTGTCGGAATTACTGGTGCTAATGCAGCTGTTGCAGATGCGGCAGATTCACAACTGTTTGTCAAGATTTTAGTCGTGGAAGTGTTTAGCAGTATTTTGGGACTGTTTGGACTGATCGTCGGTCTAATCATGACTGGAAGCGTGACAGAATTCAAGTGATTCACTGTTGAATAAGGACCATTTTAGCAACCTGCTGCAGACTTTCCACTGGATCGATCAATATATACAACTGTAAATACTCAATGCAATGTTTCACCTACACATATTATGATGAGAGACAAAACTAAGGCTCGAGGCTGAGCATCCCGGAGAATCAGGCTCTCTCAATAGGCAGAGCATAGCATATATAGTTGTTGGAGTCGTTGTGTCTTTATAGCCTTGATGCAATTCATCAGGATGTCATTCCAAAGAAGTGATTCAGAAGAATGATATAATCATTTCCTAAAGAACGTTTACTTAAGCAGCACAACTCGCGCTTTCAAAGCTGCACCCCTCATTCGGTGCGCTTTAAGTGTTGCGCGGTCAACTCGGGTAAAAATGCTACCGTTGTGTGCGTGTGTGCGTGTATTGACGGGAGGAAGGGAAGGAAACGGCTAACAATCTGATTGCATCACCGAACTTGACTCCACTACATTCCTTTCTCACCACCACATCTTCCTCCTACTACACAAAACACACAATGAGGCCAACACTAGTAAACAACTTGCGTGTCCTTGTACCCGTTAAACGTACCATCGATTATGCAGTCAAGATTCGTGTTGCTTCTGATGGCAAAGGAGTGGATACGAATGTGAAACATGCAATGAATCCATTCGATGAAATCGCAGTGGAAGAAGCCGTAAGATTACGTGAAAAACACAAAGATGCAATCACAAAAATTACTGCAGTTTCTGCTGGACCTGCAAAGACTGCCGATGTTTTACGTACTGCTTTGGCAATGGGAGCAGATGATGCAATTCACGTTGAAATTCCTGATAATTCTTTGGGAGGACCACTAGAACCTTTGGGCGTTTCAAAAATCTTGAAAGCGGTGATTGATAAAGAAAATGAAAAAGAGGAAATCGGTTTGATCATCATGGGTAAACAAGCAATCGATGATGATGCATCACAAACAGGTCAAATGTTAGCCGCAATTTTGGATTGGCCACAAGCTACATTTGCATCAAAGATGGAATTTAAAGGTAAACTGGAAAAAGGTGAAAAAGTTCAAGTTACACGTGAAGTTGATGGAGGTTTGGCAGTCGTTGAGACTTCTTTGCCTTTTGTTTTGACGACCGATTTACGTTTGAACGAACCACGTTATGCATCTTTGCCTAACATTATGAAAGCAAAGAAGAAGCCATTCCAAAAGCTCACTTTGAAAGATCTTGGTTTAGAAGATGCTGCTAAGCCTCGATTGGAGACTATCAAAGTACAAGAACCACCAAAGAGAGAAGGAGGTGCAAAGGTTGAATCAGTTGATGAACTCGTCAGCAAACTCAAAGAGGCTGGTCGCATTTGAACATTATCTGATTTAAGCAAATCACACCCACACATTCACACAAGCTATACTTAGTTGTACATTGAATATAATATATTGATAAAAGTACAAAATGACTAAACTTCTTGACCGCCGTATTCATCATCTTCATTCTCATCAGCCGCGTTAAGAGAAGCATCGGCGTGAATTGTTTCATCTTCTTCCTCTCCGTAAGCCTCATCGTACTCGATGGTACCGTTCGCATGATTGCCATTGACGCCATTTGTCATCAATTCATCCTCATTAACCTCGTTCTGGGCCAGTTCCTTTGCACGCATGTTGGCACTACTTTTGATCCAATCACGCATATACAAACATCCTTCCGCATTCACAGGTCCACCAGCAGAGCAAAAGTCAAATACGGGACAATGAGCACAAGGCACTTCGATCCAGCCAGTCTCTAGACGGATCTGTCTAACGGCTCTGTAAACGAATACACTGCCAGCAGACGATTCAGCGCTCATAACCACATCATCATCATCATCCTCCTCTTCTGAATCCTCCGAATCGCTTCGTAGAGAGATGGACTTGGAAGACGAATCGTTCTTGCGCTTACGTTTCTCTTTCTTTCTTTTGTCTTCGCGATCTCGACTAGAGTGACGAGAAGATTTGCTAGATTTACTCTTGCTGGAACTACGTCGATCGCTCTTGCTACTCTTGCGCTTGCGTTTTCGTCGATCGTCTTCGCTCGATTCGGATCCGCTAGAGCTTCCGTCTTCGTTCGAGCTATCATCGTCTGAGCTTCCAACAGCGCTTCCTTCGCTGCTCTCGTCTGAATATCCATCACGCTTGCCCTTTGACGTCCATTCATCATCATCGTCATTGCCTCCTCTTCGAAAGTGTGGAATCTTTTCAACCTTTCCATCGTATACCAAAACATCCAATAGGCTCTGAACGTTTTCCACCTGTAAATCTGTATCGGTGATACCGGCTTTTTTGAGAAATTGCAAGCATGTAATAGCAGTTGGAAGGGAATTGATATGGGAAGCCGGGTATATAGGTCTTTCGGATGGATCGCTTGATTCATCACGTTTGCCAGGCCAGGTTTTTGATGCGATGAATTGGTACAAGACTGTGCATAATTGATCGATAAAGACGGTATCCAATTCGTTATCCGTATACCAAGGACCACCGGATAATTCGACCGAAGGCGTTAGGCTTGAGAGCATATAAATCTTTCTTGTTGGAAATTTGACAGATTTGACAGCTTTGATTAATTGTTTGCTCTCTAGCGATTTCAAAGCACGTTGCATAATCGTTTGATGAAGATTTGCACGTAATTTGAGTTGCTTTGTCCATATACCTTCATTGCCTGCCACACGAATGAAAGAATATATGATACCTTCATCGTGATCTAGCTGACCCATAGTGCTTGCTTCGCTTTTGCTAAAAGCAATATAATGTAAACCACCATTATGATCTTGTTTTGCGCTCAATAAACTTTTTGATAATAAAGAATTGATACTCTCTAGTAACTCCTTCACTTCAATATCCTCAAGAAGATTTTGCAACTTTTCATTACTGATTGTTTGACCATTTTGACGTTGAATTAATTGCCAAATTCGTTTTTCATTGGAAGTTAATTGACCTTTTTTCTCTCTACTTCCACCACCACTGCTAGAGCGTGATTTTGGCTTCCTTGAAGAAGAGCCAGAAGGAGAGGAAGGCATTTTGACACTCTCTCACAATTGCTGTGGGATGTCTGCTTGCCCTTCGATTATCTCAACATTCGAGTTTGGAGTTAAGGAGGGAGATACTGACTTGTTTGCCAGGCAAGTAGCAGATGAAGAAGAAAGCCAACAGTCATAAATGAAAGTCAATCCTGTAATCTTCCTTGCAGCAACGCGTAGCTCATCTTAAAAATTAAGTTGTAAAATAAGCACGTGGAGGCAGGCAGTGTAAATCAGATTATGTAAGCACCTAGTCTTGTTTATATAATGTAGATGGCCACATATGCTAGTATAAGATCAACCATTTTAGACAATTGATCACAGGAACAAATATTCACACAAATGCTCAGCTTGTATATCAATCAACACAGCATAAATCGTCATAGAACACGGTATGAGGTCAACCCGTTTGCGATACGCGTTTTAAAATCGAATCGCAATTGTCGATCATTTGAGCTTTGTGGCTGTTAAATTTTGTGCTTTTATCATAAGATTGTTAAGTCTGGTTCTCTTAGCGCATACAAAAATGTATACGCCGACGTGAAGTGCATCGGCCGAAACCTGGGTTGAGGGTTAAAGAACGCATGGCAACTGACGCCAATTTGTGTGTGTGTGTGTTTAAGCCCGGAGTTTTACCAGCCGATACACATGTGTGTATTGAAGGCTACAGAGTTGAAGTAGAAAAACAAGACATGCCGGACTTACGCGCATACCGTTTTAACTCAAGAAAGGCACTTTACCTGGCAGAAGCGGTTGGATAATGCTCATACACCCTACTTGCATGGGACAAAATTTGATATACAACAGCCAAACCTTGATTGCGGTCCTTTGATTCAAAATAATTTCATCCCTTCACTTACAACCTCTTACCCATCCTTCTTCACTCGAATCAGCACTTCGAAGTTGACCTTTCTAGGCGCTTCTTGCGTTTCAAAAGTGTGCGTTTTAAACGCCACCCCGCTTTTGCTCATCTTTTGGGCTGCGGATCAATACAACTAAACAAAATCATATCAATTACATATTCAAGTTCCACACTTTGAATTTTTCACACGCCATCTCTCAAAAGAGGACCACAATACTAGATTAACGGAGTTGGAACGTTTCTTTTCATTTGCATTCATCCCACTCTCACTCTGAATAAGAGCAGAACTAATAACGGTGGCACACGATTGGCACATCTGATTGCATTTCAAGTTGTCAGGCAGGATCGGATTAATTGAACAGCTCAACACAGGAAACGTTCCCGGACGATCATTTGCCAAGCATTTCTTCAGGAGATCATTTCCACATAGCATCTCTTTCTTGCACCACTCCTATTCAAGATCGACAACTTTTGCACTACAATATGAGTATTTGCAGAGATCAGTAAAGCGACATACCAACGTATTCCCAGGGCTTCACAGCAGAAGCATAACAACATTCAATAACAAACACTGCATTTCATTTCAACCCAAACCCTGCATATACCCTCAATTAGAAATTGTTCAAGATGGCACAACAAAGCACCAACGAAGCATCTGCTACAAATGGATCCCCATCCAAGCAGGATACTTCTCCACCTTCAATCACCGCCACTTTGCAAAACGGCACATCCAGTACTGATCGTTTGTTCCGTCCATTGACAAGTATGATGGCAGCTTATGCTTCTTCAAACAATAATGAGACACAATGTGATCGTGAACGGTTAGCAAAGGAAATGCTGTCCGACAGCGAAACAGAATCAAATCTCTCACGACCTCCTTCACCTGATCGATTACACTTTCCAAAACGTCGATTAGGTGGAATGCAAAGTCGTGATAATTCAATGGTCAAACATCCTTCGCAAAATTTGGAATTGGTACGTGAGCCGACACCTTTTGATGCATTAGGCAACCCAATCGATAAGACAAGTAATGCGGGAAATATCAGCCAAGCACCCGCATCAAGCCAAGCATCCGCTCAGACCAATGGTCATCCAAACGGACAATCGGCCGCCGCTGCTGGAAGATCACTCTCGCGTCCTTCATCCCCTCCTCCACGCGCAATGTCACCAAAACCCAAAGCTGCTGCCTCTACAAAGGTGAGCAGCGGTGGTAGTGTATTGAACGCAGTGGCGGATCCGGCTCAAGGAAAAGGAAATAAAGTTGGCGCGAATACAGATCAAGTTACATCACCATCATCAAATGAAGCACCAGCCACAAACAAAGAAAGCTCAGGGCGTGATATGCGAGGAATGATGAGAAGGATGCTCTCTTCGTCTGATGCAGGTAACGCGCGCGGTAATCAAGGTGGCGCTCAAGGATCACCTTCCCGTAGCCCCGCCGTTCGTGCAGTAGATCATGGCGTTAATCAAAGCTCAGGCTTTTCAAGTCGCGGCTCTTCACCACCAGGTAGTCCAAGAAGCGAACTCGGGCCAGAGTCTGCAGGACTACATCAAGCTTTGCACAATCTTGACTTTGGCGCAGGAGGAGGAAGTCCCTCTACCAGTCAACCTCCAAGTCGCAACGTGAGCATCAAACGTGACGGAAAATCCCAGCCAGCGGGCGAAAAGGATGCAAATGCAGCGCCAAACGAAAGTGGACGCTTGACAGCAGCTGCTTTACGTGATTGGGAAGCAAAAGGCTCATCCAAGCCTTCCAAGAAGAAAGACGGTGATGCAAAGTCAAGCGCTAGCAACACCCTTCGTGATATGATTGGTCTCACTCGTCGTGGATCAAATACATCGCAAGGCAATCGATCTGACGGAGGAAGTAAGAAAGGTAGTAAAAATGGAGGTAGCGAAAGCGGTCGTGGTGGTGGTGAAACGGCCAGTCTTTTGAAGAAGTATGGTGTTTGTGAAAAGGCTGCAATCGGTAAAGGTGCTACAGCCGTTGTCCGATTAGCGCACAAGTGGGATCGCAGTACAGAGAAATTGTATGCCGTGAAGGAATTCCGTAAACGAAGAAAGAACGAAACCGAAAAGGAATACGTCAAAAAGTTGACATCCGAATTCTGCATTTCTTCTACCTTGCATCACGTCAACATTGTTGAAACTGTCGATTTGGTTCAAGACGAGAACAGACATTGGTGTGAAGTGATGGAATACTGTCCTGGTGGAGATTTGTATGCTGCTATCAAACGTGGTGGAATGTCACAGGCTGTGGTCGAGTGCAACTTCAAGCAAATTTTGAGCGGTATCGGTTATTTGCATAGCATGGGTGTAGCACATCGTGATATCAAACCCGAAAATTTGCTGTTAGATGCAAGTGGACATATCAAGATCACCGATTTTGGTGTATCTGACGTTTTCCGTATGTGTTGGGAAAAGTCAACGCATTACAGTAAAGGATTGTGTGGAAGTGAACCTTACATTGCACCCGAGCAATTCGAACACAAGGAATACGATGCACGATTAGTGGATGTTTGGGCGGCAGCAGTTGTGTTTTATTGCATGCAGTTTCAAGAACTTCCTTGGCGAGTTGCCAAGATGTCAGATCCAACGTTCAAGGAATTCGTTCATTCTTACCACACATCTACATCACCGCCACCGTTATCCAATTTATCGCCACGCGAATGTCGACCATTGCTGAAAAAGATGCTCTGTCCTGATCCAAAAGGACGTATTATGACGGAAGAAATCTTTAAAGATCCATGGTTCATGTCAATCAATGCGTGTGAAAATGGAGTTTCCTCGGATCACAAACATCAAATTGTACCCTTTACAGTGACATCAACTTCGTAAAAGTTCATTCAAAAGCTAGAGGCGGTGCAAGGAATGGATTTTCATACTCTTTTTTCAATATTTATTATCCTTCTCTCTTTGAATGCTCATGTATCTTGTCATTTCGTTCCTCATTTGTTCATCTCTTTTTTGCGACTTGTACATCTTGGTTTCGTTAAACACTAATGACTAATTTCACGATCAAAACAGTGTATTGATTAAGACTGAAAATGAGGCTCAATCCGATGTTGATGGTGAACAGCTTGCTCACTTTCAATTGACCGCACGCACCCCACTTGTAAACGCATTGCTTCCGAAGCGCCGGCGCAGTGTAATTATGTGGGTTGTAGGCGCAATGGCTGTGTGTCAATATAGAACTGCAAGAACATCTCATAAGCTTAGGCTGTGACACGGCAAGGCATAATTCCACTCACTCTGAAACAAACACGTTGTGCACGTCCAGAAGCCAAGCCTGTAATTCTCTTTGGTCAGTCAGGGTGATTGTTTTTTTGTTGGTGAGCATCATTTTCTAATAATATCATATCAGTTTTCCTTTATTTTCCCCTTATTCACCTTGCTCCGTTCTTTCTGCCGCTTCTGAAAAGAATATTGACTCTATACCATAAAACGCGAATGGCTTTCCCCTATTTGCCTTTACCATACCTCGGTCTCTAATTTGCTTTTGGTTCGATAGAAATTTCCGACGACGTTCAACGTTCTACAAGGATTGCCTGCTCGTAAGCCTGACATGGCTTCTTAAGTGCCTTTTTTCACAATCAATCATTTTGACGCCCAACGTTGAAAATGAATCCAAACAGCTCTCCCTCCACTCCAGGCGGAGCAAAGAGCATTTTCGATCAATATGCATTCGACACTCGTTCTCAGCATTCCGATCACAGTGCACCATTTGAATCCGTTTCGAATTCTCGCAGACCTAGTGCTCAACCAAATACCGTAGGAGAAAGTCCAAGTATACCTTTTGATCATATGATGACAAACGTTCATCAAGACAATAACGGATCTCCGTCAAATGAAAATAATGGTGAATCAAGTTATGCCGCGGAAACGCAAAGTATTCGAAGTACTTCAAGTAGTTTACGTGACGCATATGCTGCCTTGAAAGGTGGTATCTTTCCTCCTGGCGTACGTTCAAAACGTCAAATTGGCGAAGACGATGATGAAAGTGATGCAAGTCAATACGACGAAGACGGTTACAGTTTTGAAGGAGAAGGTCCATTTCAAAAACCCGATTCACCAATCAAACCAACGATGGATGCCAATGCAGATCCATCGCATGATGTGTATACCAACGCTCTCGATTCACCAGACGTTCCTTTACGCAGAAGTAGCGTTTTGGATTCCCCAGTCGTCGCTACTTCATCTTTACGCCATAGTGTGGATCAATCGAGCGCAAGCACCTCCAATTCCGGTGTATCTAAAAGCAAAGGATCACTCAATAAGGAAACGACAGCGCACGATTCTGTAACTTCGCCAAACGATCATTCTCGAACTGGTTCAATAGCTAGCAAAACATCGAATAAAAAGAGTATGCATACACGTCATCAGCCTTCTATCGGAGAAAGTCCTGATGAAAATAGCGCATCTATCAAAGGTTCACCAAGCCTGGAACAAGAATCTGAAAATGTCAAACATCATGAAGCACCAGCAGGAATGAGTGAAGAGGAATGGCAAAGGCAGCATGAAGCTTCAGCGGCTGCAGATCCCAATCGACCCAGAACTCTAAAAGAAGCGAGAGCTTTGGCCAAAGAGCGTGCTAGAATGCGCTTGATGCAAACAAAAGGACCGGGCGAGACAGCTTCTCCTCCTGCTACACTTGGATCTACGACAATCTCTCCGCCTTCAACAAATGATGAGGTGGAGGATCGTTCTCCTAGCTTGGATTCGAAACATAGACAAGAGCATAGACATGCACAGGTTATTCCTCTACCAGCAGAAGCAAAACATGATGCTGCCGTCGTCAAACCTACTTTGGACGATTCAGATTCGCTGACCGGTACAAAGAGCGCATTGGTGGATATGACAGATCTACAAGCAGCAGTAGGAGAAGCTTTGGAAGATGTCAGCTTCACCTCTAGTGCAACATCGGCAACAGCTACAGGAAAATTTGGCGATTTGGAGAGGACACCGATCATTGGCTCTGTTGAAGCTTCAAGGGATACAGCATCAGCACGATTAGACGGCAGTGCAACTCATTCGCAAAGGCAAGGTATCCCTCTTTCCGTTCCTTCTGATGTGGATATGGAATCGGTGACGCACTCAGTCACTTCATTTGACTCTGCGCCTGAATCACCATCCAGTCGAGCTTCTCCTTACGTTTCAGCAGCCAATCTTCCTGGATCGCCGGCTCCCGTTCATTATTCAGATGCAACAGAAGTTCAACCACCCGTCATTCCAGTGATCCAAGCTGCCGATCACTTTAAACAACCTTCAGCATTTGCCACTGCAGCCTCGTCACCACGACAACAACAACAAGCTTCGTTTATACCTCATGCAATGCGATCTCAACAAAGAAGCACTGCTCCCAACAAAATTGCACGATTGGATGTTTATGGTAAAACTGTTCCTTGGCCAGCCGCTTTTGAGCCCGCTGCAATTATTGAGCAAAAACGATTGGCGCCTTGGGAGAGAGCGAGAAGTTATGCTTATTATTGCAATGATTTGATGAATACGCCTACAGGTGTGATGATCTGGTTGGAGATGGTACAAAGACCTGCACAACGAGCTGCGGCAGCTGCTGCCAATTCAACGATCAAACAAATACATGGAACGCCGAACAAGCGTCACCTGCGAGCAGAAGGAACAGATGGTTCTGGCTATGCTGCAAGCGTACGATCGGATGCCACTTTCCCTATGCGTGGAGATGGTGGCAAGGCAAAAGAGATTGTATCCCATCATCCTTCCGAAGCTGCCATTCCTGAATCGCCCACTGCTTTACCACAATCGCTGCCATATCCGATGCTCGCTGGTGCAAATTCTACTTCATCGCCATCCATTCGACATCAAACTAGACCATCACAAGAAGGCTTTTACAATTCCAATTTCCCGAGCAGTACAAGCTTTGGCGATAAGCGTGAACCTCGGAATTTCTTTTCAAATTTAGGACGCAAGTCGAGCATGCGTAAGACGCAAGGGACAGGAATTGGACTTTCATCTCTTAACAGCAATAGTCCATCAAAGAATGTGATGAGTAGTATTCGATCACGCGGAATATCCAATCCTGCTCCAACAACGGGATCGAGTCCAAAGATTAAAACGATACCGATCGCGGGTAGTCAATCGGTTGATCAATCGGTCATTAGCCCTTCAAGTGCTGCATATAGTCCTACATTGGTATCTTCACCTGATATGTCATCACAACATAGCGTTGGAACACCGTTAACGTCCAAAGGAAGTGATTTGCATTCTCAATCAGAATCCAGTCACTCCCGTGGTCCTCAAGGCCCACGTGCCTTGGGTAATGCTCCTTCTTACTTTGGTTCGTTGGGAAGTGGAATGGGCCACAGATCTGATTCTGTACCATCAATTCGAACCATTAATCATGAAGAAGGAAAGACTGGATTGCATGGGTTGTCGACGACGGGTGGAATTTATAGCATCCCGGGAAATGGAGGTAGCAGCTCGCATTTGAATGCACCGACGGACTATTCTGCCAATTCATCTCCAACGATGGCAGGCGGTAATGGCCAAAGTGATCGAAGAAGTCCACGTTCCAATCAACAATCATTGCCAGCACTTACCAATGTGAAGAATTCACTTTCTTATCAAAGTGTACGAGATCCAAACAGGCGTCCAACACAACCTTCTTTACAACCACCTTTACGAAGTACATCTGCACATTCTTCCGATTCGCATTCATCTTCCATTTCGCACAACAATAGTAATAACAATTTGACAGCTGGTGGGAACGGTACAGTGGCAGGAGGATTTTCGCTTGGTAGAAGAAGAAGTTCAAATCTTGCACCTTCAATGACGCCCGGAGAAAGTGAAGCATTGGATAAACTTTGTGATGTTTTGCCTGATGCAGATCGAACGACCTTATTGGATTATTTAAGACGTGCAAACGGAAACGATTTAGTGGCCATTGGTGATTATTTACAAGATCAATCCAAAGTTGAACAAAGTCGTAGAATGCGGTAATTGGAAAGGTTCAGTGTATGCCACTCAAATCAATGTATTCAATAGTACTCTGTCTTTTATTTAATTTGATTCATGTGCAATATCATCATCGCCTACCCACAGCCAACAATGCCGATTTGAACAGGTCTAGAGGATGTATTCCAATGTGAATGTGGAAAGCAAGCTGGAATTGGCTATCGACATCATGAGCATCGCGCTTTCGAGCGACAGAGACGTGCATTGTATATGCATTGACATTTTGCAACATGTTTCATTCTTGTCTTGTCAAAGTCACCATAAATGAGAAAGACTATACAACACAGGAAAAATGGGCCATTTTGTTCCCTTTCACATCTGATCAAATCTGGACAAAAACATGATATCATTTGGAGGAATGACAAAGAAGCCACAAGATAAAAATGAGATTCATGAGTTGATTGCGATAAGGATCAAAAAGATATATTCGTGCTCATCGTTCGTCCTTTATAGGCTGCAGATCCAAGCATCGTGCCGTCAAACATTGCTTGACATAGGCCAATTCGATCTGCGTACTTCGACTTGCATCGCTGGTAATGTGACCTGAGCCTTGGAAGTAGTACATCAGAAGTGGATACGAGTTGCTGGAAGGACCGAGGAGGGGATGTGTAATCGTTAGTAAGCTTTACTTCTTCAATCTCAGTCCACCCAAACATTACTCACTTTGGACGACTATATTGCAACTCTGAAATCATCTTGAACGAATGCAAAGGAGGCACTCGATCATCACCCGCTGCTACAGAGAGAATCGTCATCGGATACATTCTTGACGAATTGACATTTTGCAAAGGTGAATATGCTCTTAGCCAATCAAATGCAGCAGGATCGGCAGGATTTCCCCATTCGGGTATTTGAAAAGCACCAGCTCGAAATTGGGTGTATCGTAGCATATCATAAGGACCTCTCTCGGGTATCATTGCGCCAAATAGATTCTCTGGTGCTTGATTGGCAACTGCCATTGCGGCCAAACCTCCAGCACTTCTACCATCTCCGATCAATTTGCCGGATTTTGCAATTTTATTCGAAACCAAATATTCTGCAACGGCAATAATATCGTCAAAAGTATATTGTTTCTGGGATCTCGTACCCGCAACGTGCCAACTATCGCCAAATTCACCACCACCTCTTGCTTGAACAAAGACCAAAACGCCACCAAACAATTCTACCCAAGAGAGTAGGAAAGGATCATATCTTGGCAAGATGGCCGTACCGTAGCTTCCGTAAAAGTATATCCAAGCAGGTCTTGATCCATCAAAGGGAAAATCTGTCTTGTGCAACATGAAGAATGATACTTGGGCTCCGTCTGTGCTATTAACGAAACGTTGTTCTGTTTTGAAGGAGCTTGCATCCAAACTTGCAGGTTTGCTGTCCACCCAAAGATTCGCCTCAATGCTGGAGCCATCCTTTGCTTTCGTGATCTGGTATATCTCTGTGCCACTTGTAAAGGTGGAGACAGTCAAGAAGGCTTGACGAGGATGCAAAATGTTTGAACGAGAATCTTGGATCTCACCCATAAAATCTGGAAGGACCTGTTGAATTTCTTTGCCGATCGCAACATCGTATGCATACAATATGCTTCTCCCTTTTTCCACATATCCTATCACCAGGATTGTATCGTCGAATTGCATTGCGCTCACCAAGGTTGCATTCTCCCTTTGCGGAATCACATCCGTCATCACCGCTTCATCTGTCAATTGATGCAAATTGTCCACCGTTCTGGCTTTGCTTGGGTCAACGGTAAATTTTGACACTTTTACTCCCGATACGCTATCACGATCTGTCAAAATGTAAAACGTATTGTTGAGGTTGGTGGTATAGACTGTTTGGAATTTATAATCGGGTACAATGGAAATCCATTTCATCTTGTTGGAAATGGGTTGATCGAGTGGCGCCATATACATTCGCATTCGTCCGTTAATACCAATGAAACCGATAACGATTAACCATTTCTCATCTTGAGAAATATTAACAGTCCAAACCGTATCGGGATTTTGTTGATCAACGTCTACGACTGTGATGTCTTCTTTTGGATCTGTACCGAATTTATGATATCGAATACGAACGTAACTTGCGGGACTGTCGGTATTGTTACCTTTATCGATTTGATCAAAGAAAGCACCTTGATTATCGGGCGAGAAAGCAAAGGTATACGAACCGCTATCCGTATAATATTCAGGAGAGCGACCATAGCCGCCATTTATATTGTCTGAAGGTTTAGCGGGAGGTTGCACATATGGCGAGGAAACGTTTCGGAAATACAGATTCGTAAGGTCAGAACCTGTTTGCGAAACTGTGTAAGCAACAATTTGTTTATCCTTGCGAACGACCATTTGCTGTACACCTTGCGCTCCATTTCCAGGCAGCATACTCTCGTTGAAGTATTTCAATCCAGGGGGCTGACGAAATTTGTTCTTGACGCCATCATCCATTTCACTTTGATTGGCAATATACCAAATCGGCTTTTGATCATTTTGACCTATGATATTATAGATGTACGTAGGATCTTCTCTTGGTCCTGATTCAACGAGTGCAGCATATGAAATATAATCAAATTTGGATTCGATCGTATTTTTGTGGTATTGCAATTCACCGCAATTATCGATATACGTTTGTGTCAACTGTGTTTGTTGTTTCAAGAATGCTTGGATTTCTGCAGTCGTACTTACGTTTTGCTCTAGCCAGTTGTATGGATCTTGGACGGTTACATTGCCATTTGCTGCCTTGGAGGCATACGTGAATGTTGTGTTTGCCCTTCTGACTGATGGATAGCTTGGATCTTTCAAATTGAATTGCCTACTGCAACATTCGTTCGATTCATCACCTCGCACGAAGGAGAATGTCACCAAGCTCAACGTCAGCCAAAATAATTTGGTCATTTGCAAGTAAGAAGCCGTTTAAAAGTCAGTTTTAACGATTTCTTTCTCAGAAAGGTAAGGAGACGAAAGCAGAGCAAAAATGACGCTATTTAAAGCTTTTTTTCCCATTCGGCAGGTATAAAATGACGATGCGAAAAGACACAGGTTCTGACGGAATTTCAAGATTTGCGTAACGAAAAGATGAAGATGAAAAGTGTGCCCCTTTCCTTTTGCCCGTATTGAAGAGGAAATACAGCCCAGATGATACGCCGTCCGAGAGCAAATGTACCTTCATCTTCCTCCCATGCAACTCGGCGCCGGCGTTAAATATATGGTACGGCAAGGACATATACAACCATGCACAGGGTCACGGCATTTTAAGTCTGTCGGAATTGCGTAGTAGAATAATATATGTTTGCGGTACCTTATTGAATCAGTTACACAGACAAAGACGGTAAATTTTGACAATTGAAGCTACATTACTTTTGCGTATACAATTTGTGTATGAGAACTTTGCTTCCGATCCGTCAACATGACGGCATTGCCGGGATATCAAGAGCTATTCGATCGCAAGTGAAATGAGAGAAATTTTTGAAAGCTGTTCATCTCAGAGATAAATTCGGCTCCTTTCTCTGCACGTCACACTTTTCCGGCATCGATTTGGACGTCAGGAGCCTGAATTACACATTCCAGAGTTACAATACCGCGCGGTGTTCCTTGGGAAAATGAAATCTACTTTCGGGATCTATAGTGAGAATGCTCATTCTTGAATTCTTGTGATTCAAACAACATCGTTCTCAACAATTGGATATGATGCGGTCTCTCGTTATCCTTTTAATTTCAATACTGGCAGCTTTCATGACCCATGTCAACTCCACTGCTACTCGAATCGTTTATCCAAAGGTACATCAAGTAAACAAAACTTGGTCTTATCGTTCTGCAAAGGCAAAAGGCAATGTGTCTTATGCAGATCCATACTTTTGGCTAGAGGGAGATGCAAGTAACCCTGGTATTCAATCATTCATCAAAGATCAATCCAAAGTTACAGACCAATACATGCAGGGCTGTAGAGGTAAAGCGACAATCATTAAATCTATCAAGGATGCAAGTAATTACGACCAATATGGTCGTATGAGCTTGGTGACTTCAAACAAAGGAAACACATCATTTTATCTGTATAGCTTCTTTGGCTCCGAAGGTCAAGCACCAATATGGTATATCGCCTCTATTGCCGAATTCCAAAATGCAAAGAAGAACGCTTTCGAAAAACCGGCAGGCAAACCTTTTTTAGATGAAACTCTTTTGAGCTCTGATGGTAGCGCAAGTATTGTTTTGTGGAGTGTTTCACCAGACGGCAGTACTTTTGGTTATCTTTTAGCCAATAGCGAAAGTGCAGGAAGCTGGTATTTTCGAAAGTTTGATTCACCTTTACTCACTGCAAAAACGTTTCCAGCTGCCGGTGAAGGAAGATTAAAAGATACTTTTCAATCCAGTATTGATATGATCTCATGGATCCCAGACCAAAAAGGAATCTTTTACCTAACTTCATCCGATTCATCTGGTGGTACAAATACAGATTTGGGTTATAAGGTTCGGTATCATGCTTTGCGTACCGATAATGCAAACGATCTTACCGTTTTTGATTCAAAAGATGAGCTGCGACAGGATTGAACAAGCAAAAGACATTTGATGATGCCCTAGCAATTTTACAGGACCTCGTTAACCGAAAAGTCTGCTTACCAGGGAAGATCATTTTAGACGGCGAGTCTGCAGGAGGTATGGCAGTGGGGGCAGTGATGAATCAAGACGTAAAAGGATTGATTGGCGCTGCTTTTATGACCAGACCAATCTGTGATGTTTTTCAATTAGAATTACGCAGTACGATTGGAGCTGGCAATTTTGAAGAATTTGGCGATGTAAGAACTCCACAAGGATTTGATTCCGTTTTTTCTTGGTCACCATTACAGAACATTAATCCGAAAAAGCAGTATCCAGCTGTTCTTCTATTACCAGGTTCTGCGGACGAAACCGTTCCCCCTTCTAGCAGTTACAAAATGTTGGCTCAGCTACAACACGATCATCCCACCAACAACTTACCTCTTCTGCTTTACGTCGTTCCTGAAGCTGGACATACATCTCGAACATTGACCGAAAGTGTTTATATGTTTTGCGTCATGGAAGAGTCTTTGGGCATTACGTGGAGAAAGGCTCAAAGTTGATTTGTACCTCATCTCATCGAATGTATAACTTTCCTTTTATAATTTTTGCAAGTGATCAGCTATTCCTGAAAGTCGGCCCCGTCTTTTGCAAAATGAAACTATTCATCAACGCCAACAATTTGATAGACTTGTCACATGAAAGATGAATAACTCCGCTTCAAATGTATGCCAAAATTAACTGTACGATGCTTATCCAAGCCATGCTGCTCTCCGCGCCTGAACACGGTGCCGAAATTGAGTGAGAGAGAGTGTTGTGCGGCAGCTTGCTTGGCATTACCAAACGGTTATCCAACGCAGCCACAAAAAATTCAAGAATTTTCTTCGTTTCGGTGCCACTTTATTTGATTTCGTGTCGCCTGCGATAAAAATATAAAGAGCATGAAAAAGCATTGCAAAGCATCCTTCTACCTCCATCCTTCTCATCAAACTCAACATTATGCGCTCTTCAATTTTCCTGTTTTCCTTGCTGGCTGGCTTGCTTGCTTTAGCCACCACGAGTGAAGCCCGCAGAAGACTTTCAAGAAGGGCTGTCTCCACATCACAACTTGTATATCCAAAGGTGCGTCGGGTAGACAAAACTTGGTCATATCCATCAGCAAATGCCCAAGGAAATGTGACTTATTCAGATCCATACTTTTGGCTAGAAGGCAATGCAAGTGATCCAGACATCGAACAATTCGTTAAAGATCAAAATGCGGTGACGGATGAATACGTAAAAGGCTGTAAAGGTAAAGATGCTATTACCAAATCACTCACTCAAGCCAGTTCCTATGACAAGTATAAATTCGTTCAACAAATTTCATCAATCAATGAAGGTGACGAGCCCTTCTACCTATATAGCCTTGTAAAGACTGGTGATCAACCAAGTGTATGGTACACAGCAAGTATGGAAGAATGGCAATCGGCAAAGAAGAACAATTTTAATTCGCCTCCTGGTAAACCCTTTTTGGATGAAGCTTTATTGAGTGATGATGGAAGTCAAAGCATTCTCTATCAATCTGCTTCACCAGACGGAAAAGTATTTGCTTATTTGGTGATCGGAAATGGAGAAGTAGGAATGTGGTACTTTCGTAATTTTGATTCCCCATTAACACAAGCCAAAACGAAGCCTGCCGGTGGTGAAGGAAGATTGAATGATACATTGCCCTTGAGTGCAGATATTCCTGCTTGGTTGCCAAATGGAAAAGGAATCTTTTATCCTATGACTGTTGAATCGGATGCAGGCACAAATCCAGACCACGGATATAAGATTCAATATCATGAGTGGGGGACGGATAATTCAAAAGATATAACTGTATTCGATGCAGCAAATGCCGGACCACATGGACAAGGGTCATGGTATTTCATCCAAACAAGCCCGTGAGTTCATTTGAAAAAGCAGATAGCGCCTCTAGTTATTGACTGTTTTTTTTCTCTTATCTCTTTGTCCATAGTGATGGCCGTTGGCTAACGGTTTCTGGCTATTATGAGGGTACGGATGTCAATATGACAAGCTATGCTACTCTGTTGCCCGGTCAAGAGATTTCCTCAAATATGAAATGGATCTCTCTCTCGCCTGATTATGATTTCCCAATGTATGCCATTGGAGTGATCGACGAGAGCTACTATTTCCAAACAGACAAAGATAACGCAAAGAATCAAAAAGTTTCAAAAATTAAACTTGATTGGAGTAAAGCACGTCAAGTGAAACAATTTACGGAATTACAAGATCGTCCTGAAGTGATTGACGTTATTCCTGAACGCAAAGATGCTTCTATTCCTCAATTTAGTACGTGGGTAACGGCAACCAATAAGATTGTTGTCTTGTACATCGAGAATGGTCAGAACACAATGTACCTGTATTGTGCAATAACTGGAAAGAAGCTTCAACAACTACTGCCGGATGAAAAATTAATCTATGGTGAATTTCAAGGTTTACCAAACAGTGATACTATGATCATTCGATATGAAAGCTGGAACACACCTTCAAAGATATACGAATTCACTTGGGAAGGCGATCATTTGGACACTTCTTTGGCAACAATTCGCTTGATTGAAGGAACAAATCCCGATGACTTTGCAATCGAAGAACTTTACGCAACATCAAAGGATGGCACAAAGATTCCATACTTTATCACCTACCGCAAAGGAACAAAGAGGGACGGAAGCGCACCTGCTTGGGTACACGGATATGGTTTCTATGCATTGATTGATAACCTGTTTTATGCGCCTAACTACTTTGACTTCTTGCGTTCATATGGCGGATACTTTGTTTGGATTTGTGCAAGGTTAGTATGACATTGATGGAAACAATCTTTCAATACTGATATTCTTTTCTCCTTTCCTTACAGAGGCGGTGGTGATTTAGGAGGCGAATGGCATGATGCTGCTGTGGGAGTCAAAAGACAGAGAACCTATGATGACTACCTTGCAGTTGTTCAAGACCTGGTCAGGCTCAAGATTACCTCACCTGGCAATATAATCTTGGAAGGAGGGTCAGGCGGTGCAATGGCAGTAGGCGCAGTAATGAATCAAGCACCAGCGGGTCTACTTGGTGTGGTACTCCCGGTCAGAGGTCCTTTAGATGTGATTCAATTTGAATTGCGAAGTGCAATTGGAGCAGGTAATCGGGCAGAATTTGGCGACGTAACCACACCAGATGGATTCGATGCCGTTTTTGCATGGTCACCTTTGCAAAACATTGATCCGAATAAAGAATATCCAGCCGTTTTATTAACACCCGGAACTGCCGATGAACGAGTGCCTCCTTCTTATTCTTACAAATTTGTTGCTCAATTGCAATACGATCATCCCAACAACAGTAAACCTTTGTTGCTGGCTGTGGTGAAGAATCGAGGTCATATTCCAAGCAATGTGGTTGAAAGCATTTATCAACTATGCATCATTGAAGAGTCTTTGGGTATTTCCAGAGTCACAGCTTGATATATAAATAGCTCCTTTTCATTTTCACACCTATTCATTCACTATGTCTACTTCATTTATTTTATAGCCTTCTTTCAATCTTGATGATTGACAGTTTAAAGAAATCTGATTGAAGTGTTGGTTTGTGAAGATATACGTGAATCATTCGACGACGAAATGAAAACAATATTGATATTTGGCCCTCGGTAATAGTACTGATAGGCCGGGAGTGGCATTTACCATTATTGTCCCTAGGCAAAGGTCGCCACACGGTGACAAACGGGCCGCACACTTCTCACAGCATGTTAAGAGGCGGATGTCGTACTTCTACAAACTTAATTTATGTCTCAATACAACGGCAAAAAACACCGTCAAGTAAATGTTGGGGGCTGATCGACGGAGAAAAATGATCAAGAATATTCTGCAAGTTGGAGCCGCGCTTCGAAATTGTATAAATCGATTGATCAGGCGAACGGAATGCTTATGTCTTGGCATGATGAACTCTATTCGATGTTTCTAACAAAAGGCACTTGTGTAGGTGTAACTTCTTCATCACATCTCGAACATGCACCCTTCACTCTACCTCACCTTTCTCCTATTTGTCCTCTTGGCTGTGAATGCTTATGGAATTGAGCAAGACAATGGTATGGAAAAGGTTTCGTTCGTGAAATCTCCCACTTACCCAAAAGTTCATCGTGTAAATCAAACGTGGTCATATCAATCTGCCAATGCAAGAGGAAATATTACGTATTCAGATCCATATTTCTGGTTAGAAGCTACCGGAAAAAATAAAGAAATTGAACAGTTTGTTGATGATCAAACAAATGTTACTGAAACGTACATTCAAGGCTGCCACAACAAACAGGTAATCGAACAATCGCTTCTGGAAGCAAGTACGTTCGATAAGTACAAAAATGTCGCTTTGGTTTCTTCAAACAACGGTGGAACTCCCTTCTATCTCTATCAAGTAATCCGTTCAGGCGATCATGCACCTGTATGGTATACAGCAACCGTTGCTGAATTTCAAGATGCAAAGAAGAACAATTTTCAGCCTCTTCCTGGCAAACCATTCTTGGACGAAGCTTTGTTGAGTGCGGATGGTGTAGCGAGTATTCTGATATGGAACACTTCACCTGATGGAAAAATCTTTTCTTATCTTGTCATTGAAAGTGGTGAAGTTGGAACATGGTTCTTCCGTCGCTTTACTTCACCTTTGATCACTGCAAAAACAAAGCCATTAGGTGGAGAAGGTAGATTGAAAGATATTCTTCCAGTGAGCTCAGATCAAATTTCTTGGACGCCTGATTGCAAAGGGATTTTTTACCCAAAAACAGTCAGCTCTGACGATGGCACAAATACAGATCTGGGCTATAAAATAGTCTACCATGCTTGGGGCACCGATAATGCTGAGGATATCACCATCTTTGACTCTAAAAATGCGGGAGAATATGGTGATATTACGTACTATTTCACTTCTATGAGCCCGTGAGTCAGATGAAAGTACAACGATAATGTGTTATAGTGTAGCTACTAATCTCTTTTCACGTCTATCACATCAGAAACGGCAAGTGGCTAGGAATTTTTGGATACCACGAGGATACATATTTCAACATGGTAGGTTATGCAACCCAATTGACAGGTCAAAAAATCTCCGAGAATATGGAATGGATTTCAATTTCACCATCATATGATTTTTCAATGTTTGTTGGTGGAATCGTGGACGATGACGTAATCTTTCAAACAAACAAAGATGCACCAAACAATAAAGTTGCCAAAATCCATTTAGATTGGTCAAAAGCACGTCAAGTGAAAAACTTTACCGAACTTCAAGATCGTCCGCCAGTAATTGATGTGGTTGCTGAGCGTGAGAATGCACTGATCGTCCAAAATGGTGCTTTCGTCACAAACAATGACAAGATCGTTGTCATCACTGTAGAAAATGCACAAAATCAAGTTCACGTTTATAGTTTAAAGGACGGAAAAGAGATTTCACGTCTGATTCCGGATGGTAAGTATACTTCGTGGTCTATACAAGTACCAAAGCGAAATTCACCCTTCTCTTCCACACCTAGAAAAAGTCACCTATGATGTATGGGTTGCCGACCAGTTCAGTGATACCTTTATCATGCTGTTTTATAGCTGGAACTCACCTCGCAAGATATACGAATTCAAATCTAAAGGAAGTAAAGTAGAATCTTCTTTGGTAACCGATCAACATATAAAAGGAACGAATCCGGACGATTTCGCCATTGAAGAGCTTTACGCTACCTCAAAAGATGGTACAAAGGTACCATACTTTGTCACCTACCGTAAAGGGACAAAAAAGGACGGAAAGGCGCCTGCTTGGGTTCATGTTTACGGTTCATACGGCATTGTTGATAGTTTGTATTACGAACCGAACTACTTTGACTTTTTGAGAAGCTACAATAGCTTCTTCGTTTGGGCTTTACCAAGGTAAGCTTTGCACCAACTTTTACGATCGTATTGGATCTGATTAATTCTTCCCTTTCTACTCCGACAGAGGGGGTGGCGACTTCGGTGCAAGATGGCATGAAGGCGGACAAGGATTGAAAAAGCAAAATACGTTTGATGATACTGTTGCTGTTTTGAAAGATCTGATCAGGCTGAACATTACTTCACCAGGTCAAATTATCATTCAAGGCAAATCTGCTGGTGGTGCCGCCGCTGCTGCTGTACTAAATCAAGTTCCTGATCTTGTTGGAGTAGCATTGCTTGTGAAAGCACCTACAGATGCATTTCAATGGGAACTTCGAACGACTTTAGGCGCGGCAAATAGAATAGAATTCGGAGATGTGACAACGCCTGAAGGATTTGATGCTGTTTTCGCATGGTCACCTTTGCAAAATATCCAGAAGAAGATCTCTTATCCAGCAGTGTTGTTAACGCCAGGTGAAGATGATGAACGTGTAGTTCCTTCTTTCAGCTATAAGTTCGTGGCACAGTTACAATATGATCATCCGAACAATCCGAAGCCACTGTTGATGTACGTCGTCAAAGGTCAGGCACACACGCGCAGTACCGTTGGCGAAAGTGTGTATCAATTTTGTGTCATTGAAGAGTCTTTGGGTATCACAAGAAGGAAGACGACATGATGGTCATGCTTATCTGTATACTTCGTAGTCATTCTAATACACTATAATATTTCATAACATTGAAGTTATTAAGTGACGCATGAGGAGTCATCAGATCGAAAATGTTATCTTCATATCTGAAGGGTTGTGGTGAAGTGCGACCACTTGCATACGAGAAATAACACCTTCATCACTTGCTGCCAATTATGTCTATAAAATGCTGACAAAGTAACTCTCTGTAGAACGGTACCGTAGAAAGATGAAATTTCATATCGTAACGCCACTCGCTTGGCATTTCACTAATCAAATGCCGGAACGCATCGGTGACACATATGAGAAGAACGGCGGCCGCAACTCAAGAAAAGCATTTTGTTCTGTTGCTACTTTTGCCTATATACTGGCGGGTGAAACATGCTTTATAACAACCAGGGCTACCATCATTTCCATGCACCTAGAGCCAAACATTATAGCAATGCAACTTTTGCTTACCGTGTCAGCTTTTCTTATGGTACTTTCCGCCTCCGTGGCTAATGCTGAAGCTCAAGAAAAAGCTGTTAAAGCTGGGCTGACATATCCAAAGGTACACCGGGTAACCAAGATGTGGTCATATCGATCTGCAAAAGCAAAGGGCAACGTCACGTACTCTGATCCTTATTTCTGGCTGGAAGGATCTTCAAAGGACAAAAGTATTCAACAGTTCATCACTGATCAATCAAAAGTGACTGAGGATTACGTTCAGGGCTGTAGGAACAAAGGAGCAATCATTGAATCTTTAACTGCTGCAAGCAATTATGATAGCTATGGTTCAGTCTCTCTCGTTTCTTCAAACACCGGCGGATCATCTTTCTACATATTCTCCCTTTCTCGCTCTGGTAATCAACCTCCGGTATGGTATACTGCTTCTGTTGCCGAGTTTCAGGCTGCAAAGAGGGAAAATTTTGCTACACCTCCCGGTGAACCTTTTCTGGATGAAGCGCTGTTGAGTACAGACGGCAGTGCACGAATTCTGTACACCAGAGTCTCACCAAACGGAAAGATTTTCAGCTATCTTGTTATCGGAGCTGGCGAGGTAGGAGATTGGTACTTTCGATATTTCGATTCCATTTTGATAAATAAGAGTAAAGCTTTTCTCGCCGGTGGCCAAGGTAGACTTCAAGATACTCTTCCGCTAAGCGCTGATGTGATTTCATGGACTCCCGATAACAAAGGAATCTTTTTCCCATAAACTGTTGATTCAAACAGTAGAACAAACACAGATCTCGGTTATAAAATTCGTTATCATGTATGGGGAACGAACAGTTCAAGAGACATCACTGTTTTTGATTCAAAGAACGCCGGTGAATATGGAAGCGTTTCGTACTATTACACCCACGTAAGCGTTGATGGTCGATGGTTGATCGTCTCGGGTTATCATGATGCGTCGAACAACAATGTTGCTGTTTATGCAACATTATTGATAGGTCAAACGGTTTCTGAGAATATGAAATGGATCTCTCTAGCTCCATCATATGACTACTCTTTATTACCTGCAGGCATTATCAATGACACTTACTATGTTTCAACCAATCGAGATGCACCAAATTCTAAAGTTGCAAAAATCAAGCTTGATTGGAGTAAAGCACGTCAGGTGAAAAAATTTACAGAACTGCAAGATCGTTCAGAGATGATTGACGTAATACCCGAACGGAAGGATGCATTGATCATATTCAATGGTGCTCTCATCACGAATACAGATAAAATGATGGTGATCTATGTTGAAAACGGATAAAATACGGTATATGTTTACGATCTCGAAGGCAAATTGATCCGAAGACTTGTTCCAAAAGGTAAGAATGATGAAAATGATTGGGATGTTATAATAGCCTGAAAACTGACGTTGCTTCTCACCCTATGAATAGAGATGGTCACGATTGCCGATGTATCGGGTGATCAAAGAAGTGATACATTCATACTTTCATTTTATAGTTGGAACTCACCGCAAAAGATATACGAGTTCAAATGGACCAAAAAGGATGTTCAAACTTCGCAGGTGACCATCCAGCATGTTAAAGGCTCGGATCCGAATGACTTTATGATCGAACAGCGTTATGCCACATCAAAAGATGGTACAAGGGTACCTTATTTCCTGACTTACCGAAAAGGCACAAAAATAACGGTCAAAGCCCTTGCTGGGTTCATATATATGCAGCTTATGGTTTGATCGACAATCTTTACTACACCCCCAATTATTTTGACTTTCTGTCTAGTTATAATGGGTATTTCGTTTGGGCTTCGGCACGGTGAGTCTTCTTGAAAATCGGTAAAGTAGGTAGCTGTACTAATCTCGTTTATTCCCTGGTAACACTAAGTGGTGGAGGTGACAAAGGAGGTAAATGGCACGATACAGCAAAAGGTTTAAAAAAGCAAAAGACGTTCGATGATGTGCTTGCAATCCTTGAAGATCTTGTCAAGCTGAAAATCACTTCACCAGGAAACATCATTCTAGAAGGCGGGTCAGCTGGTAGAACGGCGGTAGGTGCAATTATCAATCAAGCACCAAGTGGTTTGATTGGTGTCGCACTTATCGTTCGAGCAATGACTGATGTCTTCCAACTCGAGCTGCGCAGTACGTTGGGTAATGCAAATATTGCAGAGTTTGGTGACGTTACCACTCCTGAAGGCTTTGATGCAGTTAGAGCATGGTCTCCCTTGTAAAATGTTCACACAGATAAGTCATATCCAGCCGTTCTCTTGACACCAGGATCAGAAGATGAATCGGCACTCCCCTCAAGCAGCTATAAATTTGTGGCCGAATTGTAACATAGCCTTCCAGAAAACAAGCTTCCTTTCCTCATATACGTGGTTAAGAATGCAGGATATATCTCAAGCACTGTATTAGAAGCAAGCTATCAATTTTGCGTTATTGAACAATCTTTAGGTATCTCAAGAAAGAAAATAAATTGATGAGAATGTCAATATTTTTATTATGAAGTTTTCATTTGAATCACAATTTATCTACATGAATTAATTTCTGGAACTTTGAAGGAGGACTGCTTGAAGAAGAAAAGCTACTTCCTCATCCCAAAGCCGCTGAAACTTTTTATCTCAATGATAATACCTGTTTACAAAACGGTGCCGCACAAAAATTAATCAGGATACTGCGACGCCACTTGCTTGGCCTTTCACTTATTAAATAACGGAGGGCGGCGTTGAATTCACGTAAATTGATCGGCCACCGCAATACGACAAGTTGAAGAACATTTATTAATTCTGTTATGTCGGCAGCCGCTTTTTATATAGCTTATCAAGGTTTTCGCCTGTATACAATAAAAAGCAAGGTGAAACCTCCTCCCTCGAGACAGCATCCCTAACCACAATCGTATTTGCCCATCATGCTCTGCCGTGTAGCTACTTTGTCTGTGGTCTTATTGCTCGCTGCCTCGGTGGTGATCGCTGAAGTATAGAAAAAGGTCAAGAAGCCTAGGTTGGTTTATCTACAGGTACACCGGGTTAATAAAACTTGGTCTTTCCGTTCCGTAAAAGCTAAAGGCAATGTAATATATGCTGATCCTTACTTCTAGTTAGAAGGACCAGCGACCGATAAAGATATTCAGAAATTCGTTTCCGATTAAACGAACCTAACAGAGTCATACATGAAAGGTTGTAAAAACAAAGATACGATTGTTGAATCACTCTTAGAAGCAAGTAACTACGACAATTATAGATATGTAAAGTTGATTTCTTTAAATATAGGTGGTAAACCGTTTTACCTATACGGCGTAATATCTTCAGGTGATTAACCACCGCTCTGGTATACAGCATCTGTTACTGAATTTCAAGCTGCCAAAAAGACAAATTTCGCTACCCTTCCCGGAAGATTATTCTTGAACGAGTCTTTACTCAGCTCCGATGGCAGTGCAAGTATTGGTCTCGTAACAGTATCCCCTAACGGGGAAATATTCTCCTATCAAGTATTAGAAGGAGGTGTAAACAGTATATGGTACTTCCGTTCTTTTCAATCGCCTTTAACAACGGCAAAAACCACACCAAGTGGTGGTGAAGGCAAATTAAAAGACTTTATCCCATCTTCTTCAATTGATTACATCAAATAGGCACCCGACAGTAAGAGTTTCTTCTATTCCACAGTGGCAGACTCTAACGGCGGCACGAACATAAGATCCGTCATCATGTTTGGGGAACCGATAATGCACAAGATGTTACTTTGTTCGATTCGAAAAACGCCGGGGAATACGGTGAAGATTGCTACTTTTACATGGAACTAAGCTCGTGAGTACTACCTGGCCAACAGAGATAGAGTCGCACTAACTACAGATTTTATTCTTTTCAGGGATGGCCGTTGGCTCATGATTGCTGGTTACAATGATGTCTCTACCCTCAACACAGTAGCTTATGCTACCCGTCTGGCTGGACAGCAAATCTCAAACAACATGAAATGGATTTCGTTGGCACCTGGGTTTGACTTTACCGGTTTTAGTGGAGGTGTGGTGAACGATACATACTACTTTTGGACAAATAAAGATGCAAAGAATGGCAAAGTTGCAAAGATCAATCTTGATTGGAGCAAAGCGCGCCAAGTGAAGAATTTCACTGAACTTCAAGATCGTCCACCAGTGATTGATGTCGTACCTGAACGTAAAGATGCTTTGATTAACGCAGGAGATGTCAAAATGACAGCCAAAGACAAATTGCTTGTCAACTATATTGAACAAGGTGAAATAGCAATCTATCTGTACAACACCAAAGACGGAAAATTGATCAAACGATTGCTACCTAATGAGACCATGTACGTCAACGGTTTCCGAGGTGATCCGGATAGCAATACGATGATCATCTTAGCACAGAGTTGGAATACGCCTAGCAAAGTATTTGAATTCGACTGGACTGGTTCTGACATGGAAACAAGTACAATTACTGTTAGGCATATCCAGCACTCTAATCCGGATGACTTTGCTATTGAGAAACATCATGCAGCGTCAAAAGACGGTACACAAGTTCCCTACTTTGTTACATACCGCAAAGGGATTCAAAAACCAGCTCCTGTGTTCCTGCACGCATACGGTGCCTATGGAGATATCGAGAACCTCTTTTATCAGCCAAATTACTTTGACTTTTTACGAAATTATGATGGTTTCTTCGTTTGGGGTGGACCAAGAGGGGGTGGCGACAAAGGCGGCTTTTGGCACGACGCCGGGTCAGGCTTAAATAAAGAACACACGTTTAAGGACATTATTACGATAATAAAGGATCTTATAGCACTCAAGTATGGCATTCCCGGCAAATTCATTATCGAAGGAGGATCAGCAGGTGGGATAGCAATGGCAGCCGTGGCAAACCAAGCTCCAGCTAGTATGGTTGGATTAGCTTTGCCCGTTCGTGCAACCTGTGACGTTTTCGAATTGGAATTGAGAACCACAGTCGGTGATGCAAATAAGCCAGAATTCGGAGATGTAACAACTCCAGAAGGTTTTGATGCAGTTCGTGCTTGGTCACCTTTACAAAATGTTGTTCCAAATAAGCCATACCCGGCGATATTTCTAACTCCAGGATCGTACGATGAAACTGTTGTTCCTTCAAGCAGTTACAAATTCGTGGCCGAATTACAACATACCAATCCGAATAACGCTTTACCTTTCTTGATGTATGTCGTGCAAGACAAAGGTCACGTTCCGAGCACGATTATTGAAAGTAGCTATCAATTCTACATCATGGAGGAAGCCTTACACATCACCAGAAGGAAAAGCTGAGAGAAAGCGAGACATTTAATCCATTTATATCTCACACCAACTCTTCTAGCCACAAAATAGATCCTTTCACATTTATACCCGTTCTCCTAACATGCTACTTCTAATTGAGTTACATATCTTACAGATCATGCCGAATCAGAAATAGCTATTGCTTTCCGCTGAGCAAAAAGATAAGTGGAATCAAGGCTGTCGAATAGACGAGATATGAGTCCACTGAGTAATCTTCGATGTTGAATATAGAAGGGCGGAGTGCGCGGAAATCAGCGCCACAATCGTGTGATCCCGTTCTGCGGGAGCAGACCACCTGTGTGGAATGTTATGCTGTACAAAGAGGGCAAATATGTCTGCTGGCATGGCAAAGGCTGTCTATGTAATTATGCTTAATACAATCATCATCATCCCTATGCTCTATAGACGTCACTTAGCTAAGAAAACAACATTAGAGAATAAGAAGATACGTTTTACGTTGCCGTGATAGCTATTATCTCCGATATATGTCGTATGACGCTTTTTACCGCTCTAAAATATTGATAAAGCCTACTTTCTCACGTTCAGCACCGCTCTGCAAAACGGAGCCGCACAAAGCCTCAATTACATATTGGAACGCCACCTGCTTGGCATTTGATGGATCAATTATCGGAAGCCGTCATCAGGTAATCAGCTACCGCAATGTAATCATAACAAGGAATATTCCAAACTTCTCTGGTGCTGGAGCGCGCTTTCTGTACGCTTGAATAGGCATTTCTTGCTATATACATTTTGCTGGCCAACCAATTAGAGTGGATTCTGCCGACCACAACCATCCTCCTCTACACGATACTAATCAGCCATCATGCTCTACCTAAAAGCTATTTTGTCTAGTCTTACGTTGTTTGTCGCCTCAGTGGCTATGGCTGAGGCACAAGGAAAGGTTATGAAGCCTGGACTGGCTTATCTACAGGTATACCGGGTTAATAAAACTTAGTCTTTCCGTTCCGTAAAAGCCAAAGGCAATGTGACATATGCTGATCCTTACTTCTGGTTAGAAGGACTATCGACCGATAAAGATATTTAAAAATTCATTTCCGATCAAACGAACCTAATAGAGTCATACATGAAAGGTTGTAAAAATAAAGATGCAATTGTTGAATCACTCCTGGAAGTAAGTAATTACGATAATTACGGATACGTAAAGTTGATTTCTCTAAATATGGGTGGTAAACCTTTTTACCTGTACGGCTATAGAAGTATCGGCGATCAACCACCGCTCTGGTATACGGTAACTGTTGCTGAATTTCAGTCTGCCAAGAAGACTAATTTTGCTACTCCTCTGGGAAGACTATTCTTGAACGAATCTTTACTCAGCTCTGATGATAGTGTAAGTATTGTGTATACGTCTGTATCTCCGAATGGAAAAACGTTTGCTTATCAGGTTTCCCAAGGAGGCGACGGTGATACATGGTATTTTCGCTCCTTTGATATCCTATTGACAAGGGCAAAAACTACACCAAGAGGTGGCGAGGGAAGATTGAAAGATTTTATTCCTCTTTTGGCGCAGGATATGATATATTGGACTCCTGATTCTAAATCATTCTTTTATTCTTCAATTGCAGATTCGAATGGAGGAACAAATCCGAAACATAGCTATAAGGTTCGACATCACATTTTAGGAACAGACAGCAAACAAGATGTGACTGTCTTCGACTCAAAGAATGCAGGAGAATTTGGTGAAGATTGTTATTTTTACATCTAATTGAGCCCGTGAGTCAATAGTGACGAGCAGAAGAAAAATTTTACTAACCATAAATGCTTCTTTTCCTCTCTCAGAGATGGCCGCTGGCTCATTGTAGCGGGCTACCACGACGCCGCTGCACTCAACACAATAGCTTACGCTTCTCTATTGACTGGACAAAAGATTTCGAACAATATGAAATGGATCTCATTAGCCCCAGACTTCAACTTTACCGTTCTTGCAGGCGGTGTAGTGAATGATTCGTACTACTTTTGGACAAGCAAGGACGCCACGAATGGTAAGGTTGCGAAGTTCAATCTTGATTGGAGTAAAGCACGTCAAGTCAAGAGCTTTACCGAGTTGCAAGACCGCCCGCCAGTCATTGACGTTATACCTGAACGAAAAGATGCTTTGATCAATACTTTGGATGTCCATATTACCGCAAAAGATAAGTTATTGGTCAATTACATCGAAGAAGGTAAAATGGCATTGTACCTGCACGAGACCAAAGATGGAAAGTTAATCAAAAGATTATTACCAAATGGTAAGTTCATTTGGCTTCATACTTTGTACGATCGTGTGAACTAACTTCTTCGCATAAATTTTGTTGCAGAATCATTCTACGTAGATTTGATAGTCGGTGATCCAGATAGCAATACGATTATCGTATTAGCAGAAAGTTGGACTACACCTAGAAAAGTCTTTGAATTCAAATGGGACGGTTCAACTATGGAATCCTCTACACTAATCACAGGAATCATCAAGAATTCCAATCCAGATGATTTTGTTACTGAAAAGCGGCATGCTGCATCAAAAGATGGCACTCAAATTACTTATTTTGTCGTTCATCGTAAAGGAATCCAAATGCCTGCTCCTGCTTTCCTGCATGCTTACGCTGCGTATGGTTATATCGACAGCTTTTATTATCAACCAAACTATTTTGACTTTTTTCGAAGTTACGATGGTATTTTCGTCTATGTAGGAGCAAGGTGAGCCGCATGAGCACTGAAGACAACTCTAACTAGAGTACTTACTCATTATCTTCCATTTTTCAGAGGCGGTGGTGATAACGGCGGCTCTTGGCATGATGATGGATCAGGATTGAACAAAGAAAAGACGTTTGAAGATATTATTGCAGTTATGCAAGATCTTGTAGCGATAAAATACGCTATTGCCGGTAAATTTGTCATCGAAGGTGGATCAGCAGGAGGTTTGGCAATGGCAGCCGTGGCCAATCAAGCTCCTGCGGGCTTAGTTGGGTTAGCCTTACCTGTTCGCGCACCTTGTGATGTTTTCCAATTAGAGTTGAGAACAACAGTTGGTCTTGCAAATCGGCCAGAGTTTGGAGATGTGACCACTCCAGAAGGTTTTGATGCAGTTCGTGCTTGGTCACCGTTGCAAAACGTCGTGCCAAATAAATCTTATCCGGCAATCTTCCTTACTCCGGGATCGTATGACGAAACTGTGCCGCCTTCAAGCAGTTATAAACTCTTAGCTGAATTGCAGCACACGAATCCCAATAACGCCTTACCTTTCTTGATGTATGTTGTGCACAACAAAGGTCACGTTCCAAGCACAATCCTTGAGAGTAGCTATCAATTCTGCATCATGGAGGAAGCCTTACACATCACCAGAAGAAAAGGCTGAGAAGAAGGCACAAGCTCTGTAAAAACGCTTTGTCTTACACTTCACTTCTTAACAAACATACTTCAATGAATCTCATCTATTAGTAAGAATGCCAGATAAGGAATGAATAATGCTTCGAGCTGAGCACAGAGGCTAGCGAGCTTGATTATGGTATACAAATTGTATGCTGGAGAGGTAAAGTGGATGTGACAGACTGCTTAAGGAGCAATACCCAAAGCGGATTCGATATCAGTGACACTGCAAGGAGTGAAATTAGTTTTGTCAGTATATAGAAATGATTGCATGGTGAAACACATCTTACTCACCCCAATGCATCTTCAATTGAAGTGATTGCACCGCCAGTTTCTTCGTCCAAGAATTTATCGATTGCATTAACGCCCAAACCTTCTTCAAGGTAATAGATACCCTTTCCGACAGCTTGTAGATCGCCTGGAGAAGCGCCAGAATTTGAAAGTTTTAAGAAATCTTCTGCGAATGAAACACCTAACTTTTCTTCCAATTTGGAAATACCACCTCCTAATGCTTTGTCTAATTCATCTTCGATTGCTGTAATTCCTGCACCTTCTTCAATCTTTGAAATTACTGCGCCTAAATCGGTCACCAATGAACGTGAAACGGGGTTTGTGATTGGTGCAGCAATGGCAACTGCTGCCAATGCCAAAGAGGAAGCGAGTAGTACGTTGAAACGCATATTGAAGGTAGAGGGATAGGGTTGAAGGAAATAGGAGGGCTGGAAAGCTGTTGTTGTGTGAGGAAAGGAAGCAAAATTGAAGTTGAACGATGGCTGTATTTATACCTTTCTGATTTCAAAACAAATGACTTTTCCACCTTATCTACCTGTTCAAGATGACATTGATGTGAAAGGCAACTCAATGGGATACGTCACAAGAAAATCTTCTTATCTCTCATTCACAATGAATGAAAAGTATCTTTTCAAATCTTTATTGTTCTGTCAAATCGGGTCGAGGATGATGCACTTGCTTCGATGGAGCTAGTGTATTTTTGTCGATCGGGTATGTATTGTAACCGCTCCCAACGGTTTATTGTCCAATTCTACATCTTTTAATCGATCAAGCAGCGGGATTGATGAAAGATTGCTACCGTTGACCGCTTGACATCTTGCGGTCTAAACGGTGTCTCTAGTGCAGGATATGCAAGGGAAATCCTATTTTCGGCCTTTTAACTTATCCGGATCTAGTCGATTGAAAGGTCGGCTGACATGGCCAAGAGAGGAGCTTATCTAGCTTTTCATTTTGGATTGACAATCAGATGAGACAAACAAATTACACGCTAACGTTTTTCATTTGTTTCTTTCTTTTCATCATCATGGCAAAGGACCCTCCATAATCTTTGATCGGCGTTGCTCGGGCTCGTTTTATTGTATGCAATGTACTGCACTATATAATTGTTATGTATCCGTAAGGTTGAGCAAGGTGATCGATAGAAGGTGCATTAGCTTCTTCTTGGCGGATAACAATCAAGTCCATGGAGACAATGAAGAGAATGACAGCAGGTTACTTTATCAGTACGGTGTTCTGTTTCAGATATGCGGTGATTCATTTTTTTTTCTTCGGAAAATCCATGGTATTTTTAATTTATTGGAAGCGGAATGTTGCGGTTCCATGAAAGTAGGCTAATTCCCAGAGATAAGGAAGTCATCATCGAATCATCAAAGAGGGGGGATCATATGGTCAAACAGAAAGGGTCTTACGCCTTATCTTTATGATAAGAGAGTGTACGCTAGTCCATCATCATGCAGATGATATAGCCTAAGTGGTTGATTACGTCATTCACTCCAAATTGAAACGCGTTCTTTTAATTGCTTAGTAACACACTCTCAACACGTGCAACTTAATTTTTGGAGATTTTGAAATTTGAACTTCTTGGAAAGATGCATTCGCAATGATGACAGCCACCTTGACCATCAGTTTAAAGGTATCATAGATTGCAATCATGCCGCCCAAATCAATCTGGCGGGGTCCAAACGCTCAACATTTTACACTCGTTCACAGATCACAACAAGATCCACTTCTGCACGACGCAGAAGCTTCAGATAGGGTCTTGAAATCAACTCCAAGAAGGAATGAAGCAGGAAGATCAGGACAAGATAGAAATGAACTAGAACGTCAATTAGGCGCAATCGCAGAAAAAGAACGTAAAAATGTCGGAGAAGCAGCAAATTATGGAATCTATTTCGACGATACAGAATATGATTATATGCAACATTTACGTTCAATCGGTGGAAAGGACAACAGTAGAAGAGGTGGACAAGACGAGGAAAAGACTGAAGATGTCATCATGCTGGAAGCACCTGCTGCAAAGAAAGAAAAGGGCAAAGCAAAAGCTACCGGTAATGAAGATGTATTGGAGTTCAAGAAAGAGGCAGATGTCACATCCAACAAACCTTTAGATCTGCCTTCGGACGTCTTACCTTCTAATCAAATGCTACCCAGAACTTTCGAGCAGGATAAAGAAGAAGGAATAAGACCGGATATGGATCCTCACTTGCGACAAATTCTCGAAGCTCTAGATGATGATGCATTCCTGATGAAAACAGCAAAAAGTGGATCGACAACTGCTGCTCCCACACAGGTGGCACCTGCACAGATACCCGAAGAAGTTGAAGAGAATGAAACGGAGGACATCGATGACTTCTTTGGAGAAATTGTAAAGGGCGGAGAATTGGAAGAGGAAGAAGAAGAACCTGAATGGAGACAATTGCCACCTGGAGGAGAAGAGAGTATTTGGCTTGATCCAAGTGCAAAAGCGGCACGCGAACTTTTACAGCTTAAAGAGGAAGGAAAAGGTGTTGAAGATCTAAGTTTGGAGAGTAGGGTAGCTTTATTCAAAAAAGCAGCTGAGGAAAACAAAAAACAAGGTCCTGCCCTTGCCGGATCCCGTCAAGCTCCTTCTTCGGTTGGTAGTAAATCAATCTTTGGCGATAAAGGTGCTTCGCGAAGGAGTAGACATGCAGGTGCAAAAGCCAGGCTGGCTTCAAGCTTTTATGCTCCTAGTATTGATGGTGGTGCGACTGCTTTCAGTATGAGTTCAAGCGCAATGGAACGTAATCAAGGTTTGTCAAAGCTAGACGAACAATTTGCACGAATGGAACGCATCTATGAGCAGGAAGATGATGACGAAGACGAAGAAGAGGGTTTCGAGGAAAGTGAAGACGGGGAGGACAACGAGGTTGGCGGTCCAGAAGATGTTGATGCAATCTTTGAAGATTTCCTATCAAAGAATGAAATAATAGGAAACAGATTACGCGAACGATTGGGAGATCAAGCTACGACGCCTATCGAAAAGGTTGACATGATCAGACGTGAGCTTGGTGAGATGAGAGTGATCGATCGAAAGACGTATGATGAAGCAGAAGCGGAAGGATTGGGTCCAAAAACAACTGTTGAAGAATTAATTTCTCGTGATTTAGCTCAGCGTGCAAATGCAAGACAAGAATGGGACGTAGAAACAATTCAAACGACAAAAACCAATCTAGAAAATCATCCTCGTACGATCGCAGCTGCAGAAAGTGTTGCACCTTCTCGTATCTCAAGAATCGTGCCTCCAAGTAGTTTCTTGGGCGGTGTGAATGGATCCAACGCTCCGGCAAGTTTGGCAGGCACAGATCGTATGGCTCGCATCAAGATTGACCCTCGAACAGGCAAAGCAGTCATCAATGGTTATATCAACATAGGTGCTCGTCAAGCTCGTCGGAATAAAGAAGAGAGCAACAAGGAGGATGAAGAAGATGGTTTCTCATCTCCTGATGAAGAGCCATCTCTGGAAAATGATTCTGCATCTGAGGCAGGTAGCGATGACACGACTACAGAGAGCACAATTGCCGCTTCTCGCATGACCGTTAAAAGAGATCGTAATGAGAGCAAAGAGGAAAAGAAAGCGCGGAAACAAGCGGCAAAAGAGGAAAAGCAAACCCGTAAGAGCGATAAAGCCCAACGTAAAGCACAATTCAAAGCAGCCATGCAACAAAAAGGCGGTCATCCTAGTCATGGCAACGGCGTGAATGCTGCAACCGTTGCTTTGCGGTGATCTTGCGCACACGTATATCACGACTATATCATTTGTATTTTACACATTTCATTCAAATGTCAATTAGAAAAAATTGCAAGAAAGTCTACAGATGATAATGAGCTGCGTAATGTACACTTGAGCTGATGATATTGTTCTATGCGTAATAATCTGTTCGTCCACCCCATTCGTAATATTCTGCCAATTGTTCTGACGAGAAAGCAACTTTATCTTCCTCCCACGTATCTTGATGTGTTCGTTTGAAATCTGCTGCCATCTTTTTACATGCAGGACCAACAGGATCAGGAGCATCTTGATGTCTTGCCACCGTATCACAAATCAAGCCAGGCATCCAAGCAGGAACAGAATATGGGAATGCACTGATCAAAGCAATGCATCCCAAAATACCAGCATGCAAACCAGTCATTGTTTCTTGGAAACCTTCAGCACCACGTTTTGGCAAACGATCATATTTGATCACTTGATCCCTAAACCGTTTCCGAAGCGATTGAATCAATTCACGTTGCGAGCAACGAATTATACCGCTCAATGTTGTGCTTGCCAGATTGCGTACTTCTAGATGAGGGTCTGTAAGCAAATTCAACAGCGTTCGAGTGATGTCGCCAAAGATCTCTTCGTCCATATTAAAGATATTTTGCCAGAACAAAATTTGCAAAACGGGCAGTGCATCTAACCTTGCTCTCCAACTTTCGTTACTCTCTTCGATCACCTGCAAAACCTTTCTAATCAATTTCTTGACTAGCTCGATATCATAATGCGCCATCGTTGACACAGTTGCAATCAAAACGGATCTTGCTCTTCCGCTCAAATCAGCATTGTCTTGCAAATTGCAGCATTGGAATATTGTTGGGATAAAGTCAATCACACAAGTCGTCATCGCTGTTCGTCTATGATCACCAAGCGTTTCGGCAATCCAACAGAGCGTAGTCAATGCCAAGAGATCGTATCGTGATGTTCCCTGCGACTTTGGAACTCGTTCCTTCTTGAGCTCGGTCAAAAGATTATCCAATTTTGACAAACGAGCAGAGTATTCCTGCACCAGCGTCTCCGGCGCAAAGAGCGATCCATGAGTTTTGTCTATATGCGTTTGCTGGTACATAGTTTCCACAAGCTGCTCAACACTGCCAAATGACGGTGCAACCCGTAGTAGTTCTAGGTCGGTCATGTTGCAAGCAATCAATTCCCGCACTTCATTGAATTCTGTTTCACAGTTTGATCGGAATAAAGCATGCAATTCGTTCATCCATGGATACATCTTCATGTTAAGCGATAAGATCACTCCACGCAAGAATGTTTGTGCCTGCACTTGCTCCCATGGGCTTTCATCCTCCGTTGTCAGACTGTCGTGCGCCTTCTTGACAACGATGTTGACCAAAGACATGGCTCTACGAGGATCTCTTTGTTGTAATATATAGTCAACACTGTCCTGCCATGCAACCTGACTGTCTGGCGTACATTCCGCCAAAATCTTTGGCAACAAAGTATCCAACCAAGACCACATCACCCTTGCATCTTCTCTGTTCCAGTGCTTAGAGCCACGGAACATACCAGCAACAACTTCCGCAGCCGCACGGTGTTTGTGACGATCCCGTTCCCCAACGAATTCGACCACTTGATCTTTTACAAGATCTAATTGTTGCAATCCGAAGACCTGGAAAATCGATCGAATAAGAACGGTTGTCTCGCGCGAAAGTTGATCTCGTTCCTTCTCTTGTGCGTAATGCTTGAACATCTGCTTCCAATGTTCTGGTGAGAGTTCTTTGCGTATTGCTTCCAATACTGGCTTGTTGACCCAATCAAACACTGTTCCTGACTCGGGAGGAGCAAGGTAGTATGTGTCCTTCTTTGACCACACAAGCCATCCTTGCGCCTCTTTGTCGTGGAATTTGGTAGATGAAGTGATGGGTTCATCGGATCGATAGGATGCCAGCCTTTGTGCTTTCCATTCAGCGGTCACTTGAGCAATCGGCTCCACACGCTTGAGAGGATGGTTTTCTGGCTTGCAAGAGCCCAAAACCAATTCTTCATCCGATTTGCATAATGTTTGTAATTTCGCGTAATAGAGCATCTTTGTGACAGCCACTTGTGATGCTCTACGAATCGTCGGATTCTCATTAATCATTTGTCTTGTCAAGTATGTTGCAACATCTGCACGTAAAGGTTGATCCTTTCTGATAAATGTTTTGAGTAATCGGAGAGCGAATATCTCAAAGTTCCAATGTGTCTTTGGCTGCTGTGCATATTCCAACAATTTGTCCACAATTGATCCAGACAACTTCTTGTACAGCTCATCAAAGTACAACCTTTGTTGCGATGGCGCGGTGATCAAATCGACAGACCCATCATTCCTTCCAAGCAATACCAATGCCTGCTCCAATTCCGGTGTCTTGATACGATGCACAATCGTCGATATCTCTGGATAGCGAGCTTGAGCTTCATTGATAATGCCGCGAAGAAGTTTTTGTATTGAAGGCTTGCTGCGATGCTGAGCTTCTAACAAGGTCATAAAGTATTCTTCTGTAAAAGCGGGATGACGTGGTGTGATTCCCATGAACTTGCTTCCGACCATATAAAGCGCCCCTTTGACTTGATCGTCATTAGTTGAGGTTTGGATGGCGGTCAATAATTTGCGTAAGGTAAACACGCCCATCTGGTTGTAGAGTGTCAATGCATCAAATGTACTTTGAGCAGTTTTACGAATGGCAACATAATTACTCATGGTAAGCTCGATCACATCATTGATCAACAAATCATCCAGAGCACTTCTTCTACGGTAGAAGCTGTTGAGTCTTCCACGGCTAGAGTGATATTGAGCAGCACGTCTGACCCAAAACATTCGCGGAAAGATCTTTTGGCGAGGATGCGTTGATGTCATGTTCTGGTAGAAGAGTGCAGATCTTCCATATGCTTTGTGATCATCAGCATTATAGCCGTATGACGTCATGTATGAGCGAATGGAACGTAACATCAATCGAACGCAATCAATCTGATCTTCTGCACCTGAATCGTGAGCTCGCTCAGCAGAAAGATGCAACAATTCTCCAAAACGAACTTTGAACGTTTTCACCTTTTGATACCTTTCGTCATCAAAATCTGTTAGCAAAAACCCCGACTTGAAACGATCGGGAGTACGCGTGAAATCCTCGTACCCTTCCACAATGCTTTCAATAAATTGCCCACCTCCAGCTTCCTTTTCCAGGATCATAGTATTGACCGCAGAGAAAGACAATCGTACGATTGTCATATTTCGGCAAAAATCGTTGGTCCACACTTTGTCACGAGCACCTCTATGGTCTTGCAGCTTCTCTAGAGCACTCAATCGAGGATGAACAACACGATCGAGTATTTCCAACGCCAAAGCAATCTCTGCATCATTCGGAACGTGCCATTGAATTTTGACATCTTTGAAAGCGTACATCTTACCCCATGACTTGAAGCTGTTTGCCTGCATATCTTCGCTATCCCATTCTTCCGGATTGACGAATCGATGATCGTTCGGGTATGTGTTAACAAGAAGGTTTAGAACGCGTTGGACCAACATGGCGGCGTAAAGATATCCACGTTCAGATTTGGCTTGATCACATAAAAGTAGCATCAGATCCATCAATTCATCCTTGTACTCGAAGATCTCGCCACTCGAAAAAGTCAACGATCCCATCAGTAGTGAAATGTACCAATGCAATTTGACATCACCCGCAACAGCCTGAGTCGTCTTTGTTGTGCGAATCGAGCTTGCGCCTTGCTCGATTTCTTGACGAATAATCTTTGCACAAGGTCTGATCAAGCGCTCAGTCACCTTTTTCGAATCGTGACGGGCAAAGCACGATATCAAGGATCCAGTCACTCGAGTCGCTTGCGAACAGACATGTGTCATGACATGATCTGCAACGATTTTGAAATTGATATCAAAGAGATGATCGGACATTGAGCAACAGACTGAATCGCATGCTGCCAATAATGTGCTCGTCATCTGTTCTTCAATACGTCCTGTACGTCCATTCTTCCCCTCCTCAGGTAGTGCGTCAAACAGAACTAGAACCCTATTGAAGAAGCTTACCGTCCAGTCTTCGAATCCTGCTGTACTCAGACGCAAAGCATCGTCCTCCTCGTCGAATTCTTCTTCCGTTGCCCCACCGCCACCACCTCCATAATCGTCAATGGCCATTTTTGAGGGAGATGCAAGCTCTGGGCGGGTCAAATCATCAATTTTTATAATGGTCGACGTGATGACGATCAGAATGGAAGTCGCGATCGTCTTCATGTAATCGTTCATGTCAATACCTGGTAAACAGAGATGCAAAATGGGAACCAGATGTTTACCTCCTCCTTTAAAGATATCTCGTGACACAAGAGGAACACCAAGTTTGGACAGAGCAGTAATCACTGACATTGTTCTATGAGTAGTTTCGAGAGCTTCCAAACTGGAATATGCACGCTCCAAGACTGGAGGAATGATTTGTTCCGGTTCCAAAGTGGCCAGTCTCTTGAGTGAGGCTTGCGCTGAATTGATAGTTGCAGGATCTTTTGAGAATAGTGACAACAAGCAAACTGTACGTAGCGTTGCTGTAAATTCTTTCTTTATCTCTTTTGTAAGACGGAATGCCTTCGGTGTCTTACACTCGGATTTCTGTTCCTCTTTCCACCTTTTTGTAAATTCCCACGTTAGGTTCTTTACAAGAGATGAAAGTTGCAAAGCCCATATTCCCCAATTCGAAGGATGAAAATAGCTCTCTGTAGCTTGAATATATCGTGCCAAGGAACTGAGAGCTTTTGAGCCTGCTAGATGGGTTCCTCGCTTCTCATCCGTTGGTTTAGAGGGAACACCATTTTCCGATGGCGTTGCTGAACCAGATGAAATTGGACTTTGAGAATCGCGCATCATTGAATAGACGATAATAATGGCGAACGAATGAGAAGGCTCAGAAGGTCGCTTCATATTCAGTACTCCTGCTGATGCAGCAGAATCGGCACCTGTGCGTACAGTCGATGATTGTGCCATCAATGCTGCATTTCCCACTTTGCTCGATCCCACTGGCAGACCGGCCGAACGTAAACATTTGGTCATGATAAAGCTGGATTGATATTCTGTAAATATTCCCACTTCGTTCCACAAGCCCTGCTCTGACGTCATGATTGGGGAAGACTTCTCTTCGGAATGGTTGGGAAGATCAGACTGACTTTTGAGGGACTCAGCTTTTATGTCTGCAAATATTCCGACTTCTTCCAATGCTTTCTTGGACGAGATACGTGGATCTTCAACGTGCTGCTCCGCCAGCCGAGCACAAAGATCCAGCATTTGCTCATCAAACAATGAGGAGGAGAACGATTCCCATAATCGGAAAAGCGTCGGCAGCCATCTTTGCGGATGACTGATGGGCAAAAAGTGAACGAGCAAGGAAAGCGTAGCGATCATTGAATCGATATCCGAGCCATCCATGCTTGGCAACATTTCCTTCAACATTTCGTCAGCTTCTTCCGGATCAAAGAATCGTTGAGCAGACATTGCTAAATCCAACAAAACGTTTGAAATATTTGTCTGATTCGTCTTGCGTTCTTTCACAAACAATTCCCTTTTGAGCATATTGTACAGAGGTCGCCATGGTAGCACAAGGTGTGCTATTGACATCTTTTTTCGTCCTCCCAAAAGAGTCATGCATGTATTTGCTGCTTGGTGGACTGTTGTGGGTACTCCGGGTAAAACAGTTAAATGGTAATACACTCTTGCAAGACGGGCTAAAGTAGGTAATTCGATTGGGTATTTGAGCGAAAGCAAGATTTGAAGATGATGGTTCCAAATCGGAAATCCGACCTCAAAATCTCTTGTCTCGATCGTTGCGATGATTCGTTCGTAGATATGCTTTAACCGAGCATCAAATTCTTCCAGCGATTCGCATTCATACGGCAAGCTTTGAGGATATTGCAGCAATGATGAGCGTTCCTTTGGTTTTGCAGGGTAATAGATTGGCTTATCCATCCCGATATTCTCTCTGGGGTCCACATTCTGTTTCACCTTTGGACTGTTCTTCTCCCCCGAAGAAGCAACATTCTTCTCTTCAGGTGCCACTTGACCTGGCTGAAGGATTATTTCGTCAATCTCATCATCTTCGGCGTCGACTGGATGTTCGAGTGGTGATTCGACTTCGATATAATCATCTTCGTCCATTTTTGTGGTGGGCGAGAGTTGATTAGAAGAAAGTGTGCATTGGCTATTGACTTTGATGTTCTCCTTGTGGAGCTATTTTGGGGTGAGGATGGTGGTAGTTGGTTTGAATATACTTGATAAACTTTTCCCTGATATTTTTCCCCTAGATCGTACAATATGCTCTCCAGATGCTCTATCCTACCAAAATTGAATGCTGCTGAGTATTCTATTATGTTGTCGTCATTATCATAATGAAAGCCGCGTCACTTTGATTGAATGCATTCATTCCTTCCTTTATGCTTAAAGGGCCGTGCGAATTAGCACACTGCGTAAGCAAATTGGGGAACAAAAAGTGTTGATGTCCAATCAATCAATCGATTATTAGCCTATTTGACACGCGTCTTTTTTCGGCGTTCTTTTCCGAAGAGCAACACTCTGATGACTATAAAGTGCTTTTTGCATTCAAGTGATGATGTTATAGTATACAGTGATAATGTGACAATGTGAGAACGACTTAGTCTTAGATGGCAGGTAAGCCACTCATTGCTAACCTTCCCATCGTCGATGAAGGTCCAACGGATTGCGAAGTAGAATTTCCATGTTTATCCTCAATCAATCCAATCAATTTCGAATTTTCATCGGCCCATTTATGCATAGCAGCATAACGACGATCTACCAAAGTACCTAAAGCCTTTGTAAGCTGTGCTTCTCCTGTACTGATTCCACTGCCAGATTGCAATGCTGCTGTTGCAATAGCTTTTTGTCCGCCACGGTCAAGCTCGAGTCGTTGTTGTACCTGGTCAATCCGACCTGCAATACGACCATCTAGGATCAAAGTCATGATCAATTCTTCCACTTCATGTGTTGTGATGTTCAGCTGTTGTCCAAGGAACTCCAGTCCAATGCGCGTGTAAGGTTGAATGAGATCGATAAGATATTGCGTTCTCAATCCCTTTAGCACTTCATCAATGTATGTTCGAATGAATGGATCGTCCATGATTGTGGCATGATTGTTGGCTAGAATTCTTTCAGCTTCGTGCACCTCTCTACGTTGGTATGCGCCCACCAAATCAGTCATGGCAACGATTTGTGGATCATTCTTGTATGGCTTGGTTTCTTGACTATCGAATGGATTGATGTCGCTTCCCATCAACATGTGTGCCAATACCAAGTATTTGAGAACTTGAATTCTTTGTGCACTTCCCGCTTCATCATAGTTGAGGAATGCTTGGAAAAAATCCACTTGTGCTGCTTCCCATTTTTTCTCCGACATATGCATCTTTCCACCGCATTCGCGAATAACTCCCAGAATACGTGGATGTGGGATTGCACTCTTTACTTGTAATGTTGCATCGTATGTCTCTTTGAGTTTTTTGTAGTTGGCTGTCTCACCGTACATTTGAATTTCCAAAGCAAAGATTTCAAGTAAGATTGTACCTTTTGATTGATCATCACTTCCATCTGGAGTGGTACAATACGCACGCAAATCTTTCAAGATCTTTGCCAGACGTCCAAATTCGCCACGTGCAAGCCACAATCTTGCCAATTTGAGATCTGTCTTTACGCTCAAACGTTCATTCTTGGATTCTTCCAGTGCTTTCTTTGTCACATCGTAGAATTGTTCCATTGTCCCCAGGTCAATTGTTTTCGACTTTTGTCCTTTTGACGGGTGATCATTCGCACCTTCCTTTGCTGGAGCGTTGTTTGCCGGTGCAATGTCTGCTGATACATAATCAAGAATGCCATTGATGGACTTTTCAGAATAGTTTCTAGTGACAGCTGATTTTGTGTATCCCAACAATCGAGTATAGCTCTGTAATGCTTCAGCATGTTTTCCTCTTCGAAAGTTGAGTTTTGTCATTTGTTTGAGCGCTTTGAAACCCCAATCACCTTTTTGTGTGCCTTCTTTTTCCACAACTTTTTCCAAATCAGCAATTGCCTCGTCTACATCATCGGCCCTTTTTGCTTTTGCGTTGAAATACATATTTTCGATATCTGCATCGACGTCCTCATCTTCGTCTTCTTCATAATCGAAATCGTAATCCTCGTCCGCCGCATCGTCCATCAAGAATTCTTCGTCTGACATTTTGGCTGAAAGGCAAAAGAGGTGAGATGTCAAAACTTTGCCTCTTATGATGATGGCTCTGATTGGAACTTTGAAGGTAAAGAGCATGTAAGCATACTACAAAAGTCAAAGTGGCCCGCGCGTATGCAGCGCATTGACGCCAATCAGCCTAACGCGGAGCAGCGCAACACCAGCCTCTTTCTCCTCTTTACTCTCTCATGGTGCTCATGGCCGGACAGTTTGGTATCACTTCACACTTTCATCGTGATGACAGATCAGAGATATTGAAGCCGGCAGAATGACTGCCTGCTCTACTACCTTGCTGCGTCTGTTCGCTCATGTACCACCAGAAGTTTTATCTTATCATCCAATTCAAGACGAACAATACTTTTTTTTGCTGAGTACATTGTTGACTTTGGGTTTCTACCCATTTATCAGGTCTTTCTTAGATCTGTATCATCATCTCATTGAGAGTATCTGCATCGCCAAGTGAACAACATAGCCTCAACGCCTTTCGTACGTGCTCGGAGAGCAAACTTTCCGTGTGAATGGCCGTGAAGGGGCTGATGGGGCTTCGTATGACATGCGATGATTGCAGTGTAGGTAGCGCTCACATCGTCTGCATGAAACCTGAAAATGCAACGTACAAAGTCTTTTCTAACCACAACGATAGTCAAAGTAGCACCAACACATCATAAATTGAGACAGATGAAGATGAAAGTCATATTCATCATTTACGCAATCAATGCATTTCTAATTTGCATCACTTTTGCTGGTCAAATGATGCAAGAAACGGAAAGCTTTCATAAGCGTGATACGATTTGCCCATGTGGCAGAAAACAAGTAGCTGGTGTCTCTTGTTTAATGCGTCGTCGAAAATTCGAACAACCACAAAGGTTAGTCAAACGTGCGGGTAAAACAGGTGCTTGTCAATGTTTACCATGTCCAAAATCAAATGCAAAATACAAGGATCCAACAGGAATGCCTAAGGTCGTCAAAACAAATTCACCTTATGAGAAAGCAATCGAAGCTTGTGTACTGAAAAACACAATGACAGCTCTTAAAGATCCAAAGGCTGAGACTCCCAGATGCTCAGAGGTCGTGAAAGATCCTAGCAAAAAGCACTGAGCGTAGTCATGGTCGAGAAAGCGAAGCATCATGTATGGCTGATCGTACCCATCTCTATCTATCGTCTAAATCACAGATGATCGCCTTCAATCCGTACCATCTCTTCATCCTTCACCAGCCATCAAACGGAAGATAGTGTTAATTGAGACAAATATCTCTACAATGCTATTGAAAACATGGTTGATGTAAACCAATCGTGAACGATGAGTTGTTAATATTAGTTTTGAGTGTAAATGTGCGTGCATAAGTCGATCGAGAAAGTTGTTCCATGTACGGAAGCAACTTGCAGCTGACCGTTTTCATGAGGTGCAGAGCTTAACGGTACTTGACGAAACCGATAGCGTCAGACTTTTCGCGGAAGCATTGACGGCAGATGTCGAGACCGTATTTGCGGATGATACCTCCGTAGTTACCACAGACGCGGCTGGTAAGAGAGAAGGTGTATTAGAGGTCAGTGTTGCTCAGATGTGGCTCGATAGGGGAGGAGAGCAGCCATTGCAGCACCCAGCTTGCCTAGCCGTCCTTCCTTACCCTTGTTGGGTTTACTCACCATGTGCGAGATCCTTTTCCGTATTTGCGAGGGTGGCTGAACCAAACGTTTGAGTGAGCCATGCTGGGCAGGCTATTGGATGAAACATAAAAGATAGCGATGGGTCAGTACACTGTCTCAAAAGGTGTGAGGATAATCTGTCGTCGCGCTGCTTGGCTGTTGGTCGGATTCGTGTCGTCTGCTTTCGCACCTTTCCATCATTGAACGAAGTAGTCTCTAAGTCGATCTTTCCGTAATGATGTTGATCTCTTTCAATATTGCAGATACGCAGTGATATCAAGGTTCATCTTCCTTCCTAGTCTCAGTCGTTTATTCGTTTGCCAATTCATCATCTCTCCTTCATCTTTACCACCTTGACAGCGATTCAATTGTCGCCGTCCACATTGTCGCAACGTCTCTTCCAACATCAAGCATGACGTGATAGTCTCCCAACAATACTCACCGTTATATGATTTGATACGTCTTGAAGAGCAAGGATGAGGAGTAACAGAAGAAAGAATGATGATCGATTTCCATTGATGTCTAGAATTCACTACAAGCCCCTTCAAGCCTCTTTTGCCCTTTAACGCGCGCGTGCAAAGCCAGGCTTACGGCAAGCAATCGATTACTGCTGCTGCTTACGCTTGGTTTAATACAATCAAGCACGAGACTACTTTCCGAATCTTCCTGACACGCTTTACCAAAGGCGCGAGAGTTATACACTGCTAAAGTGCTTAAGAGCTATTAATAAAACCCAGGCTTCAAGTACAAAATTGTATTCAGGTATAAAACGCGTCTTGAAACGGCGTATACACTGCGGTCTGCGGTTCGGCCGAGCACGTTGGCCCAAGAAAGTTGTCATTAATGAATGAGAATTAGAACGACAGCTTTGCCGGCAAAACACTGCTCAAGTGCCCGGAAAGTTCGCCGTATTTTAACATTACCCTGTTCACGGTGCTTGTCAATTCTATTCTCTTCACCATCCCGACAAATCAATTATGTCCGCCACGTATATATCGTATACTTGCAGATAATTTCTGCTTTTTCTTTTCCGTTCGCACTCTTTGTCTTTCAGCATGTCCTTCTGGTCCTAAACTTTTAAGATACTTTTGCATACCTTTGGAAATGTTCATTTTCCATTCTTCACTGCCTCTTACAGGTTTCATCCTGTGGTCTTTCGGAAGTAAGATTCCTTGCTCTTTCTGAATCTTTCGTTTAAGAAAGCTTTCTCTTATCTTATTGTTCCATGCTTCATCCCTTCTACCTCTGTTTGATCGATGAAAAGCTGGTGTTCGATGAGGTATTTCATAGAAGGTTTCAGCATCATTGTTGTTTGAATGGAGAGTTGCTTTTTTGGGAGATGTGACCGCTTCCACTTCTTGCACGGGTGAAGGATCTGGTACGTTTAAATCAAAAGAGTGCTTTTTTGGTTGAAAATTGTGTACATTTTCATTTTCATCGGGTGGTGCATTGAGATCAATCATCTGCGCAATGCAAACAGTGATGGCCAAAACAAAGAAGAACAATGCAGGTCTGACTGACATAGCGACTTATACTTTGTGTTGCACAAGGGATGACGACTGAATTAAAAGAGACTGAGTCAAATCACGAGTACATACAACGATATTATTCATACATTTGCAGTAAAATTACTCAAGAGTACGCCAAATTGCGTGAAATAACCCCGAGCAGTCCCACATGAGAATGCGAGATATTAGTGATATGCATTCCAATCTTTCGAAGGAGGTCTATCATACCCCATTTCTTGTGCTTTTCTGTGTTGACGATAATCGCTGATTCTTTGCCTGGTAATTGAAGATCTACTGTTAGAGCTACCGGCTTGTTGAGTTTGACTTGTACCTTGCGTGGAAGAAGAATAGCTACCAGAAGTGTGACTTCCTCCTGCAGGACTCGACGCATGATCGATCATTTCATTGATATCGAAATCTTTTGGAGGAGGTGAAATGGCAGAAGGCTTCTTTTTGCTTGAAGGTAAACTCATTACTGAGGAAAGTACAACTAAGGAGACAATCAGATATTTTGGTAACATTGCGTTTTCGACGCTTGTGGATGTTATTCTGACAATTCTTTGACACCTGGCATAATTGATATTTTCCAATCCACGGTATCAGTGCATAATCTAGCTCTTACCAAGACTCTCGCCCACTTGGCCTCGCCGATCCGGACCGAGAAGAATGATTCACCCCATTTCACCCTTACACACAGCGATGTCTTATACACAAAGTCACTGCTCATAGCATTTTGATAATTTTGTATGGGAATAGAAAGAACCAGTGCTGTCTTCAATGACTGAGATGCAGCGTCAGTATACACTTTCGAAAAACATAGCTGTGCAATTTCATTGCCATCATCTGTCTTTAGGCCGAGATAGTTGCGAGCCATTCTAATACGTTACATGAACGCATACGAAGGAGAAGGATATTGCGGTTTTGTTTTCGCACGAATTCTTGGCTGCGGTTCAATGTTCGAAAAAGAAGGGCCTGAAGAAGATTTAGCAGCTTCACTGGCTTCACTAAGCATTCGTGCCATCTTTTGAACTCTCATCATCGATTGCAACTTCCTTTCTCGTTCTGTGATCGGTCGCATGCTTTGGGAAGCAGTACCTCGTTTCTTCTTTTGTATTTTCATCAAGGCTTGTAAGTGTCTATCCCGCGAAGTCTTTGGACGGAGGCCGCGGATATCCTCTTCGATTCCGAGGGGAATATTAAGATCTGGGATTTCTTGTTTGATTGATGCAGATAAAGGTAAGTATAAAGCTGCACTCATTATCAAAATCGCAAACGCAAATAAACTACCAGTACAAGCCATCTCTGACAGATTGAACGATTGATGACGTTCATCATATAGATGGCTGTTTTGATATGTCTTCGCTATTTATCCTCACTTTTCAAAAATTTTCAGTTCGGGGCGATGCTCAGTATACGCAAGAGGAAGGTAGGCTAAATAAGTGAATATAATTCGATTTAGACCCGAAATCCTTACAATGTATCTTAGTTAGTAAAGCTTGGTCCTCCCATGTGAGTGGAGAAGTAGTTTTGAGGATCGTATTTAGCTTTTGCAGCTTTAAGTTTATCGTAAGCATGGTAAGACTGAAGGATTGGTTGATCTGCATTGGCATCGTTCAAGAAGATTGGGAGTGTTGCATTGTTTGGAGTCTTTTCAACGGCAGTTTTCAACTCAGCCAAAGCTTGTGGGACGCCGGTGTACAGGCCAGGTAGACTGCTATGCAAATAATTGATCCAGTAGTATGGTCCATCAACGCTATCTTGTGCATTTCCACCTCTTGCTCTACTTTGTTGAACAAGAGATGCTGCAACGGGTTGAACGTCAAAGCTTAAAATGTCATAAGTACCATGAGCTGTATTTGCGAAATCTTGGAAATTTTGAATGGCGGCTTTGAGAGTTGCAGCGGAAGTTGGTGTGTTACTGTTATGACTTGCGGCACGGTAAGAAACACTTCCGGATGAGAAGTGACCGATGTCAACCATACTTGCAACGGCAGTATAAGGTTGCTTTTTGCGTGTGTCCAACAAATGAGGAATTTTTTCGAATTGTGTAAAGGCTGGTTGACCATCTGGGCCGTTGTAAACGTTGAAAAGAATGATGAATGTTGTTAAACCTTTTAGTACTGGGTAAGTAACAAGATCAAGTGCGCTTGGAAGACCAATGACATCCAAAGTTGCAATTACGGCTGCTTTTGGATCTGTGTTTTGATTTGTGAAGTTGAGTACTTGATCGTAAACGGCATCAATTTGATCTGCACCATAGATCAACAGACCACCGTAAACTTCTGGATCTTGAGGATAAACTTGAACAGTATAACCAACGACGATACCAAATTGATTACCGCCTCCTTTGATGGCGAGCAAAAGGTCACTGTATTGATTATCCTTTGTGGCTGTAACCAATGAACCATCGGGTAATACAACGTCAAGTTGAGTGAATTGATCGCATGCCAATCCGTATTCTGCAGATAAGAATGACAAACCACCGCCGATTGCGAGACCTGAACCAACACCACCGATACGGCCACCGACGGGAACCATACCGAATTGTGCATAGTATTGATATAAATCATCCCATCTATTACCAGGCTGGAAGTAACCGGTAGTGGAACCTGGAGTGAATGATTTTGATTTCATATTTTTGAAATCGATCAAAACTCCTCCTGCAACGGATGACCAATAATTGTTTGTTTGATGTCCACCTGCTTTGATTGCAAGTGTTGAATTGTATTGACGGATAGTCTTCATTGCTGATTGAACATCACTGTAAGCCGTTGGAGCAACGACGCAAGAAGGTTTATTTTCAGCCTGTTGTTCTGAATAATAGTATGTTGTTGAAACGATATAGGAAGGATCAATGGCGACTGATGCTACCTTGCTACCCAATTGTTTACTCAGTTGAGAACATGCTTGTTGACCTGCTGATTTTGTTGCATTTGTTGCGGGGAATAGAGCGGAAACAGAAGATGTCCATAACGCCAAGCCGACTAAGGCTGACAATTGCAATTGAAAGAGTTGCATGATGAGGAGAGGGGGGTGAGAGGGTGGGTGAATATTTATGATGTACTCATCAGAATACCTTTATTTATATACATCACTGGATCTTGTCATTAGGAAGAGTAGTTGCAACCTGAGGCAGAATGTCAACAGTAAAGAATCTTCCGCAGAAAGACGCTAAAAGTGCATGTGAATCTTTCTTATGGTCGATCATGCAGTTTTGTAGTGGGGCAAAGTCATTGTTTTTACTCCATGGAGTTGGATTCCAATCTTCTTTCCGACATCTTTCCTTTAAATTGGAAGCTAGGGTTGTGCGGAACCGCATTCCAAGTTTTGACGGTTGAAGTGCACTCACTCAGTGTTCAAAGCCCGTATTCAACGCGTTAAAAGCTTCCCGCTCAACGGTTATAGAAGCAGCAGAAGGACACAAAGTTGAAACGCCGTAAGATTTGATTGAATTGAATGTGGGGAGTATTTGAAAGCCTAAAAAGAAAGGGAAAACATAAGCATAATCATAAAGCAAACCAGGCACCATGCGGGGTCAAATTGATTGCTGGTTACCCTGAATAACGGAAAGGTAATCTGTGATCCGCTGTCGTCTGATGCCAGTTGGGAGAAGTAATTCCAAATTCTTTAATAATTAGGTTTCAGTGACCTTAAGATGATCTTAGATCTCTTTTACCACGTTCTAAACTCCATCGGTCCAGCTCTAGCAAGTGAATGCCGGTTATAGCTTGGAGGGATGCATCATTTAATCATTCCTTGAGCTCCGACTTGAAAAATGATTATTATTAAGATTCGACGGGCTACAATTACCAAGATGCCGAGCATAAAACACAGATAGACGTCATTTTTATTCGCGGTCACATGCTTGATTAGACTTCTTTGTTCTTATTAAGCAAAGATTCTCGCCCGTTGACGGCCCCTGTATAAGAAAGTCGGCATCGCGCTACGCCTTCCTAATCATTCATCGGCACAGTCCCCCTGCAAATTCGCCGATTTCCCCGCTGAATTATCCCTAGCCTCTCACTTCCGATGACCAAGATGACGCTCATCGTTGCCGTGATGGTATACAAGGTTCATGAATGACCAAAAAAAGTTTGATAGAAAGTAAAGTTATAAGAAGAGGGCCTTGAGATATTTTCAAAAGAAAACATTTCCCCATCAATCAACCACCTTTAGTCTGCATCCTCTTATCATGCAGTTCACAACATTTTCCGCTATTGCTTCCGTGGCAACTGTTTTGGCTATGATGACGGGCCAAACAAGAGCAGCTTCTCCGGTATATAGCTGTCCAGAAGCAGACAGATATGGCCAATTCAATGTTACAGCTCCGTCAGTAGTATCATACGGTGACAAGCTTACAGTAACTTACGTAAGAAATTGTAGGACAGACGAAGACATTTTTCCAACATCTTTAACCTTTGATATCGGAAAGGAATATGTAGGCATCCAAGCCAGTTATCCATTCGTTCAAGTTGTTGGTCCAAAATCGTTGCCATATGGAAAAGTGGGAACATTAGCAGAATATACTACCACTCTTCCTAATTTTGAATTATCTGGCTTTTATAAAGGCGATACATTAAGCTTTTTGGGTACCATTCAGTATACCCAAAAAGGCCCAGACGGTGGTGAAGTGGATTATTTATACACATTCGATCAACCTTTTACCTATAACAGAACATCCAATTAGGCCCCGATTACTTCCACGTTCGCCATGAATCACATCATGTGCAATCTCGTCTCTTCGTAGCTCCTTTTCTGCAATCTATGTCTTTCCATCATTTTATCATCTTAACTTTTTTGTTGTCTTCTGCGTGCGCTCCAGGCGATGTTAGATCTCTAAAAGTATGTTTTAAACTCAGAAAGACCGACTTTTGCATTTGAATGCCGTATGAACCTTGGAAGTACCTACGATCGACGGGCCAGGAGAACCAAAACTTTAACTTTAATAACTCAAAATCTGCTAAAGATTGTAGATTGACATACATTAATTTGATCACATCTGTTAAAATTTTGATCTTATTAACCAGAGGGAATGTCGCCCGTTGACGGCCGCTTTATTGGATACTCGGCATCGCACTACGGCTTTCCAGGAAGACATCGGCACATAGCTCATGTGCTCTCATCTTAATTTGATAGTAGCCTCTCACTTCCGAGGTTAAAATTGATCATGACGCTCAAGCTTGCCGCAATGGTGTATAAGATCCATTATGAACAAAAGGAGGTTGATGGGAACTTTAAAATCTGTAGAAAGCTATAAAAAGAGGGCCTTGAAATATGCTCAGAGATAAATTGTTCCCCATCAATCAATTTATCATTTTATCATTTTATCCTACATTCTTCAACATGCAAATTACATCATTTTCCGCTATTGCCTCCGTGGCAACTGTTTTGGCTATGATGACTGGCCAAGCAAAAGCAGCTCCTACAGAACGCCCCTGTAGTCAAGCAGATCAATATGGAAACTTTAATGTTACAGCTCCTTCGACAGTAGCAACTGGTGATAAGCTTAAAGTGACTTACGAGCTTAATTGCTCAAGTTTAATTGTACCCAGAACTTTAACTTTTAATATCGGAAAAGAGTATAACAATTTGGAAACCGTTACTCCGTTTGTTCAAGTTGTTGGTCCGAAATCATTGCCATACGGTAAAGAGGGTGTGCTAGCCGAATATACTACCACTCTTCCTAATTTTGACTTGACTGGATTTTACCAAGGTAATGAATTAGTCTTTTTGGGTACCATCGTATACACTGAACGAAGTCAAGATGGAAATGAAACGGATTACATCTATACTATGGAACAACCATTTACGTACGACAGACCCAGCAATTAGCGCTGATCACTTCCACATTCGCTATGACTCACATCATGTGCAATTTTGTCTCTTCGTAGCTCTTTTTCGCCATCTATATCATTCCGTTATTTATCATTTATGCCTGCGATAATATTTTCGAGGTGATGTTAAATCTTTAAGAGTATGATTTAGCCTCAATCGGTCCGTTTTTTGCAATTGAATGCCGATTTATGCTTAGAAGCATGCTTAAAGATGCCACTACCTACGATCGAAGGGCCAGGAGGACCTTATTAAAAAGCTGCTAAACACTGTACCTAGATTGACACTAACTTGATTGCAATTTCTGTTCCACTTTTCATCTTATTAAGCAGGCCCGTTGTAATGGACGTTCGGCATCGCGTCACGGCTTTCCGTAGTCAGGGCCACGGTGCATTTTGAAAATGTCAACGTCTCCCCCTGTAAATTCACGCTAACCTCGCATTTCCGATGACAAAATGTGATCATGACGTTCATCATTGCCACAATGGTGTGTATAAAAAGAGGACCTCAAAACATCTTCAAAAATAAAATTATTACCCATCAAATCACTATTCCTCCTCACTAGCTAAATATGCAATTCACAACGTTCTCCGCTATTGCCTCCGTGGCAACTGCTTTGGCAACAATGACCAGCCAAGCAAAAGCTGCTCCTTCAGTCCTAGTCTGCCCAGAAGCAGATCGCTTTGGAATTTTCAACGTTACTGCTCCTTCAACGGTAGCTTATGGAGACAAGCTCACAGTAAATTACATGCGAGACTGTAAATCAGATGAAGACATCTATCCAACATCTTTAACGTTTGATATCGGATATGCTGATCAACCAATTCCACAAGCATTTGTTCAAGTTAATCGTCCAAAAGCCGTAGATGGACACAAAGTCGGTAAATTGTTGGAATACACTACCACTCTTCCTGATTTCACCTTATCAGGCTTTTATAAAGGCGATCAATTGACATTTTTGGGCACAATTCAATACACTCAAAAAGGTCCACATGGAGGCGAGGTGGACTATTTGTACACATTTGAACAACCATTCACCTATGACAGACCCAGCAATTGATCCAAGTACGATTTCGTATCCATCATCTAGTCTTTCCGTTACATCACTATTGTATTTTATTCGCTGTTTGATCATATCTGCCTAATACATCATTTTTACACAAGAAGCTTCTGCTTGAAATCAAAATGAGAGTTGAGTCCGGTACAGAGACACTATGAATACTTTCCAAGGTGATAGAATGAACTGTAAGTTTCTTGTTGAGGCAATATACATGGATAGATTTTCTTTTTATTGTTGTAACTTGCGCAAAGGAAGAGAATTAAAGATTTGCTATCGTCTTAGAACAGACAAAGGAAGTGAGTTCGATAGTATGTCACAACTTTAGTATAACATGACTTTGTGGTCATCTTTAAACCCAAAGGGGATAATGTACATTTCATCGGCACGGCACTTGTATTGGATGCCATTTCAAGTATGAAACATATTCTTGAATAATCATCCAATGTCCGGATTCAAATGAGGTCATTACGTATATCTGGTCAAGGAAGAACAACTCCGAATCACACATAAAGATGGTAAATGTGCGTCATTATACACTTCGGCCGACTTTTGAACTTAGTAAGCAGAAATAGCCTTTGCCCGTTATATTAAATTTTATTTCTGCCTGTTATATTAAAATTTCGGCATGGGGCCATGCTGTTCTGCTCGTTAATCAGCGCAGTGCTTTTACCACTCCGCGGGAATCTCCCCTAAAGTTATGCTAATCCTCTCACTTCCGATGTCAAAATTGATTCATCATGACGTTGATCATCGCCGTTACGGTGTTCATAGAAATTTATGGTTTTGGATAGGATATGAAAGGTTATAAAAGACGGCTTTGAAATGTCTTCAAAAATCAAATAATCCCAATCAATCTATCATCTTTCTCAAATCATCCAATCTATCATCTTTCTCAAATCATTCAATCATGCAATTCACAACATTTTCCGCTATTGCTTTTGTAGCAAGTGCCATGGCAATGATGACCAATCAAGCAAAAGCAGCTCCTGCGGTACGAGACTGTGCCGAAGCAGATACATATGGTAATTTCAACGTTGAACACCCTCCAACGTTGAAATACGGTGATAAGATCACTGTTACTTTCACGCGAAACTGTAGGTCGGTTGCAGATTACTATCCGCAATATTTGACTCTTGATATCGGAGACACACAACCAGTTCCTGAACCATTGTATCAGGTTAATGGCCCAAAGAAAATGGACTCACATAAAGTAGGCACATTGTTGGAGTACACTACCACATTTCCTGATATTGACCTATCAGGCTTTTATAAAGGTGACAATTTGACTTTTGTGGCTACCACTCAATTTTTCACAAAAGGTCCACATGGAGGTAAAGTCGACTCCTTGAGAACCTTCCAACAAGGATTCACTTTCAACAGAACAAGTGAATGAGCCAAGATCGCTTTCTTGTCGTTCTGATTCATACTATATGCCCCTTTAGACTCTAGATTCTTTCATCTCCTCAATACAATTTGTTTGCTCGTTTGATCATGCGTGTTTTATCACCCTCTTGAACGAAAGCGCGCATTGAAAGCATTGATCGATGCATGAAAATTGATTTGAGCTTTGTTCTCTTTTCAGATGCATTAGTCTGCTCCTTGCTATGAACTACCATGTCGTTGCTCTTCGATAACACATATAGGCCATCATGGGCTTGATGAATGATATGAAAGTGATCATTCGATCACATAGTAATACCAAACGTGATCGCAAGAATCCCGATTGTTGGAGTATACCGAAAGATATGCCAAATTTGACCGGTAAAGTGGTCGTTGTTACAGGTACAACTTCTGGTCTTGGTGAAGGACTTTCTCGTCATTTGATCATGAAAGGAGCAAAAGTATATATGCTGGCAAGAAATATAGAAAAAGGCGAACAGTACGCAAAACAGCTTAATGAGGAAGTAGAAAAGACAGAGGGAAATAGTGTTCGTGGTGGACATTCTGTCTTTATCACATGTGATTTTACAGACTTGTCCTCTGTTCGTAAAGCTGCGGAGGAGATCAAGCAGAGAGAAGAAGCGGTAAGTGAGGCAATAAGCAGCCATTAAATTCCATTCCCTGACTGATGACATCTCTTTGTATGCAGATACATATCATCATTTGCAACGCCGGCATTCAAACGCATCACCAAGGGAAGAATGCTGACGAGTCAAGTAAGAAACACCCTCTGTTTCCATTATACCTAACCGTTCAGGAACATGAGCTGAACTTTGGCGTTGCTGTACTAGGGCATCATTTCCTCATCAAATTACTGCAGCCGTTACTCCTTGCTGCTGCGAAGCAATCTGACTCTTCAACCGGCAGTGTGAGAATCGCGTCAGTGTCTTCGATGGCACACGAACAAATGAGAGACATCTACCGAAAGAACTGGAATCCAAGCGATCAAGCAGCTTTGCAAGTTGCCGGACAAGAATTGTATGGTCGTAGCAAGTTGGGAATCATGCATCTTGCATTCGCATGGGCCGATGCATTGAATGTCCAATTAAACGAACAAGAAAAGGTGATCGGATGTACAGCTTCACCTGGGATTGTTCAAACGAACTTTTTCAAGAATATCCCTGAGATGCACATCAAATTTGTTCAAATGTTACCCAAAGAAACGTTGGATGAGGGTTGCGCAACGATCCTATTTGGTGCCACGCAGCCTATCAATGAACGAATTGGTTTGGAACAATTGCAACATGCTTATATTACCCCGATCGCACGTTTTGCAAAACCACACAAAGCCGCCTTGGATGCTGAGAATATCAAGCGTACTTGGAAGTGGTGTGAAGAGCAATGTGATGGATTCTGATACCACTTTTTGAATTGATTCATAGATGATGGAAATGCAATGATAGCCTTGTTTGTTGTTCGTAGTGTTGTTTGTTGTTTACGCTCGAGCCCACGCGTAAGATTAAGCTTTCTTTCGTTATTCACTTGCATACAGTCTCTCTTCATATCCATATACCAGCTTGCAATGACATCCCCTTTGACGTTACACAAATCGCTTCATGTTCGATATATTGTAGCATTGGCATCCCATACGAGCTCGCTTACATATCATCTAACGACACATTTACGATTAAATGCAATTTATTGGGCCTTGACAGCATTGCATCTGTTAGGATCACCTGATGCTCTGCCACAACAAGATGTAATCGCTTATGTTTTGGATTGTTTCGATCAAAGAGAAGGGGGATTTGGTGCACACCCTGGACATGATTCACATGTTCTTGCTACTCTAAGTGCTGTTCAGATCTTGTTTATGTATGGCGTCTTGGATAAATTGGACGAAGTGGCACCAAACGATCAAAGTGGACAAAGCCGACGTGATCGAATCATCGCATTTGTTATATCGCTGCAAGATAAACAGACAGGTGAATTCGCAGGAGATTCAGCGAAGCTAGAGTACGACACAAGGTTTCTGTATTGTGCAATAAGTACGCTCTGCCTCTTAAGCACAACGACCAAAGGTATCTCCGAGGAAGAAGGAACAGAGACTGAAGATGGAATACGGATATACGAACCATTAACACGAATCGATCGCAAAAAGACAATTGATGCAATCCTGGCCTGCTACAATTTCGACGGAGGATTCGGACGGATTGCTGGATCTGAATCACATGCATCACAATCATTCGTTTCGATTGGCGCTTTGCGTATTTTAGGCGGAGTGAATTGTTTAGGACAACAACAAAGAAGGAAACATGAACGTTGGCTAAGCGAAAGACAACTCCCAAACGGAGGTTTGAACGGAAGACCGCAAAAGCTGGAAGATGTCTGTTATTCTTGGTGGGTCCTATCGGCACTTGCCATGTTCGGAAAGCTAAAATGGATCAATGGAGACAAATTGGCAAAATTCATCCTAAATTGTCAAGATCCCGATAACGGTGGAATCTCAGATAGGCCGGATAACGTTGCTGATGTTTTTCATACGCTCTTTGGAGTAGCTGGACTGGGAATGCTTGGACCACCACATTCCAATGGACTGCAAGAAATTGATCCGGTATATTGTCTTCCTGTCGCTTCTATCGAACGATTTCCTCATCTAAAACGATCTTACCAAAGCTTAATTCAAGGCACAAATGTATCATAGATCACATAGTTGTACATCAATTCATATTACAATGCTCATGCTCTGTATAGGTACATTTTGTGTGATGATGAATTCCCACCCTACATCCTGCCTCTCGAACGTCCACGACGAGGCTGTTTAGCTGCCCTTTGCTTTTCATCGGCATCAACCTCAGCCAGACTTTGATCTGCTCCTTGACTTTGACTGCTATCGGCTTCCTAATCTTCTGTTTTCTGTCGTGTACGTCGTCTGGTAACGCGCATTGGAGGAGATGAAGCGACTGCTTTTTGCTGATCATTATCAATGGGAGCTGATGCCTCTGTTTCCGCTTGTTGCTCCGGCTCAGGATCATCTTTTGAATTCTGTGAGGCATCATTCGTCGCTTCTTCTCCTGCATCTTCTCCCACTGCGCTACTGTTATCCGTACCTGTCGTGTTTCTCGTTGATCTCTTTCTCTTTTTGTCGTAGGTTCTCTTTTGGTTTCTCTTGTAAATTCGCTTCTGTTCTTGGGTCTTCTCACGCGGATTACTCTTCGTACCCGGTTGAGAAGATTGCGATTCAGGCTCATCTGTGTTGGAAGTTTGTTCCAGAAGGCTTTCTTGTGTATGTTTTTTTCCCGCTTCTGTAATCTTCTTCGAAGAGCTTCTCTTCCTGCCAGTCGTCTTCTTCTTCTTCGAGGGCGTAGGGGATGCGGCCTGTTGTTCATCATCGTCCTCCTCCTCCTCTTCATCTTCCTCCAAGATTGATGTATCGAGCAATTTGTCTGGGATACCAATACTGCTTGGAATGACAGTTTCGCGAGCAACACTAGGCGATCTGGTTCGACTTCTCATGCGCTTTTGCCTAACGTCATCAGGTACATAATCCGCCATATCACCATCTGGATCTGATCGACGTGGTTTACGATGTGAATGAGGTGAGGAATGCTGTTGATGAGTATGACCTCCTTCGTTTCCCGATTTTGCAGAGAGTGCTTCGCTTGCTGCTCTTTTTGCTGAAGATCGAGTCTCTCTACGTGTTTCATTAACAGGGACATCTGTTTCCTCTACTTTTGATTCTTTTCCATCAGCGGTGCTTGTTTCGACGTGCTCGGTAATGCTTCCACGTTTGCGTCTGCTGCGCCGAGGCTCGACTGTTGCAGAGGTATCTGCTGCCTTATCGTCTTCATTTTGATCCGCAGAAGACGTCTCAGCTTCTTGATTGCCGACTTCCTCAGGCACTTTCAGATTTTGTTTGTCACTTTCTTCAACGTTTTGATCTTTGCTCGCAGGTACTGATTGCTGCTCCTGTTCCTCCTCCACTAAGTCCTTTGTCAGTCCTTTAGTTTCCGCATTCTCGTCTGCAGTTGGTGCTTCGACATTGACCTCAAGGTCTGGAATTGTCCGATCAACCTTCATCATTTCTTCCACAGGGTCATCTTTGTCAGCAGCGTGCAAGTCCTCTTTGACTTCCTCAGGGACTGCATCAACAGTCTCAACAGGATCGGTCGCTGGTGCAGCAACACTTGAGAGTGCCTCCTCAACGATATCGACTGAATCATCGGCCACAGGTTCTTGCAAACCTAGTGGTTGTGGCTCTAACATATCGATAGTTGCTGCTTGAATCTCAGAAACATCTTCAGGTGATCCAGGTTTTCCAGTCTCTGTTGCCTGACCTTCGGCACTTTCCTCAAACACTGCTGCTTGGATTTCGGGGGCATCTGCGGGCATTTCATCTTCTTCAGCTTCTGCTTCTTGAATTGCGGTGGCACCTGCGGGCACTTCATCTTCTTCAACTTCTGCTTCTTGAATTGCGGTGGCACCTGCGGGCATTTCATCTTCTTCAACTTCTGCTTCTTGAATTGCGGTGGCACCTGCGGGCACTCCATCTTCTTCAACTTCTGCTTCTTGAATTGCGGTGGCACCTGCAGGCACTTCATCTTCTTCAACTTCTGCTTCTCGAACTGCGGTGGCATCTGCGGGTAATCCATTTTCTTCGACTTCCGCTGGTTGGTCTCTAACTTCTGCTGCTTGATCTTCAGCTAGACCTACAGGTAATTTCTTTTCATCAACCTCTGCTGCTTGAGCTCGAGGAGCATCTAGAGATGATTCATTCTCTTCGACCTCTGTTATTCCTGCGATCGCTTCTTCAACATCTCCTTCATCGACCAGCATTTCCTGGATATGAAGTTCCTTTAGCCCTTCACCATTATCTTGTGATTCCGCAACATGCTCATGAATCAGGCTGGCTACACTTTCCACATCAGGCTGAAGATGCCAATGCTCGAGTGCTTGATCTCCAGTCGTTGAGCGTACTTCGGTAATCTCGATCTCTTGACCAAGGTTTTGATCTTCATCTTGGGCGAGATTTTGCGGTGAAGGCTGTTGAGGTAAAACATCTTCTTCATTTTCTTCCCCTTCCACAATAGGCTGTACAGCACTCGTCGTAATGAACTCATTTCGAGGCGTTCCAACATCACTCGCCACAGAAGTCCGTTGAGATCGTAAAGCAGCTGCCCTTTTAACAACATTTTTCAGATCGACCAAATCGCTACCGTCTTTGACATGACCTGCTGTTGGCTTTGGCGTACTGGCTGTGCTTTGATTCGCATGGGGTGTCATGACAGTAGAAGGTGGGACTGGGCTCATAGAAGTTCGATTGGATCTCTGTTGATCATCTTCCATTTGTTCGTTCACTTGCTCTTTCAATTGCAAGAGTGCTTCTCCATCTGCAGTACCTATCGCTTCAGCTTCTGCAGGCGGCGGCGGTGGTGGTACTGGAGCTGGTGAAGGTGGCACAGGGAAGGATGACCAAGTCGGATTCTGTTGCGCAATTTGTGGAATTGCTTGGTCGTCAATGTTTGACGAAGATGCAGGGAAAGCTTGATCGAACAGATTTGGCGAAAAAGCTGCGTGAGGTATCGACGTTTGAAAAGAAGACTGATCCGAGTGCATGTTCTGCTCAAACAAAGCTGGTGGCGCTTGTGCAAGGTCGTTCAATGCTTGAAGAGATATAGAGTTTTGCCAGAGATGAGATGGATCAGAAGGCATTGATGTAGCTAAATTTGCGTCGAACGCTGGCATTTGTTGACTGTTTTGGAAGAGATTCTCATCATTAGCCGATGCATGCTCAATGCCCTCGTTGAGCAACTCCATTCCGTTCTGAGCATGCATTTCACCTTCATCCTCTTCTTCTTCATCGTACATCTCGTCATCTTCGTTTTCTGCGCCCTCTTCCTGCCCTTCGTAGTCCTCTTGCTCATCGTCCGAGCCGTCTTGGTACCTCTCGTATTGAGCTGCGTCATGTGCCATGCGATTGTAGTCGGCAGGTTGAGAATTGGCAGGCAATTCATCCTCTTCATCGCTGTCAATCAGACTGATGGCTTCTTCTTGATTGGAGCCAAACATTCCCATTGAGCTGCGAGATGGTTGTGAGTAGAGATTTTGATGATGTCGTTCCTCGTCATAATAATCTTCCCCTACTCCTTCGGATTCATCATCTTCGTCCTCTTCTTCATCATTATCTTCTTCCCCTTCCTCCTCACCCTGAATTCCAGCTTCACCAGGGATTGAATCATCGTCTTCATCATTATCAACTTCGTCTTCCAATAGCTCATCCTCCTTTTCGCTCATCTCACCACGCAACCTCGCTGCTTCACTGGATGTAGATTTGAGCTGATCATACTCGACTGAGCTATCTCCCAAAATCTCAGATGGGTCCGCATCATATGAGTTTTCCGGTTGATCAACTTCTTGAATAAGTGGCTTTTGACCGGCTTGATTTTGCGTTGCAGATTTTTGTAGCATTTGCGCAACTTGCATTGCCACTTCGGGTGAGACATCCTCTTGTTCAAGTTGATCAACAGATGCACGAATTTCTGGACCTTCACTTTGCCCGCCGTTTCCACCGAATACTTCAAACACTTGCTTTTCCAATCCTTTTTCCGATTCATCAATTTCTCCATTGGCTTCTCTCTCGGACAGGCGCTGGAGAAAGGCTTCTGCTGCCAGCCGCGTACGTTCGGTTCTTTCAGGATTCAACGCCGCTGTATCGCCTTCCATATCCTCCTCCATCTCATCCTCATTCTCCTCTTCTTCTGAGTCTTCTTCGGATTCGGAGTCCTCATCATCGTCACTTTCCTCATCATCTTGTACCTCTCTCTCTTCTTGGTCTTCAATGCCATTCTCATGCGTATCTAGGGTCTCTGTGGTGGATATATGCGCACCTCCTTGAGCAGAAGAAGATGCAGTATCGCTGCCCGGGATAGTTCCACGCCATGGATCGATGGGTACAGACCGTCTAAGGCTCCTTGAGGGTCTCGCAGCCAGTTCATTTGCAATTTTGGAAGCCAGATCATTGCAAAAGCTCAATTCATCAAATGTATCAAAAGCGCTCTTCCTGCCTCTTCGTTGCTGTGTGGTGCCATTGGGTCGAGCGATTGAAGCTGAACTTGTCTCTTTTTGTATACTATCGACACTGCTTTCGCCTACCAGACTTCTCCTGAACGACGCTGAAGATTGACGAGGTTTGGCTGGTGAGAATGTAGGTGCCTGTGCAAGGTAAGTGGGCGGTCTCAATTTCGAAATAGATGCAAATGATGCACTACTCTGACCTCCTCCACCTATACCATTACTTCCGCCCTGATAAGGACGGGTGTTTCTTCCATCCATCTTGTGTTTCCTTGTCAGGAAGTATGGAGGAGATGATCATCAGGAGTAGTACCGTTTCCATTGATCTTCTGATAAAATTTGATTTCCCCCATGGAACAAACGCTCAGGGCAACGCCGGCAAAGAAATGTCGCGTACAGATAGTACACGCGTTTGACATGCCCAAACACTGGTGCTCACGGTGCTGCACGTCCTGTAGATCTGGCTCTGGCGTTGGCACACGAGGTTGCATGTCTTCGTCATTATCGATGAGCCAAAGATCTCGCTCCGCTCTCGCCTGAGCTTCCTGGAAACGGGCTTGCCTCAAGACTTCCCCCTCTTCCAAACGTGCTTGCCTCAAAGCTTCAAATATGGATATATCGTGGGTTGCAGTACTACAGGCGCTTCCGGTCTTGGCTCTGTCTGGAAGTGTGCATATGTCGCTTGAGTGATATCTGCACGACAGACATAGCACATGACCGTGCCACATTGGCAAATCATTTTGTTGCATGCTCGTTCGGTTACGTCTTTGATAAGCACCCGATTGCAAACACGGTTTGGACAACGGCGCATCAAAGCTTCAGCCAGCCTCTCTTCTGCTATGTTCAGTGGTGTGTTTTTTGCTTGGTTTGCTTGTTCGCATGTCTTTGGGTGATGATAAGGCAGCTTGCATTCAAGGCAGGACCATACTCCACATTTAGCATTCGCACAGAAGAAGGGTTTTTCTCTGTCTTCTGGACAGATGACGTATGAGTAATAGTAAAAGGGGCATGACTTCAAACCGTCAATCTTAGCTGACGTGATTTCCTCGTCGTATACATGTGGAACCAGAGCTGAAAAGTCTTTTCATTTAAGAATTGTTTAACTTTAGACTTAGAGAAGATAGTATCACATTTACATATGTCTGTATATAAATCTTGTTCGTTGAAAACCAATTTCTGTTTCTATATTTCTACGACCATATAACTTATGTATCTATAAGCATATGACTTATATATCTATAAGATCTTATAAGAAATGATACCACCTCTTTATAAACTTATAGAGGTAAATAAATAAATTCACTACGATCATTTCTACTTACTGACGATAACACCTAATTCGATAAGTATACGCTATTCTTCTACGTGCTTAACGCTTATATCTCATACGCTAAACTCACCGAGCAGGTGTAAAAACTTGATGTTAGAATAAAAGCCAAACTTGTTGTTGCCTACCACTAATTAAAAATCAAAAAGCGGTACCGTGACCGATGGATATTGATAGTTACCGGTCACCGTTGAAGTGTATATTCTGTGGGGTAGGAATGAAAGTTGCCTCGGTGATACTCGGCTGTAAAGTAAGGGCGGAAAAGCAGGTCAATTGACCATGGTGTATTCGAGTCATCGGCCTCTTAGAACGTTTAGCAAAAGCACAAAGATGTACCTACTCGCCCTATTCACTGGCTTTTTCACTCCCTACAAGCATGATCCCGACCTCTGGCAGTCATGACTACAACTGTACCACAGCAAGAAGATGTGATCTCATTAGAAGTTATTACAAGCCCACTAGAAGCAGTAAAGGCAGAGGGTCAAGATGAAAAGACACAAGATCAAACGCATACAGTAGACCAAATACATAAACTTCCAGAAACACAAGATAGAGAGCAACATTGGCTGACAAAAGAAACGCACCTGTTACCCAAGAATAATATTTGGATCGTCTTACCGGGTTTATTCTTAGTAACAGGTTTGGCAGCGTTAGATCAAACGATTGTCACTACGGCAAATCCAACGATTGCGGCAGACTTGCATGGTGGACCAACTTCGATCTCTTGGGTTGGATCAGCATATCTTCTCGCATCTACTGCTGTCATACCATTGTGCGGCAGACTATCAGATCTTATTGGCAGGAAACCAGTCCTTTGGTCTGCCATCTTTTTGTTCTTGTTCGGTTCAACGATGTGTGGTGTAGCAAAGAATATGACCTGGCTCAACATTTGCCGTGGCTTGCAAGGTGTAGGCGCAGGCGGAACGGAAAATATGGTGAATATTTTGTTAGGAGACATTTTCCCGTTAGAGAAACGAGGCTTCTACGGTGGACTATTTGATCTCGTTTGGGCATTCTCTGGTCTGATCGGACCTTTGATAGGAGGTGCACTGTCGCAATCAGGCTCGTCTTGGCGCTGGTGCTTCTTTATCAATTTGCCGATTGGTGGTCTTGCTTTTCTAGTTTTGGCTTTCAACTTGAAATTGAACCCGATGCAGAAAAGGCCGTTAGAGGAAGTTTGGAAAACATTCGACAAAGGTGGCTACCTTTTCTTATTGGCGGGAATCGTCTTGTTTTTGTTAGGATTCACCTTTGCTGAGTCACACGGCTTTTCAGAGTTGAAAGCGATTCTTTGCATTGCTATCGGAGGGGCTCTCTTTCTCGTTTTTGCTCTTTACGAATGTGCAATGGAAAGATACTTTCCTGACAAGACTCAAACAATCTTTCCTTCAAGATTATTTCGGAATCGGACAACACTGCTTATGTTTTTGGGTATCATTTGTCGTGCTCCAGCATTTATGGCAACGGTGTTCTATTTGCCTGTCTATTATCAAGCAATCACAGGTGCATCTCCTGTCATGAGTGGTGTGAAAATGCTAGCGCTTACTCTTTCCTGCTCATTATCTGCTTTGATCTCGGGTTACAATATTTCCAGAATTCGACGTTGCCATCCTACGATTGTCATTTCTTTCGTCATAATGACTATAGGCACGGGGTTGATGACCATGTTGCATGCTGATACGCCTTCTGTTCTGCAAGCTATTTATCCAATTATCTTTGGAATTGGTTTTGGGGTTATTTCTCAATCTGGTGTCATGGTCATTCAAGCTGCAATGCCTGTCAAAGAGATGGCAGTTTCAGGATCTGCCGTTTATCTGGTCCGTTTTGCCTCCTTTACCGTTGGCGTGGCAGTAGCCGGAAGTATATTCAATTCAGGCGTACGCTCCAATACAGCAAACATCACCGGTTATGATCGAGCAGGATTACCGGCTGATCAATCGAACTTGCGCAACTTGATTCATTTACAACCTCCAGAACTAGCTTTCCAAGTTCTCAAAGCTTACAGTGATGCAATTCGATCGATTTGGATCGTCTTCACGCCTATCGTTGGAATTGGATTTTTGGCTGTTTTGGGTATACGTGAATATAGCATGACAAGGAATACCGTTCAACAACAATAGCAGCATGATGCACTGTGCTATTTATCAGATAGGAAGAATTGAATAAAATAAAAACCGTTGCACTGCAGACACGCTAAAGAAAGACCGAGTGATTGTTATCAGATCAAATTTCTTGGCGTGCATGACATACACACTCACAATTTCGCTAAATGATTTTTCTCGGATCCTACACACATGCTTCTTGCATTGTCTTTCGTTGTGAATTGATTTCAGACACGTTTTGACATATGCAGCCGCATGCAGGAAAGTTGAACAATTCCCTGAAATGTCAATTTACCACCACTTGATTATGAGTGTGCATATTCTGATTGGATATATCCCTCAATAGCCGAGGCGAAATAATCATCCTTTGCATAATTCATCAAGATTTAGACTCTTTGGCGTTAATTGTGCCACGGTTTGACAAAATGAAATCATCTACCGCCGCCGGTGAACGGTGATCTTGGAAGGTGTTAGCCTATCAGATTTTGCGTTTGATGCAAAGAACTCTGAGGTAAAAGATTTTCATTCTTCATTCGTTATTTTAATATTTTGATTATTGACTTCATTGTTCTTTGGGTATAATTGGCTTTTGTACCTTGCAGTGTAAGAGCATGTATGTTTGTTTTACCTGTCATCCTATGGCGTAATGCACGTCATCATATGCGGTGCCGTGACGGGGTTAGTTCCAATCAGATCCGTAATTATTGTATCCCACAGCAAAGCCCCTTATCAAGATGCTGAGAAGTTGGTACTTAAAAGGGTTATCTAGAAGAGCGATCCATCTTCACCCACTCAGAAAACATTATTACAGTAATCATCATGACAAACGGCGTTCGACCTTGGTCTACCGCAGGAATTGAGAAAAAAGCAGCAAAGGGTGGATACAAGAAAGGAACAATCGAGTATGACAATTTTGTTCAAACGAATCTTGCAAAAGCCTATAACAGCTTCAAAGTTCCAACGATTGCAGGATATGTGATCTTAGGTGGTTTCGGTTTGCTTGTTTTGGCAGTTGGTCTTTATAGGTTGATTTGCTTCCTGGCAAACAGGAGGAGAAATGGATTACCGTCAAAGAAAACAAAGCTGGAAAACGTCATCCAAAAAAGTGTTACGAAGAAACCATTTGTGGGAGAAAGACATGCACAAGAATATGGAAAAGGGCTATTCACCTTTCGGTCACCATTACGAATTCATGTGATCGTCCTTTTCTTCTTGTTTCTCGCAAACATCATTCCACTTACCGCATTCTACCAAATTTTGGACCCGGCAAAAAATACAAGTTGGCCAAACAATCGATATGCAGCTCAAAGCAGGTACTTTGCTGATCGATCAAGTGTATTGGCAGTTGCACAACTTCCAATCTTGTTCTTATTGAGTGGTCGAAATAGTCCAGTTGTCTTTGTGACAGGCTGTTCGTTCAACACACTCATGCTTTATCATCGTTGGATCGGTCGATTGGTGGCAGTGTTGGCTTTACTTCATGGTATTGCCTACACAGCTTATCTTGTCAATTTGGGAAAGTACACACAATATTGGTGGAAATATAATTGGTTCCCTTTGGGTCCAGTGGCATTGATTATGTTCGTCTTTATCATCTTTACGGCACATAGACCGGTCATACGTAAATATGCTTACGATGTCTTTATCGCTGTGCACGTTTTGCTAGTAATTGCCGCAATTGCTACTTTGCATTGGCATGTTTATTTGATGGACAGTGCAAGTTGTCACGATTTCATTATCTGGATTTATGTCGCAATCGCCTTTTGGGCATTCGATCGAGCGGTAAGACTGCTTCGGCTAGTACTATTCAGCTTTGACGTTCGGTTGAAAACAAAACAACGTTGGTCTGTTGGTAAGGTGGAACGCTTTGACAACATCAACGTTTTGCGAATCACAGTTGACCTGCCCGCACCCTCTTCTGCCTTGCACACTTCTGTCGCATATGCTGGCTCTCACTTTTACCTCTACATGCCACAAATCCAAGCATTGACGTCACACCCTTTTTCGCTTGTGCAACATCGGATCACACAAGATGAACAAGGTCAATGCAAGGACCAGCTAGTATTCTGCGCTTCCATCCACAAAGGCATCACGAGAGTATTGAACGCTAAATGGCAAAACAAAACCTTACCAATCTTCCTTGATGGACCTTATGGCGTCAGACATAACATTTTATCATTCGATGATGTATTCTTATTTGCTGCGGGTATTGGTATCACACATATCCTTTCTTTGCTCGATGGGGTTGTTGAGCCAAATCCAACGAGAAGCAAAAACGTTCACCTTGTATGGTGTATCCGATCGATCGAAATGATGGCCGTTGCAATTGAAGTCTTGGAGGATGTTAAAGCAAGGTTGAAGGTAGGGGAAGCGCTCCAGCATGTGAGTATTTCCGTCTTCGTCACTGGTCAAGGCACCATTCCATTGCCTGTGTTGGATAACGAGAAAAGATCTTCTCCATTGGACGAAAAGGCAGTCACGCCATCAGGAGATATGACGATCACCTATGCAGGTACTACCTTAACATCAAATGATGCAATCATGGCAAAGTCGAATAATACTTGCATACACGAAGGGAAAGAAGGATTGAATTCTGAGAATGATCTATTTGCAAGATTGCAAAGAATAGCAGGATCTCATCCTTCCTCTCAATTTGAACTTACGATCAATCAAAGAAGAGCAGATATTCAACAAATCATAAGTGAACAAGTTACTGGACAATCGGCTGTATTTGCTTGTGGAAGTGATGTATTTTTGGATCAAATCAGAAATGCGTCTTTGCAAGTTGATGCAAGTTATTTCGAAGAGCCATTCAGTTGGTGATGGAAGTGATAAATCATGTACAATACTCCAAATTGAACTTCATGATGAGTAGTAGAATTGATTTCGTCTGTGCGGCGGCGTTTGAATTTTTAGCTGTTGGACTCCACTTTAGAGTTAGTGCAGGCACTGCGCCAGTGTTTCCCGTTCAATCTTTATCCGATTGAATTATTCTCCTTATCCGAACATGTGTCCATCAGATTGACAATCATCTTTACCACCAACACAATCTATCATCATGTCAGGTAAAACTTCAGCAAATGCATGGGTATACACAGATGCCTATCCACAAGGTCTCAAACAAGGAAAGATTAACATTCCCTCACAAGACGGTGAAAAAGTGATCGTTGAAGTGAATGCATGTGCCCTAAATCCAGTGGATATTCAAACGATGAATTTGCCAAGAAAGAATGCAAACGAAAAAGGAAAAGAATGGGGAATAGTTTGTGATTTTAGTGGAAAAGTAGTACATGCAAAAGGATTCAGTAAAGGAGATGAAGTTTTTGGAATTTCATTCTCTGCTTTTACACCTTTGCGAACGGGAACTTTGGCAAAAGTGGCAGTTTTGGATGCTAGTAAAACTTGTATGATCAATAAACCCGTTTCATGGACGAACGAACAAGCATCTGCACTCCCATTGGTATGGCTAACGGCAAAAAAGTGCGTTGAAGATGTCAAGCCATTCTTGACGAAATCGGGTCGAAATGAAAAGAGAGTCGTTGTTCTGGGTGGTAGTTCAGCAGTTGGAATATATACCATCATCTTGGCAAAGAAGCTAGGATGGAAAGTACTCTCTACAAGCTCTTCACGCAATAAGGAATTCTTACAGGATAAACTTAAAGTTGATCAACATGTCGATTATACAACAGATGACGTTCGTGCGAAAGCAACCGCATTCAAGCCACAAGCGGTGATCGATTGTGTGGGTGGAACTGAATGCATTGGGATCCCAGGTAATCTGCGCTATATCAGCATCGTTGGTGATAAGACCGGAAGAGAAACCATGGGTGGTCCATACACATACTATGACTGGCGTGCACCTGCTTACGTTATTAGTCAATGGCTTCGATGGGCAAAAGGATACGTTGGCTTAGGAGAAAGTTATGATGTTGTCATTCTTGATCCTAAACGTGAATGGCTTGAAGAGTCAACGACAACAATCAGCCCTGATTCTATTTATATCGACAGCGTCTTTCCATTCGAAAAAGCAAAAGAGGCTTTCCAACGTCTCGATACCGGTAGAGCAAAAGGAAAAGTAGTTATTAAAGTACAGTAATGATATTATGCAAATGCATCGATCAACGAGACATTTTACGAAAATAGTTTGCTGTTCCGAATGAACCAAATTCTATGTCCCTTAACTTGCGTACATGATAGCATATGATCAATGGACTAACGGGTTCTTCAAAGTTGACAAGAATAGCAAGAACCATTGCGCACGTTTCAGGTAAGAAAACCATAAAGGCAATTGCGGCATTTTGACGAATGAAACCACTGGAACTGGTTGCAGACCATACTCGAAAAAAGGCTTCAACCATTAAACAACCCTGTAAGAACAACAAAAAGATTGTTGAAAGGAACATTCTTGGTCTTACACCTGGCACACATCGACCGCCTTCCACTGTGAATTTACTACGCAATGCAGCAGGACCAATGATTGCTATTAGAATTGTGAAAATCATCATGAATCCAACGACGGCCATAAACATGATTCCTGAACTTTCAAGTAGCTGTTTGCCCATGTGTATCTCATTAGGATCGAATGAACCGATAATCTTTACCTGTCCAAGTGACCCTACCGCGGAAAACGCCGTCAGAATTCCAAACATTGACAGATTGAGAACAATGCTTTTGTTGCCGGATAAATGTATGTCACGTAGATCAAGGAACCTAATTGAACAGATGAAGTCAGATTCTTCATTCTGTTCAGCTTTGTTACACATCACTCACCAGTATAAAGTCAAATCCAAAACAGCTTCTATGAAGAACAAATAAGCAGAAACCAAAAGTACTCCAGCTATGATTTCTTCATTTCCATTGATCGTTCCTCCTTGTTTTTGAGTGTTTGCCAGGTGTGCTCTGAGGGCATATGTAGCCGTCCTACAAGCTAAAAAGATCACCCATGAAACCATTAAACCTTTAAATTGTTTTGCTTTGTACGTTTTGATCAACATGCACAAACAAAGAAATCCCGTCACGGCAGCCATTGCGATTGAGCATGGTTCGGATATATTTTGAATGGTTGACAGTGCCTGACTATCATTCGTCGACATTGTAGCGAATGCTTATACGGTTTCGAGGTAAAGAAAAGATGATGGAAGATAGAGGAAAAGAGAAATGAGAGAGAGGAGGAATAGTTTAAGACATTTTAATCATTGGCCAACTCAATGAAGGAAAATTATTCAATTATACACCGAAGTGACTCCCTAACGCCAATTTGCATTCATAATCAGAGTATATGGTGAGAAGCAAAGTGAGAAAGAGCGACCCTGATCAACAACAGAATCTTGCGTTGGGCGTAATTCAGGGTAAAATGATTCAGCCCCAGCTTGAATCAATTAAGCGTGGCGCATTCAAGACGCCGAATGAAGCTAAAATTCAATCTCCCGCTCCTCTCTTGTAAAGTGCAACAATGCAACTGTGTACTTGCGCACAATTAAAGACTCCACACTTCTGCTTAAACACGGATTGTCAGCTTGATTTACACACAACAACCAACACCTCCTCTCTCTCTCCTCTCGCAAGTATGACGGACGATTCAATCTTGTTGAGGCATAGCAAACCACCCGTAAGCTTAAACATAGAAGGTGCAAGGGTGCTCTATTGGCCTGCTAGATCAGACATCGAATTACCTCCAAGTGGTTCACTAGTCTTTATCGTCGGCAATCCCGGTTTGGCAGATTATTATACCCGCTACTTGACCGAATTGCAAAATCTCGTTCATAGCGATGGTCGATCAAATCTGGAAATCTTTTGTTTGTCCCAGTTAGGTCATGATCCTCACGCACTTCATCCTCCGCAAAAGATTGTTTCGCTCGATGAACAGATACAAAATAAAGCCAATATTCTCAAAGCAATCACTGAAAGATGGAATGGAAGAAAGACTACAATTCTGGCAAATAGACCAAAACTTATCCTTGCAGGTCATAGCATTGGCGCTTATATGGCTTTGGAAATTGTCAGACGTAAACTCAATCCTGTACCAGTCTCATCTGTTCATCTTTTGTTCCCCGCATTACATCAAATCGGTCACAGTCCCAACGCACGTCGACTATCCTGGCTATTGAAAGCAGATGACAGGCCACTACTATCACCATATGCACCATCTGTATTGATGGTGCTAAGCTTTTTGGTTTCGATACTGTTGCGAATCATACAATTCTTCCCTCTGCCAATCGTTCATTTTCTCGTTTTATGTGGTGCGCCTTCTCAACCTATGGAAGCGATCAAAATCACGTCCGATTTCATCTTGGACAGCAAATGTGCACAACAGGCAATCAGTATGGGAAGAGAAGAGATGAAGCTAGTGAAAAAGGTACAAGCATTGAACGAAGCAGAAGATGAACATCATCAATCGAATGGACAACGAAACGGAAGTGCTTTACCCGTCAAACTTCGAGCTTATTGGGCTGCCGGTGATTTGGACGGATGGGCTCCTGAATCAACTCGATTGGCAGTGGAAGAGACGCTAGGATTGCAAGGATATGAATTACCCGCTGCGATTATCGACAAACATAAAGGACTACAACCACAAAAAACGTTGAAAAAGCGTAAATCGTATTCGGTCGAAGAGATTCGAAGGGCAAGAAGGAATGGAAGTGGGGCAAAGAGACGAGCTTTGGCCGGAATGGTTCATGCAGGTGCAAGTGCAGGATATGGATTAGCAAGCAGTTTGGGTAATTTGGGCTATCGTAGAGGCGCACCTCCTCGTGCACCATCTTCGGGTATGCGAAATATACAATCACCTTTAGGATCACCTGCACGCACGTTACGCAGAAGGCCAAGCTTGGTAGCTGCTCGTGCTTCACGTAGATTTGACGGAAGTATCGTGATCGAACCTGCAGGAGAGGATGATGGAGAATTGGATTTGTTGGCAGAAGATCCGGAAAATTCGTTGGACGGGGTTGTTTTTAGTCCAGGAGCGATTGAGCCAACTTTGGATGAAACTTTGAAACCTGGACCAACAGGAAAGACAGCTGCTGCTCCACTAACCGTTGATCCTGCTTTAGCCATGCCAGATCGTGCTTCGATTGTATGCAAGTTGGGTATGCCACATGCCTTTGTCCTAGAACATAGCGATAAAATGGCCGCAATTTCTTCTGCTATGATTATTTCAGATTTACAAGGATGATTAAGGGATTACTCTTTCGATTTTGCTTTGTCTTCTTTTCTTTTAGCTTCATCTTGGAGGATCCTTCTTATGTCATGAGAAATGCAATTTTCATTTTTTGCTCTATTTGGCTTTATTTAATTGATTGGCAGCAAAGTCGATTGCGGCAGTGTAAGAGCTGAAAAAGAGGAGTGTGAGAGGTTGTTAGATTATTAGACGATAATCTGCACAGGTGGTTACACTCACTACGTTCCAAGGCCTAAGATTACACCTAGTAGAGAGCGGAAAGCATCAATTCAGTATCTCCATTAAATTGTATCGCTTTAAATATGACTCACCAACTGCTTTTGCAGATAGATATGAATGATGTCGGAACTCTTCCCTTTTATGAGTGTTTGAGATCTGTCAAAGGGGTGGGGGTAGACTCGATCAGCTTCACTTTCATCCATACAGCTCTCGTGTACTCACATGAACTTCAACAAAAGGAATGTCCACTCCACTCAAAGCATCTACCAAAGCAACAGAAGTATGAGTCCAAGCGCCTGCATTGATGATGATATACTTTGTTCCATCATGTTTTGCAGAATGAATTTTGTCCAACATGATACCTTCATGATTTGTTTGAAATGCTTCAAAGTTGAGATTATGGAATTTGCATTGTTGTTCTGCTCTACTTACGACGTCTTGTAGTGTTTCTGTGCCGTATCTGTGTGAGAGGTCAAGCCTGTCAGAACGTTGCAAAGAGTTACTGTTGTGACGATTGTACTCACTTTTCTGGTTCACGAGTACCAAGCAGGTTGAGATTAGGTCCGTTCAAGAATAAGATCTTTGCAGTCATGTTTGTTGTGGAATGTTTCGAGATGGTAGAAAGATGTTAAGTCACATTGATTGCAGAATTTGCGGGGAAGAAAAGGTAAAGCACGACATTGGTGCAGAACACGATAAATTACTCCGAATGTCCGATCCGATGTGTGTGTGCACTGTGCGCCGACGTTGCAAAATCGAGAAGGGTGTCTGAACCTGTGCTATCTTGGGAGTTACCAGCTGTTCATGTGATCGCAGAATGTACAACTTACCTTATCATCGAATGCACGAGAAGTATTAATCAAGAGGTAGTGTGGCAGAATGATCCTAAGTATAAGAAAAGCCAACTGCAACAAGTTGTTCAACTTTCTTCTGGCAAGACAACTTCCACGCTAATAGTGTTTGACCGGACGCACCTCTTGTCATTCAGCCCAAACTTTCAAGCATTGGCGCACGGAGCGCAGAGGGTGTTTGTGTTTATTAGGGTTCATGCGGATACGGAATGGCAGAGAAGATCTTACTTACTTACATTACACCATCATATAGTTCCATCCATCTTGTCAAGCAGCAAAATGGCTGACGCAGAAGATAGAGCAGCAAGAGCTGCAAGAGCAAGAAAGCAACTCAAAAAAGCACAACAAAAACGAAAAGCAGCGGCAGCAGCAGCAGTTGCAGCCGGAGGTGGTGAAGAAGTTGAAGAAAATGGAAGCGAGAATGAAGATGAAACGATAGCAGAAGAGAGTAATGGTACAGCACTTCAGCCAGCTCCCGTTGAGCAACCTCAATTAACACGATCATCCAGCAAAAGATCAAGTAGGGCAGGCTCAATCAGCAAAGTATCTTCCCCGCCTGTTTCAGAACGTGGTGGGTTCAATTTGACACCTAGGCCTCCTTCAAGTTTAGGTGCACGATCACAATCTGGAGGAGAGGAAGCTTTGTCCCCGTCTAGACCAAGTGCTTCAATCTTTCAAGCACCTCTATCACCAACAAAAGCATCTCATTCGCGAAACACCAGCTCGCAAGCACACGCTCGTACACCTAGTCATGATAACCTTGATCTGACACCACTGCGGATACAGCTGACAAGTCAACAGCAAACTATAAATTCACTCAATGCAGAAAAGGCTAAGCTGGAAGAGCAAATCTCACAATTCCAATCAAAGGTCATACAGCTGGAAGAAAGTGAAAAGAAACAAGCAGAAGAAGCAAAGAGTCGGACAGCCGCTATCGATGAACATTTTGCCATACAAGCCGCCTCAGAGAAACAGATTGAGAGCATTCGGGGCGAACACAAGAATGCATTGGCAAAGCTACAAAGTGAATTGGATACAGCAAAAGCCGGACATGATTCCAATCGGAAGGGTTTAGAAGGAAAAGTGGCAGAGTTGACAGCTTCTCTAGATAGTGAGCGAAAACAAAGTCAAACCGACTCAAAGAAGCGTAAAGATCTGGACGATGAGCACGCAAAAGCATTATCTACGCTACAAAGCAAGCTTGATCTAGCAACACAGCAGCATTTAACTAGCAAGACCGACACTGAAGCAAAGGTTGCCAGCCTCACAGCCTCCTTGGAAGAAGAGCGTTCGCAGCGTTCTTCATTATCTGATCGGCTCAAATCTGCTGAAGAATCACACTCGAAAGCTCTTTCGGCATTGCAGGAAAGACTCGATTCAGCAACCGAACAGCATGGCTCATCCAAGAAAGAAGGTGACGATAGAATAACAAAGCTGATGTCCGACTTGGGAAGTGAACGTGCCAAGTCAGAAAAGCATGCCAAGGATCTCGAATCTGCCAAAAGCGTTCATGCGGAAGCGCTTTCAACTATTCAGGCCAAATTAGACTCTGCCACCTCGCAGCATTCCGCCTCCAAACAAGACAACGAAAAGAAGATTGAGGATCTGACGAGTACTCTACAAAAAGAGCGATCTGAGCGATCGAAACTAGAGGAAACTCAAAAGTCGTCTCAATCAACACTTGCAGAAAAGGTGTCCTCGTTACAGGCTGAATTGGAATCGATCACGAAACAACGCGCCTCACAAATTTCCGATCGTGATGCAAAGGCTGCTGAACTGCAATCAGCTCTCGATAAAGAGCGTTCCGAACGTGCTAAGGATGCTGAGACGCACAAGAATTCGACTACTTCTCAATCGGGTGAACTTTCATTGCTACAAAGCAAGCTAGACTCTATCACCAAAGAAAGGGATTCGATCAAGACGGACACGCAAGTCAAGATAAAAGAGCTTCAGAGCAGCTTGGACAATGCAAAAACACAGCACGCAGAGCTTTCCAACACTCACAACACCTCAAAATCTGCTCATTCTGATCAAATGAAATCACTGCAATCCAAGTTAGATGAAGTGACGCAGAAGCTGTCCTCGCAGAAAGACTCGCACGAGAAGAAGCTTTCGGAATTGAACGCTCAATTAGAGGGTGAGAAATCTCAACACAAGACATTTGTGGAAAGTTTAAAATCGTCAGAATCGAATCATGCCAAGGAAATGTCTGAATTGCAAAAGAAGCTCGATGAATCGGCAGCACAAAACGAAGAGCTCAAAAAAGAAAGTGAAAAGACCATTTCTGGTTTGAATTCATCTTTGGATCAAGCACGTACAAAGTATGATGAGCTTGTTACGAGCCAAAAATCAAGCGAGTCCAAGGCAAATGAGAGGGTCTCAAAGCTTGAGGATGAATTGAAGACGGCAAAGAAACTACAAAATGATGCAGAAGCCAAGAGCCAAAAAGAGATTTCTGAACTGAATAATGTGCTCGAAAAAGAGCGTGCTGGACATGCTGCTACTTCCAAGAATCTTGAATCGGCTACATCTGAACATAAAGAAGAAGCGGAGTCTTTACGAGCCCAAATTGCTGCCGCTTCCGAAGAACATACTTCTGAAAAGACTGAAAGCGAGGCTAAGGTTGCGGAATTGACAAAAAATTTGAACGAAGCACAAACCAAGATCGACAGTCTGGCAAAAGCGTCCAAATCTGCTCAATCATCACATTCTGACGTCGTGAAAGATTTACAAGGAAAGTTGGACAAAGCAATCGATGATCATTCCAACTTCAAGTCAGAGAATGAAAAACTTGTTGAAACCTTACGTGAACAGCTGGCGACTGAGAAGGCTTCATATGAAGAGAAGCATGGATCAGTCACTAAAGATCTAGAGGATGCTCGATCAAGCCATCAGACAGCACAAGCCGGTCTTGAGAAGAAATTAAGCGAATTGGCAGAATTGCATGCTTCGACAGCCAAAGAGCGCGATCAGCATAAAAGTGAACTAGATGAAGCGAGGAACAACCTAAGCAAGACGCAGGACGATTTTGAAAATGCACGAGTGGCACATGATCAGACACTGGCTGAATTGAAAGAACATCACAGCAAGCAAGTTGAAATGGCCGGTGCTGATCACCAAAAGAAGCAGGCACAGCTTCAAAAGGAATTTGAAAGTCTCAAATCCCAACATGATGAACTGCAAAGCACTCACAATGTTGCATCAGAAGAATTAGAGTCTCACAAGAAGCTCTTGGAAGGCCGCGAGAACGATATGAAAGATTTGGAGCAACGGATAGCCAATCTGGGCAAAGAGAAGCTCCGGATTCAGGGACGTATGGCTGCTTTGACGAAAGAGAAAGAGGAAATTAATGGTCAATTGGCAGAAGTGAAGTCGTCATTGGAGGAAGAGCGTAAGGAGAGAGCGAACGCTGAAGAAACACTCAAAAGCAACGAAAGCGAGCATGTCGAAGCTCTTGCTAATCTGCAATCCCAACTCGATGCTTCGGAAGAAAGACATGCATCTCTCCAGACAGAAACAGGCCAGAAAATCGAAGAATTGACCGCTTCTTTGGAGGATGAAAAGACAAAGTTCACAGCGCTCACCGGGGATTTGGAAGAAGCTAGAAATTTACATGCCAAAGAAACGACTTCCCTGCAAAATGCTTTGACCTCCGCCAAACAGCAGCATGATAATCTCCAAACAGAGAGCAACGCTACTATCACATCTTTGAAAGCCGATCTTGAGAAGCAATCCACCTCGTATCAGCAAATCAAAGAAGGGCTCGAGAATGATCTCGAACAAGCCAGATCAGCCCACCAATCGACGAAAGAAGAATTGTCGAAACAATTGAGCGATGCGAAAGATCTTCATGCCGCTGCTTCGGAAGAGTCTGACAGGCACAAGTTGTCTCTTGGTGAAAAGGCAGAAGCCTTGAGCGCGATGGCCAAAGAACTCTCTGATGCTCGAGACAAGCATGAATCACATGTTGAAGCGTCTACTCGGGCTATGGAAGAAACAAAAGATGCGCATGAACGGGCGATCACCAATCTTCAAGTATCGTTTGATGAGAAGCAGAAGGCACACGACGAGGCCGTGCAAGATATCAAAAATCAGCTTGAGGTGACGCAGGACAAGTACGCAAAGGCAATCGAACGGGTTGAAGCTCATGAAAAAGATCTCGAAGCACGCAATTCAACTATTCAGGATCTTGAATCAAAGATTTCTTCGGCAGGTAAAGAGAAATTGAAAATCCAAGGTCGTATAGCTGCTCTGAATAGAGAGAAAGAAGAACAGGCTAGCGAGATTGCTCGTATTACTGTTCTATTGGAAGATGAGCGTAAAGAGCATGCAAGCGCTTTAGATCAACATCAAGCAACGGAAACTTCACAGACTGAGAAGATCTCAAGTTTGACAGATGATTTAGCGAAAGCTAACGAGCAACATGCCTCCCTGAAAGCTGAAACAGATGGCAAGATTGCAACTCTGACAGAATCTTTGGAAGAGTCCAACGAAAAGTACAACACAATCGTCAAAGAACTTGAGGCTGCCAAATTGGACAGTGCAGAGAAGATTGCTTCATTGGAGGACCACTTGGCTACAGAAAAGCAACAGCACACATCGACAAAAGAAAAGAGCGAGAGTAAAGTATCGGATCTAATTTCATCGTTGGAAAAAGCTCAGTTGCTTCACTCCACCGTTTCCAAAGAATTCGAAACGGCCAAGGAGTCTCACCAAGAAGAAATTTCATCTTTACGTTCTGATCTTTCATCAGCATATGATAAGCATGCATCACTCAAGGCAGAAACCGATAATGCTATCACTTCTTTGAAAGATCAAATTAGCAAATTGGAAGCTGAACATGCTGAAAAGCAACAAGCATCACAGCAAAGGCTAGACGATGCACAGAAGTCACACGACGAGAAGGAAAGAGATCTCTCACAACAACTGCAAGAAGCTAACGAACTCCACGAATCCGCTACTCGCGCTGGTGACGAGCTGAAAGCACAGCTAGAGACGAAGAGTGCCAGTATCAGCAAGCTGGAAGAGGACTTACGTCAAGCAGCTACTTCACATGAGGCTTTCGTTGAGCAGTCCACCAAATCGAACGATGAGATGAAAGAACATCATTCGAGAGCGGTAGAAGCTTTGGAGGACAAGTTGAGTAAATTGCGCGAGGAGTTGCAACAATCCAAATCTACCCACGAATCGTTTGTTGAACAGTCATCTCAAGAACTTCGCGATGCTAAAGATGAACACCAGAAAGCTGTCAAGGACCTACAAGATCAACTCAGTGCAAAGGAAGAGGAACACAGCTCTGCTCTCGAAAGTCTTAATGGCGAACTGACAACATCACAAGAACAACATAAGCAAGCACGTGAAGAAGTTGAAAGCCACCAGAAGCTACTCTCTGAACGTGAAGCAGCTCTGAAAGAGTTGGAGCAAAAGATCACCTCACTGGGAAGGGAGAAGTTGAAGGTGCAAGGTAGAGTGGCAGCGTTGACAAAGGAAAGAGAAGAGATCAAAGCACAATTGGCCGAAGTTCAATCAACATTAGAGACCGAACGATCAGAGCATGCAACTATTGTCGATCAATACAAAGCAACACAAACATCACAAGTCGATGAAATTTCGACGCTTTCTGATCAGATTGAAGCGGCTAATAAGCAGCTCGCAGAACTGAAATCGGCTACGGACGCCAAGATTGCCACCTTGACAAATTCTCTACAAGAATCTAACCAAAAGCATGATGCGGTCACCGAAAAACTTGCAAAGACTGAAGCCGAAAGCGCAGAAAGTATCTCCAAATTGGAGGCTGAGATAAGGACGGCAAAGCAACAGCAAGCAGAGAATGAGAAGCAAATTGCGGATCTTACCTCATTACTGGAAGACGCTCGATCTCAACATACTGCCGTTTCACAGGAGCTTCAATTGGCCAAAGATAGTCATCAGAAAGAAGTATCTGCATTGCAAGACAAACACACATCTTTGAAAGCAGAAACAGATCAGATCATTGCAACTTTGAAAGATCAAATGGCGCAAGAAGCTTCTGAGCATGCTGAAAAGCATCAAAGTCTGGAACGGCAGATGGAAGAAGCACAAAAGTCGCATGATACGAAAGAGGAAGATTTGAATCGACAATTGAAGGAGTCAAACGATCTTCATACATCGGCAACACGACTTGGAGACGAGCTTAAAGCTAAGTTGGAAGCGAAAAGTGTGAGTCATAGCAAGGTCGAAGAAGAATTGCAACAGGCAAGGGAATCACATGATGCGTTTGTACAGGAGTCTTCTAATTCACTCAATCAAGCCAAAGAGGATCACATGAAAGCTCTTGACGATTTACGAGGCCAAATGGCCGAGAAGCAGAAGCAGCACACTATCGCTATCAATGGCGTAAAGGATGAACTGGCAGAATCGCAAAAGCAACATCAAACAGCACGTGAAGAAGTTGAATCACACAAACAGACCATCTCAGAACGTGATGCAAGCCTGAAGGCGTCGGGAGAGAAGGTGGACTTGCTAGAAAGAGAAAAGCAAGAAATATCTGAAAGATTACAAGATCTAACAAGCGAAAAGAGTGAGATCAACGATCAATTGAGCAAACTCCAAACTACATCGGAACAGCGAGAGCAAGAACATGCGAGCCTTGTTGAAAAGATGAAAGCTGAAGAGGCTGATCGGATCACAGTATTGCAAGAGCAATTGACTCGAGAATCCAATGCCAATGCAGAAGCACAAGAAAGCTTGCGGAAGGAGTTGCAGTCTGTGCGTGATGAATTTGAGCGGAAAGAGAAAGAGCTTGTTGGCACCATAGATCACTTGAACCAGCAATACGCATCCCTTTCAAAGGACAGCGAGACATACAAGGCTGGTCTTGATGAAAAGACTGCAATTGTGCAATCGTTGGAGAAAGAACTTGAGAAAGTTCGATCTGACCATCAAAAGTCTGCAAGTTCCCTCAAAGCAAGCGAAGAAAGCAATAGACAAAGCAAATCCGAAAGTGAAATTTTGCAGCGGAAGTTGAAGAATATCACTGTATTGCAGGCAGATCAACAAGCATCCTTGCAAAATTTGTTATCCGAAAAGGACGATGAAATCAGCAGGCTGCTTAAATTGCAGCAAGATCAAGCAAACGATGTTTCTTCTGCTGCAGTTGTGGATAATAAAGCAATCTTTGATCAAGAGTTCATCGATGGCTTAGCACAGCAGCATGAGTTGGACATGTCACAAGCTCGAAGTCAAATTCGAAAATTGGAAGCGAAATTGTTTGATGAAGAAGCACGGGCAAACAAAGCTGCACGTAAGGTGTCTGAATTGGAAGAGGATTTAGTTGCTGTTGCTAGAAGATTGGCGCCTCCTCCTCCATCTTCGATTGATGATGTGGGCGAACTTCCAATGCATACGGCAAATGTTCGCGGAAGTCCAGTCCATGAACGTACATTGCCGACTCTCTCCCTCTTTGCCGCACCTGAGGACGATCACGAGATTACAGAAGTGACCGGATCGGAAACAATGTCTGGCGTTGGAGATACGAGCTTAGACAATTCAAATGGTGTAAATCTATCTCGATCACTTTCAGCTGATCAAACATTAGAAGATGATGTACCATCATTAAACAACACACCTATCAAAGCAGCAAGACAAGGTCATCATAGAAGAGCAACAACGACTGCTCATTTTGACTTTTTATCCGCCATGCGAGCAGGTACTTCCTTCGGCGGCGGTGGTGGAAGTGGAAGTTTATCACCTCCTCCTTCTGAAAATGGAAGTAGTTTGACCAGTCAAGCTGTTGCCCAAAGTATGTCCGCAGCAAGACGTGCTCAATTACTCAAAAAAGCCAACGCAGCAGCTTCTGCTCGTAAGAAAGGTGGACCGGCAGATGGAACAAATGGTGCTTGATTGAAGCGCAGAAGCCTATGTATTTCTAGTATTGCTATTAAAGTGCATATGAATGTATGATGTGGTACAACGTAAGAGACAAGATTGATACAAATACAAATACGTGAGTGTGAGGGGGATCATTTGGCAAATGTGATCCGTAGCTTCTCGCTTTGGGGTGTGAACTGGTGTTCATTCAGTGCGTCTCTCGCAGCACTACTTTGCATTGCATTGCCAAATTCCACAAAAGCAACATTGCGGCCAGGGATATGTCGAACATCGATGATTCCATCGTGCGACCTGAATAAGGCGTCCAATGCATCCTTGTCGACTGAATCGGGTACGTTGTGAATGAATAGAATCTTGTTTGGTGGAAGATATTCGTCGGGTAGTTGAGCTTCTTGTCTCTTTCCTGCTGCTGCTGCACTTCCATCCATGCCCGGCACACCACCGATGTTTGCATTTTGACCTTCATTTTCACCAGCACGTAAAGCCAATTGTCTCCTTCTCCATTGTGTCCTCTGACGCTTCTTGTGCTCTAGTCTTTGTTGCTTGTGTGCTTCCAATGCTGATTTGATGCCGTTTTCATCGCCTCCTAATTGTGCTACAAGGTTCTTCTTTACGATTTCGTCCGATGTAGTCCGTGCAAATGCAAGTTGAATAGGTTTGCCATACAATGGAAACCCTCTTACTTCCTTTACAGCCTTGACAGCAGGTGCTTTTGATTCAAACGAGATGAAAGCTTGACCGCGCATTCGAACATTTTTGTGTGCAATAATGTCAACAATTTTACCATAAATTCCAAACAAATTTCTCAATGTTTGCTTTAGCGTTTCAATTTGTACGCTCTCATTCAAGTTTTTGACATAGATCGTCTCACTTGCGTCTACCGGGATGTTCTCCCCTTGATCATCTTCGGCATCCATCATCTCTTCCCCTAGTTGTGCTTCGCTTGGCTGACCATGCTTCTCGACATCTGCCATCTTTGCTTGTGCTGCCCGTTCGGTTGTGATGGTGGGAAGAATCGACTTTCGATAGAAATGATTCTAGCGTCTTACGCGTGTGAGTAAGGAAGTGGAAGGAATAAATGCACTCGCGTGAACCGTGCAAATTAAGCTCATTGCTACCATCATATGGGCAGAGTAGGGATCGCTATAATGCATCTGCACATCAAGATGGAAATCAAAAGGAAGGAGCTATGAGGGCAACTTTGGATTGAATAGACAATACGATAAGTCCCTTCTGACCATCGATTATGTATGCATTTTCGACTGATCGAAAGTAGATAAGAGGTAATTATGGCACGACTAGAATGATATTTGGAATGGTATCGACATAGGTATAGTACAGCAGCATCGCTTCTCTTTAGGCTTCTCCAGAGAGACATTCTGAGATGATATCCTCCAATTGACTTGCGATGAACTTATCTCCGTTCACTTCGCAAGCTTTTCTCAAACTGTTCAATCTTGCTCTTGCTTCGCGTAAACGATTTTCAGAGATTGGGCCAGAAACTGCGCTTATAGAGGTATCAGCAGCAGCACCAGGAGCATTTGTTGGATCTTCTTTTCTGGCGGTGAAAGATTGCAAACCATTCTTTTTAACTTGATTTTCCATTTTTTGAATGGTATACCGTAAATGCGGATTTTGTTCATCTAAATCCAACAAAGTTTGAAGTGGAAGTGTACAATGTGTTACACTTTGATTTCTTGCTATGCAAAGCTCACATCGAACAACATGCGATCCTTTTCGTCCAATTTCCACAATACACTCTTGACCGGAAGTGATGCATTTTCCACATCGAAATTGATTGTACAAGACTAATTTGAGTCTATGACCATCACGTTCTTTTACGATGATATCGTTCTCCGATGGAGGAGTATTACGTAGAGCTATTGATCTTGAAGCAAGTGATGGTCTGCCACGCTTTTTTGGTGTGATTGTTGTAGAATTTAAGCCAGCTTGTTCTTCATTAGTTTCTGGACCTAATTCATCAGCACTTGATTCATCAAGAGAAGCATCAAGGGATTGAGAGATGAATGCGGCTGCGGTCTGATTTGAAGGACTGGTGTCCATTGCTGTTGATTCAAAGTTTTTGGGACTTTTTGTAATTCTGGCCATGTTGATCGAGGAGAGAAAGATAAAAAAGGAGGCTGAATAAAATAGTAGGCTGATTGATGTCTTTCTACATTACTAAATACGCGCTTTTAATTAAAATCTCCCTTTATCCTTTTTCTCGATTCGAGGCTAAAGCGTGATTTATGTTTGGCGTTAGAGCAGTGTGCTTACTATTCCGAAAATAAAAGATAAAGCTAAAAATAAATACTACCTAACCCAACACACAGGTTACCCGCTCTTTTGACGCGTTCTTGTCAACAACATGCTTTTTATTTTTACTAAATAAGAAAAAAAGAGGGAGCCGAACTAGACTATTCTCAAATTAATTTACTACACGGGGCCTCTTTACTCCTTTCTTTAGACGAGTAATTTGAAATATAGAAGAAAGCAACCTTAATTATTGACAGCTGCAGTAGCAGAAATGAAGTATGATAAGAACTTCGAGCACGCGGATAGTTTCTCGGATAATGCTCAAACCTCTTTCTTAGTGACTAGTGGCAACTACGTTTCCTTGAATTAGCTCTTTGTTCACGTCTGTGCTGCTGAATGTCAATCAATATTGGTTTGCGACCTTGGATATGAGTGGCAAATCGTTCTTGAATACGATCAGCATCTTTCTGACAAGCTGATTCTGCCTCAGCCTTTCTTGCTTCTGCTTGTGCTCCTTATTTCCCCGTAAATTGACCTACAGCACTCATCAATTCAGAATTTTGCCAAGTTGACGAATTGTGCTCGGAAGGAAAGACAATTGATGTGTCTATAAGTGCAAGTGTGAACAAAGGATTGTTAAAGGTACACAATCGATAACAAGCATGATGGGCTTTTTGTGTCTATTTACTAAGATGTTTGACACCGAGCGATGAGGATGTAAAAAAGGGTTAAAAGTGCTGAATAAGTACCTTTTCAACTTAAGAGTAAGAAGTCACATTCTGCTTTTCAACATCGTCTTGCTGTGTTGTTTCCGTTGAAGCGTATTGTGATGCATACTTCAAAAATACTACAATGCATTGCCTGTACCGACCAATATACAAACAAATAATCGATTGATTCGGTCACCTGATCAGAAAGCTCTGTCAAATATCAGTAAATCAATGAAAAGCTGTGTACTTCGTAATGTCTGAAATACACATTCGGCTTTGTATGTACAACGCAATCATGAGGATGAAGAAGAGAGATAATCAAGAACAACTTGCTTTCTAAGGTTCATTTTTGCCAGAAACGTTGTGATGCTTCTTTGTTGCTTATTTACCTTTCCCTTCCATTGAAGGTGAAGACGCTTTCTTATTCTCTTTGCCTACGCTTTCTTGCGAAATTCCTGAACCATTATGCTTTTTTGGAAGTGAGCTTTGAGCCCATCTGTGTCTTTGCACTTCTGACCTTGTTGGTCTACGACCTTGCGTTTGCGCAACATGATTTCCTTTCATACGTGCAACTTCTCCTCTGCGAGCTGCTTCTGCTTTTGCTGCTGGACTTATGACGCTGTTCAATTCAGGTTCGTTCCATGTTGAATAATCGTAGTCGGCTGGTAGACCAAATGAAGCATATACAAGTGTAAGCGTGAAAAGGATAAGTGCTAAAGGTACACGGTGGATGATGAACATGATAAGCTCCAACATTTATTGTTGAGTTGTCTGACAATGATTGATAAAGGTGCATGGATTGTTAAAAGTGCTAATTAAATACCTTCCAGTTCCACAAGAAGTTTATACTATGTTTTTGATTTTGCCTCATTGTTTATGAAACGAATGATGACACATATGCAAAAATATAGCTGTGCACTGCCTTTGCCAACAAGTAAGCTCTCTATTGAGCCTTCAGTCGTCCACAAGAAGGAGCCTTGTCAAAGCTCGGTACAAGCCATGACGCTGTTCATCTGTGTACACCTTGAAACACTCGCGACGGTAAAGAGAAAAATGCATTACAAAAGCTAGGGAGAAATTCAGAACAGCCCTCTACAGACACAGCGTTTACAACATACGAAGCAATTGGTGATGAAAATCATAACAAGTTGACCGTCTAGTCATCTTTAGGCTCAATTTTCACGGTAGTCTTGGGATGTTTCTTTGATGCCGACTTACCTTTTCCTTCCGTTGAAGGTGAAATTGCTTCCTGTTCCGCTTTCTCTTGACGTGATTTTTCAAATGCAAGTCTTCTACTGCCTCCTGGCGCCCACGATGCAAGCATTCTTTGTTTATTTTGCCATCGCATTGCTTCAGACACTGTTTTTTTCGGGACTTTTTCTGTTTCATTTCCAATCACAACGCCTTTGCGTTTTCTACCTCGGCTCTTCGGTGTTGTACTTCCCGCCAAATGCTCTGCTTTCACAGCCACTTGTTGTGCTGTTCTACTGTGTGGTGAAAGTTGCATTGGTTCAGAAGTTTCAAGAATGCTCTTTACCGTTCTTTCTCGGCGTATGTGTGGAGAAGTTGATCTGCCAGGCGAATGTTGACCAGAGGAAGTGACGTGTGATGATTGAGGATGACCATGTGTAGCGTGTGAAGTAGATACAGCAGCTTGTGAAGAATGAGGATGATTTTGGCTTGAATGAGTACTCAATCTTTGATTGGCGACATTCATCAATTCAGAATCATGCCAGGTAGACGTTGGTGTCTGAAAAGAGAATGATACAAACGTGAAGAATGCGAAAAGTAATGAAAGTACTTTCATCTTTAACAAACAAGCAGGTGGTGGAAGGGTACGAAAAGTTCGACTCTTTAGAAATTTGATAAAAGAATTCGAATTTTTCAAACAAAACTTATTGTTCGACATGGCGTACACTAATGCAAAGATGCCCCGTAATGGCGTACACACTCGCACTTTCAGCTGTTGAATTGAAATTGGTCATATGCAGCCTCGAACACTTATAGTCGCCTTATTAGTAGTTTTGATTATCTTTCTTTATATTGGAATTTGAAAGATGCAAAAGTCTGTCGCTAGCCATCTGCTTAGCTCTAATACGTCTTGCAAACTCGCTCGAGCGCCGTTTGTCCTTTATTTTGAGATTATATGGTTTTGCATAGATATACTCTTGTTTTTGTGAACGTTCTTCTGGACTTTTGAAATTCTTTGTAAACCTTTTCATAGTCTTCATTGCTTTCTCAACTTTATCATTTTTGTTCAATTTGCTTTTGCGTGGAGTATTGGCCGATCTTCCGTCAGATTCATATTTTGGATCTCTTTTCCGTTTTCGTTGATTAAAATTGTCTTTCCATGCTTGATCAATCTTTGTTTTGTCAATTTTTAACTTGAATTTTGGGATTTTACGGGAGACTGGTTCAACAAATGCACTTGAAGCTTCTTCGCCAACATGATGAGGGGAAATTGCATGCTTTGGGTATATCAATGCATCTTCAAATGAAGATTGTGCGCTGAACTCCTGCTGATCGAAGTAAGGAGTGGAATTTGAAGCTCCAGATGCGCCATCGATTGCAACAACACACAATTGAGAAATGATAATAAGTATCACTAAGGCAACAATGCAACACTTTGGCATTTTATATTGCAGTCAAGGTTGGATAAAGTGGAAAAGGTTAACGTTCATGATAAAGACGTGTGAATGGCTGTGAGATTTTGTGAAATGCTAATTGGCACACATCAGGACATCTTTTCATACACATATCACGCAATGTAGTAGATTTCACCGCAAGCAAGACAAACAAGGTAAAGATGAATACACAGCGGCCCGTTTAGATACGCACAAACTCTGAGATAATTAAGACTCTAAACGCTTTTGCCTTCGACGTGTATGAGCGGCAATCAAACCTTCTCTTTGTCTTCGACGAGTTTCCTGCTTTCTTTCGAATGATCCTTTAGGAAAAGGATTAGGTGTCCTGGCCATTGGTTTTGCTTTTTTCCGGTTATTGGAAGGAGATTGTACCGGAGAACTAGCTGTATCTTTCACGCTTTCTTTGTATTTCTTCTGAATAGAATTTGCAGTGGATGCATATGTTTGATCTTGTGCGGGTTTATTCAAGTCCAACAATGGTCGTTTGCTACCAGATAGAGGATTTTGCCCATTACTGCCATGACTTGAAATTCCACTATATTCGCTGTGCGATTGGTGCTCCTCCTTGAAAGAAGTAGAGCAGATGATAAGATAATTCAAAACAAACACGACTGCTTGCAAATGCATGATCATCTTGTTGGGTTGTCGGTTTTGTAAAAATGAACAAAATTTAAAGCATATTTGTACCCTTCGAGCAATCACACAATCGCGCCCTTACCACGTCAAATGTATGGCCGCCTCGACGGGTCAGTTGCCCCGATGGCTGAATCATATCGCGGAGATGATGATGTATGTTACATACTCTGCTTCGGTGCTAAATGACTTGAAAACACCCCGGTCCATTCAGATTTGTCTAAAATCATCTATTTACTAGGAAAAGAGGTACATGTACAATTTTTGAAACTATAAATGGTATACACATGTTGATAAGGTATTCTGTTGTAATAATAAAGGAACTCAAATTTACTTCTGCGATTCTACAAATTCGATTCAGTCCTCCCCGCCCTCCCCATTCTCTTCCGCCGCTTCCTCTTGCTCATCTCCTTCACTCTCCGTATGGCTTTCTTCAGCGGCAGTGATTCGTGATGTTGAAGCTTGAGCGTTATTGTTACCGTTTCTACGTGTTGAAAAATCATCGTTGAACAAGATATTAAATTCTTGTTCACGATTCATTGTTCTTCTCTTTCCACCCACGCTTTCGGCCAATTCCATCTTTAATCGTTGTAACTCCAACATGTTCTCTTCAATACAACGTGAAACGATGTACTTGGTTGTGACAACAGGTCGTAATTGTCCCATACGATGAACACGATCAAGACCTTGATTTTCGGTTGCCGGATTCCAGTATGGCTCCAAGAGGTATGCACGACAAGCGCTGACCAAATTTAAACCAACACCACCAGCTTTCAAACTGATCAAAAATACTTCCACCGAGGGATCATTTTGGAATTTCTCCAAATGTTCATTTCGTTCAAATCTTTGCATCCTTCCATCCAACGTAGCAGATTTGATGCCTGCTCGATGTACTGCACGTGCTACACGATCCAACATGCTCGTCCATTGAGAGAACACGACGGATTTGATCGGTCTAGTAGACGAACCAGCTTCGGCAATATAGACTTCCTCGTATCCCATATCCTTCTCGGTTGCATCTGCAGCTACTTGATCAAGATGTGGCTTACTCGCATCATAAAGCTTACTGAAAGGATTGCTTTTGCTGAACGTTTCCAATTCTTCCACCAAAGCTCGAATTTTTGTGCTGTAATTTGATCTTTTGTCGATCGGAATGCCGACATCAGCTCCAAATGTCTCTTTTGTCAAGACATTTCTTGCTTTTGTATTCTTCTCGATATCACCTGGTGCCAAAGTACGTATCTCTGTCAACGCTGCAATCGCTGTACCGCAATCCGGACAAGCAAAACGGGTTTCTTCATCGATATTCTCCATTGTCTGATCACCTGCGTTCACGGCTTTCTCCAAGCAATGGGTACATAGGAGATGTGCACACTTTGTCAATACTGGCCTCTTGCTGCCTTGTTCGTCAGATGTTCCTTGACCGATTTCTTCAATGGGTGATTCTTGTCGTGAAGTGTCATCTGCGAATGTTGATAGATCATGATGGCACATTGCACAATCTGCTTTGTCCGAACTGCAAAGAATCTCAAAGAAACGAATCGCACGATCACGCGAAATACCCTCTCGTTTGATCAAAGCATCAGGATCTTCACCTTGATTCAAGGGATCATCTTTGCGAAGGCGAATGTCCTTGTTGGATTCAACAAGTTCGATATGATCGCAAGTCATACGTAAATTGGAAATCTCGTGCAAGATAGAGGCATAATTGTACTTGAGCGTATCGTTCTTCTTCATCTCTTCAAAGTCATCCTTGTATTTTTCACGCATTTCGTTGTACGTCGCTCTTTCAATAGGATCAAAGTCTAGTTGAACCGTTCGACTGTATTTCGGGGGTAATTCAAGAATCTTGGTACCGTCTGCCATCTTCATATCTTTTGTACGACGAAGAGTGAGGAACTTCATGATGGTCTGTACGCATTTCATTGCAGTTGAATCTAGCGGCTCTTCCTTGTCTGCTGCCTTTTTGATACGCTTTGCTGCTTCCAAACCAATCTTTGAGTCCACAGAAGCACAAAAGCGATTCCATACTACTGCATCGTCAAAAGGTTCCAAACGTAAGAATTTGACCAATGCATACAAATCTTGGATCCTATTCTGTACTGGCGTACCGGTCAAACAGATTCTTGATCTTGCCATCAAGAAGCAAGATGCACGCGATTGTAATGTGCGAGATTCTTTGATCGTGTGAGCTTCATCCAACACGATGCGAAACCATTCAATTTGTTGCAAAGGGAAACCTTCTCCTTTTTCGAGTCTCTTTCGCTTGTCGGCTTTGCGCTTTCTCTTTCGATTCGCACTGTTCTTTTTCTTGATCAGAATTGCTTTTTCAGCAGCAGTCAATCTGCGACCGATAGCGTTACCCTGCTCATCCGTCACAACAATCTCTTCTTCATCGTCGTCTTCCTTTTCATCGTCCTCGCTATCGCTTTCTTCGTTTGCTGCCACGATGCTATATTCGGAAGCAAGCGTACTATACGTTGTCATCACGATATTATTGCGTGCAATCTTCTTGGGATCTTTGAGGCGATTGTGTCCGTGATGAACGTAGATCTTGGGTCGCTTATCAGGCGCCCAATGTAGGCGAATTTGCTCTTCCCATGCGGATACCAAAGTGAGAGGTAAAACGACCAAGGTGGCACGAGAGCGAGTTTTGATATTGTCTCGCTTCCACTGTTCGAGCTCCTTCTTTTTGTGATCACGTTTTCCCTCTTTCTTCTTTTTGCCATTAACATAATTAGGCCCGCTAGTGTTATGACTGGTCTTGGCTCGCTTTGGTGCGCCAGGAACATCAATTGCAACCACGTCAGAATCATCTGAATCGTCGGAATCTGCTTCCTCTTTGGGCAAAGCTTCACCTTGATCATCTGTCAAAAGTTTCCTTTTGGACCATGCACGAGCTTCTTCATGTGTTGATGCAATCAAGGAAATCGTAGTAAGTGTTTTCCCAAGACCCATATCATCTGCCAAGATGGCTCCACGACATAATTTGGGTAAACGAGTTTGCGATTCTCGTGTGACGACGTTCTTGTAATGAATGATACGGTCTCCATGTCTTTTTGCCTTCCATAGCGAGACAATATTCTCGTCCTTGCCATCTTCGTCAAATGTTTTGTTCTTTTCATGATCCAAGAGGAAAGTCAAAGCCCGCATTTGATGATTCATCAATGGAGTAGTGATCAAGCTTTCGTCCACTTTTGTCGTCGTCAAAGTTTCTCCGTCGGGTAAATTTGAATACACTTGGTCCATCTGTTTTCGTCGTTCTTCTTCCGTTTCTTCTTTTGTTGGCATTACCATGCCACGATTCGGCATCTGAAAAGAAGGATAATTCGGTGGATTCATTTGCCCGTACGAAGTGAAATTGGGATTGTAGCCTGGATAGCGATTATACAATGAAGAGTCGGGCACTTCTAGAGGAGGTTTATACTCGAATGTATTTCGGTCGTATCGAGTAGGCATGAGCAAGGGAATATTGCTCTGAAAAAGCGACATAATGAATGCCGGAACATCTTTGCGTGCCATGAAGCAAAGCAACTCGATCGGATGAATGAAATTCATTGCCATACTTCTTGGTAGAACCTTGATCCTTGCTGCGATTCGCATCCTACGCTCATTGAGCATAGAAAAGATAGCATGGCTATATTTGTCAACCACTAGACCAAATGACTCACGACGGACTTGTGGCTGACCATTATTGTCGTAAGGTGTTATAAGTTCATGAACGTGCACTTGCGGTCTTGCTGTAGCTCGGGCAGTAACTTCGATGGGCCGAAACCCTGGTTCGAGGTAGTATTCCGCACCTAAAGGCCAACCCTTTTTGTGCCATCTCGGATGAGCATTCACTTCGCTTAGATCAACCGGCAAATAAGGCATTGTCAGACTGTCTGGGATTCCATGATTTGTAATCATCGTAGCACAAATAACACCAACACAGACCACTTGATGCAGATCGCTTGTGTTGACTGATGGACCTTTTGCGCTGACAAGTGTGATTTCATCTTCATCGTTAGTCAGATCAATTGCAGAAGGTTCCATTTTTGCTTCCCTTTTTGGCTGAATAGCTTGGCTAGAACCATTTTGCTGTTGGCCGAAAGATGATCCTTGTCCTGCATAGATGAATTGTTGTGGATTAGGTTTGACGTTCACTTCGGCTTGGTGTGAGAGTAGTTGTGCTTGTCGCCCATTATGGAATGTGTGCAGGTCTTGTCTCACACTGGGAACGACGATTGGGTATGTAGGTGACCCCTTCAATTCTGGCTGAGCACCAGCAAAGGTAGGAGGTTTCGCATCTAAAGGATGATTCAATGCATTGTGTTGTTCTATGGCTTCGTGTGTTAATTTTGATGGTGCAGGTTGCATCTTTTGACGAGATGGCCCAGCTTGTTGTGATGGTGGTGGCGAAGGTGAGAGCGAGAAAGATTTGATCTCATCTTTTGCCTTTTGGGCAGGATCGAGTGCCATTTTCGTATTCAAGGTGGCAAGCTGAGTCGATCAGTTTGGATTCCAAACGTCCTGCCTAGCAACGCCAAAATCTGAATAGGTCACTGGAAATCTGCTTCGAGGTTCAACCTAAGCTTCTATATTCAACAGATATGCTTGATCATTGCCTTGAAAGAAGTTTGAGAATTGCGCTTGTCCTAGCTTTGCATGCTAATTCCGTTACTCTTTGAAACGTTTCGCCCGGAATGAAAAGGACCGAAGAAAGTTTGCCTCGTTACTAAGAGGAACTTTTATGCAATCACAAAGGCCAAACTCGCTTCCTTCCTCTGACAGTTGCAGGAAGTGTTGTGAAAGTATTGTGAAAGAAGAGATAACACGACAATTCAATCGAAAAGGTGCTCTTGACAAATTTACGGATTATGTGGCGCGGATTTTTTGGCGGCGCCGATGAGAGGTAAATTGAAGAATGAATCGATGAGTTGTTGAGGGTAATGGTACGATGAGTTGGTAAAGAAGTGAGGAGATGATGATGATTGGAAGGTGTCAATCATCAAGTTGGTTGGTTGACTGCAGATGATAAATTAGGGTACATGCATGCATGATACTGCATAAGACACTATGCTGAGCTTCTATTCTAGTGAAATATATAATTTGGACAAGTCAATATAATTATATTATTGATTGCATCATTGCTTCTTTAACGGAAAAAAAGAAAATGAAAGCATCACTCCCAAATAAAGGACAAAGGGAATTTCCACGCATGAAATTATATACGCGTCGCGCCTAAGATAACGTAAGCTGGTGATTCACTTTTTCCGTTTTGATTCGCAAATGCATGACACCGAAACGCGTAAAAGTTGAATTCAGGGGAATCGGATAACTTTCTCCTGGAATTGTGTAGTTTGAGCTTAACTCAGCGCCCACAATAATGGGACAAGTGATTGATTGGACCTGAATCGATTTGTGATAATTGTTGCTATCCGGTGATTTCCCGGTTACTTGCACTGCACACACACAGCCTCACACACGCGTGGCTTGCTTTTGCGAATCGCGAAAAGGAGAGACACTCTTCTTGTTATTCGCCGGTTTATGATGATTGTTAGTTCGCCTTGGCATTGTTTGGGCGTATGCGTGCGCACAAGAACGGGGAAAACTATACTCCACTCAAAATGCAATCAAATCTGTCATTCTATCTTTTCAATCAATCACACCCACCATCATATAACCTAGATCTTCGGGCTGAAGCAAAAGGGCACTCGCGGCATAGAATTCACGACGCCGCTTTTTACACCCTAGCGAAAAGCCGCCGCAAACACAGCTTTCACTCTGGCGCCTCTCTCATCCTCGCTTTCACATCCTCAACCTGATTGCTCAAAATGACAGCCCAATCCAATGAAATAGATCAACATTCTTCCGAAGGTGAAAGTGGTGCTACTTCTTCTTCACTTACGGCACAAGATGAAAATGTAGGCGTTTCAGGAGGAGTAAATACAACAATGGAAAAAGAGGAAAGGGGCTTAAAAAACTCAAACGATACTCAAAATGAAGCCAGATCTTCGCTTACCTCTCTTTTACATCATGAATCAGACAAGCATACTGAACACGAAAAGCAGCCATCGAATCAGTCCAACATGTCGCGAACGATAAATACTGTACCGGGTGAGTATATTTGCAGCTGACTTTATCTAGATGTACTGTTATTGACTTCTTCCTCTAAACAGTTTGGGCTCGACAACAACAGAAAGAAAAGAATGCTATACACTTTCGAAAAGAAGGTGAATCATCTCAATCATCACCAAAGATCAATTCGATCGGCGGATCTCCTCTTAAAAAACCAGCACCGCTTCATTTGAACACTTCCAACCAAACCAGGACAGCCTTGGCAACGCAAGAAGCAAGCAATCGTCAACGTTCCAGTATAAATCCAAACCCCGATCAGATATCTGATAATCGCTTTTCAATTGATACTTCTTCAATCATAACTGTAGACGATGACAATCCTGGCGCAAGTCGATTTGCGTCACTCTCGTATCGACATGTAGGCCCCAAAACGCGGGTGAAAATACCATTTAATAAGGAAGAGGCGGGAAATGATGATACAGAAAAGAGTTCATCCAAAAGAAGCACATCAAAGCAAACTCCTGTCAGTGGAGGCTTCAGTAGTGCGATTACAGGAATTTTGGCAGGCCTTACCTCAAGTGAAGCACAACGCTCGAATGATTCCACACAAGATACAGATGCACAAAATAGATCGCAATCATACAATTATGATGAAGAAGAGAAACACATGTCGGGCGTCCATGAAGGTACACGTGGAGGATGGTCTCATGACGAAACTCATGATGAAACGCATGCACAGGAAAATCGGGCAAAGATGCTGAACGACGATAGTTTCACACGTCATCAACCCGTCACACCAGGCTGGGCATCACCTTGGAGACCGGAGTCAAGAGGTGAACATTCGATTAGGATTGGTAAATATCGTTTCAATAATCATGGAGAAGGTGGGTACTTTCCCAAAACTGACACTGGGGCTACGAACAGTTCGCGTAAACGAAGAAGAAGACGGCATGCAAGTAGTGGTGCAGTGGATCTGTTCGATGTGGAATGGTGGAGAAGGTTCTTGCTGCATAATCCATTCGTTCCGCTCTTGTTTCGATTGGTCAATATCGCTTTCACTTCAAGCACACTTGCCGTTGCTGCCAAATTGTATATCATCTTGAAGAGAGAAGGGGCAGAAGATTCCGTTGGATCAAGTCCAATCGTTGCAATCATCTTTGCACCGCTCACACTTGTGCATGTTGGTGTGCAAATTTACGTGGAATATTTCAGCAAACCGATTGGGCTATGGAGAGTAGGAAGTAAGCTGTTTTACACATTGACAGAACTAATTTTCGTTTGTTTATGGTCAGCAGCGCTTTCACTATCATTTGATAATTATTTTACCTCAACATTGGTTTGTTCAACGCTCAATTCACCTTATAGCGGAGGACATGATCGACCTGTATTTGGTCAACAAGTTCTCAATAATCCTAGTAGGAAGCCATACATTTGTCGATTACAAGGTGCTTTGATCGGGTTGGTATTCACCAGCTTGTTGGCGTATGTGGTTGTGTTTTCCGTTTCACTCTTTCGCATCTTTGTTCGTGTGTCCAAGAGATGATTTTCTCATTATTTCTGTACTTTTATCTTACATTGCAAACTTTTTGACAATCTCTGTACGTAGACTCATTCCATCTCATTCACTCTCTTGCAATTCATGGACATTCCTTTTGCTAGATTACAAACTGTAACGGAAATAAATGGACTTTTCACGATTTTCTGCAATGTCCAAATAACGAAGATGTTGTTCTTGACGACCTTCTTCTGTTTTGGTGTCGATTTTGAATTGATATTGAAGTGGTCGTTCTGTTGGAGTGACTTCGCCATCCTGTTCTTCTTTAGAGGAGGCGGATTGTTTGAAAGCTTTATCTTTTGCACGATTGATTGAGTAAAAGTAGACGATTGCCAGACCTTCAATCACGAATCCAGCTACCAACAAACCTGCACTTACGTACATTCCTTTACGATAATATGGTGCTTCCGTAGCGGGAAAAAGACGAGTTCCGAGTAAAGGAGAACATTGACCAATCGTACCAAAGATTACCAAAGCTATACCACGTTTTGATTCACCGGCAGAATTTGTAATCAACCAAGAATAACAAAGTGGAATAAAAGTAAACAAACCCAACACAACCAACCAAACGCCTGCATAACGTGTATGATTATCTTCAATGGTTGCCAACATGAAATAACCCGTTAGACCAACAGCTGTCATGATCATGATCAAAACGCCACGAGTTCTGAGTCTATCGGCGGCGTAAGAAAGAATTACTGCTAACACGAATGCGACCGCATAAGGAGGAGCAGAGAATGCTTGAGCCCGTAAAGCTGTATAACCCATTTGCGATAGAATTGTGGGTAGATAGACCGGAATTGATGCGAAACCATTATTGACGATGAACAAAAGCACTGCGTTGATATAGCTTACCGGATCCTTTAATGCATCTGCACCATTCTTGAAGTTAAATTGTGTGTTGAGGGCATGCTTGATCCTTTGTAGCAAGGAAGCATTTTTATTTGTCTTTTCGTTCTCGATTGCGTTCCTTTGATCGATTTTTGCACGATACAATCGAGCCTCCGCTACTTCTCTTTCGTACGGCGTCAAGAATTTTGAAGATTGAATGGAATCAGGTAGAAAGAAGAACAAGGCAACACCTAGGATCACCGTTGGACCAGCTTCTACCAAAAAGATCAATCGCCAATTTGCAATAGACACTGTTGCACTTTGAATTCCATAAGCTACAGAGCCGGCAATAGCAGAAGCAACTGCACTTCCTACCACGAACCATGCGAACCTGTAACCGATCTCATGACGAGGATAGAAGAAGGACAAGTATAGTGCCACACCTGTTCCATAACCTGCTTCAAACAAAGCCATGAAGAATCTCGTTGCCATTAAACCACTCCAATTAAACGCTGTAGCTTGAAGGATAGCGGCAACACCCCAAAAGAAGACGCACGTTCCCATAAATCGAGAAGGCTTGATGAATTTATAACAAATCAACAGGAATTGGAAAACGATATAGCCAATGTAGAATACGGTTAGAAGCCATTCGTATTGACTATCACTGATGTGTAAATCTGCTGTCATACCGGCCACTTTTGCATTTCCGATATTGCTTCTGTCTAAGAAAGCGAATAAATAACTCATAAATAGAAAAGGTAAAATTCGTGCGTCCAACTTTCTTCTTACTCTTGTATCATCCTCTTCTGACCACCATCGATCAGGTCGATCGACGTATGTACCGAATTGATAGTCTTGCGAATCGCTCTTTTCGCTTTGGGACATGATTGCTGTTGATGGAAGAATGGGAAAAAGAAGAACTTGTTGGCCACATCCCTTTTATAGAGAACAATCTTGCCGAAAATAAATGAATCAAAGGGAGCTAATTCCCCCACATTGATCTTCTTTAAGCGGAGAGAAGCTCTGGAGTCACCCGCACCCGCATGTCGGCAACAGTTTTGCGCTAATTTATGCACGATTCTAATCTTTTTTCCCGTCCGTAAGAAAGACTAAATTCACGTGAAACTTTGAGAAGAAGAAGAAGAAGAAGTTAGCGCTCACACAGCTGTAAGCGGGAGGGAGTCCATTCCACGCGTACATACACACGAACGCATAGACAGACAGCACACAACACACACACTCTGTGCATTCACTTTTGAGCTGGCGAGAGGAGTAGGGCGTATAGACAGACGCAAGGGAGAGTAAGTGAGTGAGTGGCTCACACACAATCGTGCACGCACGCACGCACGTTGTTGATGTTCTTAAAAACTCGCATTAACACCATCATCGATCACGACTTTTTGTTGTTGGAAGGATGTCGTTCAAAAAGGATGAAGAGACAGGTGTCTCATCCTTTTATCAAGACAAAACTTCAGTCATTCAAGAAGCACGTGTATTTAACGAAACGCCAATCAGTCCAAGAAAATGTCGTATCTTATTAACAAAAGTGATTTATTTGTTGTATTCTGGAGAAACGTTCAGTAGACAAGAAGCAACAACTTTGTTCTTTGGCGCAACGAAGCTATTTCAACATAAAGATGCAGCCCTTCGACAAATGGTCTATTTGGCCATCAAGGAATTATGTCCTTTGGCAGATGATACCATAATGGTGACTGCCTCGATCATGAAGGATATGCAACCCAATATGGAAGTCATTTATCGACCAAATGCTATTCGTGCTCTAAGTCGTGTTGTAGACCCATCAATGGTACAAGGTCTCGAACGTTTCTTCAAATCTGCCATTGTCGATCGCAACTCTTCAATCTCATCAGCAGCCCTTGTCTCTTCTTACCAGCTATACATTGCCGCACGCGATGTCGTTCGTAGATGGGGAAATGAAGCACAAGAAGCAATCAATGCAAAACCTCCATCAGGCGCAATGGGCTCAGGTGGTCTAGGCAACTTCAGTTCTGGCTTTGGTGGTTCCTACCTGGGTTGGGGCAGTCAACCTCCCCCACAACAAAGCAGCGCATTTGCCGTCATTCCAAGTTCTACGTTCATTACTCAATATCACGCTCTTGGTTTGTTGTACCTCATCCGTCAAGGTGACAGAATGGCTGTGACAAAATTGGTGCAACAATTGGGTACGGCAAACAAGAACACGATGCGCAGTCCATATGCAGTCTGTATGTTGGTCCGTTATGCTGCAAAGGTGGCCGAAGAAGATCCAAATTTGCGACATGCCATGATGGAATTGCTCGAAGGCTGGTTGAGACACAAGTCTGACATGGTCAATTACGAAGCTGCTCGTGTATTGTGTGATATGCGTGGCATTTCAACCGCAGAATTGGCCAAACCAATTGGTGTTTTGCAATTGTTCCTTTCTTCTTCCAAATCTACACTCAAGTTTGCTGCCATTCGTACATTGGCCAAACTCGCACAAACCAACCCTGCAGCTGTGCAAACATGCAATGTCGATATGGAGAATCTCATCACTGACACGAATCGAAGTGTGGCTACATATGCTATCACAACTCTGCTCAAGACTGGAAATGAAGCATCAGTTGATCGTTTGATGAAACAAATTTCTGGATTCATGAGCGAAATCAGTGACGAATTCAAGGTGATCGTGGTAGATGCAATTCGCAGTCTCTGCCTCAAATTCCCATCGAAGCAAACTGCCATGTTGCAATTCTTGTCGGGCGTTTTGCGTGATGAAGGTGGTTACGAGTTCAAGCGTGCCGTTGTGGAAGCCATCTTTGATATGGTACAATTCATTGGCGATTGCAAGGAAACTGCTTTGGCACACTTGTGTGAATTCATCGAAGACTGCGAGTTCACCAAACTCAGCGTTCGTATTCTCCATCTTCTCGGTATTGAAGGTCCCAAGATGGCCCAACCACACAAGTATATCCGTTACATTTACAACCGAGTCATTTTGGAAAATGCAATCGTTCGTGCTGCAGCCGTCAACAGTCTTGCCAAATTTGGCTTGGGAGACAAATCACTCACAGCACGTATTACCGTCTTGTTGCAACGTTGTTTGGATGACGTGGATGATGAAGTTCGTGATCGTGCAGCAATGAATTTGCGTATCCTCAAAGAGAGTCAATTGGCCCAAAGATTGGCACCATCCGACAGCACATTCAAGCTAGCAGCTCTAGAATCTTCATTACAACAATACCTTGAAGATCCATCCTCAGCGGCCAAGAGCTTCAATGCTGCTGAAGTTCCCCGCGTCACCCGTGAAGAACAAAAGCAAGAAGAATTACGAGCAAAGAACGAAGCTGCAAGCAAAGTGGCCATGGCCGCCGATGCAAAAGGAACGGGCTCCAGTACTGGACCTGGTACGGCCGTTGGAGCGGCTGCCGCTGCTGCAGCTGCCGCCAACGGAAATGGCGTCGATCTTACACAACAATATGCCGCCCAACTCAAAGCGATTCCCAACTTTGCCGAATATGGACCATTACTCAAAAGTTCCAAGAAACCAACGGAAATCACAGAACAAGAAACGGAATATGTGGTCACCGTTGTTACGCATGTGTTCCCCAAGAATATCGTTTTGCAATACAATGTCACAAATACATTATCGGATACAGTATTGGATGACGTTGCGGTTGTGGTAGATGGCGCAAGTGAGATTGGATTATCGGAAGATGTGATTGTGAAAGCCAACTCGCTCACACAAGCGGAGCCAACTGGAGCAGTGTATGTCTCCTTCACTCGTGAAGAAGGTAGCAATGTGTTCCCACAAGGCACTTTATCCAACACACTTCGCTTTATCAGTCGTGAAGTTGATCCAACTACAGGAGAAGCCGAAGCGGAAGGCTACGATGATCAATATGAAATGTCTGAATTGGAATTGGGCACTTCTGATTACGTACAAGAAAGATGGGCAGATTGGACGAAAGAATGGGAAGATTTAGGCAAACAAAGTTCAGCATCGGAAACGTTTGCATTGACGGCATTAGAAAGCTTGAAACAAGCATGTGAAACCTTGGTGGACTTGTTTGGAATGCAAGCTTTGGGTGGAACGGATTTGCCTACTTCAACATCTGTTCATACTCTCAATTTGGCAGGATATGTTGTCACCGTGCCGCAAAAAGCCAAAGTGTTGGCCAGGTGCAGGATGACATTTGCCGGTAAAGGGGAAGGTGTGACGATGGAATTGACGGTTAGAGGTAGCTCTGATGAAGCTGTTCAATTGATCTTGGGATCGATTGCATAAAATTGTGTAGATTTCTCAGTAGCAGTCAAAAATGCTAATATCAGATGATGAATGTTAAGCCGTGCATGCGATAAGGTATTTGTTTCTTCTAGCTTTCTTTCTCCTAACTGGCAAAAGCTAAGAATGGCAGATCAACAGTCTTGTACAGTTGACCCAAATTATTTTAGGGCGGGGGGACAACCTCTCCAAAGATGCCCCGCGTGTGCATGAGTTGAGAATACAAACATACGCTCCGCGCGCTATTACACATGCTCGCGTATTTTGTATTAAAGTGAATAGAAATCGGTTAGGCTAGTGAATAGTGAAACGATGAATGGATGATAGTGTTTTGTGTGATTTACAGGCACACGCGCCGCTGTTTTTAGCTTTTCTTTTCTTTCCATCAATAAACGAGAAATAAAAAGAATTGGTTCGACCGCTTTGCCCATTCTTTACCCGCTTGCTTGCTTGGCCGTTTATTATTTATGCAGTGCAATTTTATTCAAAAAAAAAGGCGTGCGTTGCGCTGCGCAGCGCACAAGCAGGACACACTCTTTTTATGCAAAACACTTAAACGCACGCACGCACACACACACACACGCACGCACACAAGCGCACTCTGACACACATCACCTTTTTTGGCCTCTCGTTCACGTAGGTCTCCGTGGGACGTATTGGGGAAGAAGAGCTTTTTGTGATCAATACCATCATCTGAGGCATTCACTTAACGACAACACAACAAAAGTACACATCACCATCACGAGATTCGATTAGAGCAATTGAACAGAGTCACGACCTCTTATCATACGACCGGATTCGATTGACGATTCCTTTGACTCTTTCTTCAGATCGTCAAACTCTCTCTGGTTGGCATCCCCCTTTTTCTTCTTTCTCGATCCTTCTTTCAAGACATAGCATCTTTTACTTGTCTTGCTATCTCGCCTTTTTTGACATTCGCAAGATCGTCCATTCAGCACTTCAATCAAGAAAATAGAATCTCTTCATATCTAATCAAGTCGCATTCACTTACGACTTGACAAAGAATCATCTCGATAACAAATCAGCAAAATGCAGACTATCAAATGTGAGTATGACCACAGAGAATGATTTCTGGCCTCTCGGCTGTAATCAGCAAGATACATCCTGCATTAAACTCGCATATATGCGTGCATGAATCCGTACTGACATCTTGATTGCTTCGATGACACAGGTGTGGTCGTGGGAGATGGTGCGGTAGGAAAAACATGCCTTTTAATCTCATACACAACAAATGCTTTCCCAGGAGAGTATATCCCAACCGTTTTTGATAACTATTCGGCAAATGTGATGGTGGATGGAAAGCCAGTCAGTTTAGGTCTATGGGATACAGCCGGTCAAGAAGATTACGATCGATTACGTCCGCTATCTTATCCGCAAACGGATGTATTCTTGATTTGCTTCTCGCTCGTCAGTCCTCCCTCATATGAAAACGTTAGAACGAAATGGTTCCCAGAAATCAGTCATCATGCGCCCAATATCCCAATGATCTTGGTTGGAACAAAACTTGATTTACGCGATGATCCAAACACAATAGAAAAGTTACGTGAACGAAGAATGGCACCAATCAGTTATGCTCAAGGAAATCAAATGGCTCGTGATATTGGCGCGACAAGGTATATGGAATGTTCTGCCTTATCTCAAGTAGGTTTGAAAGGCGTTTTTGATGAAGCAATCCGAAGTGTTTTGGCTCCCGCTCCGATCAAGACCAAAAAGCGCAAGAATTGCACAATTCTGTAGAGCGCACATGAATGAAAGTGTGAGGAGATGAGGGTACAGTTTCTTTTGTGGAGAGAGTGTTTTTGGGATAATTTCCATCCTTTTATGTAACGCAAGCGCAATGTGACTTGGTAAGATTTATGGCAATGATAGTGTGGTATTTTGTGGAAAGATAGCATTCATACCCGTTTTCAAGGTGCAAAATTTTCAACGATATGCATTCATTGTCAAGAAAAAAAAAGACACTTTTTAAAAGTCATTCAAACAACTTGTAATCCTCCCTCTCCAATACGCATTCTTTCTCTAACAAACCTTTCTCCAATCATCATTTGTCATTTTATTGTTTATACACAGAGAAAGCCATTGTATTGCATTTCAAGGCTCAGCGCTTCGTCTACTTATCACCTAAATCATAATAGCATAGCACGTCCGCAATAAGAGATTGAATATGAATTTGGAGGATGAAGTACATTAAGTATTGCTATTCTTTCGTTTTCGTTTACTGAGGTCTAAAGGGGATGAGCCCGTATTGCTCGTTAGGCTTACGTCTGCTGCGTTGGAACTTCGGCCCTTCTTTGCCTTTTCCTTCCTCGGAGAAGGGTGTGGAGCAGGGGTCAATTCTCCGTTGCTCTTTTTGTGTCCGTTCACTTTGATGGTTGAGGTTCCATTACTCTCGGTCTTTGTTCCCATTCGAGCAAATGCCTCTGTGACACCGTCCATGTTGAACTCGGCCAAACGTGCTAATCTGCTAGCGGTATTTGTAGGTTGTGCAACGCTAACTGGAGCGGTAATGTCACCGTCAATTTCCACTTCTTCCATCTCGCTATCGGCTTCCTCTACGTCACTTTCGTCATCCTCCTCTTTGCGTGCGGGTAACATGAACTTCATGAATGGCTCAAAGAGCAGATGCGGCGGCGGTAAGAGATGACTTGGCATATCAAACAATGTGCTTGCATCACTTGCTCGACTTGTTTCCACTTCTTTTTGTTGAGGTGCAATTGTATTCACAGCATCCTGTTGCTTTCCCAAAAGTTCATCAAAGATTGTTCGTCTTCTCACGTTAATCTTGCGTAATGCGTTTGCTTTTTGTTCCTTGCGTCTTAGACTTTCCAATTCTCTTCCGATTCGTACAACGTCAAAAGATGTTGTCAACGCAAACAAGGCAAATAGTCCATTATTATACTTCGAATCAGCTTCGATCACTTGACGAATACCAAAAGGCAATGAATCGAACTTTGTCAGGGTGACCTTTCTTGCAAGCTCAAATGAGTACACACGAACTTGTGCCTTTTGTGCATTCGATGTAATGACTGCTAGATCACCTTCCTCTTTTTGTGAATCAAGTGCGAACAGACCTTTGACGGGTTCTTCAATAGCGAATGACTCTTTCATTTGCCCCAAAACAACATCAAAGAAGGTCAATTGTCCGCCCACCAGCGAGGCAATATAGCGTCCACCTTTACCAGCAAAAGAGATACATGCTTGTTTGCCTGTTGAGGGGATTTCATCAGAAATACCTGGCAAGGCGAACACATGAACTAAAGCATTACTATCGGGTTCCCAAACAGTGATTGAAGCACCATGGACGATAGCCAGCAAAGATCCATCTGCGCTCCACGCCATTGCTTCTGCCGGTAATCCTCTGTGATCGAAAATACTCCTTGCATACCAATACGTCTCTACCTTTCTCTTCACCTCTCGTGATGTACATTTCCATGAACGACACTTTCCTTGCTTGCTGCCCAAAGTGACCAAAAGAGGTGCATCCTGCAGCGTACCTCTTGGTCCTCTCTTTGTCAAACCGTATGATTGAGGACTAAAAGACATTGCCAAGACTTCATTATCAAGACCATGAGGTTCATCAACTCGTGTATTTAGCACATATGTGTTTGCATTTTGCGACCATTGCCAGATCTTTAAATGAGTTTCCCCAGTCGCTTTGACATCCACTGTGGCCATCCAGACGTTGTCGTGGGAAAAGCAAATATGCTCTACATGTGATTGTGTGAGCGGATCTTTTCCTGGTCTCGAAACTCGATTGGAAGGTACGATCTCCAATTGCATCACTTGATCATCTGTGATTGTATTGAGGAATTGAATGGTGGAGGGATGTCCAGAGGATAAAGTGAGGTTGTTTGTCCTTGGCTCTACTGCCAATGGTAGAGATTGCAACCGTTTCGCAGATGCGATCGTCTTTCTCAATTGATGTGAGGAACCTGCAAGGACACCTTGCAGTATACGAATCGGTTTCAAATTTACTGTGCTAATAAACACCACGCTACCGTCTTCCATTGCTGTAATAAACTGATCAGGTCGATCGTTATCCTTTCCACCTTTGAGGGTAGCGATGGAGAGAATCGAAGAACCGCCCAATCTTGGCACGTATTCCCTTCCTTGTGTCGATAGCTGCCATAGGACCAAGGTACTCTCCTCACCACCAGACAAGAGGTAGGCACCATTATCATTGAAACGCAGTGCGCTGACAGCATGTGAGTGCCAGTGCAGGAGTGTGCTTGGCGCTATCGTTTCCTTTTTGGAATTGTCAGAAGCCATTTTACTGAACAAATGTTCATCATCAGAAGCCAAAAAGTACCACAATCGTATATGGCCAGCTGCATGTCCAGTAGCGAAAGTATTATTCGAAGGATGGAAAGTGACTCGGGTAAGAGCTTGCTGTGTGAGAACTTTGACCATGTTGTGATCGGAAGTGCTCAAATCGGCGACGTGAATCTTGTAATGACCTACAAGTACAAGATAGCGTCCATCGGGAGAGATGGCCATATCTGAAATTGTGCTTCTCTTTCCTAGCCTCTCTGACTTTTTCATATTTGATCGATCGTTATACCTTAGATTGACTTTGAAAAGGATAGCATTATCCGATCCAGAGTGTTTGTCCGATTTTCCATTCTTTTCGCCCTCTCCTCTTGGTTTACGAGCTGCAACAATGACTTCATTTTTCAGGGAATCGTGGGTAGCCATGTGAGTAATCGGTAGAGCTAGACTGATTGTATTCATCAGATTGCCATCAAAGAAATCCCACACTTTAATTGTTCCGTCAAGCGAGCAACTGATTAGCTGAGCAGCATTGGCAGGGTTGATGGCCAAGCCAGTGATTGTTGCAGTGTGCTGAGAGATAGAGGAAGAAGTTGTGCCATTTGAGCCATCACTTGAAGTAGACGAGAGCGTGGAGACCAATCGTCCAGAGTTTGTCGAATAAATGCGAATTGTTGAACCAGAAGCAACGAAGAAAAACTCATTATCCCTTGTAAAAACTATTGGGACTCTTCCAGCTTTACCGGTAACTATTGGTGACCATGGTACGTTTCCAGGTTTTAATGTTCGTTTTGAGCTCTTTTTCCTTTCTCTCTTCTTTGCAGGCGTGGCTGGGACCACTTCAAGTTGTTCTGTGGCTTGTGGGACAGCGGAAGATTGCTGTCCTTCCCTTTCCACTTCTACACCACCTCCTTTCGATCTTCTCCGACCAGATCCCATTTTGTAGAATACAATTACACCGAAAATCCCCCTTAGAAATGATGATGGAACGGTTGCCAGTGTTGATACAATGCTTTCCTTCTCTCTCTTTTATTTTAATAAAATTTCCATTTTAGCTGCATGAAGAAAAAGAAAAATTCCTGAATTATATAAGCAGACTTCGGAAAAAAAGTTGAAGAAGCTCACGCGTAAGTTTTAGCCGAGAAGATCTTCTTGTATCTGATTTTGACACTCAAACAAAGGTTATCGTGAGGTGGTCAGATATCATCATCTCTTTCTAAGCATCCTGATCGTGCACAATGGCGATCAGATGCTTTGCAAGACGTAATCTGGTTGCACCATATCGTTATGCAAGCAGAGGGCTGGGACAGAGTAGTGCGTCGCAGAACGCTATCCGCTCTCTGACTACCAGTCAAGCATCATTTGCACAGCATGCAGATGAGCAAAAGGAAAGAGTACCAAGAGTGTCTAAAAAGGGTGGTGTTCGGATTGGAGATGATCAAGATTCGCCTAGGGGTTTCTTTTCTTCACGTTGGCAAGATCTTCCCATAACATCTGGTGAATCGAGTAGCAGCATATCAGAAAGACATCAACGACAAATTAAGGAATCGGATACAATTCCACATCATCCACTCGTACATGATTTGATGTATGAACTTCAATCACACGAAGCTCGTCCATCTCCAGAACTTGTTTGGCGATTATACAATGCGATAGAAATGACCAAACTTAGCTCAATTCAGCTTATTGACGATCAAACTTCTTCAGCTCAACTCTCGCTCATAATGCCCATTCACGTACACAAACGGGTGCTGCGAGCCATCAGTCCATCTCTAGGCACTTCTAAAGACAAGAAGACAATCGCATCAGCAGCAGAAGTTCAGCAATACCTATCTCGAGTGAATGTCATCTTTGACAACCTAAGACGACAAAGTGCAGGAGCAACTCCGACAGCAGCAGATTTCGACAAAGTGTTTCGTGAAATTGTACAGAGCGGCAATATGACTTCCATCTTGGCATTGTGGTCCGCTATGACTGGTTCGTCATCGCAGGTACTAGAGCGTAGCAATGCAAAAAGAGCGAGACAGAGAAAAAATGCAAACGCAATCAATGCTCAAATGACCGCATTTAATGTCATTGAACCGACACGAGAGACTTATTCGAATTTGATGCTGGGTATATATAGACATTTACAAGATCAACTCAAAAGAGCTCTCAAATCCGACTTGGATTCTAGCAAAGATCTCAATTATGGCCAACAAAGACGTCAGCGTTTGGCTGCAACGAGAGAAGGAGAATTTTCTCAATCAATGAAAAGGGCCATGACATCAAGGTCACCGTTTGAGCATTTGAATCCAAGAGCACAGCAAGCATTGGTGCTAGCATCAGAAAGAACTTCGCATCTTTTGCGAGACATGCTTGAGCGTGACATCCCTTTGACGAGACTTGCATGTAATTTGGCCATGCGAGTGATGCGGATTACAGGAAACCTTGATGCAATGAAAGCATTGACAACCTTGGCTTTTGGTGTTGATTTGGACAACCTGGATGGAAGTGTGGCTCAATCTGCAAAAGGAAACCGGAATGTTCCCACTCATTTCCACGGAAAACCAGACGTGTATCTTTTAAATACCGTCATTCAAGCACTTGGAGAACAGAGTACGGTAGGAAAGATGGTAGCAGCATATGAAACACTCACAAGACCTTTACCGAGATCGATCAAAGCAGATACACCAATACCTGAAGGCAGTCTTTTTGCAACAGATTTCCGAGGTTTGCTGAGCTGGAGTGATCCAGCTGAAGCAGATTTAACGGCGAGTGATACAAACGCAAACCAACCAAACGAAGATTCTGCAACATTGAACATAACGCCCAACACTGCAACTATGATTCACTTGGTACGAAATGCATGTAAGCATCCTCCGCCACAACAAATGATGATGTACATCAGCCGGACGACGGATCAACAATTGGGACAGATGAAGGAATACGAAGCAAGACAGAAGGGTGTGTATGGCAATTTGGCCTTGTACTTTGTTCGTGAGGCTGTATCCGTGCAAGAGGAGGACTTGAAAAAGATGGCAAGAGGATTAGGATTCGATCAAAAGTACGTGGAGGAGATGATTTCCTACTTTACCTCTCAATTGCAATCACTTGGAGTAGACTCGTTCTCTGGTTTGCCCAGTGTGGACGATGAGAATTTCATGACGGAGTACGTTGACAGACTGCTGTATCTGTCAAAAGAGAGCAGATTAAAGGCGGAAGGTATCTTGGCAAGCTTGGCAAGGGCACTCCCAATCGAAGAGACAGAAATTATGTCAGATGAACAGAAGCTTGCAGTTCAAGCAGCAAACAGAGCAGCTGAAGAGGCATATGCAGCCCGTCAAAAATCTGCAAGAGAATTCTTAGGAGGCATACAGAATGTGCCGGCACCAGCTTTCAACGGTTCTGCAGCTCCTCAATCATTCAAGCGAATCGACATTGGTGTAACACCAGAAGTGATTATGCCATTGATCACAATGGCAAAACAAACTCGTACCGGGGGCATCCTTCGAGATGTTGGAGAATGGCTTGAACGTTCGATGGCATTATACATCTGTGAGATTCGGTTATTGAATGTTTCAATGGCAAGTCAAAAAGCAGCATCGCATGCGTCAAGCAAAAGTCCATCCTTGCACCCATTCGTTACTCAAATGAACGAAAGAATCGAAGAATTGCATGCAGTCGTTCGAAAAAACGCAGAATTGTACGTTTCACAAGTACGACGACAGCTTGTACAATTTTCTGGAAAGAGGCGAGAAAGGTTCTACAGACGTAAGACGGCTAGAAAACAAGCAAAAGTGGCAGCTTTAGCAGAAGCTCAAGAGAAGAAGCGAGAAAAAGCAGCAAGACGGTTGAGGCTATCAGAAGAAAAGGCTGCAGATGCAGAGGGAGTGGCGGAAAATGTTGATCAAGCAAGACAAAATGTTGTATCAGCTTAGATGTATTAACAAAATGAGATGGGGTATAATATTACATAATTTTGCTCAAAGGACATGCACATGCTTGTCCTTCATCGAATGTGGGAGATGGAGGACTTGCGGTCACACTTGGCGTTCCTCTGTCCATTAGTGCTAAAACGTCATCCACCCTTCTTCGATCGACGTAAAGTTTTCTGCGTTTGTTATATTGAGAAGATGATTCGCTGAGTGAGGATCGAACATTACCTTCCTCTTTTGTACTTTGTTCCAGTTCGATTTGTCGGCGCTTCTTTCCAAGATCTTCTTCCGTGGTCAAATGTTGTTTAGGTGCCGGAGTCGGATCTTCAATCTTATGGGGAGAAGATTGACTTGTATTGCTTCCTTCTTCATCTGATGATTTTCGAGTGACAACATCAGCCAATAAATCCAGACCACCTTGCCAATTTGCAAAGCTTGGATGTTGTTTGATCCTTTGCCATGCTTCTGGAATTGTTTCGATACCTATTTCAGGTTCACTTGTTTTATTTTCGCGTCGTACATCTGAAGTTGTATGTCTGCGTAAAGATGATAACCTTGTTTGTGTATTACTTGGAATGGACGTCGCACTTGCATTTGGATCGCCTTGATAGCCATTCCGTGAGACAGACCAAAGCTTCGGTCTTGTTGAAGGATGAACACCCGCTCCATTCGTATACAGACTTTGTGGTGTTAATTGCATTGGTGCATTTGATACCCTTTGCATACTTGTACTCATTCCTCTCATCCTTCTCTTTCGAAGTGGAAGTGCATTTCCAGCATCCAGCATGACTGCATTCGCTACTCCATCACCTTCTAAATGCGATGAAACTGCTCTACAAAATGCCGCTAAAGCAGGATCAGTTGCACATGCTGCACAATCATTCGGATCACCAGAACAAACGGCAGGTATTGCGCCTGGAAGAACTTTTTTCATTCGAAAGATCGTTGGTTGCTGAGGTGATAATGGAGGTGTTTGTGGTCCTCTTGAGAATGGCATTTGAGGTGAAGACGGTATCATCCCACTCAGGGTCTTCTTTGGAGATGTTAATGGGTAGACAGGCCACAGACTTGCCTTTCTGGGAGATTGCATGGGCGGAGGGAGCATTGATGAACCACTTTGTATCATTGGTAACGGTTGAAAAGCACGTAGATTGTTCATCTTGCGCAAATTTGCTGTTGGACAGATTTGTACCTGCCTACCCGCTGCTTGTTGTGAAGCAGGAACGGTATACCAAAGCTTCTGTCTGCTGATCGCCCGCCTTTCGAGGTGAGCACGTAATGGAAGAGAAGATGGTTGAATGTGTGATCGAGAAGGATAGGTTTGCTTTCTCGTTGATGAGGAGTTAGAACTGAAATCCAAAACTGCTTCGCCACTACAAACACACGGACTTTGCTCCGTGCAAAATCCGCAATCACGATGCATTTCAGCAGTTTGCTCTTCCGGTGAAGTTTGAAGAGAACTTTGACCAGCTCGAGAAGAGCCTGTTGACCAATCCCAGGATGTTCTACGAGGAGCATCTTCGAGTAACATCGAAACGGGCATTCCAATTTCATGTCTAGCGGTCGTTGATTGAGGAGAATCCATGGTAACATCTTCCACTTTGACGGATGTTGCTGGACTTCTACTACTATTACGTAACGCCAGGGCGACCTCCAACTGCTGAACTTTAGCATGGAGTGTCTTATTTTGTTGTTTCAATTCATCATTCTCCTCTTTTAGTCTTCTTGCCACTTTTTGAAGCTCGGTTGAAAAGTTTGCACCTCTTTCTTCGTATTCGTTCACTTTTGCTTCTAAGGATGCTAAGTAGCTTTGACGCCTTTCACGAAATGCTCTTTGTGATGCACGATTTTGTGCTTTTCGTTTCGTTGGCGGTTCAACTTCGCTTGGCTTTCGACCAGGTTTGGCACGAGCAGGTAATACCCATTCTTTTTTCGGCTGAATCTTGTCAGTTGTGTCTCCTTCTGTCTCTCGTGCGTTTGTAGTGGAAGATGAAGGCGATTGCGATTCTTGATCTGAATAGTCATCATCTGAAATCACACTCTCGTAATCTTCTTGTAGTGACATCTTCTCACGTTCTTCTTCCAGTCTTTTAGCTTGTGCATTGAGTGATGATGTGGATGTTGATGACGTGTGAATGATTTTTGACGCAGGAGGGACAGATGTCGTCTGCTTTGAGGTGTAAGAGTGGGCGGCAGTTGTCTCATTCTTTCCACTCTTTGTCGGAACCAATGGTGCAAGTTTCCTTACTGTAGTAGATGATGATGAATTAATTGAAGGAGAAGCTTTGGCCGCAATCAAAGGCTTCAAGGGTCTTGCTCCTTGAGCAGGTGCAATCTTTGATGGTGCAGGTGCCAACGTTCTCGCTTTTGATGTGTTGTTTGTGGTAGCACTTTTGCTGGATGTCGTCGCTGTTGGCTTGGCAGGTGCCAATGGTCTCATCATCGTAGTAGGTGTTGCCATTCTTTTGTGCGAAAGATGATGATGGTGATAAAAATCAATGCATTACTGAATCCAATGTTCATGCACAACAGATCAAAGGATTGATATGACTTGCATCCGTTTCAATCGTATCCAAGTTGATTTGGCAACAATTGGCTTAAATCCGAAATTCAAGAAGTGGCTTTTAGGGTGCATACGTGGTAGAAATAGTAGCCAATAAAGCATCTATCTTATGCTGCTGAGCAGATGATGTTCAAGATTGAATTCTACTCTCTCGTTTGACGCATACATACACTAATTGATTATGTTCTTATTTATCTGATAAACCCAAAAACAGATCCCATCAATTTAATCAATCACAGCTTTAGGCCTGTCTGATAAAGAAATGCACGCGTATTGCATCAACAACTTTCTTGGCTCATTACATAATCATCCCCCTAAAACATAATCTGATTGGGTACCTTCCGCATGCTTTCTTTGCGGCTCACTCTCAAATGATGATAATCAGCAGCCAATAAACAATAGAATCAAAACAACCTTGTCTGTATGATAAATTAAAATCCCAAAGAGGTAGGGTAAATAAGGGAAAAAAGAGGCAAGTACAAAAGTTGACTTGTGCCGTGCAAAGATGATGATAAAATAGTACAAATAAGAATGATAAGCCAAAAAAAATTGCATAATTTTGTTTCTCCTGGAAAACTTGAAGACGAAAAAAGAAGATGATAAAGCAAACGCCTCTGTGCAAAATCCAGCTTTTCGGCGGATGTTGAAAGCAAGCATTCTATATATATATCGGAGAAGAAGAGAAAAGAAGAATTGCTAAACGATCACAATGATCGAATGTGCTGAAGAAGTCGAAAACCATGTACCACTATAAACCCATTACTGTATAATGCTCTAAACGACCTTTATTTATTGACCGCCAACTGCATTTGCCATATCGAGTAGTCCCTTGTATACGTTTGTCAAGTCAGCCAAATTGCTGTCAGGTGTAGGTGGAGCTGTGGAAGAAGCACTCTCGGTGGAGGATGAGGAAGACGAGGAGGAAGATGAGGAGGAAGATGAGCTTGAGGTAGAAGACGAAGATGAGGAGGAGGAGGTAGATGTAGAGGTGGGTGTGGAAGATGTGCTCTTCATTGGCGTAGGAGATGGCGATTGCGTTTTTGGTTTAGGAGATGGCTTTTGTTGTTGTTGACCTGAACCTGAGCCAGAATCAGAACCAGAATCGCTACTTCCATCATCACCTCCTCCGTTCAAAGGCTTCCATGACATCTGGAAAACACCTGCACCAAAGTTGGCAAAAGCGCCAAATAATCCTTTACTCATATCCAAGCTTCCATAAGCACATGATGGGCAGCAGTCTACAACGGTTGCCACTTCCGATTTTCCTCCGTAGGTAATCAAGATTTTTTGACCGCACCATTTGGATACCGCTCCTGGATTACCGTATTGAGCGATATTTAGAGCAACAATTTTATCGCTTGGTGATGTATATCCACCACATGCACCTTCACTGACTGCGTTGTTGTAAAATGTTGCTTGACCTCCATAACGCTTTTGTAGGTTGACATAGTGTGGAACATGTTCATCACTTCTTTCTTCGATTGGGTTGTTGTTACTGCGAACCCGACGAACGAGTCCACGATGTTGTTGTTTAGATTCGCTTGTAGAAGCAGAAACTGTTGCAGCCAAAGCGACTGCAAAGAGTGTGATACTTGTTGAAAACTTCATTGTTGTGTTGTATTCGAGCGAGCGAGAGTATGTGTGTGTGTGTGTATGCTTTGTTGTCTTTGTTGTTAGTGAACGAGTTTATCCAAAAGAAGCCGGTTTTTTTGGAGTGCGACTGGTGAAGTGAATGTTTGACAGCTGATAGCCCTTCTAGGGAGAAATGATTGTGTCGTTACAAAAAGAAGGGGGAGACGGAAAGGAGAGTCGAATGAAGATGATGGCGATCAATAAGGATGATTGACAATTGACAATTCTGTTCCTGCGCGCGCAAAATGTATAGGCAGACATACGATTTTTGAATGGTCCCCATTACCAAACAACATACGGCCTTCTTTTGCGGTTCAATTGACCGTAGATGCAGTCAAACTGAACTTTCGCTTATGGGCGTTACTTCCGTCGCTCATGTTGATCTTGATCTAATTCGAAAGAACAAGCTAAAGGGTCACTCTCTGTCTGCATAATGCAGCTGCTGTTCTTTAGATTTCATTTTGACACAGTCTTCTTCTCTTTTGCAGTTTCAGCATTTAGGGGCATTGCCATCAAAGGTAAACAATACAATCAGCCTTTCTTTACAGAACAACGAAAAGAGCACTTTATGCGTCATTTATTGCTTGGTTTTTCACAATGGATGTGTTGAATCATTTTACCATTCAAGCCTTTATAGTCTCAAAAACAGTGTAAAAGTGCCTGCAATAAAATAGGTTGTGAACTTTTGTTTGTTTTAAAATCAAAACACGCTAAACAAACTTTTGGGCGTCACACCACGGCGCCGTTTTGATTAAAAAGCAGAGCATCGTCGATTGTTCTTCTAAAGAATAAAAGAAGATTAGCCACAAGTAAGGGCACAATTACAGTATGATCAACAACGTGCACAAGCGCCGCGCTTACTCAGTCGATCTAAAGAAGATGTCAATCGAATGAGAAATCCGAAAGTGATGACCCTTGGAGGTGCTAATGTATGCGCTTTCCATGACAACGAGCATTGCATTTGACACTCGATGATAAAAGAGAGCAAATGTGATGTGCGTGCCTGCATAAGAGAGTAATCTTCATAACATTGTCAAGGAAGAAGAATCTAGAAAGCTAGGTACAAGAATAAAAGATGAAATCGAGAAATGAAATTAAAAAGGCCACTCAATGCACATCAAATTCAACGCTGATGGCGTGAGTGTTGATTGCGTACATGCTCATCACGTAAGTGTTCTGGCAATAAATTGTTCGCAGCTTTATTATGATAATCTTGCAAAGCTCTGCCTGTCACATGCACTTGAGCGGCTTGATGTTTCAAGAGTTGATGTGCACGTATTTCTTCTGGTTTTGCATTCTCTTTGAGCTTCTGAGTAAGGGCTAAATTTGCCAATTCTACCGAAGCTGCAGATCTGAATTCAGTATGACGATGAACATCATATCTACGTTTCGTTTCACCTGAAAGATGCTCTCTTCTTGGCGTATAGCTTCTTCCATATTTTGAATAATTAAGTGCTTTTTCAATTTTCTTTCTACGAGAATCTGCACGATCTTGTTCTTCTAATTCTCTTGCTCGACGTGGTGAAGTTGGCGTCGGATCATCTCCGAAAATGTTATGTCCAACAACAACACGACGAACTTCACCATGAACTTCAAAGAACGTGTTCATCCATGCTAAAAAGATGAAAGCGACAGAGAAGAAAGTAACTTGCAACATTGTAAAAGATGGTATGAAGAAATATTTGTAATGTAGAAAGGCCATTTTTCTCTCTCTTTTATACTCTTTATCTGACCAGGAATTTCGATTGACGAGTTGTTTGCAGCCCCTTGATAAGGCGAGTCGGGTCGACTGGAAAAAGAGTTCTAGGTGCCCTTCAAAATCCCGACTTGATTGGCAAATGTATGTGGGACTTCGGTTGGCAAATGTATGTGGGGCTTTCGTTGGCAGATGTGTAATGGGGCTATGCTGTCCATGGAACAAGCTACGTTTTACCGCATGAGTCTAATATGACAACGCCAGATTCGAACAAAAATGTATTCATGACATAGAGATGATACTAAAAGATAAGAATGATACAAGCAAATAAACTTAGTCTCGGAAGTGTTTGGGCAATAATGCATCTGCTGCTTTAGCATGTATATTCCTACCCATTATCGCCAAAGGACGCACATGTGCTGCTTGATGTAACTCCAGACTTTGCTGTTGCATCTTTTCCTTTTGTTCATAGTGTCGAATCGGTCTTTCGTGTAAAAGATAATGTGCCATTTCACTTGCTTTCTCATATTGATGTTGAAATTCACGATTACGATCGTATTTTGCCAAATCTTGCTCCGCGACAAATTTCCTTCTTGGAGTTTGTGGACGTCGTTCTTTGGATTCATCAACAAGATCATGCACCCTTGCAGTTTGATGAGCCAACAGCAAGGTTTCCATTTGTTCTCCTGTGAAAGGAAGGGTGTGACTGTCTGAACGATCTGGACGGACTGGGACGCAGTCCACGCACACTACCACCAATGCCAAGATGCACAAAAGCTTAAAGATAGAGATCATCATGATCAGATTTGCATGCGTTTGAAGTTATGTATCAGTTGTAGAGATAGAAGAAGGAAGATTCAAGTGTCTTGTAGAACCGTCTTATCTAGTATTATTTCCAACACCACGCCAAGTGCATCTTGTTCTGGTAACCCCGATGAGGAGATAAAGTAGCTCAACGTGATGAAGGGGTTGCGTGATCTCTTTCTGGATGCTGTGCTTTATTTCATCATGCCACGAGAGAAAGCTGCGTTGTACTACTTTTTGCCTAGTTCAAAGTCTAAAATCTTTGGAAAGTTCCAGTGACACAGCAGAAAAGAACCCAAATGAAGGCCAACAAAGCGAGTGAGAGACACTAAGCAAGGCAAACGAGAAAAGATATGGAATTCAAGAAAGATATAGTTGGCACGATAACAGTGAATTGCGATACAAAAAATAATGCAAGGTAAATTTGCTGAAATAATAAGCTTCCCAATCAATGTTTCTTGTTGCCTGCTTTGACAGGAGATAATGGTCTAATTAGTTTATCTGCTTCTCGTCCCGCATGTTTGCTAAAATGGCTGGACAGACCACCACCAATATAAACAACCTTTTTGTCGTCCCCTTGAGCGTTTCCGATTGTCTCTTTACCAATCTTACCAATACGTCCAAACGTTTGTTCTTGTTGTCGAAGATGAGCGTACTTTTCTTGATCATCGGGATGGACTCTTGCTTTTCTTGGCGAATCGGGTCGTTTTTCATAAATGTGTTTAATCTGTTCTCTTGATTCAGAACTGAATGATGACAAATCGCCTTTTGGTCGAATGTCTTGTAAAAACTGGGATCGCAAAGATCCTGATCGATTAAGCGTAGTTTTCTTATGCAAAGCGTTTTGCCCGGGTGCGCAGTCTGCGATGCCAATGAAGATATTCAGAGCAACAAAAATCAATGAAAAGCACAAAAAGGTATGAGTCGAAAGCATGGCAGTCATCTAGTAAGATTAGACAGCTTGAGGATGTGAAGCTAGACATACACATCTCGAGTTATTTTCTACTTATGTACCTTTTAATTCGGCATTTGGCAAAGCTTACAGTTTCCCCGATAATCAGAAGAACTCTCTTATTTGTAAAAACACAAAGCTATTCAAACTTTGCCGAGTTTTTCGTTTTTCAAGCCGCGCCACTGAAAAAGCATAAGAGGCATTGCCATAACAGGGAACCCCTACGCCAAGATATTCTCTCGATCCATTCTTTGCCACTTAACTCCTTTTTCCGGTGTTTGCCGGGACTATTTTCACTGGTCGAATCAACACTGGCTGACGCAGCACATTCAGCAAACATTTAGAAGTGAGTAAAGGCAATGCAGAGAAGAAAGTGTATCATACCTGACGTAGTCATCAATGAATGAGTCCAAAAAATTCACCTCATAATACACGAAGTGAAGAAAGGCGTATTTTTGTATTTTGATGAAATCCATCATTTGCCCTTTGTGTATCGGGACTTTAAATTTTGTGTAAAGTCGGATTGATACAAAAAATAGGCACAAAATCATGATGGCATTCCATTCGAACTACGTCTGATGACGGGATGACACTCGTCGCATACTCGAAAGGAGGGACATTCGAATTTTCAGTCGCAAAACTCGATCATTTTAGCTCCGACCCACAACTTAGCAATAAAGGCCCCTGGTCGAGATGTCTGAGTACTGCAGGGAAGGAAGATTTCGTCATCGTTGCTGACACTCTTTTCTTAGTACATCCCCGGAATAAATGCATCATTCGGGGCTGTACAGTCCGGTGATACCTCGGTGGATGCTCATAAAAGCTCCACAAAGGTTTTCCTTCTCTTTCTCGTTCGAGTCGAGAAACTATATAAAGAGGGATTTTGACTAGTGTATTTGCGACTCATAGCATCAAAACAAATTGTCATTTCAATTCTTAACGTAATGGCTTTCTCTTCTCTCAAATCTGCCATGAACTTTTCAATTGCCATCTACTTGACATCGTGGCTCCTGATTTCATTGCAATTAGCAAGTTGCACTCCGGTAACGACCACGAATACTGATTCTACTGGCCATGGAACGCATTACCCAGCTAGCAACAAAGTAGTAAAGACACCTACTGAATGGCTTCAAGGCAAAAAGCCGCCACCAAACCCAAATACTCCAGGTGTAAATGCCGTAATGGATCAAGTTTATGCACAACGTCCTCATTCCCCTCGCCGTGCCAGCGTTGCAGCCCAAAACCGTCCAATTTATGATCTTAGTCGTCAAAAAGCGTATACCTATGGTCGCATGGATAATGTGGTATCATTTGGTATTAAACATGGTAAATTTAGTGATAATAAAAAGCAAGAAATGGGCGTTACCCGTGGAGTAGTCAATGATTTAAAACTGAAGTACCATGACAGGGCAGAAGCTCTTTTACCTCATCATTGATGTCTACACGTCTATTGCAAACTTTTTCAGCAATTCCTTCGAACAGCGCTTGGTAAGGCTTCTGATACGCTGTCTCTTCTCCTTTCACTCGGCTTCTATACCTATTTTCCCACTTTTTCTTTGATTCTAAATCTCATATGTTTTCTCAGAAAGTTTTTAAAGAAGGAATTTCGATTACAGCGAATGGCTAGATAAGAAATAAAGCTGAATGGCCTTTCTTGCTAGGAAAAGAAAGCCTATTTAAGGGGTAAATGGAACACTTCATGACTCGAAGGATTGGAGCATTGGACATCAAGCATGTTCAGCCGACTTCGGCAAGAGGATTATGAATTAGTGTCTTTGCTACGGAAAAGCTGTACAAAAGGCTGAGCAGGATTTGTATAGTGGATAAAGGTCGGGCTAGATAAATCATACCTTATACCGGAAGACACGAAGCTTTGATGTGGTGAGATAACAGTCATGCTGATCCATGACTGCTTTTACCTTACAACCAGCTCGTATCCCCTGAAGGTCAGGGCCACTTAGTTCGAGGACCATTTGGATTCTTTACGATCGCGTTTGCTTTTCGACCGAAGCTTTGAGCACGAACACGTTCATGATGACCAAGCATACTGGCTTCTTCTTTTTCCTCAAGAGTGCTTACGCCTTGTTTAGCTGTATGATCATAAATTTTTGCGTTTCCATTGTGAGCATGCTCTAGATCTTTGGCTTGTTTATACGAAATTTGACGATGGATAGGTAAACGAGATCTCGTCGGAGTTTCTGCGCGTGGTTGACGTGCTGAAACTGCTAAGATTTGTTCATGATCAGTCATCATATGTTGTTCTTCTGTATCAATATGTTTTGATTTTGGAGGATATCTGTTTTGCAAGGTCATACTTCGTTCGAATGCATGAGGCAATGGTCCTTTAAAGCTGGGGTTCGTCTTAGGCCTGTATTTCTGTAAAGATGACGGAGAATGTGGATTGCTCGAGTCCCCATGTTCCGGCAAGCCACCAAATACTGGTTGCAATAGGAAAAAGCAAGCCAATGTAGCGAACGCTGGAAAGTTCGTCAAAGAGAGCATCATGATAAAATGAGTGCAGTCGTAGGAAGGCGTTGTGCAAAAAAAATATCCCCCTTATATATGTTTGGGTTTGACGTCTGTCAAATTGTACACAAACAATCAAAAGCAGCCGTGAAGAGCATTACACATTAAGCGGGGCTTTCTGCGGTACAATAACTGCTGTAACAGCCGCGAGGGAGGTCGTTATGTTGGACATCGAAGTCCACAAAGCAAAGCCCCCCACAGCACATCTTTTCGGCAATATGCACTTACCGAACAGATAAGCAGTCATTTGGCCGACAAGCATAAGATCTCGTCAAGACCAGTTGTTGCGTCTCGTTGAATGCCCCTTACCCGGAACATTTGATACCGCTGCTGTGTGCTGCTGATGTCATCAGGACGTACAACGGGTTTCAATGCGTGAAAATTGCTAAAGTAGACTGAAAAATCCGATCTCAAGATAAGCTTTTTAATTTATGCAAGATAGAGTAGGTATATTTATAAAAGTACAATTTGCTCTCTTTCCTTCATTATCTGCTAACGACGCCCAATCCATGCCTACGCAAAGAAGCAATATGACCAGCCTGCAACGCAACTTGCTGTAATGTGATACGTTGTGAAGATTGTCTTTTTCTTTGTTTAAAGGTTGTGAATTTATCAAATTCTTCTCCAGGTAACGTTAGATGGAAATTCTCTTTTTCTTCGCCGTTGTTGGCTTGAATTGCATCAAAGAATCTTCTATTTGCTCGAATCAAATTTTCTCCACAAGGTGCAGAAAGTGAAGCTTTTTCGTCATTTGATCGGATCGGAGGACTTGGAGCATGATCCAAAAGAGTGGAAAGTGAAAATGATGCAGGTGATCTGGTCAAGGGAGATCTGCGTACTTTGCGAATGCGAGAAGAGGAAGCAATGACTTCTTCACTTTCGCTTGATTCATCGGATGAGAAAGCGGATCGTACATCGTCCGGAACATCTGCCGCTTCCTTTACAGAGGGGGAAGGTAAAGAATCAAACGGGTTCTCAGGCAATCCATACGTAGGAGAAAGATAGTAAGCAATAGAAGGTGATGAGGAAACGCTTGATTCAAGCTTTTTTATGCTTGACTTCTTTGCTGCGAAATAACTTGATTCAAATGCAAGATTACCCGCTCCTCCTGAAACATTTCCAAATACCGCCCCATACAAAGGACCATGGCAAACGATTGTGTCATCATTGGAAGATTGATTAGAGATTGCGTTCCTTCGTTGAAGTTGTGGTCGGGTAGGCTTTTTCTCAGACTCTTGATGAAGGACTACCTCAACCGGTTCAGGTATAAGGGTACCAAAAGGGTTTTGTTCTTGCAGGGGAATGATTTTGAGTATATTCATAGCATCTAATAAAGTCTTTGAAGGTGATTCAGGTGTACCGATCAATGTCTCATCAGAGCATGATGATGGTGAGAGTTCTGGCATATACTCCATGATTGTTGTTTGTGTTGTCGTTGTTAGTCGGAAGGGGGATGGAATGATATCAAGATTCTCCAGCATGTTTTTATACCATTCTATATCATTGCAAGGGTCCCGTTGAACATTTTCAAGAAATGATTGTCACGATCGGTGGCGTTAAAGAGGTAAGAGCGGCGATTGCTTGCATGAAAAAAAGGCGTGGTAAACAGACTAAAATATTCTTCCAAACAAGCGGATAAGTTGACAGATCTGAAAAAGGTATTCACTAAGCTGAGTAAAGGTAGAGAACACTTTGACAATCGGAGTGTTGCATGTTTGGGTCTAGATCGTTTATGCCTTTGTGAGGAGATTGTCGGAGCACCAGAAGACTTACCTGAATCAGTGCATATAATGCAGTTTTAGTAAGATCTTCAAGCATCGGAATATATTTCCCAAACCAATGGCAAAGTGTTTGATATTCGGTTCCTACATATTTCCTTTCAAGAGGATGAGTGTGAATTGCCACGAAGAATGAATGCATTCAACCGAACTTTCCCCTTTGTGTTGTTGTTGTGTTGTGCCTGAAAAGTGGCACTAGTCTTGACGCGTAGTAAACAAGAAGGGATCTTTACACGCTTAGCCCTGCGCGTGGCGTGGCGTGTAAAAGTAAGTAAGGTCTATCCATTGTGTACTGCAAGATGCCTAAGTTGGCTTTAAAAAACTCAAGCCACGGGCAAACACACAGCTTAAAATTACAGCAAAAGGGTCCAGGCCGAGTTACCTGCCACAACAATCACCATAAAACTAACAATCCTTTCTTATCCACCAACATCATTAAAGTGAGGCGATCAATCATCACGTGGCGTCATCCTGTTTTACATACATAATCATACAGGGATGTGGCTTCTCTTCGGACACCGTTTCATAAGCAAAACCCGCGGTGATAAGTGTTGATCATAAAATACCGCAATCGAGAATGATCGAGAAAGGCTTTAGCAAGCTATTATTGGAGTCTTTCTGGCCAAAACCTACTTACATCCAATCCTAAGTAGCCCAAGTCATCATTCAAGAATCCCAACACAAAGTAAACTCAGCCATCATTCCTTCCTTAAACGGAATCGTCCGTGAAGATCGGAGAGAAAGCCACTTGCTAACACGCCAAAATATCAAACAATGAATAAGGATAGGATATGTAATTGTTCATCTTTGTTCCCGAGAATATTTTTGAAAGAATGTATGCTATGGAGATATAGATGACAAATAACCGTTTTAAAGAAGGTGCCAGCTCAACTCGTGATCTCGAACCGCGCAAATATGCAAGCAGGTGAGCATCAAACGAAGAGGGCGAATTATGATAAAAGAGGGGTTTTAGAAGAAGAAGAAAATGAGAGAGTGTGTTCGTGTTTAATCTTTCTTAACACAGCACCAGGATGAGTCGCATTTTGTGCTATCACTTCCTTTTGCGCTTTCCGATCCAGTCTGTTGACCGTTGGAGCCAAAGTTGAGAATGTTCAAAGTGACGGAAAGGCCACTCAAGTCAAGGAGATCATTGTCAGACTTTTGGATGATGTTTCCTTGGCTCACTGGGCTGTATCCGCTTGGGCAACTTGGCTGTTTGTTACCACCGCTTCCCGATCCGGATCCGGATCCTCCATTGCCTTTAGCACAGCACCAGGCTGAGTTGCACTTTGTGCTATCGCTTCCCTTTGCAGTTTCTGATCCAGTTTGTTGACCATTGGATCCAAAGTTGAGGATGTTCAAGGTAACAGAAGCGTCGCTCAAATCAAGAAGATCGTTGTCAGACTTTTGGATGATGTTACCTTGGCTGATTGGGGCGTAACCGCTAGGGCAGTGTGGTTGTTTGTCACCGCCACTTCCTGATCCGGATCCGCTTCCTCCATTACCTTTAGCACAGCACCAAGCTGAGTTGCACTTAGTGCTGTCACTTCCCTTGGCGGTCTCTGATCCAGTTTGTTTACCATTAGATCCAAAGTTGAGGATGTTCAAAACAACGGATGCGTCACTTAAGTCAAGGAGATCGTTGTCGGATTTTTGGATGATGTTACCTTGGCTGATTGGGGCGTAACCGCTGGGGCAGTGAGGTTGTTTGTCACCACCACTTCCTGATCCGGATCCGCTTCCTCCATTGCCTTTAGCACAGCACCAAGCTGAGTTGCACTTTGTGCTATCGCTTCCCTTGGCGGTCTCTGATCCAGTTTGTTGACCATTAGATCCAAAGTTGAGGATGTTCAAAACAACGGAAGCGTCGCTCAAATCGAGAAGGTCATTGTCAGACTTTTGGATGATGTTACCTTGGCTGATTGGGGCGTAACCACTGGGGCAGTGTGGTTGTTCACCACCACTTCCTGATCCGTTTCCTCCGTTACCTTTAGCACAGCACCAAGCTGAGTTGCACTTAGTGCTGTCACTTCCCTTGGCGGTCTCTGATCCAGTTTGTTGACCATTAGATCCAAAGTTGAGGATGTTCAAAACAACGGAAGCGTCGCTCAAATCGAGAAGGTCATTGTCGGATTTTTGGATGATGTTACCTTGGCTGATTGGGGCGTAACCACTGGGGCAGTGTGGTTGTTCACCACCACTTCCTGATCCGTTTCCTCCATTACCCTTAGCACAGCACCAGGCTGAGTTGCACTTTGTGCTATCGCTTCCCTTTGCAGTTTCTGATCCGGTTTGTTGGCCATTGGATCCAAAGTTGAGGATGTTCAAGACAACGGAAGCGTCGCTCAAATCGAGAAGGTCATTGTCGGATTTTTGAATGATGTTACCTTGGCTGATTGGGGCGTAACCACTGGGGCAGTGTGGTTGTTCACCACCACTTCCTGATCCGTTTCCTCCATTACCTTTAGCACAGCACCAAGCTGAGTTGCACTTTGTGCTGTCACTTCCCTTGGCGGTCTCTGAACCGGTTTGTTGGCCATTGGATCCAAAGTTGAGGATGTTCAAGACAACGGAAGCATCACTCAAGTCAAGAAGATCGTTGTCGGATTTTTGGATGATGTTACCTTGGCTGATTGGGGCGTAACCACTGGGGCAGTGTGGTTGTTCACCACCCGAACCACTACCACCAGATCCGGATGAAACGCAGCAAGTGGTAGAAGTGCATACTGTCTGATCTTTTGGAGATGCAGTTGATTGGCCAGTTTGTTTACCGTTCGATCCAAAGTTGAGAATGTTCAAGACAACGGAAGCATCACTCAAATCGAGGAGGTCGTTATCAGATTTTTGAATGATGTTACCTTGAGAGACAGGTGCGCTTCCTGGGGGGCAAACGCCGCCATTGCTTCCTGGAAGAGGCTTGTAACAGCATGTATCAGCATCGCACTTTGGTTGACTTTTTGCGAGAACTTGAGAGCCACCAGTTTGTTGACCATTGGATCCAAAGTTGAGCAAGTTGAGAACAACATCAGCACCGCTAGCGTCGATCAAGTCGTTGTGGTTGATTTGAATAACGTCACCGTTGCTTGCTTTAGTATATCCAGAGGGACATGTACCGGGAGGTGCACTACCTACGGGCTTAACACAGCAAGCATCACTTTGGCAAGTTGGTTTATCGGAAGCAGGTTTGGATTCAGAAGTTTGAGCGGCGTTTTGGAAGAAGTTCAAAATATCAAGGTTCACGGTTAATCCACTCAAATCCAAAAGATCGTTGTCGTTCTCTTGGTAAACGTTTCCTTTGCTAACGTATTGGTAACCGCTTGGGCAATTTCCGTTGGGTTTGTAGCAGCAAGTGTCAGAGTTGCATTTTGGCGAGCTTGTGATTGGTTCGTTTTGTGTGGCAGATTGTTTACCATCTGAACCGAAGTTCAAGATGTTCAAATCAATGGTCAATCCACTCAAGTCGACTAAATCATTATGATTGACTTGAATGACATCACCTTGATGAGCGGGTTGATAACCGGGTGGGCATTGTCCATTTCCGCCTGTGGGAGGGGTTTGGCCGCCACCGCCGCCTGTTGGAGGGTTTGAACCGTTTCCGCCAGATGGAGGGTTTGAACCATTTCCGCCAGATGGAGGGTTTGAACCGTTTCCGCCAGATGGAGGGTTTGAGCCATTTCCGCCAGATGGAGGGTTTGAACCGTTTCCGCCAGATGGGGGGTTTGAGCCTCCTGAACCTGATCCACCGTTGCCACCATTGCCACCTTGGCCTCCATTGCCTCCATTGCCTCCACTGTTGCCTCCGCCGTTGCCTCCATTGCCACCGTTGCCTCCATTGCCTCCATTGCCACCATTGCCTCCACTGTTGCCTCCGCCGTTGCCTCCATTGCCTCCATTGCCTCCATTGCCACCATTGCCTCCGTTGTTGTATTGGCCGCCTCCGCCAGAAGAGCTGCCACTGCTACCTGAACCGCCGCCGTTTCCTTTTCCAGAGCACTGAAATGAAAGAAGAAAGTCAGTAAAGAATAATTTCCACCGTGAGAATTGAATAAACTCACATGACATGTGTAACCTCCACCCCACAATGTCCATTTCTCTTCAGATTGACCACGTCTTTCCAAGTCATTATGAAGATGACCTGCGAAATCGTAATTTGCACGACGTAAAAGTTCAATTGCTTGATCAATTTCACTTGGATTGATCTTGTTTGATCTGATTTCATTTCCTACTCTACGTGGAGCAGCACGAGCTTCTGAACTTGCCAATCCCAAAGCAAGTGCCACCATTAAAAGTGGTGCTGTGAAGAAAAAACGAGCCATGATGATGTAATCGGATAATGAATGTGTAGGGAAAGGGAAAGGGAGAGTGATGAAAGAGGGGGAGGGGGGAAAAGGTCAAGATGAATGGACCTTGATGGGGTTCGTGATTTTGAAATGAAAATTGAATTAAAAGGCCGTCTTTTATATGTTTAAAATGTTGGAAGCATGTTCTTTTCGGCAACCCCAAAAAAGGTCCTTCGCACTTTAACGGAAAAAGATCACAGAAGAGGCTCAAACGCAGGGCAGAAAGAACTTTGCATCGATCAGGAGATTGTTCACATGTGCTTGGACTTCCATCTGAGACAAGACCTCATAAAAAGGGATACCGTCCCGAGACATGCAAACAATGATAGACTACTCAAGAAGGGAAATCATGTCTTAACATGCAAGTGACAGTATAATTCATGCAAATTGATATAAGCTGCATGACTATCAAGTTCATAGTGAGACTTCTTAGAAGGAAGAGCGGATAGCCATGGGCCCCTGGAGGAAAAGGGTCAACTGATGTATCGGTCTTTGAACTGTAAGGTTAACGTACATAGATTGATGCCCGTGTTAATTAAAATGTCGCATATCTCGATTGAGGAGTCAATAAGGATAAGTTTTCCGGATATGCGGGTGATTGTTCTATAGTATGCTTACACTGAATTTTCACCTCTTAGTCATGTTCTGTGTAACCCCTTCTTTTGCCGATCAAAAGATGTGGGAAAGCGATCCGTGAATGAATGAAATGATCTTTTTAGTTGGTGCATGATTGGAGTTTCTAGACTAGGAACAGGAGAAGCCGTAAAGGAAAGAGAACAATGCGCGGATCGTTTATCTCAATTACCCCGTTCAGCCTCTCCGTTAATAGCGTACAAGATGTGCAGTACAGTACATACATTGATTGTGAACTCTATTGTTTACTGCATCATAATGCCGTAATGACTAAAAATAGGGTGTGGGACATAGCTTGAAGGGTAAGGGCAATAAGAAGACGTATGATTTCAGGGCCAACGGACTCCGATGCAGTTACACTAACTAAGCAAGCGCACTTTTGTCATTATTGCGCCTGCCCTTACGCGCCTGTTTGAATGAATAAGCATCAGCATGCTGTTCTTCCTTCATCCACGCAATGGGCCACTCCCTACTTTGTTGTATATGCACCCTTAGTCCCACCTTAGCCTTGCTGCATGCCATAACCCTTGCGCAAGAAGAAGTAGGGGCAAAAAAGACCTCAACGGCAACAAAGAAATTAATTAATGTATGTTTGTTTGTATAGTAGTACACTTTGAATGAAAGCTTAAATTGAAATCATTGCCAATTTGTGGCACTGACACATAGATCGAATTTAGAATATTCCGATTTACTCGTCCGGGTTTGAAAGACATCCGTTTGAGGCCCTCGCTCATTCTATAGAATCATACAGAGGATCCGTTCGCTGGTTGGGAAATGAAGTACAGTGAAAAACACGGAGACCACGGATCTAACCACTTTGAGCGATAATGACCCCACAAGCATGTTTTATATAAAATGATGATGACCATTCAACGGGATATCCAAATGCGGAAAATAACAATGATTTCAATCAGTTTCAATCAGTTTCAGATACAAAGGTACGTAAACAGTGAGTGTTTAACAAATCTTCTTCTCTTCTGCTTACTTAGACTAGGAACATAAGCGTGCCGCGCTAAAAGATATAACAAAGATTAAAGTTAAAGTGTGTCTCACTTTTTGTTGAGTGAATGAGTGAGTGAGAAAGAGGCCGTCCGTTGTCGCTTCTTGGCTGGCCGAAGGATGTGCATCACGCTAAACGGCGAATAAGCAAACGAGTAAGGATGTCCATCGGCAAAAAGATGATATTGATAGAATCCACGTGGTGGTGATTAAAACGTTCGAGCCTTTTTATCGAATTCTTCTATTTTAAGGTTATAATCGGATCACAATCGGATAGAAGCGACCCTACGCTAAGAAAAGGCAAGGAGGTCACACGCTAAGGAGAGTTTTTGCATTAGCGTATGACGATAAAAAGAGTCTTCCTTCTTGCTTGCATAGGATATAGCTGCCATTTGTATATGTATTCTTACTCCTTACTCCACCTTATATAAGTTTGTCCAGACTTTCATTCAAATTAAGGTGTGAGACAAAATGAAATCGAATTAGGTAACCGTTGCAAAACAAATCATGACGATCAAAAGCATAACGCTCTTGCGATCCGGTTGAGTACGGATCAAAGGAAAAGTGAGGGTGGAGGCGGAGAGGGAGGAGGGAATAGGTGACACTTTGACAGAGAGACAGCCAACAAATTAACATGTTCCGCTGAGAATGCACAAATCAATATTGATTCCTTTAGCATCAATTAAGTCGTTGTCCTGATCAATTTCGGTAAAACCTGAACCTTCTTGATAACAACACGTTTCTGCATCGCATCGTTGACCGTTTTGAGCTTTTTGTTTCTTTGCTGCTGATCCACCAAAGTTCAAAATGTCCAAATTGATCGTAAGTCCCTTCAAGTCCACTAAATCATTATCTTGCTCAACAATCATTGTATCACCACGTCTTGCAGTTTGATAACCGTTGGGACATTTACCCGGATCAGCTTTAACGCAACAAGTTGAAGTTGTGCAGATCGAATCATCAGAAGCGGGAACTGTTTTTGAATCTTCTTGTTTACCACTTTTGCCAAAGTTGAGAATGTTTAAATCAATCGTCAATCCTTTCAAGTCGATCAAATCTGAATCCTGAGAGATGTAACGGTCACCTTGTTTGACTTCAGAATAGCCTGGTGGACAGGTCGTAGCTGTGCTGTCAGGGGCACGGCTTGTTGTCGTTGGAGTGGTGGAAGTGGTTGTACCACTACGTGTGAACGTACGAATACTCTCACTTGTACTCGTGATCGTTGAAGTAGAATCAGTAGCGGTGTTACTGGTAGGCTTGGCAGTTGAAGTGACGTCAGTGGAAGTGCTGCTCGTAGGCGTGCCTGTACTGCGTGTCTTCGTGTTGGTAGTTGGATCACCTGATGTACTGGTTGAAGTGGCCGTAGTTGAATGATGAAATGTGGTGGTCTTCACTTTTGAGGAGCTTGTAGAGCTGGCGTGTGGATGAGGGTGCGGATGATGAGAAGGATGATGGTGTTTTGGATGATGGCTTGGTAAGGGTGTACACTGTAGAAATGACTGTCAATTGATTGCAATCTTCATGGTAATTCTCTCTTCTACTCACCTCATACGAAATACCATCCTTGCCGTCCAAAATAAAAGGTTTTCCTTTGTGCGTTGTTCTACGAATCATTTTTGCAGAGCTTGCCGCTTCAACGCCATGACTTGCAACGAATAAGATTGACAAGATTGAAAGAAAGAATGTTGATTTCATCATGATGATTGGAAGAAGGTGTCGATCGGTGCTTGAGAGGGAAAAGAGGTTTCGATTGGAGGAGGATGGAGTGAGTTGAGTTGGGGGGACAGGAAGGAATTATCAAAGAAAAAGGGCCGCTTCTTATACCTTTCATTGCCAAGACCTCGGATGAAAAACTGCATCGTCAACGAAATGAATTCGACTCATCACATCCCAATCAATGTGTTCTATGTGCATCATTGGACCATTTCATATGCGCTTAGTTCATTTTGCATTCGGGAGTGCGGTCTAGATTTTGTCAGAGAAATGATTATTATGATAGAAGGCTCATATCACATCGACAGCGGGAGGAAAATAGAACTTGAAAACTGATGGAAACCGGTTTCAACGGAAAGCGACGACAACAAGTACATATCACACATCAATGAACCTATCATCGGATCCGGTGCATCACATTGCATGTCTCCTGTCCCACGAACGATGAAATGTGTCGTTTGTTCGTGTTTCTGCTTGCATACATGGCCATCAAACTTATATCAACCGACGCGTTCCCGGATCAAGGTTCATGACACACACCATTTGATAAGAAATGATAGATTATGTATACTATACAGATAATGCTGCTGCTGCTCAATACCCTTTCACAACTCTGTCTCCACTTGTCCGGCTCTACGGTCTTGCAATGTCAAACTGTTTGCAGCTCTACTACCACGATCACGAATTCCTCTGCCAATCCAAGTTACTGTTCGAACGCCTTTATATTGATTTAATCCTTTATGTTGCCTATGCAGTTCCTTCCTTTCGTCCTTCCAATTACGTAATCTATCCAAAATGCTTTCCTCATTTGCATATTCTCCCGCCGTGTTCTCCTCTTCATCATAATCACTTTCACTCTCACTCGGTTCACCTTCAACAGGTACCCTCCTCTCTCTTCTTTCTTCATCCTCGCTTTCATCTTCTGATGCTGATTCAACCACAGAAGATTTAGATTTGGCAGAACGACCAGAAGCAGATGATCGTTGACGTGAATGTCCAGGTCGTTGACCTTCTTCTTGTCCTAAATCACGACTTTCTCGTACTTGATCCATAGGCATCCCTTTCGTATTCCATCGCATATCTGAGAAATCTCCCATCACACTTCGTAAACCAACAGAAGTACATGCTCTCCATGCATCCATCACACATTTTGCATCAGGGTTGATCGATTCAAATTTGGTGTGAATCTTACCAACCCCACTTTTGAACTGCAACTTGACTTGCAAAGAACCCATCTTTTCCACTCCAAATCGGTGAGCTTCTTCTTCTTTACGGAAATTGTGATAGTTTTGTTGTAGTCGATGGAAATCTCCTCCTTCTTTTGCTCGCCAGATCGGCAGACAATAGTCGAGAATCTCGTCATCGGCGACATCTTGCATCCAAAGAATAGACATTGCAACCGTTTTATGCAGACCCAAAGCAGAATATGTTCGAAATTCGATCACAAAAGGCGTTGCATATCTACGCCTGACCGGAACTTTGACTGGGAATTCTTCTTTACGTAAATACCATTCAACTTCTCCCTTCTCGCGCTTATCAGTGTACTTCGCACGTCTTGATGAAATTCGATGTTGGCCAGCTAGTGTACGTGCTCGAATACTTGCAGAAGAAAGCACATTTGCACCTTCTTGGCCGTCGATCATCTCACTCGCATTCAAAGAAGATAAAATTCGCATCGTTCCGATATCCCATCCAAGTTTCTCTTTATGTCTGCTCAGAGCTTGAATCGGTCTAAATAGCAGCGAAACACGCAAATGACCACGTCCAACACCACCCGCAAGCGGGAAAACAGATGTGGCTTGAGAAGTAGATTGGAACAAATCGGTCAATTTGATCGGAACGACACCCAAGATTGCATCATCTTCCCGTAACCGATTGTCATAAACAACAAACATGACCAACGTTCTACGCCAATCACGGATAAATCGTTCTGTACCTGCATTGTAGAATGGATTGGTACTCAAAGCTTTCGTACGCGATCTGAATACAGTTTCATCATTTAAGATGATTGTCACATATGCACTTGGTGCGTTAGGTTTGTCTTCATCCGTGTCCACTGAGTCGACTTGTTGGCCTGCTTGCCCCATTCTTCGTCCTTTTGTTCCAACATTACGTTGACTACGCGAATCCGTTACTTCCAGTTTGGAGATTTGATGCACTTGCATCGACAAAACACCAGACGGCAAAGCGGGGTTTGGAGGTTCAAATGCAACTGCATGTTCGATATGACGTGTTTGTTGAGAAGTGATTCTACTGTCATACTGATCAAGATGTAGTTCTTTCAACTCTCGATGAATATCAGCCGTTTCTTGAGCCAATTCATCCTTGTTGTCTTTGTTGATATGAAAGTCTTTCCCTACCTCCACCTCTTTCACATCAATTGCGTCAGGATCTTGACTATCGACAAGTTCGGTTTCTTCCTCTTCTATTTTACGTGCTTCGTCACTTGTTAATCGTCTCTTGTTCGGCGTTTTGGCAAAGAAGCCAACTGACCAGTGTAACAGACCTTGCTTCTTAGAATCTTGCGTCAATCCAACAAGTGTGTCCGTTCGACGGAATAAACGGCCAGGTCTCTTTACTAATTCCAGTAAATCCACTTCTGCCCGTCCGAGAATATCATCAGCACTGAAGCGATCAGAGTCCCACAAACCAACACTAATCTTTTCACGAGCACGAACAGCTTCAGGATGAATTAACATCACATACCGTTCTTCCCATCGCGGTGACAGATCATCCAATGCGACCCTAGTAGCGTATTGCACCTTTCCATACTTTGCCAATTGAATTGTACAGTAGGGGTCGCTGGATCCCTGTACGTCTTGTTTTTCCAAATCGTGCGCAGAATGAATATAAATCACTGCCACTCCCAATGCGTCCACTTCACGTTTGATATTATCGCCCATCAACATTTCACCCATATCCATTGTGAGTGAAGAAGGTGCGCAATATTCACCCAAGGCAGCATCGATTGAGCCTTGAATGAATCCAGACAAGAGAGGGATATTGCTGGTATTAATGTGTAATGGAATCACTTCAACCCCTACTCTTGGCAATCCCATAAAGCTGAATGTAACGTTCTTGATGAATGGTGGATCGGGAGTCAGTTGAACACGAGTACGAACACTACCAACGATACCTTTGATTTCTACCCAAACAGGTAAAGGCACCGTTACGAGCTTTTTTGCACCAACCCAAAATTTGATCAACAGATGAGCATTTCGACTTTTACTTGCAACAGTATCTGCCGTTGGTCTTGCCCTGTACACGAAGCTAAGTTCGAGATTGATGAAAGTTCCGCCTAAATCCTCTGCCTTTTTCTTTTTATTGGAAGAATCGTCATCATCGAAGCCTTCCTGCTGACTAAGCTTTTTCTCTTCTTTCGTTCTTTCCTGGCGGAGATGCTCTTGTGAGGCAGCTTGAAGATCTTTTGCTTCGGCATCCGGCAATACTCTGAATCCAGTCATACGTAAAGGTGTACTTCCCTGGGCTAAATCTTCCACCTTGACCGCATGAATGAACTTTGGGATAGAGGCTTGCATCACATCTTCCAACGTTGCTCCCATACTCGAAAATAACTCCGGATTCATCACCGCCCATAATCCTTCCATGATGGCATTTAGCCATTCTGCTCCTTCTTTTACACCTTCTTGCGCTTCCCCAACTTCATCAAAAGATGTTTGCTTACGATCCTTTGGCGGGTTTCTTGCCTGCCGTCCTCTTTGTCTTTCACGCTCCCATCTGTTATCCTCGGCACCTTCCTGAAGCTTCTTGTGAGCCCACCATCCTAGCCAAGCTGCACCGATCACACTAAGAGCAGGATGAACAACTCCAAAGATCAACAATGCGGACCATAAAGCAAAAGCAGGCAACAAGAACGGATGAATCTTTAAAACGGAAGTCGGCAGATTTTGCAGAGGAGGGAATGGCATACTGAGTACGTTGTCCACCTCATTTATTTTTTTCGATCGTGCGATATTGCTCTGTGTTTGCGTTTCATCTCCATCCTCGTCATCATCGTCGCTACTCATACTACGTCGGAACAAAGACCCGTTTTTACTTTGTTTTCGAGCATGACCTTTCCCGCCCGTCATCACACCATTTGACTTTTTCCTGCGCAAACTTCCCCATCTACCCATAGTAGGAGAGCTTGTTCCTTGCATCGAGACGGGTGACGAAACTTGTACCTTAGCATCTCCAGAGTCTTTCGGTGGAAGTGGTGGAAGTTTGGTATTTAATGGTGTTAAATCACTTTTGCTCGTACTTGCTGCCATGGAAGCCGCTGGTCCACTTGATTGTCCATGGTTAGATGCTTGACCGATTTGATCAGCGTTTTGCATTGCACGATCGTATTCACGTTTACCCACATCATGAACGTATACCTTTTTGCCTGTGATTGGATCATCGACTAATCTAGATTTATGTGTTCGTCTTGTGACTGATGCGGCATTTTTGTTGGTTTGACTTGCTTGTGAGGATTGAGATAGATCTTCTGTTTGTGCTTGTGCTTCGTTGATGTCAATTTGATTTTGTGATTTGCTCTTGCTCTGTTCACGTTCTGCAATCTTTTGACCAAGTTTATCGGTTCCCAAGAATCCTTTACCTTCCTTTGCTGTACTATCTTTTTCTTCTTCTGATTCGCTATCACCTTCCCTTAGATTTGTGATTACATCAACTAAGCCTCTTTTGAAAAATCGTTGAATAGAAGGAATTGGTTTATTTTGTGAATAAAAATCTCGATTTCGATGATGAACGCCTGCTGCGCCTGGATGATTTGGTTTTAATTCAGATGATTCTGGTGCAGCAGTTGAAGGTGCAGACATCTTTGTAAGATTGATTGGGATGATGGAGTAAAGTGCACATCAGGAATGGCTTGGCATTTTAACATGGTTCAAAGAAGAAGAAGAAGAGCAAATGGCATACATTCGGTTATACCGCCCGATTCTTGGCGTATGCATTCAATCAATCCGCGGCTATTATGCGTGCGTAACGCCTGTCAATGTGATTTAAACCCTCCACAGGTATCAAACAATGAGCCTGCAGATCAAATTAACGCGTAAATCAAACAACAACACAATGGCACACAGCCCTTTTTTTACGACAAGACACTAAAAAATTAATTATGATGAATTCCGGCGGCAATTTCGATCATGACAACAACTACCCTAATGTACTAGAATGCACACGTTTTCATCTTTCATCAAAAGTTGATATTCAAGAGGGTCAATGTTATGATAGACTTACAAGATTTCACCCTTTGCCCTGAATGAATTTACACAAAGAGAGATATGGAGCAATTTCTTGCGCGGCCGAAATACTCTCCGACTGAATGCTATCACGACAGACAACACTCGGGTCTTCGGACTTGAAATTTGATGGTAATAAAGTTGTTGGTTATGCTCTGGAAATGTGTGTTCGGGGCTTAAAAATTTACCCCGTCCAACGAAATTGTTTCACTTTCGTTCAGGCAGCATGATTTACTCTTTCACTCAGGGTAATGATATGGAATCATTCTCATAATGCATTTGATCCAAGTTGCACTGCTACTTTTGACCATATCTGGAAGAGCATTTGCTCCCATTTCTCCTGGTGATGTAGATTCTGGCTGGCTAATACTGGCAACAGGTGAAGGTTCACATCAGCCTGCTAGCGAACAGAAAAGTGGAAGCCCAATTCATGATCCGCATTCCGCTCAATCTACTAGTGATGCTCCCACACCAGTCGTACCTATCGAACAGCCTGTCAAAAAGAGAAAAGGTCAACACATCAAAACACCTGAACAGATCGAAAGAATTCGTGCTGCATGGACACCAGAGCGCCGTAAAAGGCAATCCGAACTTGCTCGTTTGCAGACTTTCAATCGTGGTCCCGAATACAAAGCTAAGATAAGGGCATCTTGGACAGAAGAAAGGAGAAAGACACAAGCGGAAATTACTCGAAAGTCAAAGACAGGATTTGTTCATTCAAAAGAATCTCGAGCGAAAATGACCAAAAGTCGTTTAGGCACGAAAAGAAGTCAAGCTACAAAAGATAAAATTCGAGAAGCAATCAAACGATCACATGCTCTCAAAAAGGAACAAAAGTTCAAAGAACCACAATGATTTCGAACTGCATCGCGATAGTTCTCTTTCATTTCCTCTTCTGTTGTACTCTTTCGCCGGGGCTACAGAATTTATGCGTTTGCGAAAATGTCTTGCGAGCTTTATCTTGCGTCCCTTTTGCTCTTGCCATCATATCTAGAGAAGGCAGCATGCTGCTGTACAGAGCCTTCATTCTTATTTCACTTGCTATTCGATATACACATGGAACCTTGAAGCCCGAAGATATCGAACCTGGCTGGCTTACATTAGCTACAAATCCTACTCTTTCTCAACAGGGTAATCAGGCAGGGCATGAACATGCTGAACAGAGCCATTCGCATAATCTTCAACTGGATGATGCTGCAAGAGCAAGTCCGAATATAGAGATAGGTGCGAATCCTTCCACATCAAGCCTCCACTCACCAGGAACGACTAAGTACTTCAAGAGTCCCGTGACAAGAGCAAAAATGCGAGCAAAATGGACTGAAGAGAGGAGACAAAAATGGGGTGAAATGATGAGAGAAAGGAATAAGAAAACTCCTGCTTTCACAGCCAAAGGCAGAACAGTAACATTGGAGACAAGAAAAAAGATAAGTAGAAAGCGAAAGGGTATGAAGACAAAGCCGGATACAATCATAAAAATCTCTGATGCACTTACGAGACATTATGCTGCAAAACGGGCAAAAGAAACAGTCAAAGGGAAAGATCAAAAGCCAAAAATACAAGAAGAATAACCTTCCTTGCTCAACATCTCTTTACATCTTTATCCTTAGATCAGTTTCCTCTTTCTCGAAATGTGTATTGTCATAGCGGGGCTTCTCCCGCATACATGTTGAATTTGCGTAGTTTCTTTTGTACGCATCCGCTCGCATTCCCCTTTCCTCTTGCCATCATGAGAGAAAGTACCAAAATGTTGATTTGCACACTTTCCATCCTTGCTTTAGCTACCTTTTCGTTCACAAAAGGAGTATTAATGCCTGGCGATGTAGAGCCTGGCTGGTTGACACTGGGACTAAGCGAACAACAAACACAGGCACAACAAGGTCATATTGACGGATTACTTACCAAAAATGTGCGGAATGACTTGCCATCATCGGTCCCAAACGTCATGACTGGCTCCACACCCTCTATCCAAAATTCTCTTGAAAGACCAACAAGTAGATATTTTAAAAACTCGGAGACGAGAGCGAAAATACGGGCGAGCTGGACGAAAGAAAGAAGACAAAAGTTTGGACAAAAAATAGCAATTATAAACAGAGGCAGGAAGCATACACTGCAAGCCCGAGAAAATATGAAAAAAAGTCGTGTGAAAGTATCCAAGACAGAATCTCATAAAAAGAAGCTGTCCGATGCCATGTTCAAAGTACATGCTCTCAAAAAGGAGATTCAAAGAAAGAATCCGTAGCATTGCGGCTTGTTTCACACTTTCGTTTGTCTTTCTTTCATACTGTTTGTTGCTCTCGGGTCTTATGATAAAAAGTGCATTTCCCGGCCGTAAAGAATGTGGTTGTGCCAGTTCCTTCTCTGAAAGTTACCACCAACCAGAAATGAGAAAAATGAGAACACAAACACTACTTCAATCAATTTTTGCGATCTCATCAGTCTTTGTTGGAGTACGTTCAACAGTTTCTCCCAAAAATGATGATCGCGATTGGCTTACTTTAGCGACGGGATCATCAAGTGGTGTGCAAGAAGTGCAGGCCTCTTCGGCCAGACATCAATCTTCATCAAGTCACGTACAGCAACACCATCAGCAACACCCGCAAGAAGCACCCATGCAGCAAGCTTCGACGATGACACAGCGCAATGAGGATAATATGCCAAACAAGAAACCTTGCAAAAGCACACTACCACGGGGAAGAGGGCAGTACACTAGAACGTATGAAACCATCGAGAAACACCGAGCTTATTGGACTCCGGAGAAGAGAATGAAACAACGAGAAACAAGTCGTAGACTGAGAATCGGAAAGGTCTTAAGCGAAGAATCAAAGAAGGACATGAAACCAAAGAAAACAGGTAGAATAGTCAGTGACGCAACTCGAGAGAAGATGCGAAAAGCTCATTTGGGTCATAAGCCAAGTGAAGCTACAATACAAAAGATACGAGAAACCAAAAAACGAACAAGGGAGCAAAGGGAGCGAAAGAGTGATAAGCAACCACCAGACAAAGAGGCAAAAGGGTAAATAGCCTTTGTGCTCTGCACCGTAAATTCATGGGCTTTGTTTGCGTACACTATTTTCTTTGTTTATGTAGCGCCTTCGTGATTGTGTAGAATTGCTGTGCTCGATGCTCTTGAGTAGCGGCAGATCCATGTAATGCCTTCTGTTCTTTTATCAAGCTCTCACTACCAGAAAGTGCAAAGATGTTGATTCGCTACTTATTCATCCTCGCATGTATTTGCAGACTTTTTTTCGCATATCCTATCGAAACTTCAAACTCAGACTTTGGTTCAAGTGATCTTCTGATTTCTGTAAAGCCAGCTATCTCTCCTTATCTTGATGACACAGCTTCTAGCGCCTTGCTTGTTCAACAGTCTTTAGCAATGCCTAAACCTAAACCAGAAATAAGATCACCACCTGTACAAAAAGCCAGAAAGCCAACATACACTATCACGCCTTCTCATCGTGCAAAGATTTCTGCTGCTTGGACAAAGGAAAGAAGGGAAAGACAAAGCTTACTCTTTCGTAATCGTCTTTTGGGTCAAACTCATTCAACTGAAAGGAAGTTAAAAGTAAGTCAAGCTTTAATGGGAAGAACAACAAAGCAAGAAGTAAGGGAAAAACTGCGACAAGCTTCATTAGGCAAGCGTAAAAGCGAAGCTACTAAGCAAAAGATATCCGAATCAATTAAAAGAGTAATACAAAGAAAGAAGGAAATGCTACAGATCATTGACAAAACACCACTGAAAGACGATTAAGCTACCTTACACGGGATATTTCGTTCATAGTCACAACGGTGCTTCGTCCTGATCGAAGAAATGTAGCATCCCTATCTGAGGAATTATCCTGTTTTACTCATAAAAGGGCGTCTATTTTTATTTGCGTGACATATTCATTGAATAGGTTGTTAGAAGAGTAGAGCTTGAGATGGAGAATGCGTTTCGTCGGGGCCTGTAGTTTTACACTCAAAAGAAGGGATTTAGTCTCAGTACAAAAAACATCGCTTGATCTTACCATGATGTTCATTTTCACCATGCAACTGTTTCGAGTTCCGCTGCTGGTCCTAGTCATCCTCGGAAGAGCATATGCTCCTATCTCTCCTGGTGAGATTGATTCTGGCTGGCTAACACTTGCGACCGGTGGTGAGTCACAACAATCGACCAGCAGAGAGAAGAGTGGGAACCCAATTCAAACTCTACAAACCGCTCAACTTAACGTGGAAGTCTCCACACCAGTCTCAGCTGCCAATCAGCCTGTTCAAAAGAAAAAAGGTTCGCACTTCCTATCGCCTGAACATATTGAAAGCATTCGTGCTTCATGGACACCAGAGCGCCGTAAAAGACAAGCCGAGCTTGCTCGTTTACAGACTTTCACTCGTGGCCCCGAATACAAAGCCAAGATACGGGCATCTTGGACGGAAGAAAGGAAAGCAATGCAAAGTCAACTAAGTCGTGCTCGAAGATTAGGAAAACCCCATTCAAATGACGTGAAAATGAAGTTAAGTAAAGCTTTGACAGGAAAATTGAAAAGCCAGGAAACAAAGGAAAAAATGAGAAAATCTCGACTAGGAAAGTGTAAAAGTGAAGCTACAAAACAAAAGATAGCTGAGTCACTTAGGAGATCGAAACAAATGAAGAAAGAGATGCTACAAGATCCTCACCAGACTTTACCTAAACAAAAATAATCATTGCGGCATCCGCACATCATCCCAATGTGATGAATCACAGCATTCATTAGATACATTAGCCCGTGTAGCTCAGGGATGGGCAAAAAACATATGAACTACTTTTCAAATGATTCGGGGCTATTGCAGGTCCATAATGCAAATTGATAAAGTTGGACATGAGTAGTCTCTGTTCTCTTGACGACCAGCCCGTGTAGTTCAATAATGTTTCTTCTGTTGCAATTCATTGTTCAAGCTCTAGCAGTTTCCAGCGCAGTTCTTTCAATGCTCTCACCCGATGATGTAGAACCAGAATGGTTAACCTTGGCGACTGGAAGTTCAGCTGCAGACAATCAGTCTCCAGTCGCAAAAAAGTCACAAGGTGAATCTACCAATCAGCAATCTGACCTTTTACATCAGGTTCAAAACGCCAGTGACGGTCGACCAGTTCCGAACTGGACTGCAAAGGTAGTAGATAAAACTGGAAAGCACCCTGAGACCTCCCCCTCAAAGAAGCAGAGTCGAAAGTCGAATTGGACGCCAGAGAGAAGGATGCAACATGCAAAACGAATGAGTGAATCTCGTAAAGGGAAACCACTTTCTCTTGAAACTCGGCTAAGGATGAGTCAAGCAGCAACAGGCAGACAACTCAGTAAAGCTTCATTACTCAAATTGAGCAAATCTCATTCGGGCCTAAAACAAAGTCAAGCTACAAAAGATAAAATTCGTCAAACAGTTTTGCGTAATCTAGCAGCCAAAAAGGCAAATCAGCAACACCGATAAACAAAAAAAGGTATAGGGCATTTGCACTTGTATACATTATTGTACATACATTTATTGAGACCTTTTCGGGGCAATTCCAGTCTTGTAAGCATTCGTTTCAGGTGGTGTGATTGTGCCACCCAAATAAGCCTCATCAGCTCGTAATCCACGTTTATGAACTTGTGCAACAGGTGTGATGATGTTCTCAACGGCCAACTCATCAGCCGCTATGCCATGCTCGTTCAAATTTTGCAGTGCAATTGAATCCGCCAATGATGGCGTACCAACCGGTGAACCTCTTCCGTTTGGTGTGTGGGAAGGAGGGGTATGCGTGCGATGCAAGGCTGCTCTGGAGGAAGAAGCTGAAACTGATCGATCATTATTGGGACCTTCTCGTGAAGCAGCAATCTTGCCTACCACTCCTACATTTCGTAAAGTCAACACGACCAAAGCCAACGCAAGCAAGGTGAAAGCGACACATAACCATCCAGCAGCGCGATAACCTGCTAATCGTGCTTCTCTGTATGCTTCTGGCGTTGTGGTGGAATGTTCGCGGGTATACTTGTCTGTCACATACGTGGTGATCGATGTACTGGCAGCTAATCCGATAGAAGTAGCTAGACGGGTGGTTACGTTGAACAGGCTTCCTGCCAAAGCAGACCTTCTTGGACCGACTGTATAACATGCGAATAATTGTGCTGCAGGATAGAAAATGTCTGTAAAGACAATTAAGAACATGACCCACAACATTCCCTTTTCGTATCCGGCTTTTGGGTCCATAAAGATAAAGATCAAGCAAGATCCCACACTTCCTGCCAATCCTGACAAGATTAGCCAAAAAGCGCTGACCTTGTCCACGAGATATCCTCCCAAGATGTTCATCAGCAATCCTACGCCGATCATTGGCAAGAAGCGAATAGATGTTGCCAATGGCTTAAGTTCTTGAACTTCTTGAAAGTATAGCGTGCAGTAGTATGTCAGTGTGTTGAACGATAGCCAAGAGAAAAAGATTGTTGCCAGCAACGATGCAAAACAAGGTGCAGACCAAATACTAGGCGGAATAAGAGGAGCACGTAGAGAAGGTTCAATTCGTTGTTGTCTTTCATTTGCACCTCCAACAATAGAAGATGTTTGACGTTGCACTTGTACTTCCCACAAAAAGAAACTTAACATGAGCGATGCACCGATCGGAACCATTGAAATGACTGGCACACTAGCCCAACCTCTCTTTTCTGTTCCTGAGAAAGCGATACCTAAAGTGAACATGACCATACCGGAAGTGCATAAAATTGCACCGAACCAATCGAATGCTTTGAGAGGTGCAGCCCTTCTGACTTCACCAGAGCCACTGATATCGCGTCTTCCATTGAGGATTGCTAAATCTTCTCGTCCTTGCGCTCCTCGTTGTACGATGATGATTCGTTCGCCGTCTAAAGGTAAGCAACACCATGCTGCAAATCCGAATACAGCTGCTGCAACGGCATTTATGACATATAATACAAAGAATTGACTTCCAAACACGCCTCCTAGAAGCAGTCCAATAATGAATCCAACCGGTTGACCTGCACCCAAAGCAGCAAATGCTCCATTCTTGAATTTCCCATCGGGCAATGACTCACCAATAATGCCCGTTCCTGCAGGTGCCAAAAGAGCAGCACCGAATCCCAAAACACCGGACATTGCAATGAAAGGCGTACTTTGACGAATAAATGCTAAAGCAATGGAAAAGACCATCATCCATGCAATACCGCACAGGAACATTCCACGACGACCGAATGAATCTGCTAAACCACCACTGATGAGTAAGAAAGCACCATTGACCAAGGAAAGCACTGTCATTGGCCAACTCCATTCGGCTGGTGAAAGTCCAATTTGAGCACCTATGGAAGGAAGAGCAACTGTTAAAGCGCCATTAAGGTAAGAAGGTAAAACAGTTGCTCCTGCCACGCTCAACACCACGAACCATGGTCTTAGCCTTAGACTTGGTTGCAAGAAGAAAGGTGGTTTTGTTTGAATGGCCATCTACTTTGTGAGGGAGAGAGGGAGTAGTGATGGATGCTGTAATGACTTTGATCTTCCTTATCAATTTAATCATCAATTTAATTAGCAATCTTCTCGGTCTAACTGTGCATTGCGCTGTCCCCCCCCCGCGCCTATTAATTAACCTTACGTGCGAGTCGGGTGACCCACCGAACAACCGCGGTCTGCCTGCCCGTTGACAAAAGGACGTTTGTGTGTGTGTGTGTACCTCTTTGGCTTTATACGGATTTAAGGCATAATTTATGACCGCGTGTAAAGTATGCGGGGGGATGACATTGCTCCTCTTCTAGCTAAATCAACGCATGGGCCAATCTTGATCCTTCTTCTTACCGTCATTCTCTCTCCCTCAATCGTCAACGAAATGACTCATATCAATCCTGATGAACATCAAGCAAGACGTCCTGTCTTGACACCAAAGCGTGCTATTGAAGCACACAGTTTGGGAGGATTGGCAACCAATCCTGCTGGAACGCATGCAATCGTTGGTGTGAAAAGGTATAGCTTCGAAAAAAAGGAAACAGAAAAGAAATTATTACTCATCGAAATTCCAACAGGATCATCCGCTAAAGCAAACTCCACAATCGATGAGTCCAATCATGCAATCTTGACCACAAAAGCAAGTGAAGGATATTGGTTATCCGATACAGAAGTTTTGTACTTGAGTGATAAAACACTCTACATCAAATCAATCGATCAAGCTGTCAAATCACACGCACATGTTCACAAAGAGGAAAAGCATGGAAAATTCGTGGGCATCTTTCCCGCTTCCGTTGAGAATATTCAATTGGCTCCCAATACCAAAGATGGTCATGCCACTCTCACCTTCTCTGCTCAAGTATACGCAGACGGTGATCTGACCCGCGTCACTGAACACGAAGAAAGCGAAGAAGTCAAAGAATGGGAGAATGTGAAAGTGTACGATAGCCTTATGATTCGTCATTGGGACACCTGGCTTTATCCTGGAAAGAGAAGCCAACTATTCTCGGTAGATCTTACCAGACATGGAGGTTCAAATGGCGCTCATTGGTCTCTCGCTGATGCCATACACAAGCCGCACTGGTCATTTGCAAGTCCTTTCCGTAATTTGCTAAATGGAGTCAAATTAGAATCTCCTGTTGCGCCTTTTGGTGATACGGGTGACTTTGCAGTCAGTGCTACACATGTTGCTTTCACTGCTAGAGATCCTGATGTCTCTGCTGCCATTACGACAAAGCATAACATCTATATTGTTCCTCTCGATGGTAGTGAGCCACCTAAAATGATCAATGCCGGAGATCATGGTGCATCTTCATCACCAAACTTTTCACCAAAGGGTAATCATTTGGTTTGGTTGCAAATGTATGATAATCGCTACGAAGCGGATCGCAATCGAATCACTATCGCGCATGTTTCTACAGGCACCATAGCAACAATCTTGCCTGAATGGCAATTGTCACCAGCCACTATCGATTTCACACGAGATGGAAAAAGTTTGGTGGGAACAGTGGAAAACCAAGCGCAAAAACGTTTATTCACCATTGAATTGCACAGAGGCGGCGGTGAAGATGGCGATAAATTGACAACGGTTGACAAACATGAGGTCGCTTGGCAGACAGAGGAAGGTGCAGTTGGTTCAGTCTTGCGTACAGCTCACGCAGATGAATGGTTAGTCTCTGCCTCAACTCTTCGAGGACCAGCAGAAGTCTGTCTCGTATCGAAAAAGATTCAGGATCAATCCAATCTTTTGCAATCCCATGCTGTCCCATTGACCAACTTTGGACAATCAAAAAGCAGCTCTTTGTTCAAAGTAGACTTTGGCGCAGAAGCTGAGCATTTCGCTTACCCTGGTGCAAACGGTCGTGATGCATATGCTTGGCTTGTCAAGCCTCCAGGATACGATGAAAATGCCAAAGGTCAGTATCCATTGGCCGTGCTTGTTCATGGTGGACCAGAAGGCGCTTGGGTGAATTCATGGAGTGCACGTTGGAATCAATTGGTCTTTGCTGCTCAGGGATTTGTCGTTGTTGCATTCAATCCTGCAGGAAGTACAGGGTATGGACAAGCATATCAAGAGGAAATCTTGGGGCAATTGGGTGGTGCTCCTTTGCAAGACATTCAATTAGGAACAAAGTACGTACTTGACAACGTGTCAACCTTGGACAGATCTCGAGTGGTGGCTGCAGGTGCTTCGTACGGTGGGTATATGATGAATTGGATTCAAGGTCATAACGAAGACAAGATGTATAAAGGTCTTGTTTGTCATGATGGTATCTTTAGTATTCAAGGAATGTACTATGCCACAGAAGAACTCTATTTCCCTGAACATGAAGCAGGCGGTCCCTTATACGATCCAAACGTACGTGAAAAATTCCTGCAATGGTCTCCCGAACGATTTGCCGATAAATGGGAAACGCCAATGTTGGTGATTCATGGTGGAAAGGATTATCGTTTGACGGATAGCGAAGGTATTTCTGCGTTTACCTTGTTGCAAAGACGTGGAATTGATAGTCGATTCCTCTATTTTCCCAAGGAGAATCATTGGGTGATCAATCAAAAGAACTCTCTCAAATGGCATGAAGAAGTTTTAGGATGGTTGAAAAAGTATAGCAAGACCGGAACGGCTGAATTGCGTCACACTGTATGAGAATTGTACATAAAGAGTGAGAAGTATATATATCACACATGATGAGGAGCTTCAGAATTGAGGTCTACTATATCTTTGAAACACTCTGACTGGTCGTGAGCCTGCATGCTAAGAATCGCCGAACGGTGGATTGGTTGCTGGATGTGCACTGTAATGACACTGCCCAGATGCCTGCGCGTTGTGTTCGTGCGTGTACAGCACACACAGTGCATAACCCTATCCCCATCCAACATTCTAACCATCATCTCGCCAGAGTAGACTGCTATCGTCCTCTGATCTCATCACAATGGCCGCTCAAATTCATCAATTATCCCTTTCACCTTTGACTGCACATGCTTTCAATGCTGATCGTAGTCAAGTTGCCGTTTCGCCAAACACGAATGAAGTTCACATTTACTCCACCTCAGGTGCTGGATGGGTATTGCAACATACCCTAACTGAACATGACAAGCTTGTCACTTCGATCGATTGGGCTCCTCGTAGTAATAGATTAGTCACTTGCAGTCAAGACCGTAATGCCTATGTTTGGCAATTAGGTCAAGATTCCACAACAGGTCGTGAAGTTTGGAAGCCAACTTTGGTCTTATTGCGTTTAAATAGGGCTGCCACTTTTGTTCGTTGGAGTCCAAATGAAGACAAATTCGCCGTAGCAAGCGGTGCTCGACTTATCTCGATTTGCTCTTTCGAATCAGACAACGATTGGTGGGTCGCCAAGCATATCAAACGTCCTTTACGCTCTACCGTGCTATCGCTCGATTGGCATCCTAACAACGTCTTGTTAGCAGCAGGTTCAGCAGATATGCGCGCTCGTGTATTCTCTGCTTTCATCAAAGGCGTTGATGATCGTCCACCACCAAGTGTTTGGGGAGAACGTTTACCTTTTGGTACCATTTGCGGAGAATTCAAGACGCCTGCTTCCGGTTGGGTGCATGGTGTAGCATTCAGTCCAAGTGGTGATTCGTTGGCCTTTGTTGGTCATGATTCTTCCTTGACTGTTGCTTATCCTTCTGGACCTGAACAACCGCCACATGCAATTCACGTCTTACGCTCTCCAACTTTGCCTTACATTGCACTTCAATGGGTTGCCGAAGGATCCCTCGTTGCTGCTGGACATGATTGTCAACCTGTTTTATTCACAGGAGATGTGACAAGTGGTTGGAAACTGGCCAAATCCCTCGATGCAGGTGGTGCAGTTGCTGGAAAAGCTGCTCCTCCGCCACCTCCACCAAAACCATCAGGAGTAAGTAGTGGTGCTGCCAGCTCGGTCGGTAAACTTAAAAGTGAAGCATTCAACACTTTCCGTAGCGCCGATTCTCGTGGCTCGTCAACTTCAGTTTCTGCTTTGAATGCTGCTGCAAGTGGTGCTGGAAGTGCAGGTTCGTTGGCAGGTGCTTTGGGTGCTGTTGCAGGATCAGGTGTTGCAGCAGATGGTGAGATTCACTCGAGTCACATTAATTCCATCACTTCTGTTCGTGCATTTTCGTTAGAATCACCTGCAAATGTGACTGCGATCAGTACAAGTGGTGTTGATGGAAGATTGTGCATCTTTAATGTGAATGCAGGAACGAGTGCTATGAACGCATTGCAAAAAGGTGTTGCAAGTATTCGTGTAGCTTAGAATGTATGAAATGCCATAATATGATGATTGTCATTGTCATTGTCATTGAGTGTAAGATGATCGCGCTCGAGCCAATTTTGTCTAGCTGAGCGCATTCATTGAGCGTGAATGAATGAATGCTTCTAAGTTGCGTGTTGGCTTTTGTGATCAAATCATCATGATCAAAAGCCAGCAAGCGATTTCAAAAGAATGTTGTCAGCAGAGGAGACAGCTGATGGGAGATACAACGACAACCAACAAGCAGGGCCATCATCATCCCAGCGACACCAAAACACGCGAGAAGAATTGAAAAAGAAATCACTACAAGTGAACGGATATGGAGACGGAGAATCACGAAGAAAAGCATGGCTTCAACTATTGGATCTAGAAGATATTGGGAAAAAGCTTCCTGACTATGTTCGTGCAACGCAAAACGATGAACAATCAAATCGCTTGACTGACAATGCAGATGTAAGTATACCACTCGACAATGAAGGTTGGCAGATTGCATCTCATCATTTACCCAGCGGATCATACGATGAAGATACAAAGACGAGTCTACAAGAGGCTTTACGTGATAGCAAGTCAGAAGCAGACAAACCACCTGACGACGATGAATGGAGCGTTGCGACGAGTAAGAGAACCAGAAGAAGACGTCGTCAAGCAGAAGTGGAGGGAAGCGAATTCACGACAACAAATGGATCACCTGCGACTGTCAGTCAAAGTGGAACGAGTGCAACTACACCTGAACTAATCTCTCGTGAGACTAGCGTGTCGGGATTCCCACGAATCAGTCATGATGACAAGGAGACCGATGCAGAAACAGCTAGAGACGCTTTGAAAGCTGAACGGAAAGCTCGTAAACGTCTCAAACGTAAAGGCTGGCATTCGTCAGCAAACGAAGCGCACGCAAACAGTGCTCAGAATGATGAGGATGAAGCGCATCAGTATGACCTGAGCTCGTCAATCGTGCATGTGAACCGCGATCCAAGTTCGGGAAGAGATCTCGGGGAAGGAAAGAAGCACAAAGATGAAGATCAAGTTGCTCTGGATATCCGAAGAAGCTTTATTGGATTGGGAGATATACCATTACGGATCGTCAGACGGAAAGAGTTGAGCGCTGTGATTGTTGGTGTATTGCGAAGACATCCTGCTTTGAATTATTATCAAGGCTATCACGATGTTGTCAGCGTTCTACTTTGTGTAATGGTCCCGCACTTAGAATCTAGAGAAGAGGACTCCATTCAGCCAGCAAATCAGGTTACTTTGGAGGCGGTAGTGGATGTCGCTTGTCGATTGAGCTTGCACTTTCTGCGAGATGCAATGACGGAAAACATGACGCCAACCTTAGGTCATCTGAAAGTATTGCGGGACATATTGCGTCACAGAAGCTCTCAAGAAGGTAACAGAAATCTGGCAAAGAAAGTAGAGCAAGCTGCACCTTTGCCATACTTTGCTTTACCTTGGTTGCTGTCCATGTTTGCCCATGAATTGGATATTTCGCTTGCCCAATTGGTGTTCGATTACGTACTGGCTCGTGGACCGGCAAGTGTTCTATACGTTTCTGCTGCTCTCATTGAGCAGTTTCAAGGGCATATCGATGCTTCCGATGCAGCTGAAATGCATCATAATCTCTCACAATTGCCAACTTTAATCACTGTGGCTACTTTGCCGTCCATTCTGGAAAAAGCGGATAGTCTGGCTGAAAATGCACCTATCTTGTACTCTGCACCTGAGTCCAAGCCTGCAATCAGTCATGGTGTGATGGGAAGAAGAAGTGTGTTGTACACTTGGTCCTCTCTATCACATGCCAAAGATGACTGGCAGACTGCTGATCAAAGTGCAGACGCAATCCTGCATGGCGATAGCAAGGAAATTGTCTTGAATGCCCTGCCCACTCCACCAGTTTCTGAAGTAGATGGAGATGACTATGCAGGGAATGCAGAGGCACACATCAAAAATGATAAAGCATTGGTCTCGTATAAATGGTGGCGTAAAGGCAAAAAGGGATCTCAATCAGACAAACGTAAACAGATTTTACGAAACAATACTGCCATTTTGGCATGGGTTGGTGCTTTTGGAGCTATGAGCGCAGCGGCTTTGATCATTTTGTATGGCGGCGGGGGCGGTGGCAGTCATACCTCTTTTCCTCTAAGCAGCACCGGTGGTATAGGAAGTGCTTTTCCTGCTGGTTTACGAGTAGCCGAACCTCTTCGGGTGTTGCTGCGAAATGCACTTCAACATTGATTCCTATTTGATACCCTCACAAGAATATATACCATGTACAAATACTTGAATGTCATTTCACTCTCATATTTTAAGTGAATCACTTTCGCGTTTGCCTTTTCTGTGACTATCTTCCTCCGCCACGTTTGCTACGAGCAAGATGATTTCGGTTGTCAGGATTGCCGTCGTCATTATGACCTGGTCCTTTTCCGCCTATCAGCTTGCGCTCTTGAAAGCTCCTGAAAACGATTGAGCATTGCCTCTAAATGGTCAAATAATTGAGCCTTCTCATTTATCAACCTGACAATCTCGGTATTATGTTTGTTTTGCATCAATTCGGTAGCTGATCATTTGATGATCTTTTTGCGCTTTGCTTGTTTCGATTTAAAGTCGTTCTCCGAGCTCATTGAATGAAAGATTCTCCATCTTATAGTTTTTGATGGTAGAGAGGGATGAAGAGAGGCAAATTTGACTCTTCATAAGGCGATATATATCGAAATACCCCATGCATATACGCACATTTGTAAGTTGAGCAATCTCACACGACGCAGACATGTGAACAGGTTACACTGGTTGCATTAACGGCAAAGAGAGGGAACAATGACTTACAATTCATCCTTGATATGAACATGTGCAGGCGCTTTCTCAGCATCAAGAGGTAGACAAATTGCTGGCGTGGATACTTTTGCTTCATAGATACACTTTTCCCCTTCAAAAACGTCCAAAAGTGCATTCTCAGGCGCACAAACGAAATCAACGATTAAACTTCTATCGGGTCCATTCCAACATCTTTGTCCGTTGTCGTAAATTTGTCTCAGATAAAATTCTGGTTGATCGGGTTGAACGGATGAATCTTTGGGTGCAAATCTACCCCATCTGCCCAAACTTACATCCCCATGTCCGCGTGTTGGCTTTTGTGTTGCATTCTTGAAGAAACAGAATTCATAAATGTACTCGCCCATATTCTTGCTAACACAGACATTTTCTAGCGCTTTAAATTCGCCTTCTTGTCCCCACTTTTCAGGCGAATGGGATAAATCGTTCTGCTTCTTCGTCAAATCGCTTTGAGCATCGCGTAAAGCTTGTTCGGCGGTCTTGTGTGCAGATCTGGCGGCCAAAACATTCTCTGCTTCTCCTTCACTCGCTGAATCGCCTGCTCTTCTCGTTTTACTTCTTTTGACCTCAGTGATAATGTTTGCCTTTAATAAAAGATCCAAAAAGGTATCCACGCCCGCTTCAAAGTATGGTACAATTGCATCAGGTAGGTATTCGTGGATGCGGAATAATATTCCAGATTCGTCCGATCTTCCGCTACCCTTGTATTGATTATCGTCCATCATGGAAAGTGGGTCGCGCTCAATCATATCTTCTATCTTGCTGGAAGAATATTCAGCATCTTCCTTTTTCAATTCGTTCAAAGTCTTTGGCTCTTCGTCATCTATTGAGACTTGATTGGCCTTTGCGGCTGAGCTTTCTTCTCCATCCTGTCCATCATCACTCTCCTCGTCTCCCCTGCGCCATGATCTGTATGCCATCACTGCACCCTTGACAGCCATGTCTTGGTAATTAGGATTGTATCCTTTTGCAAGATCGTCCAAAAGATCAGTCAATCGCTCTAGCTCTGTTTGAAGACTCTTTTGTCGATTTGTTAGAACTTTGAGAGCGCTCTGATGTGATTTGAGTGTTTGATAAAGAGGACTTGCTTTCTTTCTCTCGATCACATGTTGGTCCATCTGTTCTGCAGCATCCAAAGCTTCTTTTGCTCTTTGTTCACGTTCGCGTGCTACTTCCACCTCAATCTCTAATCTTGCTACATCGGCTGTCAAAGATTCGAGCGCTTTTGAACGGTCATGAATGTACTTTTCTCGAATCTTTGATCCGGCTCTGCGGATATTTTCAGATTCTTGTTTTGCTTTCCTGTATTGCTTTCCAATCTTTTCGCATACGTTTGGACAATGAACCTTTCCATCGTATTCGTCCGATCCATCGCAGCATTCTGGATCACAAATTCCATCATTCACTCTGCTAGATAGAATCTTTGAAGGAATATGACCAACGTTTGTACAATGAAAGCTTGAATTTGCACAAGCCGAAGTTCCGGGTTCATCACTTCCATCTTTGCAATCGCAGTAATCATCGTTGATTGAAGATGCCGGAATTTCCTCGCCAGATTGTAGACATTTCCATGTTCCTTTCCCGGTTTGTGCTACAGAGTAAAGATGAGCGTCTGAAATGGAAAGCAGGTCAGCAGCAGTTGTATCCTTTTAGCAACGTGCATACAACATACCTTCTGGAGAAACACCACGAATATCTGCATTTACGCCATCGATCGCATGCAATGAAAGTGCGGTCCAAACGAGGGCCAATAGAGGCCCCCGTACGAATCGCATAATGTGAGATGATGAGGGCGATCTTCTCAAGGTAATCAATGCAAGATAAAAGAGTTACACACATGTGTTGCTCACTGTCCTTTGCTTGTATGCCTGCCAGCACTTGGCTTGGCGGTTTGTGTGCTTAATTGCCCGCACTTTCACGTGTACCTCTATGCAACGCGTTCACGCGTTTGAATACGAAGAGTGAACAATAAAAACTGATGGCGATGGGAAGGTGACGACAGGCAGAAAGGGGGATATGAAAGGACTTCTCGTTCATCTAGTCTGCACATAAGACATGTAAACATCTCGGCTCATCATTCGTAGCCCTGCTTTTATTATAAGAAAGGTTTCTAAACTCGCTTTTGCACGTGTACGAACCTAACCATCGGCCGTGAAACAGGGTAATACTATTACGATTAAGTAGAAAGTGAAGAAGGATCTACCTAATCCATCTGTTAAGATGACCGTTCGCTGCTTTATATTCTTTTTAGGCTTTTGTCCTCCCTCGCACCCCCTTTTAATCCAGTAAATGTCTTTTTAGGCGCAATAAATTTGACTTCTTCTCGCTTTTCACAGCACAATGAGTCGTTACAGTTGATCGACACTGTTAAAATTGCTATTTGTGCCGCTTGAACTGCTTTATCTGGATAGATTCATCTTTGTGAACTCTTGCTAGATAATTTGATATATCTTATTCAATGTTTATTTATTTTCATTTTGGTATTTTCATGGTATCACACTATTTTTTGAGGTTACCCAAAGCTGGCTCATGGGAGACGTTCTAGCTCGTATAAGCCACTATTCAACTACTCCTTGGCATTAGTGATCATCAAGTTCGTCAGATCCAAGTCCCCTATAGTCAGTCACAGGAGACGAGATGATGAGTATTGCTTTGATCACGTGCACGCTAGGATCGACAAGCAATTAAAGCGGGACCCTGTCATCGTGCAGGCGTGCATTCTAAAAAGGAACAACAGTGCATTAACGCGTGCGAACGAGGCAGCAGCAAAGTCAACGACGCGTATTAGTAAAATGATTATTTTTAAAATTGCGCCGCGCTAAGTCAAACTCCGGCGGCGAACGGTGCGATAAGCAGGAGTTTGCATGTATTAATTTGGGCGTTATGAATACAACTTCATATGCATGCACTGCTCCCTCCCCTCGCCTGCTCAAGATTCAGGGCATCTTCCGCGCCTACAGCTACACTTCCATACATGAATGAATGTATGCAAGAACAAGCCGGCGTCTATTAATATAATACTCATACTGCATCTTGCTAATCATCACTCACACACTCTCTCTCTACCATCTTCACTGGAGTTCCTCTTTTCCCTTCCTTCGCTCTTAGGAGCATACATCAATCACAACAAAAAATGGTGGCCAAATGTCCGGCAGACAACACAGCACAGGTGGAGCAAGATGAATTCTTTGACTTTTCATACTTTGATCCACACAAGATCGGTTGGTTGATTTGTGGCTGTGCGGCTGCGATTACATGTGTGCTCTCTTTAATCACAATCATAGGACACGCAAGAAATTACAACAGACCACTCGAACAAAGGCAAATCATTCGGGTTTTACTATTTCCTCCAGTATATGCAGTCGTGAGCTTTTTCAGTTATCGATACTTTCGTTATTATGAATATTGGGATTTAGGTGAAGCGGCTTATGAAGCATTCGCAATCGCCGCTTTCTTGATGTTAATGTTGCAATACATCGGTACAAGCGTACAAGATCAAAAAGCAACTTTTGCCCACAAAGACAAAAAGCCTTTACCGTTACCTTTTTGCTGTTGGAGATATAGACCGAGTAAAGCATACTTTCTCGTTTTACTCAAATGGTCAGTCGTACAATATTGCATCATTCGACCGGCAATCAGTATAGCAGGTATCGTGACAGAATATTACGAGGTCTATTGTCCATCTTCTCTTAGCTACAAATATGCATACGTATACCTAACAAGTGTCGATTTTGCCGCAATCAGTATCGCTTTATACGGCTTGATCGTATTATACACTCTGGTCAAGGATGACCTCAAAGGAAGAAAGCCGCTTGCAAAATTTGCAACGATCAAATTAGGAATCTTTTTGATCTTCTACCAAGGCTTCATCTTTTCACTTTTAGCAAGTCATGGCGCTTTACATGCTACTCGATATTGGACCACAACCAATATTGCTGATGGTCTAAATGCTCTTTGTACTTCGCTGGAAATGGTACTGATATCATCGATGCAAATGTGGGCATTCTTTTGGGGTGAATACTACATCGACAGACTCAGAGAACCGACAGGAAAAGCAAACAAGAATGGAAAAACGAATGTCTTTTTCTCCATTTTACACGCACTCAACTTTACTGATATTCTGATCGAGCTATGGTACGAGATTGTATTCTTGTTTGATCGTATACGTGGAAAAGAATACACAAGAAGGGATGCCAGATTGGATTTCGTTCAAGCATTCGGCGCTGAAGATGAGGATGATGACAATCTCGGCAAACCTCCAACTATGAATCCGATGGAACTCAACCAATCTCACCAAGGACAACAATATCCGGTATCAACGAGAGATGCAACGTTGGTGAACAGGAACGATCATCCATACGCAAATAAAAAGATGTATGAAGATGAACACAAACCACATCAGATGACCGAATATGACGATTCAACGCGAAGCTCACACGGCCTTTTGCGCAACAATGCTTCCAATCAAGGAATGCAGGGCTATGAAGAGCAGTACGGCCACAGAGGAAATCAAAGCGGACACACGGGTCAAGGCTATCCAGCTTATATGCCTGCATACGGCTCACAAGCAGGATATCAGACATACTCTGGAAATCGGGATGGTGCAGGCTTACAAGTAGACGAACAGACCAATGCTCACGCTATGGACCCATCTGCACAAGCAAGGCCGCGAAGTTGGGAGCCTCAGGCTTTCTGATTACGGGGCTTTTGCCTGCTATACATGTATATATACCATTTCAAAACGGAATCAGAGTCATTTTGCTGTGCTCAAAATTGTCGGCTTTAATTAGCTTTCGGATGAGAAGTCCTTTATGGGTAAAGGGTAAAGATGGATGCCCCTGCTCTTGAGATTGGATGCTCCGAAATTTTTGAGTCGCGGTTTGTTTCCTGCCTGAAGCCACATTCTCTGAACAATTAAAGAAGAAGTTTAATCTGGATCTTGTTCTGTTTCCCTCTCTGCCATCAAGGATTGATCAATTCGACTGAAGATGGTTAAAATGGCAGCTAGCTTTCCAGCTTTTCTCTTCGCCACATTCGCTGCTTTACAGCTGTGCACGATTGTGGAAGGTGGCGTGTTGCGACTCGACAAACAGCAGATCAATCCTGTGAGACACGAATACGAACCTGGACTCAGTGCAGAAGCACGAGTAGCTATTCACAGAGCCAATAAACCACGAGAGCATACACCAAACCGTCAAAGAATTCCACAAGAAAAGTTGAAAGAATATGATCATCACAGAAATGAAGAACATAAAGCGACTCAAAATATGCATCTAAGTGATCGTGCTTTACGTGTGGCAAGAGAAAGCTTTTCAGGCGCAAAATTAAAAGAAAATGAAGACAGAATCTATTCCTCAAGGAAAAGGTTACATGAACAAGTTTATTTTCATGGCAAAGCGGCTGATGCTATGGTAAGGGAAGCAACAGGACAAAAACATTAATCGTTACAGGACTGCACCGAGTAAGTGGCTTTCAAGGAAGGATACACCGATAGGTACAGTTTCGTATTTGGCTGCTCATGTCTCTAATTGATGGATAAAACCGAATCGCTGTGGTTGGGGGCGCTTTGGTTTATGGAAGTTGCATTTGTCGTGTAAAGTTAGACCCGAGTACACGGGATCACCCAGATATTGACTGATGGTAGTTTAATCTCATGACGGTTCCAAAATGTTTAGTGAAGAAGACGAATATAATTAGAGATGACTATGGAAAAAGAGTATATGGCATAAGTTACTTACTATGTATTGGCACGATCAATTGCCAGTAGCAATGATTTGTGCTAATACACGCTCATATGCTTCACCACTGTAAGGAGAAAGGGAGATAGCATGACCAGTGTATGGCTGTAGATAACTTGTAAAGTTCTTTGTTGCAGGGAACAATTGTTGTGATGCTGCTGCCATGTTTGAATAATTTCCGGAAGCAGCGTTGCATTGTCTACCGCAGAATGGGAAATCACGTTCACCATCAACGACAAAGACCGGTCCTGTATAGTTCATTGCAGGTGCAGAGACGGTACTCAAGGAGAAAAATTGACCTAAAGTCAAAGGTTGAGATTGTTGGAAGCCTAACAATGCTGCTTGCTGAGAATAGTTTGGAGGATCCAAGAACAATTGAACAGCAGAAACATTGTTTGATCCGATGTAAATTCCAGGTTGAGTGTTATTTGTCAATCCTTGAATTTCGCTGAACTTTTGCAATGCTCCTGCTTGAGCAAAGTTGGCATTGTAAGAGCTGTTTGCACTGAAGCCTGTCAATACCAAATTATCGATCAATTGAGGGGTTGTAGCACTGACTGCGTTACCCAAAACTGATCCATAAGAGTGACCGATGTAAGTGATCTTGTCGAACTTTTTGTTGCCAACAACGGTTGTATTGCGCAATTGTCCTAAAAGGTTTTGAACGATTGCAACTTCAGTTGGTGCTTGAAGGGCGGAGAAACCACCTGTCTTGGGTATGCTACTGTTTCCGCATCCCAAACGATCAAAGATGAAGGAAGAGTAACCATGACTAGCAGCATGACGAACGAAAGAATAATTTTTGGAGTAAGAGAAATCCCAATACTTGGAATCGAATCCGATACCATGAACGGCAAACAATAAACTGCTGTTTTGTTTAGCGTTTTGAATTGGGGTGCAGTAATGTCCAGAGATATCATACGTTGCATTGAATGGTTGCTTTTCCTTTGACATGTGATTGGCTGTCCAATTTGTTTGATCGGTGGTATATTCTAGAATTTCTTGAAGGATATAGGTATCATTGTTATAGTTGTCATCCACGTTGGTAAAGTTGACGTTTGAACTGTTGATCTTAGTGGTCAAAGTGATTGGATCACATCGAACGTTATCCAATCCATATGGACCAGCGGCAGGAACATTTGCGCTGGTGGAGTTGACGTTGGATACTGTTGAATTAGCTGATGTACCCGTTGCTGAACTTGCTGAAGCTGAAGCGGAAGAAGATGCGCTCGACGATGATGAAGCCACTGGTGAGGCTTGTGGCAAAGAGAATGCTGATGGAGCAAATGCCAAAGCCAAAGTGGCTGCGGAAAAGAGGGAGAATGACTTCATCTTGAGTTGTTGTTGGGGGAGAAGTAAACAGTTATGCAATTGATTGGCTCAGGTATTTATAATTTATACATCTACTAAATCGGTGTTTGAATCCATGGAGATGACCGCCGGACAGCTTCAGAGCTTCTATATCCTCCACTACCATTGATCTTGCATATCATTCTATAGAACAGAGATTACGCCTATGGGTCCAATATAAGCACCTTTCGGCAATTCAATCTTAACTATCGGAAATGTAATCGAATGCAAATATAAGATTCGGTAGTTTCACATGATCGAATTCGAATGACGAAATAGTATAAATCCGAATGCAGCTCTTTGTACTATATTCACGCTAAACAGAACACTACATACTCGAGCTTCTTCTCAACGTTTGAACACGTTCTGTGCAGATAGAATACGCACGCTAACCGTTGACAAGAAAAAACACTCTATCCGCACCAAAGGCACCGCAGCAGTCTACTTAACGATGGCATTGTGGAGGTTTTGATAGCCGGACTGAGTGGCAACTGTTCTAATCATTTTTAATCTATAATTTATTCGTACAAATAAACAAAACCCTTGCATAATCAACCAAAGCCGGATCAACCTTCTTGATCTTCTTCTTGATCAGATCCTACAGCTTTTTCCTGTTTGGATTCTTGTGTTTGCTTTTTAGTCTTATCGACAAACAATAAAGTCAAAGCACAAACGATTCCTAATCCTGCCAATCCTATTCCAACATAAAGTGCACCTCGTATTCCACGTTCAACGTCTGTATTATTCCGATTGACTTGTAATTCCACCGTTCCTGCAATTCCCAATCCGAATGCTATGCTATAATTCACAATCGTGTTTACCAAACTTCCAGCGGTGCCTTGTCTATGAGGTGGTAAAGCATCGCTAATAATAATACTTGCACTTGGAAAGCTCATATCCATACCAAAAGGTGTGATTGCTGTTGCGATAAAGATTTGAATCCAATAAATTTGATCGATCGGCATTGTGGCAACCAATGAATTTCCTGCACAAAATGCACACATTGCTCCTAACATTACCCATGCCGGACTAATCTTTTGTAATAAAAATACGGAAACGAATGCTGCAAGAATGCCTGCTACTCCACAAGGTATGAACTGTGCTACTGTTGTCAAAGGTGAATGATGTCGTAATTCTTCCAGGAAACGAACGCCATAAAAGACAAATGTACCGAAAGAAGACCATCCTAAAGCAATACATCCTAAAACCAGACTTGTTTTAAGTTGAAATACCTCTAATGGCACCAAAGGATCCTTCACTCTTCCTTCAACGAACAAAAACAAGACGAAAAGAAGCACTCCAACGATTAGGAGTACATAAACATATACAGTCGGCCATCCTACTACTAAAGCTTGATTCCAAGCGAAATTGAACAAGATCAAGCCTGAAACGCCAACAAGCGTTCCGATTGGATCAAAATGCCTTTTATGTTCAGCCTCTAATTCTTCTTTTGCAGGCCATGAAGCAACCCTTTCTTCTATCTTCTTGTCGGATGGAATAACGAAAAACGTTGCGATAAAGACGACCAAAAGAACGATTGCAAAGATATAAAAACTCCAATACCATCCCAAGTCTGGGTTTCTAGATAAGAGTGCGCTGAATACACCTCCAAGAATGAAACCATTTGGAGCAGTGGCTGCATAGATGCAAAATGAGATCATCTTTGATAAAGATCCAGGTGGATTGAGTCTGGCTAGAACGGCTATTGCATTTGGTAATAGTATTGCAGGTCCTATTCCGATCAATCCACGAACGACATCGAATCCGACTAAAGAAGGACTGAATTGACCAATCAAACCTGCAATCATTTCCATAATAGCAAACCATGCGAATCCGATCTTGACCATAAATACGTGACCGTACATATCACCTAAACGACCAGAAGGTAGGACGAATGTACCAACTGTAAGTGAATAAGCAGCAGTGAACCAACTTTGATGACCTGGTGAATTTTGTACATTGAATGTTTCGGCGATATATGGTAAAGGAATCACTGTTTGTGCTAAACCAGATTGTGTTAAAAGCATTGCAGAACACAATACCAAGATACCTATCCATTCCCGTACTTGGGAGAATGTATGGCTAGAAGCCATAGTTGCATTGCTTGACATTGTGGCGGTCATTTGAGGGAGGTCATTATTGCGATCTGTTTATATAGTCAAGGATGAAAGATGACAAAAGAACTTTTGTCTATGTTTTCTTTCTCGTCCGTAAGATGGATTTGAATTTAAATCTCCGACTACCCGCTGCTTAAACGCCGTGTTTTCTATCACGCGTTAAGGCACTTTGCCAGCGACACTCACAAAATCAAATGCTTACGGGCGAAAGAGGAGCCGAAAGATAAAATATCCACATCTTTAAAGTGTCATTCATTATTATTCAACAGAAACAACATACATCTTTAGGGGCTAGGAGAATCTGCTCGACTGGCATCATTCAAATCTGCAGTTATACCGGGGAATTGGTTACTGTAAGAATGAATATCTTTTCCGTTTTGGAATCCAGTGCAATCACCAAAAGCACTTGAAAGGGCAGGCACTAAGTTACTGTTGTATGCGTTTTGCATGATTGCACGTTGAGCAGGTTCGAAATTGGATAAAAATGTAGGCGAAGATGAAAGTAAGGCTTGACTGATAAAGCATCCCATCGTTTTTGGATCTTTGGCAAATTCAGTCACTGCTGTACCTGCTCCTCCCGTTAAATCACCAACATTGATACCAGCAAAACTGTTCACTTTACCAGTATTTCCTCCAATATGTGATGTGTTTGGGTATGCCAACACTTGTTGACTAACACCGATGAGGATATCCTCTAATGTCCATTCTTGCAATGGGTGACGCTTGTAGAACGGAGCAGGAATACGTTCATGACCATATGTGTATGTAATGTCTCCTTGTGGATCACCTTGGTATCCGAACCAAGACAAAAAGTTTTCAGGGGACAAATAACCTTGAGGGAATTCTTCACTCTTGTTTGCCATTAAAACAAAGACGAAATGATGAGCGGCAGGAGTGAAAGCTACACCTGCATAAGGAGGTGAAAAGTAATTTGGATTATTGGCAACAGAGTATAATTTGCGTCTGTTTTGATGTTCAGCCAAGATACTTGGGGTGATTCTACCGTCTTCTGGGTATTTCTCACGGGCTAGATCGAGTAATTCTTTGGTAAATTGAGGATAAGATTCGCAATTGTTATTTGGTCCCGTTGGTTGACTGAAATCACCACGTGTGATACTTGAATCACCTTCAGAACGTAAATGACCAAGACCACAAATACCTGCAGGCCTTCCTAACAAGTCTTCTTGTAAAGCACCAAGGGTGGCAACCTTGGATGAATAACCACCGATTGACCATTTACCAGTGACTGGATCACCGTTGAAGAATGAAGTTGCAGCTTCTAAGAAAATAGTTGCATCTTGTGCTAAACCCACTGCGTTTGAGATACCATTGATAACATCATTCCTGTCAACGACACCGTCACGGCTGATGAATCCCTGTAGGTATCAATAAAACGTATTAGTTATCAAGTCTGACTTTTCATTTGCCACTCATACTCACATGATTAGCCAAAGCATTCAAACCAGCACAAGGACCACGTTGATCATCTGGACCTGGAGCTTGCCATTCATGTTCTCCAGTCAAATCGACATATTGTTGATCAGCATCAAAGATGTATTTACGCGGAATACCAAAATTGTCGGGAAATGGGAAAGTAGGTGGCAAGCCAACACCTTGACGTTTGGCATAACCGGGTAAAATTGCTTTCATTGCATCTTCAGCATTGATTCCACGTTCGTTCATTTCACGTAAAACCATGATTGGCCATGCACTTGCTTTAGCAGCAAGAAGGGCTACAGAAGCCGATAAGACGATGTTGAGCTTCATTATGAGGAAAAGGGGAGAGGGATAGGGAATGGATTGTGAGGGAATTGAGAGTAATTTTTAGAGTTGAAAAGGGCGATATAAATACGATTTCAAAGGAGAAGACTTTGGCAACACCACAAGTCAATTTGATATGATTTTTTTGCTACCCGTCCAAATAAGACTCAGTTCTATAGAGATGCTTCTTTCTTGGCATTTTACTGTTTTTACCTTCGGTGATTGGTAATTGTTCAACTTTAATAGGTTCAACCCCGGATCCTCGTGATCCGAGTGCAGATCAAAGAAGCTAGTTTAGCGTATCAATTTAAAAGAACAATTCAATCGTACGAATGCGATGGCATATCAAGACACTCTTATTCTTTCGGTTTTGTAATTTAAGCGGTTTGACATACACTAACGGTCGGTGATCAATATAGAATATACAGAATATTAAAAAGAATTAACTTTTTCCCCACGCTATAAATGCGGGGAAAGGCTAAGAATTCCTTTGAACCGTACCCTTAGCCGCATCCTGTCGCTTAAATGTTGGGATCTTTCTCTTCTCTTTGCATGCTCGGCCTCGGTTAAAAAACAAAACTAAAAGGTAAGATAATAAACATGTGCGGCGCTGCACGTACGTCGAATACAAATATCATCTTCTTCAACACAAAGTGGGCTGATGTTTTTTTCTTGAATAGGATAGGCACCCGAATCATTGTTTTGGCTAAACAAAAAAATTACACTAAAATCTGGGGGAGTTTAAAATTCTGACCAATTCATACACCGATGTTTAATTGGCTAAACACGTGAACAAAGGGATGTTTACATTGTGGGGGAATTGTAAAGGATCCAGGCTTTAAATTAAAACTTAGCGTTCAGGCTAATGAGCTGCTTGTGGCAATGTCTATCACGTGCGCTGTTTACATCTTGATTACATAAGAAGATCTTTTCACCTTTGCTCAGCTGTCCCGATATTCATCCTTTGTGGCCCGCCTCGCATGCGTTACGCCGGCAGTGCATACGTCATATCCTCCGCATGGTCGGGCGCTTAAGATGCCATTCAATCATGTGGCTGTTGCATTAATTAAAATACAATACAATGCAAAGCGGATAAAGATTGTAAATTGTTAACCTGTCAATCAACCTTAAAGAACGATTCACATCAAGATTTAATCAATTTCGGACCTGTTTGGATGCTAAAAATATTCTTTCATCTTTTTTCTGTCTTCTGAAAGTGAATTGTCCTTCTTAATTCCATGTGCTTATTCGGATTTTGATGAACAATGAATTATCACATTTCACTCCTAATTTGATTGCTTGAAAATTCCCCACGCCCCTTTTGTCAAAGCGGAAATGCGTATTGATTTGCGTTTTCGGGCGTAAATTACAGCCACGCATGAATAGCAAAGACAAACATGTCATTGCTCTAATCAAAAATTGTCACCTTTCCCCGCTCCCCTTTCTCTTTCCAAATCCACGAACATCCTCTGGAGATCATGTCTGAAAATCATCTTTCACGTACTTCCAGTTGCGAAGAAAATGTCAAGTTATCGCAATTGGTCACCACTTCAGCAGCAACAGCCGGAATGTTAACACCTCCTATGTCAGTCAAGAGCTTACAAGGCGGTGATGCACTTTCAGCAAAAGAAGCAAAAAAGGCTGCAAAACTTGCAAAGAAAAAAGAAAAGAAAGGTCAAAAGAATGAAAAGACCGCAAATCCTAAATCAACATTGAACGATCAAATATTTCAATCATTTGTCGAACAACTTTGTGCACAAGCGACAAAAGATCTTACAAATAATCCAAATTTGATTCAAAAATTGATTGGATTCAATGATAATTTCAGACATGGCTCAATCTCAAATTGTGAAAAGCCATTGCCTCCTTTACCAACTGGACACGCAAATCTACTTGCATCATCTATTCGCAAATTGCATGCTGCTTACTCATACAGTCTTCTGGAATCAAAAGATGAAAGTGCATCAATCAGTAGAATCGTGAGTCAATACGGTCGAACAACTCACATGGGCGTATTGGATCCAAGTTACAAATACTTCCTCAACGAACATCATACAGGTGCAATCTACTACAAAGTCCATAATCATGTTGCCGTGGTCGCTGGCGATCCACTTTGTGCGCATTATCAGATTGATGACTTGCTACAAGAATTTCAAAAGTTTCGTCATAAGATGGGTTTGGATATGGCTTTCATGGGAGCAAGTGATAGCTTTGCTCAATATGCGAGAAGAAGGAATTGGACAACGATGCACTTTGGTTGGGACAGAATACTCAATCCCACAACCAATGCATTGCTCAACGATCAGGGCAACGGCCTTCCACAACCGTCGTCCACGAAGCGCATGCTGACTCAAAATCGATCTCTGCTCAATCCTGACAAGGGTAACTTGGAAATTGGCATTTACTTACCTTCTTTAGGTCAAGATGATGTTCTACAAGAGCAATTGCGCACAATTTACGACAATTGGAGACAAGACCGTAACGAGAAAAGAGCGAATACAACGCAAGCATTCATCACAGTGTACGACCCTTTTTCATTACCAAAAATGATGGTCTACATTTATACCCGTGACAGGAAAACAGGAGAGCCAAACGGATTTGCAGCTTTACGTAAGTTAGGAGCACATAAGGGATATCAACTTGATCCGTGTATTGCTGCACCCGGTTGTGAGTTACGTGGAATTTCCGATTTACTGGTTTACGCTTCTTTGGTTCTGTTGCATCATGCAAAAATTGCTTAGATGAGCTTTGGAATTGAGCCAATTGATGAATTAGGAGAAATTATTGGAATGCCAAGCCCGATCGAAAAGATAACAAGAAATCTGTACAAGCGAGCATTTGCGAATTTGCCCTTGAGCGGCAAGAAAGCTTTTCACGATAAATTCAGACCAGAAGAGAGTGCCAATGCACAAAGGCTGCATATCGTATTCCCCGGCACGATCACAAATCCTCGATATGGTTTAGCATTAGCACATATGGCCAACGTTTCTCTCAGAAAAGTTCTCTTCAAAACTTCACCAAAGAATTGTCCACCTTTAACCAACGAAGAAGAGACTGAAGAAAAGAATTGAATTGGATGTATTATATCTTATAGAGGCTGCTATTGAATACAAATTGAGCAGTAATCATACAAATGTTTGTTGTTGAGCATATAATGCTCAGGCACGACAGCAATTTGAATTGTCAGCACCTTGAACCACAAGACGAGAACGTTTATCGTCTAATTGTGGTAAATCATGAGCTGGATTGAAATTGAAAAAATTATTTGGCTTCAACCAAACCGATAAATGTTCAACCGGCATCACTGGGAAATCTTCTGGTCTTGGAATATGTGTGGTTCCATATGTTAACCAAAGGATCACATCTTCATCTTCAACCGAATGTTGATCTTTTGTCCATGGACCGATTGAATCACTTACGATTCCACGTGATTGTGGAACATACTTTCTTGCTGGCCAAAGTTGATCTTCGTTATACTTTGATAACCACATTGAATGTTGTGCAAATTCTGCACGTTGACCGATTTGGGAATCGTTTCTTGCTAATAAAGGATCCCAATCTTTGGTGTGAATCTTGTATGCTACGGGTAAATTGGAAGCATAATGTTTCTTATTTGGGTTGGTGATTGTCCAAAGACGATGTTTTGAACTATCCCAATCATATCCTCCCGCTTTTGTAAGAGAAGTCTTGTTGACTTGGAATCCATTTCCAGCATGATTGGCAGGATGTCCGGTAGGGAAAGGTGTTGGAGTGATGTCACTTTGAACGACTGTATTTTCTACACCGTCGATCATTGGATCAAGGCGCAAGGAAAACAAGTGTTGATGATGATGAGCATTGATGCCTGGTGCAACTTCTACTCCATACGTTGCTTCCTCTTCTTCACCTGGACGTTTACAGTACAAATTTAAGATACCCGTTAATCGGGTTTCCAATTGTACACTTCCGTCTGTGTAAAAGTTGTAATTGAAAATGTATTCATAATTTGCTACCGTGCTGATCATTTGAACGACCAGTTTACGACCACGAGCAGAACGAACTTTACCGCCTACACGATAATCCGTATGTTTCCATGCAAGACCTGCATCTTCTTCATGAATACAAATACAACGTTGAATCGTAGTTGCAGAACCATCTAAAGCCACATGACTTCCATCCAAATATGCGATCGTACCTAAACAATCACATCCTAACGATAAACTGTTTGCCAAAGTACCCATTCCATATTCACCAACGTCAAAAGCGAATTTACGCGGATGAGGATGTGCAGGTTCAGCATAGGGAACAACCATTTCGGCTACGCTCATTCGATAGAATAATGGACGTACGGTACCGTTATCGTTGTATGTAACAGTGGATAACACCAAACCGTCACGGGGATGGAACCCGATGTGGAATTTCCATTTTTGCCAACTTAATTCGTTGCCATTCAAGGAAAAGCTAACACCTTCTGGTTGTGAAACATGCAAAGGCTTTAAATCCGTTCGTAAAGGTGGCATTGAAGGATCTTGAGCCATCAAGTCGGGTAGGAAATCAAAAGATTTCATTGGAGGTGGAATTCGTTCACGTTGAGCGAATTCATATGCTTCTTCGGCATTTGTCGTGATTGGACCAGGTTGACCATCGAAGGATGTAGGGTCATTTGTTCCTTTTGGACCTCGATGACGTGGGAAATCGATCGCCAAGACTTCCATCTTATTGCTATCAATCACAACGGAAAAATCCATTGGATGAGCATATAAATTTTCGTGTTCACTCTTACGAGCATACACTAAGCATTGTTGTAAACGCAAACCTGGATCGAAACGGTCATCATAGCCGATTGACCATCCGTCAGCGTAGAGGTTTTCCGGCTCAACGCCGACTTCACGAGCGATTTGAACGACCTTAGGATCTTTTCGTAAGACGAATTCTGCCTCATTTACTTCTTCGGGTGTTAAACCTGGTTGTGCGCCATAAGGTAATTTGATAAGTTTGTTCACTTTGCCTAATTGCAAAGCACCTGAAGCGGCAATTGGACCGTTTTGCTTCCAGATCGTACCTGCATTTTGATTTAATTCAACAAATACTTCATAAGCCGAACCTTCGATCGCATCAATAATTTGCACTTCTACCATACGACGAGAACATTCTTGTTGAGCGGATTTCAAATCAATCTTTGCATTTCTTGGCAAGGGTAAACCTAGCACAGCCAAAACAGCCGATTTTGAAGGAGGCACATGCAAAGAAGATGCGAATTTGACCGCTTTGATAGTCGTTTGCGTGGCTAAATATTCTCGCACTACCAAAGAAGCAGCAGCGATCCTAAGGAGTGGTACAGGCACACTCAGATTAGCCGTAGTTCTATGATGTCATAATTTTCTTTAGTACTCACTCATCTGCTGAAAGAGGATCGAGAGGATGATTTACTCCTTTTCCATTACAGGGTTTCAAGTTTAATTTTGCTTCTACTCCATTATGGGACTTTAATGAATTGAATGTAGTATTACTTGTTGTACTTGTTGTCGTGACTGGCATTCTCTAATTTGAAAATATAATCCATAAATTAGACTAAGTGTGATTTGTTCCTGCAGGCGCAAAATGAATAAATGGGTAACGGGTGTGGGTTTAGGGTGATGACATTGAGATTTGATTGGAATTGGGGGTTATATAAAGGTGAATCATAAAGTTGATCCAATGCACTAAAAGTCCCCCCTCCTATGATAAGCTTAAAAATAAACAACGAGTGCACACTGTACCTAATGAGAAAGCTTATCTAGGAATAAAAGCACTAAAAGCCACAACACAACTCTTACTCCTTTACGCCTCGGAAACAAAGGCAATCGATCAGTTTACAAACTCAACAAGGCGCTACGCGCGGTGAAGGAACATTGAAACGGCCAAGAACCCGCCGCCGCCGCTTGAAGCGCGCTGCACAAAACAAAAAGAAGGTCAGAAGACAGGCAGACAGTAGTTCATCGTGATGCATCATAGCTTATGACACATTGATTAAATGCCATTCAGATGCGATTCGCGCGAAACGCTATCAAGCGATGATTGTGTGGGAAAAGAAACGGCACAGCACATGTCAAACTATATTAAAGGTACACACACGGCCAAGGCACAATGCCACTGTAAGACACGTCAACGAAAAGATAAGAGTGGGGTAAAGAAGAATTACCTATAATTTAGCGCGTACTTTACTCTTTTGGAAGCAGGCACTGCGCCTGAGTCTTTGTTTGATTGCAAGATAAACAAATTTTCTTACTCGCGGAGTAAATGCACTCATTATTTAGCCGCGGCACGTCAGACTTTCTTATCTCTTCCTGATTGATAGCATTTCATGTAATGATCATGATCACAACTTAAATATCACCTCCGTCATCCAATGAACACAACTTAAATATCACCTTCGTCATCCATTCTTCTTCATTGGGCTACCTCATCCCCTTCAAGACAAGATGGCAAACGATATCATTCCAGCAGGTTTATCAAAATCAAAGCGAGATGCTTTGATCGCCAATGCAGATGCCGAATTATTGGCAACTTTGGGTTACAAACAAGAATTCAAACGTGAATTCTCAAGACTAGAAGTGTTTGGAATCGCTTTTAGTATCATGGGAGTAGCTCCAAGTATCGCCGCTACTTTAACATATGCAATGCCATGTGGCGGTCCTTTATCCATGGTCTGGAGTTGGTTAGTAGCAAGCTTCTTCATCGCTTTGACAGGTCTGGCATTAGGTGATCTCGCAAGCTCGATGCCAACTAGTGGAGGCTTGTATTTCTGGACGTTTTCACTTTGTCCAAAATATTGCAGAAGATTGACATGCTGGTTAGTAGGATATGCAAACACACTTTCAACAACTTCAGCCGTTGCATCGATCGATTGGGGTTGTGCACAAATGATCTTAGCAGCTGCTTCTATAACAACGGATGGAGCATTCAGTGCTTCAAATTGGCAAGTCTTATTAACGTATTACGCTGTCCTACTTTGTCATGCATGCATCACTTCCATCGGTACAAGAGCATTAGCACGATTACAAACATTCGCAATCACTTTAAATGCCGCTTTAGCCGCTGCAGTAATCATTTCTCTATGTACGGCCACTCCTGGTGAGTATCGTAATTCGGCAAAATACGCTTTAACGGGTTGGTACAACGTTTCCGGCTATACTGGCGGTGGTGCTTTCCTTCTAAGTATGCTAATGGCAGCTTGGACGATCGCATCGTATGATTCTTGCGTGCATATATCCGAAGAAGCATCAAATGCCGCAACGGCTGTTCCTTTAGGTATTTTCGCCTCAATCGTTTTAGCAGCTTTAATTGGAATGGGAATCTTGATCAGCATCACTTTTAACATGGGAACAAATTTGGATGCAATCATCAATTCATCCGTTGGTCAACCAATGGCAACGATCTTCCTCAATTCGTTAGGAAAGGAGGGTTGTTTAGCCATTTGGACGTTTGTCATCATTACACAATTCTTCATGGGTGCTTCTATGTCACTTGCAAGCTCTAGACAAGTCTTTGCATTTTCCCGTGACGGTGCTTTGCCATTTTCTGGTTGGATATATAAGATTAACAACTACACTTTGACCCCGGTAAATCCAGCATGGTTCAGTACATTAATCTCTGCTTTACTCGGTCTATTGGGTCTTATCAATGAAGCAGCCGTCTCGGCCATCTTTGCTTTGAGCGTTATTGGCGCAGCAATTGCTTATTTTATCCCGATTTTCCTTCGCTTAATCGGCCCAAAAGAGAATTTCAAGCCAGGTCCATGGTATTTGGGTGATTTCTGGTCTCCCGTTATAGGATGGGTTTCTTGCGCTTATTTGATCTTTATCTCCGTCATTCTTTGCATGCCTTCTGCTCTTCCCGCTGTAGCGGAAGATATGAATTATGCTTCGCTCGTAACGGGTGCAGTATTCATTTTTGCATTGGTTTGGTATTACATTCCTCATTATGGCGGTTCAAACTGGTTTACAGGACCGAAATCAAACATTGACGATGATTCGATTCCAAATATTAATGAAAGAGAAGAAGGAGAAGTTCATTCGGTTGGATCAGATAAAGATCAAATCAAACAGCAAACTCAATTTGTTGAAGTACAAAAGTATGATACCAGAGAACTGGAATGAAAGAGATGAATTTGTAGTATATTGTATTTTTAAAATGTGATCTTTTGAATTGGAGTCATTACCTTATCATCAGATTATTGATCCCAGTCATCACCATCGTTATCGGGATGCACTCCGCGCTTTGAGCCGCGGCTATGGTTGTGTGTATGCATTTGGCCTGTCTTTGCAGAGAGCTAGCGTTGTTGCGTTGTGCAAGCGGACTTTAGGATTAAATTACGGCACCACTTTCTAAACGCGGCGTGGGGCCTGTGAATAATTTCCCGTAAATCCCTGCATCCCGCTTTTGTAGAGCCCATAAGTTAACTCCGTGACTAACCGACGGCAAAATGCTTGGTTCTTAAGTATTCACTTTACAAGTATGTAATCCAAATTATATCAGTTGAACCTGCTCAGCACAATCATCATAATTATCGTTAAAAAGAAGCGAGGTTGAGAGAGATTTGCGGCCATCTCTTTCCCCCAAAGTAATCCATCCGCCCATCATGACGGACGCGAAAGCATTTGATCCAAGGACGGAACTCGAGATCGGTACAGCTGCACCTGCCGGTCACATTGATGAATCCGATGTAGAAGCAGATCTTGGTACAAATTCAAACGATGAAGACGTAATCAATAGTGAAGATGGAAAAGACGCTTCAAACAAGGAAGCTCCTCCTCCTGTCCACCATCCTGCTGGACCCCCTGATGGTGGATTAGCTGCTTGGTCAGTTGTATTAGGTGGTTTCGTAACCCTCTTTTGTTCATTCGGTTTCCTCAATAACTTTGCTGCTTTTCAAACGTACTATTTCACAAACACTCTTCGAGGTTATTCCAACTCTGATATTGCCTGGATCGGTGCAATGCAATCTTTCACCATTCTATCAGCAAATCTTGTATTGGGACCAATCTTTGATCGACATGGACCGCGTCCTTTATTGATCGGAGCCACTTTCACCTTTGCATTTGGTTGCATGATGACATCTTTGGCAAGTAAGTACTATCAAATCTTTTTAGCACAAGGTGTTGTTGTTGGCGCTTCACTTGGAGCAGCATTCATTACACCAATGGCTTGTATCATGCAATGGTTCGACAAGAAGCGTCCTGCAGCATTGGGTATCGCCATCTCTGGTTCTTCGATCGGTGGAGTGGTTTGGCCAATCGTAACGAAAACTCTTTTGGATAATGTTAGCTTTGGATGGACATGGCGTGCTCTAGGATTTATTGGATTGGGTTTATTGCCAATAGCAGTTTTGACAGTTCGAATGCCACCACATGTGATCGAAGCAAAGAAGAAACGTGGACCACAACCAATTTTGGCACTTGAAGCTTTCAAAACGCCTAAATATACCGCATTCACTGCGGTGTACCTTGTATTTGCCATGGGTTTATTTCCGCTTTTGTTCTACTTTCCCGAATTGACCGGACATTATGGCGTTTCAACGGATTTGCAATTTTATTCAATTTCCATCTTGAATGCATTCTCATTCGTTGGAAGAATGGGTTTGCCAATCCTTGCTCAATTTACCGGCGTTTGGAATACGTCAATTGCTTGTATTGCACTTTGTGCAATTTCCGTTTTTGCATTCATGGCGATCGATTCACCTGCAGGTTCAGTAGTCGCAGCTGGTGCTTTTGGTTTTACTTCTGGAGGTGCGCTCTCTTTGGTTGTTGCTTGTGTTCCTGCCGTCATTCCAAATTTTCAAAAATTGGGCGCTTCAATGGGACAAATCTTTTTCGTTGCTTCTTTCTTTGCTCTTTTAACCGGTCCGATTGCAGGTTGGATCTTAGCAACATCACCAACAGGAAATTGGATTGCTGTTGAAGGTTACGTCGGAGGATGTTTGATGCTTTGCGCCATTGGGTTAGCATTGCTTCGTCATCATATCAGTCCAAATTGGACTAAAAAGCTTTAGAAATAGTAAAATGAATGTATGAATTTACGTAATATACTACCCTTGACGTCTTGCCTTTCCGTCTTGATTGCAGTCTGTGAAGGTGTTTGTGAAGCAATACACTTCTAATTGTTGATCTCCACGGCGGTTGGAGCGTCTCAATTGAAGTGTCTATCCTTCTTCGTACGGATAGGCAAGCCAACGCAACGTGCGGCTTCCGAATAGTACTCTTCGTATTATACTTCTGTAATAACAAGATTGTACCTCAGCCTATCACTTTCTATGACTACTCCTTTATCCTGATTCTCTATGAATTTTCTTAGTTTAGAGGTGAATAAGTATCTATTGTGATATATTGCCAATCTTTTCAGGGTTATATTTGTTGCTATTCTACTGTTTTGATATTCTCAGAGACCTTCACAGAATTGTGATAGTAGGCGTAGAAGACATTTTGCGGGATATGAATGTTGCTAACGCGCAACAATTTGAACGCCAAAGACCATGCAAGCAACGTTTTGTTGGCGTCGGCGCCGTTGTGATTGATTGATTGGGTAAATCGTATCTAACCGTCTCCTTGTACTTACTCAATTCATTGTTCACACGTAATCTTGATGACGGTCACTTTCTAAAAATAATGCGCGCAAAGGTCATCAATGCTGACAATAATTTCGGTGACTCAAATTACTATGTTCAGCCGTTTCCCAAAATAAATAATCATTGAACAACGACATTCATTTAAAAAACGAACGGAAGGAGGATAACCGAAGGAAGTGAATTCCGTCATGATCGTACACGATCCATGGACAATGTCATGATTGCGGCCTTTTAACCTCCGTTCATGCCAGCGCCATGCCTACGGAAGTCAACTTCCACTTGAAATGATTTATATAAGAGTTTGAAAAGTCACTGCTATGTTTCTTGTCTTCCACATTCATCACCTTTTCAGTCAACGAACACAGCAATGACTTCACCCGCGAAAATCCCTCCTCCCACTTATCAAATCGATGATGATCAAATCCTGGTTGAACAACTTGCGAGCGTTCGTCCATCGCAAGAGATTAGCAAAAACGTACAAGAAGATGACCATTCATTAACGGCAAGTGCTGCAACTTCAAGACCTCAAAGTGCATATGAAACTTTTCGTCCTGGTCGTCCAGAAGAAAAAGAAGATGATGATCATATTCCACCCGAAGAAGAAAATCCTGAAAAGTCTAAATCAGCCCCGCCACCTCAAGCAACCGGTTGGGCTCCTTGGTCTGTTGTGCTGGGTGGTCATATCACAATGTTTCTCAGTTTCGGTTTCTTGAACAGTTTTGCCGCTTTTCAGAGTTATTATTTCAACGTCAAACTCAAAGGTTATTCGAACTCAGACATCGCTTGGATCGGTTCAATGCAAACATTTTGGGTCTTTGCAGCTAATTTGTTTGTCGGTCCAGTCTTTGATAAGTATGGTCCAAGACCACTTTTGTTCCTTGCCGCTTTCGGTTTCGTTTTTGGTTGTATGATGACGTCTTTGGCAAACAAGTATTACCAAATCTTTTTGGCTCAAGGTGTTGTCGTTGGCGCTTCGCTTGGGATATCATTCATCACTCCTATGGCTTGCGTTATGCAATGGTTCCATACAAAAAATCGTGCTGCCGCACTTGGAATCGCAATGAGTGGTTCTTCGGTCGGTGGTGTTGTTTGGACAATCGTTACAAAGAATTTATTGGACCACGTTGGGTATGGATGGACATGGCGAACGCTCGGATTTATGGGCTTGGCTCTCTTTCCATTTTCCATCCTTCTGGTGCGCATGCCACCTCACGTTATTGAAGCGCAGAAAGCGCTGAAGGCAAAGAAACCTGAGCTCTCGTTGGACGCATTCCTTGATTTGAATTATACAACAATGACGCTCACTTTGTGCTTGTTTGTTCTTGGTTTTATGCCTTTATTATTCTACTTCCCAGAATTGGCAGGCTATCACGGCTCAAGCAGAAATATGCAATTTTATTCAATCTCAATCTTGAACGCCGTTTCCTTCTTTGGTCGAATGGGAATGCCAATCTTGTCGCAATGGACAGGTGTTTGGAATACGTCAATCGTTTGTCTAACGTTTACAAGTGTTGTTGCTTTCTGTTGTATGGCCGTTGATTCATCAGAAGGTGCAATTGTTGCAGCTTCTTTCTTTGGTTTGACATCAGGAGCAGCCCTTAGCTTGATCGTTTCTTGTGTACCGATGTGCATTCCAAACTTTTCCAAGCTTGGTACGCAAATGGGTCAAATGTTCTTTGTTGCCTCGATCTGCGGTCTTTTGACTGGATCTATTGGTGGTTGGATCATGGACACAAAGAAACACGGCAATTGGAAAGCGTTGGAAGGCTACGTTGGTGGATGTTTACTCTTTGTCGTAGCCTGTCTGATCTTTATTCGAAATCGCCTTCAACCGAATTGGAGAAAGATCTATTAGATGGATCGTTGCATCGCCCCCCCCTCCACGACAATAGACTCGTTATCACTCTCATTTTGTACGTCTTGTCATGATAATGCCTGAACGACTTGTATATGCTTCTTGTTGTTCGTATTTGTTTGGCAGAGTAGATTGATCACCTGCAGCAAATGTAGCTTCAGAGAGTGAGACAGGTTGAGGTAGTTTGATGAATTGGATTTGTTCGTACATTGCAATAACGATCGTGTTGGTTGGTTTGATGATGATTCGCATCTCAGAAGAGGTGCTAGCTGTTTTGGATTGCATTACCTCGAATGCAAACTTACACAATTGATTGCCAAGACCGCGCCTTCTATGACTTGCATCAACGTATAATGCAGTCATATGCCAAAATGCTGTGTCGTCAAGCTGATCTGTATGAACCTGTGTTGTACCGATCATTTGATCATCCTGTAATTGCATTGGCGGAGTAAATGCTTGCTTGAAAGGAGCGATATGATCTTGCCATGTGTTGGGTCCATACAGTGTTGCTTGTGCCACCCATTCACAGTCATACCAAGCAAGATTTTTATTTTGATGACTTGCCACAATTACGATTATATGTTTGTTGCGTATCTTTAAACGTTCAATTTGTTGTTCTTCTGACAGACTTTGTTCACCTTGCAAAGTGGCTGAGAAGGATTGCGGTGATTGGACAAGTCCTTTGAGACGTAATTTGGTGTACTTTTGTGCTAAAAGGGAAAGCAACTGTTCATCATTGGTAGGTAGTAAGTATGGCATATACTGAATGAGATTCTTTGTCATTTTTGGAGAAGATGAGAATTCCAATCAAAGCAATTGACGCGCAAAGTACGCGCGATCAAAGCAAAGCAATCCTTTTCGTGGAATAGGAGATAAACAAATCACAGCATGCAGGAACACTTTTTCTCCAATCCTTGGAAGGTAGGACTTTCTACTTGCCTAATTTTAAGTGGCATCTGCATCATTCTTCCTCTCATACATCTTTTAGTCGCCGGTAAATCTTCGCTTCCGAAGTCCGATTTGAAATTCAACGTGGTTTAAATTGATCTGCTCAAGAGAGGGAACGTGTAAACGATAGAATAGACTGTTTTTTCTTCTTTTTAGCGTTAAATGATGGTGTACAAATTGCCGCCAATCAAATAAAGTTTTAATGTCATACAAATCCCACAAATTGTATAAATACAGGCTATTATTGTTCATACTTTCTTCTCATCTATCCAAGATAACAATCATGTTGAGTCTCTTCCTTCTCGCACTTTTATATCCCTCTTTGGCATTGGCAGGTGCTGATTTACCCGCCATTCCAGCGGACAAAAGTACTCCTGTTCATCAAAGAATTTCTCTCAAAAATCCAGGAAGTGTTGCTATTGGTTGGAACACATATGAAGAATTGAAACAGCCATGCGTTCAATATGGTACCTCGGCTAATTCACTCGATCAACAAACTTGCTCTTCTTCTTCTATCACTTATGCATCTTCTCGTACATGGGCAAATTCCGTGACTTTGATTGGCTTGGAATCTGCTACGCAATATTACTACAAGATTGTCTCTACAAATTCAACAGTTATTCCATTTAAAACGGGACGTAAAGCTGGTGATCTTACTCCTTTTACTGCAAATACTGTGATCGATTTAGGTGTCTACGGTAAAGATGGTTATACAATCAAATCAGCAGCAGAAAAACGTTTAATCCCTTATATGAGCGCAGCACCTGATCATACAACAATTTCTCAATTGGTCAAATCTATCAACGATTACGAATTAGTCATCCATCCGGGTGATTTGGGTTATGCAGACGATTGGTATTTAAAAGGTCATAATTTATTGGACGGAAAAGATGCGTATGAAGCAATTTTAGAACAATTTTACGATCAATTAAGTCCCGTTAGCGGTCAACGTCATTATATGTTATCGCCCGGAAATCATGAAGCTGATTGCAGAGAAGTTGCCTATGTACCGGGTACCTGCCCTGAAGGTCAATTCAACTTTACGGATTTCAACATTCGTTTTGGACAAATGATGCCAACTGCTTTTGACTCTGTCTCTAAAAATGCAAACGCAATCTCTTCAAGACAAAAAGCTAAACAATTAGCCAATCCACCTTTTTGGTTTAGCTTTGATTATGGAATGGCACATGTGGTCATGATTGATACAGAGACGGATTTCCAAGATGCTCCTGATCAACCTGGTGGCTCAGCAAACTTGTATGCAGGACCGTTCGGTTCTTCTAATCAACAACTTAACTTTTTGGAGAACGATCTTGCAAGTGTTGACCGTTCCATCACGCCTTGGCTCATTGTTGCCGGTCACCGTCCTTGGTATAGTACAGGTGGAAGTTCAAACGTTTGTACGCCTTGCCAAAAAGCATTTGAGCCATTGTTGTACAAATACGGAGTTGACTTGGCTATTTTCGGACACGTTCACAACTCTCAACGATTCTTCCCTGTTAATAATGGAACAGCTGATCCTGCTGGTCAAAACAACCCCAAAGCTCCCATGTACATTGTTGCAGGTGGAGCGGGAAATATCGAAGGCTTATCCGATGTTGGTGATCGACAAGGCTATAATGCATTCGCTTATGCCGATGATTATAGTTATGCAACTTTATCTTTCCAGAATGTTACGCATTTGCAAGTCAACTTTATTCGTTCAACCGATGGAAGTATCTTAGATTCTTCTACTCTGATTAAAAATCATACTGATGCATTCGTAGTACAATAAACAACGTAATCTCGTTTTACACTATAATAAAAATGCAATAATGTGACCCTTTGTGATTGTGACTGAAACCCATTATATACTATGACGAACCAAAGAAATGTTCAATTGGAGTAAAGAGGATATCGTGCAATAATGCATCTCCAAATTGAACTTGTTGTTGCGGTTCAGCATTTACCGTCATTCCCGCAGAATTCTGTAAAGTAGAATTCATCATACCACCACCTCCGTCACTCGTAAAGGGAACTTGCGTGGGAAGCGGACTTTGACGAATGCGAGAAGAATTGCTCTCCATGGAATTCGGCATCTCACTCATCGAGTTTGGAACGGAGAGCCGATGAGTATGAGGAAATTGCTGCTGCTGATGTGTTTGCAAAGTTTGTTGTGCCTGTAAATCCGCCGAGTGATTCTCATAGAACCTTGTGGAATGCTGAACGGGTTGTTGTGGAGACTGTGCTTGCCTTTGTTGCTGCTTGACATGTGCGCCTACATGATCTATTGGACGCAATGCTCCACCATACTGTCCAACCCCGGAGGCCTTTTTGCGCCATGTGGAAATGGCAGCCAACGTCTTCTCAAACGAATCTACCGTGATTTGTACGATACGTGCTTGTTCAGATTCTTGACTCGTATTTTCTCCTCCTTCGCCTACCAATTCTCCCCCGATTGGTTGATATCTCATCATTGCATCCTCTTCAAGCAGAATCAAAGTGTCATACGTTTGACGTAAGAGCATCTGATAGATTTCCAGCCTCGACTCTCCACTTGCACCCCAAGGTGCTTCTTGCGCCATGAACCTTCCCGCAAGTTCTTCGACCAAAACTGTCGCACAACAAACTAACATTCCACACCATCTTGCGATTGGAAATACATGAGCAAGAGCGCCCCAATGCGTCAATGGTTCAATTTGACCACTTCTAATCTTTGTCTCTGCAGAAAAGAGGGAAGATGATTTTCCCATCATTGTTGGCGTGGCACCTGATGCTGAAGCGGTACTACTAGAAGCCGAAAGTGGAACATTCAATGTAGATCTTGTACTTCTTCTCGCCGGCTGTAAATCTAATGCCAATGTGGTAAACAATGTTAAAACATGCTTAGCAACGCATGCTCGAACCACTCCTGAATGCTCAAACGATTTCAAAAGTAGAGGACGTTGAAAGATTGCGCCTAGAAATTCTTGTGATGTTCTTGGAACCCCGAAAAATGTCTTTCCGATCACGTATAATCTATCTTTCAACCTGCTCAGACCTGAAAATTCCAATGCTGCCAACGAAAGCTCAAAGTATTTCAATTGGTTAGCACTCACCACCCCGCGAGTACCTAAGAACGTCGAGAGCGTTTTCAATCCTTCACGAGCTCTGGCCATATTCATACCCAAGGCATCAATCACTTGATCTGTCCATCGACGAAGAGAGCTTGCTCGGATTGCAGAATCGGGCGTGATGAGAATGGAATCATGAAATTGTGCGATAAAGTCACGCATCGCCAATCTGACTGTTTCAGTTTCTCGTGCAGCAAAAATCAGCATCATCATTGATGCACAACGTAAAGCAGGCGGTGAAGGTGGCGGTCTGATACTTTCATCTTGTTGAAAGGATGTCGGATCGGGTGCATCAATGTCAATTAACAATCTACAATATCGTTCCAAGGTAGTCCTCCAGTCTTCCGTTGTTCCATGTGAATCATCTTGCATCGATCGAAAAGAAGACGAGGCTTGCGGATGACGTCCACTTGACGCAAAATCACTCTCCAATGATGACCCTTTCCTAGGCGGCATTGGTTCATCTAGCAACTCCAGCATATCTTCTTGTAGCGAAAGATAAACCCATAAAGAAGAATTTTGTACCAACGTTGAATCAACAGGAGGCAATGGCACTTGATCTGGTGATGCAAGATGCAATTCAAGATTGCTGGCCAGTTGTGCGGGTGCAGACGCATGGCCAAGCTGGTAACTTGCTTGTTTGGCAGCAAAGATCAATGCATTTCCTGCCATCACGCCCACCAAAGAGGAAGATGGCAAGATCATAGGACAAAAATTTGCAACAATTATAATAGCGCAAATATCATAAATTGTATCAGGAGGTCGTTCGAGGCAGCGAGCAGAACGATTGGCCAAATGATCTCTCAGTATCCGCAAATCATCTTCTAACATCTTGCCTTCCAAGTACATTCCCACACCAATCAAAAACGCAGTCTTTTCCACCTCATCAAAAAGAGATTGAAAGTTGGGCATGAATGGAATGCTGCCTTGGATATGAGCCATCCTTCGTGCAACATTGGGAAGCCAAACTTGATTGCTTGCCAGATGTTTGACAACATCTTCAAGTCTGGGTAGACCGGATAAGGTGGGAATATGTGTGTGATCAGGACTTGACGTCGAACCGCCCGTATTGCCTTCGATTAAATGTTCGAGCATTTGTGTTGGACGACATGAGATTCTTGCTCGATAGAACCAAGGATAATCTGCAATTTGCTCCATACCAGCCGAATGTGAGGAAGGTGATTCTTCCCTTTGCAATGCAGCACCTTCACCGCCAGATCGCATATGCGAGACGGGTGATTTGTATAATGATGTGTTTGTATTTGGAAGAGATGTGCTGATAGACTTTCCATGCAGTACTGGCAATGGATTGAAGACGTGAGGTTCAAAAGCAGGCCGGTTCATTGACTTTCGTCGAGATTGAGAGCCGGGAGAAGAGCCAATCATATCTTCGCTACTATGATGAGAAGATTGTCTGGCATTCTCTCCGCCTGCCGAAGATGAACCAGGAGAATACATTGCTGATTGTTGTCCTGATTGAATGTTGAATCCTCCACGTTGATCGTCTGGAAATGTTGCTGAATCACCCGCATTGGGAATAGGGTGCATCGGTTTACCGATATAATTGGAATACATTCCCATTGGACTTTTTTGCGTGGGATACTGATATGCAGATGCATTCAAAGGTAGCTGTGAATGCATTTGTACATGTGCATTTGCTGCCATGGGAGTAAAGGGTTGCGCGTCCCATTGCTCTCGAGAGGATGAAGTAGGATGGTCTCCTACCTCAAAAGGCTGACCGGTTGTTGTCGCTCTAACACCGCTTGATTGACTTTGACTGCGTTCGAGACGTAATCTTGTCGATTTGGGTAATTGATCGGGAACGATGCATGCGATTTGCAAAACTCTGCAGCGCCTACATGCCATATGAGGTGGTTGAGGATATGAACTTGGAACGAGAGCGGCAAAGTTTAATTGTTCACATCTCTGTTTTGCACTCCTACACTCCAAACATGAACGTGGCCCTCTTGTTCTTTTTGTACGCATTGGACCGGCATTACTGCTTGTCGTTGCTTGATGATGCTCGTTTTTGGGATCAGTCATTGTTGTGAGATTTTGATCATCAAAATGAGATGCTAGGCCAGAAGGGAATACTTTTTGTTCATCTTTTGTTGTAGTTGATTGAGTGTTTCCATGATCAAAGTTTGACATTTGCTGTTTGTGAGGTATAATTGAAATGAAGAAGCTCTTGACGATTAGAAACAGTTCTTGTTATTGCTCTTCCTTTTTTAAATCAAAATCAACCTTCTTTTCGCTTACTCGTTACGATCTCCATATTTTCTGATCGACCCCCTTTGGGAATGAGAAAGTCGCTAATGAGAGAAACACGGCACGAAAGGGAGGTGTGAATGTTGTTTATGATGATGGAAAACTTTTCTCCCTTAATATTGGATCGAATGCATACGTATGCAATCTCCCATGATGATGAAATTCATCTATGCAATGCATCTTGGCCTTGGATTTATGAGTAATTTTTTCTTGACAGGCACTAGCCTGAAGAAGCTTGAATTGCTGTTTTGCCGGTTATCTGGAACTGCATGAAACCGAGTCAGGGCCTTTGCCCGATTGAGAGACAAGAAGTGCTCATGAATATTGAATGATGATGCAAAACAATAACCCAAACCGGAAGCGTTGCGCTTGTCTGTGCTGTTCATACAACGGGAGCGAAAGAAGAGTGTAATAAAACGTGCGGGGACTGGATTGTCTTGCAGCATACCAACATCTCTCCCGTTATTCTCATGAAAATGTGGCTTTTTTTTAATTGATTATGATGATTATTTTATTCAGCCTTCATTCACAGCTAGCCAAATACGGTGAAAGAAAGGGCATCTTTTATGTATGTACGTACGGCGACTGCAAGTTCTACAAATTCATTCTCAGCTGTCCTACCTGCATTTCCTTTCTTTCCCCTTTGCATCATCTCGGCGTCAGAGACCAGAAAGAGAAGAATGTTCTATACCTTCATTCAACCCTTACGTTGGCGCAGCGCGCATCAAAGAAAGAAAGGATCAACAACGGCTGCACAACGCTCCTTACAACACTCCTTAAAAGGATCAACAACGGCTGCTGCACAACAACACTCTTTAAAAAGATCATTTGGTCATCAATTAAAACATATGCATGTACGATTAGCGTGATGCGCTTACTGTTTGGCGTAGTAAGCCTATACCATAAAAAGGATTTTCGGAAGATTATTTTGGACTTGTTGATCGAACATTTTCACTTTTGGCCGATATAAAAGATCGCTTCAATAAAATCGATTAAACAAGATTGAGAGGAAGGGAAAGTGAAATATTCTTCTATTTTAGCCGTTGTAAGGGGAAGTGTCCCGTTGAGTAAACCTGCAGTGATTGTATAATTGGCTTGAACGGTTGTTGAATTGATTACTGTATAAATCGGTTGTTTATTCTCATATAATGGACCTCCTAAAATCGCTTGCGGTCCTGCAACCGAAGAAAGTAACAGTGAATTACGATCAAATGCAGTCGTGATCAAAAATCCCGGTGGTCCTTCAATTCGATGAACGTTTTGGGTTGTAGGAATTGCTTCTGCATCGGCTTTACGATGTGTTATTACCGCTCGAACATACTTTGCTGCACCTTCAATATGACATTCATCATTATTTGCATTTTCACTACGAGAAGTTGATATTGCGTAAGTTTGCAATAAGCAAGCAAAACTTATAACTACTAAGAAAATTGTATATCTCATGATTGTGATGGTGGAAAAAAGGAGGGGATAGCATGTATGACTGTTTGCCAAGATCTGATTGTATTTGCTATATGTATTAATCGCATTGTTACGGAAAGATGGGGTACACCTCAATGATCACCACGGAGTTTGGGATTACTGCGGGGATTTGAGATTTGTTTGCGTGAAAGAATGAAGCTTGAAGCCGTACTGATCTTATGCCTGAATGCTTACTTATGCAACTGACAATCTTTTCTGGCCCCACAGCGCATTAAGTTGACTAAAATTTATAATGAAACTTGTTTACATTGCACAGACATTAACGCACGTCAGCTGGTTATATAAAAAGGTTTTCTCACATTTATACTGACTTGTCGCCTTTTATTCTTTCCGCGCAATTCCGATTGAAATGATCTACGGGAAGAAGAAATTCTCCGTTAAACTACGTTAAAACTTTAAATGTTCCAATGTATACACAAACTGAATAATACATATCATGAAAGATGGCTTACGGTTCTATGAGCAAGTTAGACAAAACACTTAAAAAGCTTTCTTCAAATCAAGCATGTCCTTCTTTCCCCCCATCTCTTTCTTTTCGCAATGATTCGTACCATCTTTTTAGCATTAGGCGCAATCCTAGCCGCTATTTTCACCCTACTTCCCTCCTCACACGTCTTCGCTAGACCTTCAGAATATCAATTGACCAATGACGTAAAACAATTGAACAAACGATTCATCAATCAAACAATTCTAGACGCATGCAAATCATTACAACCTTCCAAAAATGTTCATTACATTTTGAGTCCTCAATATTCTTCTACCCTTTTACGTTATATCGCTTCAACAACTCAAACACCAGTTTGTCTTTTTTTACCCGATCAACCACAACAAATCGCTGATGCAATCAATGTTATCGGAGCAAAACGCATCCCTTTTGCCGTTTCAAGTGGTAGACATGCGAGTAATAAAGGTTTCAGTACCACTACCGGCATTCAAATTGATATGAAAGGTTTTCAAGGAATTGTCCTTGATTCAAGCAAGCAATTCGTTGATGTCGGTTCAGGTAATATTTGGGATAATGTTTATCAAGTTTTAGAAGGTACAGGCGTGAACATTGTTGGTGGAAGAGTGACGGGTGTTGGCGTTGGTGGATTCATCACAGGCGGAGGTGGTTATAGTTGGAAGACTAACCAATACGGTTTAACTGTTGATACTTTGATCAAAGCTGATATGGTATTGCCAAATGGTACTTTGGTCACTGCTAGTGCAAATGAGAACCCAGACTTGTTTTGGGCAATCAAAGGAGGAGGCAATCAATTCGGTATCATCTATAACTTCCGTTTAAAAACTAATCCACAAACAGCTCAAGTTTATGGTGGTTTGCGTACTTACACCCAAGACCAAATTCCTGCAATCATTCAAGCCGTTTCTGAATTCTCTGATAAAAACACAGACGCAAAAGCACAAACCATTCCAACGTTTAACACACTCGCCGGTATTCCTGGAATTTCTTTACTGGGCTTTTACGATGGTCCTGATCCAGGTACAAGTTTGGATTACTTTAATGCTCCAGCAACAACTGCTAAAGCGTTCACCAATGGATGGAAAGCACAAAGTTTTAGTGATCTTGTCCGTTCTGCTCCTGCAAATGCAACAGCATATCAACGTGGACTGTTTCATTCCGTTCAATTGAAACACTACTCATTGCCAATGTTGCAACAAATTGCCAATCAATCAGCCTTTTGGGGAAGCAGACCTTTCCGTTCTGGCACTTTTATCTCTTATGACGTTGAACCTTTCTTGGCCGATTGGGCAAACGGTATCAATACAGATGCAGCTTGGCCACATGGAAACAGTCCGATTCCATTGAACATCTATTATGCCTGGTCAAATCCCTTAGATGATCAATTTTATCGTGAAGCAGCTTTGGAATCTGCTCGTGTTTTGAACGATTTAGCAAACTCAGAAGGTCAACAAGTCGATCAATTTGGATTGTATCCCAATTATGCAATCGATGGTTCTACGGCAGAACAAGTTTTCCGTCAAAACGCTCCTCGATTGGCTCAATTGAAGAAACAATTTGATCCACAAAATGTCATGGGTCTCACTACATACTTTTCCTTTACTTGAACAATAATGTATATCATACAGCATAATGGAAACCTAATCACACCAATCAACTTTTGACTGTATAGCGTGAATGTGACTCGTCCCCCCCCACGCTGAGTTTAGATCACGCATATATTCTTACGATGACTTCTTCTTCACGCTACCATGCGAAATGACTTCTACGTCAATTGAATCCTTGCGACTGTTGGGCAAACATGAAAGGTATAGTCTTGCAAGGCATAATATAGGACATCCGCCTATTCTAACCAGCATCGCATTCGGTAAAGCAAACAATATTGAACAAGTGAAAGAATTGCATGCAAGACTTCGTGACAGGATAGAATATATCTTGCAAAGTATACCAATCTTTTCCGCTCATATTCCTAATCAATTTGCATTACGACCAATATGGGCTCGTACTACCTCAAGAGCCAAGGCAAGTCAAGTCTTGTTGCCTCTCGAGTCACTAGAAGGGAACAAAGATGGCTTGTCTCTAGATGATGCTGAAAATCTTCTCCAGCAATTCCAGCTTTGGGGCAAGAGCACTTTACAAGATTTGCAAAAACCTCCTTTCTGCCGGGTGAGGGTGATGATAGAAGAACGAGGTGACAGCATTCATTTTGCCGTTGTACTCATTGCCCATCATCTCGTTCTGGATGGTCAAGGCATGATGAATTTGTCCGCGCTGTTAATTCAATCGAAAGACTCAGCTCTTCCGAGTGCAAAAGATTTGCGTGGAAGCTTGGTATCGGCAGCGGAAGATGATGTGAATGGATCATCTTTACCCTTGACAAGTGATGTTACAATGCAATCCAAGGCACCACTATTATGGACCGCATGGACATGGATCAAATCAAAAACGCTTCCTCTTTTTCCATCATTTCTGCAAAGATTGTTTGGGTTTCATCACGTCTGGCCGCATAGAGTCAGACCAGTGAAAAGAGTAGCTGAACTTCCGGTTCATTATCGTCTTGTCGATGTTCGTAGTGAAGATGTTGGTGTTGATCGCGGACTGTTTGAACGAATGAAAGAAGTGGCATCTCTTCATCAACTCAGGACTGTTCATCCCATCTTCCATACAGCTTGCATTTTTGCATTATACTCCCATCTAAGATTCACCAATCAACAATTTCCACTTGATGTAAAGATCAATTCTGCAGCAGGTGAAAGGGATATGAAAAAGTTTGGAATCATTGCTGGTAATTACGTCTCGTTGTTTTCCTTCCCTTTGCATTTGAGTGCAGAAATGAAGGTATGGCAACTTGCACGAGCATTCGCAACTGATTGTGAGTCAATGTCTTCGCTGTAAAAATTGAAGAATCGTACTAACCCTCTCTGTATCCTATAGTGACTTCAAAATCCGGATTGCAAATGCGTTCACGTACTTGGAGTTTCATGCCTGACATTTTTGGCAGATTCGGTGAATATATGCACAACAAGACAAAACAATTTCCAACGCCATGGGAAGCTCATTTCGGTGGACAAGCTTCACAGCTTCAACCGTGTAAAAGTTCATTGGGTTTTTCCAATTTAGGATTGGTCAAGCTGAGTGACCCGCTTTTTGATCGAATGATTTGGACACAATATCCACCCATAGGAGAAGCAATTATGATCGACGCAAACGGATGGCGTACCCGAGATGGACAAGAGGGTTTATCATTCTCATGCGGAATACGTGGAAATGGAATTTGGGGACCAGCAAATGGAAAAGGGGAAGATGTTTTTGTTGATGCATTACATCATGTATTGTGTTTATTCGCCAAAGATCAAGTGAAAGAGGAAGATACGTTGGAATCAATTGAGACAAAGATGAACAAAGTGATCGGATTGAATTATTAGCCTGATTGCCATTCCCATCATCGCGGGCCGAGCGGTTGATATGAATGGACTGTGAGAATTCAATGACGTTTCAGTCTAAAGAAAAGAGACACAGCGCGTTCGCCCTTCATGCAGCATCAATGCAACAAAACGCTAAACGGGGATCGTATGCATCAAAGGCACAAAAGCAGTCTAAACAACTTTCATTTATTTTGAATATCACACCTATAACTCATTCATTCATTCATCCTTTCATCAATCTTGTAATTCTTCATTCAACACCATCATCAATCTTGTAACTCTTCGTTCAACACCATCATCACTTGTTTGATTCCATCTCCTGCCTCTCTAATTCAAGGAATGCGTGATGGGTACCAACACCAGTAAACCATTGACTTATGCAACTTCAACCACTGGATCAGCACGAATGGGAGGAGTACATCCAAAACGTAAAAAAGTAAAGAAGAATTTACAATCTGGTCATCAAAGACAAACATCAGAATTGGATCAAGAAGCAACTCTTATAGGTGGCTCTCCACAACATTCATTCCAATTATCCGAAGCAGATACAATTGTGAATCATCATTCTGCTCCACCGCCACCTTATTCGCGTTAATCAAACAATCAGCACAAATTTCTCAAATCTTTTATACTGTATACTATAACGTTTCTCTGTTTCCTGGGGCACCTCATCTTTATCAATCACATTTCTCCATTGCAAAGTTGTTTTAGAAGTGATTGTATGCGAGACAAATTAAAAAAAAGAAGATCATAAAAACGAACTGCAGCACCCAGGATTCCCGCGTGGAGTAAAAGGTAAAAGTTATAACCTGAAAAGGTTGATAGGATATTATAATAGATTCTGAAATTCATCTAAGTCAGTAAAACTCATCGAGAATATATCCTAAGACATAAGAAGAGAAAGTAATAAACTGAGATTTAAACTTAGTATTACAGAAGTATAATACTAAAAGTATTATACCCCTCTAATACTCTCAATTACTTTTCCCTTGTTTATGGCTATGTTGATCCAAGCCCTTGGGCGAGTGATCTCAAATAGCCGAGAAATAAGGAAAAGTAAATCAAGAAATCTCTCCCACCGCAGTACTGACTAGGCGATACCGTGCTTGAGTTCGCAGATCGGACGGGATGCGGTACTCTCACGGTTCTATGGCCGCAGATAGGAGGATGGCGGTAGGGTGAAAGTATGTTCTAAATGCTCATTAAAACTTCTCTTGTGCGGGTCGTAAGTCAAGCTGTGAATAGAGAAGAAAAAAGGATCAGTTATGGTAAGCAAATGCATTTCCCTCTCTTTCCGAATACCCACCTCATGAGTCCATAAAGCAGGACTTTGATCCATCAAATGCAAATATTCAGCTGCAACTGCATCTGCGCTCATACTTGCACCTGTTTTTGTCGCTTCTGATTCTTCATCACGAATTGGACCATTGGCAATCGCATGAACGGCGTGAATGCCAAACTTTGATTCACCTTTTGCTAATGCTTGTGCAACGCTACGAGCTGCTGAACGTGTGGCACCATAAGATGTATATTCCGCATTCGTACGTAAAGCGCCCAAGGTGCCCTGTTAAAAAAAGAAAGATGATGGTCAGAGATTGGCCAGTCCGCTATCAATACCTAGCACACCTACCGTAAAGATAATCGTTCCCTTTTTCTCGCCTTTTGTATCAGCCAACAATGTTTGGCCGCCATTCTGAGAGTACATCAAGCGGGCACTCTCTTGTGCGAATGTTAGAGCACCTGTGACATATGTATCCATACTTTTAGAGAATTCCTCAGGTTTAGTATCCAGGAAAGGTTCTTTTGCGCTTTGTTTGATATGATAGATTGCTAGTTTAAGCTTTAGACCTTGAAAGGAAGCATGTTGAGAGATTTTCTTGAAAGTTGATTGTAATTGTCCAACTGAAGTATCCGTTGGAAATGCTTCAACAATTGCAGCTTTGTTTGTTGAACGAATCTTTTCTACGACACCGTTTAAATTTGTCGGATTACGTGCAAGTACTGCTACGGCTAAGTTGCCTTGATTGGCTAAATAACGTGCAATGCCTCCTCCTGAAGTTGGGCCTGCTCCGATTATAATTGCTAATCCTCTTGGTGCCATTTTGTATGAGAATGTTATGGAGGAAGGGAAATAAAGATGTGGAGAACGTTGCTTTCTATCAATAGAAATATGCACCTATGCAGAATCTCAAGTGGAGAAGAAGCGGATATGTACTCACCCTGGACCCTGTAACCATTCACCTTCTCAACGGCTTTTCCGCTTAATGATTAATGATGTACCTCTGACGCGTGTAATTATAAGCTCCTCTTCATTCTTTCAAATCATTATTACATTCATCAATTCTCTCAAAGTATCAACAGAAATAGAAAATCATCACAAGAATCTCGTTCATAGAAATCACCTTATGACCACGTCCTCGGACCAAAATATTCTCCTTCTGCTACATGTTTGCGTATAGCAGTATTTGTTAAATCCATCGTTTGTTGTGCTTTACCGTTTCCCCACCAAGTTGGAAAATTTGTTTTCGTGAGTTGAAGAGTACAGAAAATAAAGATCGTTGATAAAGCTAAGCCAACATCCAAGCCAGCCGAAAGGGTATAATTGTATTGCATCCACCATCCGCGCCAACGGTTTTTGATCCATTTATTGAAGATAAAACCAACAAGACCCCATGTGGCGTAATTCATGGGAGTAGCAGGCGGAATGAGGGAGAGAGAGCCGTAAATAATAGGTGCACAAAGATACTTTGCAGGTGACTTTGGCCATTTTTTTGCAATAAGCCAAAAAACGATTGGTAAAATGAATCCCGGTAAAAAGAAGATTAACACGTGTGAATACGTTGCACCCGGTGAAAATACTCGTCTTCCAGAGATGAGGTTCCAAATAACGCTTGAATTGAAGAAAACACGAGCGTTCGGGCAGGAAAAATGGTCTTTTTGATCACGATGACAAATATTTTCAATATTTCCCAAAGCCCAATTCATCATTCCAACTTGTACGATTGCAGACCATGCAGTCGCTACCATTTGACCCGTGAAAGTGACGCGCGGCGGTATTTTGATGTAATGACCCAACTTCATATCGTTTGCAAATCCTAAACCTTGATATAAAGCCATATAACCGTATGCCTTGAACATCATGCCTGCCAAAGGCCGTCCTGGCTGCATGTAGCCTATCATGAATTCGCACAACACATTTAATCCAATCCAAATATTTGTTGTGCCTGCAATCAAGCCGATTGGCAAAAAGAATACGAATCCAACAAAGATACCCAGGATCAAAGCCCAAGCTGCTAAATGGGTTTTAAAACCAACTGTGATACCCATTGCCATAGCAAAAGTAGCAATGAAAACAGCCATATACCATGACAGCGGAACAGGTTTGTATTTTGCCATTAATCGAGAATGGATATCGTCCTCGATCTCGTTGAACTTTTTTAGCATCCTCCATATGTCCTTTCCGTTATAGATAACCGTATGCGTAAGAACCGAAGAGATCGCTGCAAATGACAAGCCGTAACAAAGAGTGAAAGTCGTTGAGAGAAAAACAGGTGAATAGGCTTTGTACTTTTCCTCATCAAAGACAAATGTGACGGGATCGATAATGCGCGAAACATTGTAAATCTGACCTGTGTTGTCATATGTATTGGGGTCAGAAATTGGAAGATAGTCAGACCAGGCGTAGTTGCTATAATGCATTGCAGGTGTAAGGATCCAAATAAAAATGACTAAGCCTATCAATGTATTGCCGATCGCATGCCATGGAGCGATTAATGGACTGAAATTGAAACCAGAAATTTGAGTCCAATCAAAAGTCAAAGGAATAAATGACAATCCAGTTGCTTGACCAAATAATTGATTTACCACCACATTTTGAGGAGCAATCCATGTTACCCAAGCGAAATAACTTAAAAATGGCGCCATGTATCCCGGGAACCAGAACCAGACAAATGATCCTATCATCACATAAGTGAAAAAACGATAACGATTAATTTTCCATCCAGACGTCTTTGCAGGATCGGGAATGGGTCGATCGTGAAGAGCAGTAAATAATGCTGTATTAACCAAGTTGCCCGGCCAAATCATCGCAGCTGGCTGTACTAAGAATCGATTGAAGAAACCAGCCATACCAAAACCCAGCATCATGTTTGACATTGCTAAACAAATTTCAAAAGCATAGCCAAAGTGTTGGTTGTAAAATGCACGTTGAGCAATAATCACTTCTAAGGCATACGCAGCCCCGCCGCCAAAGCATGCATTTGCCATAATCACGATTAAAGCATGCTCTTTTTGAGAAAAAGGCCCTGGATTCAGCATAAGTTCACGGCCAAACAATCTAAAACGACCTTCTGGTAACCATTTTGCCCAGGCGACACCCATGGGAAAAACTATAATTTGCACCACATATGTGTTGATAACGATGTACGGATTTCGCATACTTAATAAAGCATTACAAGCTGATCCAAGCGTTGCAAAGATCATGCCAAAGAACCAGGCACGGATCGTGTTTGAATGACCGCCTGTATCGTAGTTTAACACTGCTGCTCTCACTTCTGGGTAAGGACTGTTTTCAAGTAATTCCTCGGCAATGTGCATGCGTTCTTTGTAGTCATCAGTATCAAACGCTTCATCGAGTTCATTGTCGACTTCGTCGGGCAAGTTAGGATCCCATGCCAATTGTTGCCTTTTGAGCTTTTTAAGTTGTTCCAGTACTTCTTTTGCCGCTTTTGCTTCTTCATCTGTGGATACGAGATGAATCTTTTTCTCGTCGGTGGGCGTAATATCTTCCTTCGTTTCGGTACTCATGGTGATTAGAGGAGCTTTCCTTTTTGGACGGGCGAAAAGATACGGAAATGAAATAGAGCTATTCTTAAAGCTTTTTATATTTTTCTTTTCTTATCTTTAGGAAGAGTACTTATTCCTCACCGGTGAACGTCTCATCTTTTCTCAACACGGCTCTTGTTCCTAAAGTTCGGCACCGGCGTTTCTTGATAGGATCATAATCCAAAAAGTGGGGTATGCTTAAAGCGGATCCGCTATTCTGACCTAATACGATTTTTCCTTATCTCTTTTATGAAGGACCTGTTCAGAACAGTGACTTGACATTTCAGCCCCGTTAATATTGAACAAGACACTTCATTTCATTTGATATTCCGAACTTTCCCAAAGAATGTGTGTACAGTAGGAACGCTCAGCTGATCAACAAATGGTATACCTTCATTTATTGAGAAAATAAAGTGGGACAAACCGGTGCCGAGTGAAGAAATAAGCTTCTTACTGGCAAGCAAAAAGTGATATAATACATAAGTTAAATTACAATGTGAGATAGTGTCCATGTGCCCAAAGAAGGATGATCAACAACCGTCTTTGAGCTGGTTTTTGGGAAACGGTTCTGGCCAAAGCAATAACTGTGGATTTGAATAAACATCCATATGTCTCGTTATATAATCTGATGTCGGATAATTCTGCGGATTACACGAAACTTGATCTTGGGTGTATGTATTTGGCTGATATACCCGCACATAATCGACCGAAAATACGGCGGGAAAATCAAGGGAGTCAAATTTAATACTTTGAAAGCCTTCTGAGATTCCCAAATTCATAATGATCGTCATTGGTTCTACCGGTACGAGCCTTTGTCCAATGTCGATTTCTTTTTGGGCTGGAATAGCAGCTTCAGTGACTGTCCAAGAAACTTTCCCATCTATATACCAGGTCACTTTACCCTTTCCTGAACCAGTATAATCCGGCTCAAATTCACACCCGAAAGTGGTGAATGTTTTAGACGTCTTCTGAAATGCTTTTGTTGGAATTTGCGTAACGGCAGAAACACTCTCTTGATAGACATTTCCGCGGAAAGAGTTAAATATTGTTAAATCATCATTTCCAAAAGTAGCAGCACTTTGATTCCACCTGTGTTTGTTTGAGAATGGTCCAGTTTGTAGAGATTGCGAAGCTTCGCCAACTCCTTCGGCCGTATTAATTTGCGCTTCTAGAACATCCAGTTCGGGAACGCCTCTTCCTACATTTGTGTTTGGACCTGGATGATCTTCGCCTGCGCAAGTACAGGAAGGTGTACGCATGCCCGGGTTCCAACTTAATCCTCTTTTGCCATTATTACGAAAGGTAGATTCTTCCTCATAAAATGGTGAAGTGGGAGAAGTTTGATTAGGTAAAATGCCCGAATCGCAAGAGTTATACGAGTAAGGCCACATGCCATCCGTTGTTGCTAAAAATCCAGGTCTACCCAGATTACCCTGCATCCAAAGACCTGGCCAATAGCCCACTTCTTCCGGAGACCCAGGTAAAAGCGCATTAAATTCGATGTATCCTCCTGAAAAGCAAAATTTATTCCAGGATTGAAGCATACCGGATCGGAAATTAAGGTCGTTCATTGGTTTATTATCCAGGGTGATGTGTAAGGCTCCACCGGTTGTGTTTATTTGTTCTGGTGTATACCATTCAAGATCGCCTGTTGCTCCATACCATAAATCAACAGCTGTCCAAAAAGGATCGTCGCCTGGCCAAAAAGTGCGACCATCAACATTGAATTCATCCGAAAAGACTAAATGATACTGATCTCCAGTTGCACTTGTCCAAGAATGAGAAGAGGAAGGCGTGTCGGAATCGATTAATAGTAATTGAGGATGTATAAGTGGTACCTGACCCGTTCCATTCGTTCCTCCTAAACCATAAGAGCCGGTTGTTGGTGCTGATTTACGACGAAAGTATTCCAAGATGGGATATCCAGCAAAGAGGGTTAAAAGCGAAAGAATCAAAGTAGCAAACACAAAGAAGTTCAGAAAACCTCTACCTGAAAATATGGTGAAGTGAGGTTCTTTATATCCTTTGAATGTCTAGAATAAAGGGGAGAATAGGGTAAACACAGCTGCTTTAGCAAAACTTCCGGAAGAACGTACCAAATCATCATCTGTATCTATGTAGAGGTGATGTGCAGTGATTGATGCAATTCCTTGATATTTTGCCGATTGAGAGAAGGAATTGGTAGATTTGTGAAGAGAAGGTATTGATGCTAAAAGTGTTTCATTTGAAGATCTTTCATCTTGAGCTCGTATATAATTTTTGCTTGATTTAATCCCTAAACTGGATGAATGTCTCCATCGAGCATGACGAGAAGGCTGACTGCCAATGTTAGACATGGAAGTCTACTATGATGGTGAGAATACACATTGGATGGTGTTACAGAATTAAGATGATGATTAGCATCGGCATCCTAAGGGTAGAATACAAATATAGAAAGAGCTATTTTTCTTGAAAGAGTGTTCTTTTGGCTTCCCGTTTTATAGAATGCATGTCATGTAGGTACACTGACATCTTGCATCCTTTATGATAAGATGGATGCGAGTTTGTCGTCTATCGTCGGACTACCTTAGATCTGCATTTTCTCAAAGCTGGGGAAGATGGAGAGAGTGTTATGCTTGTATAGTTTAATGTTTTCCCTTGCATTGAATGGAATACCGTTGTATTTCTTGGGATACTGATGATATGCTTTCATTCTGCATTCCACGGGTTCGTTTTAATTTTGAATCCGGCGGCAATTTAACTGTTCTAGCCTTCTTTTTGATGTTCACTATATATAGTAGATTATATCAGCAACTTTCAAAGAAATCAAATCCCATGGCTTACGCTCAGCATCTTGGCTTTTCGGCTTTTACGTAACGCGTTCCTGAAAGTGTTAACACCGATTGACTGTTCTTTCGCCAATATTATTAGAAGCCACGGAATATAAAACTTTTGACAGGCGAGATTGTATGCAGCACATATGCAACACTTATAAAAGCCGAATAACACATTGACATAACTATAAACAGAAAGTGGCATTGTTTGATAGCATACATTCTTCCCTCCTTCTCATCATACAAAATGGATTGGCGCGATATAACGTACGATATTCCAGTTCCTCGTATCAAAAAGCATGCTCAAAAGCAATCAAATGATGATGGAGGTGGAGAAACGCCTACATACAAGGAAAGACCCGCAGAATCAGCTTCCCACCTTTCACCCGTTCCCCAAGATCATCGTCGAATTTTAAATGGTTTAACAGGTTCAGTAAAAAGAGGTGAAATGGTCGCAATTCTTGGTGCAAGTGGAGCGGGAAAAACAACTTTACTCAACGCTCTTTCTGCACGTCTCGAAAGTGTGGGAAAATTAAACGGTTCCGTACATTACAAGGGAAAGCCAAGAGATCCAGCAACTTGGAAGCGTGTGGTGGGATACGTTGAACAGGATGATTTGCAAATCGGATGCTTAACCGTACGGGAAACATTATCCTATGCTGCACGTTTACGGTTACCAGATCGATTGTTCACCCGAAAGGAAAAAGAAGATCGTGTTGATGAAACGATCGGGATGCTTCGATTGGAAAAATGTCAAAATACACGAATGGGCGGTCCAGGTCAAAGAGGTGTCTCGGGTGGAGAACGAAAAAGAACTTCGATTGGAACAGAATTGGTGAGCGACGTAAGTCTTCTTTTGCTCGATGAACCTACTTCGGGTTTAGATGCTTTTGCTGCTTGGAGTGTAGTGGAAAATCTTCGAGATATCTCACGCGAACGTAATCTAGCTTGTTTGATGACGATTCATCAACCGAGTTACAGAATGTTTTGTCAATTCGATCGGGTAATCTTATTGGCACGTGGAACGGTATTTTATGAAGGTGTACCGCAAGATGCAATTCCATACTTTGAATCGCTCGGATACAAAGTACCCGAAGGAATGAACCCTGCCGATTACCTCTTGGATATTTCACAAAATTTGGAAAAGAGTGATGAAGCAGAAGATAGAATTGAAGCGCTATTAAAAGCATGGCGTGATTCGGGAAGAGGAAGAGACGTTCGCCAAGAAGCAGACTCAGAAGGTGGCGTAGACACCACAGAAACCAATGAAAAGATTCATGGATCTGCAGATCAAAACAGTCGTCGTTCAAGCCTGGTCAAAGATGAACAACATGAGGATGCATATAAGACTTGGCCATCAAATTGGCTCAAAGAATTGTACATTCTCACAGAACGGACAATGATTGAAACGTTACGCAATCCTGTTCTGTTATTCGGTGCTTTAGGTCAAACAGTTGTCCTGCTTATCATTATCGGATTTGCCTTCTTCCGCTTAGGGTACGATCAGCCGGATGTGATTGCACGAATTGGTATTCTCTTCTTCATTCCGGTCAATGCAAGTTTTGCTGTGTTATTTCCTATCATCAATGTTTTCCCTTTAAGCCGTCAAATTATGCGAAGAGAACGATTTGCAGGCTTATACCGCACAAGTAGCTTTTATCTTGCACGAATGATCGTCGAAGTACCAAGTCAGATCTTGCAACGAATCTTATTTTATGTCATCCTTTATTGGATGGTAGGCCTTCAAGCATCTGCAGCACGCTTTTTCATCTTCCTTGGAGTTAATCAAATTCAAATTTTAACGTCAATAGGAATGGGATTTTGCATCGGAGCCGTAAGTCCGACTGTGGAAATTGGTAGCATCATTGCACCAGCATTAAATGTCATCTTTTTCCTGTTTGGTGGTAATCTATTACCCAAACCACCACCGTGGTTCGTTTGGCTTCGTTGGATTAGTCCCATCACTTATTCCTATCTTGCTATCGGACAGAATGAGTTTAAAGGGGAAGTATATAATTGTAATGGTGTCTCAAACGGAGGAACGTGCTATCGAACAGGAGAAGATGTTATGCAACAGTACAACCTTCAAAGTTTCACAATTGCGGAATGTGTCGGGTTCTTGTTTGCCATCTACTTTGTGTTCTCATCTTTGGGTTATCTGTTGTTGCGATTCTCTGCACATCCAAAGTTCCGCTTCAAGTAAATATTCTCTGTAAATAGACTTAAATGAATATCATTTTTCCTCTGCATCGGATTTGACTGCTCCTTCTTCTTCGTGGTCATCCTCATCAGTGCTTGTGTGTTGTGATTCTTTCTTCGTAGCACGCAACAAGCTTGTGGATAATAATAATGTGCATGTACACCATTCAGTCATTGTTGTTAGAACGGCCTCTTTCACGACAAAATCGCTGGTGAAACCGTCAGAATTGTAGATGCCAGGGTAATAATACTTTGTAAAAAAGAAAAGAGTAAGTAAATCGCTGATGAATGCTTCTTTGGTAAACTCACGTTCAAAGAATCAATCACGCCTTGCAAGATTCCGAAAACGCCCCGAATCATCATAAAGGGAAAAGTGATTGCCAAAATTACTAAAACGATTCTAGCTTGAACTTCTTCCTTGGTTGCATTGCGGCTATGTGCACGACGCAATGTGAAGAACAAACATCCATACAAAAATATTGCCGTTGCCAGACATATGCCTTGTCCAGTTCCACGCATGATTTTAGAAGCTGTTAGATGGGTATTTGTGTTCCAATTCTCTGATGCTGAATCTCCTTTTCCGCTGGCCAAGAAATTCCCACCCGTGATAATTAAGACGTTTCCAGCGTTAAGGATCCAATGGATAGCATTTATTGGTGAACGAATGATGCTGATAAATGTTAATCCTTCGAAATTCTTCTTGCAGTGCTCATTTCGGGCGGATTCTTTGGACCGGCTAACCATGAATGTTTTTCGGGCAAATAATGCCTTTGCCAAGAAATCAATAATCTGGTCACACATAAGACCAGCGAAAAATACCCTTCTGCAGAAAGAACCAAAGAAGCAATAAGGAGAGAAACTGCTTTGAAACCGATCAAAGAGAATGCCAAACCGACAGATTGAGCTGCTAATCGAAGAGTGACATGGAATAAAATTAAGCTCCATCTGCTTCGAAGTGTGAATCGCTTTGTTGCATAATTGAACATCAAAAAGATGAACAAAAGTGCATACAAGATTAGAAAAAGGGTGGATGAAATGCCAAAAGCGTTTAAAGTCATGATTGGTGAAAGTGTTTAGGAAGTGAAGGAAAAGAGAATAGCACAGCCCGTCTTTATACGATTCTGTTTAATCTGTCATGTCATGTCAAAAAGATTCATGCGGTAGGTTGGAACGGAAGAAGAGCGGTTACGAGAGTGGCATAAAATCAGTCTTTGGCGCGCATTCATGCAAACAAAACTCACGCTAAAATAATGATCTATGATGATTGTAGGCGTTTCCGCTTGGCGAACTTTATAAATAGCGGAATGAAATCGTATCCCAGCGGAAAAAAATATTTACGCTTACTTTCCGATCATCATCAACTAGAGTATGATTACACAATGGAAATCATGTAAAATAACCAAAAGGCAACAAGAAAGCGAAATCGACCAAACGCTTTTCGTTCGTGTAAAGGATGTAAGGAGCAAAAGAAACGTTGCGAGTTGAAGGAATCTGTTCTGCTCACTGAACCTTCCACGAATGCACTCAAAGAAGATGAGGCATGCTCCAGATGTTTCATTTTAGGTTTGCCTTACATCCTGTCTGATTTTGATAAAATTGAAAAGATTGCCAATAAAAGACGAAGAGATGAACTGCAAAGACAAAAAGACCAACATAAAGAACCTACCGAGTCAACTCGAGAGACAGTCTATAGCGAAAATCGCTCATTGAATTCGCAAAATCCAACGCCATCCTCAGGAACAGCTATGTTCCCGGCTAATTTGCAAGACTTTAAGCGGTACACCCCACGCAGTAGACCGACCATATTGGTATCAGAGATTGCAATACGACAACCTAATTTTACCGCCGAATCAATTGTTTTAGCTTAAGAATGGGAACGCAATAGAAAGTCAGCATACGATCTGATGGATGATGCTTTAGTAGTACGCTTAAGTGTTTGGTGTGAAGGTCATCTATTGATTTGGCTTCCAGAGCTGCCTAATCCTGTCGATATTTGGCGTGCACGTCTTCAAAGGCAGCATTTGTCAGCATCGATCAAAATATTAGAGGCAGTACAATATCTTATTGCTCTACAACATTCTTCTCGCATGATCAATCATAAAGAGCTATTGATGACATCTTTAGCCCGTTTGGTCGAATCTAAAATGTCTCAATTGATTCTAAATTCACAAAAGGATTTACACGCTGCTCAAGCAATGGAATTATTGACAGTATTTCCAATTGCTACTAGCTTTTTGACCTAAACTGATCATGGAAAGGTATACAGTATAGAAATGACTATTTTAGCCAGTAGTTCTAATCGTATTGCCAGCATTTGCAGACAAGAATATCGATCAACACAACAAGAACGATCAGAGCAACAGCTTACAATGAATGCACTGGAGTTCCAATTAGGATTACAGTGGTGTAGCTCGATAGCTTGGGAATTCTCACATTGTATGGGAAGTGATGATGTGATTCGATTTTGGGGCAATCGATATACCCCAAACGCCAAAGATGTCGCCGAATTATTGCAATATCTGCGCTCACATCCCGTTTCCGGATCGAGAGGATTGGGTCAAATATTTGTACTTTTGCGTGCACATCTTGCGATAATTGTCATTGAAACATGGCAAAAGCTACATGGAGAAGCGCCGTTTGTACATAGCAGAGTGCGTAGAACTCCCGAAAGATCTATCAAGGAACGTCATGCCATTCTAGGAAAAATCTTGAAAGATTATGAAGAAAAGTGCGAGCAATCAAAAGCCTTGCGCTATACTTGGTTAGAACACCATCAAGAACCCGAAGCGCAATTGATATTGAATTGGCTTGATCTGGAAGGATTGTCATTTTTTCTTATGATTTCTGGTAGAGCGTTATACTATGCCCTTCAAGAAGATGAAAATGCGGATGAAGCTTTACAGTTTACGCCCGATTTCCTCTACAGAATGATTACCGGAAAAGCATCAAACGACCTAATTCGTGAATTTGTTTTTTATCATGGTGATAATCGAATCGATACAGGAGAATCAGTCTTAATGGTTGCTTCTTCTCTTACTTCTTTACAATCTTCACTTCAACGGGATCTAGTAGTTCCTACTTTAGTAACTTGTGGATATATAATGGAAGCATGTATGTTGGGCATGGAGGCGCATGGAACAAGTGCAAGATATTGGCAAGCATTGCCACGAAGAAGTACGTCTTGGCAAATTGGAATCAAAGGAACGATAAAGATGTTACATCGAATACAAGATGTACCCGAGGAACATGGAGGAATCACCACCACTATTTCACGAATTTTAGCTGGGATGGCAGAAGGTATTTGAACATGGAGGAGAGCGATTACCAAGGCAAGAATTTCGCAAAGCTCAATGCAAAATCAGACGCCTTCTCAAGCTGAGAATAGCTCGGACGCATCTCATTCTATAGATCTGGTTGGCGGGATTGATGTTAGTATCCCGCCTCTTGCAACGGATAGAGCAGAAGTCTTATCTCTAGATCAGTTGTTACATGATTTATTTGGTTCAACGGACTGGGTTGATATTCTTCCAAGCGTTGAAGGTCGTTTAGGCACGTAGTATAAACTCGGAATCTTGGAATATACCAGATAGTTTCAAACCTTAAAATTGACAAGAAACCCTGAAAGTTTTATTCGCCGTAATTTCCATGTGAAAAGTGATTTGTGCAGCGCGTAAACAGGGGACCGCTTCTATTCCCGACCGTTGTACACACGCTTCTTTTATCTTGCAGGATCCCGATCGCTTAAACGGCTCCATTGCGCCGCGCCACTCAACCATCCGGTTCTTCATCGAAAGATTTTCCGATCAAAAATACGGAAATCGGTAAGCCAGGCACAGCTGATGTTCCTCGATGAACATTATGCACATCGATCAAGTCAAATGTGGCTTTTCAATCTCGGCCATTTTTCGTTTAATGGATCAAAGCTCAGCCCGCCGAATCGCACGTAAGGGGCATCACGTCAAAGGTACACCCTTATTAGAATAAGTTTTCACTTTTTTCATCAAAGCATCTTGTCATAGAACAAAAGAACCCCTGAAATGACGTTTGATACGCTCGGACCCGCAGTTGAAAGTGAAGTCGGTAGAAAAGAAAGGTGAAGATAAGAAACACTTTCATCTTTTTACCTTCACCACCTTTGACAACTTGACATAAATGATGTTGCTTTGGTGGACAACATCGTCCATCATTGCTATCAGTTTGGCATTCTTACTCTTATTCCGCAATTCATTACCGTTCGCATGGACAATTCGAATGATGGCGCCTTTTTGGCGCTTACGGTTTCGTGATTTCCGTTCACGTTATCTACGCAGATCTGATTCAAATCAAAAACAACGTATACCTTCAGCACAAGGATGCGATCCATTCGAAGATCAATTCACCGTTAAACGTCGTGCAACGTTGGACGAATGCGATTTTATGGGTCATCTCAGTAATAGCGCTTACCCTAAAAATCTCGATCTTGCTAGGATGCAATATAGTGTGAATCGTTTGGCCGATTTTATCCTAGACGGAGGTTGGGTTGCACTGGGATCAACGTCTTTCATTTTTCACAACGAGATTCCAATCTTGGCAAAATATAAGATTGTTTCCCGTATCGAAAGTTGGGATGATAAATGGCTCTTTTTACGCAATGAATTTCGAGGAAAGAATAGAAAAGGTGAAAATATTCTCTATTGCACATCTATCACAAAGCATTGTTTTAAGTTTGGACGTAAAACAATTCCGCCTTGGTTCGTTTTAGCTTATTGCGGATATTCGAGCACAAGTGAAGCAACATTGATCAAGACGAACGCCACTAGATCACGAGAATTAAGGCATTCTTTGCAAGATGACGCAGGAAAAAAGACCGTCAATCCTTTACAAGCTTTTCAAAAGATTACACCTGCTAGTATCCATAAAGCACCAAGTTGGTGTTCACCTGATGTTTGGGACGTGGCCGGTTGGGATCATCAACGTAAAGCTCGACTGAGCGGATTGACTGAGTATTTCTTTTGATTTTCTTTCATGGTTATGGGTTTCAACAATAGACTTTATAGACTAATTCATAGACTTCATGTATTATTTTGACCGACATTCAATCATGTACATATATATTTCAAATAGGTATCCTTCATTTACAAATAAAGCGTGCTTTCGTACAGGATGACGATCTTGCGTCAAACAATATTCACTAGTCGATCAACCCTATCCCTTGTCTTGGCCGTTGATCGGGATACGGGAATCATTTATATGCAATATCAAATAAGATTATCCCAATTTAAGCATTCGGAGAATAGAATAGAAGGCTTGATAGACTGCATAGAACCAAAAGGGTATACTTTTTCAGATGCATGTACACTTCTAACCCCGCTCGCGGGCCTTGTTTGACGCTAAACATGCATGTGTTTCCCTTTCCTTTTTGTTTCATTTGTTTGCGGGGAAAGATGGTTCTATATGAACGAGATGAGAGACTGTCGGGGAATTGGGAGTAGAGTCAACAATAAAGGCATCTATTTTAGCTTTTCTTTTTCATCTTTTGTAAGATCCGCAAGTACCCACAACGGTTTGAGAACATGCTCCCTCTCCAGGTAAAATCTTTAGAGGTTTCATGCATGCTTTCACGCTAAATCAATCTCTCATAAACTAATAACGCTTGCACCTTTCTCCAAACTTACATCTCTGTCGCTGATCACAAAGGCAATACGCTAATCCATGCATCTATAAGGTCATATGTTCTCATCAGTAGCCCTTCTTACACCATCCGGAGCGAAAGCTTCGGTGTGCGCCATAAATAATTTGTGGGGTGAATTAACGCTAGGATCATTTCGCTACTACTTGATCCCTACTTTGTCACAATTGTCGTCTGTTATAGCTTAAATCTTATTTCGCTCTAGCTTCAAGTTGAAAAGCAAAACAGGGTCTTGGCACACGGTACCACATTCTATTGAAAAGAATAGCCTATGGCAGAAAATAACAGTAGTTCTTAGATTGTCTATAAAAGAAGGCTTTTTTTGTGTCTACTCTACTTTCTTTTCTTTATAGCTCCCTTCTCTCCCTCTTCCTACTAAATCTCTTCACTCTTCTATCAACGAATATGAAATTCTTTACTACTGCTGCTCTTTTGGCTTTAGCCGTTGCTATCGTCAGCGCTGATGTTGCCACCGTCAAAGCTGACGTTGCTGCTATTGATTCAGCAGTGACCGATTTGAACAACAAATTAGCATCAAACAATATTAACTATTTCAGCGCTTTGGCTATTCACGACTCCGCTCAAGCATTAGACAAGAAAATTCAAACTGCTACAAGTGACGTAAATTCAAACACTGAAACCGTGACTGAATCTGATGCACAAGATATTATCAACACTTTGACAGGTACAGAAGTAAACGTTAAAACTGCAACCGATCGTTTGGTAACATTGAAACCTAAATTTGACTCTCTTGGCGTTTCAAATTTGGCAAAACAAGATATTGCTGCTTTATCAAAGGACACTGACGCTTTCGGAAAAGCTCTAGTCGCCGCTGCTCCTGCTGATTTGCAATCCAAGGCGCAATCTTTGGCTGATGAGTTCAACGCCGATTTGAAAAACGCTGCTACCGCTTACGGTGCCTAAGGGATGGTGTAATAGTGCTTTTCAAACTCATCCGAATTTCATCCTTCTACCACCTTTAAAACAATTTCGCAATAATATTCACCACATCTACCAAAGTTTTGTCTAGCTACAAAGAAGATCGTCGAGCTTAATCGGTAGTATCAGTGACAGTGTGACGTGTTGCGTCCTTCTTTTCCTTCTTTTCGTTGTATTCTTTGGCGTCTCCAGAGCCATCATTGGTTTGCAGCATATCTGGCATATTAGACAATCCATTTTCTGGAATAGCAACACGGGTGTGCATACCTCCGGCAGCAGGACGGTTTGACAACATTCCAATTTGCCACCAACGTTTTTCGAACAGTTGATCCATTTCTTCTAAGCTGACACCAGAAGTTTCTGGGATGAGTAAAAAGATGTATAAAGCTGCCAAAACTCCAATTACTGTCCAAAATGCAAACAAACCCCATTGATGCATTCCTTCGAGCATTGGTTGAAGTGCTCTACTACTGCCATATTGATTAGCAAAATGAATTGCCATGATTAAAGAAGTGGCCACTGCACGTAATTCTAGTTGCCAAATTTCCGTTCCGATAATATATTGAATAGAATTGAAACCCATTGCCCAGCCAACACCGCTAATAAAGACCATAACGATTGCACCAATCGAAGCACGTTCCTGGCCGGGAGATTCGTTTGCGCCTGTCTTTTGATCCACATCACCCAGAGAAGCGATATATACACACAGATATAGTGCGGCAAGCGTTTGTAGTCCGATACCAATGAAAACGGTTCTCTTTCTTCCCAGGATATCGATCAAAAAGAATGAACATGCCAACGCAGACAATAATTTCACCACTCCAAAGATGCAAGTTGTATAAAGGGATGCACCGGATTCCACCCCAACTAGGGTGAAGATCTTTTGGGCATAAATCGTCAAACTTCCTCCCCCACTCCATTGACCTAAGATTTGAATACCGAATCCAATAACAACGAGTTTGTATAAATTGCGCGATTTCGAGAACAATTCTTTAAACAGTGTAACGATATTTTTGCCATGTTTTGCTTGTGCTTCACGATGAACTTCGTCCATGATACCTTCCATTTCATCGCGGACGTATGGATGATCTCTAGGCATGTTTCTATACCAAGCCAATGTTTCCCATGCTTTTTCCGTTTCACCTTTCTTGGCCATAGCACGCGGTGATTCCCGAACGAGAAAACTTGCGAGGAAGAACAAGCCGGCATAAATAAAGTTAATCGAAACGGGAACTTTCCAAACCTTGTTGTCATAAGTACTGAAGTTTCTACTCGAACCAAGATTAGCACCGTATCCAATCACGATTCCTATATACACAGAAGCGGAATAAATGGACATTGCCAAACCACGAACGGTTCTAGGCGCAATTTCTGCCAAAAACGTTGGACAAACGACGGGAAAGCCACCGATTCCGATTCCAGCAATAAATCTGCCACCAAGAGTTTGACCGAGGTTACCATTTGATGTGATCCAGATTGCGGTACCCAAGATCCAAACCAAACAACAAGCTTGAATACTACGAATACGACCAATTTTATCCACTAAGATAAAAGTCAATAAAGAACCAGGAATGTTACCTAATTGAACCATACTAACGACGTTGGATTGTTGAGAAGAGCCTTCTTCGACATGAAATGCGTTTATCCATGCTTTGCTACTTGTCATACTACCTACTGTTCCTTCATCGCCACCTCGGCTTATTCCTAATAAACCAATAGCGGCAATAGCATAGAACAGTCGGAAATTGAGAGCCTCACTCGGCGTGCTCTTGAGATGTTGCAGCGGTCGCACCATGTTTACAGAGTGCGTGGGATGAAGAGGTAAAAGAGGAATGAATTCTTCGCTAGAGTTTTCCTCGTCCAGCGATTGTTTTGGGAGGAAAGTGTGACGAATTGGATTGGTGATGATCTTTTTATAGGCAGCAAGATTGCTCAGCGTTCTTTTGACATTATGCATTTTTACAACCTTTTTCCCCCGTTTAAGTTCTTGTGCGATATTTTCTTGCCATTGTGCTTTAATAGTTCTTCCGAGAATGGTGTGTTTAATGTAACATTTACCCTACCCGTTCCTACTGCCTTGCATGTGTTGTTGATGTGCCTCTTCCCATTGTTATGGTGGTGTGTTCCTACAGCAGCTGCACGAGTTTAATAATTTAGCGCCACACCATGCGCTCCCCATGGGGTCCGTTCAACGTGGGGTAAACGAAAAAAAGACACAAAGCATGAGCATTTCAAATGTGGCAACGATCCATTTTCTCCATCACGCTAGTACATCTAAGCGAATCCCCCACGGCTACAATAAATGAATGCTAATCATATCACATTGTCTTATTGTCCTCCTTTGCATGTCAACCTTTCTATTCTTCGGGTCAAGTCGGAAGCAATAAAGATCCCCAACAACTAAGACATTATTTCCAAATGTGGCATATTCACCTTATCTGCTTCCCCGTTCAAAGCTTCAATCTCTGCCATAGTCCATGGAATACCATCTTGTCTTCTTTTCTTTGCTTCTTCCGCTTCAATTTCGCCGGGAAAGTATATTCTTTCCGTTCCAGGCCGCTTTTCCGATCCAATCACCCTTTGATATAAATGATCAAGTCTCTCCTTGAATTCCTCTAAATCCATAAAGAGATCAGGCTTTATTGCAACGAGAAAATGGCCAACATTTGCAGGTTCTGTAGGATGATAAGGGTTTACCACATGTCCAGCAAATGCAGAACCAGATAAAACGCCCGAAAAAACGTCCATCATTATACTTAATGCGCTTCCTTTTGGTCCTCCCATCGGCAACATTGAGCCTTCTAGTGCCGCACTTGGATCCGTTGTTGGTTTTCCTTCTGCATCTATTGCCCAATCATCAGGTATAGTCTCATTTCTTCTCTTGGCTCGATAAATCTTTCCCCTTGCTGCGACGGAAGGTGCCATATCCAATACAAAGTCGATTCCGTTCTTTCCGCCTGGTGCACCACAGGCGATTGGGGAAACGCCCATAAGTTTGGTTCTTCCGCCCCAAACAGGTAAAGCAGGTGAAGAATTGGTAAAGACTAAACTCATATAGCCTGCCGCATTAGCCTGTCGAACAAAAGCAGCGCTCATGCCGAAATGATTAGAATGTTTGATAGAAGCCATACCAATTCCAAATGTATGCGCACTTTCAATGCATGCATTCATTCCTTTTGTTGCCGCTACAAAACCGAAACCATTCTTTGCATCAATTTGATGAACTACAGGCGTGATAGTTTTGGTTTCCATTTGTGCTTTTGGATCCAAAACACCTTGTCGTACACGTTCCATATACGATGGAATCCGATTTGCTCCGTGCGTATCTACTCCATGTAAATCTGCTTCGATTAAACAATGGGCAACGATTTGTGCATCTTCTACTGATGCTCCATTTCCACGTAAAACATTTTCTACAAATTGAATTGCAGAAGAGGCAGATACCCTTTTGACTTCTTGTTGTTGTGCAGACATGTTGAACGAATAAGGCAGAGAAGAAGAAGAAGAAGAAGAAAGATGCAAATCATCCTTTTAAAGTATTCTTAATTTCCCCCGCGTGGGGGGAGTCATGCGAGTCATATAGGAAGGCTATATACCCCAACGAAGTGTAGACTCACTCCGTCTCACACATGACCGCCCGCACCGCTGACTTACATAATAACTAGTTTGACTTCCTTTTGAACGCGCAATCCCGTGGCTCTTGGGCGTTTTTTCTCCGAATGAAACAAATTACGACACTCGGCTAGTGCACAGAAGAGGGCGTTGTGGCTTCGCGGTGCTAGAATTTACAAATTTCTGTTTTAGGCTTTAGACTAAGACTTAAGGAATACGGAATACCGGGTGAGTACATGCTATTCTCTTCTCGTCCATCCAAACATCAATTAGATGTACTGAGCAGTCAGTCAGAATCATCGAGGGTTGCATTGTTTGAGATAAGAATTGTAAAATGATGAAATAGGAGGTAAAATGATAAAGTAGGAGTCTTAATATGCGCATCAGTGTAATGTGACACTCTTCCACGGCGCCGTTGCGAACAAATGACCAGGGAAATTCTTTGATACTTCCAAATCAGAATGCCATAAATATAGTCTACCCTTTCATCATGTTCTCTTTTGTCCCTTATCCATCAAATCATGTTGGCTTTAAAGAGTTCATCAATTTGCCTTTTGGTTCTACTATCCTTGGTGAACGCCCGCCCAAGCGGAAAGGTCAAATTTGAAAGGAGACAAAAGAGCAATTATCCACCCCCATATTCACCTGCTGACCCAAAATACTTACCACAAGACTGGAAAGACGCTCTAGCATCAGCGCAAGCAGCAGGAAAGATTCCAGATATACCTTTATCGACAGTAGATAGTAATGGAAACACCCATTACCCTCCTGGCCCATCAGCACAAGACATTTGCAGTTGGACAACGACAAAATGCTATGGTCCAAACGATGTCAAACAAGCACCAGATAATACTTGGATCGTTGGCTTTGATGATGGCCCAACAAATGCTTCTCCTGATTTATACAATTTCTTGCAGTCCCAAAATCAAACCGCCGTTCATTTCATGATCGGAAGTAATGTTCAGTCGCTACCTTCTGCTGTCAAGCAAGCTCAAAGTCTTGGCCAGGAGTTTGCCGTTCATACTTGGTCACACAACATGATGACAACATTGAGCAACGAAGTCATCTTAGGAGAATTAGGTTGGACGATGCAAATCATTTATGATCTTACCGGTTATCTTTGCACTTCCTGGCGTCCGCCACTAGGTGATAATGATAATCGTGTTCGCGCAATTGCTGAAAATGTTTTTGGATTGAAAGCAGTCATGTGGAATGCAGAATGTAATGATTGGTGCTTAGATGGTCATGGTGGCAGCGAATGTCCTAATGAAAATCCGGGAAAAGATTATGGCAGTGTTGTTGCTGCCGTGGAAAAAGCGATTCAAAAACCCAAATCACCCGGAGTGATTTTATTGGAACACGAATTGACGGGCGAATCCGTTCAAATATTTAAAGATGCATTCCCGCAAATCAAAGCAGCAGGATGGAATACACAAACACTGTCTGTGGCTTTGGGTAAGGACTGGTATACAAACGCAAAGAATGGCACTACCCCGCCTATACCTGTCAAGGGAATGACAGTGAGCGAGAATACACCACCTCCCCCGCCCCCATCATCAGGTGCATCTGCTCCGTCATCGTCCACATCCTCTTCTACTGCACCCTCTAGTACAAACAAGACAACTACCAATGGAAATTCTACCGGAATTCCAAAAGGAAACAGTTTACATGCAAGCAGCGCTTCTTCCATTGTACCGTTGCTGTCGTGTGTTGGCCTGTCGGCAATTGGTGTATCAATGTACCTTTTCTGAGCCAGCCTTCTTATTGGACAATTTTGTATATTTTACCCACGATCACTAATTGACATATTGTGTACCTTGATTGAAAGAAAGACTGCTCTTTTGTAATATCCGCTATCATTCGATCATCGGCCAAGTATCCGTTTCATGAGTAAAAGGGACAATTAGTGTAACGATATAAAAGTCGAATTTGAAAGTTGAATGATTGTTTTAAGCTAATCCCCTTTTTAGCGTTTCTATGACTCCCGTTGGTCTCAATGAGAATATCGGCCCCGCACAGTTTTATAGAGTACAATTGAGGCTATAAAGCAGAGAATTGACCATTGACTCTATTATTTTCTTTTTGATTGTATAAACAATTACGCTAAAAGGGGCGCTACTCAAAATGCAACCGAAACACCATGCGGTATTCTTGTGTCAATTTTTGCCGTGATAAGCATGCAATACGCTAAACAACAAACAAACAATACTTGTTATACGTTCAGATCGCTTGTCAAACAGACGGGAAGGGCGGCTTCTATCATGCATTCTCTTTCTTCCCGCTTTAGTTGCATGCCGTGTGTGGTGTATAAGATCACGATCTTCTCACATTCAACCACAGACCCCACTCAATCAATGCAGCATGACGGCCAAACGACTCAGTACATGCAACTTTGCACGCTACTCTTATCACATTCGTTCCTAAAATGGCGGAATCGCACTTGGTAAAACAATTGAACGTTGTTTGACTTTCGACACATACAGATCAAACAAAATAAAGTGGGGTTTCAACCAGAAGTCCTTATAAAGACATGCTCAGACCTTTTTTTCTCACCTCATTCCTTCTCATTCATATCAAATCATAAATATGCTTCCTAAATCCATCTCTCTCAAACTTCTTGCCGCTTTAGCTATCTTGGCTTCTAGCATTTCTGCTGCACCAGCTGCTGCTTCAGGAAAAGTGCTAGGTGGTCCAGCCGTTATTCCTTCCGCTTACAGCTTGGCAGGTTTGGCAAATTTGGTCACCCCATTCACCTATACATTCCATTTACCTTCTCAAAATTATGCTGGTTTGGAATCATGGTTAGCTCAAAATTCCGAAACTTTTGCCGGTGTATTAACCACTGATCAATTACAACAATATGTTGCTCCAACTGATGATAATTTATCAGCCGTTCAAAATTATTTAAAATCAAATGGTTTCTCTGATTCACAAATTTCATACAACGTTTTCAAAAATCAAGTCACCGTTCAATCTACCGTAGGTCAAGCGGCTAAATTGTTCAATGCACAATTTTCAAATTACAACTTTGCCAATGGAGCTGTACCACGAACGAAGCAATACACCGTTCCAGCTGAAATTGCCAATGCGGTTGACTTTATCTCTCCTTTAACCTCCTTCCAACAAGTTCAAAAGGTATCGAGGGATCCTGTCAGAATCACTCGTGACCAAGAAGAAGAACTCTACAAAAGATCCGTCCCTTCCGCAGCAAATTGCAATACTGCAGGAGTTACTCCAACTTGTTTACGTCAATACTACGGAACGTATAATTATACTCCTACAGCTGTGAATGGCATTACGGACGTCTTTATTGCAGGTTTCATCGGTCAAAACTTTTCACCAACAGATTTATCTACTTTCTTGAAAAAGTACAGACCAGATGCTGCAAATGCAAACGTTGAAGTGATCAATCAAGCAGGTGCATTGAATATACCAGTTTCCCTATTGAGCGGTGCAGAAGCAATGTTGGACACGGAAACAATCGTCTCCGCCACTTATCCTCTCAAAGCAACTTTCTTCAATTACGGAAATCAATTAACACAAGGTGACATTTTTGAATTGGCTTTCACAGATATCATGAACAATTACGAAAAGTACGGCAAGCCAGGTGTTTATTCTGTTAGTTATGGTGCTGATGAAAATACAATTACTGCTCAAGAAGCTGCAGCTTTGTGCAAGACTGCCGCTGCACTTACAGCAATGGGCACAACAATCTTGATCGCTTCAGGAGATAATGGAGTTGGTGGTACGGACGGAGACACTTGCCCACCATTCGTTCCAACTTATCCATCCGGTTGCCCTTACGTATTGTCCGTTGGAGCACTTCAAGATTTCTCTCCAGAAGTGGCAGTTAACCCTTCTTTGGCCGGCTTCTATTCTGGAGCAGGTTATTCAAACTTATACGCTCAACCAGCTTATCAAAAGAGTGCCGTTGCCGCTTATGGTAATCCAGCAATTGCAGGTAACTATTATAATCGTTCTGGTCGCGCTTATCCCGATGTTTCCGCTCAAGGTTCGATGTATGTCATTCAATTTATGGACTTACCAGCAACTGTTGGAGGAACAAGTGCTTCAACACCAACATGGGCAAGTGTTATTGCTTTGATCAACGATTTAAGAAGAAAGGCAGGAAAGTCAAACGTTGGTTTCGTCAATGCTGCTTTGTACAAAGCTACAACCGGTCTAAAGGATATCACAAGTGGAAGCTCGTTAGGCTGTAAAAGTGCTCCAACTGCCGGTTTCCCTGTTACCAAGGGATGGGACCCATCTACCGGACTAGGTTCTCCGCTCTTTGATCAACTCAGATCTGTATTTGGTGTTTAGCATGTGTCATGTCGCTTTTCTCTTTATTTGGAATGTCATTAAAATTGAATTTATATACACTAAGCGGAAGATCCTTTGACATAAGTTGAAACAACCTTGGCAAAATATTCACCTTGCTTCTCAGCAACGGAAAGATCGAGTGGATCGGGTTGAAGTTGACCTTGACCACCAGCAACGGTTCCTGCACCGTAAGCGGAGGAGCCAACGATTTTGTCAACGTTTTGTTGTGCTTCGCTGTGCTGGTATCCATAAGGTACAAAGATGATACCATGATGAACAAAGAATGGGAGTGTTGTTAAAGCAGTCGTTTCCAAACCACCGTGTTGAGAAGCAGTAGATGTGAAAATAGTTGCGAATTTGCCTACCAAAGCGCCTGAAGCCCAAAGTCCACCTGTACGGTCAAAGAAGGCGGAAACTTGAGCTGGAGCACGGCCATAACGTGTTGGGAAACCAAAGATGAAACCATCAAATTGTTTGAGATCATCTGGAGTGACTTCAGGGTAGTTTTTGATAGGTTCCTTGTTTGCATACATCTTTTGTAAAACTTCATCAGGTAGAGTTTCAGTGATTTGGAAAACCTTGTATTCCACATTGGCAGCTTTGACACCGGCAATGACTGATTCGCTCAATTTGGCCACATGACCATAAGTGGAGTAAAGGATGATGGCAATCTTTGCGGATGACATTTTGGAGGTTGACAAGGTTGATGTGGTTGTTTGTTCGGCCTTTGATGTGTTTGTTGGTTCAGACGTTTGATCTTGTTGCTTTGATGGGAAGCAGCTCAAGAATGGTTTCAAACAAGCGGACATGGAGTGGTGGTGGTGGAAAAGAAAGACATGGAATGTTCTGAATGACAGGCAATTTATATATGCATACACTTGTATGATAATATCCACATCATATTCGGACTTAATAAGTCTTATCCTGGCTCGACAGTTTGACAATTTTAATGGAACACTAGCGCACTGCGCTATGCTTAAACGCACGCACAGACTTAAACGCGCCGCTCCGCTTACAGTAGTAGTAGTACTGTAGTTAAGGCCGAAATGAAAAATATCTACGTCATTAAAGTTTGATTCAAACGATCACATCATACATACATTCTTGGTAAAAGATTTGTGAAGATCAACAATTGAGCGTAAATAAAGACGATCGTGAGAGGAAAAGTAATCGAAAAGAAAAGAAAAGAGAAGAAAAGCCAATCTGGCTCACACACCTTCACGACCAAGTAGCAGGTCCGAACTTTTGACCTTCAGGAAGCGTATCGCGAATTGCAGTTCCAGTAAGATCCATGGTGTTTTGAGAGGCTGTGTTACCCCACCAAGCTGGAAAAGCGATATCATGAAGTTGAAGAGCACAAAAGATAAAAATAATCGATAGTGCTAAACCGACGTCCAAACCGGCAGAGAGAATGTAATTGTACTGCATCCACCAACTTCTCCAACGGTTTCTGATCCATTTGTTAAAGATGAAACCTACCAATCCCCATGAGAGATAATTAAGCGGAGTAGCCGGAGGAATCAATCCGATCCCAGAGAATATGATTGGTGCATTCAAGAAACGAATTGATGATTTTGGCCAATGTCTTGCTGCTAAATAAAGAATGATTGGTAAAATGAATCCTGGAATGAAGAATAGCAATAAATGGCTATAAATTGCACCTGGTGAGAAGATACGTCTTGGTCCAATGGCGCCCCAAATGACGCTGGCATTGAAGAAAACTTTTGCATTTGGGCATGAGAAATGGTCTTTTTGATGACGAGTACAAACTTGATCAATATTTTCTAAAGCCCAATTTACCACACCAACTTGCGTCAAGGCAGAAATTGCAGTAGCAATAGCTAAAGAAAGAATAGAATAGCTTTTCAGTGTTAAACTCAATTTCTTATAGAAACAAACAACTCACTTTGCGCCATAAAGGTTACACGAGGTGGTATTTTCATGTAGTGGCCCATTTTCATATCTGAAGCAAATCCTAAGCCTTGATTCATGGCCATATAGCCGTAAGCCTTGAACAACATCATAGCCATAGGACGTCCTGGCTGCATGTATCCAATGATGAATTCAGTAAACACATTAAGTCCAATCCATATGTTTGTCGTCGCTGCAATAATGCCTACTGGGACAAAGAAGATCCAGCCTATTGCGAGGCAAAAGATAAAGCTGTACCAGGATAAATGGGTGGCCCAACCGACAGAGATACCCATTCCCATCCCAAAGGTAACTGCTAGCACGATCAAATACCACCAAAATGGAACAGACTTATATTTTGCCATTAAGCGAGCATGGATATCGTCCTGATCAATTTCTCCTAACTTCTTGATCCTTATCCATATATCTTTACCGTGAAAGAGAGCAGTATGAATGATGACCGCAGTGATAGATGCAAATGAAAGACCATAGGTCAATGCAAATGTGGTTGAAAGGAAAATTGGCGAGTATTCTTTGTATTTTTCTTCGACAAATGTATGCGTGATCGGATCAAGGATCATTGATACATTATACGTATTTGCAGTATTATCGTATGCACCTGAGTCGGAGATAGGCAAATAATTGGCGTATCCATAATTCGTATAGTGCAAAGCCGGAGTTAAGATCCAAACGAATAATATCAATCCAATCAACGTATTACCGATTGCATGCCAAGGTGCAATAAGTGGACTGAAATTGAATCCTGAAATTTGACCCCAATCGAACGTTAAACACATTGGCATGATGGAAATTCCAGTTGCACCACCAAACAATTGGTTTATAAGAACATTTTGTGGCTTTATCCAAGTTACCCAAGCAAAGATACTTAGAAAGGGTGCAATGTATCCAGGAAACCAAAACCAAACAAAAGATCCGATCATAACGTATGTAAAGAATCGATACTTGTTAATACTCCAGCCAAAAGTTTTACTTGGATCAGGTGCGGGATGGTCGTGTAGCGCTGTGAATAATGCCGTATTGATTAAATTTCCAGGCCAAATCATTGCAGCCGGTTGAACCAAAAAGCTATGGAACATTCCTGCAAATCCAAATCCAAGCATCATATTACTCATCGTCATCATTATCTCGAATGCAGGACCAAAGTCTTGTTTGTAGAAAGCACGTTGAGCAATAATGATATCAACCGCGTAAGCTGCACCACCTGAAAATGTTGCATTTGCCATGATCACTGTGATTGCATGCTCCTTTTTCGAATATGGGCCAGGGTTGAGGTAGAAATCATGTCCTAAAACGGAAAATCGACCCTCAGGAAGCCATCTTGCCCATGCACAGCCGATAGGGAAGACGACAACTTGAGCGACATATGAGCTGATCACGATGTATGGGTTTCGCATACTAAGTAGTGCATTGCAGCCTGAGCCAATGATAGCAAATAGTAAGCCTAGAACCCATGCACGAATTGTGTTGACATGACCGCCACTGTCGTAGTTCAGCACAGCCGCTCTGACTTCAGGATACGGGCTGTTATCAAGTAATTCTTCTGCAATGTGAATACGATCTTTTACCTCGTCTGTATCAATTTCCAACTCATCGGGAAGATTTGGATCCCAAGCAAGATTTTGCCTTTTCAACTTTTCCAAGTATTCCAATGCTTTTTGAGCTGCCATTGTTTCTTCATCGGTAACAGAAGATACTTTCTTGTCTTGTGAAGAAGCTTCCTCATCAATTATTTCAGCTTTAGCCTCTTTTTTGTAGTCCGTTGGAGGATTCATAGTGAAAGATGATAGTTGAGAGTAGGGCGATTGAGGGGAAAAGGATATTCAGGGGGGTTCAGGATTAAAATCAGGGCTATTTATGAAGTTTGGCCAGGATGAGAAAACATGAAATTAATTTTTACTTCATTTACGAATGCCGTCAAAGTTCCACAGTTCTTGTGCCTAGAAAGCGGAGCCGATATTACGCTGTCTATGTATGGTATATTTTTATTATTCTTGATATTTAGGAAGATTGAAGAGAAATTCAGTGAATTGATAAGTGTTAGGAGATTCTTCGCTCGGAGGCCGCGTTTTCTCATTATATTGCCAGCTGTCATCAGAGGAAGAGACACAGAAAGTCTGTACCCCTTTTCAACTAATTTCTGTTGATCAAGTATGGTATAGAAAATAAGGCAGTAGTCGAAAAAAGTCAGGATAGTATAAATCGATGATAATATAATGTAGTGTAAGTAGTTTATATCATAAATCATCATTACGAATAACTGAAGCCATGCTAATTATCGAAATGATCATACTTCTCCCAGGCGAGTAATCAGCCAATAAACGCAATCTAGAAATAAGAGAAACACAAACGATATGATTTTGGTGTACTCACCAACTATGAATAAGGGCCTGTTAAAACGATGAGCCAACAGAATCCCAGATGAGGTAATTTAGTAAAACTTCTTTATGTAGGGTAACATGCTGATGCACGACACCGGACTTGGCGTAACTTTTTTGTAATCATACTTACGCTATTGATAAAGTGACTTATTCTGGCTTGCTTATGTAATTAAAAAGTTTGTCTTTGTTAAAAGAGTTTTATTGGTTGCCAAATAATTTTCTTACCGGTTACTCAGTAAACAATATCACAAGAGGACCTTACGCCACCTAGGCAGAAATACAAGAAGCAAGTATGTATACGATCTGTCAGAAAGTTATTGAGTTTAAGAGCTCTTATCGATACCGGTATAGTGGGTAAAGTGTCTTCAAGTCGGATATCTACAGCACGGCGGCTATTTTGCAGAATGCTTGAAGCTTTAGTTTACGCCAAAAATGAGTTTATTGAATGGATTTGTCTATCAGAGTCTAGGCCACGAAAGGTAATCCGCTGCTCTCTTAGCCTTACTTTATACCACACGCCGAAATTACCTGCGTGCTGCCGAAGTCACATTGTGTTATCTTTTTTTTTCCACATGGTCTTACGCTAGCGGAGTTTGATTAAATCTTAAAAAGAATCATCCTTCCGCCGGTAAAATGCCTCACGTTCTATGGAACCGCGGTAAAGACGCAAACATTCCCGATTCAAATAACGCTACTACCTCTTTTCAATTTCAAATAAGTTTATCTTGTGGTACTTTTCTCTTATCTGACCCCGCACTGTCAGAAGGCATATCTGCATGGCACTCTTCTTTTTGATGCATATACAGCGTTGAAAAATTAACCCCCTTATCTTCTTTTCTCGCAAGATACCACTTGGAAATTTAGCCGAAAAAGAAAACCATTTTATCCGTTTGGTACATTCTACTCGCGTGATTTCAGAGATAATGACAAGCTTTCTCAGAAAAGACTGATAGGATGCAGTTATCTTTCAACTTCAACGAAACACATGGTACTAACCTTTGTACCTGACATTAACCAATTGCCACTCGGCAAAAATACCGCCACTTTAATATACAAAGGCATCTGGTCAGCATACTTTTGAAGTAGAAAAGTAATCAAAGTACGAAGGCAGGAACAGAGGCCTGATTTAAGCAAGTCGATCAAGAATTTCATATAAAATTAGAGTGTTTCCTTAACCCAACCTCATTTTCCTACAACACACCCTACTTCTACTTTTTCTCCTAAAAGAAAATCAAACAAGATGGTGACGGAGGATGCGATCGAGAAAAAGTACGCTGCTGAAGACTCGCCTTCAGAAGAAAAGGCTTCTATCAGTTCTAACAATGAGGCTTTAGCACCTCTTGCTGACGAGGCTTTAGCCCATCTATCAAAGATGAAAAAGCAAGCGAATCATTGGGACCCAAACTTGCCCGATGAAGTAGAAGATGAGCTTGACGAAGCTCTCCATACCACCGATGTCAAAGCTCAAATCCATATTGCTGAAGAATTATTAGAAAATTCTCCATACCCCGAAGTTCGCGCTGCCGTTCTCAATTATGATGACGGTGCACATTGCAACACGATTCGTGCTTGGGTTCTAGGAATGATTTTTGCCACTCTCGGTTCAGGATTAAATTGTTTATTCAGTCTACGTGATCCATATATTGTCATTACCTCTTACGTTGCACAAGTTGTTTCTTTCCCTATCGGTTTGGCTTGGGCAAAATTTTTACCCGAGTGTAAATTCACTATATTTGGCAAAACGATATGTTTAAATCCTGGAAAGTTTACCATGAAAGAACACACGATTATCGTCATTATGGCAAACGCAACTTTCGCTAGTGGGGCTGCTTACGGTACCGATATCATCACCGCTCAACGTGCATTTTATAATCAAAGATACGGATGGCCATTTGAAATCTTCGTGACAATGACTACTATGGCAATGGGTTTCGGTATGGCTGGTATCTTTAACCGTTTCCTCGTTCAGCCTGCAGCAATGATCTGGCCATCCAATTTGATCAATACCGCTATGATGTCTGCATTGCATGATCATTCGGCACCCGATCCAGCAAAAACCAATGGTTGGAAGATCGGTAGATACCGCTTGTTCACATACACAATGATTGCCTCTTTCTGTTGGTATTGGTTCCCGGGTTATATCACTCCTTTCTTGAGTGTGTTTGCATTTGTCACTTGGATCAGACCCCAAAATCCCGTAATCAATCAACTTTTTGGAGGTATTTCCGGTCTTTCGCTCATCCCTATCACATTCGATTGGACACAAATCTCTGGTTTCAACTATAGTCCTCTTATTTCACCATGGCACGCAATCGCAAATACTTTGATCGGTATGGTTTCATTCTACTGGATCCTCGCGATCGGTCTACATTACTCGAACTATGGTTATGCAAAGTACTTGCCAATGTCTGACTCTAATTCGTACGACAACACTGGTAACCCGTACAACGTGACTCGAATCCTTCACGCAGGAACGCAAACATTAGATCTTGCCGAATATAAAACTTACTCGCCATTGTTTTTATCTACAACATTTACGATCTCGTACGGTCTATCGTTTGCTTCCATCCTTGCCGTTCTCGTTCACACGTACCTTTTCCACGGCACAGAATTATGGCAAAGGTTCAAAAAGTGGAACGATTTAGAAGAAGATGTTCATGCAAAGTTAATGGCAAAATATAAAACTGTTCCATTCTGGTGGTACGCTGTCTTGTTGGTTGCCACCATTGCCGTTGCTCTCGCAATGATTCTTTATTACCCGACAAATTTGTCCTGGTGGGCTTTCTTTGTCAGTTTGATTTTAGCATTAATTTTCTTTATGCCAATTGCAATTATCCAAGCAACAACAAACATCGGTATCGGTCTCAACGTCTTGACAGAATTCATGGTGGGCTACATTCAACCCGGTAGACCTATGGCTATGATGCTTTTCAAGGCATACGGTTATATGGCTTTATATCAAGGAATCGGATTCGCATCAGACATGAAATTAGGCCATTACATGAAAGTCCCACCAAGAGTGACATTCTCAGCGCAAGTTATTGCATGCGTTTGGTCAGCAGTCGTTCAAGTTTCAGTTTTGAACTGGTCATTGGGTTCGATTTCGGATATTTGTACACAACAACAAAAGTATCACTTTTCTTGCCCCAACGGCCGTGTATTTTACACAGCCTCTGTTGTATGGGGATTGGTAGGGCCACAAAGAATCTTTTCGCCAGGTCAATTATACAATGGGATGCTGTACTTCTTTATCCCGGGCTTGCTTGTACCGATCGTAATTTACATGGCAGCACGTCGTTGGCCAAGATCTTCGATTCGATTCTTAAACGGACCAATTCTTTTTGGAGGAGCAGGTGAGTATAGAGTCAGAATGATTTTGGTGTGAGTAGAGACTGACAGTAAACAATTGCTTTTATCAGGGCTTATTCCTCCTGCAACTCCTTTGAATTATTTGGCCTGGGGAATGGTCGGATTCGTGTTTAACAAGTTTATTAGGACCAGGTTCCGTGGTTGGTGGATGCAGTACAATTACATCTTCTCGGCCGGGCTGGATGTTGGGTTGGCGTTGAGTACGATTGTGTTGTTCTGTGCGCTGGAGTTAACGAATATTAACTTCCCGAATTATTGGGGAGACAATTCGACGACGGGAGCGCTCAGTACGATGGATTACCAGGATAGTGCGGTGCAAGCTGTCGTTGCAAAAGGGCAGCACTTTGGGCCTGCGGTGTGGTAGTTATGTTGAATGAGATGTGTTTGAAGAGAATGAAAAGCGTGGAAAGTTGAAAAGATTTTTGAAAAGCGTGTGTGAAAAGTGAGAAATATCAACGTGACATTGGTGAGTTGATGGAATTTGAATTTGCAAGGGCTGAGATAGGGATGAGAGGAAAAAGAGGCAAGACAAACGAGAAGTGACGTTTTGCTGGTATGAATCACGTGTGAAGTGTGAATGATTATTAATTGACATGTTAATACAAGTTAGTAAACCCTAATAGCCAGAAGTTAGAATAGATGAAATACTTTATACCGTTATCTCGTTTCTCAACATTCTTTATTCTATATCAGAAGATGAAATCACGCACTTTGATCATTAGGTAAAGTCATTCCTAAAATATCACTCAAACAAATTTATAAAGCGTTTAGCTGTTATACCGGAAAAGAACGATCAAGGTAACCTACTAGAAGTTAGAATGGATAAACCACTTTATACCGTTATCTCGTTTCTCAACATTCTAGGTAGCGATCAATCGAAAGACTATATATATATATACTAAGTTATACGGTTAATACTAAACTATATTTATACTTTATACCTATTTCGATAATCGATACCTAATAATTAAAGTATATATTTTCATCTTCTAGTATAGAATAAAGAATATTAAGAATCGTTTATCGAAATAGGTATAAAGTATAAATATAGCTTATTTATTAACCGTATAATTTAGTATATATATATAGTCTTTCGATTGATCGCTACCTGTAAGACTAATTTTTCGGCTAAGTATAGTAAAACTACTACGGTCAAGCTTTTAGCCCTCTTAGGTGAAATATAACTAAATTTAGTTTAGATATATAAGTAAGTTAGTAAACCTTAATATAAGAAAATAACTTTTTAGCTTAGAACTATTAATAAAAAAAAGGTAGTTAGACCTTTATTTATTAGTTAAAGTTAAAAAGATTAGAACATTTTTTATGATAGAATTTATTATTATTATTATTAAATTTTAAATAAAAGATTTTTAATAATCTTTAATATAATAAAAAATTATTTTAAATAAAATATTATTAATGAAATATAAATTTTCTTTAAAAAAAGAAAAATTATATTAAATCTGAAAAAAGTAAACCTTCTTAAAATATTTATTAAGCCTTAAGATAGTGACTTATTATCGTACTTAGGTTTTATAAGTAAAAGTAAAAGATTTAAAATATACTCTTTAATAAAGATACTTATTAGATATACTTTATATAATAATTTAATCTTTTTCTTATTTAACTACTTTAAAAATATTATTAAAGGTATAATATCTTATAAAAATAATTAAAAGATTATAAATATTAAATATTTAAGTTATAAGTTTAATATATTCGATAAGATTAAAGTCTATAATAAGATCTAATTAATCGAATTTAATAGTATTATTTCTTATATTAGCCTAAATATTAAATATAAATACTTAGATATTATATATATATTTTACCTATTTTCTTTACCTTAATTTATAATTATCTATCTATTATAAAATAGTACCTAGAGATAGTAAAATATAATATATATATTATATTAGTCTAGCTCTTTAAAAGAATTATAATTAAAATTAAAGCGATATAGTAATACTCTCTTATATATACTTAGAGGTAATTAATTATATAATCTTTAATAGGTAATACTATAATATATATAGTAGCTAGCCTTTTAAAAATACTAATACGATTTTATTATTAGCTAAATTACTAGTAAATTAAAATTATATCGTATTTCATTATAAAGATAGATTCTCTTATATTTAATTTAAAAATTTAAGAAATAAATATATAAGACTAGATCTTCTTAACTTTATATTTTAAAGTAAAAAGATAGTATAAGTTTTATAACTTATCTAATATAATATTATTCCTATAATAGTTTTATAGATAATCTAATATTTTTTATAGAGCTTAAACTATATAATAATAATCTTAATGATCTTTAATAGTATAACTTAATACTATAAATAACTATATTTAAATAATAGTAAATAAAAATTATTTATTATAAAGAATTAATCTAGAAAAGCTATAAAATAAATTTAAGCTACTAGATATATTAATCTTAATATTTAAAATAAATATATTATAGTTAATAATAAAGATAGTCTTAAGAAAAGCTTATATTAGCTTTTAAAAGTCGATTAACTTTCTTTTTTATCCTCTACTAGTATCTATAATAGTTCTAATATAAATAGAAATAATAATTATTCTTTATTTATATCTATAAATATTAAAATAGAATAAATCGAAATTAATCTTAATTATAATATAATAAAAACTATAAAAGATTCTTTAATAGAAGAAAGTAATAGTTAATCTTTATTTATATCTATAACTATTAAAATAGAATAAATTAAAAAACTTTAATAATAAAAAAAGAAAGGTTATAAAAGATAATCTTATATTCTATAAGACTATAAAAAGTATATATAAGCTTAATTTTAACTTATATTTAAACTCTAATATTAAAAAAAATAAAAATAAATAAAATAAAGAATAAATATTAAAATTATTAAAGATAAAAGAAAATAATTAAGATTATCTAGCTTTAAAGATAAACTATTATTATTTTATATATTTTAAAAAAAGTAATAGAGAACTTAAAAAGCTTAAATAAATTAAATTAGCTATTAATATAGATTATAAAGATTTAAAGATTAAATACCTTCTTATTATTATTAATAAATAAGTATTATATATTAAGATCTATAGAATATTTAGTTTTAAAGATAAAATAAAATATAATAGCTTTTAAGATATTTTCGATTATTTTTTCTATTATAAAGATTTTATCTTTTATTTATAAAAAATAATCTATTTAATAATATATTTAATTTAATTATCTTTTTAAAATAGATAAACTCTTTTATTATTTTTTTATCTTAGATTTATATAATTTATAATAAATAAAATATATATTTTTTACTAAAATTATAGATCTTTATATTATAGCTTTTTAATATATAATACTTATAAAAAATATTTCTTAGAATATATAATTATTTTAAAGTTTTTTAAAAGTAAGTTATTAATTATTAATATAATTATTTAAATTTAAGATATTAATAATTAAAATTAATTTATAAATATATATAATATCTTTATTAATAATAATAATATAGATATTAGTTATAAGATTTATTTCGATAAAAAAAGAGTAAAATAAGATTATATATTAAATTAAGAAAAATTTTAATTTCTATTAAAAAAGATAAAAAGAATTATAATAATATAATTTTTTATAATAGAAAAAAAATAAAGATAAATTATAATAAAATTTCTAATTATAATTTAATAGTTTATTTAATTAAAAACTTATTATTAATATTAAGATATAAAGTTTTTAAATTTTATTTTAACTATAAAAATAATTTTAATTAAATAATAATTAGATTATATATATAATTTTTATTATAAAATATATAAAAATATAATATATATCTATTTCTTAAAAGATCTTAAAAAGTTTTTAAATTATATAAAATATCTTTCTATTAATATTCTTTTATTATTATATAAGATATATATTCTTTTAAAGAATATAAGATAATTAAAAATAAAAAATATTAAAAGAGTTAATAAGATTAAACTAAATATATAAAGATATTATAAATATCTTTTTCTCTTTTATAGTTTTATAAAAAAATATAATCTTAAAAAAAAATATATTAAAGACTTTTTAAATAATTTTAAACTTATAAAATTTTATATTTTTATAATTTATATTAATAAAAAGAAATTATAATCGATAATTAAATTTATTAATAATTTATTATTATTATTAAAAATTAAAATTTTATTTATAATTAAAAGAATATTAAATATATAAAAAAAGATAATTAGACTTATATTTAATTTTAATTTAAAAGTTATAATAATCGAAAAATCTTTAAAAGTAAGAAAGATAATTTTAATTATAGATTTTATTTTTTTTATAAAATATTAAAATATCTAATCTTATTATTAATAATAAAAAAAATAATTTTAATAATTATTAAAAATATTTATATAATTAAAACTTAAAATAATTTAAAAATATAATTAAAGAAATAAATAATTATATTAATATATATTAATATAAATTAATAATTTTTATTTTTATATAAATAATATATTTAAAATTAATATTATAGAAAAAATTATAATTAAATATATTAAAAAAATAGATTTTTAAAATTATATTATTTAGATTTTTATTTAAATAAGAAAATATATAATTATATAGATAATCTAATAATAGATCTTTTAGCTTTTTCTAATATAAAAGAAATAAATAATATATTAATTAATATTATAATCTTTTTTAATAACTTTTAAAAATTTATATATTATAATCGATTAAATTTTATAAAAAATAAATATTTAAATAATTATTTTTAATAAAATAAATTAATTAAATAAGTTAAAGATTATAATCTTACTATTTATTATTTTATTAATATTAAAGATTATTTTCTTTAATAATATAAAATAGATATATCTTTTTAAAAAAGATTAAATTAAAAGATTTATATCTATTTTAAATAAGATATTTACTCTAATAAAAGATAATAATATAATTAATATAATTTATAAGATATATAATATAACTTATTTATTAGATCGATCTTTCTATCTTTTTAATTATATAAGATATAATAATAAACTTAAAAATAAAAAAATTATAATTAAATTAATAATAATAATAAGTTATAAAAAGAATATTATATTTTTTATATATAAATATAGAGTAAAATATAAAATATCTATTAGATCGATTTCTTTAAAAAATAATATTAAAATAAAAATAGTTTTTATTTTTCTAAAATTATTATTTATTAAATATCTATTATTAATTAAGAAAATTAAGATTCTTTTATTTTATATAATATAAACTATTAGAATTATTAAAATATTATAATAGAAAAATAAAATAAAAAACTTTTTTATTAATATTATAAAGAATAATATAAATTTTCTAAAATATCTTATCTTAATAATTAATATATATTAAGAT